GGCATGGACAAGTCGAAAGATTTTCGTGTCGGTCTGGACACGCTGGGTCTCGGGATGGGAGGCATATCCCGAGTCACTGGCCACAACATGACAGGAATGGGCCTCGACCAAAGCACCGTGCTTTTCGCGCTATGGCATGATTCATGATCCTGGTCATTGCCTTTACCCACTGAGCGGTGTACAGAGGAAGAATTTTTTTTTTTCTTCTTTCTCTTTTGTCTTTGGCCTGTGGCTGAACCCTCCGCGGTTCCATGTGAATCACTTCAAATTATTTAGCTATCATAAACGGTAGAAGGATCCCTGCAAGCCTTGTTGCTAACAGCCGTTGTCGGCATGGAGAACGGAGGACCGTGAATCCCTTGGCTGCGGATCTCCGTGCTATCGCTCCACTTCTCTTTGTGACATTTTGCCTCGACTTCGGATATCATATGGTCTGATCTGTCCAAACCCAGAATGTTTGTGGCGTCTAATTCTGACACTTGTACTTGTATTTGCGACAGTATCACTCCGTACATTCCCTATTGCCTAAAGGTGGGGAAGGTCTTCGGATTGTGGAATTGATGTGTAGGATTGCATGTACTGTTAATCTCTGGTGGATCAGGGAAATTTTCCCAAGTCTACTGGAATCCACCAACGATATCTCTCACGGCATGCAGCCCATTGAACCCTTGCGTTACCGGCCTCGCCCCGGGCAGAACTTTATGGATGCTTTGCATATATAGCGTCCGGGGTCAAAGATGACAGTTGGATAGACAGGTCAACTTACGACAGGGCTGCCACCGGATACGAGCATGATCGCCAAACGGTTTCACACATTGCAAAAGCTCTCTTTCCCCTCCCCATATTTCCTTCTTCCCGCTGGCAGCCGTGATTCGCCGGGGAACTGGAAAAGATGTGCTCTATCGCTCTAGGCCAAGGACCAAGGATTGCAAATTCAAATCGCATAGGCAATTCTTCTCGTGCGAAAGACCGGGTTAGCGGTGATTGGCATTGGTAGATCGACTGTGAGGTAATTTGCCTCTCTGTTTGCTTTTTTTTTTTTCTCTCTCGCTCTTTGTTTATAAGAGGGAAAAGTCCAATTAGGGGCCACTTAGCTCTTCTCGGCTGCGTTGGAGATATTCCGCGGCCCTCAAAGGGGACTAGGAACTGCCCGCCCGCCTCCACATCCTAATGTTCTCCACTCTTCTAAAGCTGGCGTCGAGCTAGAAGGATGAGGAATCATGGCAATCTCCGAACCTGAGCCGTTGTAGTAGTCTAATCATGCTGCGCTGTGATGTCAGCTATACCCTAAGATAAAGATTAGCTAAAGATTAGCAACCGAAGCATTCTAGATTTCAACCCCTTTGCTCGGTGAGCTGCTATCAGTCGTAGCTTGGTATAGAGCTGTTTTAGCTTGAAGCTCCCGAGGCGAATAATCCGAGCACATTCTCGCCGATCAGGTGGGCACAGTGGAATTCAATAGCGCCTCTTTTTCTGTTGTTTCGTTTTTGCTTTGTTCTGTCGAGTAGCCCGTGGGCCTCCCAAAAGCAAAGACCGATCTGTCTGTGCGTTAACGGTGGCGGTAAGGGTGTTGACTCTTTTATCGAAACAAATAGTTCACGATCGCAAAAATTTGGAAGTTCCTATTGTTCTCCGTACTCCATGTCAGTATTCGAAATCAAGTGGATATCGACGCAAGGCACCTTAGCTTCAAATATCATCAGGGCAAGAGTGGACATTCGGAAGTCTCGAAGAATCACTGACAGCCTTCCATGCATGACCCTTTCCAAATCCACGGGAATCTTCTAAACCCAGCAAGGAAACACTTGAATCCAGAGAGTGAAACTGGTGGGTACAGTGTATAGAGTGGAGTTGCAATGAATATCGATCAGACTCCCCCAATTTCCCCAAGCCCACACTGACGCTTGGTGGACTGTGATTGGCGGCGGATATGAGTAAGACGCTGCCGGCACCGGCGCTTGACCTGTCAGAGCCTAGTTCAGCCATCGGGACGCGCTATCTTTAGAAGCGGCCAATTACGCGTTGTCAATGCCTCCGGATCTCCGACATGATGAAATTCCGTCCTCCGTATTGGTACTGGTCCCGGTACGGAATACTTTGGTATCTGTTCCAAAAATTGAGATTCAATAAAGACGTCAACATAGAGTTAGTTATTCAGTACAAGTGTACGGAGTACTCCATACTTCTTAACTTTTACAATGGATGAGAAATGAGTACGAAGCGCGCTATACGAATTTTCGTATATTGATGGAGTTGGTTAACCTTCATCAGACCCAAGATGAACTGGTCCTTGCTTGCGTGGCTTGCTGTATGCCATTGGGCTGTGCTGGTGGATGTGTCGGATTATGCATGTGTTTGTGTTTGGATAAGATGGGTCACAGCCAACATCATGACGCCCATGTGCATATGCTTTCTGTTGCTGACATGTACTAAGGGCCACTCTAGAGGGCTCTTTTGCCCCGGATCTACAGGTCAAGTCAGTGAGACAGAAAGAAGTACTATCACATCACCCTGCAATCGGAACACATCACTTCGCGACCATGGCTGGGGCCCCTCCACCAATGGGATACACCATTCTGTGAGACCTCTTTCACTGTAGCGCTTGTACGTCTTACAGGTATACCAAGGACCAAGGACTTGAATTTGGGACACAAACATAAGCGCAGTTGCATGTTGGTACTCCATAGTCAGACGGTACCTCCACATGTCCCACACCATCCCAGCTCAGTAGACTCTGGAGAAGAGCTGTCTCTCCAATGAATGGACCGGAGGACAAAGGTAACCACGCGCCCGGTAAACTCTGTCCAGAAGCGCCCACTTGAGCTTTTGAAGAGACATCCCAAAATTCCATTCGCGCCTTGCGTCTTGGTTCTTGCCTCTTGCTATCCAATGAAGGCTTCTTGTTCTTGGTTGCCTGTGATCCTCTCGCGGTTGTGCCCGCAGCTGGTTCCTGCAGTAGGCCGCGCAACAGAGGAATATCGTAGCCTTTGGGCATGCATATTGCGCAGCTCACTTTGAGCCATACGGAAGACTCCGTCCTCCGTACCCTCGTACTTGTACAGACCAGAGATTGAAGTTTGGTGCCATGACACGTACGAAAAAAAAAAAAAAAAAAAATATGCCATTTGCACTCACTGTGCTCCATTGTATATTGTATGGACAATGGAACCATATAGTAACCCTTGCAGCGATCGGAAAGAAAACACACGCGTTGTTTGGTACCCATGTGGCAAACTTCGAGCTGGAACTATACCGAGTAAGCTGAGAACCATGATCATCTTAATATACTGAAACAGAGAAGCTACTGTGGACAAGAACGTTTAAAGCTGAGGTTCATACTACTACTGTAAGGTTAATTGGCTCGGGGAACACCGTGCAGGAATTCTATTATCATATGAAATCCGCGAGAATTGAAACAGCCAATGCCGACCGTTTCACGATGGACGATGGTTGCACAGTCATCGCCACCGTTGATACAAGTGTAGGCCGATCGGCAAGTCCTGAGCGACTTGAGATGTGCAGCTGGAAGAGGCAATAGATGGGCGGACCGCCATTGGGGACCGTAAGCTTTACACTTGTTGATCGCTGTGCCGTCTGGAGTCTAGTGGGTATGGATGGACTTGGTTACTTGTACCGTATCCTTCAGCGTATTCCAAGTATTTTATGTGGGCGATCGTGTAAAGTTGGAGACCTGGGAGATAAGTGGTCAATCAGGGTTGCACATTCAAGGAAAGATACGGCTGATTCATGTAATGGGATGGTATTTGGTACGAAAGAGGGTACTTCGCACTGAGTGTAGCGGGGCCGCCAAAAGTAGGAACAGAGCATCCTATTGGTCTAAAGAGGTCGGTGATAAGAGGTGCAAATGATTGCCGCTGTCACCATCACACGTCCAATGGTCGTGCACCTCGTGGCCACACTCAATTTTTGGAACAGAGGTCTCGGGCCATTGCGCTTTGGGGGAGGCTGGGTACGGAGTAGTGTAGAGAGAGATATGGAGTAGAGAGGATAGTATAGGCTAGAACCAACTCTAGGTCTTAAGTTTAGCACAAGTGAAGGCGTAGACATGCGCAAATCACCAGAAGCATCCCAAAAGTCGCCTCTCCGCATTTTCCCATAGCATCCGCCTAAACTATTTTGGGTATTTTGACCGAGGACCTTTGGGAAATTGAAATTAATTAGGGAAAAAAGAAAACAAGAGGTATTTTAATTAAATGTGAACCTACGGTCCCACCAAACCCACCGGGTGGTCAATGAAGACTATTGGCTGAGGCAGTGCGCACAGTGCAGTGTCTCTCCCAATCCCGCCCCGGACTGGTACCACTTCCGTAAGATAATTCTCATCTAATATTGATATCCATTTATGTATTTTCCCAGTTTATTCGATTATTCGATTTTATTTCTGGATTATTTCTATTTATCTATTTCCCAAACTTGAATTATTTAAATCAAATAAAATAAAAGCACCCCGTTCCTGGCCCACACCTAAACTAGTGACCCGGCAAGCAGAAAATAGCAGCAGATCACTCATTTATCCACCTGCTATCATTCCCTTCTTAATTCTCATATTGGCTCTCTCTCTTCTTTTTTTTTTTTTCGTATTTCCCCGCTGTCTATTTCATCTTCTACACTCATTCACTCTCTATCGAGTCCCTTTTTTGTTTTTTTTTTTTAATATTTTCCATTTCGACTATTTTGGGTTTGGGTCTTCCTATTTGATTTGGGATCCTCATCTATCACTCTCCTTCCTCAAGTACTTCGTCTCCCGGTTCCCAGAACCTGTCTTTCCTTTTTCGACTATCAACTCTCGACGACACTCATTCATCGTCTATACACACACACACTTAATACTGCATTCACTCATTCATCCAACTCAACTACATACTAATCTACGGGAGCCTTTCAATTGGATTCTTCTCGTTTCACACAGGTGAGTTTGGATCTACTTCACCCAAATTATACCGGCCGAGACTGACCTAGGATACAACCAGCACGCAAAAATGGACTCAACATACATGGCCTCGGTACAACAGCCGTACGCCTACTACGATCAACAGAGAGGCCACTACCAGTCAGACGTCCCATACTACGGACAAATGCAGTATGGAGCCCAAGAGCAACCAGTCTACTCTCAGCCCGTGATGAACATGCACCAAATGGCCACTACCAATGCCTTCCGGGGAGCTACAATGAGCTTGACGCCCATTGCCTCTCCTCAACCATCACAAATGAAGCCCACCATCATTGTGCAGCAAGGATCTCCCGCCTTGATGCCATTGGATACTCGCTTCATTGGCCACGACATGTACTCGTTCCCTTCAACTCCTCCACTTTCGGCCTCGGGAAGCTCTATCAGCAGCCCTCCATCTGCCAATGGCGCACTGCCCACTCCAATCACCGACACATTCTTCAGCTTTGACAAGGTCGAAGGTGTGAAGGAAGGCTGCGAGACCGAGGTTCACCAGGAAATCCTGGCCAACCCCGAATGGGCGCGCTCTGACTCGCCCCCAATGACGCCTGGTAAGTCGTTCTTCTCAATCTAATCTATAGATCACACTCTTGAAAAGATGTGGACACTGGGAAGCAAGGGCGAAAGGCTAATTATGACGCAGTCTTCATCCACCCTCCTTCTCTCATTCACAGCCACTCGGACCTTCTGTCTGCCACTTCTTGCCCCTCGCTTTCCCCCTCCCCCTCTCCTGTCCCGACCGACATTCTTGCCTCACAGACTCTCGGGTCTGGTCAGTCTTTCTGCGACCCTCGTCAGCTCACCGTTGAGCCCTCGGTCAATGTTCCCGCCCAGGATCTTCCTCCCCTGCCTACTCTTTCCTGTGAGGAGGAGCAGCCCCGTGCTGTCGTCGGCAGTGCCTCGGTGACGCTTCCCGTCAACGAGAACCCGTCTCCTTCTTTCAGCACCTCGACCCAGGACCCCCTCAGCGGTCTGCCCACTTTTGACAGCTTCTCAGACCTCGACTCTGACGATGAGTTGAACCGCCTCGTGGAATTCCACCCTGCCACCAATGCGGTGTACATGGGTGACAAGCGTCAGCGCGTCCATGCTTACCCCGTCGAGGATGATGGCTTCCTGAGCGAGCACAGCCTCGAGGACACTGATGACTCCGACACCTTCATGCACAATGGTCTCCCTACTTTCGAGTGGACCCAGGCCCATGCTCACCATGAGCATGAGCATGAGCATGAACATGAGGATGATCTCATCGAGGAGCCCAAGACCAAGAAGCGCAGCACCCGCAAGACCCGCAAGAGCATCGACGAAGAGGCTGAAGCCAAGGCGCAGGCCGCCTGTGACTCCTCCGCCGACTGCTGCTCTGACGACGGATCGGTAGAGGACTCCTCCGAGTCAGCTCCCGTTTCTGTCAACCGCCGCGGACGCAAGCAGTCCTTGACTGAGGATCCTTCCAAGACCTTCGTCTGCACTCTTTGCTCGCGTCGCTTCCGCCGCCAGGAGCACCTCAAGCGCCACTACCGCTCTCTGCACACTCAGGACAAGCCCTTCGAGTGTAACGAGTGTGGTAAGAAGTTCTCTCGCAGTGACAACCTTGCCCAGCACGCCCGCACCCACGCCGGTGGTTCCATCGTCATGGGTGTCCTCGACACTAGTGACGCTGGCTCGGTCTCATACGACGATCAGCATGATGCTGGCGCCTTGGGTCAAGTCATGTACGAGACTTCCCAGACCGAGGTCGCTGGTACACCCCCCGTGGACCGCCGTGCGGCCAAGAAGCGCAAGCGTGACCTGTAAAGGCACTTGCGTCTTCCATGATTTTCTTATGAGACCAAGAGACTTCCTCCTGCATATAATATACACACATTTCTCAGTCGCAGTCTTTCGACAGGAAGCTCGACCCCTTTGGTCTTGATTTGGTTTTGGCGTCCGGGCATATTACACCTGGGCATGGGCATCGGTGTACGGCAAACTTGGGTTCCCATTCTCAGCGTTTCATCGCACGGGGACACAATACAGGCACTCAAAAGTGGTTTCTGGGCGAGCATTTGGCCACAGAAAGGGTCCGGAGAAGAAGAAAAAAAAACACAAAAACCTCCCCAAAAAAACAAACCATACAAACATGGAGCATCTATGTCCTGGGAATGGTGAATTATTTCCTTTGTCTTTTGAGCTTTTTTTCCTTTTGTTTCGTCCCTCTCTCCTGGACCAACACATTCTGAGCAATTCTCACCCTTGAGCCCTTTTTTTTGGGTCGTCCCTTCGTGTACCTGTTTCATCTTCGTTTCTTGTGACTTTTCTTTAACCTCTTTTTTTTTTCTGTTTCTGTTCCTGTTATCTTGCTTATTCGATGTAATATTTTTGCTGATTTTGTGTGCTGGTCACATTCGTGTATAAGTTAATTGACCCTGTTTCCCCCGTTTCATACCCCATTCTTCTACTGCATTGGTCTTTTGTGTTGGTTCCAGGTCGCATCTCTAGATGTCGATTCAGTTCAAATTACAAGCAAATACTTCCTCCACCTCTTCTCCGTGCCTTGTAGATCTAAAAGTCTGTATCATTACAACATCAATCAATTCCTTAGTTACCGACGTTGACGTCTTTTACTCAAGTTTGTAGTGTGTTGTCTTCACCATGAAATCAAGGTTGGTGCCTGAATCTGGTGGCCTCAATATAAGTTCCCCGGATCGCATGCCGCATGATTAACTCACCTCTCCCTTCGATGCTGCCGTTTACCATTACTGGATCCTCGAACAAACCCTGGATTTACCAGCATGCTCACCTGCATTTTGACCACCTGCATTTGATGTTTGACATACATCGTCCATTCGTCCATCTGTTATCGATAACCAAGGTGGGGACACCGAAAAGTGCCCCCCGTTGCCCGCACCCAGAAATACTACCTGCAAAAATTCATTGATCCGAGCATGGCAGCACCGACAGGCACCGGGCTGAATGTCATTGCCCTGATTTCCGGCGGGAAGGATTCCTTATACTCCATCCTCCACTGCATCAGCAACGGTCACAGAGTTGTCGCACTCGCCAACCTTTACCCAGAACCGCGACAGAACACAGGCACCCAAGATGAAGATGAAGACATTGACAGCTTCATGTACCAGACCATCGGACACAGCGTCATCCCTCTCTATGAACAAGCCCTTCGCATCCCCCTATACCGTCAGCCCATCTCAGGCGGCGCCGTCGACACTTCACGCATCTATGGACAAGATACAACCCACGGAGACGAGACCGAATCCCTTGTACCGCTCCTCCAGCGCATAAAACAAGCACACCCAGAAGCCAACGCTGTCTCGGCTGGCGCGATTCTTTCGACGTATCAGCGCACTCGCATTGAAAATGTCGCAAACAGACTCAACCTCGTGCCCCTCGCTTGGCTGTGGATGTATCCTTTCCTGCCAGCTTCAAATGCCAGAAATCAAGATCCATTGGCGATAAAACAAACAGGGCTATTGGAAGATATGGCTGCTGTCGGGTGTGACGCTCGCATCATCAAGGTTGCCTCAGGTGGCTTGGACTCAGGGTTCCTGTGGGAGAATGTATCCGGTTCTGAGAGTGGTGGGCGCATTATGCGAAGACGCATCACGAAGGCCATGAGTCGGTTTGCGGGGGCAGAGGATATCCGAGGCGCGGTTCTCGGCGAAGGCGGCGAGTATGAGACGCTTGCGCTCGATGGGCCGGGCTTCTTGTGGAAAGCTAGAATTGAGGTCGGAGCCAAGGAAGAAAAGACCGGTGAAGGAGGTGTTGCATTTGTGAAGCTTCGACAAGCTCGGTGCACGATCAAGTCTGACAGAGATGTGGCTGATGGTGTGACGCCAGGCGATGTTCGTCAACCGGGGTTGCTAGACGAGGCTTTCCAGAATGCCACGTCTTTATTGCCTGTCTCTTGGCCTGGTGGATCGCGGAAAAGTACCAGTACGGCTAGATCGCCAGCGTGGTCTGGCTGTGAGCATGTGCACCGGCTGACTGGCTCGAGCTGGACAATATCGAACATAATTGCGCCCGAGGCTGGTCCCGGGGCCGGAGAGCAGATGAGAGGCATTGTCCGCAAGGTGGAGCAGATTTTGGGTGCTTTCGACCATGCTGAGTCGGGCCCTCGCTCGACAGAGGACATTGTTTTCGCTACTGTGTTGTTGAATTCAATGGCTGATTTTGGGCCCATGAATGATGTCTACGTCTCAATGTTTAGCAAACCAAATCCTCCAGCGAGGGCCACAGTGGCCTGTGGGGACCGCTTGCCATCTAACGTCAAGGTCATGATCTCGTTTGCTGTTGACCTGGGTGCCAGAGACCGTCGTCAGGGCCTGCACGTTCAATCCAGATCATACTGGGCTCCGGCAAACATAGGGCCATATTCACAAGCTATGTCAATTCCTCTGCAAAACGCTAGCAGGCTGGTGTATATTGCTGGTCAGATCCCTCTTGATCCGGCTACGATGACTATGACACAAGTGGATGAGATTTCGTATAAAGGCTACTTTTCTCGTGCTTTGCTAGCGCTCCAGCATCTTTGGAGGATTGGTGAGGCCATGCAGGTGGACTGGTGGCTTGGCGCAGTTGCTTTCCTGACCGGCGAGGACCACGGCGATGACAAGGCTTTGATAGCGTGGCGCCTCTGGGAGGAGATGCACACTTTACCCGACAATGAAGACGACGAAGACGACGAAGGTCCACAGCTGGACGCATGGGATATAAAATACGGGCGCCGCACAGAAGAAGCGCCCGACGTCTTTGTGCCCGGCCTGCCGAAATTCACCGCTCTTGTCGAGTCTACCACATCCATCCCGCCGTTCTTGGCTGTTCAGGTGGATCAGCTTCCCCGAGGAAGTGACATTGAATGGCAAGGACTGGGCAGCCGGTGTGACCAGGCCAAACAAGACATTAAAGGCGCCACAGCCTCCACCACCGTGGACGGCCAGTTCAGGTATACTAGTATCGAGATCGACGCAGGTTCGTCGATCGATGCATTGGAGCAGAACCTGCTATCAGTGATAGAGACTCACTGTCGAGATTCAAATCTGTCCCAGGCTATTCTCTACGCCACACACTCGGTATCTGAAACTTCGTGGCCAGGACAGATTGTCCCGTGCAGATCAGTATGGGGGCGAGAAGGACGCAGATTGAGTGCAGGCGTGGTTTTACAGCATCTGAACTAGCCAAACATCAAATTCCAATATGAAATAAGTTCGAGACAAAGAAAAAAAGGGGGAAAGACAACTCGAGTTGCGTAGCCTCGAACGGTTGAAGATGTCATACGCACTGTCCGCTCGCATGTGATAGGCAAAATCCCTTCCGCGTTCATGTAAGATAACAACAGTGCCGAGATGTCCAAGTGTCACTCCACGTTCTCAACACTTCTGCCGCAAATACCTCCCCAACTGCCAAGTCCATTGACTCAGGGTCCTCTGTTGACTGCGCTCTTCAACTCTTCAACCCCGGCATGACGTATTCATCAACATAAGCATGGCGCCATGAGTTCGCGGAACCAAGAACAAGAAGCGTCACATCGCAACAGCACACCCCTCACCCCAAACTCGTCCTTGAGCCCAGAACCCTTCGCCGATGACTTGCGACTATTCAATCGCTCCCCCCACCCATACCACAGAAGCCAGCGACTTGGCTCTCAAACCCCCTCCGAGCATGGGGACGGACTTCAACCGCTCTCTTCCCACACAAGGTCCTCGCGGACGACCAGCGACAGCGGCACGGAGGCGGACGACGAAAGCACTGGTATTCTAAGGGGTCTACCCGCACCGCCCCTCCGCCCCAGAAAGGGTCTTCGCTCGGGGGATGGTGCCGTAGATGTCGATCTTTGGCTGCCTAGCTTGCAGCCATGGCCTGCATTCGTGCGACCGGCTTTGCGGTCATCACGGCGAAGCTCAGAGGAAGAATTGGAAGAAGAGGCTTTTCAAGAACGGCGAAGGTCAAGGCGGGAAAGACGGGTGGAAGTCCTACGCCGATTGATGGAAGCCGCACTTCTGTTGTCTGTTGGTGGTGTGGTCCTGTACCAAGAGCAGGCGCGGCATCTAGCCTGGGAATGGCGAAAAGGTTCGTTGGATACTCTACAGCATGACAAGAGGGTGTATACTGATTGATTCACAGAGCTTGTCTTTCACGGCCTGGTGGTTCTGAGTCTTTGTGCCAGCTATCCACTGGTTGTTCGAGCATCTCAAGGTCGGAGCTGGCGCATATGGCGCATATGGTCTTCAAAGCGGAGCTACTTTTCTCTGCCTTCTAGCTTCGACCCGGCGCCTCTCTTTTATCCGATCTGTATTCCCATCTTCGTTTCTTTGTCGCTGTCCAACCACACCCCGCCTCTTTTAATGCCCAATATCATTCTCAGCCTCTCATCTTTGCCTGCAGCCGCTGTGCCGCTACAAAGCTGGATTCATGGGTTCAGCGCAGTTCATTGGATGGTATCCATGATTCCCATCCTTGCCGCTGAACATTACTCCATGGACAACACTTGGCCAAAGCCATTGTCACTTCGCGGATTCGACGCGGAAACCCTAATACTTCTTTTCCCTTTGCATCAAGCGTTGATACCCACTTTAGAGTTTTTGTTGACAACTAGCCTTCTTCCTGCCGAGCTGCAGCTTTTGACGACTGCTTTGATCAACTTGTACTTGTTTGCGGCCTCTCCACAAGCAGAGATCCTCAAGGCTCTGCTATGGCTTGGTGGCATGTGTTTATTTGCTTCCTGTCGGCATGTCCTGCGGTGGGAAGTTGCCTTGGCACGAATTCCGAACTGGAAGTTCCGTCGTGCGCCAAACAGTGCGCAATCTGCGCGCAAATTCATTAATATGATGGACCACCGACTCTGCGAGAAGCTGAGCAGAACCGGACCTCTCAACTCCGATGATGCTTCTTCCGACAGTGATGGGCCGAATGGTTCCATTTTTCCAAAACTGCGTACCTCGAAGACCATGCGTGAGGACCGCTCCTCCGATACCATAGCAAAGCCTGCCGTTGTGACGAAAAAGGTCTCCACAGAGGATGAGGCATTCGAAAAGCAGGCTCGCAGTCGGCGACGACATACCATCTCCACATTCGATGAGGCCGTTCGAGAAGAACGGGTCCGCACTACCCCGGGTGGCCGTCGCAAAAAGCTCATGGCGCCTGGCCTTACCTCGTTCCTGTCGCTTACTTCGGCTCAAGCGCAGGTCCGCAAGTGGCTCTACGCATTCTACGTGTACTTGGCGGCATTTCTCATCATCGTGGGTCCCATTCGCACATACGTAGCTGAGCGCGCCTTGCAAGGCCAGGATCCCTTTGGTTGGGCGATAGGTTACTTATTCGGGAACTTTTCAAACGTGCGCTTCTGGATCTTGATGTTGGACCTCGACCGTTGGATCGAACTCCCGCCTCGTCCAGACCCCGACATTTTGGGTGCCTCCTGCTTCTTCGGTTCAATTGAACACATACGACAGGCTACCTTTGGGCCAGCCATAACTCGCTTATTACTGAGCGGTTACTGCGCTGTAGTCCTCCTCACAGGGCTGGCTATTGTTGTCAAGCTCAGTACCATCGCCGAGGTTGATACGCGTCGCAAGATCTTCCACGGCATGATGGTGGTGATGTTCCTTCCTGCCATTTTTGTGGACCCAGCCTTCTGCGCCTTGGCTCTGGCTCTGGCTCTCTCTATTTTCTTGCTGCTGGATCTCTTCCGTGCGTCGCAGCTACCTCCGATCTCACGCCCCCTTACCTACTTCCTGGCGCCCTACGTCGATGGCCGTGACCATCGCGGCCCAGTCATCATCTCACACATCTTTTTGTTAATTGGATGCTCGATACCGCTTTGGCTGTCACTCTCTGACCTTCCCCGAGCCGGTCTAGGTCCCTGGGCAGGCTGGGAGGTACCATCACGAGACGTCAGCATGGCAAGCGGTGTGATTTGCGTTGGCATGGGCGACGCGGCCGCCTCTCTCGTTGGCCGACGGTATGGCCGATTGAAATGGTTCTGGGGCGGCGGAAAGTCGCTGGAAGGCAGCGTTGCCTTTGTCGCCGCCGTCACCTGCGGGCTGATCGCGGTTCGTGCCTGGTTGGTCCTCGGGGGATGGCCGGTCTCCGGGGTCGAATCAGCCGATGGGGCAGAATTCTCCGCACAATTCTGGGCCTGGACTTTGGTCAAGGCTGTTCTGGCGGCGGCCGGCACGAGCGCCACCGAAGCGATCCTCACTGGCTGTAATGACAATGTCGTGGTTCCGGTGGTGTTGTGGCTGCTGGTGCGGGGGCTTGGCGTTTGATACGTATGTTGATGTGTATAGATACGATTTGTTTGCTGTTATTTTCTCGTTTGCTCGGAGGCGCATACCAACCATGCTAGCTTTGCTGCATTTGTACAGCTGAGGGGGTTACATAGGTTCTATAGTGGTGATTTTGTACATATGGAGCTTCACTAGAGAAAATCTGAATATCTGAATCGCTGCCTATAATGGGGTAGTGCTATTGCCAATCAGCCTATTCTCCGTGCCATGACCCCCCAATTTAGACATCGCGTTAAGAGGGGACTTCATAGGCTGCAGATAAGCTTCATATTCCATCACATGAGATCTGCGGTGTAAACCGTTGGGGAAGTTCGAGATGAGTGTGTTTTGGATGTTTGAAGGAGTACCTTTGCTAGAATGATATTACCTGGAGGTTCGAGTACGGAGTTATAGTTTTAGTAACCCCATATATCCCCAAATCTCCAGTTGCCCCGGTTCCCCAAGTTCCTCATAGATCACATCTTGCCGATCTCGGCCTTATCTAATCGATAACCCTTTTGGGAGCTTTGGGCTATCAAGGTACGAAGTACTCCGTAGATCAACTTGATACCCTATTCTTCCCTATTCTTCCCTTAATCTTTGATCTTCTTATATTCTTAATATCCCCCCATATTTCCCCATATTCCCTCCTCCCGACATCTCTACATCTGTACATCTGTACATCTATACATCTTATCGGAAGCGTTGCTCCCCAGATCATCCCACTCCGCCCTCCTGACCGCCTCACTCATCGTCACTCGTTATCGTTGGGTCACACCCCCAGGTATTCTTGGGTCTCCCGCATCACATCATCTCGCTCTTCCATTATACCTTTCATCTCACGCCATTCTGCGATACCCTTCTCCTATTCGCCACCCTATACACTCGACTCTGCACTCTGCATCTATCCCACCCTTGACGAGTTCACACTGTTCCACGGCTTGCCGTACCTTCCTACTGTTCTGCCGGTTGCCCCGTCGTTCCAGACTTCCCGCTCTACAGCGTCATCGGTCCTCTACCCTGATGGGCCTCTCGCGTTGGACATTATTGCTGAGGTAGTCGTGGTTGGGGACTCTGATATCCAAAGATATTAGGAAACCCAACGGGGCTCTCAAACTGGCACAGGCTTATCGCCATGGCGTCACAACATTCGAGGAGATCACGCGAATCCCGCCCCGAGATGTCCATCGGTCGCTACACGCGACTTGATGAGATAGGGCGAGGTAGCTTTGCAACGGTCTACCAAGGTGTGCACACAGTGAGTTGCATTCCCCACCTCCCAATAGCTGTGGCGAACCCCCACAATGATAAGATGGAATGCTGATCTTTATCGCACAGAAATCGAGAACCTTTGTAGCAATCAAGTCCGTGAACCTGTCGAAGCTCAACAAGAAACTGAAAGACAACCTTTCATCCGAGATTGACATTTTGAAAGGTCTTCACCATCCGCATATCGTTGCGTTGATTGACTGTCATGAGTCCACATCTCACATTCATCTGGTCATGGAGTACTGTGCGCTCGGGGACCTGTCGCTTTTCATCAAGCGTCGAGACACTCTTGGGTCCCATCGATATACCAAGGATATGATCTCTAAATATCCCAATCACCCTGGCGGCTCGCTGAATGAGGTGGTGACGCGGCATTTCCTCAAGCAGCTGTCGAGTGCATTGAAATTCCTTCGGGACCGAAACCTCATTCACCGGGACATCAAGCCCCAAAACCTCTTATTGTGTCCATCGCCCTCCTCATATCGGACTGGAGCAGCCCAAGTGGTTCCATTCAAAGGTAGTCAAGACTCTTTTGAACCCACCACGGGTCTTGAATCTCTTCCAATGCTCAAAATTGCGGATTTTGGCTTTGCTCGGTCTCTACCAGCAACTTCATTAGCAGAGACTCTCTGCGGATCCCCGCTGTATATGGCACCTGAAATTCTCCGTTATGAGAAGTATGATGCCAAGGCCGATTTGTGGTCGGTAGGCACCGTCCTATATGAGATGGTGGTGGGCAGACCTCCATTTAGAGCCTCAAATCATGTCGAGTTACTGCGGAAAATCGAAAAGGGAGAGGATCGAATCCGATTCCCCGAAGAGAACCCAGCCTCGGATGATATCAAGAGGCTGATCCGCGGTCTTTTAAAGCGGAACCCAGTGGAGCGACTGAACTTCCCTGATTTCTTTAGCAGCAATGTAATCAATGACCCCATTCCTGGGCTGGTGGCTGATGATGCTCCGGGGGCCTCCCAATCGCCGCGACCCGCTCAGCTGGAAGGAAGAACCGAAGCATCACCTTATGACACTGAGTCCGACGAGAGAGCACCTTATCCTCCCAGTCATCGGACATCCATAACGCGTCGGACGTCGGGAACCCCACCAACTGCATCACCCCTGCGTCGGACAGGCAGCACTGACCGACCTGCCTTAGGTGTTCCTAGGGAGCAGCAACGTGGGGGGACACCACCCACAAGGCCCGCTCCTGTTAGCCTCGTCACGGCACCAGGACGCCAGGAACTCATTGACCGTAACGCAACGACGACAGCAATGGAAAGACAGAGAAGTCGCGCCACGTTCACTGGCTCTCCCAAAACTGATGACTCGGGTGTTCGCACCCGCGAGGAGCAGGATCGCGCTGCTCAGGAAGTAGCATTCGAAAGAGATTATGTTGTGGTGGAGAAGCGGGCTGTCGAAGTGAATGCTTTCGCGGATGAGCTCGCTCATAGCCCACGGTTCCAGGGCGGCCTTACACGGCCAGGGCAAACTGCTGCTGGGTCTCGTCGTGCAACGACACAAGGTATCCCCACGGTCTCCCCCTCCTCTCCCAACGCGAACACCAGCAAGGCCATACAAGTCATTCCAGGTCGTTCGCGGGCAGATTCCACAACCCACCAGCGGCAACATTCGTACGAGCGACGCTATGGACAAAGTCCCACATCAGCGACGTCGGCAATCTCTAAAGCTCTCAACAAGGCTAGTGGTCGTCTATTCAAAATGGGCTTCTCTCCTCCGCTGGCCATCACTAAAGGCGGACGCTCTCCACCCTTAGCTTACAATCCCTTCCCCGCATATCCTCCCGCGCAAGCCAGTCTTCTAATCACAGGAGATGGCGCCAAGACAAACGTGGCCGTGGATGAAGATTGCAAAGCGGTCCAGGCCATCGAAGAATGTGCTACGCGCAGTGACGTTGTCTTTGGCTTTGCTGAGGTCAAATACAAGCAGCTTGTTCCTCTCGCCCCCTCGGCGCCGACTGATCCATCTGCCAGACCCATCGACACCGCTGGTAATGCAGACTCTGACGATGGATTGACGGTAGATGCCATTGTCACGTTATCCGAAGAGGCATTGGTCCTGTACGTCAAGGCATTGTCATTGCTTGCAAAATCAATGGATATCGCTGGGGCATGGTGGTCGCGCAAAAACAGAGAAGAAGTATATGGCGAGTCGCCAGGCAAAGACGGCATGAGTGCTGCTGCCGGTACCCGGATCAACTACGTTGTGCAATGGGTGCGCAACCGGTTCAATGAGGTCATTGAGAAGGCGGAATTCGTGCGCCTCAAGCTCGTTGAGAACCAAAAGCGACTGCCCCCTGACCACCCGAGCCACCCAGACAACCATTCCATCGGCCCCACCGCTGGCTCAACCTCGTCGGCCGACGTAGTCGTTAGTCCTGGCGTTACAGCTGAACGGCTGATGTATGACCGCGCACTTGAGATGAGCCGAGCTGCTGCCATCAACGAACTGACCGGTGAGGATCTCGCCAACTGTGAGATCACATACGTCACTGCAATCCTTATGCTCGAAGCCGTGCTCGAGGACGATGGAACTCGATCAACGCCGAGTGGCAGTGAGCGCCAGAGCAGCTCGCAGCCAAGCGACAAGATCGTCCTGGATGATCTTCAAGTTGAGGATCGCCAGGTCGTCGTCAAACGTGAGTCTCATCCCAACTTAACCGAATCAGCCAATCAATACTTACTGGACGATGTAGTCGTATCAAGCATGCGCGGTCGTCTGGCTTCTGTTCGCAAGAAGTTGTCTGTTCTCTCGAAGCGTTCGTCTGCGCCGACTCCTGTGGGCAGCGCGGGCAAGATTCCCTCATCCACCATCTCTCCTATCTCAAATACTTCGGGTATCACACCTCCACGATGAGTTTTTTGCCACTCAATTAACCCTTACCCGCAACACTCTCATCTCTCTCTTCACTCTCTCCAATTATATGACGTTGTCAAAGCCCTGCATGCAACGCATAGTTTGAAACACGACACTTCATTCTTCCTCCCCTTCTATATCAGCTAGCCTGAGGCCGGCTCTCATCCCTCCAATTTTCCCTATTCACATCTCTTTGGAGATCCTAATTTCTTCGTTCATATTTGTCTGTTCATCTATCTTCCGCTACGCTCGCCATATATCCCATCGCACGATGCCAGGGGAGTTCCGTTTTTTTTTCTCTTTTTTGCTCTCTTCTTATTCACTGACGACAATTGATGCCATGCCATGTCATGCCTCACTCAATGCTTTTTTTGTCTTTTTGGTTTTTGCCTTCCTATGTTCTTCTTTTCGTCTTTTATTGGTCTTGGATTTTTGGCGTTTGACCTGGGGATTACGGTATACAGATTGGCACTGAGGCTTTCGACGATGCACGAGGTCACGGCGTTCAGGTCGGTGAAGATTTAGGTATGCAAATACTGCCAGAGATGTATTGTATATATAGAAACTGAGAAAGTTCAATTCATCTACGGAGTACGGAGTAAGTCAACCCATAAAATGCATCAATGCCAAGCATCGTGCATATCAAAAATGCGGTGGGGCCAAAGTCATGAACCCTAAGGATGGCGTGATCGGCCATGTGTCAGGGTTCATTTTAATTTTGGCCTCTTTTGCTTGGCCTTTCCTGGGCATTTCGGTTACTCCGTGCAGATTCATCTCACATTTACTTGTTTCGTGTGTTGGACCGCCTGGGCAGACCGAGACACCCGACAACACCACTTGGCCCTAAGTCCGGACCTCAGATGACTTGTTTCTTGCTTTTTATTCGTATGGCGCCATGAGCAGAACCTTGGAAAGGCCAGCATCAGTCGTGCAGTCTTTTTCACATCAATGCACCAATCTTGGAATAGAGCTACGGAGTATTTGATAGTGCGACACGCAGCCAAGGCTTCTGGAATCCTTTCCAGTGGACCCAAGCAAAAATGAAAAAACCCTCTTTGAATCTTTGAATTTCTCCCAGCTTTAATTTCAGCCCCAGGGTAACATCCAGGGTTGCCTAGCTGCAAAGACCTATGGCATCAGATTTAGTGCCAGCACCTCATATTTGCCCCCGTCGTTAACCGCTCTTTATTTACATTGACGCTCTCGCTAAATTCAGGGTCCTGTCAAGTACTCCGTACAACAAACCGTCGATCAGTCTGGGGTGCGAAACATCATGGCTTCATCGACTGATCATATCCGGGACAAGTCGCCCAATAAATCGCCGGTGCTCGACACCAGGCCGGCTGGTAATGATGGGCTACGTCGTGCAGATGGTATATCGGGACTTTGTACGTTGACCCACGATGATGGCGAATGACATCTTTGACTGACCGTTTAGATGAGGGTAATGTCTTCGACGCTTCGCCCGACAACCGTCGCCAGATTGGCATTTTCAGTGCCTCGTTTCTGATTCTGAATCGAGTGATCGGTACCGGTATCTTTGCGACACCTAGTACCATTCTGGAATTGTCGGGCAGTGTTGGTCTCTCGTTGTTCATGTGGGTGATCGGCACTGTCATCGCACTGGCTGGAACGGCCGTGTATATGGAATGGGGAACTGCGATTCCAAGGTACGTGATGTGACGATTGGCAGGATTGAGTGATTATCAAACTAAGCCGATCCTGTAGAAACGGAGGTGAAAAAAATTACCTCGAATATGTCTACAAGAAGCCCAAGTTTCTTGCGACAGCCATGTTCGCGGCCTATGTCATCTTGCTCGGATGGGCTGCCAGCAACAGCGTTGTTTTCGGCCAATATATCCTCAACGCAGCCGAAGTTGAAGTCGGGAGGTGGAACCAGCGTGGTGTCGGACTAGCTTGTCTGACTGCTGCTTTTCTCATCCATTCCGTGGCCTTGAAATGGGGTCTTCGCCTTCAGAATTTGCTGGGTGTTATCAAGCTGATTATCATTGTGATCATTGTCGTGTCCGGTTGGGTTGCACTCGGCGGCCATACAAAAGCCCCAAGACCAGACAACTTCACCAATGCCTTTGAAGGGACCCAGGGCAGTGGTTACAGTATTGTTATGGCTCTATACAACGTCATCTGGTCTTTCATTGGCTATTCGAATGCGAACTATGTATGAACATCATTGTTGATCCTTGGGCCAGACGCGGTGACCATGCTAACTGGATGCATAGGCCTTGAGCGAGACTCGGAATCCAGCCCGAACATTGAAGATTGCAGCCCCCGTGGCGATCTGCTCAGTCGGTGTTTTATACATGCTCGTCAATATCGCCTACTTCGCTGCTGTTTCCAAGGAAGAAATGCTCAGCTCCGGTAGCATTGTGGCTGCTGTCTTCTTCCGTAACATGGCAGGAAAGCAGGCCGAGAAAGTGATGTCCGTCTTCGTGGCTCTCTCTGCATTTGGCAATGTGATGTCCGTCATATTCTCCCAAGGCCGAAGTACGTATGCCCGTTCCAAAGCTATCATTTCATACTAATCAGATGCCGTAATTTCCAGTCGTCCAAGAACTGGGCCGTGAAGGTGTCTTGCCCTTCTCCAAGGTCTGGGCAAGCAACTGGCCCTTCCGCTCGCCAGCTGCAGGTCTGCTCGAGCACTACATCGTGTCAGCTGTGATCATGCTTGCGCCGCCCCCAGGCGATGCATACAATTTCTTAGTGAAGTAAAGGTTCCTCCAGTCAATCTTCAATTTCCCAGCTGACCAAAATCCACAGCCTGATTTCCTACCCTCTTGCGATCGTCAACGTCTTCGTATCCGCCGGTCTTCTCTATGTTAATCTCACCAAGCACAAGAACTTCCCAGACTGGGCACCTGGAGTCCGCGCGACTATACCCGTGACAGCCTTCTTCATGCTCTCCAACATCTACCTTGCCATTGCCCCGTACGTGCCCCCAAGCGCGGGCCAAAACGTGTACGACGAGCTTCCATACTACCTGCACTGTGTGGTTGCGCTGGGTCTCTTTGCGGCAGGAGGAATCTACTACATTGTGTGGGCAGTCTTGATGCCCCGGTTCGGTAGATATGTGCTTGTCAAGGAGACTGTTGTGGACGCCGATGGGTGGTCTCGCAGTGTCTTCACAAAGCTGCCACAGGAGCAGGCGCATCAGCATTAATAAACCAGACAAGGTTCGGGGGAAAAGAGGCATATTGCTTAATTTGTGGAGTTTCAGATTGATCTCGAAGTAGCTGCCATAGTAACTAATTAACTATACTCATTCACTCTTGGCCTCAATAAGAAATGATTGACATCTTATCACCATTTGACCATTTGACTTGTCATAAATACTAGATAGTACTATATCATTGCTATACATGTCTTGCTCTCAAGACCTTCAGAGTATAAACATTAAAACATACCAAATGTTCACATGCAAACCTTGGACACCAACACACCTAGGCAGTTCTCCCATATACAAATCCTCCAAGGCCGCAACAACGCCATAATCACAAAATAAATCACAAAACCAGAGCTCATCATACATAAACGTGAAAAACATGAAAAACATAAAGAGTATATACCTTTGACCAAAATCCATAGATCATGGATCATAAAAACCAACCAGACCTAAGAAACAGGCCGATGACACTGCGAACAAATCAAATTCTGCTTCCCATCCCTCCCCTTGACGCTGCGGAAGTTCGTACCGCGACACTTGTCACATTTCAGCACATCATCTCACATTTCAGCACATCATCTTCCGGCTCACCCACCGACGAGTAATCACTGCTCAAGACACTGCCCGCGGTACTCATCTTTCGTTCCCGCGAGGTGATACTATCCGGACTAAGCAAGTCATTCGACTTTCGCGAGCGCATCGCGAGAGCATCGTGCGTAATCTTGTTCCAGTACGCATAACTGCGATCACCTTGCAGCCAGAGAGGGTTGTCTTTCGCTTTGCCGCTAATCAAGAGCTCGGCTGAAGTTGAAGGGACTTCGTTCGAAGCCGGAACCTTGGTGTTCTGCGAGGTATCTATGCTTGGACGATTCTGATTCTCCACGCGGGATCTGCGCGGCGAAGCAGGCGGAGATGTCGTTAGTGCAGAGAGGGACTCTTGTGGGGCTAGGCTTGACGGGCGGGATAGTCGGAAGGTGGCGTTGCGGTGTTGAGGGGAGGGGCTGCGGGTTCGGAGGCCCGTACGGGATCCGTCGGTGGATGAGCGGCCGCGGACGACGGAATTGCGCCATGAAATGATGCGTTCCGAGGGTGTCTTGTGGGAGTCTTTGCCTACTGAAGAGGCGAGGCTGTGGCGGCCGGAGTTTGTGCGGCGGAGGATTCGGCGCGAAATGCTGGAGTTGGCGTTCCAGTTCTCGTAGCGGCGCCGATGGTAGGCGCAGTCTTGTCGGAGGACTTTGATTCGGCCGGAGTAGTCGGCTATCACAATGATATTGCCATCTGGGTGTTTCGAGCGGGAGAGGTAGGCGGGAGACTCGTGGGCCATCTTGCTGATAATTGATAGACGGGGCGCTGACGCCGAGCGCTTGTGCGTGTTTCCGTTACCTTTGGACGAGGCTGCTTCCTTTGGTGGCTCTCCTGACTCTGGGCCGAGGAGGGCGACTGGGGGTGGATTGCAGATGTCGAAGATGGGGTCTTCGGATAATGCCAGCGCTTGTTTGGTTTGCGTGGGTGCCGTGATCGCGGCTGTCACTATGGCAGATTGAGTCTCGAATACTTCCACGGATCGTTTTTCAGAGTCTCCCTCAACTGCCCCTATGGGCCACACATAGGCCCTGCGGTCCTCACTGCCACATATGATGTGTCTGCCATCATCGGTGAAAGTCGCTCTGATCTGACTGCAGGTGTTCTCGTTGCCACGAAACTTGGCTTCGAGTGATCGGTCCTGGAAGTTATACATCCGGATTCGGGAGTCATTGCTGGTGACCAATACTTTGATATCGCCTTGGGGGTCGTTTGAAGGTACCGACATTGTGTCAATTCCGGTGATTTTACTGCCCTTCGCATTGCGGCCCCTGGCTGATCGTACATGGATTTGAGATGATACCTTCAAACCCTCGGTATCGTAGATGGTGAGCATGCCGTTGAGACACCCAGCAATAGAGTATCGGCCATCTGGGGTGAAAGCCACTGCAGTGACCATGTCAGGCACAGCAGTGACGAAAGCCACGCTTTTATCAGGGATACTCCACAAACGCAGTTTTGTGTCAAGAGACCCAGCAAGGAAGAACCTGTCGTCACGCGGGTGGAACTGAATCGAGGTCACGAAGTCGCTGTGCTGGAAACAACAGAGACACTCCGAGCGAGAGATGTGCCAAAGTCGGACTGTTTTGTCCATCGACGAGGAGAGAAGAAAGTTATTCTGAATTACAGTTAGCAAGACTTTTCCTCTCCAATGCTATCCTTTTGCGCATACTTTACTCCAACTCAAGTCCAATATGCTCCCTGTGTGTCCCTCGTATACCCGAATAGGGTCTTTTTTGAAAACAGGAGCATTCAATTGGGGAATGTCTTGCGCATCTACGGGGGTTGCCTCATCATCTGCAAGATAATCTTCGCGTTCCTCTGGTGTCGATATGACTGACCAGACTCGGACCTTCCGGTCTTGACCTGCGGCTGCCAAATACTTGCCGTCTTTGGAGAATACAAGAGCCCAGACAGCCTTTCCGGTATTATCGCCATTGGGCGCCAGGGCAGATGATGTGGATATCCGTCTATCTGCGACTTTCTGCGGCGGAACACCCTCCAGTTCCTGTGCGAGGAACACACGATTGAAAGTCTTCTCTTTCTTATGATGAGCTCGCACCTTCAGGTATTTCGATGGAGCAGGATGTCGAGGGATGAAGCCGATCGGATGAGAAGTGTCGACAGACATGCGGTTCGCCTCAGGTTCCGATACCTCATCCTCCGTCTCCGAGGCTTGGTCCTTCTTCTTGTTTCCAATGATTCGACTGAGGAAAGATACACCTTTTCTATAGCGGGGTTGAACGCAGTGAGTGTCAGTTGCTGTAAAATCTGGCTGCCGAACGATTCCTGGTGGTTCTAAAGCGGACCATGCGGGGAGGCGCAACGGAAGGTATCGCTGACGTCCAGCAAGGCACACACGGTCGTCGCTGAATCCAGAACATGGCAAAATTTTGAAAACTCACTTCTTCTCTTTGGGGGCCTTTGAGATAGACGATGAATCACCGGTGCTCTTCTCGGGCTGGCTGTATTCCGAACCCACGGCCTCTGCCTCGTATGATGCTTTCCCCCATAATTTCAAAGGAATAGATTTCTGGGTATTGGTGCGTTGGATAATGTGCTACAATGACAGTAGGGCACGGTCCTCGTCAGCTCCAGCTCTTGCAGCGTATCCAGCGAGCGATTGCAGCAAACACATGACTCGGTCTCAACCCCGTCCACGGCTGCGGCTGGAGATTCTCACCTGCGACAACGGGTCAATAGCACTTGATTCGGTCTTGGTCCCCTGGAGAGTATTCGACGTGGATTCTCGTATAGGTGCCCCCGTGGCCGGTGGGCGCCGAGTGTTCCGCTGGGTATCTTGTAAACTATTACTCGAGCCCGATGCGACATCCGATGTGGCCGAACCTGGTAACCCGGTCAGCATATTTCTTGGTTGGTATGCCCTTGGGGATTGTTTCCCCCTTCTCGCGCAGCTTCTGATAGGCGGCCAATGCTACAGGGACAGCGAAAAATTCTTGGGCCGTATCGAAATCACAGGATTCATATGCACGTACCGGGGAATGTCGCCGCGCGCGGGGACTCTATCGCGTTTGCGACTTGGAGATTGTTTCCCTCCGCCATGTCGCGTTCAGTGTCATGATATAAAGACAAGAGGGAAAAAGAGGGTATCTACGTCGCGAAGGAAGAGAGCGGCAAAGACCGGATAGCGGGCAGATGACATCAAATGGGGGCGAGTGGAGCAGACCCTACTTCCGTTTTTTTGCTATGAAACATCCCTCTTCTAGTGCTTGGCGAGCTTATGTGGGCTTATTCGGCTTGATATATATTGCATTTGGTCTTGATTCATGGTGCTTCTACTATTTTACTAATGATGATACAATTAAATGCGCGACTGCAGCTTTCTCGCGCGGTCTTTGGCAATGTCACACATGCCCTAACAGAGTCAGCACTATGAAGCGTCTAAAACAACATCGGACTCGGACTTTACCTGGATCGTCTCTGTAATCTCACGCGCCTCATCGCCACGTTCGATACGTTGGCGCATTTCCACCATGATCAAGTCACGACTCCGGCCGTTGACAAACGTACTATCAAGGTCAGTATTCGTATTCGGATAACGTCGCATACCACATACACAAAGCGCAAGCCAGGGAATCTCTGCTCGTATTCCACATTCAATGCGCTTAATTTTTCCGCCTGTTCCTCTGCACCGGTGTTTAATTGGGCCTGTTCCTTCTTGCTCAGCTCGCTCAAATGCTCCGGATTGGCTGGGGCCCGGCCAAGCCGCGGGTGCGAGCCAAGAATGCCAAAAAGCACGTTTCGGTCTGTCGGGGAATTTGGGGCGGAGAGTGCAGACATGCGACCCCCTACCGCGTCGATGAGCGCCGTGTAGGAAGGGAAGGTCTGGGCCAGTACGGGGATCATCAACTGGTGGAGCTCTGGTGATGGCTCAAATAGCGTATCGAGTACCCGAAGTTGGGCTTCCCGAGGTAGCGAAGGGATCGTCGATAGTGAAGGAAGGTCGGCCATGTCGTCGTCAGCCGTCAATTCGTCAGTTCGTGAGTTTCACGAAACCCCGAAGGGAATCCATGACATTAAGTAGTTTGTCCCACCATCGGGGGACTCCGATGCGGTTGGCGGGGGCGGAGAGCGGCGGGACGATAGGAGAAGTATATAACGTCTTGAGTTTGCATAAAACTCAAGTATACAGCAGAAACCTTCCAGAGTTGGTATACCACTTGACCACTACCCTCTGCTATACAGCTAAGTCTACTCCGTACCAGTCTACTCCATTGAGCTCTATCAATTCCAAGGTTTCAAGGTTCCTGCATCAAATTCCTTCAAGTACTTTGGAATAGGTTACATCAAATACAACAATTATCCTTGAATTTCTCCAGATCTATACAATTCCAATGAGATCATGCATTCCAGACGGTGTGCAACATTGTCCGTACTCGTACAGCCAACAGCCAACAGGATACAATGCTATAAAGAGGACCGATTCCGAGCTCCGCGTTTCAGAATGACAAGTTAAATTGGGATAACCGCAAAGGTGGAGCGATCCCGAACGAATGAAACCCACTGACCCCCTGAAAGAGGTTCGTGGCTCCAGCTGCAGCGAAATAATTGAACTGCATGGAAGAAAAAGAAAAAAGAAAAAAGAAAAAAATCGGAGTTCCCTTCGCGATCTTTGAGATCCGATCCAAACTTTAGTTGGCCTAACCGCTCTCCACTCGGCCAGGCGTCTTTTCCCTCCTTTCTCTCCTCCCCCCCTCAACCACTTCGGCTGTGTGCCTGCGGTTGTCCTCCATGCCGCTCTCATCATGTCTTTGAATGGGCTCGATACTGGCCCCGTCGTCGAAGCCTACCAGGGTGCCCTGGCCGACGCGGGTGGGTGGTAAGTGCTTGGCCCCTTTTGCGCCCAGTGTTTCAACACGACATGATAGATAGAAAATAGATCTCTGACATGACTTCTCTGTTTCAGGTTACTACTGCACTATATTGCAAGAGATGAAGTCACCCTCTTCGCACGAGGCACCGGTGGGGTGCCAGAAATTCGAAATGCCATTGAGGGATATGAGGAATGTTCCCCCTCTACGGCTTCCTCCAATATCGGCGCCGGAAAGTGATCATTCGTTACATGCCTGAGGGGCTATCTCGCCTCATACTAGGTACGTCGTCCCGGACTATCCCACGGCATGGGTCTAATGTGTCACAGCTCGGAGCAATGTTCAATTCCATTCCGTTACCGATAAGTTCACGCCAAACGACACCGTGCTCCCTCTATCCAAAGCCTCCGATCTCACCGAAAGTGCCTTGTCATCAGCGTGTCTTCTTCACACGGCCTCTACCTCGATTACCTCCTCTTCGAGCTCCCTCCGCCGCCGCCGATTGATGGAAATCACGGAAGATGCAGAGGAAAATGGCACAAAAGAGGAGACCACCAAACCCGCGCCACCACCTCCCCAACCAGAGGCCCGTGAAAGATCAGAGAGCATCAGATCGGAAGCTACCCTAGTGCCGCCAAGTGAACCTCCAGTTGAACCTCGGGTTGAACCTCGGGTTGAACTACCCCCGACATCACCAGAAAGCGAACAAGCGTCAATTGACTTCCAGCCACCCCCATCACGGGCTAGCTCCAGGGCTGCGACCTCCCCAGTGAGTCCCAGTGAATCGCAGCCGGCCGCAATGTCCCCCAAGTCCATGGATTCAAGTCGTTCAAGCTCGAGATCCAGGTACCGAAACATCTTGGATGAATTTCCGCGTCCTTCAGAGGAGGCCCGGATGTCAACACAGTCTGCCCGCCCGACCATTCAAGAATTGGAACGGGCCGCTGGCTTCACCCCAAAGGTCAAGCTAGGGCCTCGGCCATCCGTAGATAGCAGTGGAAGGCCTCGCACATCTGGCAGTACTCGGAATCAGGATCAGCGACCTGTCGCGTCTCTGCCAACCAACATGCGCTCTTCCTCCGTTCGGAGGTCAAATGGCGATGTCCCCCGGCCACGGTCTCAGGGGAGTACATTTGCAACTAAACCTACTAGTCGTGTTCCGCCGGTTCCACCCCTCCTGGTCCCACCGCCGTCTATCCCTATTTCCAGGCCCCAGCTTTCCCCTGGAGCTAAGTCATTAGGGGCGCTGTCATCTTCTTCGGGCCTAACTCCCGAAAAAGAACGTTTGATGAAAGCTTTACAACAGCGAAAGAAGAATATGGCCAAGCGCGCGGAAGAAACAAAGAAGAAGCAGGCTTCCGAGAAAGAGCAGTCCAAGCCCCAAACGCTTGTTTCCAAGGATGAAGAGGAAAATAAGGAAAATATCATTATTCAGTACGCGGAACCTGAATTAGAGATACCCAAACCAGAGACAGTTCTGCAAGATCAACCTGAGGTTCCCTCCATACCTTTAGGCTCCGTCGCCGAACCTGTTCCTGAGCCACTCGGCGAGCCTGCCCCTGAACCAGCCCCAAAGCCTATTTTGGAGGCTGCTCCTGTGGCTGTTGTTGAGCCAGCTACCGATCCCATTGTTGAACGGGCCTCTACACCTGCCCTCGAATCACCATCTGAGCCTGTCTCAAACACTGAACAGGAGCAGACTGCGCAGTCTCTCGAAACACCTCAGCCAGAGCCGACCGATGACGTTTCTCCTGCCAGCACCGAGGTTCCGCCCTCGCCACCCTCCTCGAATCCCACTTTCGACACCCCCTCCCTGGTCGAAGGTGTCAATGAGCCCTCAGAGACCGTCCAGGTGGAGGAAACGCAGGAGGCCCCTGAAGATGAAACGCGCACAGAACACGAGGAACCCGCAATTCCTGACCTTGCCCCACCCACCTTGAATGATGATGTTCCACTCGCAAATGAATCCTCGGACGCCCCGCAATCAGATTCAGACGACGTCCACGGAACACATTTCGAAATCCCACCTGTCACACCCGTGTCCACCGATGAGCCCTTGAATGAATCTGATTCAACTGAAGCCGTCGAGTCTGTGCCCCAACCTGCCACCCCCTCCGTGACCCCGCCAGAAAGCACAGGCACTGAAATCCAGGCTGCCCCTGTCTCCGCTCCGGTCTGCCCAAGCCCGTCAGAGGAATCGGCGCCTGAATACACATCTACCCCGAAGGGCGAGGCTTTGCCTTTGGACCAAAGACGCAAAGTTCATCTTGAGCCTATTCAAGTGCCTACTCCAGACTATTCCGACGACGACAATCTTCTTTCTGACGACTCATTCATGGAGGAATTGACCTCGGCCACTGTCCAAGAGGCTCGGCCGGTGTCTGTTAAGTCCCCCAACGGCGGCGATCAAACTTGGAAGAATTCTCGCGCGGTCTCAAGCCCCTATTCCATGGGGTCACCATCAGCCGCGCAAACGCTCGCAGTGGGTCGATCGGTATCTAGTCCCTACTCGGAAAATGGACCGCCTACACCAGTTCTAATGGCAAAGAAGATCAACGTCTCTTCTGGGATCTCCAGCCGTATCAAGGCTCTTGAAAAGTTTTCAAGCCGCGAGGGAACTCCCATGAGTGCCAGTCCCGCCCCGAGCGCCCCATCGGCTTCTTCCTCCTTCGAGAACCTGCGCAAACGCGCATCTATCTCTTTGCCCAGTGGCAGCGAGGATATCACCCCACCGGGGACCATGCATTCTGCCCACACCCCCGACAGCTTCAACCACCATGATCGCCGAGTTTCCGTTGACGCCATGCGTCGTGCCAACTCGGTTTCCGTCACTGCTCGGATTGTCCGTGATGCTGATCTCTCTCCCGGGTCATCTGGGCTCGAGCCCTCCGAGTCCGATGTTCTCAACCTCCAAGCTAGTCCCCTGACTGTAGAGCATGAGACTCCATCACCCCAGGCTTCCAATGCCGAGCTCGCCAGCCGGGCCCAAGACCGAAGCATGTCAATGTCATCCAACGGATCCGGTCGTCAAACAACTTCTCGCCCGGGAAGTCGTCTTTCCATCTCCTCGCGTCCTCCTACGGGAGAAACAATGAATTCCACTTCACCCACGTCCGAAGACAAGCGCGGGTCGCGCGCCTCCCGCCTCATGCGCCGGGTATCATCGATTACATCCACGTCTCGTCGCAGCATCATCGGCGCTCTCAGCTCACCAGTCAAGGAAGAGGAGTACGCTCCAACCTTCGCAAACGGCTCCACCGACGCAGCCGGTTCAACCGACTCGCGCACTTCGGAGCCTGTTGACATCGGCGAGGTGAATGTTCAGTTCCCCGAAACACTCCTTTGGAAGCGCCGGGTCATGCGCATTGACGAAAGTGGATACGTGGTGCTCACTCCGGGTACCAACGATGCCACTGCTCGAAACATGACCAAGCGCTACCATCTCACTGAATTCCGCACACCTTGTCTGCCCGACGAGGACATGCAAGAATTGCCGAACAGCATCTTGCTGGACTTTTTGGACGGAAATACGCTCCAGTGTGCTTGTGAATCTCGACAAGGCCAGGCCTCTGCTCTGCATGGTAAGTACTTTGAATGTCACAAATTGGCCGAGAAACATCTAGCTAACATTGGAATCCGCAGCTCTGATTGAAGCACACAGTGCCCACAAGAAATAAACATCGGTCAAGAACAGGAATTCTTGCTCCCAACATCTTTCACTTCCATTTTCACTCCCTTGGTTGGCTCTTCTGCCTTCTTTTCTTTTCTTTCCACTACACATTACACACCTCGCATCTTGCATAGCTTTTCTTGTCTCATCTGGACGGGAACAATCCCCGCCTCCCTCCTTCGGCACTTGTTTTCCTATATCTCTTCAACCTCCTCAAACTTCCTGTATCTTTATCTACTCCCTTGCGCGTATGTGCTGTGTGATATATGTGACATGTTCTTGGTATACCCCGAAAAACTTCACTTCTCTTTTTTCTCTTTGACAATACCAATTTACATCCGATCACTGTGTGTCAAATACACTTTTGGCCTTTTCTGTACACATCTCCGTATATTTTCTCGTCTCCGGGAGTGGGTGGGGCCTCGGCGCCGCTGGCGCTAAATAACTTTGTATCGCTTTGCTTCTTGATCGCTCCTTCCAAAATCAAATTGTCCTACCTCTCTCCCATCAATTGGCAAGATGGCCGAGTTGGTCTAAGGCGTCAGGTTAAGGTCCACCTTAACTCAATAACTGTTTCCAGTTTCCTGATCTACGTTTGTAGGCGTGGGTTCAAATCCCACTCTTGTCATTTCTTTTTTTTCGATCGGTGCAGCCATAGGTGGTGTTCTTTTTAAAGTGTTGAAATGACCCCGTGCAAATATTTAACGCTTCTCGAAATCCCGCCTATCCATGGATTTTGGTACCCAAATGTCTATGAACAAATGGACAGTCTCAAGGTCGATGAAAAGAACTAGACAATACCTCCCAAACTTTCAGCCTTGAAATGCTGTTATATATCCTCAATTCTGGGCCATGGAGGTTAACAGTGCTGAACAAGTAGACAGTTTGGCTGAATTTGGTCCATCTATTGTGTACAGCCCTGGAGCTACTTCCAGGGTTGGATTAAGATCCGTACCTTAGACACAGGAGCCTACATATACAGCTGATAATCTCAAGTATCATGCAAAACAACGTTGCACTCTGATTTTTCTGAATCAGCAGGGGTATTCCAAAGGTAGCAGAAAATAAGTGCTCAGGTAAATCGCCGGCAGAGCCGCAACCAGATGCGAGATCGCAGATGCTGTAAGAGCATCGCTTGTCAACTCGTCCAAGCCAACCATTCCATATCGCAAAACGCCAGTCCCCCATTTCTTTACACTCCCAACGCCTTTATTTCCCCCAAAACGAGAATGTTCGCCACAAGCCATTACTCTCCAAGGTTGTCTAGGATTCACACTCGAGAAGCAGAACTATGCAAGTAAGCCTGGGTCCGTATAGACTCCCCGTGTCAATTCGTAATTGCCGGATCAACTTTTCCAAATGTCCATGTAAGTCGTGAGTGTCCGTTGTAATCAACGTAAAATGAGTTCGTGAGAGTGAAATCAAGAGTCGCCATTTGCAAGATGCTCAAGATCGTCAAGCTCGTCATCTTCTTCATCTTGGTCTTGATCTTCTTCGTTGAATTCAAGATTGGGCTGCTCTGTTTCGGGGATGGACTTCGCTTCGTCCCCGGCGTCCTGGCTCGGGACAATGCCGTTTTCCTTAGGTCTGGCATAGAACTCGGGGAACGCGGTACGCATCGTCTGTACATGCTGGTCAAGGACATACTGCATGAGATTGCTGACAGGCAAAGCAGAATGCATGCGTTTCTCCTGCTCCATCAGCTCGATCTTCATTTGTGTCTCCCAGTCATGCTCGCCGGCGTGCTTTCCAATTAGCTGCCGACGCTCCTCTCCATCATCCATCGAAAACACAGTATTGCACCCGGGCATGCGACATGCCCATGGGCCAGATAAATCTAGCTGGGGCTCTTCAACAGCTTGTGAGATATCGAGTGTTGAATGTTGGTCAGGCTCCGGAGAGGAGAGCTTTTGGCGGGTGACCGAAGAGGACACGGAGGGGGTTTGGAGTCTATCTTTGAACAGACTCTTCATTAAAGAGGAGCCAGCGCCACTAGAGGCTGACAGGAATGAGCGTGCTCGAGGCTTTGTATCGGATAATGGGTCCCTGATCAAATCATGCCCTCGAACTTTGCTGGGCGTTTCAAAATCATCGATATCTTCCATCTCATCTGTATCCTCTTGCTCGTCCTGATCGTTAGATTCAGGTGCTGGCTGGTCATTTGAGGCGTTGCGATTTCTCTTCCCAGTGACTTTTCTAGAGACGGTGGTGACTTTGGGACGAAGTACCGATTTCTGAGTCCGACCAAACCGTTCGTCTTCACTTGATTCATCTGCCGTAGTGAGAGGGGTGAGAAGAGCACGCGGCAGGGGGGCTGATTTTGAGGCGGCATTGGTGAGTTCGCGGTGGATGACATAACGAGACCATCTAAAGCCAGGCGCATCTTCTTCGTCCATTAATTCCAGCACAGCATTAGCTCTGGCTGATATGATCTTCTGGGCGTCTTCGTTGCTAAACGAAAAGCGTTCCGCTAAGCGTTCGGTAAGGAGATCAAGGTGGAGTCGACGCTTTGCCAAGTGGCCTTCTTCTTTCAGATTCCCCAGTAATTGGTAAATTGCAGTCGTCTGTGAACCCGAGACTGCATCTGGGTTATGCCGGGGAGTAGTAACCTCGGGTTCATCATTGGCTTCGCTCTCCTCGGCCGAGGGAGAGAACTCTTTCATAAGTCGGTTGTAATCATCCTAAAGTTTGTCAGAATGTGTATAGCGTGTATTGGGCAAATATTGCTTCACTAACATTGAATTGACGTCGGAGGTGAACGAAAACACTTGTTTTCGTCCATTCCACGCCTGCCTCGCCCTGTATCATGCAGCGCAACAAGAAGGGAGCATGAGTCTCGAAAATCTCGGCTGCTTCTTCTCGAGTTTCGCATGAGCCATATGAGTGATAGGTGTACTAAGCACAGTCAATACCGCCGCTCGGGGCTTTGTACCCAATGGAACAATTCGAAAGGTAGCTTACTTGTTCACAGAGATTCCGAAAAGACGGATTGGGTTGTTTCTTGCCATGTTGGTGCTTGTCGACCAAAAAATAAAGCATATCAATGGCCTGGACCATGCGGTTGTATGTGGGTTGGAAGCCCTTGGCCGGGGAAATGATATCGTACCAGCCCGCCTTGCCGGCTACCCACAGCTCGATGCTTTTATCCTCGGTCTGGCCGTAGGCATAATGTGTAACTTCGTCGATGATGATGCGCTTTGGAGGGTTGTCGGGTTTGAGCACTAAGGTAAGGTAGCTGATTAGCAATCTGGTTGATAACGAACTGTAACTGAACCGATACGTACATAAGTGTTGATGTGTCTCAGGAAGCTGCTCCAAACTGCCGATCACCTGCACTGGATTTTGTTCTGTGGCATCGAGTAGATTGGCATAGTGCTTTTTCCCTGGCTTCATGACCTTGACCTCAGTCAGGCCAAACTCCCACCAATCGTTCTCATCGGTGAGGGAGGCATCGGTGGGAGCAAGGACGGTTTCTTCGCGGGACGTCATGGTGGAATTGGCATTTTGGGTGCCACGGAAGATGTGGAAGGAGGTTTGAGGAGCTGAATGAGAGTGACTGATAGAATGAGAAGGAGAAGAGGGGTCCCTAGAGTGGAATCTCGAAGGTGTTGACAGTCGCAGTCATCGATCGCCGGTAAATTACAGATACACCCATTACCATTAATTACATGGAGCTCGTGTCTGCCCAGGTGATCCCGGTCGATCACGTGCCTGTTATATAATCACATATGACCTCCAGGGCTTGAAATATCGTTGTGTCCCATAAGGGGATTTGTGGTCCTTAGAAATAGTGAATATCAGTTCCGCTACACAGGTACCTATCGCCATCGCCTGCGGCGTTCGAATTGACCTATAAATAACGTTCAGTTGGGGTTCAGAGCATGCAAGGTCAGCATAATTGAGATAATCTCCGTATAAGGCAAGCCAATCACAATGTTCTATTCAATACTCCGAATATCCACGGATTGATTTGGACTTCTATCCAACGGGATCACTCAATGAAATCATATAAGTGCTCTTTATATTTTAAGCTAGTAACAGTTTTGTTCGGATCAAATCGCACTTCCAAGGCCGTTCAGGAGCACTACCTAGAGTATCCGTGGGCGTTCAATCGCCGTTGAGGAGTATCAGGTCAATTAAATCGTTTGGTTCAATAATCTTTCATATCATACATTCTGAAAGTCTCGTCATTCTCTCTTGACCAAGCTCTTAAAGTTAGCCCAGCGTACGATTTCGCGAAAAACAGGAGATGTTCAGCGGCTGATGTGGGGAATTCTATCCCAGCACTTCTGGGTGTCAATGTATTTTATTGAGACTATAAGCACTCTTTGATATTGGTGCTAACCTGAGCAAGGCATCCGGATGGGTTAGCTAGAGAACAACGGTTATGATCGAGACTTTAACTCATATACATTGACTGGCCAAGCAGTGTACTCCGTACAAGGTAGGGTAAAAGGCCTGCAATGCTTGGAACTCAAGAATTCCGATTTGACGATTCTCTCCATTGTATATAGAAACAGGATAATGCCGTATCTCGAATAAATATTGAACGTACAAAGACCTTGAATGTGATCAGTAGCTTTCAGAGTATACGGAGGACGTCCAAGAACGCTATAGTCTGCCAAGGCGGAACCGATCTCTACCACATTATCTTTTTTCCAACTTTAGATTAACTCTCACCTTGTCCAGATGACATTTCCGAAAGGCTTCCGACTTTTTCGCACCACAATGTCTGGAGAGAAGATTCGCGAGGGCGTTTTCGGTAAATACTGGCTTCGAATCCCGCAAGACTCAAGCTGACTTCTTTAGCCGTCCACAAGCCCCAGGGCGTCACCTCCGCCGATGTGATCCGCAACCTGCAGAAGCACTTCAACCCCTCAAAGACCTTCAAACCTTGGTTAGAAGAAGAGCGCGAGCGCCGTAATCGCGAAAGTGGATTCCAGCGCAAACGTCGCCGCCACCAACGCCTAGAGGTCAAGATCGGCCACGGCGGTACCCTCGACCCGCTCGCGACAGGTGTGCTCATCACCGGTATTGGAAAAGGCACAAAATCGCTTCAGGACTTCCTGTCATGCACGAAAAGCTACGAGACCGTTGTGACCTTCGGCGCCGAGACCGATACCTACGATTGCCTTGGAAAGGTTGTGCGCCGCGCGCCTTGCGAGCACATTACACGTGAATCCGTTGAGAAGGCATTGGCACAGTTCCGTGGAAATATTATGCAGCAGCCGCCAATCTTTTCGGCTCTGCGGGTCAATGGAAAGAAGCTATATGAATATGCGCGTGAGGGCAAGCTACCTCCGGTGGAGATCAAGCACCGCCCGGTCGAGGTCTTGGAGATGGAGATCATGGAGTGGTTTGAGCCTGGTACACACAATTTCCAATTGCCAAAGGAGGAGATGACCGGCGACGAGAAGGCTGTTGTTGAGAAAATTCTCGATCAAGGAGCTGCGACGCCCGCCGTGACCGCAGGTGAAGCCGCGAAGGAAGTTCCCGAGGTTTCATCCACCAAGCGCAAGTCGCCACCTCCAGCCGATGAGGTGAAGGATGAAAGTGCGGAAGCACCCAAGAAACAGAAGGTTTCAGAGACTGAAGCGGCGCCCGCGGCATCGGAACCCAGTGCCCCCGAGCCTGCTTCAGCTGAGCCCACCGAACAGCCCGAACAGCCCAAGTCTCAAACCCCGGCTGTCAAGATTAAGATGACCGTTACATCGGGCTTTTATGTTCGCTCCCTGGCTCATGATCTGGGTAAAGCTGTCGGCAGTCTAGGCTTGATGAGTGAGCTGGTGCGCAGTCGTCAAGGTGACTTCGAGCTTTCTCCCGAGAAGGTCTTGGAGTACAAGGACCTTGACGCCGGCGAGGAGGTCTGGGCACCCAAGGTGGAGAGGTTCTTGCAGGAATGGGAGCAGAAGAGGATCGCCAAAGCAACTGCTGAGGCTGAGGCTGAGACCGCGACTGAGGGTTGAAGCTGGAAAGTCAACCTTTTTCAAAATCCTCAAAATATTTCACCTTTGTAAATATATCTGTAATATAAAAAAGTCTTAATCAACTGCTTGGGTTTCCAAAGTTATAGCTTGATCTCCCGCCGTGCCCCGAGACAGGTCTAGCCCTGGAGATAGTTCATAGACAGCCTTGAAGAGTGACACCAAGAGAAAAGAGACTACGATTCGCCCAATCTCCGATATTTCCAAGTCATTGACTAGCTCTTGGATCACAGCCCTGGAGGTTTGAAAGAGGTAAGAAATCAGAAACTGCCATTTTTGGTTATCCAGACCCAGCGAGAAAAAATAATTACATGATGCATGGTACAAATGCAATTGAAACAACATTAACCCTTCATTTCAAGAGCTTAGTTGCGTCCCTTGGCCGCAGTTCTCTTGCTCTTACCGGGGCGCTTTGAGCCACCCTTCATCTTCTTAGCAGAGAAGTTGCTCAGATCACCACTGGACGCAGCGTCACCACTCTTGGAATGGCGCTTCTTGCCTCCGAATCCAAACTTAGCGTCCTTCTTCTGACGCTTACCGCCACCTTCACGACTACGCTTCTCAGGCTGGCTGGCTTCTTCAACGGCAATGTCGAACATGTCCTTGGCGTCATCGGTAGGGGCAGAGCTGTCAGCCTTGCGCTCTGTGGAAACGAGGTTAGCAACTGTCAATCTTGTGTAAGCTCATAGCAGGGTTAAACATACTCTTCTTCAGAGTGTTGATCTTCTCCAACATCTCGCGCTTCTCCTTGTGTCTCTGCTGCAGCTTGGCATTCTGGACCTGCTTGCCGAACTTCTTGAGATCGCGCTGGCGGCGCGCCTCGGCGGCAGCCTTCTTGCCAGCGGCCTCCTCGTAGAGCTTCTTCTTGATCAGGCCCATGTGCTCGTCGTTCTTGACCATCTCCGCGAAGTAGTCACCCGGACGGGTGAAGGGAATACCCTCCTTCTTCAGCAGGCCACGGGCATCGGTAGCGGCAGCCTGGCAGACCTTGTAGAAAGCCAGCTCACGGTTCAGGTCGTCATTGGGGTCTTCGATCTCGATCGGCTCTTTCGAGACTAGCGAGTTGTGCTCTGAGAATGGGGTCTGGGTGCCAATGAAGGAAATGCGCTTGAGGGCGGCGTTGATAGCGGCGGAGTTGTTGATTGTCAGGCGTTGGTGGGGGACGACATCCTCGCGCTCGTCTTCCTCGAGGTCGGAAAGGGGAATGTCTTCTTCCTCTTCCTCCTCTTCACCGTCATCCATTTCCTCGTCCTCGTCGGCTTCTTCTTCTTCTTCTTCGGCCTCGGAGCTGACAGGCTCCTCTTCCTTCTTCTCTTCCTCCACGGCAGGCTTATCCTCGGGAGCAGCAGCGGACTTCTTGCTGGCCTTCTTCTTCTCGGCGGTCTTGATCATTTTCTTCTGCTTCTCAGCGTCAAAGTCCCGGCCCTTGTGGGCGTCGAGAGCCTGGAGGAGCTTGCTTCGCTTGACCATTGTGACTTTCTGTATGATAACAAAAAGTTGAATGGTATTTTTGTGTAGTTGTGAAAGGAATTGAGAGAAAAGAAAGCGACTCGGTATCAAACCCGCATCAGAGAATCCACGGGATTTTTTTGAAATGGCGCCAGTCCTGATTTGGTTAGCGTGACCGATAAGAGCACACTAGGCGATAAAGAGCAATATCTCGGATAAACAGATGATCCGCTTATCGGACTCGGTATCGCCCCAGCCGCCTCATCTCTACATAATGTAGCCTGTCTCTGGACTTAGAGCACATAGTATCAATATGGCTGAAGCTTCCAAGTCCCCATCTCCTCCACCTGAGGTTGAGCCCCTTCTTTCGCAATCGGTATGTGAGTTTCTTAATTGAAACACAACTTTGCATCTGCTGACTCTAGATGATCACCTAGAACTCCGGTTCGCAAGGCCAGCTAAATGCTGCGGTTGATGATCTGCTTAACGAACTCCAAAGCAAATTTGAGAATGTATCCACAGAGCTGTTTGGGAAGTGTATGTTTTCTTCTTCTTATGCATCTGCCTCTTCCGCTATGCATATATGTCAGACTAACCAATGTATGCAGTGGACGACATGACCAAGCGTCTTGATGACCTGGAGGCTTCTTTGGCTGCATCAAACTCCACCACTGCAAGCCCGTCGAAATGAGACTTAGCAGAAAGAGTACTCTCTTTCCACAAGCTAAAGCTTGGCTCCACTTTTTCTCTGCATGGCGTTTCCAAGAGCGTGAGGTCTACATGTTCAACCTGCCCTGCTTTACCCCATACAACATTCTCTGCTTGTTGCTTAACATATGTTAATTTTACGCCGTTTCACATTTGCATGCGTTCAACGGTTGGCTGTATGAGCCCTGGCCTCCCCGCCTGGGTCATAGCGATACTCTATTTCCCTCATCGATACCCAATTATCATCTCAGGTTAAGAAGAATCATAATTCGTATTTTAGTACAAGTTTCATGGTTATCAACTTGGCAATTTCAGAAAGGCTAGATAGAATCAGCAGGTGCTTCCAATGTAGATCTATCAATTCGAAAAAGTGTACATCATCAGACAATAATTCCATAGACAATCTCAATACATTTCCATTGAATCCATGATTCGCAGTGATCCAGCCACTGAACATGTATTCAGTGACAGGAGTTCAAGTCACGATCTCAAAGACAGCTAAAAAGAAAACACCCAAACATAATATCTACAGGCATTTAAAGCTCATCGTGCTTAACATCACCGACAAAGCGGCTGAGGATGTTGCTACGGGAGACAATGTCATCCAGCTTCTCAGGGGCAGAGCCACCCTTAGCCAGGATCTTCTGGAGACGAGTGATCTCCTTGGCGGCGTAGCCCTCGTTCTTGCTGAGCTTTTCGGCAGCCTTAACATAGTACTCAGCGTACTTGTCCTCAAGACCCTTAGCAGCCTTCTTGACCTCAACAGCAAGCTTGTCAAGCTTCTGAGCCGCAACGTGCTCAGACACAATCTTGTCCAGCGCGGCGATGGTACCGGCCACGGCGTCAAGGCCACCACCAGCGGCACGGTGAGTGCCAGCCTTCTGGTTAATGAACTTGACGAAGGCCTCCTCGGAGCGAGCGCCGGAGTAGTTCTCGGGCTCGGTGGAGCCCTTGGGGAAGAACTTGATGGTAGGGTATCCGGTGACGCCCTGTTCCTTGGTCAGGGCACGGGCGTTCTCGGCTTCGGCATCGACCTTGGCGATAACGACGTTGGACTCGCGGGCGTAGTCATTGGCGAGGGACTCCCAGGTGGGGGCGAGGCTCTTGCAGTCTGAAGATCACGGGCAGTTAGTAAACGGAGCATAAGCGGGCGGTTCAATTGGTGAATAACTTACGTCCACACCACGGGGCAGTGAAAGCGACCAGAACATCCTTGTCGGCGCCAACGGTGGTCTTGAAAGAGACGTCGTTGAGGTACTCAACGTTGCTGACCTCTTTCTGGGCGGAACGGGGCTTGATGCCGGTCTTCTCGGTGATGAAGGCGGAGAGACTCTCGATATCACGGCCACCACTGTACTCCTCGGGCTTATCGCTCTTGCCATCGAACCACTTCACGGTAGGGAATCCCTGGACACCGAAGCGCTTGCCCAACGAGCGGTTCTCGTCGGCATCGACCTTGGCGATAGTGACCTTGTCTTCGGCGAAAGCGAAGGTCTGGGCGAGCTCCTCGTAGACTGGAGCAAGGGTCTTGCAGTGGCCACACCAGGGAGCGAAGAACTCAACCAGTGCAGGCTTGCCGGACTTCAGGACGACATCATCGAAGTTGGAGGGGATCAGGTCTTTGACCGCGGAGCTTGCGTTGGCGAAGCCGCTGAGAGCTGTGAGGGCACCGACGAGCAAGAAGCTCAGGCGTGCCATTTTGTATATGATTTTGGGGGGTGATGTGAACTTTGGGGGAGGTAATTGACAAAGAATGGCGGAGACCATACGAGAGCTCGGATGACAAAACAACCCCGAAGAGGCCACTTGGTCCCGCAGATCTCCAACTACTGGACGTCAACAGATGTACTTACTCCGTACGCAGACTACATCGGCCAATAACGTTGGAATTATCACCCATTGAGCATGGGTAGCACCAGACTGCTTTTCTAGATTTTTTTTGGTCCTAATAATAATACACTGGGGAATTACCAGCATGGAATTTCATGGAAATGGGTTGACAGGGACTTCAACAAAGCAAATAGCGAGTTTGAGAGTCGGCATCCCCATCGGATATCGTCAGAAACCGTCCAGATCATCGTCTCGCATTCAACCATTGGTTAGCGTCACTCCAAAGCTTTGCGTCTTTGAACTCCTCGCCCGCCTGCTGCGTGCCTCTATTGACCTGCCTGAAGTTAGCTTTTGTTCAATGTAACGTAGGGCCGGAATACTCACCGCATCCCATAGCTTAAAGGCCAAATCCAAGTTTCCAGTGAAGCTCTCGCTGTGCTGGAACCAATCCTTGCCCTTTGCCTTGGCGTCTGCACGCGCCTCGGGTGAGGTAGAATTTGCCTGAAGAGGCAGGTCATCAAGATAGGTGCGAACCGCAATACCCATTCCGCAATCATTATCATCAATAAATGGAAGCCTGAAAGATTGTTAGAGCGAGTGTTCCGACGAAAAGCCGAGGTTTAGATGGGACATACTTGATTGCCAATTCCGTCCAATCGTCACGATCGCGGTCAGCATCGCCACTTAGGAGCATGCTCGCCAACACAACCTCAACTAAGTTCCTCAATGTAGAGCGAACCTCGGAGATCAATGAACGATAGCAAAGGAGTTGGCGACTCAGCGGACCAGAGTATCCAATGCTCTTATGCTGCAATTTAGCGATGCATGCAAGACGCGAAATTAGCATATTGAAGGTCTTGTCCTCCTCCGACCCTCTCATCGGACCCCCGGATACATGTGAGAACCAGGGCTTGGTGTTCAGAAGACCCAAGCGTAGCATTTCAATAGCGATAAATATGGCCTCTTCGAGTTTGTGCGCAGGGTTAACAGACCTTATGGCATGGGACAGACACTGTCCCCATACAGTAAGGTTGTGCTTGTTATCGACGTATCCGCGAAGCTGCAGGAACCGCCACATGACATTTGATAGAATGTCATTTTGCGAGGTCAGGGCCTATATAAATGTCAGTGATCGGAAATTCGAATATCATGATATTTACTCACTGGTGTCTCCCGGCTGGCAAACGACTTTGAAGCAAATTCAGGATCATTCAAACTCAGTAAAGCAAAACAGAAAGAGCCAGGGTGAACTCGGAGATTCTTGACACTTTCAGGGAAGTTGGCTTCCGAGATTTTCCAGGATTGAATGGTTTCCTTGACTGAAGGGATGCCCTTGAGGTTGATTGATCTTTCCGAGTTCTCATCATACCATGGCCGGATTTGGATAACCTTGGTTTGGTAGAATCGATGAAGCGAGTTTGCTAAAAGACACATAGCTTGGGTGCGTATAGGTGTCAAGATATCACCCACAAGCTGGCGATAGATTTCGGTGTCTTCGGTGCCCAGAGGTAGCGTAATACGGACTTCGCCAGATGTCAAATAGTTTGGTACATCAGCGCCGATGATTCCTTTGGACAGATAGAAGTAGAGCTCCTCAGGAAGCCGCTGTCCGATAAGCTCATGTATGTCTGACGAGGCATTCTCTGGGTCCAAGGGCCCCACGCGACCGTCCTCATCCAAGTAAACATGGTGTTTCACAACCATGTAAGCGCGTTTGTACAAGTCTGTGTACTGGGTGTCCTGGATTCGGCGATCGTCGTCATACTGAGCGCACAATGTCAATGCGCTCCGGCCGGCCGCGTTGAACATTGGAAGTGCATCGCGAATGCTTGGGCTCTTGCCCGGGAAGGCAGGGTTCTCGAAGAGGGGGAAAGATCGGAGGAATGGGGACCCCAAAAGTAAACAGAATTCTAGAAATTGTTCATTTGACAGTCGGCCAAGCTCCTCCTTGCAGGTTTGTTTTGTGATCCAGAAGAATTGTGCGGGCTCGGTGTCAATGCGGGTGATCAGCTTGTCAATATCGAACAAGAGAGCTTCAGATGGGGCATAAATGGCATCGATGACAGGGTTGTTGCCGCTGGCAAGGTAGTAAAGCTATTTGGATAAATTGGTCAGTCTCATGTGACGATTCCCCCGGTGACGATGGCTGGGGACTCACCTGGGCCGCAGCGCTGTAGGGCGCTACGATGAATTCAATATCGTTCTGGGCCAGGATCCGCTGGAAGAATCTAAAAAGGGTCTCCGGGGGTGGGGTTCCTGGGGCATTGCTTGTGTCAGCGGATGTTGGGGGGCTCGTCAGGTTGCGATGGAGTTGGTGGAGGCTCGCCAGCCCGGTCACCAGGTGATCAGAAGGCGGGGAAGAGAGAGGGCTCATACCGGCACTGCTGAAGGCATCAACGACTTGGTCTGCCTGCTGCTGGTCATAGAGATCCCAAGCTTGTTCGAAGGAACGTGACGCTTGGGGTTGCGCGCGCTGTTCTTTTTTGCCAAAGTCTAGGCCATTGAATACGAAGATGCAGCCCACGCCCAGGCTCTGGAAGGCATGGATTTCCTTTTCGATGTTTGCACGTAGAGCGAAAGGGAATCCGCCCAGTGCGCCGAGAAGCGCCTCGCGGGTTGACTGGTTCAAGAGGTGTTGATTGATGTAGTGGGCGGCATCGATACCGATGACAGCGTCTTTCAGGGAGGAGAGGGGTAGGGACTGGGTGCGGCCAACGGCCCATTCGTCAAGGGGACGGACTACATTTGAGTTAGCTGCGATTGCGGTAGTGCGGAGCTCAGGGTATGCGTACTCGGCATGATGAGCGGTCTGTCTCTAGCAGGAAGCACGGCCAACGCCGGACATCAACAATAGAGCAAAGGGGTACAGGCAAGTAAAAGATTCCAAAGCTCGGATGTCCAAAGATGGTATGGGAGCTCGGATTGTTGACGATGGCAAGACCTCGAGGGGGGGAAAGGCGGAGTTGGCCTTTTGTTTTTTTGCGCCCCTTCCATGTATCACATCACCCTCTGCTCTTTCTTTTGGGCCACTTTCAATTGATATTTCAAGTTTCTTCTACTATTTTTGCTATAAGCTGTTCAGGCTCACATATCACTGATGTATCAATGTTGTTATATATGTGTTATGTAAGGGTTATGGAGTGATGTCAGAAGCACCAAAGAACATGTCCATATAACAACCGCATGGTCACAGGCTTGGAAGAATAGTGATATAGCTATAGAGACTAGTATGCAGGGACTACTCGACCGATCATGAGACCAGAACAACTATTTGGAATCACATGAATCCTTAGTTACCACCTGGGCACAGGCGCTGGCTCATAAATGTCATAGTGTCATCCATGCAACCTCCATACAACCTTGGAACCACCATCAATGTAGCTTGGGCATCTTTGCACTAGGCAGGTAGATGCTTATAGCTCTGTAACACAAACGCTCGGATATCGCCTAAGCTCGGAATCAGGATCAAATGGGTCAAGCCATAAACAAACTCGATTGGTTCGATTGATTATCGCTTCGATATTCAAGATACGCGATAGGCCCACTTGTGGCTATATGTCCAGCAACATGTCCCACCTGGGCAATAGCTTCCCCATCTGAGCATTCTTGACAATTTTCACTTCCAGTCCAAAATGGCAGACACAACAACCCCGATCGAGCTCCCCGTGATTGACATCTCCAACCCGCATGACCCCGCTGTGGGGAAAGCCATGTTGAATGCGGCCGCCAACTATGGGTTCTTGTACGTCAACAGCAAAGGCAGTGACTTTACCGTGGAGGATGTAGACCATGGATTTGAGCTGGTATGATTTTCTCGACTGCGTGTCTATCAAGACAGAGACTGACCGTCTTCATAGTCCAAGGAATTCTTTGCCTCGCCCGCACAAGAGAAAGAGACTTGCCGCATCCAGACGAATGTTTGTGACCATGACAGGCTCCACCCGGGCAGACAGCCCCTGGAGTATACCAGAGATCAATCTAACCAAAGCCTCGATAGAACCGCGGATGGTCTGGAATGCATGCAGAAACTCTCGATCCTGAGCACCAACGGGTATGTTGTACAATGTGCATGTCGAAGAACAATATATCTGACAATTTGATAGACTGGAGATTTCAAAGAGTAAGCCAGACTATCCACGGATATGATCAAACAGGACAGAAGCACAGCACCTGACCACTCATCCAGAGCCATGAACTTCGGTGATTTCAAAGACGGCAAAGCCCAACAGCCACTGCCACCATCCCTCGCGCCGCATGAAGGAGAAATCAACGAATTTGCCAAGCTATGTAACAAAACATGCAACCGAATTCTGACCCTGCTAGCTTTGGGCCTTGAAGTCAGTGAAATAGCCCCAACACAGACACGTTGTATCAAAACACACCAAGACCGGTAAACTAACAACCCCAAGATGGAAGAAGATTTCTTCACAAACCGCCACGATCCTACCTCTGGCCCAACCGGCAGCATTCTGCGGTACCTGTACTACCCATCGATCTTCTCCCCAGAGACAGCAGCGTATAAGCACGACAAAGACGTGCGAGCAGGCGCGCACTCCGACTACGGAAGCATAACACTTCTGTTCCAGCGCCCCGGCCAACCAGGCCTCGAGATCCGCACGCCAGAGGGAACCTGGGCCCCCGTGCCCATTGTACCAGGCACCAGCGCCGAGGCAGCGGGGTATCCGTTCCCGCCGATTCTGGTCAACATTGGCGACCTGCTGAGTTATTGGACTGATGGCTTGCTCAAGTCAACTGTGCATCGCGTTGTCTTCCCGCTGGCTGAGCAGCAGAGCCCGAACCCGCAGGACCGGTACACGCTTGTGTACTTCTGTCACCCGGTGGATACCACTGAGTTGATTCCTGTTCCCAGTGGGGTCGTTGCGAAGCATCGTGAGGGACATGGAGGGATTGTTGGCAAGGTCGGGTTTGGGGGTGGTGCAGGGAGCTTGGTACCTGGGGACAAGCCTTTGACGGCACATGACCACTTGATGTCGAGGTTGGAGGCGACATATGGATTCAATAAGGATGAGTGAGAAGTGTGACGTTGTAGTAGTACCATTGAACCTCGGATTACAGAATAGCTGGGATGTGAACAAAATTGTCTGAGACTGAAATTGAATTATGAGAGAAAGAGAAAAACGCCGGTGCCGTCGTGGCAAAGTGCAAGAACACAGACACAAACAAGAAAAGTCCTCCGGACATAGATCGGGGTCATGGAAGAAATGCGCAAAGCAGAATGCTTGAGATGGTGGGGACATGGAATGATTGACCATGTTGCCCATCTACCAACATAGGAAAATCGTGACAGCACAATTAGTTATGGGAGGAAACGTGATATGATCCCAACAAAACAAAGGCAGAGGGAATATGTCCCATGATGTGGGATGGAAGAGCGAGATGTACAGTCATGAGATGGATATGAGCAACGAAAAAAGGCTCGCAGGCGAGAGCCTCACACCAGAGCAAGATCAAGGCAAGCCGTGCGGAAGCAAAAATTGGGAATAGAACAGAAGCCAGACATGTAAAAGGTATCTTCGGGTCGAAATGGAAACGCCGCCAGATTTTGATATGCCATGCGGTAGTGAGACCTGGGAATAGAATATAAGACGCGGACGTAGAATAACGCTATGCGAGCCGGTATGCATGGAAATCAAAAATGAAACCCCTCGAGGTCGAGACAGATCATGGGGTCATATGGCACCAGTGCCTATGATACACCCAAGCAGATTTCTGGCACTCTTTGCTGCAGTATTTGGTGCGACGGCAACGTCGACATTTGGCAAATTGACGTTGGAACACCTCCCACTTGCCACATTTGAAGTAGGCACATTGACGGATCCCACCTCTCGCCTCATCTTTGCGGCAAAGATTTCTCATGACCACACACGCCCAGTACTGCATGTCCTTCGAGTGATGTCTCACGGTGAACTTCTCCACCAGGGGGAAGATGTTGACATCATCGGGCAGCAGATACTCGTTTTCCTCTTCACACATCTCATCAGACGAACAAGCGTCAGGATTCTCGTCAAGAAGAGGAAGCTCACGATCGATCTTCAACTTGGGCACAAGATGGGAGAATTGGAAGAATGAGCGCAAATTGCAATACTTTGAGATGTAAGCAAGCAGCTGCAGAGACATGAGAACATCCTCATCACGGGGCATGGCAGTCAAAACGCTCTGAGCGGCGGGAGCACTGCGATCACGGAGATACAAGGCGTAAGGGGTGGGGGCGAGGGTGGGAGAATTAGGGTTGTTAGTGGCCTGGGTTGGGGAGAGACCCAGTCCACCGGTGTTTTGTGTGTTGCCGTTGTTGATGATGCTACCGTCGACCGTCGAGCGATGTGTGATATTGAAAGTCTCAACTTCTGGACCTTCTTCCTCAGAAGGATCAGTGACGGTCAGACCATGAGCGGGAGAGACGTTATCCAGCATCGTATTTTCCCCTCCCTCGACATTGTCGAGTTCCATGCGATTCGGGAGTCCCACAATGGTTTCAGTGGGCTGTCCCATCGCGCTGTCGTCCATAGTCAAGTCTTCACCATTGGCATCATCCGACTCACCAGACCCTGACTGCTGCTGACGGATCGCGGGGCGTTGTCTGGCAGCAATCGCCTGGGGAAGGCTTCGGGATTGTGAGTGCAGAGGACCACTTGGTGTTGTCGGGGAATCGGGCTGTGAGACGATTCCAGTCTGCAGACCGGGAAGCATGCTAGGAAGGCGTTCAGTGTCATGCACTGGGCGTAGTCCAAATCCATCTGTGGATTCCATAGAAGGAACTGCTGTGGCAAGGGGTTGCATTGGCCGAAGGCGATGGCCTGTACGTGGAAGCCGACCGTCATTAGCTCGGTGGTTGTGAGATTCCTGTGCAAATGTACTGCGTTCTGGGGGCGATGTTCTAGGTGCACGGGGCGGAGAAGTGATATCCATGGCGTCGGAATCCGTTGGCTGGCTGTCTTGATGGAAAGGTCGAGGAATTTCGATGCTCGGAGGGGCTTGTCGGCGGTGGTGGGATTCGGATTGAGTGTGGGACTCTGGCTGGGATTCTATGTCCATAGGAGTGGAACGAGCGGAGGGTTCTTGACTGCTGCTTGACTTCGTCTCCCTGGTAGACGACTGCTTATCGGACTTGTCGGACTTGTCGGACTCAGGAGAGTCGCGTGATCGAACTTTGTCCACGACCTTGATATAGTTGCTCAAAATCGTAGCGATGACGGGAACCACGTCGGCTTCCACCACACGAGTCCTGACACCCTCAGAGCCTCTTACTCCAATGTTGACAACACATTGGAAGGCAAGGCTCCATTTCCACATTTCCATCAAGTCCTTGCTCCGACCCTCTTTGAGGATGCATATCAGCCGCTCGACGCCACCGTCGACTGTGAGAATGTCTCGAATTCGGGCAGAAGATGTGGTGAGGTAGGCAAGGTGGTTGAGGGAATTGATAAGCGGTAGAGTTGACGTGCAATCGAGTGCACGGCGGTCGTAGAGCGTGGTTGTGATGTTGACCGAGGCCTTGTTCACATTGGGGATGCTAAAGTTGACTTCCCGCATGATGAAAGAATGGAAAACGCAAAAGGTTGAACCGAAGAAAAAGACGGGATCAAATGCAGAGGAATGAAAGGATGCAATATAACATGCAGAGTATAAATGCAAGAAGGCGAGGACCTTGAAGATGTCCCTTAATGAGATTCAACCCCTAAACCAGATGGGAAAAAATACCCACTGCGGCTGATTGCAGAACTCTGGATAGGATTAATCCCAAGACATCAGGCGACTCAAAAAGCGATGTTCTCGATGGAAAGTTGTCTCGATGACTCCCAGCCAGAAGGGGCGAAGGGGAGGACCGAGATTGACGGAGGGCTCGAAGGAGAGGAGAGGAGATCAGGAGAGAGGAAAGACCAGATACAAGATGTAAGACGATCGTAGTCGTCAGTATTAAATACTTGGGGATGGCGAGATGTCGATGGAGGGGGTGAAAGGAAGAAGCCTTTGAGATGATTTGGGTTCAAGTTTGCGGCAAAGCGGAGAGCGTCAGGTGGCTCCTTAATATTGTTTTCGCGGGAACCAGTATTTGCGCCCGCCACTCTCTACTTTGACTAATCCTGCCCTTTTTCCTTCCTTTTCTTTTCTACTCTGTTCTTTGACTTGTCTTGTTCGGTTCATCTCTACCTCTCTTACGCTACGTTTTGCAATCTCTCCCTCTCTCCTCTCTACGCTGCTGCATACCCGTCACATTACCGAGTCGCCACCCTTGAAGATGAAGAATCACTCCTTCCCCTTTACATACCAGGTATCATTGCTCCTTGTCACTAGACTAACTTATCCTTGATTACCCGTCAGATCGAAATATGCCTCAAAGAGATATATGCCTCGAACAGACGATCGTTACCAGAAACAAATCCCCATCATGCCGCCAGATTGATTATGCCATTCGGCACGAGCGGAGGTAGATCTCAAATGTCTAGCCCACCAATCCACCAATGGCGCCAGTGAACTATTTGAATAGCTTCGGCCTTTTGTCTTGACTGGAAGAGGTTCAGACCACTTACCCCACAGATGGGGCATTCCACCTGCTATATCTCTCAGATGGCCTATCTCAATGTAGTGGATCGACACCCGAAATGAGGTGTGTTACATCTTCATTTTGTCGACGTCAACGTACATATTCAAAGGCCCCCCAAGGCTTGAGGAATAATCTCGCAATTCTTGTTTGTTGCGCAAAGTATTTCGTCCCTGAACCGCAGCGTACACACGTACATAGAATCCCCAGCCTGCTCCTGTGACTCCAACCCCTCTGATCCCCCCTCTGATCCTCACATCGACCCCACTTCTACGAACGTGAATCATTGAGTGAGCAAACGGCCCGTGGAACAGCATAAGATTGGAAATACCCCGGGCTAGATTGTCCAGCCCCTGATAATACCTATTATAAGGCCTAATATCGCAAGTGGAGTCAAATTTATGCTGCTCTCTGATCTCAGCCGTATCCTCAGCCTTGAGGATACTTTCTTTAGAGTAAGCGTTAATCTTAGTAACATGCGAGTACACTGGTGTGCTGGGGACCAACCGAATTCCCCCGCATGCATGGCTTTGGCCCCGTAGGCCCTCTATCACATCTCTACTCAATTACTACAGGGTTCACACGCGCTTGCAACAATGTGGCGCACAGACGATCTAAGATTAGAACACCGGCAATGTGCCGAGCCATTTTGGTCAAGCTCTAGTCTGTACTCCGTGATATTTGGGATTCTTCCTTTGAAGTGTCTCGTATTCTTAGTAGATGTTAACTTGTATCCGGCGCCTCGAATGGATCGGTTCTTGTGAGAAGCTCATACACGGCTTTCACTCTCTGCTTTAGTGCTAATCATCGCCCAGCACTGATAACTCGTTGTTTGGGGCATTTTCGACAACATTTTGGAAAAGATCTTTTTAGATACCTTTCCTGGTTTGATTTTAGGTCTCTAAGCCCACTATATTCGTGATCAAGCCAAGCCAACAGAGCAGATATTCGTCCGGTGACCTCGGTGGCTTAATCTCAACTCTTTGGGGACCCCATGAACTTGGACATGCTTTGGATACGATGGTCCTCAATTTCCTGAAAAAATGCTTTCTTAATTGTAAAATCAGACATAGCGCGTCTACTACTTGACACATTGGATGTTTAGCCTCCAAAAACCCTGCGTGTGCAATATGAGTCTTTCTGGCTATAGCGAGATCTTAGTTTTGCATCCCACTCGGTCCAACTATTAGGGACCCGCTTGTTTTGTAACCCTTTTCAAGAAAAGGATTTTTTGGCAGGTGCAGCGTTCGGTGAAATTGGAAAGGACCTCGGGAGCGCGGGTGCGTCAACTACCTTGACTTCATATTGGGTGTCTTAAGGCTTCAGTATTCCGAGTAGTTCCCACATCATGACGATTCGAACTGTCTTTAAGACATTGTTGAAGCGAGCCAAACATATTTTCGCGCAAATTGACTGAAGTGCGTAATGAGTGCAGGGCCCATATTCTGACACTGACAGCACATCTTTTAAAAGTGATATGCATGCTTGTGACACGTCAAATTCTGATCGCCTCCCGCCTCAATAGTCAGACACGCTAACTTCTGGGTATCGATCTGAGAATGGATTATTGCCGGTATGGACAAGAAATGTAGATGGATTAAAAGAGCGAGACGCAGAAAATTGAGTAAATCGGACTCCAGCGCTACCATTGAGTACATTTCAGCCGCAGGGTTGTCATCAGTCGGGTACCATGTTCGAGTCGAATACCCGTGGGATCGGCCATGCCTTGCCGTTCTCGAATCGGAGGATTTACAATGCTGCCCAGGGGCGAACTAAATCTTAACATCTTTGCAAACTATAACCGGTTCTGGTTTAGTTTGGAGGGAGCTCATCCCTGAAGCTGAGGGCGTGGTTTGGTGCTACACGATCTTTGATATTAGAGAATATTTGGCTCTGCCTTGACACTTGTGTATAAATCTACCGATTATAGCCTTAGTTTGATCGACAATCGTTGGAAATGTTTTCCATTGTCGTCATCAGTCTGATGAACACTCGTATATCTGTGCTTGGCTTTTGCTTTAGAAAGCGACGCTGTTCCTGAGAACTCAGACATTCGACTTGAGACGAGGTCCCGAAACACGTTGACTTGGCAGATGTCAACAATTCCGACCCGAGAAATTCTCCTCTCTTTGTCGAGTCCGGGTAGTTTGGAACATGACCACGCATACAGATCAACCCATGCCAGGCCAAGATGTAATACTAGTGTCAAAGCCAATAGACGGCAACGGACGAGGTTTGTGAGTTCTACAGAGCTGATTCAGCTGCCATCTCGAGGAGGGTAGATGAATAGCCCCGTATCTTTCACCGAATCCCATGACTCGAGTCTGCATGAAAGCGATACATATTGCGGATCTGAAGTGGGAATCTTGGCGGGACTCAATGATGCACCGAAAGCATGAACTCTATTGACAGTAAGCGGGATTGTATGGCACATGCATACGCCAGGAAATCATTCCCATGATTGTGTAGAAGAATCCAATTTTGTGAAATTGGGAGTATACAGCAAATGAAGATCGTCCCACCGTTCAAGTAGACCGAAGATTGGGACCCGTGGAAAAGGGGGGCCCAGACAGCACAATGGATTGTTCCATAGTGGAGACATGATTCTGAGCGAGTCAAGAGCTAGGAGATCCCTGCTCTTCATCTATTCAGGGATGCAGGCGACAACGGCTGGGCCCGCCAGAATGGGCGAAGCCGAAGCAGCGGATCACCCAACGTGGTGGGAACTGAATACGCCATTACACATGTACGGAGTATGGAGTCCGGAGTAGTTATGTTGATTCTTCGAGACGCTCTAACGAGATCGAGGTATTTAGTCAGCCGGGGGACCGTGCACGGAGGCTAAAGGGTGAAAATAGCCAGACTTGGAGATCTGACGGTAATTGCTTTAGAAGTCAATCCGAGATGACATTGGGGACTGCATGGACTGTGAACTTGTATAACTCAACAAAATGAATGAATACCTGTTTTGTCTATGTGAATTGAATAGGGAATTATACTACAAACCATACCCGGAATGGACATGCATTAGACCCAGTCCAATCTCCGTTAGCTCGAAAAAGTATCATATGTACGGAGGTATGTAATGCCATGTAATCCATGTAATCCATCGCAGTCGGGGAAAAGGGGAGGAGATCACGCAAGGGACTCTGATATGTCAGAGAGCCGCGCAGCGGTTTTTTTCTCCCAGAGCCGCGGGGCGGTTAAACCTGAACAGGACGAACTGCCGCTGGAATTGATACTGAGTCTTCAGTTGGGGCTAGTGGTCCTAGCACCAAGCCGATCCTCAGCGCCACAATTTCCCTCCGATACATGTACTTGTAAGCAGTATCAGGAGGCGGTATTTTTTCTTTTTCCTTTTCTTTTCGGTAGACTTCACTTGCATTGTAGTCCTGTACGGAGCACAGAGTATGCGCAGACTCAATGTCAATTTGTATAGGTATCCGATTATCGGCACGTATTGGTATTGAACCGAGCCGGTAGAGGGGGAACAAAGAAAGAGACCTGGGCTCGATACTCAACATAAATAGGCAGTATGGAGTGCTTACTACCGGTTCTCACTCGGTATTTGAGAAATCTTGAACCCAGAGCGATCGCAGATATTTGTATGGAGTACTTCGTATGGAGCATGAAGTTCTTGTGCTCAGAATTGAGGGAAAAAAGGTACTTTGCGCCACGTACAAATTAGTAGCAGGTCTGGGTACCTTCCACATTGGTATGTCATCGATTACCACTAGCCGGTAATACGCTGACTCTCCTCGCTCGGTCTTCACCCCCTGTTCCTCCTGTTCTGTCCCTTTACTGTCGGTGCTCTTTCTTCCCACCAGAGTTTCTTACCTTCCCCCCCTCTCTGATTATTCTTATTATGATCCTAGCTTGAGGCGCATCAGTCTTCATTCCGCCTTTCTTTTCTTCCTCTTTCGCTCCACCTCCCATTGAGCCCCCCCTTCCCCTCAACGCTCTTGATTTTCTGACCTCCCACTTTACTGTTACCTTCCGAGGCACCATACCGACACAATGGCCGACATGAGCGGCGAACAGATGCAGGCCAAAATCACGGCCGCCCGGCGCGAGGCTGAGGGTTTGAAGGACAAGATCAAGCGCAGAAAGGATGAACTGGCCGACTCTTCCCGTACGACTCCCAATCACTACCCCGGCGATAGATTGAGCCTCTTTTCAGAGTGGCCGTTGCCCTCATAAATGGGTCGCCCTGGAAGACTTTGAAACCCCGTACTGACTCATATGTTCCCGTCCAGTCCGCCAGGTCGCGCAGAACCACGCCGATGCCCTGCCACGAATTGGAATGAAGCCCCGACGCACGCTTAAAGGTCACCTCGCCAAGATTTACGCCATGCACTGGTCCACCGACCGTCGCCATCTCGTTTCCGCCTCGCAAGATGGAAAACTCATCATCTGGGATGCCTACACCACAAACAAGGTCCATGCGATTCCCTTGCGCTCCTCCTGGGTTATGACTTGTGCCTACGCCCCGAGTGGAAACTACGTCGCCTGCGGAGGTCTTGACAACATTTGCTCAATTTACAACCTGTCTTCGCGCGAGGGCCCCACTCGCGTTGCGCGAGAGCTCTCTGGGCACTCGGGATATCTCTCCTGCTGCCGTTTCATCAACGATCGCCGCATCATTACCTCCTCTGGTGACATGACCTGTATGCTGTGGGATATCGAGTCCGGAACTAAGGTGACCGAATTCGCCGACCACCTCGGCGATGTGATGTCGATCAGCATCAATCCGACAAACCAGAACATCTTCGTTTCCGGTGCTTGCGACGCTTTCGCTAAATTATGGGATATTCGTACCGGCAAGGCCGTGCAGACATTCGCTGGCCATGAGTCCGACATCAACGCCGTCCAGTTCTTCCCTGATGGTAACGCGTTCGGCACCGGATCCGATGATACTTCTTGCCGCCTGTTCGATATCCGTGCCGACCGCGAACTTAACACTTATCAGGTAATTACCCACGAGAATGACTGTTGTGAAATGCGGGAAGCTAACGAGAATTTCTTTAATCCAGAGCGATCAAGTTCTGTGCGGTATCACCTCCGTTGCATTCTCGGTCTCTGGTCGCTTACTGTTTGCTGGATACGACGACTTCGAGTGCAAGGTAAGCTGATCTCTCGCGTCCCACGAGGTGATTGAAAACTGACCCAGAAAACTAGGTATGGGATGTTCTGCGCGGAGATAAGATCGGTTCTCTGAGCGGCCACGATAATCGTGTGAGCTGCCTCGGTGTCAGCAACGATGGCATCAGTCTGTGCACTGGATCATGGGACTCTCTCGTAAGTTTCCTTCGATTGGAAGTCCGGAATTCTGCAAGGACATACACTAACCAGTTGTTTTCTCTTCTTACAGCTCAAGGTCTGGGCCTGGTAAACCAACAAAACAAAAACGCAAGATACCCCGTGTCGATCATTCTGCAATGCTCTTCTTCGAAATTTTTTAGGTTCGATGGTTCGAATCTCCGCCATTGTACGATAATAATCAGTTACCGGGGGACTCATCGGGTTCCCACGATAATACACTACTCACGGCGCAGGCATCGACTCGTCGCACGCGATACGGAAGGTGGAGGTGGTGAGCGCTTGGGGTTCAGTCCCGGCGAACAAACGATAGCGACGACAATACTTTGGACATGACGAGAGCGCGACTAGTCATTGGGTTGTCGATGGTTGTACAGTGACTTGGAGGTAAAACAATGCCGAATCAAGTCAATCCATCTGATGCTTCCGCCGTCACCCTTCCTGGTCCCTTGATTTCTCCCTTTACTTCTCGATGACGCCCTTTTCCCTTTTATCATTTTTTTGAATTCTTTATCCCCCCTTAAGTTAACCTACCTTTTTACCTTTTTTTCTGGCCTCCGCATCGGTGTCGTGTCTGTATGTGGTTTCTTGGCCAAGGCAAATGGATATCCTATCTGCTGGATTCTGGCTATGAGATTCCTTGCTGTTTCACTGCGTCGTTCACCTTATTATTCCCTTTTTCATTATTCATCTGACTCATCTCCCTGTTTTTCATTCCCTTTTTTTGCCTCTCAACAAAGAGTATGCTGTACTTACTGTCTTTGCGTTGGGATCTTTTGCTTGAGATTCCTTGGTGTCGGATTTTGATTATGTTTTCAGCAGTCCAATTTCCACTTGTGAACTTGTTTTCCTAATCCTGTCTTCAATCTTTCATACTAAGGCCGAGATTCAATCTCTGCTTGTTGTGTGGCTTTCTCAAATATATGGTATGAGCGTGGCGTGGGCATCAAACATAGGGCATGCATCAACGAACTTGATCCCTGTGTCGGTCTTTTTCAGACCACAGGCTCGCTACTCCATTTAGAGGCATACTAAATCTAATATGGCTGCGCGCATACTCAATGTCCAGCCTTGCATTTGAGCCCATGGACAGAGAGTATCGATCAAGGCACGCAACAGTATATACGCCAGAGCAGAGTGGAAGCAGCTAGCCGTCCAATCTATGCAGACATCAACCCAATTCCACCGCACTGGACTTCGTGCCCGTAACCATGAATGATGGCGGCCGACTTGATCATCAGCGTGATCATCACTGACCATGGCCGAGGCTATGATGGTGGCGACCACGAGTGCCGTGAGCCTGAGCTACCACAGCCATGCGAGCTATGAGAAACGCCATGCTCGTGGTGCTCATAGCGGAGATATGGTTGTGACTGATCAATCTCCGAGGTCAGAAAGGATTAAGAGTTGAGCCACATGCGTACCTGGCTGATAACCCTGACCTGGCCAAGCTGCGAAATCTCACCAATCTAAATTCTGATCTCATATCAATAGTCTTCTGTCAACTCTCACGGTCCTCGAACTTGCAATAGATGTAAAAGTGGGAAAGGTCAACAGCCAGAATCACTATGGGAGAAGGCCCAGAAGCACCAAAGAAGCCTCAGCCTTGGAAGTAAAGACCCTGAAACTGTACTGAATGAACAGGCTCCCCAAGTCCACCCAAAGAGGCATATGCTCGTGAATAAGAGAAACCTGACATCTACAGCCGGGGGCTAAGCATCGTCACTGTCACGCCTCATATGTCAGATTCCCCAGCCTCCGTCCAGCCATGTTTCAACCGTCAGCCTGTCTATCAAAGTTAAACATGACCCTAATTATAAACAACACGAGGGGCTTGAGGAATCGGGTGAGAACTAGTGCTTCACTTTACCCCCAAGCGTACATTGTCGGCAGAAGCCGCAAAAGTGTCTCAAACATGAACAAGCTTTTCCTACTATAAACCCTGGTCTTCCCCTGTCTCATACGCCAAGTTATTCCCCAGCATCCGATCCCGCCATCCACCATGTCCATTTCTACCTGCAACATCGTGTCCAACCCCTCCTTTGAAACAGGAGACCTAGCTCCATGGCGCGCATCCGCCGTGAACGTCGCCAAAATCACAAATGGAGCAACCGCCTATAGCGGTGACTACTACCTGTAAGACTTCCTTCTAAATATCACGCTTATCAAATGAAGATATCCGCTGACCAAGTCCCAGTAATCTCCAAACAGCAGTAGGAAACCGCGGCAACATTATATCCCAAGGCCTTCGTAATCTCAAGCGCCACACGCAATACGCATTCAGCGTTCAGGCCCAGCTTCCGTCACCATCCGGCTCGGAATATTGCTCGGTTTATGTGTACATGGGGCGCAACGCAACGGTCGGCAGCATTGCCTCGGCACAGCTGTTTCATCCTGGGGAGTGGACGGAGGTCTCAGGGACTTGGGTGCCAAAGCGGGAACAGGATGTCTTGAGTATTGTTGCTGCTTGTGATTCGGAGGATTCGTCGGTTACAGGGAATGTGCTACTTGATCAGATTAGTTTTGCCCCGGTTGATTGTTATGGGTTGGAATAGGGAGGATGCTTGGATATGGGGTCTTTGTATTATTGATAGGGTTGAATTAGCTATTTATGAATGCTGCCTTCAGGGCTGTCCATTTCAAGGTCTTATGTTATGAGGCTAGATAGAAAAGGGACGTGTTAGTGATAGGGCTATGTCAGTGGGTGCATGTAACTTTCGAATAGCTTGCCTCCTGTTTGCATTGAATGTCCAAGAATGATGTTCAATGCGACTCAGCCTGGAGGCTGGAAAAGATGTCTCCATTATGCTCGGGATACACTCAGCACAAGATGTAAAATGATCGTCTCGTGGTGGGAATCAACCTATGACTCGAAAAGATGTCTTTGGCCCCCACAAGACACAGGGCCCATGTACTCAACGTATTCACGAATCTTATACGAACCCTGTTGACATGTTCGAAACGTAATGGTGTCCAATACCGAGGGCTCTCCTTTGAGAATTCCACAAGTTGACTCAGAAGGTGGATCATTCACAGTCAGATCGATGATGAGAATCGAAACGTCTAGCTCAGGCAAGATGGATCTCAATAACCTAGCAAAACAGTGACGTGTTACCAGTCTGTGTCAGAGAAACAGGATCCATGGCCCTTTCCAAGGTCTATTTTTGTCCTTTCAAAGTGAAGTCACAGCCATTGAACTAGACCACAAGGCCGAGTCACGACTCACACCTTGCAACTTGAAGAATAGCGGAAAACCCCCAAATGTCGGCAAAACCCCCCTGTTTGAGGATTGTGATATTGAAGTACGTGATCGGCTCCCCCATAGCAATCGTGACAATCTTGGAATCGGACCTTCATGCCTCATAGAGATGAACTACCTGCTCGAAATTTCCTCGCACACGAACCGTGCCTTCCAAGATTAATGATGCGGAGATTGGATGCACTCGTAGGACGGTAGGAGTGAAAATTTCCGGGCAATCAGCCCTAAGCATATGGAGACCTTTTGAAACAGACGAAATCGTTCGCCCTCGGCCAAGCATGGGAGCCATAGCCGCACCAGTGAGCGGTTGCAGAATGCGCTGGCGTCTGCGCCAAAGCAGGCTCACACGACCAGTGGACTTTGGCAAGCACGGGACAGCTGCAGCTGTCGAGTGATGTCACTTGAATTTCAGGATGAAGAGATGGAACCTTTGGATACGAGGGCCCACCGAGCCAAGTAGAGCTATGTAAGCTTAGATTTTCAAGGTCAAGGCGCTGGAGACCACATCCACCCGCCAAGAAAGCTCGAGTTGAGGCAAGTAAGCATGTAGCGCTGCTGACAAGGGACGACAAGGGTATATCTAAACCGATCTAGGCATACGGTCGAGGAGATTGAGTTCAAAAGATGGTCGATCGCGCGGCAAAGCATGACTAGTGGGTTTGAGATATTGACGGAGAACAAGTTCAAGCGATGATAGTGGGGACATCCCGCGGCCGACGGGTCGGAGCCGAACCGTCAACTTAGAGCTCACGATGAGGTTTATATTTATATCGTGTTGAGGACCTCGGAAGACCTAGTCCAATCGAGTTGGTCGCGGGATCTACGGAATCTATCTCCACAGCCGAAACAACCCAAAGTAGGCAATCGGCCGGGGGAGTTGGGGTATACGCAAGTGGTTGCATAATACGTTGAAAATGCATCAAGGGAGTTCGGGAGTGGCAAGGCAGCTGCTATTATGCTACATGGTTCGATTTGTAGGAGATATGTGTGGAATTCATAGAAGTTCCATGGTTGTTCCCTATAGATCGCACAACATACTAAACACTAGTACTCCGTATCCTTGAGCCCAACGCATATACCATGGGTTCAACTGGGAAAAACTCAAACAACCTCTGGAAATGCCTGTGAAAGGTCCGAGAATTTCGGACTGAAGAGGAGAAGACCGTTGACCGCAGATGGGGAGAAAGAATGTCAGGCATTTCTTATAGTCGGGCGCTAAAAGAGAATTCTTTAAAAAAGATGAAACGAGGCTAACGACAGGTTCGATTCTTTTTCTTCTAGACTTTATATTTGCTTTTTCTGCTTTTTCTTTTTCTGAACCCGGCGAATTCCGTGTCACATCTTGACAATCTTCCATACGGAGTACGGAGTACTCTTGGGGTAGAACGTTGAAGTAGGGCATAGGGATCGGACCCTCTAGCCAATTTCACCCATCTTAGCCCAGGCAAAATGTCAAAGCCAAACTAGTACACAAACAGTAGCAGCAGTGAACGATCGGCCTTGTACAGTGATATAATCGGGCAATTGATTGGCGCAGAAAGTTCTTCGGGGAGTCGGTGGATCGGCCAGGCCTGAAACGTGAAAAGGGGCTGACCACCTCACCGTTTCACCCTGGCGATCTCTTCCCTGCTCAGCCTCCATCTCCGTTTCAACCTCAGGGGTTATTCGATTTGACCTCAACCTGCATTTCGCTTTCTCCCGAAACGTGCATCTTTCTTAAATCCCCCGAACCCCGCCATCATGTCTGCCCAAGAAGAATTCAATCAGCTGGTGAACAACCGTCAACGCTACACTTCACACCCGGAAGACCGTGACGACTCAGACCCCCACTACTCCGACGAAGAACCCCAGCACAAGGTTGATTCCTCCGACGAGGACGATAACGATAATATGGTCTCCTCTCGCGCCCCTACCTACCACGTTCCTAACACCGTCTACGACGCCAACACCGGTCCTAAAGGTGTCATTGCCGATGCTCAGGCTTTCGAGCGCGCCCGCAAGAAGTCCTTCCGTCGCACCCTCCTTAGCGCCGCTGGCATCAACCACGGCCCCTCTTACAACTCCAAGTCTACGAGGGACGAATCTCCCGCTGGCGAGTCTTCCAGTGACGATGACGACGAGGCCCGCTTCATGAACAAGTGGCGCACTTCTCGCATGCACGAATTGCAGCATAAGAGTGCCCGTCGTCCTAGCCCGCGGGGTCGACGGTTCGGCTCGGTTGAGACCGTTGATGCGGTGGGGTATCTCGATGCGATTGAGAAGGTCACTTCGGATACCGTCGTCGTCGTCTGCATCTATGACCCTCAGGTATGTTTTGAAGATGGTTCACTGGCCAATTCCTATGATATAGTTGCTGACTCTTTTCTCTTTTTCTCTTTTTAGTATGACGATAGCGCCATTGTTGAAGAATGTCTGGTTACCATCGCCCGCAGACAACCCACTACTCGCTTTGTGAAGATGCACCAAGACATCGCCGAGATGGATCACATCAAGGCTCCTGCTTTGCTGGCCTATCGTGGTGGTGATGTCTTCGCTACCATTGTTGATGTGCTGCGTAGCATCCCTCGGGGCCGCAGCTGCAGTGCTGACAGCTTGGAAGACCTGTTGAAGCTGTACGTACCTCCCAACGAAACTACCAATTGTGTACCAGTTACTAACCAGTCATACAGGAACCGTGTGCTTTAATTGATACTTCGATTCTTCCCTTTGTTTACATCTCGTTTTTAACCGTTCGACGGTAGCATGGCGTCCTGGTGGTGCGCTTCGTGATAATTTACAGGCCTTGTCTTTGCCTTCTTTTTTCTTATTTGTTTTATCCCCTTTGCTCTTTTCATCTCTACTCGACTCTCCCAACCTGACCTACATATCCTCATTTCCTCGACATGTTTAACGTTGCACACTGCGCAGAAAAAAGAACAGATCTCTTTGGCGTTGGTCCCACTATGGGGCAGATGGGCTGCTTCGGTTGATGGTCTGGTCACCATCCTGCTGTGTCCCACTGGACAAGAATACATTTTTCTTTTTCCATTCATGTTTGATTATTTCCCTCTTTTACAACCTGGCTGGGACCGGGCTTGATGTTGATTTGAGATATCCCATGCTGTACTTAGGCATCCATTGCACTCTATTCAAATACTTCTTGCCACCGTAGGCAATATGCGTAGATCACATAATGCCCATCACGATAGTTTTAGCCTTTCCTCGAGTTTGGAAGTCTTGAAGATTTGATGGCCGAGACCCAAAAAGTTAAGAGAGAATCCATGGAGTTAGATACCAAGACAGACATTCGATCTATTACTAGAACAAAACTCTAAGTAAAGCAAAGCAACAGGCCCTGGACCCCGGGCCTTCTACTTAACCGTTACAACATCAACCGATATCTGAGCAAAAGCGCGAGTAAGTTCAAATTGAATATATGTCTCTCCACCTCCAGTAGAGACTCTGATCGCAGTGATGCGGCGCAGCGGCCCGGAAAAAACAGAAGAAAGAAAAAAGGAAAAAGAACAAGAGCCATCCAATTTCCTTTGACGGTCCGCTAACTCCCCAGGTCAAAGACAAGAAAAATCATGAGAAAGATGTAACTAAGCGTATGAGAAGGAATGTGCACGAGAAGCAAGGACCGATTCGAGTATCCCATGCCTTCTCGCTTGGTTTCACTGGCTGCGTTACCTTCAAAGGGCGCCGCGTTCCGTCGTGAAATCCCAAAGCATTTTGATCAATGCGTCCGGTAGGGTGTAAAGATCAACGTGGAATTCTCCAACTGTGGGGATGTGTTAGATTTGGGCTGGGTCGGCGGAGATTCGAGAAAGCTGATGGAAATACTCACGTTCAACGTCATTCTTGGTGTATGAATCGGCTGCTTTGTTGTCATGGACCATCTGAACAACCTGCAGGAGATCATCTTCGTTAAGCTTCTGCAAGCCCTCGGCAAGCCTATCCATGTCGACCTTCGATGTGTCAGTCTGCCAGTCGGTACCTTGTCGGAAATCAGTGCCACTCACATTCTTGTCGGTGCGCTTCTTCTTCTTGGCGCTCTCCTCACCACCGGCGGGGCGCTTGGCCTTGAGACCGTTCTCATCTCCAGGTACGGGACCGGACTCACGCAGAGCAGCTAAGAGGGCTGGCTTGGGGTTCTTGAAAGTCTGTGGGCGACATATCAGCACGACACATTCGGGAGGATTGCTCTTTTGAGCCGAAACTTACCAGAACATGCTTGCTTTCATAGCGGTTTTGCGCGAAGTTGAGGTCATGTTGGATGGTGTAGGATTTGTCGGCAGTGAGCTCGATCGACATGTCAAACTCACCCCATCCTTCCTCTTGGATGCGGAATGGGGGCTGCTTGAAGACTATTCATTGAAATACCACCGCGTTAGCAAAGGACCCAATCACCGCCAGCGCGAACCGAGGATGCGCCGAAGCTGCATAACAATCAAGCCACGGGGGAGACCTATAGGAGCTCAATCATACCTTGAGTAGCACGGTCACCGAAACTGGGGTGCAGGTGGAAAGTGACTCTGTCGAATAGATTCGCCGGAACGAGCGCGCCCTTCTCATTCACGAGCCAGACCTCGATATGCCAAGATCGCTGCGGGAATCCTTCGACCTCCGAAGGCTTATCTCTGCAGTGGAAAGCCTAGTCAGCCAATGCTCAAACATATCTCAACGCGTCGTTCTGAAGGGAAGGGGTGGGGGGTGAGCTAATGGAGCAGTGTGGTTTGTCGCGTCGTGTGGCGATGAGGCGCATGGCTACGCCTCAAGTGTTGCGAGTAAAGCCATAGTAACATCCATTCCAAGGGCCCATTGAAGGATATGACAGTGTGTTGAGGGATTCTGAAGACCTGGTCACGAGGCCAAAGGTGGGGAGGTCAAGGTAGAGGCGGAGGAAGAGACAGCGCACGTACATAATGTTCTGCTCAGTGATGAGACGGACTGTCCTTTTTACCTGCCGAGTGAAGGAAAGTATTAGCCAAGAAGAAGTAAATTGAGCTCAAAGCTATTGCGCATGTTGGACCAAGCCCAGGGCACAGCAGTAGGGTCTGCCATGGCGAGGACCCCAGTTTGGGACCATGGAAGAAGGTCTTCGGCTGGGGCTGAGAAATGAGTATAAACAGAGTGATAACTCACGTCGGGCATTTTGAATGATTGGGAGCACAGTGCTTGCGCGAGTGGGTTGTCGGGGTTGAAGCTGAAGGGGTGTCGTGCGGAGTGACGGGGAGACAAGTTTGCGTGGTAGGAGGTTGAGAAAATGCGCGACGAGCGACGAAGGGAATGGGCGTCTCAGGTGCTGATATACTCCAAGAGTCAAGCCGAACGATAAGAGGCTTTGGGGGAGACACACTGAACTATTCAGATGAGGCGATGAAGAAGTGGGAAGTGAATTCAGGTCATGAGGTTAAGTGAGGCCCATCAAGTTTGCACTTTGCCTCCTCCATATTCGCCCTACGTACATGGCCCTGTAAATTACTAGACAATTCACATTTACAATATGCATAAGCTATTCTCAAATTAACTGCTCTGGAAAGTGAATAGAGCTCAAGTCCGCCATTTTTGTGTTCAGAGTCGAAGAGCGAGTAACGACTAAGTAACGGCTAAGTAACGGCCGAATAACGACGATGTGCCGCCTCGCTTCTGGATTCTCAACCTCGTCCATTTCAAGGCTGTTCGTTCATGTTTCGGTCTATTGTATTCAGAGAGATAGCGTTCAAGGCCACGTTCTTTTTGTTTTTGTTTGTTTTTGTACTCTTTTACTCTTGGGTTGGGGTGTTTTCGGTTCCTCATGCCAGATATCGTGAAGGGATGGGGTCATGTGCAGGGTGTATATTCGATGGGAAATTTCTATCTACTGCCGAATTGCGAACCACCGACGTAAGGGAAACTGCTCTCCATTTCGTAGACTGCATGGCTCACAATAGCTGTGCGAACAACATCTTCGTAACTGCTGCCTCGCTCGTTGCGTCGTAGGGGTTGGGGATTGGGGGTTGGATTGGGGTTGGAACGATGTGAAGGGGGCGAAAATAGGGCGGTTTTGCGAGAGCGAGCCCCGGGACGATGGGGGCCAAAGGCCTGGAGTGTCGGCTCAATGGATTTCTATCCTTCGAAGCCGCGAGGTGTGATCAACATTGCGGATGAGAAGATGTTTACTCCTCAGCGTTGAAGAGCTTCTCGTTCTCCTGCTGGGCCTTCTCGAAAGCCTCCTTGAAAAGGTTGGCGTCTAAGGGAATAGGTTAGCAAAGAACGGATCCAATCGTGACTGGAAGCTCCAGGGCTGTGCAGGGTAAACTCACTCTCACTGTTGCCGAAGCGGATGGCCAGAGTCTGGGCCTCGGGCTCACCCTCAGAGACATCGGCAGCGGCGTTCCAGACCCAGCTGCGGTCGGAACCGACGTTGGCGCTAAGCTTCATATCGGGGACAACTGGGACAATGTGTTAGGAACGAGAACTGGTGGACGGACAGCTTGGAATTGGGAAATCTTACTGTAGTGGTTGGCGCAGACCTTGAGGGTCTTATCACGACGCATGACAAGGCGGGTCTTGTGGTTCTCCTTGTGCTTAAGCAGACGGACGTCACCGGTACCACGCTCCTTCCACTCCTTAGACTCGCGGTCGAACTTGAACAGCTTGGCGCGCATCTTGAAGGACTGCTCCTCAAGCTCCTCGTTGGTCTTGGTCTCAACCTTCTCGGTCAGGTGGATGACGGGCTCGAAGTGAACATCGGCGGATTGCTCGACCTCATCCTGCATTGAGAAACCATGGTTAGCATACTCGCGAATGGGGTAGAATGGCTGGCGTATTTTGGGCGTGGTTGCGACGACCCCACTATATGGGGAAAGGGGCACAAAAGACCCCGCTCCCACTGTGTACGGCGCCCAACAACCATAAATGTGCCCAGCATCAGATGTATCCAACGTACCTCCTCTTCGGCCTTGTTGGCCTTGGAAGAGCCGGAGGGCTCATCAGTGGGCTCCTCGGCCTCTTCCTTCTTCTCCTTCTTGGGACCGCCACCGAACATGGAGAAGACGCTGTCAGAGGTCTTCACGGCGGCATCCTTAGCGGTGTCAACGGCCTCCTTGGCGGTCTCGGTCACGGTCTCGGTGGCAGCCTCAGTGGTAGACTTCTCGCCCTCGCCGGTGGCGGGGGTGGTCTCCTCGGGCTTGGTGTCAGAAACGACGGTGGGGTCGGGCTTCTTCTCGGCGACGTCAGACATGGCGAGGGATTTCAAGGTGATCGGTTTGAAATGATAAGAATGTGTGAAATGGCGGAGTTCCACGGGTACAAGAGTGGAATCACAGGAAAAGAGATGGGAGTGTTTGTTGATCAAGAAAAGCGGCGATGAGGGGGAAAAATTAATACCTACATTGGGTCCCATCGCTGGCAGAATCCCCACCGCCTGCATCTGCCAATAGTATACGTCGAATACAAACAAACAATGCGCTTTAATCTTTCATACGGAAATTGATCACGATTGAATTCAAATAATAGCATTTGCGTCGGTTTAATAACCCGAGTTAATCCCCAGCCCTGTTGCCTCCCAATCCTGTTCGCCATAAACAAAACAGAAAGAAAAAGAAAAAACGAGAGAAAATATCCGTTCCTCAGCCAATCCATTAAGAGAAAGAAAACAAGAAAACAGCAATTACATAGTGATAAAGGGGGGTGATCATCATTTCGAGCGAGCAAGAGTTGAGCAATCGTCGGGTTTACCCGACCAGATCTTCATCACGTATCGCGCACGCGATTGAGCCCGGTCTAGGGCTTCGCACTTTCTGGCGCCGCGTATTCGGTCCATAACGCTTCGGAGGTCCACCTTGGGTGCTGAGCTCTCAAGCCGCGCCCAAGCATCATGCACGAAACTTTTGGCTTCCTTGTTGACGCTGGTGGTGCGCATCTGCAACGCAGAGGAGACGATTTGGAGTCTCTGGACGGCATTGCGGGCTAGGGCGTCGGACATTTGCTTAGAGCGGGCAAGAACTGCGTTGCGGGCACTCAGGCTTTCATTTCGTAGGCTTTCTGCATCACGGCGCAAGAAGTGTGCTTTCTTCACGACGTCACCCATGAGAACTTGAACGTCTGTGGAGAACCGGCCATACACCTCTGTCAATCCGGTTTGAGCTGTATGCAGGTCCTTGGCGAATTGGGCTGTGATTCCTTGTGCAGCACGTTTCCAATTCGAAATCTTCAACCACGGAGTCCCAAAGTCCAGAATTATTGTTTGATTCACTGGACGTCTGGTCTTGGGCGTGATTGTCAAGTTGACCAAGCCGTACGCATCTTCTCGGTTGAGCTTTAGAGTATAAACCCCATCGAAAAGCGCTGACAGCTCATAAGAAAGAACCTTGTCTTGTCTTTGGGCGCTAACATTGAACTTGGGGTGCTTCTTGGACGATGCAAGTTTGGGGGAGGCTTGATGATGACATGGCAGTCCCCAACGACTTGGAACTCGAATTCATCGGCCCTCCCGGGAGTTTGGAGTGAAGAAAGAGTAGACACCCGAACGTCTGAAATCGAATCACCCACGGAGGGTACGTGCAATAGTCGCACAGATGACGAGGGAAGCATCGCGATAGGAGTCTGGTTCACTCGGTCCAAGGTTGGAATAGAAGCGGAAGAGACCTGAGAAGCCACTGGGAGGGATGCACTGGAAATGGATGCGCCAACGATGCACTGTGCTAGGAGAGAAACCAATAGCTGGACAGCTAAATACCCAAGAAAGACGGCAATGATCGATATGAGACTCAAGGTAGCCACGCGCAGCGTTGGGGACATCTCTCTGACCTTAGTGGCATATGCAGGCGGGAGCCACTGTGTAGTGTACTTTTCGAAGTCCACAGAGATACCTCGCTGCGCAGGCTTGTGGGATTGAGCGGCGACTTTATGCGCCCTCTTGGGGTACAGGCCGACGAGTGAGGCGAGATTGCGATTCAACTGACCAGCTGTGATGCTCTCGAAGGTCTTCAAATCGATGGGATACCTTCTTAGAACAGCCGTCTCGCCGGACAATGGGTGTCGGGACTCTAAGCACGTATGCAGACTGTCATGGTTGAGAGGAATCATTTCCCCGGCCATGGTCCACATTGGCTCTTCCGATATAACCATGGCTGGGATTTCGTGACGCTCTAAGAAAGTGTGAGCAAGACGCTGAGTCCTCACAGCCGATTCGTTATCGCCCTTAGAGACGAAGAGGATGGCCACATCGGGCAGAGTCCAGTCAGATGTAGACGAGACTCCGAAGTCGATTCCGTTCCAAGCCGATGTGCATGAGGGACGGTTCTTGAATCTCAGGTTGAGGGTGCTAGGTCGGTCCGCGTGTTGATCGTCGGTAGCCTCCAGACATTCGTCAACCACAAGTTGGACGTGGATCGGTAGGAGCTCCGCAAAGGTAGGAATGGCGCCAGCGCCAAATGAGGTTGGTACAACATGGTAGCGGGAGGATTCAGCGGAGCTAGCTTCTGAGCGAGTACCCGAGCTTGATACTAGAACATCTCCGATCTTGTCGAGGATGATGTTACGGAAACCGGGGTGTCCGATATACAGCACACGGAACGGCTTGTCTAGGTCAAGGCTCTGCTTGGTCATGGTCTGTTGAACAGTGGCCATGAGGATGGAGTCGGTTGAGTTGTATGGCAGCCGGCTCTTTAGTTCCGAAGCTGCAGCACCTTCAAAGATGCGGATGGTATGCTTGAGCTCCACCCTCTCGATCTCAGGCCACATCTCGGGCTCAACAAACTCGATAGAATCACTGGTCTTTGGGTACGAAGGTTTGGTGGTAATAGTACTATCATCGATCGCGGCTCCTCCGGAAGCAAAGAGGGCAGGAAGCTCTTGGGAAGCCGAGTCGGTGCACTGCACTTCTTGCTTATCAATTCCATCATCTTCTTCGTCTTGGCTGTCCTCGTCTTGATTGTCCTCGTGTTCCGCATCGCTACTGCTGTAGCGCTCGTCGAGGCTTGCGACATCGTCCGGGATCGCCTGATCAATCAAGGAGCACGTATCGGTCTGTTCAGAATGACTGCCATCCTCGGAGTGGAGGTCAGACACACTCAAGGTGGCCCAGCTGTCACTCAAGGATTTGGGAGAATCAGAGAGTCGAGCTGACGTCATGTTTGTGGGCCGCGAGCGAGACAGCCACTCTTCGACAGAGGCTGTTAGGGGAGGCAAAGTCGGATATTGCAAAGTAGAGGAGGTTTGGGCACTGATAAGACGCCGACGAGGCGACTCGGGAATGTCAGTCATATCGTCGCAGGTAATGTCATGGATGCAGCGGCGGCTGAAACAGAGGCTCAGGAAAGATCTCAAGCCTGAGAAAAGAAGCCAAGAAAGAAAAGCAGAGTTAGAGGCACAGAATAAGCGGGGGATAGGAAAAGGGAGGGTCGGAAGATACTGGATATGCCTAAGCAGAGAGACCACAAAAGCCCAATAGAGTAGAGTGATGAGCAGGTGGGTCTGCGGGGATGACCGTCACGGGGTTTCTTGAGGAAGGGACGTAAGGGTTGAGGGAAAAAGAACCCCCCAAAGAAGAAGAAAGAAAGCTGTATCAATAAAAGAAAAGTGAAAGATGAAGATCGCAGAGTGAGGGGTGTGTTTGATAAGAAGTACCTGAAGTAGATGACCCGAGTGGAAGTAATGGCGGGGTTGTACTGGGTACCTGTGTGTCGTATGGTGGTTGGTCCTATGAGGGTGGTATATTGTACCAAAGCATAGGTGCAGTAGTCTCTCCTGCCCTGGAACTCTCTAACATGCGTCTCTTTGTTCCTTTGCAACGGTGCATATACTACAGCATGTACAATATACAAGTTTAGCACTTGATCTCCTTGAAGCTCCACTAGAGGCCCCACATATGATCGCCTTTAAACCCTGGGTGACTTGACTACTTTATTTACATTCAAAACTGAGATCGCTATACCTCTCTTCTCATTGCTCTCAGTTGACTTATTCCAGTAATGGTCTCATCAGTTCCCCAAACCCCGCCCGTTCTGCAATGTCCATCAGTGTCTGACCCGAAGCATCCCTCCATGCGCGATCGGCCCCCATCTCCAATAAAAGTTGAACAGCAGAATCGTGACCTTTGAGCACTGCCAAATGAATCGGCTGCATAAAACCAGGAGGTAAATCCGAATACCGCATTCCAGGATCCGCACGGTATTTTAAAAGAAGCCGAATGTTGGTTATGTTGAAATTCCGAATGGCAATGTGCAAGGGTGTGTTTACACCGCTGTCGTCTCTTCGGTTCGGGTCAGCACCTTTCTCCAGCAGAAACTCAACGATCCGATCGTGTTTCCTGTACAAAGCGCTGTGGAGCGGTGATTCCATGTCGATATCGGTGGGGTCTACGTCGGCACCCAACTCGACCAACCTGCGTGCCAAGCCTTCATCGCCCAGTAGCGCGGCTTCGAACAAAGGCGTTTGGCGATATCGGTTTTTGGCAGAGACGTCGGCCCCATGATCGAGGAGTTGATGTGCAATCGCGATATATCCTTTTTCTATGGCGATTGCCAGCGGTGTCTGATCGTGAGTGGCATCACGGACTTCGATGTTGCCGCCCTGCTGGATCATTTTCTGCAATGTGTCCGGCCGTCCACGTGTCACGGCCCATATGATGGCTGAACTTGAGGATTCAGCCACATTGTGAGTGTACAGAAACGGGTTGAAATGATGATAGATATATGGGTGCGTGCAGATAAGGGCGTTGATCTCTGTCTCCGACTCGAGAGAATCAAAAATGCTTTGAAGTAGCTCGTTTGGGAGGCTCAGGATTGACATGCTTCAAAGCGATGACGACAGCACGCTGACATATGGCTTGAGTGGAGACTGACTAGGTGCGAGGTTTGTGCTCCGTACTCCGTACCCTCTTCGAGGATTAAAGGCGGCTGATAATATCGGGAAGAGCCTTGGCGTGCTCTCGTTCCTGCTGCTTACGCCTTGCTGCAATGTTGATGGGTCAAAGTGACAGGAGCATCCCCACCCTAATAGGACCCCGGGAGCTAATATGGACCTGTGATTGGATTGAATAGATACGAACTACATACGGAGTACTCCGTATGTCATGTAGTTATCGGGACTTTGGCCAATTCGAATTTATAAGCAATCTTGAGGATACTGACCACCCCCAGGGATCCTTCTAGGTATGTAAAGAAGTCCACGGTTTACCAAAAATCTCACTCGCAAAGACCTAGTATCAACATTTCGCAATTACTTGCAAAATGTCAATTAACCCTCAGCTCGATAACGGTGCCGTGTTAAACTGGCTTGAAGAGGCAAGCCGTACTTTTCCCCCAAGAACAGCCCAAGACAACTAACTCGTTGCGATTCTCAGTTCCATCGGGCAAGTGCCACTCTTGATGCCGATCGATGGCTTGACGAGTTCATGACCGATGATGTCGAGATGCAATACGCAAACAGCCCTGTTATCAAGGGCGACGAGGTACGACAGATGTTCAAAACTGTCCTCGGTCAGCTAGACAAGATGACCCATGAGATTCGCTACTTTGACTACGTCGCTCCTCGCATCTATCAAGCTGCTACTATCCGTTACATTGTCAAGGGTGACAACCCAGACACCGACGAAATCACTATACCCGGTTTTGCGGTGTTCGCTCTTCGAGAGCAGGACGATGGACGTGTGAAATGCTATCGGGCAGAGACCTTTTTGGATGCGTCAGCTGTGTTTCAACGGATCGCTGAAAAGTCCAGCCAGTCATGAATTCTCCTGTGAAACATGTTTGGGCCAAGCTTGGTGAGTGGGAAACGAACTCTCCGTTGCAGAAGAGTCAAGTTAATGAAAGATCGACAGAAGAACTGGTCCCGAGTCGATAACACAAGTTCAGTCGGATTTCCATGTCTTTGAATTTTTAATACAGATACGCAGTTGCATTGAATCGCTAGGAAACTTGGGAGAGAATAAAGATTACTCTAGTCAACTATAAATTGACATATCTTTGATTGTATAGGTATAAACCCTTTCTCCATTCCTCAGCATTGTCCAGATTGAGCTTAGGCAAACAATTTATTCCGATAGGTAGTCACGCCCAATGTCCCAATATAACTAGATCACGAAAAGCAATCAAAATGAGGTTCTTGGAACCTTCACACCGATCTGCCGCGTATATCTAGCTGAGATTCTCTTGGAAGAATCGAGTGAGCTTGGCGAATGGAATCAGCTCCGTGCGATCATAAAGGTCGACATGGCCAGCTCCAGGAATCCAGACAAGCTCCTTAGGCTCGCCCGCACGTGCGTAGGCATCTTCGCTAAACTCGCGTGAGTGTGCCTGGTCACCAGAGATGAAAAGCATCGGACGCGGCGAGATGCTGTCAATATCGTTGAAGGGGTAGAAGTTCATGAACTTCGTATTGGTCGAGAGCGTCGGGTGCGTTGTCAGATTTGCAGTTGTGCCCCGAGGCGTGACTTCACCGCGCGAGGTACGATAGTAGTCGTAGAACTCACGCTCCACGGCGGTTGAATTGACAGTGAGTCTGTTCGGGGTGCCACCTGTGTATTCGGTTCTACCACCATCGACTTCAATCCAACGCTGCTGAGCCGCCATGGCGATAATTTCCTTGCGCTCAGCAAGGTCCTGTGACTTCTGTAGTCCATCTCTGCTCGCGGCGCCCATGTTGTACATGGATGATGTTGCGATGGCCTTGATGCGTGGATCAAGCTTCGCGGCGCTGATGATGAAGGAGCCACTGCCACAGATTCCGAGACCGCCGATTCGTTCACGGTCCACCGATGTCAAGTTCTGCGAGCCGAGATAGTCGATTGCTGCACTGAATGCCTCTGCGTATAGTTCGGCTGACACGGCATTACGCGGTCGACCCTGGCTGCCGCCCCAAAATGGCAGGTCAAGGGAAACCGTAACGAAGCCTTGCTCGGCCAGCTTTGTGGCGTATAGGTTTGCACTCTGCTCCTTCACTGCACCCATCGGGTGGCCGACGACAAGTGCTGGGGCAGCAGCATTGCGGTCGATGTTGTTGGGGATAAAGAGGTTACCCGTGATCGCTGTATGGTATTGACTTGGGAAGGTGATTGAGTTTTTCGTCACATTGGCACTGCGATAGAAATTGTCCGCTCCGTATGACAGATTTTGAGCTATGGCTGACTTGACACAAGCCATTGCCATGCCAATCACAGCGATGTTGTTCACGATCTTCATGACGCTGCTCAAATGCTGTTTGAAATAGGGAGCTGAGATTGTCTGAATATGATATAGGTTCCTGGTAGGAAGCTCTACCTTTATACCTGATCTCTATCTCCATCAAGCCATGGAGCTCGGGATTATCGGATGGTGATGACCTTGAAGATAGGACTCGTGGACCAAGGCGTCGTCATGCCAAGGCATGGCATTGGTAATGCCTGATCTACATACCATATGTTTGAGAGTCTTGGTAGTACATCATACAGAAGATAGCACAATAGAATGAAGAAACTTGTACGGAGTAAGCATTGGACGATCCATCAATTTCGACCTGGCGCTAATGCAGGATGCTTACATTTTTGGCGAATCAAGACCCGCTGCTCGGCGATCCATCTAAACATTTCCAAGGGTTTGAGGATACTCCCGTTGTTCTTCTCCGTAGGCAACAATATTCTAGCTCCATTATTCCCCGTTATTGCGTTGAGTTTAAGATGCTGACATGCAAATCTGCCCCTTGATGGATTACATAGATCGTGGCTTACCTCACTTACTTTGTTGTCGTATGCTCCAACCAGTAAACACATAGGGATCCTCAACGGGGCTTCTACCGAGGTCAGAACAGGCTGTTCGGTGGGCCCAATCAAGAAGACTAGCTCAGCTAGTTCTTCATGATCTTTAGTGCAATCATCGCCTTGATTGCAGAGAATACAGATCTTCTAGCCTGCAGCAGTTCTAAAATCGCTCTAGGGGAGTTAAAAGTTGATGTTTATACAAAGGAACCTTGGAAGGTATTGTTGCAAACCTTGGAATTTGGAATGGATGGAACTACATCCATGGGTCTTGGGACTTCTCCCAGGGCCGGTATACATCCAGCTATCAAAAATTGGAAGTGTTCCAAGGTTAACCTTGGAAATCAATTGCACAAATGGCAGGAAACATCTTACATATATCATTCCAAGGTTGAAAGTCTTGAGCTAGGCACAAAAAAACAAAATGCATTATACTGATATCATTCTTCACGTAATTCACCTGGTGATTATTCCATACTCTATAGACAACCATGCTCGATCTGGTATTTGCGAAATTCAAAAGACAATGCGGAAAACAACCCGTGTGCCACGGTGTCAAGGATGAGGGAGGGAGGAGGGTAGAGGGGAAGGTATGTACATTTCACGAATGCATGCTGAAAGACAATCACAAAAACACTGCGCACACGGGAAATGGGAAATGAGAAATGACTCAACTCTTCTGTGGAAAACGTGACGAACATGGGACAGTGAATGGCGGAGACAATGGTAATTGAGGCGGGAAAATGGACGAAGCCTTCTTCCCTACCTCCATATCAAAACCAACCACCAAGATCGAGCAATGTTCCGTGGAACATGGATATGGTGGTGGATTCTAGTTCTGCAAGAGATTGAGAGAGAAGAACCAGACGAGACATTGATCCAAAGGCCGCCCGAAGGATCCCACGAGAAGAGCATTCGAGATTCCAAATTCCACATGTGCCGAGGCTCCATCACCGAAACGCACACTTTCTCTCAGATACAATAAGAGCTGAGTCACAAGCAATCATGTGTGACAGCATGGTAGATGGAGGTTTCAACAGTGATGATGAGAATGGTCATACCATCTTCCGAACAAAAAAAGAAAAGCTGTCAATTCCATTGAACGCCGCCCAGAAAAAGAGCCCCATGACCACACGTTATGCAGCCAGGCTTCAACAGAAAACTCCCATGGGCTCACCCGAGTGATGCTTGCAGTTGAATAAAGACAAGGTAGAAAGGGGACGCAGATGGGACAAACACTGAGCACTACAGCATTATCATCCTTATTTATGGCGAGGACCAGCCGCCGGCAACCTCAACCCATTCGGGAAGACAACTGCCTTGCTTGCCTTCGACATCGACAATGTCGGTGTCACAGCGGCATCGACAGCCGACGCCATTTTCCTTGACCTGGTCCGCATTCGCCCAGTATTCATCTTCCTCAATACGCTTCTTCTCATCCTCCGTGGTCTTTTCGAGGTATGGGATGCGAGTAAGTTGGCGAGCGGGAGCGTTTGCGGGGCAGTGTTGGATGGTCGTGTGACGGTAGCCAAAGTCACGGAAGTAGTGGATGTCACTGGGCGCAAGGAGAGCACCAGCGGCAAGAGAGTGAATAGGAGCATCGCCCCACTAAGTCAGACAGTCAGTACAAACTTTGATGAATCTGAAAACCGGGTTACTTACTCGTTCATTCCAGAAACCACCGCTCCGGTCCATCATGGTGAAGAAATCTTCATACTCCTTGCTGCGGAACCAATCCAGACGAGCGATTTCAAAGTTACTCCAGAAATGACACATGTTGTAGCTCTCGCCTTCCATAGCCTCAGGGTCGATATCCTTCAGGTTGTTGTCACCGGGATCAGTCTGCAGGATTTCGTCGGGCAATTTGCCCTGGTTGTTCTCCTCGGGGACCTCTGGCTTCTCCGGTTGCTCCAGGAACATCTCCCACAGACCCTTAGACTTCAGGTTGTACTTGCGCTTGTAGGCGGCCGCATAGCGGAAAATGTTGGGGACTGTTTCCCTAAGCTCCTTGACTGCAATGGTGAACCCGTATGTCTTGTTGGCTTCGGCCATCTTGAGGAACGGATCACTAGAAAGAGAGGTCAGAGACTGGGCGCCCATATCAGTACTTAATAACTTACTAGGTAATGTCGCAGAAGTAGGTGATCTCGGGCTCCAAACGCCAGTACCATTCGTACTTCATCAGCAAAGGATGCTTGTAGAAGTGTCTGTCGCTAGATTAGCGGGATAGCCCAATCGCAAGAATGTCCCAAAAAAACTTACCCGGAGTAGAATCGGCACATGTGGTGATAACTTTCCATGCCACCGTACATTATGGCAGCATCACCTTGCTTCCTGATGCCTTCCTTGGCAACATCATGGTCAACCCAATCGGGGAATCCCCACATGCTGTTATCAATCTTGCCAAATTCCACATCGGCATTGGTGTAGTTCTTCACGGTGGCCTTAAAGTTGTCATCGAAGTCGCCATCATTGAGGAAAACATAGGGGTAGTTCCACCACCGGTTGAAATGTCTTTCAATCGACTTGAGCGATTGAATTACACCATCAAGCTCCTTGTTTCTGGCAAGCACGACGAAAGCTGCATTGGCGCGGGGAGCCTTAGCAATTGCTTCAGGCTCGATGGGCATACATCCCGTGGCGAAGACCTTATCGTGCTTTTCGCTGATTTTTCTGCAAGAAACGACCGAGGTTAGTGACGCAAGCGACCATCGCCTGAGGTGGAGTTACGAACCGGATGGAGGGTGGGGTGCCCGCTGGGATTAAGATGCCCCCGGGAGAGGCAGGGTGTCGCACAAAGAGAAGCAGAATGAGGACAATTACAAGACATGGAAATAGTAAAACAAGACCCAGGGGTATAGAAATAGAAGAGTTGCCCTTTAGACGGATCCTCCGCCGGAAGAAGGCAAATCTGGGATGATGGCGGCCTTTCTCATTGGGAGCATCTTCCAACGGCAGGCTAGGCGCGCTGGGCAGCCGTTTCGTGATTCGTTGAATGAAACTCATGGATGCGATTCTGGCAGGACCCCACAGATGGCAGTAGCGTCGGCTGTCAGAACCAAGCGACAGCACAGGGCTGTTAAGGGGATGGTGGAGATATCGTGTCGGATGTGCGATCGGTGGCAGGGGGGCACGTCTCGGGAGAGAGGGTTTCGGCGCACGGTATAAGATGGAGAAATGGAGTACGGTAAGTTCCGATAGTCAAAACTCAAGAAGTGAGAATGGGAGAAAAAGACAGCAAAACGAGTGGCCGGAGGTATGCCTCCTTTCCTTTCCCCCAACTTTCTCAGTCCCACGATCGTCAAATGGGGAGAGCGTCGGGAGCAACGCAAGCAACTGTGAACAGCGAGGTACACAGGGAAAGGGTCGAGAACATGGACGGGTGATGGAAGGAAGATGAAGGGAATGGGGATGGAAATGGGCTTGGAACCTCGCCAAGACTGAGAGGCCACAACGCTTGCGCCTCCCTGTCACATCGAAACGGTCATTTTGCCCCTGGCGGCCGTCTGGGCGTGCCAATTCATGTATTTAACGGTATTGTATCGTTTGATCATTTACCCTTTTTTGGGAGGTTTTTTTTTCTCCTTTGGAATTACCCTACTTATTGAGTACGGAGCATAGAGGAAGAATCACTGTTCAGTGTTCTCAATTGATTAATTTTTGGCACTTTGATAATATGCAACTTTGTACTTTGTACCTGTACCAAGGGAGTGTATACAACTGCTGATCTGATGAAGGATGGAATTGCACTTTTAAATACAGTCCTAGTAAACGTACCGGGCACCGCGTATTGGCCCCTTAAGGGTAACTAGCCAAAGTCTCGATAATTTTGAACCCATCTAGTTTAGAAAGTATGCTTGTGCTCGTGTACAGCTGGTTCCTGGATTCTTAGTTGTTCTACGGTACCACCTACTTCTACGCAGTACGGAGTACTTGGGATTCACTTGATCCAGCCCTATCTGGTCCGTACTATATAAGATGATCCACTAGTATGAAACTCCAGCTATTTTCTACAAGTTCAAACGCAACATTAAGTCAAGTGCGGTCTACGGAGTACGGAGTAACAAATTGCTATTTGTCTCACTCTGAAATCACCGACGATCGAGGGTCCAAATCTTCCCCATTCCAATACGAGATCGGCGCGTGCGAGTTTCATCTGACGACCCAGGAAGAAGATGTACCAAATGTCGTACATCTGAAAGTGCAGGTCTTCATTATGTACACAATACATTTTACCTGGCAAAGGCTACTGTGTCCAGACCGCGTGTACACAAGTACCCAGTACCGCCTAGACCCTTTTTCACGTGACTAAATACGGTATTGGGTAATTTTAATTTCCGCGAGTCTGGACCTTTTCGCATCTCCAGCATGTTCAGCATTACATCAGATAGTACTATCTTTCTAAAATGATGTCCGTAAAAGTTGGAGTATTGCTCGTGTGCGTCATTGCCTCATCAGGGACTACTTAATCTCAATTTCGAATTGAAGACTTTACATATCATATGTATGGAGGACGGAGTACCTCCTTATGAAACGTTAGTAGATCCCAACTTGAGCAAGGGCCCAAAAGGCTTGGTTCCGGCCAAGACCGTCATCCCCCCATCACAACTCCGCATGATACTCTTCTCAGAACTCTGTGGCGATCACTGCATGGGGCTATCAGCGCGGGGCTTCCCCTTTTCTCGGGACTCTCACCTTCTTCCTCTTTCCAACTCAGTATGAATACTGTGCTGTCAAGGCCCTCGGCTAGTGCCCCGGTGATCAAGCTGCCGGAGCCTGGCCCCTCATCTTTTTCCGCCCTCGCAACAATGGAAATCAGGATCCATTCTCCCCCGTCAACGAAAATGGAAGCTTCGAATTCGATCGCGTCCTGAAAACAGGGAGGGTCTGCCGTCGAGTCAAACACAAACATGTCTTTCGCGCCTCATGGAAACCCGCTTACCTCGTCCTCCGGCCAAACCTCCTTTCCGTATACAAGGACGAGGAGACTACCCGCCTCCGTGTCTCCGTGTCTCTCTCCGAAGTCACCGCCGTCGCACCCGTCAAATCTCCTCGATCGACCCGGCGACATGTCTTCGGCGTCTTTACCCCGTCCACAAACTACCGCTTCGAAGCTCCGACGGAACGCGATGCTGATGAATGGATAACACGGATTCGCGCCTCCATCCCGAACGACGAGCACGAGCGTGCTCTCCTCGGCCTGGTCAAGAAGCAGGAAACTCCGACCATCAACAAGCAGCTCGTCGACGACACAACCGATCACTCCGACTTCGACCACACCGGCCGTGCCAGCTCTCCAGAGCCGCGCCATGCACTATCTCCCCGAATCGGAACCCAGAATCCCCCCTTACATTCAGGATTACTCGGGCAACGAACTAGCTTCGCATTCAGAGTTCTCCGATGGGCCCGCCCCTTCCCGGAATCGTCATCTACGATCAATGCCTTCTATACATTCGTTATCTCTTTCTGCGCCAGAAGAGAAATCCTCATTCCTGCCGTCGTCATCTCTGCCATCGTCATATGCCCCATCTTCATCCCTACCTTCTTCATCTCTGCCATCAACTACGCTTCCTAGCAAGCCGGCAGACCATAGCATCTTGCGCGACCCAGAGCGGGTCATCTGCCAGGGGTACCTGCAGGGGCTGCGGATCCAAGGGACCGTGCGTCAATGGAAACGACTTTGGGTTGTGCTTCGACCCAAAAGTCTGGCTTTCTACAAAGACGACTCAGAATACTCCGCCCTCAAGATTGTTCCAATGTCTCAAGTATTTGATGCCGCAGAGGTAGATCCCATGTCGAGATCGAAGAAGTTCTGCATGCAAATTATCGCCGAGGAAAAGACATACCGACTTTGCACTCCAGATGAAGAGTCACTGGCGCGCTGGCTTGGATCACTCAAGAGTATCCTCGCCGCACGCAGAAAGCTGGACCCTGTTCTAGGAAGTTCGGTATAGTCATGATTGCCAGTCTTCTTTCTGTGTGGTTTCTCCGGCGCCATCTACCCCATCCTGTCGATGACCTACTCTTTTTCTTTTTCTTTTCTTTTCTTCTACCTCTTTTTACTTTCACATTTCTCTCTTTCAATATACCCAGGTTGGTGATGCACTTCCCACTTCTCCTCGCATGATGCGCTTCGGAGTTCTCGGGAAAAGGATTGGCGTTTGTACATTTGTACCAATTGAATGGACAAAGGAGTTTGTTCTCTTCATTACGGAGATGATGCACTTGACTTTGCTTCCATATCATCAATTCCCCCTACTATCGTTTAATGAGGCGGTACTTTCTCGGCATGCACTTGTGTCTCTCACTGTCGAGTCCGACATCCTCTACATTTCTTTTTCTTTTTTGTCTTCCCCTTCTTCCATTTATGATATTATATATTGTATTATAGTTATTATCATTGGCGATGGTACTATAATGTCTCATACATAATGCAGATCGAAACGCAAAATTGTCTAAAAGCAAGAGATAACTTGAGTCAACAATCACACAGTGGGAATGATAGAAACCCAGCGCTTGTCGGCTGGTTGAACAATCGCCATTGATATCAAATCTTAGAGCGTGCCTTCACACCAGGGAGGGTACGAGCTAGCTCCAACCATTCCTTGGAGAATGTGGTCTTTTCTTTCAAAGGAAGGTCACCCCATTCCTTAGAAAGTCTGCTCTCTTTTTCCTGCCACTGCACGATCTCCCGTGCAATCCACGATCCTGCCAGCAAAGCGGTTTCCGTGATCTTCTCAAAAGGAACGGCATGACCCGCCTGCTCAATCACCTCATGTCGAACCTGCCCAGCGTCTATACCGCCATTACCCCCAGGCATTGTTCCCGCGACGCGTGCCCCGTTGGCATGGGATCCATCTGTGTAAAGGCTACTAGTTGATCCACTGACAATGAGCACCGACGGTGCGACTTGTGGCATCAGCTTCATTGCCTCCACGGGTTCTGACCCGTAGATGCGTGGCTTCGGTTGTGCACCTGTAGCCTTCTGGTCGGGTGTATCTTCCGGCAAAACATATCTGTTTACCCCAGGACGGATGTATTTGTAAGTCATCACCTCTTGATGCTTTGTTGTTGCTAGCGTGACCGAGCCTGGATTCGGGGATTCATAAATGGCTGTGGGTAACTCGCGATATGCGAACTGAGCCCATCTCTGCAGTACGCGCTCGTCCCAGGTCTTGAACGCTTTGCGAGACCTTTGAACGGCTTCTTCACGAGAAGGCCAGATGTCGCGTCTGAGCGTTGCTAGTGCTAACATCTTGGCACCTTCCACAGGACGAGGCGCTTTAGCGATATATGGTTCGATTAGAATGACCGAGGATAGCAAACGAGGGTGCAATAATGAGGTGAAAATTCTGGATAGCGTTAGGCGTCTCTTTCCAATGGTGATTGTTGGGTTCGAAGGAAATGTATTACTCACAGTTGTGTTGCTCCCAGACTATGCCCCATGCCTATAATGGGTTGTGGCATCTGGTCACCGAAATGATTGATCATATGGATCAAGTCCCGGCTGTGATCAGCCCATGATGCTAGACACAACATACATTAATAAATCATCACAAATTCGAGAACAAATGTCGACTTACGCTCATCCCCTAGCTGATTTTCATTGAGAATTCCACTGGCGCCTTGGTTCGCACAGTCTGCAATCCAGATAGAGCGAATACGAAATCCTTCGGTATTCGCGCGAGCTAAAAGCTCTTCCCACAGGGGCTCATATAGTTCCTAACCAATTGTTAGTATATTGTTTTCAAAAACCTGGCGATATGCTTACCTTGGCAAAACCCGTGCCATGTGCACCAATGATAGTGACATCGCCTGGTTGGGGGTCGAGATTGTCTAGCGGTGTGTACTGTTTGATACAAAGCTTCAATCTAGCGTCTGGTGTTGCCGTTGCACGAACCGAGTCTCGCACATGCTGAGCCTGAATAACATGCTCAGAGATCTGGAAAGGAAAACCCATCCTTGCCAAAATTCCAAACTAAAATGGGTTGGTGTTCCAAGGCCCAGTTCGATAGCTGGAAGGGTTAAAGGGTCGAAACAATTGACTTTCACCCACAGACTTTATTTCGACTTCAAACTTGGGATTCGATCCTGAATTCGACACTGGAACCTTCCGATCTGAACGTTCGACACCAAGTTCCAATACTTTTGGGTGATCTTAGTAGCGCGCTGATTCTAGACTTCAGGGGTCTTGGTGAGGAGAGGAATCATCATGCAGAGGATGGTCTCAGAGCACGAAGGTGAAAATTGTGTGGTGTATGTATGTGAGATGATGTCACACCCAATCCAGGGGCCAGATGGGTAGCTAAAAGAAATGTGTGTATCTGAGATCTTCGGCTGGGAGATCGGTCGATCTTCGGGTTTGCCCAGATGCGCGCTTGTAAGTGTGCTGCACCCACACAAGTATCCGTACAATGGCAAAACCATCTGGGGATGTGCCGAGTGTAAACTTGAGTGAACCACACCATTGGGTATGGAGTATTGCTTACAGAGTCCCTAAATTCTTTTTGATAGCTAATCGCACAAGTACCGTCTTGTCCACCGTTGTTATGAGCCTCTCGGGAAGTACCGAGATCGAAAATACTACGGATCCTTTCTCTGGGGACTCTGGAGAAGAATAAACGCCAATGACAGACAGACTACTCCGTAAGCAGCTCTCAACAGAGCCCCTTACTGTAGACATCGCATGTACATACAATCCGAGTTGGGTCTGTGGTGAAGAGAATCAGCTTGATGACGTTGTACCTCCACCCAATCGCCCACTTAAACGCAAGGGGTCCACTAGTTCCAAATCTGAATCGACAATTTCCTTGTTCTAGTGTTACTGATAAATCATCACGTGTCACTTTATGTTCCGGGCTGCATCGAGTTGATTGGGTGCGTCTATCGAGCCCGCTCACTTGTACTCGGTACTCCGTGCTCAGGTATAGCCTGCCACGAGGTGTTTCTGGAGCTCAACCCGGCTCCATGAGCCAACTTTTGCTCTCTGTATATCCTGAGGCAATCTTTTGTTTCAATGAAATTCCCAGAGCAACTCTTTATGTGGGAAATGCGACAGAAATCCCGACTCGAGATAATATCAATGTCATCGTGGTCGCTTATCCCACAAGGAGCAACCTTGGGAGCAACTTGGGCATGAGGGAGGCAAGAAGGTAAACTAACTATGCATGAGCACCTATCTTACGCCCTACGTTTGTAAAAGTTCCAACAAGATCCATGAATGTTTTCAAAAGAGAGTTAGGTCATTTGTGGTGAAAGTTCCAAGCAACAAATTTGGAAAGCCTATGAAGACAGCTACTTTTGCTATGGACATTAGCTGTGAACTACCAATGATGAACAAGGAAGTCTTGGCTAAGCCGTGAACACAGAATTAGGGATTGGGGATGTGCTTTCCACCCAGATCATTAAAGATTGTGATCAAATAATGGCTACTCTTCGAATAGCGGAACCTGGAATTGGGGTGCTAAAATTGAATCAAGAACCCCAGAACCTGACCTCTGCTGATTTTAAATCCATACGCACAGTACGGAGCATGGTTGGTATGGTTAGAGCGCTCGATCTCAAAAGGAGCCGGGCGCTCTGTTTAATGTTTTGAGGCTCTCGATCCTAAGTATGCGAGAGACCCGCATGGGCTTGGTACAACCCCGGAATTCGTTTCCGATATGTAGGCCACGGGCTTTCTGCTGGGATCGCCATGGTAAGGCACGGGGGAATGTGACTACCGGCTGTGCAACATCGGGAGTAGAAGACCTGGCCAGTGAATTCTCCGAACATCTATGCTGATATCGGCCGTTGCGACAGTAGAAGTCATCCTGATCCTCCTTCATCGGCTGAAGGTTCACCCGCCTATCAATTGCTCATGGAATTCGAAGGAATTTAGCCTGCCAGCATAACCGACATGAAAAACCTTCACAATGTGCGAGAAGATCTATGGATATGTATGAAAAATAGAGAGTATTTCTAAAATAATCCATCGCACGAGTGGGCCTAACCGCCTCAAGCAGCCTAAAAGAGCATGGCCCTATAGGGCCACTCTTAACGGATTTCTATTCTTAGCGTGGACACTCGTGCAATGAACTCAATACGAGCAATTCCATAGTGGTCCGTCAATTCCAGGGTCAATTGTCGAATGATAATTCCTTTTCATTTTTCCTTTGGTCACTGTGAATTTTTCATGTCAAAGATCTATGAAAACAACAGCCGATCCAACAAAACTGTCCAAAAACCATCATCGGATCTCGGTATGAGGAATTGGACCCCAATTTCAAGATAACAGGGCAGTATCAGCCTTGAATCCCACTGGGTTCCGAAGTGGAGATTTGGCACCAATGGAAAGTGAACATGAGAGCATCTTGAGGCACGCCAAGAAAGTAATTCCCTCGAAGGGTCCTATGTGGTGGATACAAGCTGCTCGGAAGAACCTATGTACGGAGTAGTACGCTTCCCCTTTTCCAATGTAAAGGTCATCTACACTGTTCATCTGCGTACTCCGTACGACGTTAGGAAGATACGAGAGACAAGGAGAGAAATGCCAAGAACGCCAAGTTACCTTGGACTTACTTGGACCCCGTCCAGACTCCCCACATAAAAGCCGGAAAAATGAAAATGCAACCAACGTGTTCGCGTGCGCAGTTACCATCTCGGGCGTTAGAAGAACAGCCTCGCAACGCCGATCTCCACACGCACCAGTCACTGAGCATGTTGTGGAGTTTTCTTCTCCAATGTCCCGCTGACAACTGCTACCCCGTTCCGGAACCCTTTTTTTTCTTTCCCCTTATCGCTTCTTCCCTTTCATCTCCTTCTCGCTTTTAATGTGGTTCATCTAAAAATGAAGTCTTTCCGGGGATCTCTGTCACAGAGACTCGGTGAACAGGCTCGGGACACCGCCCTCTATGCCCTCGATGTCGCGCAAGACCCCCAGCTCTACCTCGACCGGGGCTGGGAAGCTTCTCGGAGATACTTCTTCTCCGTGATCTTTATCGCCATCGTCCTATCCAAGTGCTTCCATATCCTGGTTCATCTCAAGTCCTTGACCGTGGTATCCTTCCTGGTCTGGGGTCTGACTTTCTTCCTGGTCGACTTTTTGCTCATTTTGATTGCCTGCGCCTTGGCGCGATCGTTCAGATACCCGCTATGGCGCTACCTGGCTGCTTTTAGCACTGCCATATGGAGGTGAGCTCTTATAGCACACCCAGAATGGTCCAATTGCTAACTCAGTTCTAGTTTGTATACCGCTTCGATGATCTCCGCCAATATTTCCTACTACGTCCACGTCGGGAATGAAATCCACTGGCGCAATGTGAACAACTTCCACCATGACAAGCCTACCGCTTGGACTGTCTTGACCGCGTTGGGACTGGGTATACTCATTGACGTGATGATCTACACCGCGGCCTACTACGCAACCCCGCATCTCTTCCGGATCACCGATGCTTTCCTGGACATTTGGGTCTCGCTTTTGCCCGCCAAGTATCGCTGCATTCGTCGCAAAGAACAGAAATTGCCAGACCCTGAGATCTACGAGCAGATCGCCATCGATGACTATGATGAAAACCACGAGTCCGCGGGACTGCTAGAGACTCCAGAGGATCAGCCTCAAACCTCGGCCTTGCCTTCCTCCGACAGGAAGAGTACATCGATGCTCAAGCGCGGAATTGTCATTGCCTGCAGCGTGGTTTACCTCCTTCTGCGCTTCGCTCGCCCGACTGATGCGACTTACGCATTCCTTTCTGCCACTCTGCCGCTCGCACCGTTCAAAGGCCTGATCTATCGCCCCAACCAGGGATGCGTTACAGATTTGCCAGGTGATTTCAGCTGGCTGGAGGACAAGACTGCTCTGGACGATTTCCCCAACTTTGATTGGCTCCGTACTGATGATTCATTGAACGGCTTCGTGGAATGGTCTCCCTTCAAGATCAACCACACAGAGCACTTCCAAACACACTACAACCCCGCAAAGGACCCTCTGCACAACATCAACCTTCAAAATGAAATCCTCGAGCCACTGAGGGAGGTTCTGAAGAACGGAACTGTCAAAATCAAACACGTTATTCTCATTAAGTTGGAAAGTAACCGCCAGGACGTGTTCCCCTTCCGCTCCGACTCTTATATCATGAAGCACATTAAGGAATCATACGAAGATGGTCAAATTCCCCAAAAAGTGCTTGATCGACTTGCTACGCTCACCCCCATGGCCCAACGCTTTACTGGATTCGACAACAAATTTGAGACTGAAGCAGAGCGTCCAGAGCCTTATGGTGGTATTAGCGCCAAGAATGCTTACACTTCTGGTACCTACACCATGAAGAGTCTCACGGGCACAATCTGCGGTCTGAACCCTATCGCTGTGTTCAACAACCTTGAATACTATCACGATATGTACCAGCCTTGCTTGCCCCACATATTCAATGCGTTGAGCGCACAGCCAAACAGAACCACCGAGACAGAAGATTGGATGTCCTGGCCCTGGCACACCATGTGGATGCAGTCTCACTACGGTACCTGGGATAAGCAATATATGCTTACCCCGGCCATGGGATTCACGGAGGTGATGGACAAAGAAAGATTGGAAGAGTTCAATGACAAGTACCTCCCCGAGGAAAAGCATGACCACGACTACCCGGACAAGACACTCAATGGATACCTTCGTGATGTCATCACCGCGGCGAAAGAGAAGAAGAGGCGTCTCTTCCTAACTCATCTCACCCACAACACTCACACGCCTTACTATGTCCCCGGCGAGTATGAGGAGTTCTTTGGAAACGGAGCTGGCTGGAATGACAAGATCAACAAGTATCTGAACACCATCGTCTACCAAGATGAATGGTTGGCCGATATCATGGAAATCCTGAACGAAAACGACATGGCCGATGAGACCCTGCTCGTCATGGCTGGTGACCAGTAAGCAAACCCCTAACTAACATTATTCCCCATTGTTATCACTAACATTGCCCCAGTGGTCTTTCACTTCCAAACGACGGTGGTGTAACAGCCAACCATGACCCCCACGTCGGCAGCTTCCACGTGCCCCTCTTCTTCTCCCACCCCAAGCTGCCTCAGATCGAAGTCGACAGCGCCGTGCTCTCAACCCAAATCCTCCCTACCATTCTCGACCTCCTCATTGAGTCCTCATCCATTGACGAACACGACACCAAGATCGTCAAAGACCTCCTCTCTATGTACGAAGGCCAATCTATGATCCGCGACCTCATTCCCGAGCAAGATGGCAAGCGCGAATGGCACTTCTCCACCATGAACCCAGGCGGAACCTGGGTTTCCATGCGTGCCGCTGAGCAACCATACCGCCTAGTCGTCCCACTGATCGCCGACGCCCCTTGGCGATTCACCGATGTCATCGCTGATCCATTCGAGCTCCGCCCGGAGGAAGATCTCAACATCGTCGACCTCCACGACATCGTACAGACGCGCTACGGCCCCGTCGCCGCAAAGTGGCTCTCAGAGGCCGCTCACGTTTCCCAGTGGTGGATCGCCGAGAACCACAAACGCTGGGGATACAATGCCACATTGGAGGCATGATTTTGATTTCACGCTGTACAGCGCTTGTATACCTTCTTCTTTCTGTCATTTATAGAGTCTTTAATCCGGTCGCTGTACTGGCTTTCTGTTTATATCCATCTTTTTTTTTCGTTGATATCTGGCATGCATTCCACGAGAACAGGAGCCCAGCGGGCTGGGTGTTTTTTTTTTTTTGCTTTTGTGGTCACGACAGCTACATGATTTCATGTGTCATATTTGCTTTGGGCTGCCCATTGGATATAGGACTTATGAGATGGACGCCGAAAATGACCACTTTGGAGGTCGGAGTTGCCCTTGTTTTTACCCAATCTTTATATACACGGATTATTGGGCTCACAAGTATGGAACTGTACAATCTTGGGATTGAAATCTCCAGGCTTCCATCGCAAATATACCTTGCCAATGTTCAAATCACGTTTTTTCATGTCCCTTCCAAGGTTCTAGGTTTAAAAAGCAGTGCGCTCTCCAATATATCCACAGTATAAATTTCGAGTCTACTCAAAGCTGCTCAGGTAGCTGTCAGGGGATCCATCTTGATGCCTCCAAAGCTTCTACCTAATATCTTCCAAGGTTCACATCCTAATAGGCATCATTTTTGTACTTCATCACAGACCTCGGGATCACCTACGATGTGTGATACCCTGACTGGCAAGGATGAGGCAGAGAGAACCTTGGAAGAAGCCAATTGAATTCTGCGGAATAATAAAATTTTGCTTTCAATAAAGATATCATATCAAGCATGCCCCTTGGCAGCAAAATGGTTTGACACAGTCCAAATAAGCTTTTGGCTGGCCTTGGCTCAAAGCCTCATCAAAATACCAAAGAAAAATTATTCAAACATAGAAAGTAAAGGGCACAAATACAGGATGCATTTGCACCTGAGATTAGCGAAAGAGGTGGCTTCCGCTTCGTTCACTCTCGACCTTAGCGCATTTCTTCCTCCTCAACGGGGATGCTGTCATAATCGCCGGAGGAGAGCCGGCCTCCTCCGCTGGGATTAGCGACAGTTTCTTCAGCCTTGCCCTCATGGTTGACAACTAGGAACGAAAGGAGAACAATAGCCGCTCCAACCCAGTATAAGGGACTGGCGTACTGTGACTGCAGGACCATTTGCCCGATCAGGGAGAGAGGGATAGTCAAGCTGAGACCGACGGTCACAACAAGTGGGGTGGTGAGAAGCATAGCGTAAGCCCAGGCAAGGTCAGAAACAAACGAGGTGAGCGAGTTGGTCTAATGCAAGGTTAGTCAGAGCAAAACTCAAAACAATGAGGCTATAGAGCAATTCTTACCAGAACGATGGTCCAGATTCGTGACGAATCGGGCAGGGCGAACGGCTCGATTCCTGTCCAGTGAAGGATGAAGAAGCCAGGCCAGAGCAGAACAACGTTGAAGAATCCGACTAAACCAAAGAACAAAGGCATGTTGACCAGAGACTCATCACCAACCTGCTTCTTCATCACGATGGTGTAGATTCCATACATCATAGCACTGAACGCAGCCATGGCATCACCCAGCGCAATCTCTCCTGTGGACTTGTGAGGGAACGAGCCTGAATCGTTATCCTCTTCCGGCTTGGAAAGATCCACGCGCGAAATGAGAATGATACCAACCAGGGATGCGATGACACTGATGAGCTTGCGTGCGGTGAACTTCTCCACTCCGATGAGAGCGCCGAAAACCAGGGTCCACACACCTAGGAGTTGTAAGTCTCAGAACGATACGATCATAGGCGAGTGAGATACTTACCACTCGTGGAAGTCAGGATAGTAGTGCTTGCAACTGTTGTGAATTGGAGACAGCCCATAGCGAAATAGTTTGCCTAGTCCAAGATGTTAGTCAAGAACACAATAGATACGAGTACATGCAGCGTTTGACATACGGTGAACTATTAGTTGTTAGCAATCTGCGCGCGTATCGAACACAGAGCTATATGCTTACCCAAAGAAGACAGAATTGGACACTGAGTTTAGCAGTCGCTTTCAATCCCAACTTTCTGCCTGAGAGATCCTGAGAGATCCGTCTGGGCCGCGCACCCTCCATGTCGGAGTCATGATTCAACATACTCTCCTCTTCAGCCTTGGGGTCATATGAGTCCAAATGTCTCAACAGGCCCTTCAAGGACGTCACTTGGGACAATCTTCCCTGGCGCCACAGGGTCAAGGTACGGCGACCGAGAATGACGAAGAGGGGCATCACAAAGATAGACGTGTTGGTGTAGGTGACGAAGAAGGGCTTGGCGTAGGATCTGTCCGCAAAGATAGTCTTAATTCAACACTGTTAGCTCATTCCAGGTGAATCGCATGTATTTCAATCAGGGCGCCTACACTGCCAAGGAAATTGGAGGCTGTCCAGAGTACTACAACCAACAGGAGCAGAATAATGCCCATAGTGCGCCGGGCCACTCCCAATGGCATTGAGCCATGTTCATCGGTCGCATGTGTGGTCATGGTGGGCTTCGTATGCAAAGCGGTAATATGTCGCGCGACCTGACGAGGTGTAACGGTGGTCAGAACGTGCCGATATCGCAATCAGTGCGCTATGGTCTGTCGCTTTAACGAGAGGTCAGATTTCGAGCATTTGAAGCGCAGGAAACACAAGCGAAGCAGCGAAAAGGAGCGAAGAAGAACGAAGTGGAATATTGTCAGAGCGAGAGATTCAAAAGATCGGGGAGATGATTGCCAAGCGCTAGCGCCAAGGCGCGGCTTATCGCGATAAGAAACTGCGGGCGGAGCGGATAGGGATGAATGGGGTTTCTATTGATGTACTAAGAGTATTTCGAGGTACTATATAGCCACTTGACCAGCTACCTAGTAGGAGGCAACTAATATCTAGGCAGGACCTACTGACAGAATGGTGAACAAGTATGCAGGTCGACTCAGCTGTGATCTGGTTATACCCTCGTGATGTGAGGGCATCATCTGATGCCAAATTTAGTTCAGAAGGGTATACTCCGTACTGCAGAGCGAAGAACCGTAGATGGTAGTATTGCATTAAGCGCCCGAAATACAAGAATTGGAAAACGTAGCACTGTCGTAAATTAGGTAACGCAGAACTGATGAGTTGTTATCCAGGAAAGGTCCATGAAGCCCAAAAAAGAAACATAGAAAAAAGACAAAACAACATCTACTAGACAAATAAAGCTAAGGTTGTACAACAGCCCCTGTAGTCTTATCTACAAAGCCAAAGGCGAAGATCAGTTGGTGGCACGGAAAGAAATATTGTCGCTGAATCATCATGGTAATGAGAAGGGTATATCAACAGGCGCAGCCATCACGGTCATTGTCCAGATGAATGTTGATCGGGTCGCTGAATTCACCACTGAACTCTTCAGCTTCTTCCTGGGCAAGTGCGCTTCTTGCGATGACTGAACAATATTAGTATGCAACGGTGGTATGGGATCTCAAATGTCTACTCACCTTCAAATGCTTGCTCCACGTTGACGGCTTCCTTGGCACTGGTTTCGAAGTAAGGGATGTTGCCCTTGGACTGACAGAACGTCATGGCCCGTTTTGAGGAGATCATCCGTTTGTTCTCCTCCACATCGATCTTGTTACCAATGACCACCTGCACATGACAGTTAGCACGGACCAACGTATCATTCTTGCCGGCGAGGCACGAGACACAAGACAAGAATGCAAGATCTCCACTTACGAATGGGAAGCTTTCAGGGTCCCGGGGGCTCGCCTGGATCAGGAACTCATCCCTCCAGCTGTCCAAGGCTTCGAAACTCTTGGAGTTGTTCACGTCGTAGACAAGCACGCAGCAATCGGCTCCACGGTAGAACGCAACTCCTAATGACTGGAAACGTTCTTGACCAGCAGTATCCCAGATCTAGTATATCTAGTCAACCTTTGCCCCTCATTGCGGTTTGGTGGATCTCGGCCTTACCTGCATAGTCACCAGTCGGTCGTCAACGAGGACCTCCTTTGTGAGAAAATCAGCTCCAATAGTAGCTTTATAGCTTCCGCTGAACTTCTTGTTGACCTGTTCGATCCGAAAACGTTCATATTAGCTTGTGTTGGAATTGGCGACCGCGGTGTGGCTGCAATGCTAGTCCGGGGGCAGGGCTGTACGGACATATTGATTCATCAAACTGGTTTTTCCGACGCCACTGTCACCAAGGATGATAACCTAGTTTCGAGAACATCATGTCAGTGAACAGTTTTCTTTTGGTGATTTGCTATCCGTCACACGGAGCAGGAGCGGAGATTGTACCTTGAGGAGAACCTTCTTCCTTGACGCCATGGTGTAGAATGTGTGAAAGGAGGGAGGGAGACTGAGATTAAACCGAAGAGAGAAATGTGTTTGACGCAATGAACTATATCCAGTTCTTGCCAGGCCCTTATAATGAGAATGAGGGCAAGTGAGGTTAGAGAGTTGGGGTTGGGTTGCAGCCGGATTCGATGATGCATGAGGCCCGGGCGGTCGATCGGGCGGTGGGCAATTGATAACGATTAGCACGTTTCGCCCACCGCATCTCCACTCACATCACATCCAGGCACATCCCCCCATTTACTTGGGAAGGCCCATGGCCCACTGGAGGGAGGAGTACTTGGCTGCACTGACAGTCCGAGATCACCGAGAGAAGGCAAACGCTAATCTCTACAATGCCTGTCCGTCCTCGAGCTTTGCTTCTCGTCGATAACCACTGACATCATTCTACCGATCTAGATGCTCAGCTCGCAGATCGCACTAGCTTGTTAGCGACCGCAACAAATACTAGTTCAGCGCCATCACAAGGCGAAATCCACCGCTCGATACCATCGCCGTTGATAACGGTCTCTAAGAAGCAACGTGGGAGCGAGGCGGGTCCCACTCCAGCTGAACTGCTCAACATAACGCGTGCAGACTTGTCGGAAGCCCAGCGCTTCCGCTCAGAACTGCAGGAGCAACTTGGTCGCCTGACTTTAGAAGTGGAAAGCCTCCGTAAGAAAAGCACCCAACAAAGTCGACGTATCAGCACTTTGGAAAGCGAGAGAGCGCAACTGCAAATGCGGCTGAGAGATCGAGATGCCGAGCTAAAGGGGAAAGCCAAACTATTGGAGGTAGGCGATGTCTTTGTCTCTATCAATATTTCCCAATCATGTCCAGGTAGGCGGTGGAAAGTGCTGACCCGAGTTTGTCTCCCTTCTGCAGGACTTCCAAGATGAGATGGCGACACTGAATCTTCAATTAAATATGGCGGAAGAGAGATCAACTCGGCTCCAGAAAGAGAATCAAGATCTTGTCGATCGTTGGATGGCAAGGATGGGCCAAGAAGCCGAAGCCATGAACGATGCGTCCAAATACTCATAGTAATCCGAAATGCATCGAGGTGCTGATCAAGCGATTGGCTCATCAATGACCGCCTGTCATATATTCATTTTCAACCATAATGCATGAACCGTCAGCTTGACAAAGCCATAACATCGCCCGGGATATCGATGCGCTCTTGCACTCGTTCCTAGAGAAGAGGCTCGAATCATTGCACCGGACCCGGCTCTTTCACAAGCAGTCGATTGACATAACACGAAACTTAATCCAGGAGACGGAAGTAGTAGTAGTTTCCTTCAAGGGGCTCTCTGTAGTAGAATGTTGAAGGCCAATCCTGACCTTTCTTGGATCTGGTGGCCTCGTTCGTAAAGGTTCCAAGGTTAGTCACAACGGAAGTACAGATATTGACACTGAAGATGGGATCAGTGGGGATTATACTACTAACCTGATCCGCATCTATGATGCCGTCCTTGTCTATCTAGTCGAGAATCTAATCAAGAACGGGGTGGGCGACTGTATTCTCATATTTGATCACCTGCATACCAAACACGGGCGGTTGTATCGTCGCCTAGCATCTTTCCAGGTGCAGCATTGGGCATCTCTTCTCTTTGGAACTGTGATCTGATATGTTTCAAGTCGGGAGATCGGAAACTTGCAAAAAAGATCTAATGCAGGCATCCCGGTCCAACATCTGTAGCCAAGCGGGGAAGATACATTTACAACTGACCCACAGCGCTAAGGATAGTCGACGAAGATAGATCTTGTCGATCATGATCAGCCTGATCCATACCTAACTACATATGCTGCACGACGGCTGGCCTCGTAAAATTAGTAAGGCTTCGAGTTCAGCACATGCGGTGAATCCATCTAGGGGGTGGGAAGGAAGTACTTGTAGGCGATAGGCGGAAGCGGTCCAATGTATACAGGGGGATCAGATGTGGTATCATACAAAAATAATCGGGTATATCCAAAAACGGATGGAATGTACAGGTGCTTTGAGGCACGAATAATGTGCGTGCCATAAAAAAACCGCAAACCATTGGCAGTTATGGCGTGGAATCAATGAAGGCTTTCAATCGAGAGCTTTCCTTTGTGGCAATGAAGTATGTACCGCCGACGTCGGTCCAGCTGACATTATTGGACCAATAATTCTTTTGCTGGACCTGCAGAAGGTTGATGGGGGAGTTGAGGTTGCGAGACTGAATCTTGTGACCGGCCGGAACAAAAGATTTGAGGGAAACAATCTTACATCCCTCTTTCATGTCCAAGAAGTGGTTGATCAGCTCGTTATTGAGCTGAGGTGTGAATGCTTGGTTGTTGATGAGCACGACGTCCGCGCGCTTCAAGACGCTGATGATGCTTTCTTGCTCAAGGAAGTCGCCTCGAACAAGGTGAGTCTTGCCTGGCACAATACCCCAAAGTCGGCATCGCGCTTTGAACTCGGATTGTTGCAAATCCGCCAAATCGCAGGCATTCGACATCATTTCGCAACCCCAACTCTCACAGCCAATTTCGAGGGCAGCCTGGAGGACTACATTACCCACGCCAGAGCCAAGGTCGACAAATACCTGGCCTGATTTGAGCTTAGTTTCCTTGAAAATGGTGCTGATAAAGCGGGGAAGAAGCTCCCCGTAGACATTGTCTGTGCCATTCTCGTATTGCCGCAGAGACTCAACGCGGGGGGAAACCGTCCGGGAATAAATTTGAGTGAGAATCCGCTCCACCCATGGAAGACTGATGCGTTGTGTATTATCCAAGTGCTTGGCGAGACTGCCGTCCTTTGTCAGACGCTGGATAGCCTCGTTGTAATCTTTCACCGCATCCAAGAACTGAGTCTCAGATGTGACAGCCAAAGCCCGACGTAGCCGACGCTTGATTCCAGTCGTCTCGTCATTGAACTCATCTGCTGCTTCGCTGGGAATATAATTGTCGGAGACTGTCTCAATGACTTGCACAATGTCATCGATGGGTCGGAATTCGTCGTTCTCGCGCGGGACAACAGAGTCGTATCTGCACAAAAAGGAGCCTGTTAGCATCTCTTCAACTTGCACTGCAATCTACCCAAAGGCCAAGTCACTCACCTTTCTTTCTGCGAAGCACTAGGGTATTGCAAATATATTTGCTTGTGCTTTCCCTCTGCGCCGAATGCCGGTTTAAATTTGCCGGCCTTCTGGCCCGACGTGATTTCGGAGGCATGGATCATTTTAAATGGTCGAGATCCTTCTTCTGAGAATGCCTTTACTGAACGAAGCCGTCGTTCCGGGTCTGGTTCGGCACTGGCGCTCATCCTGGCACGTTTGTGTACTTCAAAAGAAGCATCGCTGTCGCTTGCATCATCGTCGCTCGAAAGACGCTGCTCGGGGGTTGGGCGTTTGCGAACACGTGAAGGTGTGCTCAGTCGTTTCGCTGAGCTGGCCTCCAAATCACTCGAGACCGATCGGGATTTCAACGACTGCGCTTTCTGATTGCGTTCGGCCGAGGGCTGGACTCGGGGCGATCGAGTCTCCGGGGTTTGCGTCGCGGATCGGGTAGGGGCAGCCGGTCGAGTCTGCACAACTTTGCGAATTTGCGCCTTCTTGGGCTGCAGAGAGAAGGCTCCGGCCCCTCCTTTCTGTAGGTGGTCAAAAAACCCCATCAGGGTAACGAATATGAACAAAATAATAGAGGGATAAAGATATATGCATGCAACAAGAGTGGATAGGGGATTTATATGAAATAAGAGTGTAATGCAAGTAATGCAAGCAATGCGATGCAGAGGTGGAAGTGCTCAGGTGGGAGAGAAAGAAAAGAGAGGCTTATCGATTAGCCGGGGAAACCACGCGATCCGTTTCTTGGCGGCCCGTGGACATTCACAGCCTCACTTTTGGTGTTGTCCTCGACCACAACAGTAAGGATTAAGGTGCTTACTGCCCAAGGAAATTAAACTACTGCAGGATGTAGTATATTCAAAGCCCCCAATACTTTCAAGGACGAACCCTGGGGTATCACAATGAGTTTTGCTATGTAAATTACACGAAACTAACAACACACCCTTTATTTCTTGCCCTTCTTCTTTGCCAGTCTCTTTTCTGCGCGAACGTCCTTCTTCATACGCGCATCAACAATCTTGTATTTACCCTTGACACCCTTGGGACGTCCAGAGATACCACGGTTGGGACCCTTGGCAACCACAAGCTTGACCTCCTGCTTGGGCTTCTTCTTCATTGCCCGGTTCATCAGTCTGGTGATGGCACCGGCCTTGTCCCGCTCACTGAGAGCATCGTCCTCTGCCAGGAGTGCTGACTTCTTGCGCAGCTTCTCTAGCCTCTGAGCAGCCTTGAACTTCTTACGTCCCTTGGCCTCCATGACCTTCTTGATGGGTCGTGCGTTGATGGCACGCATCTTCTCTTGGATAGCGGCAGCGGCAGCCTTGGTGGTGGGCCGCACGGGCGTGCTGTGTCTGCCCTCGTCATCGATGAACCAGTCAGGAAGACCATCAGAGTCACGGAATGCGAAGCGGTTGAAGCCATCATCGACAATGTCAGAAGATCGCTTTTCTCCCGTGGCCATTGATTGCGCAAGCGCCATAGCCTCTGCAGTGATAATGTCGATATCTGTAAATAAGACTGCGTTAGTAAATGATCTTGAGGTGGGGTGCTAAACTCGACATACCCAATTGTCCATTGGCTTTCCGCGGCTCTGCATCTTCTGGCTCACTCTCATCGGATTCATCAACCCAGACCGATTCCTTCTTTGCATTCTTCGCATCCTTTTTATTTTTTGGCTTGGGCGCGGAAGCTTCCTCCTCGGGTTCGTCATCCTCATCCATTGCGAAGATGTTGTCACTCTCTTCATCCTGGTCGTCTTCTTCGGGTTCCTCTTCTTCTTCTTCTTCTTCCTCCTCCTCCTCTTCGGCCCCTAGGCCCTGGAAGATATCTTGGTCAAAGAACATGGATGCGTTGTTCGAGAGCTTCTCTGCCCGGGCAGCGTCATTCGCAGGTGTGGCTTCTTCGTCTGATTCCTCGTCTGATTCCGCCTCACCCTCATTATCACTGCCCTTCTCCTTGTCGGAGAAGCCCTCCCATTCGTCGGCCTCATACTGCTTGCGAGTCTTCTTGGCACGCAACTTCGAATCCTTATCCTCCTTGCGACCAGTGTACTGCTCATACATTTGGTCGAGTTCTCTCTCAAGACGATCTTCTTCGTCGTCGCTCTCTTCGTCTTCGGATTCGGATTCTTCGCTTTCACTCTCGGCAGGAAGATCACGAGCGTTGAGGACACCGTCTCGAGCATTCTCACGGTCGACACGTCTCAAGGTAAAAGTGGAATCCTCGCCTCCCATGCCAAGTTGCTCCATACCAATATCCATGGGGGCGGTCATGTTCATCTGCATGCGAATGATGTCCTTGCGCTTCTTCTCGTTCTCCTTGCGCCTTTCCTTCTTGCCCTTGGCGGTTTGCTGCTCCCGCATGCGAACCAAATCTTCCTGGATTTGTAGCTCCTCATCCATAGGAGCCACCTCAGCGACTTCTTCTCCATCGCCCTCCTCTGTGGTAGGCTTCTTCTTCACGACGAGGCCGAACTTCTCACGACACTTGATACGCCATCTGAGCAGGTTGCGGAACTCCTTCTTACCAAGGACCTTCAGATCCTCACAGCAAGTTCGAATTTCATCTGTAGTATCCTCCAAACGATCCAGAGTGGACAGGGCAAGATCGCCTCCCGGTGGTTGTTGGAAGCTGAGTTTGTTGTAACCACCCAGAATGGAGATGGGGTCGATGGTGTTGATGAACTCCGTCACTGGGATCTCTTTGTGTTGGGTCCAGTCTCCCTCCTCGTAACCATCACGCTTGCGCTTCTTCTTTTCGGGGTTGAAGACCTTTGCTTCGTAGTTGGGAGTTGGGTCTTGGAGCTCTGCAAAGACGTGCTTAGGGTCAAGGAACTTAGGGTCGACATGCTTGGGTGCCTTGTAACCACGGCAGACGACGAAGATCTCAGCGGAAACATTTCGAGAAGAAGGAGGCTTGGTAGCCTCAACAGAGGTGAACAGCTGCTTGAAGACCCACAGAAGGGGATTGTAGTCCTTGGACCGGAAAACCTTGGTGACAAAGTTTCCACCCTCAGCCAAGAAGTCGGTAGCCAGTCTCAAGGACTCCAACACAAGTTCTGCCTGGGAGAAAGCATCCTGCACCCACGCGGAACCGACGTTGGGAGCACCATCGTGGAGAACAATATCCGCCTTCCAGTGCTTGATGTGTGAGCGAATCGTTGCGCGACACTTGTCTGTTGTGATATCACTCTGGAACGTAATGGCTCGGGGAATGGGCTTGATGGGAGAAAGATCGACACCGATGATAAGACTTTGCGCCGGCATGTACTCTGCGGCGACTTGACACCACGACTATTGAGCGATTAGACTTTGGACTCTTTGTAAAGGTTCAATTGATGAGACTTACACCGGGTGCAGCGCACAGATCAATACAGACCCTGCTCTTCTCCAAGAATCCATACTTCTGGTTCAGTTGAATCAACTTGAAAGCAGCACGGGCACGGTAGCCCTTCTCTTTGGCAAGCCGATACCACTTATCCAAACGACCTTTTCCGTGCTATGAGACGTTAGTACCTATGCAGGGGGAAAATGTATAAATCCAACATACCTTCTTCTGGATCGCCATCTTGAAGGAATATTGGTCTGAGCAGACCCAAAAATCCTAATTAATGACTGGAAAAAGACGAATGTATACTTTTTCTAATGAGCCGCCGAAGAAAAAAAAAGTTGCAGTACTTTCTCACCGCCTTTCAGCCGGTTCTCCAGATAGCTGCCTAAGGCCAAATCGGTGCCAGACATGTGACGTGATATCACTCAGGCACCTCCCAGTCATTTAGTGGCGCTCTGTAGATGCTTTGTCTTCGAAATCAAACCATCCTCTAGGCCTGATGTTTTCAAGTTTACCTCCATGACATCCAAGGGATCTCGGAAGAGAGTGAAGACCAGCCCCTCCGGCGTGGACACACCAGACACACCAGACACACCTGATGGTCGAGATCGTTCAGACTCCCAGACGCGAGGACGCAATGCTGTAAGCCTGTGAACTCAGTGTAACTTAAAAATGAAATGCGTTTACTCACTCTCCCTCTCTGGAACAGAACTGGTATCCTGGAAGCTGGTCGTCCGTCGCAAGAGTCCCCAAAGCAGCCCCAGTTACCGAGGTTGCCCGTGAGAGCATCTCAGCCGCCAAATCTGTAGCCTCGACCGCTATGAACTCATCGGCTTCTCTGCTTGACACACCTCCCAAAAAGCGAAACCCATCTCTTCAACTCACTCGAAAAGCAGGCGCTTCGACCAGATCCCTCCCCGCTGGCGCTACTACTACGCGAGTCAACATTGCATCAGACGGATCGGCTTCCACTACAGACATTGGCGATAAAAGTGGTACTAGTGCCGACAAATCTGTAACATCCGATAAAGAAGCCTCTGGGGATATCAATAAGCCTGTGGCAGAAGCGGTCCAAGAACAGGAGACTGCCCAAGGCACCACTCCGAGCACGGTGCCCACGGAATCTGCAGAAAGCACAGAGCAGCCTGGTGGCTGGCTATCATGGATTTATGGTTCATCGGATGCAAGTAAGGTTACTACGAGCGCTCCGCCAATCGCAGAAACACAGGAGCGCCAGTCAACCGGCCAAACAACAGAGCAGGGTGCTCAGTCTGCCGCGAAAGAGCTGACCCGGGAACCGGAAGAAGCACCGGGGCAAGAGCAAAGCAAAGATACGATTGAGATCACACCTACGGCGCATAAGCGATCGTGGCTTCAGATGTGGTACGGTACGAACACACCAAGTAGCCAACAAGAGCCATCATCCGCAGCTTCTACAGCCGTGCCTCCTGCTGGTGACGATACCGTCGAAGATTCCAGCTCGAATATGGCACCCAGAGACCCAGCCAAGGGTCAAGGAGAGGCCAACGGTGGCTCGCAAACCCCAGTCACAACTACGAGATCATCCGGTTGGTCGTTTTGGTCGAAAGACACGAGCAAAGGTGGTCCCTCAGATATACCTCAAACTGGCGAAGCAATTGAGGCTTCGGTTGAACCAAACACACCATCAAAGAGTACCGAACTTGAACCGGACACAGATGCCAATGTGAAGATCACCCACACGGGTAGCATCAGGGTCAAACCACCGAAAGACAGTCATTCCAAAGACGGATCCGTGACTACTTCTGATCTGCCGCCCGTTGAGCCTCGTCCGGCTGATATAACTGCGTCCAAACAATTGCAGAAAATTCTACCAAATCAAGTTCTGCCCAATTTCCAAGAAACGTACGCTTTCGAGGAATCGCCCTCAATCTTGCAGAGCCTTGGTCGGTACCTGCATTACAGTAAAGGGCAGGACATTCGACATGTCAGCAGGGTCAGAGAACCACTGCATGTGAAGCGTGCCTTGGCGATTGGCGTGCATGGCTACTTCCCCGCCCCTTTCATTCGAAGTGTACTGGGGCAACCAACGGGGACGTCCATTCGATTCTCCAACATGGCAGCAGACGCCATCCGAAAGTACACAGAGAGCCACGGCTACTCTTGCGAGATTGAAAAGATCGCCCTTGAGGGAGAAGGCCGCATCACAGAGCGGGTGGATCTTCTGTGGAAGTTGCTTCTCAATTATATGGAAGAGATCCGGAAGGCTGACTTTGTGATGATCGCTTGCCACAGTCAAGGTGTTCCAGTAGGAATCATGCTAGTCGCTAAGCTAATACAGTTTGGCTGTCTCGATGGCAAACGGGTGGGAATTTGCGCCATGGCGGGCGTGAACCTTGGACCCTTCCCAGACTACCGATCTCGATGGATTAGCGGCTCGGCTGGTGAGCTTTTCGAATTCGCTCTTCCGTTCAGCAAAGTCTCAAAAGAATATGAGTCTGCTTTGAAATGTGCACTAAATTTCGGTGTTCGCATATCTTACATCGGAAGTATTGATGATCAGCTTGTGTCTTTGGAGGTATGTATACCTTGGTTTGCAGGAAAGGAACAAATTACTTACTTACTCCAACAGTCCTCTCTTTTCTCGCCTGTAGCTCATCCTTACGTCTACCGCGCTGTTTTTGTGGATGGTCGAGTCCATGCCCCCAGCTTGTAAGCTCCAACACATCTCATCACTCAGCAAACAGTATTAACCCGAAGAAACGCAGTTTATCGCATTTAGTCGGGTTTGCTCTCAAGCTTCGCAACCTAGGCATCTCAGACCACGGTCTGATCCGCGAATTGAGCACTCCTCTGGCAGGCAGCCTATACACAGGCGAAGGACACTCCCGGCTATATGACGATGAAGCCGTTTATTCGTAAGTTGAGACATGACCCCTATAGTAGTATAAAACTGACCAAATTCCCAGAATGGCTATCGAGTTCGCCCTAGAGACTTCTTCTGTCCCAGACTCTGCTGTCAGCGTCAAGCGAGCCATGGGCTCTGTGACGCCAAACCCGTACATTCTGCCATTCGCAATGCGGGGTCTCTTGGAAGAAGAATATGTACGGCGCGAAATGAACGATGAGACGATGGAGTTACTCAAGCAGTTTGATGACTGGAAGCCTTCGAGTAAAGTATTGAAAGATGTCAAGTTCCGCCTAGAGGGTATTCGGTCTAAACTATAGAATTTACCGTTTATTATGGGACTCGAGATTTTGATCGAAACAGTTTTGCAAATATGGAAAATCCCATCAAGTTCTATTGTCATACTCTTCTCAAGTCTTAATCATTCCAAGATTCCACGAGGCAGTGGGACTACTTTAGAAATAGAAACTCTTGGAGCACCCCAAGACTATTGAACTTCATCTGCAAGTTGCCAATTTTGGAAAAGTTATCTTGTTATACAAAAATCAGGATGGAATTGTACTTCGCACATATGTTCTATCCATAAGACATGAACTGGAGAGCTATTCAAAGCACTAGTCATTTCGGATGCGGTAGGTGACGACCCCGGAGGGCACAAGCCGGTGGATACTTGATAGCATCAAAAGCTTGGTTGTGCCATGAGATGTTGCAAAAGTGAATGTGATTAAAAAAAAAAAAAAAAAAAGAGTAGAAGTGTGTAGTGGAAAAAGCAATTAAAAGACAAAAATGAAACGCCTGACTCTTCATGCTAGGTGGAGAAACACCTTGGAACTTGATAAAGTGAAATAGTGGAGATCGTCGAGAGGAGCGTCATAAAATGCATCAGATTGGCGTTGATATGCCCGCAGAACAGCAATTCAGAAAGGAAACAAGAGATCTCAAATTAGATAGACGCCATAGAAAATGCCGTCTTGTAGGCACCCTCGATCTCATCTAAATCGAGGTTAGTCATGCACCACGCCATGCAATTAGATAAAACATACCTCTCATTCCGTCCATAGCCTCAAAGGCGAGAGAATAATTCGACACAGCCGTAATGATCCGTTCCAGCCCTTGCCGCAGTTCCTCAATAAGCTGACCAGTCGAGTCACCACTGTTATCATTCTGGTCAGGTGAAAGCTGCTTCGCCACGCGTGCCTTGTAATATATCATGAACATAGCATAACTGCTTTGAATCAAACAGCATGCGAAAGAAGGCATAGTTCTCGGTAGTGTGCGCGGGGATCGGGCGTCGGTAAGTGGCTGTGGAATAGGTAGACTGTGGAAAATGCGGGAAATGAGGAGAGAGGCCTGGAGACAGATTTTGCCGGACTGTTGCGTGCTGTAGGGGAAGCCGGATGCGAATGGGTATTGCGGATATTGAGGGACATGCGTTCTGGTGTCTGAATAATTGTCTGAAGAGGTCGAGGAGTCGGATGGGGTCATGTATTCTGTAGAGGCGGCTCGCTGGAAGGAATCCAGGTTGCTGCAGGGGCACGAGACGTTGTGCATACCTCCTGCTTTGGCGATTGCGGTGTTTGAAGGGTTTGGGGTGCCTGGGGTGTTTGGGTTGGCGGAAGTCAGATCACAGTGCTTTTTGATGAACAGTGGAATGTCTGAGAAGGCGCGGTAACGATGGGTTTTGATTTGCGCACTGAAATTGTTAGTTGGGTGTGGGTGGTTGTCGGGTGGTCAGTACGAACCTGCATAGTTTGATTCGGGAGATCGCGCGTATGCTTTGGGCTGTGATAGATTCGTTGTGATCGCCGAAGTCGGATGTTCGGGGCACCAGAGGCAAAAGTTCTACCTGTGCAATCACAGAATTGGTCCACGCATCGAGTTGTTGCATCCGTTCAAACATATGGTACATCCCTGACTGGGAGTTGAGGCACTTGTTCAAGTCCCCAATGAACTGGGTGGCTGATACAAGGACTTGCTGGGATTGTATCAAGATGTTCCAGCCCTATGATGTATCAGCGACTGTCACCACAAAGCAACGTTTCCGGTACAAACCTCAGCATCTGATGAGAATGTTGGGTATGGAGTTGTGAATTGAGGATCGTTGATGACGATAGCAGGCATCTGTTATTGATTAGAATCGCTCACTCTCGAGACCAAATGACAGGACATACCGTCGTGCTCACGATCGACCCTTGAATCACGCAATAATACTAAACAAAGATTAGCTGACAGTCAAGCAATCAGGTGAACGGAAGCCAAACCGTCATCCACCAGGCTCTCCGGCGAGCCTCGGAAAACTCATCATTCCCCATTTGAGCATGCAAAGATTTATCCAAAGCAATTGCCAAAGCCTGACCAGCACGATACCGCATTTTGAGCAGGTTTCCCCGCTGCGCGTATTCATAAATGGAAAGAACCAACAAAGCCAACAGGCTCTCATAATCCACCGGACAGTGAGGATGGAATGATTGGCGTCCGACAAACGGGCGTCCAGCGGACAATGCCTGAGCCGGATCGGTGGACGACATATCGAGGTCGCATTCCGCCTCGATGGTGGTGTTTGCAAGCTGGGCGAAACTGTGGGCGTAGGCTCGGCGCTGGAGAACAGATGGTCCAGAGTTCGGCTCGAGATCACTTGGGTGCGGAATCAAAGCTAAGATCGCGGAGAGCGCAAGACTTAATGGCGAACGAGGGCGGTACATCATCATTGGCTCAGATGTATTAGAGCCAGGAACCGGGCAATTAAGAGGTCGATCTCGACATGGCGGTGATGCTCGTGGCGGAAGAATTGGGAAATAATTGTGAATAAAGTCATAGTAGGCGTTTAATCTGGGAAATATCAGGGGATGTTCAAACACAAAAGGAGGGAAATTGAATACATACATCTCCGGCTCGCTGCCATAGGTTCTCACGTATGAATTGGTCGTGTTCAATGATGGTGGCACTGGAGGCACCTGCATATGCGACTCGGTTCCATCGTTGGTGAAAAGACCCTGAAAGATGGTGGGCATCTCAGATTGGAAATCTAGATGCCGCAAACCGGCGCCCGGCAGTGAGAGATTATCGAGTTGATTGAAAATCACCGCTGTCGTTGGGTTAGAAATGAGTTCTTCTTTTCTTCGTTTCTTTTTGTTCAGCTTGATGAAACTTGTCAAAACACATACATTCTTCAAAGCCTGGTGAGGGCATGGCAGGGTACGAAGGCGCATCATGACTCTGGTCCCTTTCAGGTGACAGAGAGGACTTTTCCTTCTTCTTCCGAGGACCACCTCTTTTGCTGGGTAAATAAGAGCAATCCCTGTCTTTGTTCACACACTAGGAAGTATACCCGTTAGCCCACTACTACCCGAGTAGTCCGTACGGAGTACAAAAGTAAGTGACATACATTGGAACATGGCATTTGACCGCCACATCGTGTTCTAGAGGCGCGACTAGCGAAAGGTTAGTGGGAAGAAAGAAGTAGCTTGGCGGGATTTACACACCAGGGTAGACAGGCGACTTTGACCGGGGGTTTAGCAAACTTCTTGCGAGTCGGGCGTGAAGCACCGTCGAAAGAGTCCATGGCGAATCACAGGGCGTATGGTCCGCAATACTTGTAATGAGAACCATTCAGTCGGGACAACACCTTCATCGGTCCATTAAAAACATAGTAGTACTATACAGACAAGTCTGAAAAGAAAAGTGTTGATATAGAGGGTTTATGATTGCATGAAGGCAAATCCCGAACCCTTCACGGGTCGGGATTTGCTTTTTGGTATTGAGCAATTAAACCCCGATTTGGGGATTTACTCAGAATTTGTCATGCTAAGATTTGCATTCCACGGTTATTCTAACATTGTCAGATCTATAATTCTTTCTTTATGATCTACCCATGGTGCTAGTGAAAATTGGTGTTCTAATGGTCGGAGGAAAGTCGGGGTGGCACTCAGAAGATTTGAAAAAAAAAAAAAAAAATCCACGAAAAATACCAGAAAACACCAGGCAGTCCGCCCAAGCAAACGCATCTGGACAGACCCAGACGCGTCATGTTACCGAAACTGGAGGATCAGACCACGTGATCCTGTACGATGATGTCGAGGAAGCCCCAGATTCATTGATCGTGATCCTTGGGGCACTACTATCGGCATGATCTGGGTTCATCTGACCTGATCTCACGGAGTATTCCCGGCACTGTCTTCCAGCCAGAGACAAAGATACCAGCACAAAATACCGGTGAAAACTCGCATGGGCGAATATATCAAATTCGCCTGTGGACCCTGAACCACATCTCTGCCCTGCGCCCCCCGGACAGAAGCGGTGATGATTGGTAGACCTGCATATTTTCTACCATTTCCAGATTCAGACTAGCTCATTATCTGCTGGGAACCTTGAAAGGGTTTCGGGATTTACAAGTGTACACAGGTTAGGCATGCATGCAATCTTAGTCATTTTATTAAAGTTAAGCGTAAGCCCTCCCTTTGAGCTTAATACCCGCGACATGTCGCACACTATCCCAAACACTATCGGGGACTTTCACGGGGAGTTTGTGTCCTTTCAGTTGTTGATCGATCAACCACATTCCAACCACAAACTCCTCCCGTAGGAGGAGCCCGAGATGTTGGTGGTCCACTAGGTTCCACACTTGTTCCAGCAGTACGGGTGGCAGGCGGCTGCGGGACCATATCTCCCGAACAACTAGGTTTAGCACCATTTCGGAGGCATACGGTGGCCAATCCCCCGTACTAGTCGGCCCGCATCCATCGTTACCGGCAGGGATGAGTAGCCCTTTATTGGAGGCCCACACACCTTCGTAGCGCTTGCGCTCTTTCTCCGTCACCTCCCTTCGCCAGCGCTTTCGATCTCCTTCGTGGTGTTTGTGTGGGTGTTTGTTGAGAGGGTTTCGATGTTTATGGCGGTCGGAGTCGGGTTTTGGTTGGGCGCGCAGCGTCTGAGGCATGCCTTTGGGGGGACTAGGGGTTCGGGATAGGTCACTCTTGGGTGAATGTGCCAGGTGTAGAATGGACCGTGCCCGGCGTCGCTGGGGAGGAAGCGGCGGGGGCACTTTGATGGAGGGGGATGCGCGTGCTGATGCCAGGGATGAGGCAACAATAGCGTTGGAAAGAGCCTCCTCGCTCATGCCAGAGGGCTCGTCCATAATGCTAGGGGCGCTGGTCGCTTGCGATACGCCTGAGATCGACATCGCGCTTGGTGTGGAGGGTCGCAAGGGCGTAGCGACGACTCCATGGCTTCTGACAGACCCTCGTGATGGCGGTAATCGAGGAGGAAGCCTAGGTTTTGAATCATCCGGAGGCTGCGAAGAGTGCCGAGAGCTCAAGGAAGGGTGAGGACTTGAGCCTCGACTATTTTGATATTCCGTAGTTCTCGACTGTATCGACGGAGAGCGCCTGTAGATTGGAAAGTCGCGATCGGATTCGAGATCATCATCTCGTAGCATGCGATCCAGTGGACTGCTTCTTCCGTGGACTGGGCGCACAGGGGTGGGGGATAAATCTCTCCTTTCTGGCGGTGGCGCTCTGCTGGCACTTCGGATCGCGCCCAACTTGGCGGCTGAGGACGGAGTCGTCAGATCCCGTCCAGGGGATCGTGACGCAGCAAGCCGAGCCGCGATTTCTGACGCGGAAGAAAGAGATGATGCGGACGGCCGTCCTCGCACGCTTAAGGTCCCTGGAGAGACCGGCCTCGTCAGTCTCCCGATCTTGTCCCTGACGGAACCCACTTCGGGGCCTACGTCAGATCCAGTTCGCTGACGACTCAATGGTGCATGGCGATCCCCGCTACTGGCCATCGCAGCTGATAATGCGGATGAAGGCTTCGCTTTGACATTCGGCGAGGGATCTCTGGATTGCTGGAAGGCTAGCGTGGCACCTGTCAATGCGTCATTGCGGGACGCACCCAACCGCGGGTTCGCGGAATTCGGGCCTGCGCCATTCATGGAATCGACAGAGCTTAACAGGCGATGTTTATGTTTTTTTTCCCTTTTGTTTGGTGAAGTTGAGAGATGACGGGTCCCACGCCCGTGCGCCCGGGACGTTTCGTTGCTCAGCCTCAGCCTCAGTCATCTCTCTTGACAACGCCACAGTCTCTCCAACATCCAGAGATAGACACTCTTGGCTCCATGGCATTGAGCTAGGTATATTGAAATGACACTGACTATTGCACGAGACATCTTACGATCTGCTTCCTCAAATATGAGGGCGACTTATGAGTCTATTAACCGAACGGTAAATTGGCGTTTAAATAGTGCAGCCAATCGGTTCTACTTTCTCCGCATTTTCCAAGACACTGCCTGTTCCCCCCTCATTGTCCTTTCTGCAGGTCACTCTGCAGGTGTTTTCGAAAATGCAGTAGGCTAATCAGAATCATCTTTGGTGTCGCCATGCTTTCGGGCAAAGACAAGGATGAGGGTGCAACTCATCTCGGTGATTCAGCACTGGACCCTCGCCCCGAGACTGAGGATCCGAATGAGGAGTCGGGATCAGGGCACGTTCAGTGTGTTGTGTGTAGCAGCACATTCCGACGACCGGAGCATCTCAAACGTCATCTGAGGAGCCATACAAAGGAAAAGCCGTTTGAGTGTGCTCAGTGTGGCCGGCACTTCTCAAGGAGGCATGCGCTTAATCCTTCCCAGCATGAATCATACTAACTCGTCGCAGTGACACCCTACACCGACATGAGATCAGTCATCATACGCCAGGGATCGAGGGCAAAGACCGGACCCATCGAATTACCGTCAAGACTTTCCGTGCATGCTTTGGCTGTGCAACGGCACGCGTACGATGTAGCGGCGGTGCACCATGTGGACGTTGTGACACCCGTTCGCTCGATTGTCAATACCCTACACAAAGACGCTCCAAAGCGAAAGCCTTGAGAGAATTGGACACCAACGAAGCCGAGATCGGCAGGCGCAAGGCTGCGCATCGAGGCTCAAATGCGAGCACTCACCAACCCCAATTTTCTGAAGACAAGCATAATGATTCTGCATCACCAAAACCCTTACTCGGTGTCTTTTCTTCCAAGCCAAACCAGATGAAGTCGAATTTGTCGAATACGCACAGCGCTATGGGGGAGGCATCAGCCCCTCATATTTACCCGCCAAATGCGATGCAGGAACCATCTGCAGTAAGACAGTTGAATATATACAATGGAGGCGACAATAAAAGATACGACTGTTCCAATCCGGGTGTTACCAGGCCAATTCATGCTTCGTCCAGCTTGGATTCTGGGGCAGGGGGTCTACAGCCAGAAACGTGCCACTCAGCAGTCGACATTGAGATGACAATGGAAAATGACGCGGTATCCCTGGATTTTGACCCTAGCTTGTTTGACCAATCAGTGACTTCTACCATCAACTGGCTACCTGCCGAATTGCTTCCAGTAGCCTCGGTCGATCAGACACAGCCCTCTCATATCTCTTCACAACACAACCAAGCTCTGGGCCCAGGACCTTACTTCTCCCAAATGGCGTGGCGGCCCCCGGTCGCTATCTCAGGACAAAGCGATCTTGCACATCGAGAGCCGGCCTCTCAAAGACTGGTGTACATGCCTGTAGGCAGCATGGGAAGCCCTGGCCAATATTCCCACAGTATCGGTGAAGCCTCTCCCCAAACAGTATCAGTGGAATCGACCAAAAGCTCAGCGGACCAGCTTGATGGCGCGGGAAACGGACTTCCTAAGCACAACAAGAGACACCAGCCTTGGCCTGGTTCGCCCGGAAAGCCTATCGGGATTGGAAAGCAGATGCTGCTTGAAGAAAATGAGCATCGTTTTGAATTTCCTGTTATAGCCAAGCCCCGAACAGACCAGAACCCAGAAGTTCTAAACCGACTAGTTCCAAGCATCGAGCCCTCTACTTACAATGAAATTCACCGGCAATTCATCCGCCTGTGTCAGCACGACAACCCATTCTACAAAGCTTTCGACACTGACAGATTTCCCACCGCTGATGAATTGACTTGGCTCATAGCCTGCTACTTCAGTTCATTCCAAGCTGTGTATCCAATACTCCATCTTCCGACATTCAATCCAAATACATGCCACTGGCTTTTGACAACATCCGTAGCAGCACTTGGTTGTCACGTTGCACAGATGGCCGAGATGGAGCAATGTACAATTGCTTTTCACGAGTTTCTTCGGCGAGGAATCCATGTTGAGGTAATTGACAATCTCTATCGATGGGTTTAATTGACTAACATCCAGCAGAAGGACAAGAACTACCAGGATCGAACATCTCTCGACATCACTCAAGCTATTCTGTTCAATTGCATTGGGCTATTGCATAGCAGAAGCGAGCGAGACACACGCTTGGCCTCAAGTTGCTTTAGCGGACTGGTAACGATTGTGAACAGCACCAGGTTATTAGCACCGCAGGGGTCTTGTCTTGACGGGACATCGCAATCTGCAGACTGGACATGTTGGGTACAGGACGAGGTCAGAAGACGTACTGGCTACTGCATATGGGTAAGTCTGTTAAGTGATAAGAGGTTCTTCCTATCTGACAATTTTTCAGCTCTTGGACTGCACGCTTGCCTACTACTTTGAGTATAAGCCATTGCTCTCTCTGGATGATGGAAAAGCTTCGCTTCCCGCTCATGAGAAGTTATGGCAGGCGACCTCGGCAGGGGACTGGAAACAATTATGGGAACAATCACCAGGTACTACACGCTCAAAGTTTGGGACAAAATCACCGCTCACTATTACAGCCAATGAATCACTATACGATGCAGTCCATATTCTCTACGTTGAGAAAAGATTGATATCTGGCATTGGGGAGTTCAGTCACATCTTACTTATACACGCCCTCTATCATCGAATGTGGGAAGTAGGTGACTATTTCCGTCGCCCCCTATCCTTCTGGAATCCCACTGCGAAAAAGCAATCTCGCGAAACCGCCATTCCCACAGGCTCAGTCTGGCTCCCCGGAATTCCGTCTTACTCAAAATGGCGCAACAGTGCATGTGACTGCCTGGATATTTTGCACTGGACCGCAAATAGCACAATAGCCAAAGCCGCCGGCTTCGAGCATCCCACAGTTCTCCATCTTCACACCGCACGACTGTATCTCCTAGCTCCGTTCCGGGAGATGCGATCTCTTGCCACCGCTTTGGCAACAGAGAAACTGCACTGGCGAAAAAGACACCAGTCTCTCGAGTGGCAGTATATCCGACGCTGGATAGAATACGACCAGTACAAAGCGCGCTTATCGGTTATTCATGCCGGTGTGACCCTCTGGCACGTCTGTCGGTACTCCACCAGTGCATTCCACGAACCTGTCGCGACCTTCATTGCAGTGCTGACCCTCTGGGCCTACGGATCTTGCCACGCACGTGCATCTCATGAGTCAAGCCCGCATTCTAACTCTCAGGTCCCGCATCCTGAGACTTTGCGCGAACCGAGGCTCATTCATCTTGATCGACCTTGCGACGATGAGCTTGTGCAGCTTTTTGTTCGGGAGGGTCGTGTCATGAGCGCAAATGTCACTGGTGTTGGGGATATTTGTACAGCTGAGGGTCCCGAACGTCTGTTGCGAGTGGGATGTGAGATCATTGCGGGTTTGACTGCATGGAGCTGTTCGAAGAGATTTGTCGCAATCTTGACCAGACTTGCTGAATTGACTTCGCAACACACATCTTGATTCAGGCTAGTCGACACGATGCGGAACCTGTTTGAGTTGTCACCGAATCCACATCTATTGTGTATACCTTTTCTTTTGTATTGTACACTTGCTCCGTTGCGCTGGCTTACTCATTTTCAATATACCCTAAATAGCTTCAACGTAAATCACGTCACATTTTAGTAGATTGCTTATCTTTTTGCTGTGATATACCTAAGCCACTATCATATCATCTAAACGCAGAAATGTGACATGATATAGATATAGCTTTTCTGCTTTAGGGGTCGGTGATGGTGGATTGTATACTTCACAATGACACGCACCAGCTGCCCGGTAACCTTGAAAGACGCCCCACACGGCTTTATCTTATCGGAGTGCAGCCTAAAACCATCTGGGGTCATCTTACTTTCTTGTCTTCCCTTTCACTCTACCATGGATTCCGACGAAATTGTAGAACCTCTTAAAGAGGAAGATCTGGACGCAAAGTGAGATTTGAATAATAGAAAAAAGTGTGCCAATCACTGACACAGCGACAGGTACCCCAACCGACCTCACAACAGAGCTCCAACATTCGCCTTTCATGATTTATACCTCAACCTCTTCAATCCTCTTAATGAGCTAAAGAAAAAGCCAGGTGGTCCGGCCCCAGCTCGCCGGAAGCTCGGCCCGCATGGAAAGAGTGCCTCGAGTCTCAACCCTTTCGAGCTTCGCCGTGATGTGATCGAGCGCTTTGTCTCGCGGTGGCGTAAAGAGGTCGGCGATGATATTTATCCAGCTCTTCGATTGATCCTTCCCGACAAGGATCGTGATCGACCCATGTACGGCGTCAAAGAGAAGGGTATAGGCAAGATTCTTGTCAAAATCATGAAGATAAACAAGGAATCAGAAGACGGCTATAATCTCTTGAACTGGAAGCTTCCTGGCCATGGTGCGACGATGCGCATGGCCGGTGACTTTGCCGGGCGATGCTTTGATGTTCTTTCAAAACGGCCCATGCGAACCGAGCCCGGGGATATGACGATAGGCGAAGTCAACGAGAAGCTTGACAAATTGTCAGCGGCCTCGAAAGAGGAGGAGCAGGTGCCGATTCTGACGGAGTTTTATCGGCGCATGAATCCTGAGGAGCTTCTGTGGCTCATCCGTATTATCCTTCGGCAAATGAAGATTGGTGCGACTGAGCGCACACTATTCGACGTGTGGCACCCCGATGCAGAGAGCTTGTATAGCATATCTAGCAGTCTGCGGCGTGTGTGTTGGGAGCTCCATGATCCAAACATTCGACTTGAAGGGGAAGATCGCGGTGTCGCGCTGATGCAATGTTTCCAACCTCAACTGGCTCAATTTCAAATGCATTCGTTCGAGAAAATCATTGCTCGCATGAAGCCAACAGAAGATGATAACGTTTTCTGGATCGAGGAAAAGCTAGATGGCGAACGTATGCAGCTTCATATGGTGCCTGATGATTCCTCCAATGGGGGTCGGAGATTTGGATTCTGGTCGCGCAAGGCTAAAGAATACACCTACCTCTATGGAAATGGTATTTATGACGAGAACGGTGCAATGACAAGGCATCTTAAAGATGCATTTGTTGATGGAGTACGGAGTATCATCCTCGATGGAGAAATGATTACATGGGACCCCGAACAAGATGCAATCGTTCCCTTTGGTACACTCAAGACTGCGGCGCTGGCAGAAGCACGCAACCCATTTTCCAAAGGCCATAGACCGTTGTTCCGCGTGTTCGATATATTACATCTCAACGGGCGCGATCTAACGAAATATACGCTCCGCGACCGCCGCAATGCCATGGAAAAGACCATCCGACCTGTCCATCGCCGCTTTGAAATCCACCCTTACGAGGAGGCTACCACTACCACAGAAGTCGAAGCAGCTCTGCGTAAAGTCGTCGCTGAGGCTTCAGAAGGTTTGGTGTTGAAGAATCCACGTTCTCTCTATCGCTTGAACGAGCGCCATGATGACTGGATGAAAGTCAAGCCAGATTATATGACCGAGTTTGGAGAATCCCTAGACGTTGTTGTCATTGGCGGGTATTTTGGCTCTGGTCATCGAGGAGGCGCCCTAGCCAGCTTTCTGTGCGGGCTGCGAGTCGATGAGAACAACAATGATGAGGAGAAATCGAAATGCTGGTCCTTTTGCAAAGTCGGTGGCGGATTCACCGCGGCTGACTACCAGGAAGTCCGCCACCATACAGATGGGAAGTGGAAGGAGTGGGATGTGAAAAAGCCACCGACCAACTATATCGAGTTGGCTGGCGGGGATGCTCAGATTGAACGTCCTGACATGTGGATCAAACCCTCCGAGTCAATAGTCCTGTGCGTGAAAGCTGCTTCAGTGGCTGTCAGTGAAACATTCCGCATGGGTTTGACGTTACGTTTCCCTCGCTTCAAGAAGTTGCGCAAAGACAAAGACTGGAAAAGCGCACTCTCTGTCCAGGGCTTCCTTGACCTCAAGTCCAATGCCGAGCAAGAGCACCGTGAAAAAGAGTTTGCTGTGGACAACTCTCGCAAGAAGCGGATTAAGAGGGTCACGAAGAAACCGCTTACCGTCGCTGGATACGGCGAGAACATCAACAACCAGTATATTGGACCTTCCGGTAACGTTTTCGACAAGCTCAACTTCTTCATTCTTACCGAGTCAACCGTCCCAGAAAAGATGTCGAAGATTCAACTGGAACATCTTGTGAAGGCCAATGGGGGCAAAATCTATCAAACAAATACAGCTGCACCAGATACGCTCTGCATTGCTGAGCGAAGTGAGTATTCTGTTCCACAAGTCACGATAAACTTCAACTCAAATGTTTCTAGGAACTGTCAAAGTAGCTTCGTTGCTGAACAAAGGCGAGCAACACATCATCCGGCCATCCTGGCTGCTTGAATGCGTTAAGCAAAACGAAAGAGATGCCGGGATGCCCGACTTCCTTCTCCCATTCGAGCCTAGGTATTTATCGATGACCAGGATGATCTTGCGGCAGCTAATATTTATTGATTCCCCAGACACATGTTCTTCATAATGGAAGATAAAGAAGAAGAGTTCACATGCAACGTTGATCAATTCTCCGACAGCTATGCCCGCGATACGACCGTCGACGAGCTCACAGAGGTAAGAGATCGCGCAAGCAAGCATGGATATTATCTAATTCCTTATAGATTCTCAAGCAGATGGAAGCCTCCACTAGAAAAACCGACCACACTCTGGATGCAAGAACAACCCATAGGATAGAGACCCGCATCCAGGATCGGGTCAGCGCTGGATACACAGCGCCCTGCGGCTGGCTCTTCAAGGGCCTGACCTTGTTCCTCCTCCCCCAAGCCCAATCAGATGGTAAACAGAAAGACCTGCGTCTGCACCTCGCACAAAACACAGCCCGCTTCGCAAGCGCTGACATCGCTGCTTCATTATCGGACTCGAATATCACGCACGTGGTAGTCAACCCGGATACCCTTACATCGAAGGATATCTCCAATATTCGAGAGTCTCTCGCAGAGAAAGCCGGTACCAAAATGCCTCATCTGGTTAGCGTGGACTGGGTTGAAGAGTCCTGGAAGAATGGGACTCTGGTTGACGAGGAGAGATTTCAAGTACGGCGGTGATACTTAGGGCTGAGGTAATTCAATTGCCTACTTTGAAGCTTCACGGCGATATTCAGCGTTCTTACTACATAGCATATTGTCATATTGTTTATTGATTTTCAAGGTTCTGATGTACTACACACAGTGCATTCAACAAAGGCAACATGTCCTGGATAACTAGTCGGTTCACGTGAACTCAATTTCGCATCAGCCGACACTGAATTCGAGCTGAGTTAGGCCAGAAAGATAGGCAACCTTTGTTCCCATGGGTTGCCCTAGCCGAGAAGCCTCTCATTGGGCGTCTAGTACTGACCCCGTGATCATGCCAGTGATGAGTGTAAATAGCCGGCCACGCGGGATGATCTCATGAGCTGTGAGATGATATCACCATCTAATTTAAAGCCAATCTAGAGTTTGACAATGTCTGTTTACAATACAAATACAATGCTTAATTGGGCAGGTTGTGTAAATTGGTCTGGTTTTGATTTAATTTTATTGAGATCTGTCGAGTTGAAGAGTTTAAAAGAAGAAACAACCCTCAAGCGCAGGGTTGTGAGATGGAGAAGGGGTATGTAACAAAGGAGAGAAAGTATGACCGGGACACGGCCATGGTCCAACGCCGCGCTTGAAATGACCAGGAAAAGAGACAAGAGAAAAGAAAAGAAAAAATTCGTGTGAATGTGAGTGGCCAGAAAGGAGATGTAGCATGCCACTCATGCGCCCTGCGCGATGGAAAGTATGCGATGCAAGGCCTGGTTCACTCGGCTGAGATGCCGACCCAACGAGAGGGGACAATGTTGTTGTCGTCTCCGTCTTCGTATTGCCCCGATATGCGGTAAATGTTCTTGCGCGCTGGTAGCCAGACTCGAGCGCGGGTGGGGATGTCCTCGCGGAGTTTACCGCGGCGTCGCATGTTCATTTCAAGAACCACCACACGCAAGAAATCGCTGTTCTCGCGGATCTCGCGTGAGCGGGCCATGGGCGGGACCTCCGGATCGTAGGTCACAAACTTCTGGTCCCGGCTTGCGATGTGGAAATGGTTGCGTCGGTTTCCACGGCTGCTGGAGCGGCGATATGTTTGCATTTGGATGGAGACGGGGCTCATGCCAGTGGTCTTGGGCGTGTCATGAGGGTAGTCGTGGTAGACATACATCTCCGCAGGTGAGATAGGGGTTGGGTTGAGATAACGTCGCAAAGCTGGCGAGGGGGTATCTTTCATTGGCAGTGGACGACGATCATCGGTCATCTCTGGAGCAATGGCGAATAGAGATCGAGTGAGGAAGTCCTCCGGCTGGACGGAAGGTGTAGCAAATGTCGAGACGCTCTGTGCAGCGGATTTGATGGCACGTAGTGAGGCCGTAAGATTTGACTTGAAGGTAGATCCAAGACGTCCGAACGAAGCAGATCGCTTTGTGGGGGTGGTGTCGGCTTCGACGGGTTCATTGTCATATTTGATTTCAAGGAATTCACTTTCATCCAGCTCAGTTGGAAGCAGGGGGTGATCCAACGCGCAATCCTCGCAATGCGAATACCGAGGTTGTCGTTTCTCTGGGGTGGTCCGGTGACTCGGAGGGGTGGGAGGCGAGGAAAGACTTGATGGAGAGCCGAGACCATGCACCAGGGAAGGTGTTGATTCACTCGATGTTGATCTCACGGAGAGTGGGGAATCGTGCTCGAAATCGTTGCCCATAATCTTATCATGGTCCTCAGGTGGGCTGAGAAGGAAGCCCAGAGGAGAGTAGATGGACCCGTCGAGAAAGTGATCTTCTTTCGGCCTGAGGTCTTCCCGCAACATCCGTCGAAAATCCTCTTCATGGTTTCCACGGGCTAGTTTCCTAGGCCTGCGCGTGGTTCGGCTTCGTCGGGGTGGAATGGTGGTCGCATCTAGCATTGAGCTGAATGACGTAGGGATGTGGCGTTCATTAGACGAGCTCGAGGTGGATCGACGAGATAACTCGGATGCTTTGGACGGCGTACGGGACCGACTTTCCCTGCGCATTGACATGTTCCGAGAGCCACGCTTTGGGGGGATCACGACTGGGGTGGTGTTCGGTCCCCGAGTCTCTGTTTGTGGGGTGGGGCGAGGACCAGCGTGAAGTGGCGGGAATCGTTTCATGCTCTGATGTTCAAAGGGCTTTTGCGGCACGGCCGAGGAGAAGATAAATGCTCTGGGGACCATCATAGTGACGACTGCACCGGGAGACAGTTGCTAGCAAGGCCTAGACCGGACGAAGCACTCTGGTCGAGTGTCTGGGCTAGATACATGGATAGAAGAGAAGATTGAAGACTGTAAAGAGACCCCCGTCCGAAGAGTCAGACGAAAGACAACAGCTAATCTGATTAGGTGTGTTGGCCCAAGATGCAGAGCGGATAGGGCCGCGAGACAAGGGTATGCACGCGACTCGATAAGGTGACGGAAAAGTGATAAAGGGTGATAAAGGGCGGAAAGGGATCGATAAGATTGAAATATTGTAGGCGAGGAGGGAATCGAAAGCGAGAAGAAGAAGAGAGATATAAGGAGCAAGGAGTAGAGAAGTAGATAGAGAAAGCCCTGGAGACAGCAGAAGATGGGGAAGAGTGATGATCTCAGATAGGCCCGTATTGGGTAGGTAAAGGCTGAAAACCATCTGTGTGCAGGCAGTCCCGATGAGTGGACTGGTAATTTATTTCAGTCGCCCGCTGATTGGCTAGACGGTGCCGTCTTCCGGGCCATCGTGTATTTTTGGTTGTTTTGGGGGTATTTTTGAACAATTCCCATTACTCATGGAACATTCCGCCGGTGGAGTCCGGAAGGGTGGGCTTTCTTAATTTGTCTTGTCTCATGTCTGCGAGTATCACTACGAGTCCTCTCGATATTATGGATATGTAAGCAACTATCATATCATACGTGTCATTCCAAGGTTGTGTCGCGATATGCGCTCTATATTGTACTCCGTACTCTATAGGGTGTACGAAATAAGGTCTGATACCCTCTGACTCAGAGGTATAGGGGCTAACGGAAGGGAACCCGACAGAAAAAAATAAAGAGAAAAAACAAAGTGGGTGGGCCCGTTAAGGTTGCTTTTAGTGCGGCGTCGGCAGATGCACACCGTTCTCCCCAGGATCAAAACAGAAAATGTAATAATGAAGAGGGTCCTGACAGTACCCGCACGGAGAGGTCCCATTGTGAAGTCCTAATTTTTTCTTTTACTTTGGCCCGAGCCCTTGTTTCATTTGCTTATCTACGAATCCTGCTTGTATGCATGGAACCCAAAAAAGCAATGGGAATGATATGTGTGATTACAATGTGTGATCGGTGTCAGCTCGATAGATCGACAGGAACTCCAACGGGGCTCCCTGGTTCCTCCGATTGAATTGTTGAAAACAACATTAATCAGCGGGTGGCTGCAGACTTCCTAAAAAGTCAACTTGAAGAGACGTGGCTAGTGGAGCGCCTTTAGCGAGCATAATTACGGTGAACCCCCTTTTCCTACTGACCCTACCGCCCCGATAGTATTGTGGCTTTGTGGCGGTTTTTTTATCTTTTATTTTGGAATTCAATTTTGTACGCCGTACGGAGTGTACTGCTGTATCTCTTATATCCTTACTCCGTACTTTGTTCTGGAGCTGCTGTGGGATTCATGCGAACTTGGCTTGTCCAATAACAAGCTTGGGTTACATAGAAGTGTACATAGACATTCAAAATCAATGCAAGTCTTGCCTTGGCGGGTATATCCATCGATTGTTCTCAAAAAGAAGAGGTTGAGACGTGGCTGGTGGAGCGCCTTAAGCGAAAACATTGCGGTGAGGCCCCTAAGTCGATCGGTTTGGATTGTTTCTGTGTGGTTGGGTTAGGCATTCATACATTCCTAGGCTAGCAGTATTTTTCTAACAATGACTTGGCGTTCTCTGTCAATACCCGTGTACGGAATACTCGATTGGAAGAAGACAAACCTTCCAAATAGTATGACCTAGGGAGAATTGGGAGTGAGGGACGGAGTACCGACACCGACCGGGATGTAACAATGTGAGAGAGACCCTGACTCTGTACGATGAACTGTATGACCATTGTTTCATCCGTGCCTATTTACGACCGAGAGTGTCTCTGTTTAGAGGGACTCTAGAAAGGGTCCTCCATATTATCCTCTATACGAAGTACTCCGTATACTCCTTGATAATGATTATTTCTACATCCCATTGAACAATGTTATTCACATTGTAGACTGTATCAACAGGCTAAAGTTCAATTCATTCTTTACGTAGCCCGTGGGGTCTAAGACCTTCAACTAGAAATCACCGCACCGGGGGGCGCCTGGGTAATATCTAACGCACTCGCCAATCCTTCGAGATCCGCGGCATTCCGGAAACAATTTCCTGGTGATGACTTGGCCTCCATGAATGATGTCAGCATGCCATACCGAGGCGCGGCGACATGAACATCTTCAAATTGGGGCCCCGGGGATGGACTGAAGATGTGTAGCAGGTTGAAAGAGGCCTAAAAGAGTGAAGTCGAGACAATGTCGCGAACTCAAAATCACGCCACGTGAAGGGCATTAGTCAGCCGCTTATCGAGCTTGCATCACAGCCATCCAGAGCGCGGCGATAACCACATCGCTGTCGCTTGCATCCAATCATTTCCGGCTCAAGATCCTCGCATCCTGCAAACCTGTCTCCGCCTCCACTGCGGGTCTGAATATCGTGGGGTAGATGACCTGCAATTGTCATCCGTAGATCTTGAACCGTTGATTGATATTCTCGAACGCCTAATTTGATATCAGCCCACTTGACAGCCCTGCAAACAGCCAATTTGGGGGTTGACCATGTTCTAAATACGCGTGATGTCCCGATATGGAAATGCGGTGCATTGATCACACCTGGACCAGTGATAGGCAGACACGACAAAAGCAATAGACTCACGACCAAACTGAAATTCTCTTGTCTCCAGCCGTGCGAATCAAACGTTTGGAAACATGAGTGCCGAACGTGCCCAGTCGTCTAAACGACGGTGCGTTAGCACGGCATGTGTTGCTTGTCGCAAGAGGAAGTCCAAGGTGCGCGCCCTCTGAATCATCCAATCTCACCTCTCCATTACTAATGGTATCCGTGAAACAGTGTGATGGAAATCTCCCAAGTTGTGCGGCCTGTTCATCGGTATATCATACTCCATGTATGAATTCCACCTATGAACAAAAACGTATGATCGACACATCTAACTATTTGCAGGTGTATATGATCCAAACTCAGACCAGCGCCGCAAAGGTGTATATAAAAAGGACACTGACTCCTTGCGCACTAAGAATACCACTTTGCAGACTTTGATACAGGCCCTATTGAATTACGATGAAGCCGATGCTTTTGAATTGGTACGCCAAATTCGCTCTTGCGACGACCTTGAGGATGTCGCGAATTCAGTGCTTGCTCAAGAGAAAGGGCTTTTGTCGGTAAATCAAACTTCAAAAGAACCAACCAGCGAGGACTCAGTTGAAATCAATCAATTTGAGTCAGAACTGGCTGGTAAGATGAGCGAGCTGATGCTAGATGGCTCTCGCAAATTCATCGGGGGGACCTCAAATCTCATATTCCTACCACCAGGCTCGGAGTTACATGAGGCAGCTTCGGTTACAAATAACCTCACTCTCGCCACTGATCAAGTACACGCAGTGAGCCGATGGACGCGAGTTACAGATGACGACTCGTTGATCAGCCATTTGATGACGATGTATTTCACGTGGCATTATCCATTCTTTACCACTCTCTCCAAAGACCTGTTCTATCGTGATTATATTCGCGGAGTTTCTAGCTCTTATTGCTCTGCATTGCTCGTCAATGCGATGCTAGCCCTCGGTTGCCATTTCAGCTCTTTGCCCGGCGCTTTTGATGACCCCCAGGACCTGACAACGGCGGGCAATCAATTTTTCAAAGAGGCTAAACGCCTTGTTCTCGAGAATGACGAGCACGAGAATGCGAAGCTCTGCACAGTCCAAGCATTTGCACTGATGTCTGTTCGAGAAGCCGGGTGCGGTCGCGAGGGAAAAGGTTGGGTCTACAGCGGCCTCAGCTTCCGTATGGCTTTTGATCTTGGACTTAATCTGGATTCGCAAAACATTGGTGCGCACAGTCTCAGCGACGAAGAAATTGATGCTCGCCGGGTCACATTCTGGGGCTGTTACCTGATTGATAAGTAAGTGGCCCTCGTTCAGATAAAATTACCTCTTTCTTACGGTTATCTCACAGATGCTGGTCAAATTATCTGGGTCGTCAGCCTCAGTTAACCTCCGCTAACGCCAACGTGCCCAAATTCGATGTGTTTCCGCGAGAGGAGACAGAGTTATGGTCGCCGTATACTGATTCCGGTGTGGGCCACGAGCATACCCAGGCATCGCGAATTCGAGCAGTTGCGCTTCAAATATCCAAGCTGTGTGAGATCAGTAGCGATCTACTGGTCTTCTTCTACCACCCAACTGAACTCGAAAAATTCCAACCCAAACAGTCGGAATTGAAGAAACTAAGTGATGTCCACACCCGGCTCGAAGCATGGAAAAACAAATTGCCCAAGGAACTGATCGCAAAAGAAGGGCAATTACCCCAAGTACTCGTCATGCAGTAAGTTGGCTTGCAAAGCGGTCAGGATGTCTTAACTAACACACATTACAGCATGCTACATCAACTCCTGGTGATTCATCTCTATCGGCCCTTCTTGAAATATACCAAGGCAAACACCCCATTGCCTCCCCACGTCTCACCTCGCAAGATTTGCACACAAGCTGCTGCTACAGTTTCCAAGCTTCTGCGCGTGTACAAACGTGGCTATGGACTGAAGCAAATTTGTAACATCGCCGTCTATATCGCTCACACTACATGTACCATTCACCTCCTCAACCTGCCCGACAAGAATGCCCAGAGAGACGTCATTCATGGACTGAAGAATCTCGAAGAAATGGCAGAGGGTTGGCTTTGTGCTCGACGTACTCTTCGCATCCTGGACATATCCGCAAACAAGTGGAATGTCGAGTTACCACCCGAAGCAACAGCGGTCCTTGAGCGAACCCACACCAAATGGGGCTCATGGGGCTCATGGGACCAAGCGGCATCACCCTCAGTATCCTCCGAATCACCCACATCGACCGCCATGCACCCCGCCACGACCCCAAGCCGATTCTCCCCTACTGCACCGCCATTCCAACCCTCCCGCACAGAAGACCCCAGCAACCCTCTGACAATGGTCGGTTCGCGCATGAGTCCGCAATTTGGCGCCGCTCCAACCTCCATTCCAATGTCTCTCCCGTCCATGCGAGCAGCCCACAGCGCTCTATCAGCCCAACTCCAAAGGCCCGAATTTGCCCCGCCTGAGCCCACATATCTCCGGCCTCAAGTGGCCTACCAATTCCCTCCTATTGCACCAAACCCTTCCACTCCTCAGCAAAACGCTTGGTTTGACGGATCAGGTGCCCATGTCCCGCCTCAAAATAGAACGACGCCGTCGAATGCATCACCTGTGTCCGGCTACGACGGCACAGAAAACCTGGTTGAAGAGAGCCAGGACTGGTGGTCCAGAAACGCTACCTACGGTATGGGCATAGGTGGTTGGAACGGATCTTGGAATCATCCATCCCATAATCAGCAACCTCAAATTGATTTCCAGAATGAGAACCTAGTTGCTGTTCCTCAGCCACCGCCTCCGGGTCCGGATGTTGGCCCTGGGCAGTCCCAGATACCCCTTGGTATACCGATTGATCGCCCCCCTTCAGATCTTAATGGTGATACTGGGTTTAGGGATGGATGGCAGTCATTATGATTGATGAGATTGCCCCGCTGTTTGGGGCAGCTATGTACACATGCTTTATCTTCATTCTCGCATTGTTGTTCTATGTATTTATTGAATTTCTGATACCATACTAAGGCATATCCTCAGTTCTACAACCTGGGGACCTTCAAATTTATTTCCTACCTGGAAATGTCTCTGGGTCATAATCGATCTACTCCGTGCGAACACGAAAATCTCCAGCTACAGATATGGAACATCCATGGATGACATGAAAATATTTGTCATAGATGATCATTAGTTCTCAAATACAAACACCAAGACGCAAAATGCTACTTCCAAGACAGCCATATGAAAAGAAAAAAGTGGCGTTGGATGGATGGTATCACTAGAGATCGATCATGGTTAGCAAAGAGGAACATGAGAACATGGTTGATCGATGAAGAACTCACCAAGAAATAATCAGCGACGGGCTTCTTCGCAGGCATACCCCTCGTATCCTGCGCCGCGGCCTCAAAGACACGATATCTTCTTCCCGGACTAACAACTCTGTTGCTTCCAGAAAGTCCATTGCTGCGTCCATACTCACCATTACTGCGAGCAACAGTACCACCGCCGCTGGCGTCTTCTCCAAGCTCAAGTATAGCGGCAACGTTACCGCAGCGGTAACAGTAATTCGGCGCAGACCAAACTGTCACAATACCGCCATCGAACATCTCTTTATAGCCCTCCATGACAAGCTGGTGGGCACGCGCGACAAGTGACAGACCATTGAGATGGTTGAACTGCTTTACAATATCACCACCAAAGAGGAAACCGGCCCCGCGAGGGCTCAATCCCCAGCCTTCGATCTCGTCGGGGTCTGACCAGAGCAGATCACACATGGCACCTTCATGCGGCACCTCTTGTTTGCGGTCAATGAGCCGGATCTTGTCCACCGAGTCAATGAGCGGTGAAAGTCCACCGTGAACGCAGAGCACCGCTCCTGTCCGGCTAGTCACGGCGCTGCCGTTGCCATCACTGCTTGCGCCTGTCCCTGGTGCGCCCGATCGAGTTGGCGCAGCAACTTGGCCCGGAGTGGCAGAGATATCTCGTGGAGGGGAGATGTTGCGGGAGTCTGTGGAGGCATCTGAGGAGGAGCGCTGCCGTGGGCGGTAAGTGCTCATTGTGACATGGCCTCGAGAATCGAGAACTTCTGTTTCAAGCTCGCTGTCTGCAAGAGCTAGGCTTGATTGTGCTGTGTCATTTAAAGCGGGTGAGGTCGGTTCTAGCTCTGAGCTCGCGCCGAGAACGATCGCTCCCAGTGCTAGGTAGTCAAATACTTCGCAACAGTAGCGCCATACGTTGGCGCTGCCGTATTTGCGAATACATTCGTCGTAGAAGCCATATACTGTGGTGATTTGGCGGGATTCGTGGTTGCCGCGGATGAGGGTAATGCGATCGGGGTATCGGACCTTCAGGCAGAGAAGGAGGAGGAAGGATTCGAGTGAGTAGAAGCCACGGTCGACGAAGTCGCCCATGAAAAGGTAGTTTGTATCTGGGACGTCACCGCCGACGCGGAACAGTTCCATCAAGTCGTGAAATTGGCCGTGAATATCACCGCAGATGGTGACCGGTGCGTCCACCGACACGACATTGCCTTCTTCAATCAGTAGCTCGCGCGCTTTGTAACACAGTTCGCGGACTTGGCTTTCGGGGATCAGGCGGCAGGCCCGCAGCTGCTCGATCGCCCTGTGAGACCGATCGCGATGTCAGTACGGGAACCAATGCTTGAACTCCTGAGGGGGGGGTTAAGGCGTACCGGTCAAGGTCACTCATCTTGTATGTGGAGAAGGCGGAGGGGAAGGGGGAGAGAGGAACTGATGAAGTCGAGAGACCCCCCACAATGGAAAATTTCAGATGATTTGATTCTCTCTTGGACAAGTCAAGCTCATCTCTGCGCAGCCATAGCGATTATGCGCGTAGCAGAGACTTGAGAGCGGCGGAACATCCAATCACGCGGGAGCCAGATAAGATTAGATGCACCAAAGCCTTCGCTGTCGTCTTCTCTCCGCAATCCCTCCTTTATTCTCCCTCCAAACGGCCTGTCGGGGCTCCAAGTGTTTGTCGATCCGGAGATCCTCCAGTTACGATCCCATTGACCTCTATTTGGTCCCTTCATCTATCCCTGCTCGACCACACCACCCGTTCGGCCTGAGATATTCGATGGCCTGAAAAAATCCAGCAACAGTCGGCCACGCCCACCGCACCTCAATTGAACCTCCCTCACTCGTCAATTCTCCCTCATAATGCCACCACATCTACATCCTCGTTCGCGGTCAACAATGGGCCTGTTCGCAGGTACCCTCCTCGCATCTCTTGTGGTGGTTGGCTTGCCGCATGTCTTCCCCTGTCCGGCCCCGAGACGCACGTTCGCCGATTCTGAGATGATTATCTCCGCCGATGGGCAACAAATACCACGAGTCCGGAGGAGACGTCGCAAGGATGTCGAACCCGCCCAAGAAGGCACCTACCCGACCCATCCGGCGTCAATCGGTGCTGCGGATGACGAGGTCTCAACCTTCTTTCAAATGGAAAAAGAAGCGCAAGAGCTCTCTCATGTCAATCACGAATGTCCCATTCCCAAACCCAAGGGCGTTCTCGGGGAATTGCTCGGGTTTCGAAACGTTCAAGCGAACACCCACCAGGCAAGCAGCCTGCACAACAGTGATCAATGATAGTTGACACTTTCACTTTTGCATCTTGTTTTCTTGACTTGTTTAATGATACCATGGACACATATACTACACAGAGAATCGCGCGGGATTGGTGGGATTGAAAGAGAGACCGAGTTCGAGGTCTCAATGCGAGCTAGATCTATTTATTTTCTATGTACACTGATTTGTATAAATAAAATATCAACATCTTCGAATCGAGACCAAAACCTAGAATGTGCTGTTCAAACATGAGCCCTTCAGAAAGTATGTGTGCTTCAGACAGAAACTCCAGTACGTACCCAGACTACATGGAAGCGGTCCCAGCTCCGGCCACCTTGAATGTTCTCCCACCCACCATTTCACCATGGCATTGACGGCCAAAACCTTTGCCTACGACGTGCTCACCAATCCCCGGCACACACGATGGCTTGCACCTTTAATTGTTTTAGGCGATGCGCTCCTCTGCGCTCTCATTATATGGAAGATCGCATGTAAGTCGCGTCTGCGTCGCGTACCTCGAGCCAGAGCTGACCACTCCCAGACACTGAAATCGACTGGTCGACATATATGCAACAAGTCTCGCTCTACATATCTGGTGAACGCGATTACCCCTTAATCAAAGGCTCGACTGGCCCCCTCGTCTACCCCGCCGCTCACGTATACATCTACACCCTCCTCTACCACGTCACGGACCAGGGCCGCGACATTCTTCTCGGACAGGCGATTTTCGCCGTGCTTTATCTGGCGACGCTGGTGGTGGTAGTCTCCTGCTACAGACAGACGGGTGCGCCGCCTTATCTCTTCCCACTTCTGGCTCTGTCGAAACGGCTCCATAGCATATTCGTCTTGCGTCTGTTCAATGATGGATTTGCCGCTTTTGCGATGTGGGTTGCTATCTATCTGTGTTTAAAACGCAGGTGGGGAGCAGGCATTGCAGTGTGGTCTTTTGGTGTCGCGATCAAGATGACGCTCGTATTGCTGGTGCCAGCCATTGCAGCCATTACTCTCCTTAGTCTGGGACTTATGCGAAGTATTTCGCTTGGTGTCATGGCTGTTCTTATACAGGTAGGTTCTGAGCTTGCCAATCCAGTATTGGAGTGTCAACTGACATGGTACATAGATACTGCTTGCGGTTCCCTTTCTCCAGGTCAATCCTACGGGTTACTTCTCTCGAGCCTTTGAGCTATCCCGCCAGTTCTTGTTCAAATGGACTGTCAACTGGCGGTTCATGGGTGAAGAAACATTCCTCTCAAGAGAATTCTCACTGGGTCTGCTGGTAGTGCACATTTCTCTATTGGTGATCTTCTTCGCAAGCTGGGTGAAGCCCTCGGGGACGAACGTGTTCCGCTTCCTCCAAGGTACTCTCCAGGGTCGCCAACAGAAAGTGCCGCTTTCCAAATCATTCGTCATGACTGTGATGTTGAGCTCACTAGCCATAGGCTTGCTATGCGCCAGGTCCTTGCATTACCAATTTTTCGCCTATCTCGCATGGGCCACTCCGTTCCTTCTCTGGCGCGCAGGAGTTCACCCGGTCCTCATTTATGCAGTATGGGCGCTGCAGGAGTGGGCCTGGAACGTCTATCCCAGCACGAGTGTGAGCTCGGGCGTTGTGGTGCTCTCGCTAGCAGTCCAAGTGTTTGGTGTGTTGTTCAATGGGTCGAACGAAGTAGAGCATAATGGGAGCAACCGCAGCAAGGCGCCTACCCAATAATCAAGAATGACAGCCAGTCTCAAGTGATACTGAGACGTGTATTATATGAGCGCCATGGGGCGGTCCCAAATTCCATCCCAGTAGACTGTAGCTGGCGCCATTCGATGGCGAGGACATGGTAGCCGAGGAGCCATGATTCAGTCTGACTCGTCCGAAGAAGGCATTTGGCCCACGCGAGACTGTTCCTCTTCCTCGTCATCTGAGCCGGCAAGCACAACCTGCTGTTTCACGAATTCTTTGGGCCTGCGAGGGAAGAGCATAAGTTAGCGAAAAATTGCTTCGCGCATGACATGAAACTTCCACCAGGGGACCTACCAGAAAGGTGCCTTTCTCCAGGCCTTCTCGTCCCGAACAACATTGACGATCTCCCCGCAAATCTTATTGTCTCGCTCCTCCTGGCCCTTGCTATCCACCACGACATAGGAGCTGCGCTTGATCCAAATGGTCGAGCGGAATCTCGCGGGCAGTTCAACGAGCATCTGCTTCTTGTCTGCTTGTTCCACCAGGTAGATGTTGTTTCCGGTCGCCTTGATTGCTCGCACGATCTGCTGGGTGTCGGATAGGTCGTCGGGAGGGGTCAATGTCTCCTCTGCTGTGGCCAGCATCTTTCTGCGTGGTGGTCCCATGACTAACTCGGTATAAGGTATATCTCGTTGACGTCGAAAATCTAGGAGGTGCCAAGTTGAACAAAAAAGTGCAAAAGTTGTGGGGTTCGGAAATTTGAGCTTATCGGCGGGGCTTCTCCCGCTTCTACAGAAATCCAAGGTCCTTACAGATCGCGACTACAATACCTGGAGCGCGAGAGCATCTAAAATGCTGACATGGCAAATAAAGTATTAGGCTGAATAGGTGTGCTTCAACGTTGGCCGGATAATGGATTCCTTGCAATTGACCTGCAAAATTCCATCTTTGGTTTAGTACGAAGTACGATGTGCTCCGTCTAGGGAGCCCCCCCGGTACTTAATGCGATTTCTAAGCCAAGCGTAAATCCATGGATCTTCCAAGCTTATAAGCGGGGTACTAGATGGTATAATCCCTCTGATTATTCTCTTCAGCGGAGTATCCTTTACTGCTCTCTTCACAATGGCTGCCTCCGGTTTCGATCCTTTTCTCAAGATCGAAAGCTCGCCCCAGATCACCAGTCCTCTACCTGCGGTACGCAAAGACAAACAGGGTACTGTCAAGCACCATCGGATTATGAGTTGGACGAAATACAGCCAGCCCGAGACTTGAGCCAGGCAACATCCAAGTCTGCAGCACAAACACCGGCCCGCACTCCTTCACCCTCGCCGAGTGAACTCGAACGACGCTTATCGTTGCCGGGGGTCACAAATGAGCCCTCTGATTGGGCTCCAGACCGAACTTTTACCTCGTGGAAAACAAAATGGCGCGTGCTGAGCCTTTGTCTCATAAGTCTCGGTAATGGAATGAATGACAGTGCACCAGGTGCCCTGATTCCTTACATCGAAAAGCATTATAATATTGGATACGCCGTTGTCTCACTCATCTTCGTGACCAATGCACTCGGCTTTATCATGGCAGCACCACTTACTCATTCGATCGAGCATAAGCTTGGGCGCGCAAAGAGTTATGCCCTCGCTCTTTCTGTCCAAGCAATCGGCTATGTTGTCATCATCTGCGAGCCCCCTTTCCCTGCTGTTGTCGCCAGTTTCTTTCTCCTTGGCTTCGGCATGGCGCTCAGTCTTGCTCTGAGCAACGTATACTGTGCCAATCTCGCAAACTATACAACAGCCCTCGGTTGCTTACACGGCTCCTATGGAATTGGTGGTATTATCGCTCCGCTATTTGCAACTGCCATGGTATCGGGTGGAATACGGTGGTCCTTTTTCTACATCATCACCCTGGCGGTGTTAATTTTCAACTTGGGATACGTCTCGTGGGCATTCCATGGCTTTGAAAATGACCTGCCAAATGAGCCATCGATGGCCCTGAGGCCAACCCTCTCACAGACCGACGATGGAGAGCCTCTCTCGCGAATGCAGGTCCTAAAAAATACCGTTCGCAATCGTACCACCCTACTAGGCGCTCTCTTCATCTTTGCTTATCAGGGCGCTGAGGTCTCTATCTCGGGATGGGTTGTCTCCTTCTTGATCAGTTATCGACATGGTGACCCATCACGGGTTGGATACGTGAGCGCCGGTTTCTGGGCAGGAATTACCGTCGGTCGATTCTTGTTGACACATCCAGCTTCCAAGATCGGTGAGAAGGTCGCTGTGATGGGAATGATTGCAGGCGCTGTTGCTTTCCAGCTGATGACTTGGCTGATTCCAAATGTTATTGGAGAAGCTGTAACAGTTGCCATCTTGGGCCTTATGTTGGGCGCTGTCTACCCATGTGCTACGTCGGTCTTTACCCGGCTGATTCCGCGTAGTATGCAAATTTCTAGCTTGAGCCTCATCAGTGCTCTTGGTAGCAGTGGGGGTGCTGTCTCGCCCTTTTTTACTGGTATTCTTGCGCAGAATGTCGGTACAATGGTATTGCACCCTATATGCATTGGGCTCTATGGGGTAATGGCTATCAGTTGGCTCTTGTTGCCCAAGGTCGTGAAAAGGTCGGACTAGATTATGCAGGGCTTGGTCACTACGAACGTTGCAGTGCAGCACGTTTTACAGAAACGAAATGAACCTTTATCTTGCCATGATCAGAGCGTGGTCTGTATTCCATCCACGGCTACCCCCGTTGCTTCAGCTACGCGGCTTACCCCACTCACTATGCATTGGGTTCTTGCTAAATTCGGCTCAGAGTGTGATGATGTTGAGTTGCTTCAGATATCATCAAGAACCTTTACAATGCGAGTGGGACAGGGGGGAGTTTATCATCCCATTATTTTCACTTTGCATGGATAAGTCAAGAACCCCCAAGGTTTTGGATTTGACCAATAATCAGAATACCACTACAATTCCAACATTCCAGTATATTATATTCAGTTACATTTTTTCGAACCAAAAGGATAAGGTAACTCTTTACTCCGCGGGTACAATGCCATTGTCAAATTTCATGATCATCATCATCATTCCAAGGTTTGAGTAATTGTATGGGTGCTCCTAAAAGTCTGCTCCTAATTGAGAAGTCTTACCCCCGGACTCTCTCGTCGATATCGAAAGAAAATGCGCCCCCTAATGGAAATCTACATTATGGCTGAGCTGGATGTAGCGATGGCCAGATATTACAATCGAGACTATACTGGCATCTTGTATGACCATTCAGAATTTGCGTTGGTTTAAAAAAACGTCAGCCGACCCCACGAAAACTAAAGGCCCCAGGGTTAGATATCCGCCGCATTAGGTTGGAACAGTGGCAAACCTTAGCTCGACCATCAAATTGACCCATGAACACCAGTGGTTCTTGGTCATCAGATACAAGAGTTATTCGTGTACCTAAGATCGACAAATGCAATGGCCATGGACCAGAAGCACTCTAGACATGTCGATGCCATAGTATTCATAAAAGTAATGATATCATGATTGTCTAGAGAGGAGAATCCTGAAATGATAAAACGAGCATGTAGATCGATATAGCTCAAGTTGTTCTCTCTCACTCCAGGCAAACTAAGTTTGAGAGCTCATCAAATCGAACAAAATCTCATAACAGTACAAGTACGTGCCCTCTTCTATGCCAAGAAAGCCTGAAGACCCGGCACACTTGACTAATCTCTTGACCAGCAATGAAACTCTCCGTGATCTCTGCTATTGCTCTGCTCTTGGGCAGCTCCACAGCGTGGGAGCTACGAGCAAACAATCAAGTTTACACCGGCACTGCACCTCAGGGTTGTACGCCAATCTTCATACCTCGGGGTGCTAAAATCAGCTGGACTGGGACAAAAGGTGCTCGAACTCTGCAGGTTTTCAACGTTCAAGGGAAATGCACCCAAGTTTACAGGACTGTCATGGGTGTTGGAGACATCAATGCGTCGAACACTATCTATGGATATGTGGTGAAGCCTTGAACACATATTTTGAAACTAGGTCCGATGTTTTAACGAAGCCAATGGAGTACCTAGGTGTTTTTTGGTTGTTGTTTTTGGTTTGTCTTTGGGATGATACGGAGTACTTGGGCGCCCCATTGATACTTAAGCGAGCCCACTGTAAACGAAAAAGTTGCACGTCAAATGAGAGGCTCAAAATCACCTCAGTGAGCACAATGACTTGAGTCTTCAGTGTGTGCTAAGACTTCTTGGTGCCAGGTGAGTCTGGGCCTAATGGGCCCCCATGAAAGCGCGGTCAGTGGAAAAGCCCCACACCACAGAAACCCCACTACTTAGGTGCTCCGTCCACGGATGCAAGTTGTATATCTACGCAAGTGAGTTAGGTTACGAACATATCTCCTGTGGTAAACTTGGAACGCCTTGGTCTGCTCCCTACAATCTCCGCTCTGGCGATACCCGTGCATATAGTTAGCATCGGACATCCAATCGAGTATCAATCAGCAACACAACATCCAATACTTTCCGGATAAACCTTGTGGCTGAGATATGATTTCGAAGCATATCTGTCTCCCGATTTGCGTAGTTTGAAATTCGGGATGAGATTTTGCCTGTGAAGCTTGACGGCATATCTGAAAGATCCTTTCCGTCGCAGACTTGAGGTACAGACTGGAGATGCACTGAAGGATGGGTTGAGGCAGCACCAATTCATGGAAAACATGAACAAAAGCAATGTATTCCGAAGTGTTCAAAAGTGACCTTACAAGGTTGCTGGTTAACAGTGGGAAGCAAAAGGTGATTGAACTCCGATGTGGAAGTATATCTGCAGGTAGGCACATGCGCATCCCGATGAAGAAAGTGACTTTGGGCAGTTTGACGGCAAAAAGGCACTAGATCGACAAGAATGTAAGCCGACAGGGCCAAAATTGAAATATTATTATAATCATTATTATTTTGAAATGCGCATGCAGCAAGGAGATGGTACGATGCGCGAGAACCCAGAACACACCGGGTTATATAGTCTTATAGAGCGGAAGTGCATATATTTTGAGACCGATCTAGGGCAGCACATGAAGATTAGCAAGGGATATAGTAATCTGTACTCAGTACTCCGTACACAGACTCAAATGTAATGAATGTAATTAAAAAGCAATGCAAAGCAAAGTAGAAGTTCCCTTCACGTGCATGAGACTTTCGCCACTTCCTTATCGGAGATCAGTGCGTGTGCATATTGAAGACTATATGCGCACTACACCCTTTTACCTTCGGTCCTCGTGCCTTCTGATTTAGCGGAACTCGGTAAAATTGGGAAAGGTACACTTCGGACGAATTTCGATATCTCTTCTCTTCTCATCTTTGCTCTGTTGAACTAGCTGGGTCCATTCGAGTTCGGCTATCAATCGAGTGATCATTGCGGTCTGTCTCACATTTTCCGAAGTGGCATTACCCGCGCCCGTTGCGCCCCCTTGTCAACAACAGCCCCGCGAATCCTCTCCCACCACCAACCCACCTTGACCTGGCGCAAGCGCACCCTTTGATTTAGAGCTTGCTGTGCTCTTTGCCCCAGTCGGACCTGTCATCATGGATGGGGAAGAGCTAATCGCCTCGGTCTTGCACAAGATCGAGCGAGAGAAGGCCCTCATCACCGCTGCCAGTAATATGCGGCAGTCCACCGACAACCCCCTCGTGCAACAGAGAGTCGATGCCAATATTCGCGAAGGCCGCAAAAATATCGCTTATCTGGAGGAGAAAATGCGGGAATTAGAGATCCGCCAACGAAACCAAGGCGCTGGCTCCCCCGGCCAGCGTGGAGGCCCCCTCCTCCACCCAAAGACTACGCTGGATATGGCGGCGAACAAGGCGACTACGGCGAACCGCACTATCCTCAGGGAGGCTCAGGCTCGATGCCTTCCGGTGCCCCATTCCCCGACCCTCGACCTTACGCCCCGATCCCGAAGGCTCGGCCCAATTACACAAAGCTAGGTGCGTTGTCGGAACAGGTGTAGACAACCTGAAAAAGAGTGACTGTATGCTTGAATGGGCTGGAGTGCTAACATGAATGGTCATGATCCAGATCTAATCAAATATGACACTCCTTACCTCGGACCCAAGATCCAACTGATGCTGTCTCAATTGGAGTTCAAGCTGAGCGTGGAGATGCAATACAAGGCTGGCATTGAGAAGATGGTTCGTTTATACCAGGATGAGGGTGACCGGAAGAGTCGCGCCGATGCCGAGGGCCGTCGCATCGAGAGCAACCAAAAGATCCAGCTTTTGAAACAAGCCCTGAAGCGGTATGAGGATCTTCATGTTGATATCGAGTCTGGTGACGCACCCGATGGTAGGACCGGCACAATGTACCAGTGGAGATCGATATCCATACTGACCGACGTGCAGATGAATCTCTTAGTAGTCCAAACATGCGCAAGCCGCTGACTGGTTTACTGACCATGCGCATCCATGCGGTTAAAGATGTGGACCACGCTGCTAGCTCAAGATTCTCTCGCGGCCCAGAGACTTATGTTGTCGTCAAGGTTGAAGATGCGATTAAAGCGAGAACCAAAGCTACCCGAAATGATCGATGGCTGGATGAGGGCTTCTCCATGGACATCGATAAGGCAAATGAGATCGAATTGACTGTTTACGACAAGGCTGGAGACCGCCCAACTCCCATCGGCATGCTGTGGGTGCGAATTTCGGACATCGCAGAAGAGATGCGTCGCAAGAAGATCGAGACCGAGCTCAATGCCTCCGGATGGGTGTCGGCAGACAAGATGGCTGACGGTGGTTCTCCTCGACATGATCACACCGGTTCTCCTATGGGATCTTCGCACGGTGCTGGCGCTGGAGGGCGACCCGGCACTGCGGGACATGGAGGGCAGCATGGTGGTGAAAGTTCCAATGCCCCACCCACTGTGATGCTGGATTCATGGTTTGCCTTGGAGCCAGTTGGTCGAGTTCAGCTACAGATGAGCTTCGGTAAGTCCAAACGGCGTCATTATCAGATTAAAGTACCATTCATACTAACTGGACATAGCCAAGCAATTGAAGGACCGTCGCCCCTTCGACATTGGTCTGAACCGTCAAGGTGCCGTGCGCCAAAAGAAGGAGGAGGTTCACGAGAAGCAGGGCCACAAATTCGTCACCCAGCAGTTCTACAACATCATGCGCTGTGCGCTATGTGGAGAATTCCTCAAGTATGCCGCTGGCATGCAGTGCGCGGATTGCAAATACACCTGTCACCGCAAGTGTTACTCCAAGGTTGTCACAAAGTGTATCAGCAAAGCCAACTACGAGACCGACCCGGACGAGGAGAAGATCAATCATCGCATTCCCCATCGCTTCGAAGGATTTTCCAACATTTCCGCAAACTGGTGCTGCCACTGTGGTTACCTTCTTCCATTTGGACGCAAAAATGCCAAGCGCTGCTCGGGTAAGAAAACTCCAATGCTGCTTACTCTCTACGATCAATCCTAACCTCAATATCCTACAGAATGTAGTCTTACGTGCCACGCTCAGTGCACTCATCTCGTCCCCGATTTCTGTGGAATGACCATGGAAGCGGCGAACCAAATTCTTGAGACATTGATTCGCACCAAGAATCACAACAAGTCTGCCTCTGTTAGTTCCGGCCTCAGCAACCGTACCCTTCGACCAAGCGGTCCGCCGCAGCCCCCTCAAGAAAACGCAGCCCTCTCCTACCCCCAGAAGCCGATGGAAGGACCATATGGCTCCATCCCCAGACCACCCTCCGCAGAAGCGGTAAGCGCAGCCACTAACTCCTTCATGACCCCACAGTCACCAACTGCTGCTGCACAGGCTGCACAGCGTCAGCAGATGTCGCCCAAGTCGCCCACTGGACCGTCTGCTGCTGCGGCCGCGGCCGCGGCAGCCACTGGGCTACGCAGTCCCCAGCAAACGCCAAGTATGAACTTCCCTGGCCCTTCTTAGTGAACCTCCAATATTGATCAGTCATATTTTAGCTGAAATGAGCCGTCCTATGCCGCCACCGCAAGCACCCCAGCAGCCTCCACACGCCCATTATGACCCCTCCGCCTATGCCAATTTCCCGCAGCAAGCTCCCCCACAGGCCATGCAGCAGCAGCAGCCACAGCCTTCGTATCCGATGGCACCTCCACCTCAGCCCGTGCAGCAAGTTCCTCAGCAACAGCAAGTTGCACCCCCCGCCAAAGACGAGGTTGCATCAGCAAAGGCTCGTATTGGATTGGATCATTTCAACTTCCTTGCTGTTCTTGGAAAGGGTAATTTCGGAAAGGTCATGCTGGCTGAAACTAAGAGCAGTCGCAAGTTGTACGCCATCAAGGTCCTGAAGAAGGAGTTTATCATTGAAAACGATGAAGTGGAGAGCACCAAGTCTGAGAAGCGTGTGTTCTTGATCGCCAACAAGGAACGTCACCCCTTCCTTCTCAACCTGCACGCTTGTTTCCAAACCGAAACCCGTGTCTATTTCGTCATGGAGTACATCAGTGGTGGTGATCTGATGCTGCACATCCAGCGTGGTCAATTCGGCCTGAAGCGAGCACAGTATGTCTTATCCTCTCCTGTTTCGATATTCTCCGCTCTGGCCAATTACTGACACCGGGCTCCTAGATTCTACGCTGCCGAAGTCTGCCTGGCACTCAAGTACTTCCACGAGAATGGTGTCATTTACCGTGACTTGAAGCTTGACAATATTCTGCTGACCTTGGATGGTCACATCAAAATTGCTGATTATGGTCTCTGCAAGGAGAACATGTGGTATGGTGGCACTACCAGCACCTTCTGTGGTACCCCCGAATTTATGGGCCCAGAGGTATGTCTATTCCCTTCTCAAAATGTACAAACCGATGAGCTGACTTTTCCCGTAGATTCTGCTGGACAAGAAGTATGGACGAGCTGTGGATTGGTGGGCATTTGGTGTTCTCATCTACCAGATGCTTTTGCAGCAGTCTCCTTTCCGTGGTGAGGATGAGGATGAAATCTATGATGCCATTCTTGCCGACGAGCCTCTTTACCCCATCCACATGCCCCGCGACTCTGTGTCGATCCTTCAGAAGCTGTTGACCCGTGAGCCTGAGCTGCGCCTGGGCTCCGGTCCTACCGATGCCCAGGAGGTCATGTCTCATGCCTTCTTCCGCAACATCAACTGGGATGACATTTACCACAAGCGGGTTCCCCCACCCTTCATCCCCACTATCAGCAGCCCTACCGATACCAGCAACTTCGACCAGGAGTTCACTAGTGTGACCCCGGTCCTGACGCCTGTACAGTCTGGTAAGATAAACCGAATCCTTGTTTATTGTTGAGAGATTTTCGACTAACAATGCTTTTTTTTCTCTAGTGCTCTCACAAGCTATGCAGGAAGAGTTCCGTGGCTTCTCTTACACCGCTGATTTTGCTTGATTTCACTAATATGCAATCGGGATAATTAATGCGCGCTTGGACACCTGCCACGAGTTAATGGTGTCAACCCGATTCATCGAGTGGTTCAAACACCGACACGACCGGTTTATTCAGGGCGCCGCGGCCCTCCCGCCCTTTCCAGCACTTAATGCTTCAACATACCCAATCGCAGTCTCGTTTCAAGTGCCAGTGTGAATACCGCTCTTCACCGACTGCTTCGTTTGCCGGATACCATGGTCAATGAGACCTCCAAGTTGCTTTTGTCTTTTCCCGATTCTGTTTGTGTTTATCTAAATTGCTTGCCCGTTTTGTTTCCCCGTTAGTTCTGTTATGTTTTAGTATTCCTTCCAGTTGGTTGGACTTACGACTCTATTCTATGTCGGGCGTTTGATGCCCAAAAATGGTGATGATGAGGAAGCTGCAGGGGAGTTGTGCAGTTTCGGACTTGATGAGGAATGACGCAGTTTTGAAGATCTATGAAGATAGCGTAAATCCTTAGGGGATTGCGCTTTACGTCTGGCATGTTCTAGTGGTTCGTGATATGGGAAGACATGCAAATACGAACTCATACGGAGTACATCCAACATATCTACATTTGCCGTAGATGTATGACATCAACAAATGCCCAAATGCCCTAAGTTCTCCGATCCTTCCTAATAAGGCAATTTTGACGGTGGTCGCAAGTCTGCAAAACTACACATTTCTGCTTTCTAACAGCAATGATGGCTAGGACTCTGGTCATCATAATGGTAGACAGACCTACCCATGTCGAAGGGGGATCATTTCTGTCTTTGCACTCCACTTCTGTGGTTCGATTTCATCCATCTTGGCTTCTTTGTGCTAAACATAGTCTGGGCTTTATTTCACTCTGGTTAAGACTGAGGCTAGTTTTGACGAGGGCTTGCTCGAGTAACAAAGATGACATATCCTCAAAGCAACAAAGAAACCTCGTGAGAGCTAGACAAAGAACCCCATTCTCCTACCACCCACTCGACTTGCAAAGCGGACTCGAAAGAAAGCGTCGAGCAATGGGCGCACCATGTGACCGAGTCTTTGGAATTATTTTCCTGTCGCGGGGAGTGCCTTAGAGTTGACCATGATGTAGACTAACATCTCGATTTTACCCGGCATCTGAATTGGGGTCTCCCCTGATAGCCCCAGCGAGAGTATTGAAGCTCAAACCCCAGATCCAACCCAGCCTCTCTCGCCTAGTTAAAGTGCCCAACAGCCATACGACATCAATTGCATTATCGATCAAACCTCGCTCGTCCTCTCCTGCAACCACGTCCCCGCCATATCTTCGAAATGAAAGCGCCGAAGGCACCTAAGGCACCGAAAACGAAAGCACCAAAGGCAACGAAGGCAACGAAAGCATCGAAGGCAAAGAAGGCACCTCGTATCACACGTCGAACTACGAAACGCAGGCGGTCGGAAGAGTCAGACGGGTATGACGAAAGTGTGTTGGACGCCTCAGAAAGCGAGCCCTCCACATCATCAGACCAGAGCGGGAGCGAATACGCAGCCAGCAATTCCAGCAGCCATAGTGATGATGATGCTGAAATCACATCATTAAGACGAGGTTCCAAGGGAGTGAAGATAGTAACATCACATTCTCGCTCTAAGAAAAGCACGATTACCAAAGCGGCGCCAACTCGCAGGAGCAAACGATCGAAGAGAAATGATGAGGTATCTGATAAGTCCGCATCTTTTCCGGATTCATCATCCTTTGATCAAAGCGAAGGGGCGTATGCTATTCCACTGGGAGAGCGCAATGCGCTTATCAATAACTTGACACGAGAGAGAGCAAAGCGGATGCTTGAATCGATTGAGGTCCCCGACGCAAAGGAGCTTTCGGCGGATGAGCATCGCACTGCCCATCAACTGCTTACTCGTGGTTGTATGCCTGCGATTCCAATGCACTGGGCGAAAGATTTCTCGACCCTTCCAGAGTCGTTGTTCTTCACCGTGCAGGACAACGTATCAATACATCAGGACGGCGAATTCGTCCTGAAGGCCGACAAAGGCACCGAGTTTCATGCAATTTGTGCTTTTAGAGAACTGTTGAAAATATGCGGTGTCGTGAGAGATCACTGCAACATCCTCGAAGATGGCCCAGAGCGTTCAGTTCAGAAGGCAATCGAAAGATACATTCGCTGGGCCTTGGATGATGGCCACATCAGAGTCCAGCCATCGACAACTCCGGTATATATGATCCATTGCAAGAAGGCCCACGAAGGAGCCAAAGCAGCATTTTCCCGGGCATTCAACGGCCTGGAAGAGTTAACCAACACATGGAGAAATCAGATTCCAAATCCTGCCAAACCCGCAGTCTGGCCATCCTTGATGGGGTATATTATTTGTGGACCTGTTCTCTCTGTTGTGACCCTGGATAGCAATCCTAATCCCCAGACTGAAACTCGGGGAATGAGACTATTGGGCCAATTTGATCTCTCGGATGTCAATAACGATGTTTGGAACACATTGGCTCTCGCCATCTCTGTAATGCACATCAAACGCACCATGACTAAGCTTGCTAAAGCATTCAAGCGTCCTTTCACAGCCTCGATTGTCAAGGACGCAAGTAAGTGCATCACAGACATCGACGTTTGATCACGCCATCCTCTAGGTTTGGATTCAAATGGGCTGGATTCCCATGGGTTCCTACCATGCGTGGCACGCGGCCTCCCCCAAAGACACGGAATAAAAGTTGGACAGGCCACAAGAGCTGGCTAGTGAAGCTGCATGCAGGGCTGCCGAAGGCTGAAAGCCCCATACTGATCGATCTGCACGGACGCGCTCGCAGGCAAGGAAAACCCATAACTTGGCACAACAATTACCTATAGTGTCATCTTGGGATCGTGCTGCCCCATGTTGTCTTTTGTCCCATGGTCTATATAGAGGAGTTGGTGTTTGCCATTTGGTTCGACTCCATCATCTCGAATCTGAGCATTCGGCTGGAATTTTGTTCAAAAAATAGTTGTGATTAGCGCTTGTTTTCTTTTTTGATTTACAATGTCTATGATGTAGATTTGCAGATTACGTTTGTGGTGCATGCTGATTTTTCCTTTTCCTCGGCTGTTCATTCATAGACCAAGGAGTTTTCTTTTTGCTTCTTCTTTTTTCACTACAATTTCTCATTGCCCATGGCAGCCTTGGATTTCAATATGTCATACCACACCATGAACATACTTCAAGGTCAAAATTCACCGTCCAATTTTGAAGATCATCAAGAGTAAATAAAAGCATTGACCCCGGCGCAGATGGGGCAATTTTCGCCCTAAAGACGTGTTGCGGCTGCAAGGCTTGATTTGCTGTTGCGCTTCTCCACTCAAAAGACCTGTTCTCGCTCTTTTCGTTTCTCCTCCGACTTTCTTTTATAACCCGCAAGGAAGTCCGGGCTTCGTAAATATTCGACCCAAGTTCTTCCGCGATGGTTCCCGAAAACAGCAGGACTGAATCGTCCCCCCTCCTGCACCATGACACTGAAGCCGGGAACAGCGAATCCTTCAAGTCAGGATGGCGGCTAGAATTATCAATCATTTCTAAATACACAGCCCCACTCATGATAGCGCTCCTCCTTCAGCATGCATTGACCGGTTCTAGCATTTTCATGGTGGGCCATCTGGGGAAGAAGGAGATCGGAGCCGTGAGCTTGGCGAACATGACCGCCCAGATCACCGGCTACTTCGTCTTCCAGGGCCTGGCTACTTGTCTGGACACATTATGTCCGCAGGCTTACGGTTCTGGAAAACCGACTATGGTTGGACTGCACGTCCAGCGATTAACGCTATTCATGCTCGTTCTCATCATTCCCATCGGTGCCATTTGGTTCAATGCAGACCGTATCTTCCTCTTGATTTTACCGGATGAGTCTAAAGAGACTGCTATCCTCGCCGGACTGTATTTGAGAATTGCGATCCTGGGCGCTCCCGGCTATGCGTGTTTTGAGTCCGGAAAGCGCTTTTTCCAGGCCCAGGGTATGTTTGGTGCCAGTCTGGCTGTCCTTTTGGTTTGCTCCGTGTTGAATATTTTCATGGGCTGGCTATTTGTTTGGGTGAGTTATGCAAAACCCAGGACACTCGGCGCACGCACTTACATTCAGTCTTTTCACAGAAATTGCAATGGGGGTTTGTTGGTGCACCGATCGCCGTTGCAATTGCAAACAGTCTTCTTCCAGTTTTCTTAGCACTCTACGTCATCTTCGTCAATGGATCCGAGTGCTGGCATCCTATCTCGATGGAGATCTGGTACGGCTGGGGTCCGATGTTGCGCCTTGCTATCCCAAGCTGGCTGATGATCGAAGCCGAGGTTCTCGCCTGGGAGTTCATGACCTTGACATCATCCCGACTGGGTGCTACTGAACTTGCAGCCCAAGCAGCTCTCTCAACACTTGCCGACTTTGCGTTCCAGGTTTCGTTCTCAATCGCTGTTGCCGGTGGAACGCACGTCGCCTATCTGGTTGGATCGGGCTTTTTGCAGCGCGCTGCCACAGCATCTAGAGTCATGGTATGCTCCTCCTTCGGCTCTGGCATTGCAAACATGGTTGTGATATTTGCTCTTCGTGGTGTCATTCCTGGTCTCTTTAGCGATATTGGGGAGGTCTGGCATTATATCTACTTCTTGCTGCCTCTGGGTGCAGTTGTTCAAATATCCGACTCTGTGGCTACATCTCTCAATAGTCTTCTGCGGGCTGTCGGCCGACCAGACCTGGGTAGCTATGTTCAACTCTCGGTATATTACCTCGTCGGTCTGCCATTAGGTGTCACCCTGGCTTTTGCTTTGGATTGGAGCATATTTGGACTGTGGTGTGGAATCCTTGTCGGCCAAGCCATTATTGTGCTGGTTGAAGGTTTCTATTTCTGGAAGATGGTCGATTGGGCTAAAGCGTCCCAAGAAGCGATAGAGCGAATGTGATTACCAAATATTATGATCGGCTGGATGAGGGGGCCTGGACACAAAAGCGACAACCATTGGGACGCAAGATCCATAAAATTGCACAAAAGGCTTATGAACAACTCAAGCCAACGAAATTCTTGTTTCTGCCTGTGAATTAAGCGCAGTAGGGAAGCCCTGGAGTCAGACTCCGCTTACAGTTGTCTCGTGGATATCCGCGCAGTAAACTCAGATGCTTCAAGGTTAGGTCCTATGTACCAACTGCTGGCCAATAGGAAGTCAAATAGCTCTCAAATAGCCCTGAAAATCTTGAGAATAGCTACATTTGATTTATTGAATTGGAAATGAAGTTCAGATCCAACCCAGCTTGTTGCTGGCGTGCAGCTTGACGTCACATGACCGGTCCCACTGTTGACGCTATTCCCAGCACTGCTTTCTTTAAGCACCACATCATCTAGATTCCCACCATGGATGCCACCGAGGATCGCGATGTGAAGCTTCAGCGGGCTTCTGGAGATCTGGTCGCCGAGTTTTCAGTCAAATTGCCCTCGCTGTTGTGGAAATCTCAAAATGGCACCTCCCTCCGCACCTTACGTAAATGGACACAGGTCACTAAGACAGAGAAGCTGGTCAGCCTTGTGAGATACTTCTATCCATTTACCCTGTAAGCACTCATCTGCTAACCTTGAAAAGCTTGAACCTTTCCAAGAGTGGCCTCAGCTCCTTGATCCTCATCTGCAGAAGTTGTTGCCTCCTTTAGTGGATGCTTTCTTGGCTTATTTAGTTAAGCATCGTGCTCACTATACGACTGTTCCTGCAAAAAGCGCACAAGGAGCTGATATCTATCCTCTTCCAAGAGCAATTTGCAGACTTTTGTACACTTTCTGCAAAGTCCGTGGCGTCAAGGTGATAAGCAGATTTTTGAACAATGAGCCGAAATACCTTGAATCGATGCTTCGGGGCTTTATTGAATGGGATTTGATTCAGCAGTCGTCAAACGAAGATACCTTTGACTCAGAGCCCCAACGATTGATATGGGAAGAGCGCTACGTGATGCTAGTCTGGCTGTCTCACCTTCTACTTGCTCCATTCGATCTGTCGTCTTTGTCATCGGATGATATCCCAGTTCCCCATGACAATTTGAAACAACTGAATTGGCTGCCGTCTGAAACCCCCATGGTTGCTAAATCACTTCTTTCTTTATCATTGCATTACATTGGTGCGGCAGGAAAGGAACGTGAGGCGGCCACTGCTCTTTTGGCGCGATTGGCGTTGCGGGGAGATATGCAAGCTCTCGGGGTCCTGAAGGGCTTGACTCAATGGGCTTTCTCAAAGTTCCAACCAGACAATTATTCTGAAACGCCCTCTGTTCACGCCTGCATTGGCGTGCTTAGCTTTATCGCTCGTTTGGGTGCATCTGGTCAAGTGGAAGACTTTGCTCCCCTGCTTCAAAATGTGTTCCACAAAACCCTCAGTGTGAGCCAAGGACAGTCTCCAGTGTCAGTCACCATTCGGTCTTCAGCTTTAGCCCGGAAGATTGTGGTCAAAATTCTTCGCAACATTACCGTCATGGCTTTGTCTTTGAGCGAACGAGGAGAAGGAAAAATCACGGATGATCAACTATCAACCATATTGGAAGATTCAATCGATCACTTCTTGGTATCTTTGGCCGACAAAGACACACCCGTGCGGTTTGCTGCAAGTAAAGCACTCAGCATCATCGCTCTCAAACTAGACCCAGACATGGCGACTGAGGTCATTGAAGCCGTCATTGGCTCGTTGGGTGAGAACATACTTTTTGAGAGTGATGACGGTGCCCTCATTACGCCATTTGAGGCACGCAAGATTGGTACACATACCCTGAGACGCAATCTCAGTGCTGTTGACGCTCAGCAATGGCAAGGTCTGATCCTGACGTTATCCCACTTGCTTTTCCGTCGAGCACCGCCAACCCACCAGCTGCCTGAAATCCTCCAGTCACTTATAGCTGGCTTGGATTTTGAGCAAAGATCTTCTACTGGTAGTTCTGTTGGAACCGGTGTACGAGATGCTGCTTGCTTTGGCATTTGGGCCCTGTCTCGAAAATACACAACCTCGGAACTTCTAGCATTGCAATCCCAGGTGGTAGCGTCATCATCTGGACAGAAGGAGGTTGATGTCTTACAGAAACTGGCCTTTGAGCTTGTCTGTGCGGCTTGTGTCGACCCATCTGGAAACATTCGGCGTGGCTCTTCTGCTGCCTTGCAGGAATTAATCGGTCGACACCCCAACACCATTGCACAAGGCATTCCTATGGTGCAGGTTATTGACTATCACGCTGTCGCGCGACGCTCTCGTGCCATGATCGATGTCGCCAAAGAAACGGCTTCTCTGGATCAAATATACTGGAGTCCGCTTCTGAAGGCCTTGATGAGCTGGAGGGGTATTGGCTCCACAGACCCCGAGTCCAGGAGACATGCAGCCAAGTCGATTGCGTCTCTGAGTACGCAAGATTCTTACAAAACCATGCAGCAGGTCTTGGATCTTTTGCTGCAAAATTTCGCCAGCACGTCTCGAAATGATGTGGAATCACGACACGGCTGTCTGTTGGCGTTTTCTGCCACTGTGGATACCTTTACTTCTCGGTGGGAGGCATTCTTGGAGACAAGAGAATCAAGCGAGGCTAAGGCTATGTCCTCACTAGCTCTCAAAGTCTGGCATATTTTTGGCTCCCAGTCAGGTCCTTCCGATGACGACTTGACATTCCAAACCTCACGTCCTGAACTCACAGCAGAAGCTTCATCATGTTTGATATCCTCACTTTCTCGGTTTGTAACCACGACAGGCTTGGTACAGCCTCCAGAAGCTCTCCTAGATCGTGTACTGCAGATCCTCTCCTTGTGTGTATCGCGGAGCGATGACATTTCCATCGAAACCTCCTCAAATGCTTTTTGCCAACTGTTTCCCCTGCTATCGCTCTCCAAGCAGGAAAAAACGGTTCGCGATTGGTTCTCTCATCTCCACAACTCATCGAGGATGCCGACAGGTCGCGGTCAAATCTTAGCGCTAGGTGCTGTATTCAAGCAACTTGCAGCTCATCGTGATCTCCAGGGAGATGTTGTCACCGAGCTGATCCGCTACACCCACAAGGAAGAGCTCATTGAAAAACGAGTGACAGCTGTGAAGTGCGTAGCAACCAACATATTACCACACATAGGTATGTTAACCCTACCTCGGATTTACCGGGCTTGCCGTTCGTTACCCCCGGCTAACATGAACAAAGCCTCCACCGATGAGCTTGCCAACAGAATTCTAGAATTCTTGAACGATTACACAACTGACAGACGAGGCGACATCGGATCGCTCATTCGGGTGGAAGCAATTCAAGCAGTGGGGATTCTATTACAAAGGGAGTCGACATCACGATCACCCATGATTCAAAGCTTGGTTGGATGTCTTTGTCGACTTGCGTGCGAGAAACTCGACAAAGTGAGACTACAAGCATGGCTTTGTCTGCAAGGCTTCTGGGAGACGGCCGAAGACCTTCCGCCCCTCGAACGGTAAGCACATTCCATGATATGAGCATCGTGGTTAGAGCTAACTGGAATAGAAAATTCGAACACTTCAGCCATGTCTCATCGCAAGAGTATTTTGCACAGCTACTTTCACTGCACAGCATCGAGTGGCTTCGTTTGCCTCTACTTCAGGGGCTTGCTACTTCCGCCATCTCAGGTGCCGAGGGTCTTGTTCGAGCATCTCGCTCAGCCCTAACTCAATTCCTCCATTCCCAAACTCAGGCCCATCGTCAAAAGATCTTGATGGTGTTTCTACAGGATTTCTCAACAATATTGAGCGAGAACCTTCAAGATGAACGATTCGCCATTCCTGCTGTTGAGTTCATTGCCTTCTTGGTTGATAGCTATATTCCGGTCATTCCCGAAGACTCTGATATATGGTCCGTCAACTCTTCTCCCAACAATTTGATACAAGGATTATCTACTGACACTCGATTGAATTCTAGCTTCCGAAAGCTATTTACGTTGGTTCAGAAATCACATCTAAAATCGGCCAACATTGCTCGCTTAGAAGCTGCTGTCAAAGCTTATGGGGCTTTGACAAGAATCGATTCCCTGCGTGCCGGCGTCTTAAAAAAACTAACGGGAATGCTCTTGCATCCTTTCCCGAGGGTGCGTTATACCATACTTCTTTAGTATATCTCGCTGACCAATATTTTATACTCAGGTTCGCTCCAGTGCCGCAGAGTATTTGTTTATGGGGACAGAATTGGATGATATTAAGTACGAGGACTGGTCTGCTACCCCCAAGCAACTGAAACCTCATGTCGATGATTTGAAGATTACGCTCAATCTGGATATCTGAGATATGGGCCGGCTCATCGCGAATTAATTTATCTCCTAATCATACGAATCGACGAAAATGAAGCTTAGACCATTAATTTCCGAAGAAGACGTCGGAATCTCAGGATTCGTCATGAAGTTTGGAAAATTTTGTGATTTGAACTTTGTAAAGCGTGCAGTCCCCTATTTATGGCAATATCAACAAGAACTTGAACCCATGATCACCCGTGGACCTGTTCGGGCAGGCAGGCAAAGTCTCAGACACCCACAACCTTGGGGCTTCTCAAGGCCAGTCTAGCCAGGTAGTACCTAGAAGACACCACCGGACCGTCATTGAATCAACTGGTACTTCTCGAAGAAGTCAAAAATATACTCCGTCGCGTTGTAGACATAATGACCCAACGGGCACTGATCAGGGTGCGTAACATAGTCACTATTTCCAATAGTGCTAGGCCAGCAGTGACCATTCTCCTCCTCACGGTGGTGCTGAACAATGCCTTCCTTGCCCCCACAGTTCCAAGAAACGTGCTTGACGAGGGGGTTCTCATATATGGTTTCATTCGACGCCCATTTGGCATTGTCCCCACATCCATTGCGGGCCGCCCAGCCCTGTAGGATATCGATGACAGGCAATTTGGGGCTGCTCTTGGTGTTGCCATCAATAGGCGCGGTAGTGTCTGTAGTGCCGTGGAACTCCAGGAATGGGTATCCTTCCTCTCGCTCGGCAGGTGCACAGGGACCGATACCATCAATATCATCCGTATCATAATAGGCGCCGCTGACGGAGGCAAAAGCAGCGAATCGACTTCCAACCGTTGCGTTGCAAGCAATAACGCTTGTGAATCCTCCACCGTTGGATTTCCCCGCCGAGTAAACCCTGGTGGTGTCGACACAGAGCTTTTCTTCTATGTGAGAGAGCAGATCATTTGTGAAGTCCAAATCATTTGGGCGTGATGTGTCTGCATTTGGATTGGAGAGCCAGTACCCATTCTTGCTGTCTGGATATACAGCAATTCCATTGGGGTTAAACAATGGGTTGGAGAATTGGGACAAGGCTTCTTGCTTCTTCATAGTGCCGGATGCCCCGTGGAAAGAGAAGTATAGCGGTGTTGGCGTGTTCTTGTCATAGTTGGCAGGAATGTATAGTCTGTATTGGCGATCTGTGTCTGGGAGGTTGAGTGATGCACTTGATCCTGCCGATGGCCATCTCGACGGTATGTCTTTCCCACAGCCTGCTGTTTTGGCTGTGCCTATGCTGGCAAGAGCTGTAAGGGATAGCAAAAACTTGAGATTCATTTTGAATAATTTACAGGAAAGATTGAGTCCGTCATGGGTACTTATAATAATCCATACAGTGCTAAGTGGACTGCAGGTTAAACAATGACTATTTTGCCGACCATTGCGCAAGAGTATAGAACGATTGACTAGTAAGAGTAAGACCTGCAGGTTCTGGATGCTTGGAAAAGAACTTCTATACCCTCAGATGTCAGGGGTTGAACCCCTTGAGGGTACTCATTGGCTCCATTTGCCTGTGGCAACACGCGTTCGGGCTCACTACTGGCAAGTGTTATCTTCCGGTGGCTTTTGATGCCGAAGGTAGTCATTGCAGACATTGCACCACTACCAGAACTTTTTTTTGAGTAGAAGTGTCTACTCCGTAGTCACACCGGGGTATACCAACTCCGCACTCCGTACTCCGTACGGAGTCACTCATCTCACAACCATATCTAGCATATCCGAGGCAATTGGCACTACATGGGCGAGCAATCATTGTTATAAAAGAATCATCATAGGGGTTGTGCTGTATCTCATAATGACCATATCAACAAATACGGAGTATAGCCAGAAAAGAAATTCATACTTTGCAGAGTAAATTATAAGGTCTAAGCAAGGCGTGAAGCATGATACACCAATTTCAGCACCTAGTGGATGTGACAAGTCGTGCATCCGGCCATAACATCAAAGCCGTGATTGGGCATAAAGGCAGTAAACAATGGTGAATAGCGATGGACTCAGTACTCCGTACATGACTCCGAGGGTGACCTTTCAGAAAAATTTTCGAACACGACGGCGCCACTCAAAGAAATAGCAAAAGTACAGGACAAATATAGTCCAAAAAAAAAACACTAAAAAGTAAGTGCATCATCCGTGAATCGAACACGGGCCTCGTCGATGGCAACGACGAATTCTACCACTAGACCAATGATGCTAGTTCATGTAATTTGGCACAAAAGATGGCATTATGACCCACAATCATTCCAGTGCAATCCCTCTTCTCCAGTCAGAAGCTCAACCTGCTGTCTCCCGGAGCTCCAATTGTCGCAACAATGGCAGCCATATCTGCAGCCGGGCTTCCGCCCAATTCGACGTAAGTGTTCCCCCTAGTTTGCAGATTGAATCCCATGCTGACAAGTCTCTGCAGAGTATACGTACGTACCCCTCATATTGCTCCCGCATCAACGATCACCGTTCCCATATTGACGGCTTCATTAGGTCAAGAATCTAGACGAGCGCATCAAAGTCGAGCAGCTGAAAGTGGCATTGGAGGAGATTTTCTCGGAATATGGTACCATCCTAGAGGTCGTCGCAAAGACGAACCTCAAGGCCAAGGGTCAGGCCTTCATCGTCTTCGATAACGTCGAGTCCGCGACCCGCGCTATTGAGGAAATCAATGGTTTCGATATTTTTGACAAGCCCATGATCCTAGACTATGCGAAAACCAGGAGTGATGCGACAGTTCAACGGGAAGGCGGCAGCGATGAATTGGAGGCTCATAAGCGGAGGCGTTTAGCTGAAAAGGGTATGTTGGACATGTTCTATTTGCCGCAAAGTGAAGTTGTGTCCTAATTTGGCTTCTACCAGAACGCAAGCAAGCCCACGAGGCCCTCGAGGCACAGAAGAACCTCAAGCGACCCGCTGCCGGTGGTGAAGCCGCACGTCCGGCCAAGACCACCAAAGGCACTGGCCTCAAGCCTGCTTCTGGTGCTACAACTGCTGTCATTCCCGACGAGTACCTACCACCCAACAAGATTCTGTTCTTACGTGATCTGCCCGACGAGGCAACCCAAGACGGGCTTTCCGCCATCTTCAGCCGTTTCGAAGGTTTCCAGGAAGTCAGAATGGTACCTGGTCGCAAGGGAATCGCCTTCGTCGAGTACGATGCCGAGACTGGGGCTATCAGCGCAAAGGAGGCTACGTCGGGCATGCCCATGGGCGAGCAAGGCAAGGCCATTCGCGTTACCTATCAGCGACAGTAGTCGTGGGTGGTTGTATCCCACAAAATATCCTGGATCTTGTTCTTTCTGGCGTTTGGAAGGTCTCGTCTCAAACATATGTTTATTAGAAATATGGAGAGCTTTATCACGACACTTTCGCTACCGCAATGTACCCATGTTGCATATCGCATAATGCTTACTATTTCCAAGGCTTAGGACATCAAGGTGAAGGCTGAGATGAGCATGAGTGTACAATTGGTACATGTTTATGGCTAGAACAGGAGGCGCCAACAGGAAAAGAGTATCAATATGAAACAAAGCAGAAAGGAAATTCTAGAAGATGACATCGTTGTCTTCGTTCTCGCCGAGAACGTCTGCCGACTCTTCCTCTTTGGCGGGTGTAGCTGCTGCTGCCTGCGGGTTTGCTGCTGATTCCTCGGCCGCCTTTTGGCGAGCTGCAAGTATCTCTGCGTCTGCAGCAGCAACGTCTCTCTTCTTCTTGGCGGAGACCTTCTTGAGGCGGTAGAACTCTTCGCGATCAAGCTCATCGAGTTCGGAGTTAATGTCTTCCATGAGTTAGCTATTGCAACAGAATATGATGGGCAGGGTATGACAAACATTTGATAGTATTCTCAGTTCGAGGGATGATGACATGTTCACTTCGTAAGGCATATTAGTATTGGAAACAATTTTCAATCCGTAATGGGGTTTCGATCATACATAGCGTTCACTATACGGCACAAGTTAGTCAGTGACCTATGACAGTTTGATGCAATGTTGACTTACCTCTTCGGTTGACGACCTTGATGACTTCGTCCAGTGTCAGGAAAGCAGTCTATTCAAGTCAATGAGCAATTCTTCAACCGATTGAAATCCACCGACATACCTGTAGACTTGCAAGTTCCACCAGTGTCTCCACAGCCCGTGCATATGTTTCCCGACAGCGTTGGATCTGCTGTCCTCCTTTGCCTAGACCTGTCAAACCAAAGTCATTGACCCCGTCCTGTGTGTAGCTTTCAAATGAGGGCAAAAGAACACCGGAGACGTTCTCTTGTTTAGATCGCACGCGGAAGCGGGCTTGCTTGGCGGACTCCTGGATCTGATAACCAATGTCTCCTCCCACAGCATAGGTGACTTCAGCTAACGAGAATGCCGCAATTTGCATGACACGGCCCATCTTCTGCTTTGCAGCATCGATACGGCGTGTGATCTCTATGAGGCGTTATAAGCGTCAAAGGCGGGGAATCGGAATGCATCAATGCAGCGTACCTCGGAAACGTCTGTTGACAAGATAAGGCGTCAGTATAGATCCAGTAATTGCAACAAGCATAGGCAGCGTACTTTGTAAGAGCCTCACTCTTTCTCTTCAGCAAGTTATGGCCAACTTCAGCTCCCTTCAGCTTGTTCTTCATCAATCCCAAGGACTGACGAGTTGGGAAGACTGCCTCTCGGCCCTGTGAAGATATCGATCAGAATCAAGACACTATTGCATCTGCAGAGGATACCTACTACGGCACCCGACATGACTGTATCACAGCACGAAGTACAATAGAGTCCTTGTTGTCCAGGCGTGATGCGGCCACATCGATATGACGCCGATAAAGCTCCACCGCCCACCTGATACGGAGAGGGTCACGTGAAATGATCAACGTGCGAACTTCATCCGTTCACAGTTGCTTCACACGCGCACGCCAACAGCCCTCCACTTATGCGAATTTTTATGTCGATACATTGACCGCATAATTGGATTTCGCTCGACTGAGTGGCGCAATGCCAGGGACACTCTTGCCCCCGAGATCACACCGGCAGCACGCAGAGATGGATCGATCATCTGCGTCCCGGCCGGACCTCTATCTGATTGTCAGTATTGGCCCATTGGACTTTCCAAGCTCGAAACTGACTCTTATCTATTCTTCAGACCGACCAGGATGTCGTTTACGAACAAGATCTACTACGCGACGCTACTAGTGTCCGGCCATGGCTTTCATACATTGAATTCAAGCAGCAAAATGGCACCCTCTATGAGCAAGCATTTGTATGTCACCACCACAAGATCCAGTCTCTGGTATCACAACTGACCCGAGATGTCTACAGGTCATGGAGCGCGCCTGTAAGCAATTGCCACGCTCGTACAAGCTTTGGAAGATGGTAAGAATATTTACACATCCCCAAACTTGGATTTTTACTGACTTCAGTAGTATCTCGAGTTCCGTACGAAGCACCTCAAGGGTCGCAATCCTACTGTCTACCGCGCCGAATACCAGAAGGTCAATGCCCTCTTCGAACGAGCTTTGATTCTTCTCAACAAGATGCCGCGCATCTGGGAAATGTACCTGTCTTTCCTCCTTCAGCAGCCCTCGGTGACGCACACCCGGCGAACGTTTGATCGCTCTCTACGCGCTCTGCCGGTCACCCAGCACAACCGAATTTGGAGGCTTTACAAGGGTTTCGCTCGATCTGCCTCCGGACAAACCGCCGTCAAAATCTTTGCGCGTTACATGCAAATTCATCCAGAGAATATTGAGGAATACATCGAGCTCTTGGTTGAAATGGGAGAATACACAGAGGCCGTGAAGAAGTTCATGGATGTGCTCGACAATCCTCGGTTCCAATCCAAAAACGGCAAGAGTCCATTCCAATTGTGGACCGAAATGGTTGATCTGCTCGTTTCGAAGGCCAAGAAGATCCAAACCGGTCCTCAAGTCGGAATCGATGTCGATGCCATTCTCCGCAGTGGCATCCAGCGCTTTGCAGACCAACGAGGCAAGCTTTGGGCTGGTCTGGCGACATACTGGATCACCAAGGGCAACTTCGAGAAGGCGCGGGATGTCTTTGAGGAGGGAATTACTACTGTCATGACTGTCCGTGATTTCACTCTCATCTTCGACTCCTATGTCGAGTTCGAAGAGTCTATCATTGGCAATCTGATGGAAGGTGCAGCGACTCGTTCTGAGAAGGGCAAGGTTGATGAAGAAGCCGACTTCGACCTTGATCTTCGCATGCTGCGTTTTGAGCAGTTGATGGATCGCAGACCCTTCCTCGTCAATGATGTGTTGTTGCGACAGAACCCTCACAATGTCATCGAATGGGAGAAGAGGGTTGGACTTTGGGGAGACAACAAGCAGGAAGCCGTTCAAACATATACAGACGCCATCGCCGCCATCAGTCCCAAAAAGGCACATGGAAAGTTCTCCGAGCTTTGGATCAACTACGCCAAGCTCTATGAGAACGGTGGTGATCTGAACACAGCAAGAGTCATTTTCGACAAGGCTGTCAAGGTTCCATTCAAGTCCGTGGCCGAACTGGCAGAGACATGGTGTGAATGGGCGGAAATGGAGCTCCGTGCCGAAAACTTTGAAAAGGCAGTCAGTGTCATGGCTAAGGCGACACAGGCACCCAAGAAATCAACCGTCGACTACTTTGATGAGACTCTTTCGCCCCAGCAAAGAATTCACAAGAGTTGGAAGCTGTGGAGTTTCTATGTCGATCTTGTTGAGAGTGTCTCGTCCTTGGATGAGACTAAGATGGTCTATGAGCGGATCTTCGAGCTTCGAATCGCCACACCTCAGACCGTTGTCAACTACGCCAATCTATTGGAAGAGAACAAATACTTCGAAGAATCTTTCAAGGTATACGAGCGGGGTCTCGATCTCTTCACGTACCCCGTTGCCTTTGAGCTCTGGAATCTGTACTTGACGAAGGCCGTGGATCGGATGATTGGCATTGAGCGCCTCCGAGACCTGTTCGAGCAAGCTTTGGAAGAATGCCCTCCCAAGTTTGCCAAGTCTCTGTACTTGATGTATGGCAGTTTGGAGGAGGAGCGTGGTCTTTCAAGGCATGCGATGCGGATCTATGAGCGTGCCACCCGGGCGGTCGCCGATGAGGACCGATTTGAGATGTTTGAATTCTACATCACCAAGTCTGCTTCCAACTTCGGTCTCACTTCAACAAGACCCATTTATGAGCGCGCAATTGCCGCATTGCCCGACACCGAGGCAAAGGAGATGTGTCTCAAATTTGCCGAGATGGAAAGACGACTTGGTGAGGTCGATCGTGCTCGTGCGATCTACTCCCACGGTTCTCAATTCTGCGACCCCCGAACAAATGCTCCTTACTACAAGAAGTGGGATGAGTTCGAAGTTCAGCATGGAAACGAAGATACCTTCGGAGACATGATTCAAGTTAAGAGAGCTGTTCAAGCTAAGTACAAGTACGTCTTTCCCCCCACCCTTACACTGGCAACCGTTTTGCTAACAATGAAAAACAGCACCGATGTCAGCTTCATTGCCTCCCAGGCCGTTGCCAGGGGCCAGCAAGAGACCCAAGGGGGTGAAGGTGACGCCGACGACCAAGCCGACATTGATGCCATGGCTGAGTTGGAGCGTCAAGCCCGTGCGCCTGTGGGCTTTGTCGCTGCTAGCGGCGGGCCGGAGGGGGGCAACCGTCCTCCCCCAGCGGGCCAAGCACCAGCTGCCGCGCCAGCCAACCCTGATGCCATCGATCTTGATATGGACGATGATTAGAAAGGACGGACATTCATGTCTTCTGCTTATTTGATCTATCCTCACATGTTCGCCCTCCATATTGCCTTGTATCACCTCCCCACAAGGAACGATCAATTCTCCACCCAACGCCGCTTTTCGTTTACACAACACCAACTGCATTTCACATGATGACTATTTTCAATTTGTTTCAAATTCAGGGGGGTTTTTAACTCCCGATACGATCTGACTTTTTCTTGCCTTATGTTAGGATACCTGTCCCGACGTGGAGTTCGTTGTATCTGTATCTGTATAGAATGTTCCGTTGAATGACACATCTGTCATCATTTGTACTGCTCGACGTGTATAGTCGAATTCGTATACGAAGCGTAGCCCAGGCAGTATGGATGCATCTTGCACAAATCATACAATGGTTAAATTATGAGGATATGCCGAGGTGGGTAAACTAAATTTCTCCCACTTAATGCCCAAAGCCTCCACACCAAGCTTTATATCCACATGATAGATTAGACAAAAAAAAGCACATCTCCTCTCTCTAAATGCAAATGCAACGAGTGCAGAAGCACGTCATGAGAAGCACGGTAGGGTTCAACACTCTTATGAAGGGACACCTTCCACCTTTTGCGGGGTGGCCTGTGTCTCAGTGTTGTCTTGCGGTGTGCTAGTTTCTTCGTTCTTTGGCTCTGCCTCACTGGCCTGGGTGGGAGATGATACAGCAGTGTCGGAATGAGACTTTTCAGACTCCTTCGGAGGGTCAGGGAACACCTCAGCAAAGAGATCTGGCAAGAAGCGGCCGAGTCGCTTGCGAGTTTCGACCCAGATTTCCTCTTTGCTCGGGTCTTGGGATGGGGGGATAAGATATCCTCCATCAGCCATGACCAGAAGGATGTTCTTCAAGCTCTCAGGAACTGCCTCTGCCTAAAAGATTGGATGGCAATTAGCAAGGATTATTTCAGATAAATTTGAGGGAGGGAGGGGGGTAGAATGTTTCACTTACCAAACTATCACCCTGGCCACTGTTCATCATACGGTCAAGAATGTCCAAGATTCTGAGCCAAAGCGGGAGCACGCCAGCTCGGTTTGGAAGCTGATCAAGGAATCGCAGGAAGATCTTGCAGACCAAGGTTGCGGCTTGGAATCGGGTCTCGCCCATGCCAACAGGGTCTGAGTGGTAGACCTCGGGCTTCAATAGGAGCAGCACGAGCGGGAACAAAACTTCGTCGAAAATGCTAGTCCACTCACTATCGTCACTTGAGATAAGTTCGGCGGAAAGAAGAGATCGCTGAAGTGTGCTGATGGCATGATGTCTAATATCGCGACAGAGGTTGATGCATTGACTGGTCAAGGATTGGAAGATAGGTGACCAGTAGGCGGCCCAGGCTAGAAATTGACATGTTAGATATGGCTGGGAAAAAGAAGTCAGAGGGGCGATTATTACCTTCATGCTCCTCGAGGTGAGATTGCTTGATAAGAGCCGGAACACGTCCGGTGAGGTGATAGATCAAACCAATTGCCTTGACCCCGCGAGTCACAACTTGGTTTTCACTATTATGAAGGTAAGCTTGTGGGAATTTATGGTAGGAAAGCGTGGCCTACCTTGGCTTGGATTGTTTGATATTCTTGTTACGACGAGCCTGAGCATCCCTGTGTCGTTCTTCAATGGATCCCACGCGCCCAGCAGTTACGAAGTCGTTGGCCAAACTGACCACAAACTCGTAATTGTCGGCGGTAATGATATCGGGCATTAACTGAACGATGCTTCGAAGAAGCTCGAAGACAAGGGGTGCGACCGCTTCATATTGGTGGAGTCTTTGCAAGATTGACCAGAAGTCCGGAGATATGGTGATCTCATTTCTTAGACGGCCAGTGTGGGCAATGCACCTGGAAAGGCCCTTGACCGTAGCCGTGGCCACAGTTTCCAAAATATCCTGGTCGAATCCAGAAATGGCGTGGAGCACGACCGGCACTCGCATAAAGTGTTGATCCTGGAAGTTCATCAGTTAAGGAATCCCATCAAAGTCACGAGCGGTGGTAATACATACATGGCTAAGTCGCAATAAATTGAGGAGGTAAGAAACAACGCGGGATACGGCCAATGGATGGAGATTCTTCGCATCGCGCACCAGTGTCTGCAGGGTTGTTGCGAGATTTTCGCCAAGCACTTCCAAAGTCTTTTCGTCCCGGAGAGTGAGCACAGTGGCTAATTCGAGGACAAAAATCATTGAGGGGTCATATTTGGGCTGGTTGGGGTCGACTCTGTTGTTTCCAGTTCTTGACGTGGGTGTCGGCCGTTCGGACTTCACAACAATGACTGCCGGTGCGTTATCTTCGGGAAGCAGAGACAAGAGAGCTTCAACAAGCATCCCCAAAGAAGACAAGGGGAGAGATTTGATATTGGCTAGAATATCGGGTATCGAACACGACGTCACGCAGTCGACAGTGCAAAGTGTGTTATCGAGCTCCTCGTCTGAAGGCTCTGGGGGATCGTCTGCCGCATAACTGGAAATGTAGGATGTGAAAGCAGACAGAAGGCCCGTGTCATTGTTGCGTCCATCCCGATCAACAACTTGCGATGGAGGCTGGAGGGGGATCGGGGAAATTTCAAGCTCGGACGTAAATTGAGCATCAAATGGTGGAATGAGAGAATTGATGAACAAATTGGTCAAAATGCGCACAATATGCTCCCAGCTTTGTCTGGCTGTGGCCTCATTGTTGGCAAGGACTCGGAAAAGTACCACAGTGGCCAACTGTGCTCTGAAGTCTCTGCCAAATTTGACCGCCAACTCGCTGACCATTACGCTCTTTTGGCCTGCTTGAACTTCTGTGTTGAGAGCTGTGCTAGGAGGTTTATCGGTAGACAATGTGCTGATCGATGATAGAGAGAAGACGATGCGGTCGAACGCATCACTTAAACCATAACGCGCAGCAATTTGTGCACACTGTACAAATCCATTGACCACGCGAGAGTAAACAGCGTCATCCGAGGCAGACATGAAGACATAAGAGAGAGTCGCAATCACCGGTTTCCATGTAGCCTCGAACATTTCAGCATCATACACGTTAGTCTCTCCAATGACCATATCACCGGTGGATGAAGACTTCAGCAACAGCTCTTTCCAGGCGTAGTCAAAAGCATGTTTGTTTTCGTGCTCGTCGGGGAGAATGATCTCGTTATTCTTGATGGAGTCATAAATCTCCTGTAAGAACTCCTCTGTGAAGTCCCCTCCGCCATTCACGCCACGTAGGTTTTTCGCAAAACTGGTGAATGTCATACGATTCTGCGGCTTCACGTTGGGATTATACTGATCCGTGTTCAGCATGATGATGGCGTAAGTCAAGACGTAAAGTGCGTCTTTGTCTGCAATGCCCTCGGGCTGTACTTTCTCCACGTAATGTTCAGAAAATATTGTAACAATTCGTTCAATGAGAGGTGATTCGCCAGGCAAACGGAATGAGCTAAGCAGCTCTCGCAATGCTTCGACTGCATTGCGTCCCGAGAAGTCGAGCAAATCCACGAATGCGCCGAGCAAATCTTCATTGCCGCGCTTAGAGATGTACTCTCCAAGAATTTTCTTCGACAGACGGGAGGTTCCTTTGAGGAAACGAGCCACCAGAACAGGGTTCTGCACATCTTCAATCACACCATGGCCTCCAAGGAACGCAATTCCCTTCTTGGGGTCCTCGTTGAAGATTTGGGCTCCTTTGATGATGAGCTTTTTGGTATCGCGTTGCTTGCGCAGGCGTTCTTGTGGGGGGTAATCTCCTTGTACTGGTTCATCATCTAGCCGGTCGTGGATGAACTGCACGTAGCCTAAAAGAGCATCGAGGCATAGCGGCGGTACATTAGTAGTGCTCCAGGTGGCAGAATCCGGGAAAGCGTTGCGAGATAAAAGTCCAATCATGTCTTCACACAGATCTGCCCGATCCACCTCACAGTCGTAGTTGACAAAAAGCTCGGTCATGAAGCTCGGTATCCGTGACAAAACGCCGATGCTTTCTACCATGGCTTCTCGGGCCTCAGGCCTCCTCGATCCGCCTTCGAGTCCTAGTTTTTGTCGGTCTCTCACGGGGACAGGAGTAGACCTTCCACTATTTGTCTGCGAGGGTGGCTGCTTGACCAATTTTGGTGATTGGGGTATGCCTTCATAAAGCGATGGATCAATGCCAGGCTCCCGCGGTATTTCAACGCGAGGATGTAGACAGGCCACAAGGTACGAGATATACAGTTCTTGCTGGAGAACCAAAACCGGTCGGCAGGTCGACAGCAATGTACCAGCAACCCTCAATGAACCTGTGAGGATGGCTATGTGCTCTGATCTGACCAATTGGAAAAGGTATCGACAGAGATCATCCTTGGCCAGGGCTGCCAAGCTGGGGTGTCGGGCAATAGAGGGGCCTGCTACCTCTAACGCGACATCGATGATACGAAGTGCCATCACCCTCATAGCATCAGTATGTTGACGATTGTGGGGATCCAGAAGGTCTATCAAAACACGAAACAGCTCTCTTATGGACGGCAAGGAGTATGGCTGAACCTCGGATACAGGATCATCAGTAGGACTTGGGGGTGCAGCTGCCGCTGGGGCATTGCCAGCGCCAGCCGGATCGGGTGTCCCCTCCCGACTGGTACTGTGTCGATCTGCTGCTGCTGTATCCGCACTGATAGCTGACAGGTGCTGCGATGTGACCGTGTCTCCGTTGACAGAGGGGTCCATCTTCAAACGCGATGATGGATCATTTTTGGTGTCTTCGCCAGCGAAGGGGTCCGGTCCTGCGGGCATATTCTCATCCAGGTGCGACAGGCGCATGAAGATCACCTGGCACATCTTCACCATTGCCATTTCGGCAGACCTCCGCAGCACCTCTGATAGACGACCTTGGCAGCACATGCTCAACCCAGTCTCCATCATTTCACAAACGCTCTCGTCGCCCAAGAGCTCGCCCTCAGGGCGTGAAAGTATGCCTTCCATCAACTTGAGGATCCTCAGTAGGACGATCTCATCCGCCGAGGAATCGCTTGCCTCAAATCGGCAGTGTGTGATCGCAGCCGAGAGCAGCTGCATTGCCATAGAGAGTCGCGGGGAGTTTGTATTGACGATATTGTAGGAAAAGAACTTCGTAATGGAGACCAAGGCGATGGAGGTGATTGTGGCAGAGGTTGAGGAGGATCGGACGACCTGTAAGAATGGGTGGAGTAAAGCCGGGGTATCAAAAGTTCTGATGTCTTTACATCCTTTGAGATCACTCCTGAGACGTGTGAAGGCAGATATCAACGGATTGTCCTGCATGCTCTTCCCCTTCTTCCCTCGCAGGCCCCAACGATTGGCCAGGACATGATCATCTTCGCTCCGAGTCGGCTGAGCGGTCCGGCGGGGGTTCGGGCTCGGGGGAGCAGATGTGTCCCGTTCATAAACACGAGATGCTCCATTGCCGCCCAGAATGGCGGAGACGGAGGAGTGAGCCCAGCGGGCATGCTTGCGCATCGACGAGGTGACAGTTATGCATTCCGTAGTCACCAAAGCCACCGGGTCGATGGCAATGGGAAGCGCAGGCAAGTCCATGGTGGATTTAGGCCACTCAGCAAGTAATTCGTTGTGACGCCGTTGGGGGATTTCGGAACAAACAGCTGGTCTCTTGATCATCATACTGCTGCTTTCCTTTGCCTCATTGGGATTAGCGTCTCCCCGCCAGGTCACCGCTTTCACCAGGGGCGCTGTAGGTATGGATTACACATCTTCTGGTATTCTGGTCTGCTCATTGGTCTGATTGGTGTATTTTATTGGTATTGGTGTCACCGTCGGTATCAAAGCGCATCCATGGATTGAACCCATGTGTTTCCACAGTTGAGACACGCCTGGATCCTAATTCCAACGTGATCTATATCTACAAGCCAAGTACGGAGTGTCACTATCCTAACGTGACGAAGGGAGCTGCACAGAATGAGCTACCGAAGTACGCAGTACACATACATGCGCCTATATCTCGTCGATCCTCGATATATTCCGCAGTGGCTGATGTATTTTCCGCGTCCGCCATTAGCATCATATCAACACAAAAGGATTGAACTAGCCCCATTTGAACAATAATCACATTGTTGATCTAGAATATACCACGGGTCACACGATCTGCTGTTATCATCCCATGTGCAATACTTTGAAACCCGAGAAAGCAGACGTGCCAGCAAACCAATTGAATGTGACCTATCATATGGTAGTATGTAGCTGCAGTCCTTGCGGCGGTTGGGGATAACATAGCAACAGAATCGCGTTGGCCGGACAAACCGTCAAGATTCAAAACATAAGAAGTCTGGAAAGTTGAATAACTGGAAATCAAGTCAAAAGGCCAGACGAATCTCTTGATCCACCGAGATATTCATGGATATTAGTGTGAGGCGCTAATACCCGCTACTATCGGGGCTATCGCGATATCAACCCACCGCTTCTCTCCCCGCCTCAAAACAATCGCCTCCCCTCATTACTTACTCGTCTCGGAGCTTTTCACTTCGTTTTGTTATTTTCTTTTTCTCGCTGCACGTGTCTCTCCCTGGAGCTCTGCCTATGAACTAAACACCTGGGCCCTCGGTTTCCATGGAGGGTGGCGCGAATGTCGCGATTGATTCCATTATAAGCACGCTCTACATGCGATCTTGAACTGTCTTTTCCCTCCAAATATCTCCTCTCTTTTAATCTCAATTTCTGTGCAGTTGCGCTTGATATCGCCCCGCTACACTCCTTCCACGTCTTGAGGCGCATTTTCATTTGTTTATCGTGCCTGCTCGCCTTCCCGCAACTGCGCTGCCTGCGCACCTGTCGCAACCACACTCAGCATGGCCTCAATCGCACCTCCCCCGGCCCCCGCATTGGCAGACTTGCCCCTCGAACATCTCAGCCTTTACCATGTCGCCGATTCGTGTTTATCGTCGATCCTCGTGTTTTATGGAGCTGTCTCCACTGCCAATGCCACCGTCAGCAGCTCTCGCATCCAAGCTCACATATTCACACCGGCCGGTTTCCAGAGCTATCCTCGGATAACAGTGTCGCCTGCTGCACCCGTGTATGCAGCCGTCAACCATCTACCCCGCGACAAGCAAGGCGACGAAGTGTGTCGCGGACTCGCGGTCAGTATGTTGAGGTACTTTGCCGAGCTCTCTGAGCCGGTAAAGCACCGCTTGACAGGACTTGCGCGAATTGGTCGTCCAGGAGGGAAGGTACCGAAGATGTTCGATGAAATGCACGCGGCGGATCTGGCCAACCGAATGACGAAGGTGGAGGATTCACTGGAGATTATTCATGATATTCGAAGTGCATACCAAGAGCGCCGAGTTCCGTGGATTGATATCGATGTGATACTTCCCGCGGGAACTATCCAAGCGCCCAGCCGACGTGAGAGCGAATGTTCGGACCTTGAGAGCCAGAATTCACAGTATGGACCATACACACCTCTCATAGAGGCACTGGGTGATCCTATGTTCTTACCAACATCTCGGCTGAAGCGCGCGCCTTCTCAGCCAACGAATGTCAGCAAATCTCGATTGTTTGCAAGAAGCCAGAAAGAGGCTCTTCGCCTCACCATGTGTGAGCTTGTGGACACAGAGGAGAGATACGTTGCAAAGTTGTATTCGCTTGTGCACGAAGTGGCCGATGAGTTTTTACAAAAGGCCCATGGTCGGGGGCCGTCCAGCAATAGTCCCGATGAAGAAGCCTTGGCAGCACTTTTCCCTCCATGTCTGCATGAAATCCTGGAAGTAAACCTTGGCTTTCTCGATGTCATTCGACAAGTGCTTGATGAAACAGAAAAGGATGCCATTTCAGACATTGGACAGGACACAGAACTTCCATCACGAGGCCTTCCGAGGGACAGAAGGGATGCGCTCGGAGCTGTGGACTTTGCAAAAGCCCTTTTTGAGTGGCTCCCTCGATTTTCACAGCCGTATGGGGACTACATGCGAGCGCATACAGGCTTCACCCAAACATTGAATCTTTTCATGAAAGACAAGAACTCCAGTTTCTCGAAAAGAGTCTATGAGACCGGCGAGCAAAGGTTGCGGTCTTTGCTTATGGAGCCAGTTCAACGACTACCTCGATATAGTTTGTTGATTGACACCATGACCAGCAATTTACCCTTGGTTCACCCCGCTGTGCGAACTCTATTGAAAGCCCGAGATGTCGTTAAGGACATATGCGCGCTTGAAAATGACTCGCCATCAAGCCATGCCCAAAGTCTTGACCGACTGAGAGAGCTTGTCGGTGGATGGCGTGCCAAAACATTCCCCGAAGGTCGGTTGATCACTGCGGTGGACTTTAACGAAGCTACTCCTCCCTTTCATCCGGCACAAATGTCTGGCCACAGCGCTGGAATTCTGCTTCTCTATAAGAACTGCATGGTTCTTTTGGCAAAGTCTGCCGAAAGTCGAGCAACGGCGCGTGGTGTGCTGGCAGATATTGACAATGCGGCGTCGTCAACGTCTGACATGCCTATGTCACTTCCATCATCAGACCTTCAAGTCGTGCAAGTACTAGAGTTTCACAACGTGCGATGTATGCAATCTCAATGCGGCCGCATTATGTTCGTCTTGCCTGTATCATCCAAATCCGCGAAACCCGAGGTAGCTGCAGGAACGGACTTGCTTGCATTGGAGCTTGCCACAACCTACGAAGGAAAAGCAAGCAAATTGATCGAAGAGATATCCAAAGCCAAGATCGAGGGTCGATTTCCCGAGAGTGAAAGAGAAGGAGGAAAGTGGACGCTCCGAAGTCCTTCCACAGGGGCAGCCACGAACGTGGGAATACTGGCTTGTGTTTGTGAAGATGGCCAAACGGCTGCGCTAAATCCAGTCCACCCATCTCCGATACGGGTTGTTTTTGATACGCCGAAAACAACCTGTAGTCAGATATTAAAAACCTCTAGTCTGGAGGTTATTATATCGATATCTCCACCCAACAGCGACCAGCAGTTTAGGTTAGATATCGACTCTGTGGTTGGCTCGGGATCTGCGGATTTGATCACAAAGGACACCTTCATACCGACCCTTGCAAGACGCCGTAAGTCCATAAGTCCACACCTATCAGGATACATTGATCCCAACTAACACATTGAATCATAGTTCAATACTTGCTGTCCCCTTTGCGTAGCCCTCGAAATCCGGTATTGACCGAGCCGTTGGTTCGCTCTAACTTCGAAATCCTTCGCTACCTAGCCAGCAGCTTGACTACGCAGGTGAAATCCTCGCGGGGGTTCCGGCCACCTTCGCCGACCAAGCTGATCTCGAACCTTCTTGGAGGTAGCCGTGATAATGCTTCCACCCCCAAAGGCCCAGGATCAGCAACCTTGACTGGTGAATTTCCAAAGATGCCCCCGCCGAGAGGTACCCTCTCGAGATCAAACACTTTGCCATCGACGTTCCCAGGCAAAGACAAGGACAAAGAGAAGGAGAAGGAGAAGGAGAAGGAAAAAGAGAAAGAAGAGAACAACAACAAGATTTCAGTAGTTGGCGCATCAGCCTCCAACGGGTTGGACGTTCAGTTTGGGTTACTGGAACAAACATTTGCAGCCTTTGTGCTTTCTCTACAGTCTCGGAGCGGAAATATCCTGGGCCGTATGTTGCGTGTTCGAGACCACGTTGACCGGGCTCCGGTGAATGAGCTTTACAACATTTTGTTAGAAGACCCAAGCAAGATTCAGGCTGCAGCGGAAGTGCCCGTTGATACCTTGTTTGTCGCATTCGAAACTTTCTTGGCAAATGCCTGGAATCAAAGCATGGGCCCAATATTGAGCCCATCTTCTCTGAAGTGGGTTCAGAGTCAGTTCGATACTATGATACCACGCGACTTCGATGAACAGTTCCGAAGATTCTTGGCAGACATGACGCCGCAGAATAGACGAGCGCTCGGCGCGATCATTCGGTTACTCGCAGAGCTGCTTGATGCATCCGGGAATGACGGCGATCGAGGTGCTTTGACGATGGCTTTTGCGGAGGTGCTAACGGAAGATGGTGATCCCAGTCACCATGTTTCCTTATTGGATCGACTAGTGGAAGACTTTGACAATCTCTTTGAGGACTTCATCCCCGGTGGCACCTCAGTGGAAGGTACACTTACATGCGGACAATCAAAGATCCATAATACTGGCTCAGTGGGCTCAAATTCCTCATCTTTCCGGAAACGATTTGGATTTGGGTCGTACAGGGACAACTCAAAGACCGAGGGCGAAGGAAAGGTAGCATCCATCTTACGAACGCTGAGCAAGAAGCAAAGTCCGGCAGGATCAGAGCCCAACACACCCAAGGGAACCCTGACTCGTTCCAAGTCAACTGACGTGGATGCCCGCCTTGGTTTCCTGAGACCCACTTCTCGCGATCGTCCGTACGGGTTTGCTTCAGAGGAAACGATCTCAAGGCCAGGAACCGGCCAAGAAAAGCCCCCGTCACTGTCGTCCTTCCGAGGTCTATCTGAGGACCGCATTCCAAGAACTCGCAGGAAGCGCAGAAGCTCATTGTCTGATCTCCGACCTCCAACAGCATCCTCGGATGCATCTAGTATATCGCCAACTCAACAGCTTCGACCGACAACCCCTTCAAGTTACACACGAGGCGAGGTGACTACTCCTACCAAGCAATCCAGACCCCAAAGCAGTTACATCCCTATCACTCCCATGCGTGGCCAATCCCCGATGCGTGGCAAATCGCCAATGCGCTCTCAATCTCCAGCGAAATCCAACTCCCCTTCCCGACTGGGGTCACCCATCCGTCGATTGTCGCCCCCTCGCCCATCTACGCCCAGCAGGAAAGAAAACATCGATCCTAGAACACCACAAACGGAGCGAACAACCAAGCTCAGGCGAGATGATTCGAGATCTCCGGGCGATGAAGCAAAGAGAGGACCACGCGCATCTAGTATCCCTCAGCGAACTCCTGGTCTTAGAGAGCGGCCACCCGCCAACGTATCGGAGAACAGGCGGCCTCAGTCTTCATCCTCCCCACAGAAGCCGCATAAATTGCGCATGCAGAGTCCACAGAAGGTTTGTCAGATAATTCATATATCTGAGAGATTTACAAACTGACAATTTTAGTTACGCGAGCGTGTTCAGATTGAAAAGAAGACCCAGAACTCTACACAATTGGGCCTGCGAGACGAGATTGCAGCGATCAGCGACGAACTGCGATCTTTCAAACTCACACCCCCACGGGAACTCAGTCCAATGGATCTGAGTTTCAGTTTCGACCGGGAAGACACACACACTTCTTCTGCTGCTACAACGTCACTTGAAACTCGCATGCGCGACCTCGAAGCCAGATTCGATACACTCACCGCAGAATGCAATGGTCGCACATCCGCTATCGAGCGAGATTTGGAATCCTCATTGGTTCTGAGCGAGAAGCGCGTCAGGAAATTGGATGAGCTGTATCGCGAGGCAAGTGCTGAAAACGAAGCTCTCTACGATCGATTCAATACCGAACTCAGCAAGATCGCAAAGGAAGTCAGATCAGGACATGCCGAAGACGCTTTGAAGTCCCAATTGGCGAGCGCTTTGGATGAAATTGGCCGTATCAAGAAGGAAAACTTCCGCTTGAAACGAGAGGTCGGAGGTCTTCGAGCCCAATCGGCTGCCCATGCACTGCTCAAAGCGAGCGAACAATGATCTGATCCTCCAACAAACGAGCCAACCCCTGAGCTTTTACGCTTCCACGTTCACTCTTCCTCTCCTTTCATTCCACTTGTCAACACTTGCTACGCCAAGCTTTCCTTTCTCCCTGTATACTGATACCGCACGTTCCTCTTTCCTTTTCCTACCCACTCATTTGCATACATGTCCATGAGCCTTTCTTACCTGTAATCATTCCTATTTCTTGTCACTCTCATACTGGCGCTTCCGCACAGATAGCCATTGATCATACATACGTGGCTCAGCATATCACATCCCTATAAGGGTTATTTCATTATGTTTGTCTAGGTGTTGGTTTCATGTACACTAAGCGTGCTCGGTATCTCTATCAACAGGCCAGCCCATCAGGCGCAGTGCCTCAGTGTCAATCATTTTGTACATCCACTGCCACTTGAGCTTCCATCGCCAGCGTAGATGTACGAGTTCTACCTCGCTTTGAGACGTATATTCAGCAGAGTGGGCAGACAGACGATAGTCCAAAGTAGGCAATGCCAGTTGCTGCCTGACTTTCTGATCCAAGGGTTTCCCAGGTTTAGAATTGATGCCTTCTCTTGCCACTACCGGCAGTGTGAATCGTATCTGAGAAGGTGCCTCGGCAGATAAAAAGGCTTTCAAGTTCTCAAAAGTCCCGGGTATCTGCCGCTCAACCACAGAGTTCTTCTTTTCTCCCTGTGGCCTTGAATTAACAGTATCTCTGCGTACCCTCTCTATGTCCAGTTTGTGGAAAGGACGTATTGTGACGGGTACTTGGGATAGCTTCGCTCCGAGTTCGTTAGGGTCTCGGTCTGGCTCATTCGGGACGAGACGCATTCGCATCCAGAAGCGGTTATCCCATAGAAACCACGGGGTGAAGTTTCCCGTAGGCGAGACGTTCATCTTTGTCACTGGGTCCCTATCTTTCATGAAGGGCTGTCGAGAGAGCACCCAAATATTGTCACCACCAGCCCTTGTGGCTTTGACTTCGTTGCCAGAGACGGACACGGCAGTTTGGTTCGCGAGACGTTGGAACATGACACCCGCCAAAGTGAAGGATTGCCTGGGGCGAGGTGCCTCATTAGGAGCACTTGCCGCTTTTGCGCCACTGTCATCTTCTGCATCGGAAAACATATTGGATACAAAGGGCTCATAGCTGCGGAGCGGGAAATGACTGTCAGGGTATGGCGAGACCAGTTCTGTGATGCGGCGGAGGACAACGGTTTGGATCTGCCTGGTTTGGTGGGCTGATAGAGTTGCGAGTTGCGGATCCATCGATGCAGGACTTGGGTCTAGGAATTGAATCACAGCCGAACCGGCTCTAGGGTTGAAGTCCAGGATTCGGCATTGGGAGGAAAGAAGAGAGTCGGAGAGTTCAGTTGACCTGTGAAGAAGATCCTGGCTTGACCTGATTAGTGATAGGATTGATTGCGATTCCAGCGCGTGCGGTAGAGATTTTGAAGTGCGGAAGCTGCGTATGGCATTCCGAGGGGTGAGGGTTGGATCGAAGTTTGTTGGATCGGAGACATAGGGGACATTATTTTTGTGGCAAGTTGCCAAGAGACTCGCTTTGGTAAATTGTAGTAAAGGTCGACAAATGAAAATTCCTGGACTTGCGACCTTCACAGAAGACGTGCGTTCACAGCTTATTTCATTTGAGCCCTCAAGTTCGACACCTGGACGAGAGAGTGTGATTAACCCGTGGTTGCGATCATTGAACCGGACTCGGGCTTGAGGCATATTATCTGGTTTGATTGGTATCGAAGTAGTTGACCAGCTCTCAGACGCCCCGAAGAGTCCATGGCACTCTGGGATTCGAGCAACTTCGGGAATACCACCGAGGCCTAGCCCTCTTGCCCCGGAAGACAATCGCCAGATGGTTGTTTCAATGTTGTCATCTTGATGGTGGCCCAGAAGAAGTGTTTCTAATTTGAAATCATGGCAAGCCAAGCCGAGGGCTTGAAAACGGAGTCGCCGGGCATGAGTTTCAAATGCAGATAGCTTTGACAAATCTGCTGATGACTTATTTTGACCAGACGCCAACTCAGACCAGTCCAGCTTGAGAATCTGAGTTTTGATGTCTGTTTGAAATTGGTTAGACCATACTTGGAGCCTGTGCCCAGATTAGAAGCCATACCCATATCACGAAGCCAACCAGCGACCCTCTGAGCCTCAATAGTGCTTTCTGGACGAGCGCGATGATCAACTACAAATGCAGTGACGGAGATGGCCCCGGAAATTTCAGGTGAACGTTCCAGCTGCTTGCATAGATATGCCAATGCCATAGAATCGGCACCGCCACTCACGGCGATTCCTGTCAAGTCGCATGTCAGCTATCTTGTCATTGAAGAACCACAGGAAATTCACATATTCATTCACTCAATAACATACCGAACCTTCGCGGAAGTTGCAAAACGTCATCGTCTGATTTGTTCCCATACTTGGCGTTTCCGTAATTGACGCGAGCTCGTCGCGAGCCGGACCACGCTTGCTGAAAGCATCGTTGGAAAATGAAAGGCGAGATGGATATATTGCTTGCCATCCCTGCTCTCAATCCAAGCTAGGATCCGGATTCCCGCATTTGCCGTGGATGATCAGGTCCCTGCGCGTGCGGACGATACTGTATGAGCCGGCTCGGTAAATTGATTATCCGACGCGGTCTTCGTGCAAATGCCGGAATGTCGACCGTCAAGGTCAACTGTAAGGACTCAAGGTTCAGTTTTACTTTTTATATTGTGTTATGAAAATCCGAGGGGGAAAAGTACTCTGACCGATCGATATGCAATCCATGCACAAATCGTTGTATATCTACAATATCCACTGATCTCCCGGGGTCATTCTGCATCGTCGTTGAACAACAACCCTGGAGGTACTGGACAACCCTATGACATTAGAATACTTTTGCAAGCCCAGGAAAAGCTCAACAGCTATATCTCAGAGCTACCAGGGAATGCCGCCAGATATGCACCCTCGATCTCACGCCCCATGCCCCCAACACCCTCGAAGATGACATCTGACTTCAAGGATCTCCCCAAGGTTTGCACGCCATGCCGTAGCTCTTCAGTCAGCCGCTCAGCATCAGCAATCTCCGATTCAGGACTCGGCTCGTAGAGGAGGTGATAGCAATTAGCAAGACGATCTGTTGCCAACGAAGCGCGAAGTCGGTGCAGGAGCATAAGAAGAGTGTAGCAACTCTGCATGGCCGAGCATGCAAAATAAGGTATGGTTTTTGGATACACTGACCCCGAAGAGGCAAACGCAGATATCTGCGGAAAAGGCAAAGTGCGAAATATCGTGGATATCACCAGCGAAGACTTGAGACATATGTTGGAAGATTCTTGCTCGGTGAATGGAAACAAGGCATCACAATCTGTCACCCATTTCGGCGTTGACAACTCATGTGAAAAGCTCTCAGTGTTTATTGAAGCAAGGTCGCAATACCTGTCCAAAAACAGTGGGATGTCCATAAATGCTCGGAAGCGGTGCATTCGAATGCGAGCCCTGACAACGGATATAGTTAGATTGGCAAATTCGGAACTGAGAGGAAGTAACTCACGAGTGAATCAGCAACCGGCTAATCATCCACATGGTTTGAGCAGCGGTTGCCTCAGACTCTTCATTGACAGCAGTAAGGGTGTGACGATCGGCTTCCCTCGTCAATTTTACGATATGGGAGTCAAGTTTGCGTATTCGATTGCCAAAATCCGTTGGGGCGGCTGTATCATTCACCCGTTCAATATTCTGCACCACATTGTTGGCCTCGAAAAGAGCTTCTTGTGCTTGCATAACCATGGGCCAAGGCTTAGAGGCGTTAGCGAGATACAGAAGACTTCAAGTGGGTGGTGTTCAATACCTCAAGGAACACACTGAATTCGGGATACGGGGTAGTAATTCGTGGGTCGTTTGAGCAAACAATTGGAGGCTGTAGAATTGGTCAGCGACTTCCAGATGGTTTGTCCGATCTTGGACATTCTCTTACAGCCAAATGAATATTCGAGGACATATAAGTCAGCCAGATCTACAGACACAGTGAGCAAAAGATCCCGCCAGTTCTGATATCTATCTCATACCGTCATCCACCAGGCTCGTCTCTGAGCCTCGGAAAAGTCTGTCGTTGACGAGTCAAGATTGTGAATCGAAATGTCCATGGCAGTTGTCATAGCCTGGTTTCCTCGAGCTCGCATCCGGGGTATATTGCCTCGTTGGCAATACTCGTAAATTCCCAAGACTACAAGAGTCAGTACAGGGTAAATTTGTGTGGGTATCCGTGGATGCAAAGATGCTTGATCTCGACAAGATTCTGATTTTGGTATGGAAGTCAGATTAGGCGTCAAGTCGTCAATTTCGGTTTCCACGGCTGTTAGTGCTGCTTGTGCGAAGAGCTGGGCATATGATCTTCTAGCAGCAAATTCCGTTTCCGTGGTGGAATACTGGTCTTCGGGGGCAGGTATGAGAACAAGCATTGCAGATAAAGCTAAGCTCAGTGATGAGGCTGGCCAGTATGGCAAATCTGACTTGTGAGGTTGTGAGGCCTCTCCGATTGGTCTGATCATCTTCGGTTGATCTTCATATTGCGGCTCCACTGGTGGTGGTAGCAAAGGCAAGTACGAATGAATGTAAATGTAGTACGCATTGGCGCTAAATATTTTGTCAGCAGTTGGGTGACATCCAAGATTTGGAGCCGTACATTTCTGCTTCGGATTGATACGATCGTATCAGCGGGGCTCCTGTATAGGGTAGGGAAGCTGAATCGTAGGTGCTGTCATCATGTGGGGTGAGCTGGCCCCATATTTGGTGAGCTTCATCTGCAGACAGAGACTCTGGGGATAGATCAAGGTTGTGAATGCCGGCAAATGGCGACACGAGGCCCATCATGCTTGCAGCAAATGGATCTGATTCAAAGTCAGATGCGTGGAAACCTTGGAATGTGTTTACAGCTGCCTGATATACCTTCGTCGGCGACATTTGATAGCGATGAAGGGGGCAGTGAGTTGGCTGCTGATCGACGTGATTCTTCATACTGTACACCTCGACGAGCCCCGCCTCGACGACTAGGTTGATAACTGCAGTTTCGCCTCTTTCCAGAACACTGAAAGATTGATCAATAATTGTTAAACCAATCAAACGAGGTACATACACTTCTGCATGGATGTTCACCATCACAGCGAGTTTTCGATGTTCGACTATGTTAACGTCAGCATTTTCATGGTAGGGAAACCAAGTAGCAACGTTAGACATACCACGCCAAGCACGCAGTTTTCACAGGAGGCTTTGAAACACGAGGCATTTTGGTTGGATCTGTGATGCGGCTGGTAGGTGTCGGATTTAAACGACGTCACTACACAAAATACACGTGACGAAGATACCCTGGCTGTCGGTGTATTTGAGCTTCTCAGTAGTGAACTGGATGCTGCCTAGTGTGTGTAAATTTGATATCTCAAGATACACAATCGCCGGCCAAAAGTACGTTTCAGGAAGATCAAGTGTAGAAAAGGACTCACTTCGGTGTTTGATCCTTATCAAACGCCGAATCCACTGATTATCACTATGCCATCGGCGACTGACCAACCCTAAATTGCGCATCCCATATACGACTTAAGCTGGCAGACTGTTCTTTAGTCCATAACGAGGAGAGATTACCGAAACTTCAATCTCTCTACATTGCGTATTACGAACAATTTTCTAACAAACTCCAAGGTAAAATTCACCCTCGGGGGACGACACAACACCTGCGACGGCTGAGGCAATACCAATCAAGAGAATGAACATAAGAAAAGAAAAAGAGTATAAATCACACAAAAAGGTATATACAATTAAAACTTATTTACAGCAACCATTGCTGACATCTGGCGCCTGTGAAGTATCCAATCGACAGAAGCAGGAAGAAGTCACAGGAACATCAGCCACAGCAACTGCTATTGCCAGCTGAGGCGCAATCACTTGAGCCATTTCGGTCTTTCCAAGACGTACCAAGCATTCATGGTAGCCCTGCAAAGCCCACACGTTGTTCGGGTGTTGGCGGGCACGAATAAGAGTGCCGTCTAGGCCCAGATCAGCACGATAAACAGCCGCTGCGTCCTCGACGTGTCCTTGCTCCAGCAGCAGAGCAGCGTATGCATGGCGCGTGGGCTGCATCCAGCTCCAAGGCTCGGCATACCCCAGCCCATCATCCAATTCAATCGACCGACGCAGGTGCTCGAAAGCCTCCGTGTAGTTGCCGCGACGATACTCAATCTCACCATCCAGCATTTCTGAAGCCACGCCGAGAATGTCAACGCATTTGTTAGGCCAGTCTAGACGCGTGTCTGGGACCCGTTTCCGAGCTTCTCTGTACAGCTCCCGCTGCTCTTCTGCCTCCGGGACCTTTCCAGTGGCTGCGAATGCCACACCCTTGGCGTAGTGCCAGGTTGCTATTGTCATGCAATATATTTCTGGCTCTGTAGGAATCGGGGTCTGGATGATCTCTTCCCACATGCCGAATCGTACCATTACATGCACACGCACAGACATGAAAATTTCGATGAAGTCTGCCATTGCAGCAAGCAATTTCTTTGGCAAAGTCGCCTCCATGCGCTCAACAGCGTCAAGGGCTGTCTGCTTCTGGCCTGCGAACATCGCTGCATAGATGAGCGAGTGATATGTGTGCATCCGATAGACGGAGTAAAAGTTAAAGGGCCCTTCTCGTCCCAAATATTTCTCATCTGCAATTGCTGCGCGCTGATTCGCACGAACGGCACTTCGATAATCACCAACCAAGACATCCAGGTGCGAAGGCATATGATTGACGTGGCCGGCATCCGGAACAAGGTCCCGGAGATAATCAGCGGGTCGCAGTCCCAATTCTGGGAATGGAGACATCTCGATTAAATGAATATAGATATGCAAGAGACCGGGGTGTTTGGTCGACTGTTTAGTCTCGAGTGCCTTCTCAAGTACAGATTTGACCTCCATGGTCCGCGCTTCCGGGTTTGGCTTTCCAGTTACCAGATTCCACAGCTTCCAGGGGGTAAGGTTGATCATAGAATCAGCGTATAAAGTGACCACGTCCAAATCATCGCCGAACTGAGCATAGACCTCCTTCATTGCATCAGCATACGCGATATTTTGAGCTGCCAACTGCTCCATGCTGGCAGGCTTGTCACTTTGATAGCGAGCAGTTAGGGCTTTAATCAAGGCTTGCTCCACGGGTGACGCATTGGAGGAGAGGGTCACGGCCTTCTGTGCGGCCCAATAGGTTCTTTCAACCACAGATGCTAGATCATTGCCGAGAAAAGCCCAAGGTTGATTGTAGTTGGGACCGAGAGAGTAGGCCAACCCCCAATAAGCCATCGCACAGGATGCATCATGCACCAGTACTTGTTGGAAGCATACAACTGATTCCTTATGATTGAAGGAATAGGCCCACGTGAGACCACGATTGAACCAGATTTGTGCCTCCGGACTGTTGGTGGTGACAGTCTTCCCAAACGACCCCAGATTATAGGGGTATATGCCTCTGGTTGGCATGACGGGCACAAATTCTGGGATGTGGTACGATGTTTGGGAGGGTGAAAAGGGAAGTCGGATTTAAGCGGGGTTCCTCAAGGGCTCCCGCCACCTTGTACCCAACAGGCGTGCTTTGGATTATATATCTCTATTTCCTTATACTGACTAATTCGGGATTTGGATGACTTGTCTTATTTTATTTCGGGATTTCATTGGATCTTTGTAGTTATGCGAACGCTGTCAGGGATCTTTTGAAGCTTGAACCAACCCTGGTAATTCTTCAACGACCCCTAAAAGAGGCCCGGAAGTATAGAACTACACAGCCTAGGATCAACAGAATGGGTTCCCAACTTGACAGTCGACTCTTGAATCTACATTGACTAGTAAAGTTTGTTTTCTTGAAAAAAGCAGAGATATATTTCACCAGGAAAATGTATTTTGACATGCATGTCAGCCTCAAGAACACCCTACTTTCCCCGCTGAAACATCATGCCACACACACGACCCCCTGGCTCCACCACTGGCCGCAAATAATATTATTCAAGAGAACTCGCCATGTATCCAAGCACTGATATCAGACCACCTTCACCCCCTATCTCAAACGGAGTCTAGTCCACGGGTGCTCGCTCCTATTTTATTCTTGGATACGGGTGCACTGATACTCAAATGGCGCTCAATTGGGGGAGCCCATGCCTCTCGCTACAAAAGGGGTTTATCTGACGAGAGGTGTTCGGCTCTATTCAGATACCAACGGCGATACTTAAATCCATGTGAGTCAATTCTTACCGGCAGATTTCATATCCATCGCTGCCGCCGGAGTTCATGTTCACTCCCTCCGAACTACTTTTAACATAGTCTGAATCGTGGGCTGCAGGAACTCAAGTCGGGAGTTGAGAGAAAACCAAACTGCCAAGAAGTACTCCGTACTGAGGTAGAGTGAGTTTATGGAGTAACTTTTTTTAAAAAAACAAATACTATACTCCGTGATGAGTATCGTAGCGGCCATCAGCAGACAAGACACATTGCTTCGGATGAATCCACGGACCAAGATGGCTCCTTTTATGCTTTGGCGACTTGGCAGCAGCTGACTCCTGCCCTCCAGGGCTTCGGATTTGCAGATCGAACGAACTTGGGGATTCAACGTGAGATTTGAAAGCAAGGAGCGGGTGATCTCAGATCGTCCTGATTACGGTCTTCGGTACGGGAGAAAAAAAAGAATTTGGATATCAACGTGATCATAAACCAAAGTAGGCTTTCACCCATATGTACGATATAAACAAGATAAACGAAGAAAAATACAACCAAGATTACCAGGCTAAGTGGCAACAGATCCGGCAACAGATCCAGAGTTTGCCATGGAGTGGATACTTCCAGGGGGAGCAGAAGCATGGTTCTCGCCGTTTGGAACAGCGGAGTCGCCCAGTGAAGTACTGTTCTCCTCAATTCCAAGCAGTGATGGGGGCGGGTGTATCTCTTTCTTGCCGTTGGTCTTGTAGTGGAGAATCATGTCTCCCGAGCTGCGCCAGAGGTGTGTGCGAATCGTTGCCAGAGTCATGTTTGGTGGACAGAGCTGGGAAACAGAGTTAGTAGGGGACTACAGAGATCAAGCTGTGTGAGCGTTGCTTACCGTCTTTTGGCAGTAAAGCTCGAGATACTCTTCCGGCGGCATGATAGAGTCCTCGGGTTCGTTCGGATCTGCTGGGTCGATCCGCTCTGCGACGTAAGCAAGTACCTTCTTCGCTCGAAGCATGCGGTTGGCGTTCAAGCGTGAGCCATTGTTATTGCCGTTCAGGTTGCTCGGTGGAGCACCGTTGGGAGGTGCACTGGAAGGAGAAGCCGTGGGATTAGCCTGGGTATCAACACGCAATTTGGGAAAAATCCTGGGACATTTGGAGCGAGTCTTTTGAATCCTTTGGGGACTGGCCATTGGGGGGCTCTTTGGTGTGGATATAATTGGGGGAACATACGGCTCAGGCTTGACAACGGGCGGTAATGAATCGTCAAAGGGTTTTAGCACGAAAGCGATTTTGACCTGGTCCTTGAAAGGAATTTGGTTCTAAGAGCAATAATCAGCGACGAAAGCCCCACGCACAATCATACAGTCTTCACAACTCACCTTCAATAGAAGCTCACCGAGCCAATGGGGAATCGATTTCTTCAGTCTCTCAAGATCTTCGCTGATGTAGCCCACACTGCCTCTATAAAGATCAGATGCAACAGCGGTGTCACCGGTTTCTTCCTGTATGAACACTGCAGTCCGCGGAGGGATATTAAGTCGGGGGGTTTCACTTTCGTCGCTAGGCAACACGGCAGTTTCCAGTTCTCGGTCTGTGTTTGACGCCAGGAATTCTTCATAGTCATGGCGGATCCGGTCTACTACGCCATGGAGGTTCGGTTCATAAACCTTCTCCTCTTTGATAGAAGAAATATCTGTCTCTTCCGCTTTCTCTTCCAATATTTGAGGCTTTGTATCCGTAGAATTCCGAGAAAGCTTCTTGGGGAAGTCCATGCGGAACTTCTTGCCAAACAATGACTTCTTGCGCTCTTCTTTGTCAGGTTCCGCTGGAGATTGAGGAACAGCTGAGTTCGTGGTTGAATCAGCCGGGGACATAGGATTCTTATCACTCTCATTCTGTTGCGCCTGTGTGGGCGTAGGTTGGTTTGAGAAATAGTCGCTTCTATCCGAAAAAGAGGATGGTCCACCGTCGAGATGGGAGGTTCCTGGCCCCGAGGCGTCCGGTGTGTCGGGTTCAAAGTTGGGGAATGGTGAGTTGCTCTGCATAGATGTGCTCAGGTAGTTTGATGAAGGTGTGCCCATGTTGATTCCAAAGCCAGTGCTTGGACTTCCGGGGAAATCTGACCCAGGGCGCAAGCTCGATCTGCCATTGGGGTTGGAGATTGGAATACCAACGCTGCGAGGAATGTCATCGTTTGGTACAGACATACTGAGCTGATTCGATCGCGAAAGCTCTTCTGCCCTTTCTACGGCGGTTTTGCGGAATTCAATGTCCTGTCGAACTTCTTCATCCACCACCGGAGCAAAGAGCCAACGCAAAATCCATTTCCCAAGATTGACTGTTAATTGTCAGTACAAAGACCATCCAAAGATCTTGATGCCAACAAGCAGGCACATAACATGTCATAAGATCAAAACTTACTCCTTTGATCATCTCGCAAGTCTGGCACATCTGATGGTGCTAGATCGGTCTCGTCCGCGTAGACTTCCGCGTCAAAACAACGATTAGGCTCCAGAATGACCGATAACCTGCCGGTACGGACGTCGATTGCACACCAGTGCGCAATACTGTCGATGGTGTTGATTTCAGATGCAACATCATCTATATGGCGCTTGCCAAACGATTGAACAGGGAGACACTAGACGATGTTAGTCAATACCCCAAATTTTAAATCTTGAAGAGATAGTGGATACCTTTATCAGATCCCAGAGAACAACTTCGCCAGCCGAATCTTGGGTAAGTGTGCGTCTCCGGTCATTCAACATCAAACACTTGATCAATCCATGCTGGCCCTCAATGGACTCTTCTGGCAAAGAATGGATCGGGATAGTCAGGCCAAGGAGGTCAAGGTTTGGCTCCGAGGTGTTTGCTTTGGGACTGCCGAGAACTGATGCAGCTGATAATTGCAAAACCGCATTGAATGGGATCTTCTCGTGTCCCGTTTTCGCCGGGTCTGCGGGTGCGGCAGCAGAGTCTATTGTGCGGGCTGGGTCAGGCGGCGCCTCGATTTCAAGGGTCGTATCTGCGTCTCGCCATCGGTTGATACTTGATTTGGGAGTGGCTGTCCAGATGTAGTCTCCAGCCGCCACAACCTTGACAACGCCCTCGTGCTCTTGCAGAGCAGCAACAGATGTACCCTGTTCGGGGTCTGGGGATCCGCGCGTATCAGTCTTAGCAACCAAGCCGGATCGATCACTGGAATAGAAGACTGATAAGTCAGGGTGGTCTGAGTATAGAGACCACACGCTGTCATTGTGCATTGTCAGTGTGTTCATACACCGACCCGCCGTGAGAGACCAAATCTTGATTGTTTGATCGGAGGAGGCTGTCATGATGGTATCACCAGTTTGATTTATTAGTATGTCACGAATGTTATCGGTATGTCCCACGAATTTGGTCACCAGCTTCCCAGACCTGGGATCCCACACTCGGACAACATTCTCGGGTCCACCACTAGCGAGCACCGATGAGACGGCGCCCAGCGCATAGACAGACCCCTTATCTGTAGAATCTTCCCCGCCGGCATTGATGCTGAGTGTCTCTCCGCCGCCGTTCAGATCCCACAAGTAGACCTTTTGGTCGAGACCGCCTGAGGCAACCCAACTAGCATGGTTGCCTGGGCTCGCCAACGCTTTCACGTAATCTGTATGTTTTCCGATCCGCTCCGGTACTTCGACGGACTCAGAATGTGGGCGCCACAGTCGCACGGTCGTGTCGGACGAGGCGGAAACGAGCGCAGAGTTGTCCTGTGCCAAGACGATGTCGTTGATCCAATGACTGTGGGCTTGGACCTGGGTCTTGAAGCCAGTCGGACCGGGCTTCTTGGTTGAAGAAAGTCCGTTCGATGGCGCAAAGGAGGAAGCAAGGGGAAAGTCAAGGTCCCAGGAACATATGACACCGTCGCGGCCCGCGGAGTATCTAAAGAGGAGACGTCATATTAGAACTGGTGTCCCCCACGTGCGATAAGGACTGTGTCGCCCATGACAGGGACCATTGCAAAAGTGCCGGTTTGGTTTGTAACCCCGGATTTCGGAACGCTAACGACGCAAGGCTTACAGGATGGAGTTCTGATGGTCAACGGTTAGACCATTGACCCCCAGCCGATGCCCGCCTGGGGCATCAGGTAAGGGGAGGACTAAATAACGCAGTCAGCATTCCGAGTTGCGAAATTACGACATGCAGGGCCCGGCAACTTACCATAGGTGACCCTTTGGTGGCTCAGTTTGCGTGCCATACATGCAGTGTTGAAGGAGTGATGCCAATTGCGGAGAGAAAATGCGGAGCTTATCTGCCGTCAGGGCCGATCGCGCGTTCAGATTAGGCCGACGTCACATTCGAGACGATCGGTTAATGAAAAATTTAGGAAAAAGAAAAGGAGCGGAAAAGAGGAGATGATTTCAAATGAGGGGAAGGTTAAACTAAAGTTGGAGGCGCCAGGGGCTGTCAGCCCATCGTTCTATACACCTCCGCTCTCAAACAGTACATCGATGCTTCTTATATAGCCATGCTCCACATACCCAAGAGGCGCGGAGATTGTATGTGGCCTTGAATTCTACAAAATTTCACACTATGATATGGGGTTGGGTCGATTTTGAAGAGCAGGCGCATCCGATACCTCGGAGATGTCCATGCGCAGTGCGCAACGGCGGCCCCGATGTGTACTACCGACAATAACTGCCCCGTAAATCATCTGCAGGTGATCTAGGTCAGTATCATCGAAGCTTGCTATGAGACAAGGCCAGAGCATCCGGCGAGTATATTCCACTCTATATATGATATACAAAGTCCGTCAACAGATCAAATCCCCTTCTCAACCTTCTCTCTCCTCCCCTCAAGTGTATTAGAAGCCTTCTGATAACTACCCAAGAATACAGCTCCACCGATTCCGATCCAAGTCACACGCGGCGTGATTCCGCGCCAGAAAGCACCAGGCCCTTCGCGCGCTATCCCGCGCACAATCTCCTTCAGCCGCACCGGAGCCTCGGAGCCGCCATCTCCACGGCGCGCAAGCATAACTCGTGTCTTAATGACATCCAGAGGGGTCGTGAGACCCGCCGCGATCGCACCGGCAACACTGCCGAACATGGCGCTCGTGGAGGCGGGGATCTGGGTTTCAATGACGGAAGTGGCAGTCTCCGCGGAGCACAAATAGCGCTTACCGTAGGCTTCTTTCATGGACTCCCACATGGTGAACTGCAGAACGGTGAAAGGGATTTCGCGGGCGATAGTGATTCCGGCACCGCGGTAGAGCTCGCGGAAGACCTGGCTGTAGCCGCGCTTTGCGGTGGGGTCGGAGGTGGCATGGCGCAGTGAGAGGATGTCCTTGAGTGCGAGGAGACTAGAGCCGCCGAAGAGGCCTGCCTGGGCGCGCTGCTTGATTACTTCTGTTGGCACGCGGACGGCGCAAGCAGCGATTTCACCTAGGGAGGAGGCGAGGGAGTGTGTGAAGATAATGCGGGCTCGGGGTTGTGGCTCGGAGCTGGAGGGAGGGAGAAGGGAACGCTTGACGCCATCATAGACGATGAAGAATGAGGCGGCTGAGGGGGCGGAGCCGAACAGGACGGAGGGGAGGCCAGCGTAAATGCCGCGGAAGGTTTGACGTAGAGAGACTCGGGTTTGGGGTGCGGTGTGGTCGCGTGCTTTTTGAAGTCGGGTTTTGATGGTATCGAGAGGGTAGAGGGAGCAATCCACTGTAAGACCTGCAATTGCTCCTGACTATATGAACGTAAAGCTGTTAGTGGGATCTTCTTGATGCTCAAGGGTAGCTCCGGAGAAGCTCGTACAATCAATGACCTGGTCCACAGGGAGGAGACCAATGGCTCTCCTTCGTGTTGTTGGGACATTTTGTAGAGACAGTTGAATATATGATGTACAATATTATTGAAGCATGACCAAAGGGAATCAGGCGAAAGCGCTATGCGGAGAGCGAGGCTTCGGGAAGAGCTCCGCAGTCCAGTTTTGCTCCGCGGTCAGGCCATTCCGACATCGCCGATCTTCGCCGTTAGAGTTAACTCCCAAACCACGGTGTACATAAACAGTTCGCATTTAAAAGGAAGAATATGTTTGTATTTGTAAATATCTACCAGCTACAAAACTTCTCGAGCAGGCCTCCCTCGAAAAACAACCAAAGGTTCGAAGGAACTGACCGCACACCCGAAACCAAACCAACATTTCAGTTCCGCAAGAATAGGAGGTCAAGATGGGGCAATGTGTGCAACAGAAGTTGAGTTTCTTCAAGAATGGCGACACAACTCAAGATAAGGGGAATTGAAAGAGGACGAGGCCCCCAGAATCTTCTACAATACTCGGTAGGAAACCAAAGTGAACACTGAAGGGGACTCGAAAATGGCATCCGGGTTCGACAACGAAGAGGAATTATGGACACAATGAGAAATTGATACAAAGAAGGGATATTATTTGGCCTTGGCGCCTTTGCTGGCCACAGCAGGACCTTGTGACGGTGGCTCGAGCACGTGGGTATGACCAGGATCATTAATGACTTCTCCGGTTCCGATCTGTTGACAAGCATGGATGCCTCTGACCCATTCGTCTGACAGAACTTCGTCGAGAGTAGCTCGCTCCTTCGGGTTGACCTTGAGCATACGGCCGATGATGTATCGACTTTCCCGCGGCAAGATCCGGAGAAGACGCCAGGGTCCTTTGATGACCTCCTGTCGCTGGCCGGAGGATTGAGCGGATCCGGGAGGCAGAGGTGGTGCCTCTTTGCTGGTCGTGCGAGTGGGCCTATTGTTGTGGGCACTGGTTTGACTGATCTGTTTCTGAGCAGTAGGCGTGTCGGGTGAGCGATCGCCATCACCCTGGGATTCGGACTTGTTGCCATTGCCGTTCTGCTCGGAACCAGACTGATCGGAAGGTCCGCTGGAGCGAGGAGTCAAACGCTTGTTTTCATTGCCACTGGATGGAAGGTCGGGAGTCGACTTGGGCCGACGACGGGGGTCGGATTCGGAGATCGGGGTCCCTGCCGAAGGGTTGGACACAAAGAGCTTATAAGAGTTGTCGGTCATGCGCGGTTGCTTCCATGGGAACCGACGCAAAGTCATACAGCAGAAGATGATCGCCAGCGACCAAACATCCGTGGGGCGGGGGTCATATTTCTTCTCGTCGTAGACCTCGGGAGCAAGGTATGGGTCTGAGCCAACGATACCTGATATTGCAGTCAGTACTAATCCAGATAAAAGAGGACGTTTGATACATACCCGAAGCGGGAACAATGTCGTTTTCGAAAGGATAGCGGAACACAACAGCGCTTCCAAAGTCGATTAGCTTCATGATGCCGCGATCATTGACCACGACGTTGTCCAACTTCAGATCCCGGTGGGCGAGCCCCATGCCGTGCAGATATGCTACACCACTGAGAATTTGCTTGAAGGAGCAGGCGATCTCTTCCTTGCCCATCTTGCCTGTCATGACGATGGCAAACAGGTCATATGGCCCATACTCCATAACTTCGTACCAGTGGGTTCCTTCTTGAATGATATCGAGCGTCTCGATAATATTGCCATGGTGTAGAGTGGAGCCGATACAGAACTCCGCAGTGACTTTCTTGGAGTATTCCTTTAGGCTCTCCCAGCTATGACGATCACGGAATTGCTTGACCGCAAAGGTGACGCCATCGGTGTTGCGTTTCAGCAGACGCACTGAGCCTCCGGCACCAGATCCAAGTACTTTACCCATCTTTCCATACTTGGTGTTCAATCCGTGATCGTCGGCGAAGGGAACGTTGTCAGGAGCCATTTGGTACGGGGTGTTCTTTCCAGATCCCCGGCTAGACTTCTTAGGCATAGAAGTTGGAGATTCGGATCGCTTGTTGCGATGGCCCATCTTGAAGAATCGCTTCAGTTCAGACATGGAGCCATGATGGCCATGGCCCGAGTGATTCTTCTCGTTCCCATGATCCTTCTTGCTTCCGCCAAAAATACCTCGTTTATCACTAGGTTTACTGAGGTCATTCGCGCTGGCGGATCGGGGAGTTCCCGGGCGAAATGACCGCTTCGCCTCCCTGCTGCTGAAGATAAACCGGGGGTCGAGCTGGGCAAGGTTTTTTGACTGAGGGGGGCGTTTGTGGCGCGCATATGGATCATTAGGTTCGCCCACGGGGGTCATAGCCCCCCGGTGGGGTCAGAGAATCTCTGGGTGTGGCAGGGGGACTTTCATCCTGCGAGCCTCCGTCATTACCGATGAAGAACTGAGCGCGATGCCTGGGAAGTTGAGTGCTGTGGTCTGCACGGTCCGACCCCTCACTCTGGCGAATAGGGAGCTGGTCGGTAGACGGAGGTCGGGAGGAGTTTGAAGTCGGCCGAGAGGTGCCGTTCTTGTCGACGGAACCCACGGGAGGAGATGCTTCGGGTGTGAAATTGGTCTGCACATGCGGTCGGGTCGCGGATTTCAAGGAGGCGCCATCACCCGTTCTTCCTTCGCGGGAGTGGGTTGCAGCGGGGGTAAGAGGTGGTGATTGTACGGCAGAGACGGGGGAGAAGCATGCGGGGAAGCGAAACCACTCGTACCTAGTCCACTGCGACTCGATTCTTGAGAGGCAACCTGAGTCAAAAAGTCAGTAAAGATGGTCGACCTGCATTGAGCCACGAGAGCCCCCAGTGCAGATTTAAATCGATATGCATCACTGCGAGGTATGATGTAATTGAAAAGTAACAAAAGTTTTTCTCAATCGCTCGTTGATGTGACAAGAAGGAGAACATACCCTTGAGGAAGGTAAGGACATGGGCTCGAAAGAGAAGTTCCGAGCCCGTGACTCCTGAAGCTGGGAGCCCTGAAGACTCATGGCGAGCGACCGCAGCTGCTCCTCGTCGGTTGGAGGCTTCTGGTGGGATTGCTGGGATTGCGGGATTTGTTCTGGGACCGGAGATAATTCCGATCGAGAGGGTGCGATCTCCTCAGTGATGGATGAGAAGCGGACCTGGGAAGGCTGAGCTCTCGACTTGGCGTCGGTGTCGGGCTCCGAGGCCTGGTCGGAGTTCTTGGCGGGGATCATCGAGGATGCTGAGAAGGACAGGAATGCGTCAGCGGGAATTTGAAATGCTCAGATCGGCCTGACATACCAGAATCCACCAGAGTGGAGGTTGAATCAGTCCGTTCAGACGTCATAGCCAGTTCGGAACGTGGGACACATGCCCCTCACGATAATGAGATTACGAGAGATATCGCAAGCTGCGCGAAGAAGCTTCAAACTAATTTCCAAATTTAATGCGGGAGAGGCAAATCTCTTTTAACTTTTCGCCGAATGCGATAGGAGCAAGACCGCGTCAGGAAAATTTGCCGAAAGGAGCACAAGAACTCCGTGAGAGGAGCGAGACAGAAGAGAAAGAGACGGAGAAACAGAGAAACAGAGAGACAAGAGACAGACAGACAGAAAGACAGAGAACAAGAGTGCCTCAGGGAAAAATTGGCAAAAGGTGAGCAAAGAGGATTGAGACAGCGTCAGAAAGAGAGAAGAGGGGGTTCTGGGCCTAAGGCAAACTTGCTTTTCGGAGGGGTCGGTCTTCGGGAACTGGTTTATTCAGAAGAGATGAGGTGTGTGTTCATGTGTTCATGTGTTCATCTCTTGTCCCTGGTTCTCCAGAGTTTAGCCCTCAGAGAGATGTCCCGGATGGTCGCGGAGTTCGAGAACGTGCCGACTTCCCGTGACGCTCGATGCAGCCCTCTTCGATCTGATCTGGAATTTTACCTGAATGGGGCTAGTGGCTGACTCCACTGCTGGATAATGATGATTCGAACATTCACTGAATACTTGCCAAGCCTGGTGCGACCTTGCCAAGGTCTCCGCCCCGGAGGCATCCTAAGGAACCTCTCATGTGCGCTCACAGCCGCTTATATATTGTATTGATGTTGCGCGGGACCGATTGGTTGTTCTAAATATACCCCCGGCATACATAGACGATGGTGTCCACGGGTCTGACGGTCAGAGGTCACAGCCTTGGAGCCTGACACCTGTTTCAAGGTTATTGCCAGTAGTCTACGCAGGGCATACTCCGTACAGGCACAAGGAATCTCAGATGCAAAGTATCTTCGGATTGCTATCAACAGGTCGCTATGGCATGCATCCAATCTGGAAAGAACAATCGGTATCGTACAACAGGAGGTGAACCCTCCCATATTCCCCAGATAACGCCCAAAAACGAAATACAAAAACAGAATGCCCTTGGGACTGCCACGGCAAATGCAGTTGAAATAATTATACAGTGTCGCCGGTCTCTCAGGCAACAACCTGAATGCCGATGGACTTGGCCTGGGCCATAACACTCTTGCACAGTCCCTCGAGAGTCAGGCCGGATAACCGCGTCTCGGTGTGCTTAATCTTGGCGATCTCGTAGACGTGCTTCAGAGAAACCTTGCCACAGATCTCATGACCGGGGTTTTGGGCACCACGCACGCGGTTCTTCCGGGGTTCGACATTGGCGGCGTTGAGAAGGAGGTAGGTGACAGTCGGGGTGCGGAGGTCGAACGAGAAGGATCGATCGGGACGAACGGTGACACGGGCGGGAATAGGAACACCGGTGTTGATGTGAGCAGTGCGAGCATTGAATTCCTGGTAGACAGTCAGCGTATATACCGCGGAGACGGGGGATGGTAAATAATGACCTTGCAGAAATCCATGGACTTGACACCTTTACTTCCCAGAGCTGGACCGACGGGCGGACTGGGACTGGCCTGCCCGGCTCCGACGATGAGCTTGACGAACTGTTCCTTGGCGAGTGCGTTGCGAGCCATGATGGTGATTATAAGAGGTAGGGGACCGGAGATGTTGAAGTTACGAAGATTTTCGGCCAATGGATTTGATTGGCCGAGGCGCCAAGCGAGCAAGCTGCACCCAACGTCATTGCTGAAAGGGCTTCTCTGTTCTTATTTTCCAGCTTCTGGTTATTCTCGTGAGATTAATTCATCTAGTGCCTTTGTCATCGTATATCGAACCCATCGATCTTACAATCAGACCATTTGGTGGATATCTCCTCAATTCGGAGGGTCCTCCCATTTGCATCCGAACTAGAGTCGGGCCCCGCGTCGATCTGCCCTTCACCTCCCTTTTTCTTTTTCTCCATTACCTCCATATAACTTACCCATCGAAATCATGAACTGGCTCAAGTCGACGTACGTTGCGTGTTATTCGACCCTTCCCTGCTTTTACTGATTCGATGCGGACAGTCTCTCCGCCGTCGTGGGCACCGAGGAGCCTATCTATGGCCCAGATGCTATCCAGTCTGTGGCGAAGCAGGCTGAGACCACTCCCTTCAGCAAGGTCGACAAGGAAATTCTGCGCTGGCGCGCACACTCCTACACTAATGTCGAGACCCAGACCTTCTACGTCATGGCCGACAACGGGACTGTGGTTTTCGTTCAAGTGATCTACAGTAACATTGTGTAAGCATCTATCGCGCGAGCTTGAAGCTTGCATCTGGAGACCACCGGGGAATATGGGAACTGACTGCGATATTTTATCTTACTTATAGTGGAATCCACACTACCGCTCAGTTCAACGTGAAGATTTTCGACCTCAGTGGAAAGGGCGACAACAAGTGGTACTCGGACCCGCTCTCCAACTTCATGTTCGATGAGCACATGCTTTCCTTCGGTGCCGACAACCTGTCCCTGACTCTCAACGAGGAGGGCAACTCATACACCATCAAGTCCACCGTCAACGACGGCAGCATTGTCGACCTCAAGTTCACTCAGACCGCACCTGGATTCGTTGTCGGCAAGGACGGAACTTCATACTTTGGCACAGACCCCAAGAACCCATGGGGCTCTATGCGCCATGCCTTCTGGCCTCGTTGCTCCGTCGAGGGTAACATCGCCACCAAGGACCAGACTTACGACCTCGGCGGTCGTGGAGTGTTCATCATGGCTTTGCAGGGCATGAAGCCTCACCACGCTGGTAAGCTTCCCTATACGACATCCTCCACGCAAATTTACATTGAACTAACAAGGAAATAGCCGCTCGCTGGAACTTCATCAACTTCCAGACCCCTACCTACTCCGCTATCATGATGGAGTACACCACTCCCCCCTCTTACGGCTCCACCAAGGTCAACGTCGGCGGTATTGTCAAGGATGGCGAAATAGTCTACGCCGGAACCACCAACACTGTCGAGCACTTGGAAACAGCGCAGGATGAGGGCAGTGATTGGCCCGCACCCAAATCCATCAAATGGGACTGGGCCGGCCAGACAACCGACGGCAAGGCTCTCACCGCCGAGGTCAACGGTCCTCTCGGCCCCCGCCTTGATCGCATTGACGTGATGGCTGAGGTGCCTGGATTCATCAAGAGCATTGCTGGTAGTGTCGCCGGTACCAGGCCCTACATCTTCCAGTACTCTCCCCAGGACAAGCTCTCTCTGAAGTTGAATATCGGCGGCGAAGATGTCACCGAGGAGGGAACCATGTTCTCTGAGTCTACTTTCATCTCTTAGAGTGTTGGTATTCTACTTGCGTACATAGGACATCATTCTCCCCTTGTGAGATTTGTTGGCGTTCATTGTTGATGATTTTCGTGATGCTACATTTATGTCTAGAGGATCGGCTTGACTGTTTCCCTCGTGCGGACCAGATAATCCCCAGACTGTATACAGGATACTTAATGCTATTGACTATATTTTGAGAATGTTGTAAATGTCCAGGTGTGCAGGTTAATATCGTCTCCGATTTGAAGAGCATATTGTGCTTGAACCCTGGAAACGTCGCATTCTGACACAGCAACCTTGGAAAAGTCGTAATTCGGCAGCTGACCTGCATTTTGATCTACCGTCTCTTCCTACCTCCAGGGTTACAACCTTGGAAATTGAGGCAGACATGGGACAACTTCGACTGCTCCAGGATTGTGGAGATTGTACAACCTGGGAACTTTCGCAGGAACCGTCAACCAACCATGTGTATAGGTGAGTGTGAGTGCATTTACTATATGAGCCTTCCAGGGGTTTTTGTCGCTTGATTTAATGAAAAGCATTAAAAAACAGCAAAAAAGGGTAGCAAAATAGCAAAAAAACCTTGGGACCTTGGGACCACAATAGCAAACAGTGGCAATCATAGCACGTAAACTCTTTCTGCCCAGATGTCCCAAGGTTCTTGCAGACATTGACTTTGTGTTGAGCTTTAGTTTTGCATACCTTCTTTGACTTCAGCTTCCGAGGTCTCATCGTAGCTCTAATGCTGGTTCAATGCATATAGATAGCAAAACGCCGTCGCGGAGGGGGATCCTTGTTACTTATGACAGCTGGATAGATCGACATTTAGGGAACATACTACCGTTGCAACCTTGGAAGTGAAATGTACATTGAAATTGAAATTGAAGATAATACACGAATCTGTGCAACGAGAAGCAAACGAAAAACGAAAAAAGCCCACCAGCGGTGGCTGGATGGGAGGAAAATGTCAATCAGCTATCGACCATCAATTGTTCGCCCTCGTCAAGGAGAGTTGTAACACGAGATAGATCGGAGATCATTTTGCGTCCATGGCCGACCAGCAAGAGCTTCTCGGCATTGGCAGGGAGTCCGAGGTAGGTAGGAGGCTCACGCTCCGGTAATTTGTTGACCCAAGTAACGAAGTCACGCATATTGGTTGTGCCGGGCAGGGTGAGCATATCATCATTTTCGACACCAGAGACGAGCTTGTAGTCATCTTCGAATGCAGCAGGAGTAAGGAAGCTGTGCACCAGGTTCTCGAGCTGCTGGTAGTCTTCTGCATCGTCGATCTTGCCTCCGTACATCTCTGCGATCAAGGTGCGAATCATTTCCCATGGAATCTTCTGAGGTGCGACGTTGGACCGGCCTTGGGCGACACTGTCAACCCAGTGGTCAATGATGTAGGCTGAACACTCGTACTAAAGAAACAATTGTTAGCAGGTAGTCTTCACGGTGAAGTGACAAGGATCAACTTACGTCGCTGTCGTTGAATTCCCAGAAGCCCTTCCACCCAAGACTGGGCGCGTAGCGGAGACGCTCCTGGACCACGGCGTGGAAGAAGCAGAGCAAAAGGTAAACACGGGCCTTTTCGACGGGCGCCTTGCTTGCTCTGGTATTGAGAGAGGAGAGTGAATCCTTCATGTTGGCACGCACACCGGCAGGCTGCTCGTACATCAAGACACGAGAGGCTCTGATCAGATTGACAGGGATCTTGGGGCTTGACTCCATCGACAAAAACAGGCGGAACTGTGGGTGTGGCTTGAGCGAATCCAGTCGCTTCTCCAGACTCTGAAGCCAAGCAGGAGCCAAGTGGACGTTCTTGACCAATACCCAGTTACCGACGGCAGCAGCGTTGCTGATGGCCTTGTCGGCACTCTCGAGACCCTCGTTTGAACCCATAGCGATGTTGGCGCAGGTTGCGCGCGTGGACTCCACCAAAGCATCGACCTTGTAACTGGCATCGAAGCCAGGGCTTGAGCTGAGAGCGATGGGTCGAGTTGCAGTCACTTGCTCTACAACATGTTGTAGATCGGCGCCTCCTTCGTAAAGCTCGCGACCAAAGACGGCCACGATGAAGCGCTCAGCGGTGGGCACAAATCGGTCCATGCGGCAGACCTTGACAAGAAGCAAGGAACGTAGTAGCTGGTCAAGCTCTGAGACATGTTCATCCCACATGGGCGGAATGAAATTCTCTGCTAGCTCTTCGCCAAAGAATCGATCCCATTGTTCTTGAGCGACGCCGGGAAGATGTTCCTTAAAGATGGACATGTTGGCCAGCTTGGTCATCACCTCGTCGCGAGAATCGATCTCGGTGGAAAGGTCTGTGCCCTGTAAAGATTCGTCCAGGACGCGGTCGAGCAGGGTTCTATCCATGGGGAAAGGTGTAGCTTGAGCAAGCAGGATAGCAAGTGTGATACGATCCTTTTGAACCAGACCCAGTGAGGTTCGCTGGTAAGTGTTGATGAACAGATCGCGGATGATGATCTGGACTCGTGCAGAGTGATCTTTCTCTTGAGCAAGACGCTTGTTCTCGTAGAGAACAGAATTGAAGATGTCGACAAAGTACTGAAGAGAGAATTGGTAGAAGTGATTGATGTGATGCAGTTGCTCCAGTACCGCAAAGACTGCACTGCAGGATCTAGCAATGATGCTGTACTTCTGCGTGACGCTGTCGACCTCGGCCATAACACCTTCAGTCTCATCCATCTTCTTAGAGATATCCGCAGCTTCCTTCTTGAGTGTCTCGAGTGTCTCGATGACGTTATCATCATCAAGAATGTTACCACGAGACTCGTTGAGGGCCTGCAAAAGGCGCTTCTCAAGCTGGCGAAGGTGGACCTTGAACTCGCCTTGCATCTTGACGAGGTTGTTGCGGCGCTCATCAACATCAGGGCGTTCGAATTTCAGGACATCGTTCAAAGATTGCGTCTGCAAACTGCTCTGCGTGACCGTAAAGTTGACAAACGTGGTACGACTGCAGATATCAGGAGGGAAGGAGGCAGACGGGTCCCGAGTCGAAAGGAAGAGCTTGAAGGACGGCGAGAAATCAATTTCTTGTCTACCCAATTGAATGAGCACACGGCCGCCGGTTTTCTGATACTCCTTGTTGAGGACATGATTGAGAATGGGGTCCAGATGCTCGGCGTCTTGGATGAGGATCGGGTTTCCGAACCGCAAGGCACTCTCCAATTGCTTGACAAAGGAATCGTCCAAGAAGCTCGTGACGGTAAGCTTGCGTTCCTTGCTTTCTTTTTGCAAGAATTCCGTGGTACGACCTGATGGATCAACGATGAGTGGGTATCTGTTGAACTTCTTGAGGATGATCGCATTTTCGGTGCACAGGTCGTCAACAGGGAGGGAATGTTCTTGCCAAGTCAAACGCTCATCGGCATTGGACAGATACTCAGTGATGGGATTGTGAGGTTTGAAGTCGATTCCAGAAGCCCCCAGCTGGTGGATCCAGTCCTCGGTCATTGCCTTACGGAACTGCTGATCATAAAGACCGGCATATGCAAGGAATGCAGCTGCAATGAGAACATCGCCGACCAAGGTGCTAATTTGAGTCTCGAAAGACTTGCTGCCTTCTTCCCAGCGCTGACGCTCTGATGCGAGACTGTCGAGCAAACGAACACTGCGGTCGACCTTGAATTGAACTCGAGTCATCTCGGACTTGATCGCTTGCGTCTCGCTGATGAGGGTAGCGTATTCAGCCTTGTAAGTTGCGATGCTGCTTTCCAGGTCATTGATCGTATTGTCAATCGCTTGGGCCTCGGCCTTTGTTTGGAGTGCCTTAGCCTCGAGCTCATCAACCTCTTCGCGAAGAGGACCGATGCGATCAAGAATGGTAGAATAGTTGACCTGAGCTTCAACCCATTGAACAAGAGGACCACAGGCCTTACTGGCACGGAAGACTCGCTCATATGTGAAGTCCTCCTTTGAAAGGTACTCGTTCTGCATTTTCACACGGTGCTTGCGTGTCATTTGCGATGAGTTATCGTAATTGACGATGCTGGCAATGAAATCATCGCGGCGAATAAGACCTTGAATAGTCTTCCAGCTGTCAACGGTATGGCCCAAAAGCGTGCACACGGCTTCAAGCGCAAGCCGCACGCTGGCTGGGGGATTACCCATAGATCGAACTTCGGTGAGATGCTGACGCTTAATGTTGCTGACACTCTTCATCGCTTCCTCGACTGCGGGTTCTGCTCGAGCCAAATCGCTCAAAACAACCTCTCGCCGAGTTGCTACCTCCTCATTTTGTATCTTCAATGCGGCCTGCACTTCCAATGAGACTTGCTTCCGCTGTTCTGCTTCTTGTTGATCGGCAACCATTCGTTGGAGCTTCTCGTTTGCTTCCGTATCTTTCTTCTCCAATTGTGTCTTCTTCTGAGCAAGACTGCCGCGCAGATCGCTCACTTTGTCTACAGTATCGTGAAGTTTCTCGAGACCAATATTTAAGTGACGTTGCTGCTCCTCGAGATCCTCACGTTTCTCATTGAACAGACTCACGTACTGCGCCACAAAGTCTAGATAGTGGCGAGGAGTGAGGAAAGTCGCACGACCTTGTTGCTTCTGGAGACGACCGTTGAAGCGATGCAACGAGTGATGGATGTATACCATTGAGTTGATAACAGTGTCTCTGTGCGAGGCCGGGAGCGACAGCTCACGGTAGGCCACTGGAATGCTATCAGGCGAAACGAAATTTGGTTTGTCCAGATCAACCGACTGAGTGAGCTCCGAGCCAACCTGGAACAGAGCTTGATCAGACCAGTCACCCATCCAGTTGAGCACACAACGGTTGAACAAGGCGGGACTAGTGGCTGCCTTTGAAGAAAGGCCATCCTCTGGTGGATTCATGGTGAATACAACGTGAAGGTTCTTGACAATCTGTTGGGTGAACCACTTGTAAAGCTCCTCCTGTGAATCGAGGAGCAATCCTTGACGTTGAGCACCCTCTTTACAGGCGGTCATAAGCGAGGAGAACTCATCGCCTTCGAAGAGACCGGGCACTTCAGCGTTTGCAAGAAGAGTGTTCATGCGTTCCAAGAAGCCAGAATCAAGGACATTGGATTCATCCATGATGAAGCAAATCTTTTCGCCCTTACATCCTGCTCGGCGAAGAACGCTGCGAAGGTCATCATCGAAGTCTTCAGAAGAATACTTTCCGTGAACCTTGATTTGGAAGACTTTGAGGCCATTCATCCAAGCGACGAAGCGGGATAGTGTGGTCTTTCCACTGCCACTAACACCAATGAGAATAAGATGACCCTGGGGTTGGCGGAATACCCGGTCGATGCGCAGAGCATGTTCCAAGACATCATTGAACAGCACAAGTGGAACATCCACCTCTTCCTCGCAGAAGGTTCTGAGACGTGCTTTGACAAAGTCGCGCAGACTCTCCTGTTCGACTGGCACGTAGTTCCTCGACAGCCAATTGGAGAAAAGGATAGGGCCCTTCAGAGCTTCTTGATCGTTAATCGTGGGGAAGTGTTCCAAGGCAATCCGGCGAATGGCATCTGCTGTCCAGTTTCTCTCCTCTTCGTCTACCAGTCTGTCTTGGAATAGACGCAAAGCTTCATGCGCCCATATGCGGATGAGACCCTCGATGGAAAGAGTTTCAAGAGGCTTGATTGCTTCATAGAGACCACGGACCCATCGAGTAAGTTCACGGGGTGAATAAACATAGTGGGGCTGAATCTTGGGCGTGAAGCGAGATTGAGACTCGAGGTAGAATTGTACCATGGCCTTGGTGAGGGCGTCAGAATATCCACGCAGCAATGGGAGAATCTTGAGAACAGCGGAGTTAAATGTGCCATAAATCTGGTTGAGAGATATCTCGCCAGGGTAGTCAACCATGACAAGGGGCGCGTGGCGCAGGAATCTCTCAGCCATTGGCGTACGGCCAGCATCGGTAGGAGGGTTACAAGCACCAACAAACTGAATGCGATCCAGGGAAACCCATGTCTTGTCAGTGGTCCTCCAAAAGCCATTCTGCTCGACAAGTTGTCGCAAGAATGAGATGGCGCGTTGAGTACCGTAGCGATCGGGGGCGGGAAGGTTGATTTCGTCGCAGAAGATGACAAGCCAACGACCGATTTGGTTAGGAGACATCACCACGCCGTTGAGAGTTTTCTTGTACTCGCAGTATTGTTCAAATGTCTTGATCAAAAGATCGGGTGTAGTAGCACTCGAGAAGTTGAGACCAACAACTTCCATATTGGGAAGCTTTCTGAGCGCCGCAAACAATGTCATGGTCTTACCAGATCCAGGAGGACCGCAAAGTAGCAAGGGCTTATGCTCAGCGAGCCACGAGTACAGCACATCCTCGTGTCGGACAGTATCAACGGTGGGAATGATCACGTCAGTTTGAGTGACGGAATGAGTGTTGATGTCAATTGTGGGCACCTGTGATTGCCAAGTAGTCCATTCCGATTTAGGCAGAGTGACGTCGTAATCAATGAGAGACGAGTCGCCATCAGGTGGAAGATCAATGGTAGACATTCCCGTAACGTATTGACCAAATGCCTTGCGATCAGCAAGTGGGCAGTCACCCGTCAGAGACCAGACCAGTGTCAGAAGAAGTTTCTTGGACATGTAAGACTCGATCTGCTCAGGATCGAGAGGGAAGTCTGGATGCTGGGCATTGTATTCAAGAACATTGCGGCAGGCCTTGTTCAACAAGCTGAAGAGGGTGTTGAGAGCACGGATGTCGGTGAACTCCATGATGTGGTTGTATTTCTTGGCCTCGTCCAAAGCTTTGAGGACAAGATCGTCAACCTCCAAGAACTGCTTGAGTATGGTTGCAACAGTGTCCTGGGCATCCTGAGCCCGAATTACTCCAGTTCCTGCGGGAACAGTATCCTCATCCAAGTCCTCGAACACCTTGGTTCTCAGACTTTCAACATAGTTGGAAATCATCATTGTCGGCGTGACAGTGTCGGCGTTGAACCACACCATACCGCAACGACTGACCGTGGCGAGAGTGGCATATTTCAAACTCTCGACTTCAAACATGATGCGCACGTTTGGAGGCAGATTGAGACGCTCTCCGTTAGGAAGCGTGAGTAGTTTGTTGTCATCCAAAACACTGTTCAAGTTCTCAACCCATTCAGGATCGACGTCTCCATCAAAGACAATCCAGTGGCGCTTGCTGTCTTCACCTCTCAGGTTATCCACAATCTTTCTCAAAATTCCGGTGAACAGACCGTCCGTCCATTCACGGGTAGTGCTGTCCAGGTTACCATAGAGGGCTTCCTTTGACATAACCTTGGAGTCGATGATGTGGGAAACACCTTCGACGCCTTCAATCCGCTGCATTGCTTGAAGAAGGATTTTCCAGGCGGCAGATTTACCAGCTCCTGACTTTCCAACCATCATCACACCATGGTGAATGCTTTGGATCTGATACAGCTGCAGCGCCTTGTTGATCCACATTTCACTGTCGACAAGATGCTGCTCCTTGGTGGCGATATCGCGGATTGCCTGGGTCAGTGCCTCGAAATTGGCAGGAACGTAATCAACACCAGCGAAGTCTTCGGTCTGTATGTCCAGCATAATCTCCACATCTTCGCGTACAAGCTTGGGTGCGATGGTTTCCCGCAAACTTTGAACAATAATTTGGGGTTCGATGATATCGTCGGGTCCAAGCTCTCCATCAGCGTTCGCCAAACGAGCACGCTTGAGGCCACCCGAGCTGACAAGGACACTTTTCAGAGCACGCAAGCCAAAGTCGTAGTGAGCTTGTTTGGACAGCCGGGAAGCACAGTGGTCGAAGAAGGGAACAGTTTGCTTGGACAAAGGCTTGGCCTGTTTGAAACCCTGAGAGAAGAGCATGACTTCAGCAATGAGTTCCTTGTCTGGCTTAGACATGGCAACACTGCGGAACAGCTTCTTCAAATTGTCCGGCAGGTTGGAGCGACCAGCATAACCAGGATTCATGGTGATGAAGATTCCAGTGTTGGAATTCACAGCAAGTCGTCTGCCAACAAGATCGATTTGAGACTTATCACCGTCGCTATTGTTCTTCAAACCAATCTGGATGTTCTGAATTTGCTGGGAAACAGCAGACAGAATGCGTTCCTCCAAACGGTTGAATTCGTCGAAACAACCCCAAGCACCCACTTGACAAATACCAAGGAAGATACGGCCCATCGCCTGGAAGTCGAATGTGTCGTCACAGCAGAACACAAGGGTGAAACGACCAAGTTGGAGACCCAATGCTTTCACGGACTCGGTCTTACCAGTACCAGCAGGACCGTAGGGGGAACCACCTAGTCGCTGACAGAGAGCCTGGGTAAGGGTGAGGAAACAACGATCTGTAAGCGGAGTGCGAACAAGCCGCTCAGGAACACCCAGATATTCGAATCCGTAGTTGAGTTTGGCATTGGCCATGTGAACATACAGACGCTGCAGGAAATCACCCTCTGGCTCGTATACATAACGCATCTGGAGTAGCCATAGATAATGCGTGGATGTGGTAGCATTGAGGCTGATGAGCTTGGAAATGCAATCTCTTTGGTGCACAAACTCTGTGATCATGTGCTCACACTTCTTGCGCGTGATGGGGTCGAGCTCACCAAGAACTGTAGCAGCGAGAAGCTCCAGAATTCGAACCTCAGCACCGTGCAAAGCAGGCAGTGTGCTTCCGCCTTCCTCCAAGGACTTCTGTACCGAGTTGGTCCAGACAACCTGGCTGGCGAGGACAACGATCTGGGCAGGGTAGTTTGCAAGGAAGTCATTGAAGGCAGTCCGATCGACGTCTGTAGCATTGTAAAGGGTATCGAATTGCTCGACGGCTTCGCCAAGGAGCTCCGCCAAGGTCAACTTCATGTTGTTCTCCAGAGCTGAAAGCCAGTCATTGATCCGGGGAGTCTTGAGGAGGTTGACTTCCTTCTTCAGGCGGACTTCCTCCCCTTCCTTGGAAGTGAAAGCAACAATGTTGTTGTCATCATCCATAACAAGGCCTGACATACCGGCAAACATCTTCTTGAAATGCTTGGCGACTCGGAAGATATCATTGCTGTTACCAATGATCTCCAGCAGATCCTCGTCACCCACGAAATAGAAGCGAGGGAATGAGACACGCTCCCGCTCAAGATATTCACCGAGTGCTTTCTGAATCTTGTTCAACAGATCGGCCAATCTTTCCAGGGATTTTTGAACATCAACGATAGCAAGTACATCAAGAACAAATGGAGATTTGTAAACCTTCTTCATGACAGCGAAGAATTCAGAGTTGATGTTCTGGAAACGGCCGGACTCCAGGGGAAGCAGGTGTTTGATATCGGCATTTCCGGTGAAAACACCTTCAAGGTAGACCCATTGTCGTTGGACATCGATCCAGACGTCAAACAGAACGTGGACACGGTTCAGTTTATCCTCCCAGGCAGTGGCCTCCTCTTCAAATTCTTTGTAGTATGGAGAATGTCTCATGGCCTGAAGGGAGTTTAAGTTCTCACTGCACTTGGCAAACAGATCGTCGAATCCCTTGATGAGACGGCATTTGTTCTGGTAGTGCACTAGGTCGAGAGAGTAGTTTTGCCAAGTCTCGCGAACAGACTTCAAGAATTCTTCCAATGCCATTTCGCCTTGAGCCTGCGCGATGATACCGCGAATGATGGCATCGCTTGATGCGAGTTGCAGGTCCCAAACATCACCAAGAGTCAAAGATACAAGAGAGAATCGCTTGTCGGGTTTCAGGCTCTTGTAGATCTTATGCCAGTGTCGCTCCTTGACAGCTTCGGATTTCATGTCAGAGAGCAGAGTGTTGACCTTGAGCAATTGGCGGAGGACATTCTGGATATGCTCAAAGGCAGCATATTGTCTCATCCGGCTAGGCATCTCCTTGGTCATCTTGATCAGATTGTCAAGGGCCTGGCGAAGCTTCCTGGGCTGTACACTAGTCCACAGCCCATCGCGAAGGTCATTGAGACTGTTCCAAATGGTTGCTAGAGCAGCCCATACAGACATAAAGTCCTGGACCTCTTCAAGAATGGGAGGGAGCGAGGACTCGGCACTTGCAGTGAGATCGAGGGCTTCCTTGGCCTTGGAGACCATCTCAAACTCAGACTGAAGATTCTCGAGGCGAGACTGGAACGAGCTAAGAGTGCGAGAGGCTTCCTCGGGGGGGATGGTACCAGATACGGGCTTCTCATCGTTCCACTGGACGATGACTTCGGCAATCTTGTCGGCAATGACTCGGTCCTCCGCGGTGATCTTCGCGCGCAAGCCTTCGGTCTGCTCGTGAACAATCTTGCTCTTGCGGCTGAGAAGCTCGTTGAGTGCTGTCCATTCGCCATCGACATTTTCAACGTGAAGCCAGTCATAAGGGAACTGGTAGCGTTGGCGGGCGAGTGTAGTCTGGCCTTGACGGAACAAATCAACTTCTGGTTCCCAGACGCGGGTCTTGCGCTTGCACTGTTGAACGATGGTGATGAACGAGACCGCATGTGCGGTAGATGAGGCCTCCAAAGTCTGGCCCTCCAAGTCCCGACGGGCTGCAGCGATCTCCGAGTGAACCTCTCTCATACGTCCACCCAGCTTGGAGCCGAATTTAACAAGGATTTCATGCTGCCACTGGTCATATTTGGCATTGACCTTGGTCTGAACTTGTTCGTAGTCAATTCTGATGTTCCCAAATCCTCGGCTGACTTCAGATGTGTCAAACGTAGCTCGACTTTTTCTGATCTCTTGGAGCAGCTGAAGCCACTGTGAGAGGTCGTCGCCCAAAATGTCGTAAACTTGCTCAGACCGCAGATCCCAAAGCGATTGGAACTGTAGCCACTTGTCGACATACTCGGAAACCCCATTCAGTCTTGTTTCAACAACGTTGTAGACTTCATTCAGCTCATCTGTACAGTGCTGTGGGAGGTCGGAGAAGCAGACTTCGGATTGGCGAACATTCTGCACGCCGATAGAAATCTGGTAACGAGACGGTTTTATCTTTTCCAGGTTGCAGATCACGCCGAGCCATGTATCGAAATGAGAGAACCAACTGGCGCGCGCAAACTGCAAAGGCGGGTCAAGATGGAGAACTTGGTTCTTCATCAAGATCTCGTGGAGAAGTTCGGGGAATTGGATCTTGTAGCTCAAAGCCTCAGCCTCGGTTGTGACAGCATGCTGTGATGTGGTGTTCTCATTCGTTGAATCTTGGAAGACAGAAATCCACTCCCTGACAGCACGGTGGAGTCGATCACGAAGAATTGTCTGGATGGTTGCGTTGAGCTGGGCAACCCAGTATCCCAGGTTGACGTAATTCTCGAGGTTAAGCTTGTCAACAGCAACCTGAATACTGTCCAGGCGCTGCTTGAATGCGGATGCATCGTATGGACACGTCTTAAGTTCGTGGATCGACTTCTGAATGTTCTCGTTGATTGATATCAGCACAGTCGTTTTACTTTGAAGCGTAGATGCGGAGAATGCAAATTCGCGGACGAATTGGACATGCTTGCTTTCAGAGCGACCAGGCAAGGATGACTCGATAGCTCCATTCGCCAGTGCCGACTGTTTGACATGGAGCTCGTAAGAATGAACAAATGATTCCCATCGAAGAGGAATACCTTTAGCAACCATGACCTGGACATCGTTCATGTAACCATTGAGCAGCATGTTGGCATCGGCCATAGACATGATCTGGCGGTTTGTCTGCAACAAAGTGCGGACACTTTCCATAAGACTGATGGCATAGGGGTAAACTCGCTTAGCCTCCTTCGAGATGTTGCTGACGGCGTGCGGAACCTGGAAGTTGAGCCAGATGAGGTTGCGCACTTCCTTAAAAAGAGCAATGATCTGAGCGTCGAAGTTGACAGCCAATTCTAGGGTGTTTCCAGCTGAGCGGTTACGAATGACATTGAACAACCGACCAGCGATTGTAATGTGACGTCGTTGAACATCCCAAAGCCAGGACTCGAAGACTGGTCGAGTGTCAAGCTTCTTGCGGAACAAATTTCCCTCGGCCTGCAGCTTCTGACCCTCGGAGTGAAGATGCCAGTTTTCACCGAGGACATTCTCCACCTTGCGCATGTAACCGTCAAGTTGATGTTCAATCTGACGAGTCCAGATAATGGCGCCTGAGACTGGTGGTAGGTCTCGCAATTGGGCCATGGCATGAGCTTCAGAATTACCGTATTGCTGCTTGAAGCGTTCGTGTAATGCACTGATGTCTCGCTTTACATTGTCGATGAGTTGGGTTTGATACTCGCCGATTGCACCCCGAATCTTAGGGCGAACAAGCAAAGCATTGAATTTGGAAAACACACGGAACATCTCATTGGCGTTCTTAGCTGTTGCTAGACGGTCGCGCAGACGAGCAATGATGGAGTTCTCGACACGAGAAGTACGCTCGCTGTAGGCGATTTCGGCCTGTTCCCAGTTCAAAGAGCCACTTGGGGAAACGTCCAATACGTCAACGTTTTTCAATGCGGCATAAGCGTGTGCAACTTCCTCCACAGCGTCAACATCACCGATTTCCTCGACAATGACCGCGCCATCGGCGTCAATGCCAGCATTAGTCTCAGTGGATGAAGAGCTGTTTGGTCCAAGAACATTGATGATGGTCTTTTGAAGCTGCTCGTGGTTGATTCTGAATGTGTCCACATACTTCACTCGCTCCCGGGTCTTGTCATGTCGGGCATTGATCTTGATTGGAATGAACTTCTCATTACGACGCCGTGTTGACTCACGAGCAACGTTGGTGAACTCCTTGAGGTTCTCATCCCAAGTACGCCAAATAGCTTGCGTAATCTTCATCAATGACCTGAACTCACGGTAATCCAAGTGTAGAATCGTGCGTCCGGCGATCAGCTCATGGATTTTCTTATCAAGATCTCCCGAAATAGCTTCCACGAGTGAAAGTGCGCGTTTAATGGGATAAGGGCAGATTTTCAACTTCTTGTTCAAGTGATTGAAAATCAAGTTCAGTGATTCCTGAACCTTTTGGAGAGAAGTTGCAGACAAGAGCTCGTCAAGAGGGAAATCTCGCATGAGCTGGTTGTACTTCTGAACCAATTCAGTGGCATCTTTCAATCCAGTATCCGCCACGAAACTGAGAGTTGGTTGGTAACGTTTCGCGTGACGCAGAATGTCCATAGTCAATTTAACGCCTTCGCTGTTTAGCTGGGCATCGATTCCTTCAAGCGCAGACTCCATAGATAGCCAGAAGTTCACCTCCGGGGATGCTGACTCGCTGTCGGGGTCGCGGGACATCTTGGTGATTGTCTGGATCGACCGAATCCAACCGTTGACAACATTCTGAATACTGTTCGTGAAAGCGCTGCTCTCGAGCACAGTAGATGGGATCAGCTCGACAGAAGCCTTGATACCACGGGTTTCGGCATCCTTCAAGGCAGCCTGCACAACCTCATGAAGGGGCAGGTTCAGAGCTGGAATCTCCACATTCTGCTGGAGGTGCATCAGCCCAAGCTCCAGGTCCGCGAATCTCTTCTTGGTGCCTGGAATACCAGTCTTGGCCTCCGTGTCGGTTTTCGATTTTGTGCCGGCGGCTGTGTCCAAGCTACGGGTGTATGCTTCGAAGTACGGGCTGAGACCGTGATGTAACAAGAGGTGCAGAATCTGGAAGTGCATGGAGTTGCCCTGCTGTGCGGGGGCATTGTTGAGGGATGCTGGACCAGGAAGGTTCATGACTTGGACTTGCGACGCCATCGGGAGGGTCGGGTCAATTGGGACGGGTCGCTTAATGATAGCTACCGAAGCCACGGTGGTGGGAGCAGACGAGATATCGGAGGAGAGGTTGTAAACATGTTGCACGACCACTTCTGTGCTCGTATAGTCAGAATCGTTATCATCCACACCCCTCAAGACTGGAAGTGGCCTACCTTGGTCCTCCGCTTCACCGTTTGTTTCCTCCGCAGCCACAATGTCCTTTTGCACATAGAGCGCGACTTGCGATTCGGAGGCGAATCGCGTGCACCGTTGTAAAGTTTCGTTGTATCTGGATTCGGAAAGCAAGCTACCTTCGCCCTCCAGCTCGGACTTCTGGGCTCCCAGTGTTACCTGGAGCACCTCCGTCAGGTACTGGATGACTGCGCCGGAGTCGACCAGAGCTGTCGCTTCTGGCGCTGAAACGCCATTCGGCACGCCTGATGAGGCGACCTCCATATTTCTGAGATTATTATGACAAATTCGGAGTGTTCATCGGAGGTAGGAATGAATGGAGCGCGGGTCGGTTTGTTTGAATTGGGAGGGGTGGTCGCGTCGAGTGGAGGTCGAGGACACAGCAAGGAGGGTACTAGCTTGAACAAAAAGAAAAGAAATCTAATGGATTAAAAATGTGGAAGCAAAGATAAATTCCAGGCCTGTCCGTCCTTCTGTTGAAGATCAAAAGAAACGCGGCGTGTTTGCTTTACTTCAGGGGATGCAGACTAGTCCTGATCTAGTTTAGCGTGACACGACCATGCGACAACCATGGCTCTTCCCGCCCAACTATAACATTTCCATCCGGGGTCCCTTGGGAGGCTCCTAGGTGATGTTGGTCGTTTTTCATTGGCATATTTACACTTAACCATACAGGGTGATATGTACATGACAAAAAGATCACGCATCATCCTCGATCACCTCCTTCTCTCTGCCTATGCGAGCTATCTCGATTCTCTACACTGTACGCAAGAACACACACACCAGTTCATAAATGACCTGGAGGACGATTGACGAAACTCGTCCTATCAGACTGCAGTCCCAAATTCTGTCTCTTGCACCTCATCTCGGCAGTTGCAGCTGAATTTCAGGCGGAACTCCGCGCGACTCAGCCCGTTGAGACTTTTCAGAGCCTGTTCACTGGCTTTGACTTTGCCATATCGACCAGAGGATGCAACCGCCTTTGCAACAGTAATGCCGTGTACTATGACTGCTGAGAGCACCTTGGGACTCTCCCCGTCAATAACTGGAAGTGCCCCGGTTTTGAGGCAGTAGTCGCTGCACCGGTACTCCAAGGTTAATTGATTGTGGAGGAATGTCTAGACCTTGTAAGCAGGAACACCTCATAGAAGTCATCAGCAGAAACGGAATTCGGGTAAATCATACCGTAGGATGTCGATTAGCGAAAGTGTCGTAAATCGACATATCCTGGAAGAAATACATGACGTGTTTCTCGAAGAATGCTTCAATCACTGTGTAATCAAAGCCAGAGTCCACGAATATGGCACCGAGGTAAGCCTCTAGCATGTCAGGGAGGCACTAAGTGTTAAGGGTTAGTCATTGTACGCTTTGGGCTTCGAAGGCTGCTTACCTTGGGAGGGTCTGTTGTTGATAGCCAGTAGTCTACCTCCCCTTTGACCTCTTGTTCTGCGACTCGAAGCTCTTCTGTGTAATTGGTGATATTTGCCAGGATAGCATTGCTGAAGTGTTGGAGATGTTTGTGGAGCCCCAGTCTGACTGCCAAAGCACCGAGGAACTTGTTCGACACCATCGCCATCTATCAATCATTAGCAAAAACCAGCGTCACTGCCAAATGAAATTCACTGACTTTGTGTTCTGTGAGCCATTGAGGATCTCGATCGGGGAAACGATGAAACACATGCTCCACGCAAGCCATATCCAGGAGCGCGTCCCCCAAGAATTCAAGGCGTTGATAGCAAGGCACCTTCGCCCAAGCCGAGGGGTAGGATGGATGAGTAAATGCTGACCGTAGAAGACGAGGGTACCTGAACCTATAACCCAAATGTTCGACCTGCTCACATAGATTTTCTTCAAACGCATCAGCCGTCTGTATCTGGTATGATGGAAGGGAGTAGACTGATAGGTAATCTTCCCATGAGGCGGCGGTATGGTTTGGGCTGTTCACGAATACAGTCACAGCTTTGATTGCCATGTCAAATCGATTCCTTTCACTCCCTGACAGCAGTGAAGCTCCAATCAATGCTTCGCAAACGTCCGCAATAGTTTTCTCGGAAAGAGCGTGTCGACTCTCATTGATAACAAATTTAGCATGATCTCGGCCGACTTCAAGTGACACACCCGGAGGGTACCACAAATGACTGTTGAATATGTAAGCTGGACAAGTCTGTATCAATGAGAAAATACTGCCGAATATACGTACCGAGAGAAACCACGACTTCGGATGTACTCGTATAGAGTTTGTTCGTTGGCATTGATGAACAGATTCTTGTTGCAGATAAGACACATTCGGTTGACGTGGTAGTCATATTCATCATCATCTGGCTTTTGCGCAAAGAGTGAAATGGTTGTTGCCAGTTTGAGGACGGAGTCACCCAGAAATTCAAGACGCTCATAATTCTTGCCCATTCCACGCTGGACGTGGATTTGAAGACTCCGATGCTCTTCGGTGTTGTCGGAGTCTTTGGTGAATGCTTCTAGAGCATGTTCAAGCTTGACGTCAAGACCGAGCATTTCACACCCCTCCCTTGCGATCAAATAGGACTCAAGGCGAGATATGATTGCTGGAAAAGCTAAACAAGCTGTGACTATTGATACAGGGATCTGTCATACGTCAGTGTCATGAAGTGCATAACCAAGCAGGAAGCTTGAACTTACGGGAGAGATATTCAAAGCCTGTGGGCAAATAACACATCGCATGCTTTCTGAATCCTCATCCTCCTCTGATACTTTGTCAAGAAAGTTGCGTCGAGGAGATATCAGCTCAACGTCCACGACTGGTTGGCTCCAGTCGCAACGATCGAAAAACTTCAATCGTGAGTTCTTGCTAAGACTCAGCGACCAATTCATGATATCTGTGTCCCATTTTCGGGAGGGCACCCAATATGGGGGCGGATCGGAAGGGCGCAAATGGCGAGCTATGGCAATTGAGAAGTAACGATATTTGCCATTCCAGTCATCGTACATGAATCGATCAATCAGAGACTCAGGTCTCATATTTCTCGACCAAGATATCTCAGGGTTTTCTTGAACGTAGCGTACAGCTTCCCAGTCAATCATCCCCAAGAGATCAGTGGATCCTCCAGGTCCTGCTTTGAGTACCTTTTCCTGAAGGGGGGCAATCCAGTAGGGAAAGTTCTCTAAAACCCGTGAGTAAGTTTTCTTGAATATGTCGTGAAAGACGGCAAGTGTGAAGTCAGTGAGCATTTCTAGCATTGATGCATCAACCTCCAGACACTCATCAATGGTCGAGCAATGAACCGTTGTTTCGACATCGCTGTCTAAGTAAACCGGAAAGATCGGGAACTGTGGAAGTCTATGTCGTGTGAACAGAATGATACTTCCAGGTTCTCGACTCAGAGGCTCGGTTGGAGTAAGACGAATGGCTGTTGCATATAGACGAGTTGGTATGGTTCCGTGTTGATCAAGCCAGATTTGAGGTTTGTTACGCATTGTGTATTGGTCCGTCTTCTTGGAAGTGATGGCAAGCTTGGCGTTACGCATCGCTGGTAGACGTTTTTCGTAAATCGATTTGAAATGATCATCCAGTAAGTTGTTTTTTCGAAGCAGTAGACAGACGTCAAAAGCAGCTGATTGCTTAGCATATGACTTCTTTGCCTCAGGACATCCGATTATTCCTCTAATTGGTGACTTTTCCGGTAGAATGATTTCACAGGCAAATGAATCATTCTCGGGGATGATTATGTACGTGACTCGAGGTGAAATGTCACGTTCGTATTGCTAAAGTGACTTAAATGTTAGTCTCAATCCCAGATCTACAATCCATGACATGATCTCTTACCAACGAGGACGCGAATCTCTCAAGAATAACAACGGCATGTGGGTAGGTTAACTTAGCCCCAGTTTTGGCAACATTGTATGATCTTTTGCGGCCTTCTCCGACCATGATGTTCTCCAAGTCGTCTTCGGGTCCGTATAGCTTTCTGTCTTCCGGCAGCATGTCGCAGAAATTCCTCATGAGAACCTAAAATATTTCAGTCAGCCGGGCTCAACAATAAAATGTTGCTTGCTCATACCTCGGCTTTCTTCACTTCCTGTATCCTCATCTGGTGGTACCGGTTGCGTTCTTCAACCATTGTTGCATACTGTCAAAGATGAGCTTATATATCACGCCGCGCATAGTTAATGCTTACCACAGAGTCAGAATGTCTAGCACGACCTCTACTTTGAACATATTGGATCACTGTGTCATAAAGGTTGAACCTGCGGATGTTAGCAGACAATGTGCTTGATCTTTCTTGAAGATTCAACACACCTCACAACTAGGTTACAGTCGGGGATATCAAGCCCTTCCTCTGCCACCGCTGTTGCGAACTAGCAAGATCAGATCCAGGTCCGCTCACAATTACCGAGAAGACTTACTAGACAGTTGACATTCCCTTTTCGAAAGTTCATCAAAGCAAGAAACTGCTGATTGAGTGTCACATTCTTCCCCACGAGGTCGCCTTTTCGCGCACCGACCAGCAGAGCAGGACGCAAGTTTGGGATTCGTTTCTCTTGACAGAGCTGCAGCAAGACCTTCGCGGTATTTCGTCGCTCTGTGAAGACAATACACTTGTTCTCTGGCCATTTCACGAACTGTTCGCTGAGACTTTTCAACAAAAGCTCAACCTTTGAACTGAGTTCCACTGGCCTGAAAGCATTGTCAGAGATATACTTCCTGACAAACTCACTCGCTTCATTGGCTCGCTTGACGTCACTTTGGGCTTTCTCCAAGACCTGGGGGTCACCACCGGCATCTTTCATGATGCTAGCCTCGAGTTTGGGTAGAACTTCATCAGCGAGGGCCAGGGCCCAGACCTGGTCTGCGCACCATGGCCCTAGTTCAGAGCTTGCGACGTAAGCAAATTGAAAAGTTCCGCTGAGATGCTGCATATCTCCATATCTGCCTTTTAACATAGTGTATAACTCTGTCTCGAATGGCGGTAAAAGCTTTTGATAGACCCATTCCTCTTCAGTTGGTTTGCTCACGTACTGCCGCAGGAGGTCCATATTTGGTGCTGTCGCAATACGGCAATCCATAAGAGTCTCCAGCTGCCTGTTGGGGGTCAGCGAGGCTCAAATAAACAATCTCTCTCAAGTATCCATGGATCTCGCTCGGGGCTCACTCACGTCGCTGCTTCTGCTATGTCACACTTTGCATCAACCGGAGAAGCCGTCATACCAAAGATTCTAGGTCTTCTGGTGGGATCCACATTCAAATAATACTCCCTGATGATCCTAGGTCAATGTAAGCTTTCTGCCGCACTTCAAATCAAGACAATACCGAGTCCATACCGGGCATAAACATGCTCCTTTTTGGTGTGATGCGCCTCGTCGAAAATCAAAAGATTGATCTGGTCAATCTTCACGTGTCCATTGAGCAGAGCGTGGTTCAGAATGTCGGCCGTGAAGACAAACACCATATTGTTCTCGAGATGTTGTTTCCATGTTGTCTTGTCCCAAAGGTCGGGTCCGAGTGCACCATAGAAATAGGCCACCTTCTGGTTGAGATTGCTCCGCAATACTGAAGACTGCTGGAAAACCAAGGTCACACTATCCACCAGGAAGAAGGAAACTCTTGGCTTTGCCCCTTCTGCGCGATCCCGTAACTCCTGCTCCATGATGTGCTTCAGCAGAAGCACCGCAACTAATGTTTTCCCAGAGCCCGTGTCAAGAACTGCAATTGTGTTTTGAGCTTTGGCTTTCTCAAACAGCTGGACTTGATACTCTCGAGGATCTAGTGCTCCAGCCTCGTGACTCTGGTCTGCCATCACCCGTGTGGTGTGAATGTCATTTTGCTCATTTTTGGAAAGGGGCTCCTCTTTGGGGCTGTCGGTCGACTCGTCGACTACGTGCTGCTCGAGTCTGCAAGTCTTAGTGTCAGTAACATTAACATCTGGAGCCTGCGAGATAGACAAACAGGGCAGTAAAAACGGCATTTTGTGATCGGTGTTGGTGTGACTTGTTTGAGTGTAGTTCCACCGGCACGTCAAGTGAATCGGAGTCACTATCATCTGGGTCGCCAGAGATATTGTAAGACATGATTGCCTGAAGGATAGTATTCAAGAGTTGCCGATTTTGGATTGATGTGAGAGCTTTGAAGATGACTTGGAGGGCAGGATTGATGAAAGTTACTGATATTCAGTCTGGGAGTGTTGATGCTGCTGGTTGCTTGCGTTCTTTTCAATGGTAAGTGCGATAGGTGGTAGCGTTTGAGAAAGGAAGTAACGTTTGAGAAAGGAAGTAATGTTTGAGGAAGGGAGTAATGTAAGAGTGAAATCCCGGGAACTTGCAGTCAGACGAAAGAGAGGGCTACGTGCATTCCAAATTGTGATTCTTGCACCTTCCAAGGTTTCATAGATAACCAGGCAAATGAGCATGATACTGGGGTACGAAAGATAGCTTCTTTCCAAGGTTCTTCCACCGGCTAAGTTAGAGAAGACAGGCCTTATGGTAAAGTGTATTATATGGAGAACCTAATGAGAGCTTATTTATTGCAATTCTGCTACAAACCTTGGAGCATGTATAAGTAGCTATCAGGTGTCTAATAAGAAAGATCACTCTGTGGAATTCCCGTAAATTCTCAAGCGCCCTGAATGGCCAGTATATATTCAACAAGATCATGTATCCAGGTGCCCTTTGAGGAGAGCAAAGCTTGGAAGTGATAAATATTCTGAAACTGATTTTGAAAATGCTTCCAAGGCTATAAATAATAGGATCAATTGAGAATATCTTGATTCATGAGTAGCTGGATCAATGACAAAAGTGCTCGAGAAGGTCTAAAATATTACCACCACAAATACTAACATAAATAATTCGGCCTATAGAAGCATCTAGGAAAATAGCTATGGCTAGATATATATAAAAAAGAATAGAACTGGCCTGTAACAGAAATCTAAACAAAAAATGATAATGACACGGTAAAAAAGAAACTAGTCACTCTATATCCTCGAGGACAGTATACAGACCCCAGAGCTCTCCAGGGCTAGATGAGTGATAAGATGAAGCTCCTTATCGTGCTTATCGCATTTCCAAAACTCAGATTTGGATCGCGGGGGACATCAGCCCCCCTTCCGATCCCACCAACGAGTCAAGATGGAAGAACCACAGAGCCTCCGATCCTTATTTGACTCTGCAAAGGAGCAAAAGAACAGTCTGGGGTCGCGTGGCGATACCAACACCGAGACCTACCGTGATGAGGTCAATGCCGCCATTTCAAGGTTCCAAGAATGTCAGCGTCAAGTGAGCATCCTATCACTTTTCAGTTCCAATGAATTGCTGGAGGATGTCTCTACTGGCGATCTTCAGTATGAATTCCTCATGCCCCTTCATTTCGCCGTTTACTCATCTGATCTTGCCGTACAGGTACATGTCGCTGGAATACCACCTTGCCGAGCTCATGCAGCGAGGCGCCACCTCGGATCGTGAAGCTGCTCTTCGACGTGCCCTAGAACAATACGAGAAATACCTGATGCGCCTGGATGAATATATGCTACTCCCTGCTGGAGATAAAAAGCTCTTTGAGCAATACATGACCAATCCGACCTCATTCACCCTGGCACCATCCAACGATGCCGCCGCCCGTCGAGAGATTAAAGTCAATCGATTCAGGGAAGAGAAAGAATTGAAGCAGAAGTTAGAGGTTTGTTGAATCCATCGCAGATCCGCTTGCTCTCGCGCTCACATTGTCTGCAGTACTTTACCCGCAACGAAGCTCGACTGCAAAGCGACGATGACGATACCAGATCACTCTACCTTGCAGAGCTCCAGCTTTATACCCACCAGACATTCCAAGCATTGGATCTACTCATCCAGGAACTGTCGATACTTTCAGCAATGCGCAATGCTCCACCCCGCCCACCACCCACCGATGACCCCAGACAGCGCAGTAACATTGGAGGATTAAATTATTCCGACCGCTTAGATCCTTCAATGTCGCAGCTTCTAGGTAGAGGCCGAGGCGGCCCCATTCTGAACAGCAAAGGAAAGCCGATGCAGCCCTTTACATTGCTGGGCCGACGCTCAGAAATGCAGCAAGGAGTCTTCCGCCCCGGCCATAACCTGCCTACGATGACAATTGAGGATTATCTGGATGAGGAACATAGAAGAGGCAACGTCATTGAAGGAGGTGGAGAGAAGTCCGGCATCAAACCCGAAGTTGATGAGGATGATCATAATATTGCTGACCAAGAGACGTTTAAGGCTCGAGCTTGGGATGAGTACACGGAAGCCAATCCAAAGGGTGCTGGTAACACACTCAATCGGGGATAATCTTGTAATATTTCAAATAGACCAGCCTTGGGGCGTTACCACGAGTCATGGAGCCATGAACGAGGCCTATGGTGGATATACAAGATAAGAAAATCGTTCACTTCATTTTTTGCACAGGGTATATCTGCCTATTCACATTCAACATCTACCAAAATCAAGCAGTGGTGTTCTCCTTGGTCTTGTTCTGCTGGATAGCCTCAAGGATAGCACCAGCGCCATCGGCGACGAGGGCCTCGGCCACAGTGATACCGAAGGCCTCTGCACTCTCAGCAGAGGTGACAGCGGCATCCAGTTCAACATTAGCGCACTCCTTGCCGTCGACACTAACCACAACAGAGCGCATACGCAGCTTTTTCCCCTCGGAGCTTTGGACCCATTCGGTTTCAACTCCCAGCGGGGCACTACAGCCACCCTCCAGGGTACGCAAAAGGCTCCGCTCTGCCAGAACAGAGAAAGTGGTATCTTGATCACCAATGGTGTCCAGCATCTCTTGCAGAACCTTGTCCTCCTTGCGGATTTCAATGCCAAGAGCACCCTGCCCAACAGCGTAGAGCATGCCACTGCTCTTGGAGTCGAGGTATTGTGTGATGCGATCCGCCAGGTCCAAGCGGAGCAGACCCGCGGCGGCAAGAATGATGCAGGTATAGGGGCTATCTTCAGCGTCTAGCTTGGACAGACGGGTACCAATGTTTCCGCGGACATCTTGGACCTTCAGGTGGGGGTATTTCCGGGCCAGCTGCGCGGTGCGCCGGATAGAGGAGGTTCCAACTACGGAGCCAGCGGGGATCTCGGAAAGATTCTTGTATGGCAGGCCTTGTTTCACCACGAGGACATCCCTGCTGTCTTCGCGGGGCATGCTCGGGCCTAGCTTGCAAGAGGAGGGGAGGGTAGTGGGGACATCTGATAAGACAAAAACATGTCAGACTGGACCGAAAACGACTAACTTGTTTGAGATTGAGGCAATTAACGAACCTTTGAGTGAGTGCACGATGAGATCAACTTGTCCGCCGATCATCAGCTCCTCCAATTCCTCCGTCCACAGGTTCTTGGTGGTGAAGTCCCGCAGGGCGATTGTGGTGTTCAGATCGCCAGCGGTTTCTTTGGAGAAGATTTTATATTCATATTGCGGGAAAGCATTCTTTAAAGCGGCCAAGACGAGATCTGTTTGGAGCAAAGCCAATTTAGATTTGCGGGTGCCGATGGTGAAGGTCTTCTGGGCGGGGGCGGGGGCAGCCATTGCGAAAAGCGTATGAGAGAAGCAACTGGAAATGCGCTGCTCTGCAGGACATCAAACAGCCGAGGAGAGGCAAAAAAGTGGGTTCGCCTCTCCGATCACGGGACGCAGATCAGGCAATGTATACGCAGTAGCTGGTAATGTTATGAACCTACGACCTACAGGAAGATCAAGAGTATAGATGTTGCCAGGGCAAAATCGATCGAATCAAATTAGTAGATCCAGAATTAACTCCAAATCTGTAGAAACGGTCAACGCAAAAAGCGGACTTGTGATCGTCGTAGCCTCGGCTTCGGGACGTGGAGATTACGAGACATGCGACTCGCCCTTATCTCCCCCGGACTTCCCAGCTACGCGCTGAAACTCCCTTCCTCCTATAACTCCTTCCCCTCATCCCCTCTCCACATTCCCCATTCCCCATTCCCCCATCTTCTTTTCCCGTGTGTCATCTTTCCCCTTCCAGATTCCCATCTTATTTTCCATCCATAACGGTTCAAGATGGGAACCAATAACCGAACCAAGATCCCTCTCGTTCCTCTCGCCAAGGGCTCGGTACTGCTACCCGGCGTGACCCTTCGTATTCCTGTCTCCAACCGTCCGGATCTTGCCAATCTTCTCTCATCGCTCGTCGACAAGCCTTCGAGACGTGATGCCAATACTATAACCTTCGGATGCGTTCCGCTGAGCTCGCCCTTCCTCAGCCGCGATGGCCAGCAACTTCTTGAGGGCGCAGACTCCGATTCAGACCGGAAGAGCGATTACGACGTGATTGATGCCGGTCAGGCGCGCAAAGAGGATCTTTTCCGCTACGGTACTATAGGAAAGGTCATCGGAGTTCAGCGCCGGGCCTACTCTGAGCCCTTCCTCTTAGTCCAAGGCCAACAAAGATTCTCAATCAAGAAGGTCCTACGTGACCGCCCATACTTTGAAGCTGAGGTGTTTCTTCATGATGAGAGTAGTGAGTATTTCTGGTCAAATTTGAAAAAAAGGAACGTTGCTAATCATATCGCTTGCGGTCAGACTCCGGCCAAACCGACGAAGAGGTGGCGGATCTATTCCAACAATTGAGGCAGCTTTCTAGAGAGCTCCTCACGCTCCTTCGCCTTTCCTCGCTCCTGTCAGCCGCTTCATCTCGCCTCTCGCCACTTGTTGCCCGCAAGTTCGAACTATATATATCTAAGACTGAATTGGCACAGGCAGGGAAGCTGGCCGATTTCATGGCCGATGTCTCCGACGCAAGCTTTGAAGAGAAGCTGCGCATCCTTGCCTCGCTGGATGTCAAAGAACGCTTGACCAGGGTTGTCGAAATCCTTAGCCGACAGGCGCAACACATTAAGAGTAGCGTCAAGGTGACCTCCGTTGGTTCAACCTCCTTCCCGTCGTCCGGAATGGATATAAGCCAGATCGACCCTCGTGAGCGTGAGATTCTCGCAAAGCGTGCGATGTCGGGACTGTCTGGCATGACACCACCTGGAACATCCGGGCGTGGCAATGATGATGATAAAGAGCCTAATGAGGTAGATGAGCTACAGCAGAAGTTGCAAGACGCGCAGCTTAGTCCTGAAGCCCGGAAGGTTGCAGACAAGGAATTGAAACGCCTCCGCAAGATGAACCCTGCCAATGCTGAATACGGTGTCTGTCGCACCTACCTGGAAAATCTTTCGGAAATTCCTTGGACCAAGGTGACCGAGGACCAGCTTGGCCCAGACACATTGAAGCGAGCCAGGAAACAGCTCGATGAGGACCACTACGGTCTAGACCGTATCAAGAAGAGACTCCTTCAATACCTGGCGGTTCTGCGCCTGAAGCAGACGACCAACTTCGACGTCGAGCGTCAGATTGGGGGACTCTCTCGGGACTTGGACTCTTCTGTGGCTGGTGACGTTGAGAAAGATGTGCCTTTGCTTTCCGAGTCTGACCGAGTTGCATTGGAGACCAAGCTTGAGCTTCTGAAGTCCAAGCGCATGACTGACAAGTCCCCCATCCTGCTTCTTGTCGGACCCCCTGGAACTGGTAAGACCAGTTTAGCCAGGTCAGTCGCCGCTTCCCTCGGCCGCAAGTTCCACCGCATCTCTCTTGGCGGTGTCCGAGATGAGGCGGAAATCCGTGGTCACCGACGCACCTATGTTGCTGCCATGCCTGGCCTAGTTGTGAATGGTCTGAAGAAGGTCGGTGTTGCTAACCCTGTAATCTTGCTCGATGAGATTGACAAGGTTGGTGGCGCTAACTTCCAAGGCGACCCATCCGCCGCCATGCTTGAGGTATTGGACCCTGAGCAGAATCACACGTTCACGGACCACTACATCAACATTCCTATTGATCTAAGCAAGGTGCTGTTCCTTGCCACTGCCAATTCTCTGGAAACAATCCCCCCGCCTCTGCTTGATCGCATGGAGACCATCTCTCTATCAGGGTACACGACTGTGGAGAAGCGTCACATCGCCAAGCAACACCTGATTCCCAAGCAGATCAGGTCCAACGGACTTCACGATGATCAGGTTACTTTGTCTGACGAGGTTATTGATAAGACGATCACCTCGTACACTCGTGAATCTGGCGTTCGCAACCTCGAACGGGAGATCGGCTCAATCTGTCGCCACAAGGCTGTTCAATATGCCGATGCCGGTGATGCTGACCGTCTAGATGATTACAACCCTGTTGTATCGGTGGATGATTTGGAGGAGATCTTGGGCATTGAGCGTTTCGAAGAAGAGATCGCTGAAAAGCACGGCCGTCCCGGTGTGGTGACCGGTCTTGTCGCTTACTCTACCGGTGGCCAGGGCAGCATCCTGTTCATCGAAGTGGCAGACATGCCTGGCAACGGACGTGTCCAGCTGACAGGAAAGCTTGGTGACGTGCTGAAGGAATCCGTCGAAGTCGCGCTCACCTGGGTCAAGGCACACTCCTTCGAGCTCGGTCTCACCCATGACCCCAATGAGGATATTATGAAGAGCCGGAGTCTCCACGTCCACTGCCCCTCTGGCGCTATCCCTAAGGATGGACCCTCTGCCGGTCTTGCGCACACCGTCGCATTGATTTCTCTCTTCAGCAACAAGCCTGTGCCCCCACAGATTGCTATGACCGGAGAGGTCTCGCTACGGGGCCGAGTCATGCCTGTCGGCGGTATCAAGGAGAAGCTGATTGGTGCTCATCGCGCGGGAGTCAAGACTGTCTTGCTGCCTGACCACAACCGCAAGGATGTCAAAGATGTGCCGCAGGAAGTGCAGCAAGGGTTGGAAATCATATATGTCAAGTGAGTCTATTCTCCAATCCGATGTCTAAGATCACCACTAACAAACAACTCACAGGCACATCTGGGAGGGGCTTCGTCAAATCTGGCCTGATGCTCAATGGCCAGGTCAGCAGCACATGAACTTTGTCGAGAGTCGTTTGTAGACAAGTTTCTCGGAGTTCCAAGGTTCAGCGCGTCCCTTTTATCCTGTGTCCTAGCATTTTGATCTCCTTCGCCCTTTCTTGCATAGCGTGATATTCGCCTCTCCCGGTCGCAGTGAATTGTATCTAATCTTGTCTTTCTTGCGCCTATGCTTGTTAATACTTTATGTCGATCTATATCTCAACTCATATATTGCATTATAAAGTTCATCATATATGTTCAGTCACCCTCTGCTCCATACGGAAACTTGTAGACCACAAAGCAATACAGAATGAATAAGACGCCAAGTCAAGATGTATACAATCTACCCAAGAGTATAATACACACGCCCGGCCCAAACGGACCAGAAGAGAAAAAGAAACACCAATATTCCAATCAGGAAAACCCAATAATGCACAAGCCATCAAAACAATATGAGAACTTATTTCGGACCAGTCTTCCGCTGTCTAGCATACCAAGCAGGCTGCGTAGCAGGAGGAATACGGCCAGCTTTAGCAGCTTCATGGGGCTCAAGGCCCAAAGCCTTCCAAGTCGGTCTCCAAGTCTCCTTGTTCTCACGCAAAGCCTCAGCCTGCTCCTTGTAGGCAGCACGAAGCTTGTGATCGGGTTCCTCGCCAGAGTTGCGCTTGGGGTTCTCCTTATCCTGCTGCTCCTTCTGCCAGAGCTCAGCCTTCTTCCAGCTCTCGTGCTCGAAGCTATTGGAAATATGTCAGTACAATGTTTTTCAAGCATGAATTGATTGATGTAAAGGATCGGGGAGGGGGCGCGGTGAACGATGCAACTGGGTGGTACATACGGAGCCATATCTTTGGGTGCTTCGGGCCAGGCGAAAGGCTCCTTCAGCTCAACGGTCATGCGCTTCTGCGACTTGGGCCGGCGCCACGGGCCGTAGCCCTTGCCGTCGCGCGTGATTCGTGTGATTCCCTGGGCCTGAACGTAGCTGCGGATACCGAGGACACCGACACCATAGAGGTTCCATAGGTAGCTGCGGAGATCGAACTTGTTGAAGCTGAGGGGGACGCGGAATTGGGCGTATTTCGGGGAGTTGTTGGGGTTATGGACGAGAGCGACGCGGAATTGAGGCCTGTAAAGAAAACAAATCAGCCAGAGTCGCCCTAAAAAGAGGTATGAGTGTGTTCAATTGCAGTTGTGCATTGTGACTGGTGGTGCTGGCGAGATTGATACGGCGTTCTGGAATTTTTGGATAACGTACAAGTAAACCGGCTTGCCGACGATGCCTTTGGGGTGATTGTGGATTACTGCGTTCACGCCGGCTTGCTCTTGCACGCGGCGCAAGGCCTTGCCTCCTATATTGCCGAGACGAACCATTGTGTTGTTGGGTTGAGGTATCTGGGGTTGGAAGGTCTTCGGGTCTCGAATCAAAATGCATTGGCCGATGTGGTCACATGACCAACTATATGCACCAAATATCCTCCGACATCGAAGACGAGCAAGATTTAACCTTGGAAAGTCCATTGGATTAATAAGTGGCACCTATATTCAATACTAGATGACTACCATTTCTTAGATACCAAGACTATTGTAGGGTTGACATTCTCAATTGGGTCTCCTCGAAGAGATGCGATCATTCGATATGAAGTTTTGAAACCTACATATGTGTACTATTACATGCTTGATTCATCGTAACTGGTCGTTAAACAGAGTCTTGAGCCACTGGCATTTATTGTGCCGATGATTCTGAGACTCGAAGTTCCTCTAGTCGCTTGGTGCTGTCATCGACATCTTCAGAGGTTTGGTTCTCATCGGCGTCACTTTCGTCTTCTTCTTCTTCGGATCCAGATTCCTCCTCGTCCGATTCCTCTTCGTCATCCGTGTTCTTGGAACCCTCTCCATCTCCAGTAACGCCAACTTCTTTCATATACAGCTCGAGCTCCTTGGCCATCTTGCGTGAGAATCCGGACGCTTCGACCTCAATATCCAGACGTTTGCCAGGGTTCTTGAGAAGTAACTTTCTTGCTTCCGCAAAGGTCGGGCCCTTCTTATCGCTCACAAACTTGAACTTGCGTCTGAAGTATCGCTTGATACATTCAACATCGCGGTCGAAGTACATCTCAGCATTAGCGTGGTCAACAGACACCATTTGCGGGAAATCGATAAGGACCGGGGTCAGAATCATGTTCTCATCTTCCTCTTCCTCAGTAAGTGGGCCTTTGCCCTTCGCTTCAGGGTCCAACTCCTCCTTGATGAGGATGTTGAACTCGTTGAAGTCACCGTGGATCAGACCGAATCGCGCAAGTTCCAGAATCATGTTCATAAGTTCTGAGTATAATTTGGCCGGGTCGGCAACCTTGGCGATCTGACGAAGAGGGAACGCATCGATGAGACCCATTACGATGGTGTGTCGGTTCTGGGCAATGGGCTCGGGGACGGAGAACCCGTTCTCACGCAATGCTTGCATGAATGCATACTCCTTCATTGCTGCCAGTCGTGACATGTACATCCAGGAAGCCGAGCTGCGGTGACGGAGGTAGTCGCGGTTGGTCTTGATGGTTCGGAAAGAGATACGGCCGAGACGGTGAATCTTCATGATGCGCTGCGCTCCGCTGCTGTGTGCCACCACAATAATGTCTGATTCTTTGCCGACACCAATCTGGTTGCCGACGGAGTAAATGACCTTGGCCTTCTGGTGCGCGTTCAGCGCGAGATAATCCAATCCTCCGTATGCGAGTCGGTAGCCGTCATCTGTTGGAGAGTATATTAGTATCAACATGAGAAAGCAAGAGCAAATGAAATACTCACACTTGGCGTTCTTGACCTTGGCAATCAAATTGATCTTCGCTAGGTTGGAGATAGCGCGGTTCACTCCGCTACCACCCCGGAGGCCGGAAAGGTTCGAGATCAGCGGTGTTGGGACGACCTCATGGTTTCGACTTCCGGCTTCAACCTAGAGTAATCTAGTATTAGCATATGGTCGAATCGCGACATATTCCGAACGGGCGTCGCGGGGCAGAATCAGAGAGGGGCCGATAAGTACCCCAGCAAGAACGCGGAAATCTTCAGAGGTGAGGTAGCGAATAGCCTTGGCGTCGAGCTTCATGGCTTCTAGGAATAAGCGTAATACGCTACCGTCTTCCTAGTTTCCGAAAATAATTGGTTGATCACTAGAATCGCAAAGCAAGTTGTACCAGCTACCTTGCGGCGCCAGAGGAAAAAAGTTGATAAGCCTTTGCCCTAAGCCCTATTTCCTATATGGGACGGGAACCTTGATAGCAACAGCGTCAGCCTCATCCACATCCATGGATGTCTACTGTCCTTGCTGATAACTGGTAACCCAGAGATGCTGCGAAGGTTTGTTCTTTTTAGAGGGGATAATTTTAAATGCAGTTAATTCAACTCGCATGTTTCTACTCTTAACCAGAGTCCCTGGACGCCATGTAAGACCATTCATCCGAGATTTGGGCAATCCAGACAATATAAATGTAACAAATCCATGCTATTCCTCAATTCGTTCTGAATACATTAGATCCAACGATAACCCAGCCACTATACGAGTTTCGCCGGTTGCGAGCAATGGATGAAAATCGGGGAATATCTAGTTTGCTTATTCAGGGCTTTCATAGTCCGGGTTCTTGAGAAGGAAGTTAGCATTGAAGCTGGTCGGAGTTTGGAGGAATACATACCTTGCGCAAGATAACCAGGCCTTCAAGAGTGCTGCTCAGAGCAATATACTGCTCATCCTCAAGCTCGGCTCTCTCACCGTGAGCTAGGAGCACTGGCGTGCTCTGGGTCTGCCATCCGGTGATAGTCTTGGGACGACCGGCTTGACCGACCACATCCACAGCCTGTCCAACGCGGACGTTTACGGTGAGGGGCTGAAGGTCCTCGTCGAGGGTAATAAGGAAGCGGGGGAACATGGCGGTAATGAGGAAGTAGAGCAGGTAGTGATGTTCAGCAAGGATGAACTGCTTTGCGTCGATCAGAGACACAAGCACAGTGAGCAATCCCGCTGCTGAAACACGGGAGAGGACCTGTCGGTCGGTGTGGAAGGGGTTGAGGGTCATAGTACCCTTGCCCATGTGAAGGAGACCTTGGGCAATGCGAACCATGAACAACGAGTTCTGGTCACGATGGTAGTAGCTTGCCAATTGACGGAGGAGCTGTGCAAGACGGGCGTTGTTGGTACCCGCACCACAGAGACCCATGGCGAAGATGGCATTGATGGCAACCTCGTTGTCGTTGTCGTGACTGTACCGAGACAAAGTGTCATAGACCTTCATCTGGGGGTTGCTAGGGCTGATCAAACCCATGGCTAAGGGAACTGCGCGGCGAATGTTGCTAGAGCCGTAGTGCATCAGATGACCGAATTGACGGAGAATCATGTCCTGGCCAACGTCCTCACCCATGGAAATGAGCGAAAGACCGAGAACGGCGTATGATTGAACAAGTTCATCACCCTTGTTCTCCTCCTTCTCCTCAATAATGTCGTTGCAGATGTGGAGGAGCTCCTGCAGCTTGAGTACGGTTCCAGTTCCAGCCCATGCGCATACTGAGGCAAGGACGGAAGTGGGTTTGGCCATGGGGTGGTCAACAGCCTTGAGGATATCCAGAATGACATCAACCTCCTCTTGGCGGCCGAAGTACAGGAGGGCCAGACCAAGGGCCATGAACCTCGTCCACTTGTCCTTAAGCTGCTTCTGACGTTCCTCATCCATCAATGTAGTGGCAATGGCCTCACTGACTTGGTGGTTCGATGAACCAACAAAGATGAGACCAAGTGAGACAGCCGCCATGGCTGAAAGCTGCATGTCTAGCGAGGCATCTTCCACGATGGGAAGAAGAACCTCGAGAAGCTCTTCCTTGTTGGAACCGGCGTACGCAAGACCGAGACCCATGATGGACGCGACTCTCATTTGGACACTCTTAGCCTCAAGGTTATCAGGGTCACTCAGGAGAGCAAGAGCAGGATCGGATTCAAGTCGAACACCGGAGTTCAGAATACCGATAGCAAGCAATGCACCTGCCTTGACCTGGTCCTCATGTGCGTAGGTGAACTTGTCAATCTTATCAAGGCCATCCTCAACATCACGGTGTAGCAGCATACCAAGTGAGGCAGTTGTAGAAAGCATACCGTCATCTTTGGTCTTCCAAACCCAGGGGCCCTTGTCACCTTCGATCAGCATCATCTTATCGTTACCAAAGCCAGCATTAGCAAATGAGTTCACGAAGGCGCTAGCCAAGTTGTGTCGTGCGGAATCAAGGTTTGTGAGACCGGCTCCACGGCTGCTCTCAAGGTGTGTCTTGTAGATGTCCTCAGGCATCTTGGGGTCCAAAATGTTGAGTTCCTTGCCGAGAGACTTGAAATGATTGGGGATGGACGTGTTGTTGAGACATTCAGCCAAAGCCTCTCCCTCTTCATCGTCGGCCGGGAGGTCAAGCCAAATCTGTTGGCGGGCTACAAGGAAGGCCATCTGCTTCTTCAGAGACACGTCTGTCGTCGCATTGATGTCACTTTTGATAAGATCGGTGTCGTTCAGGCGAATGGCGAGCACAATGGCCTGTGAGAGTTTGTTGTAGCGGACGTAGATCTCGTGGGCGGTTCGAAGGAATTGCTGGTCCTCGGGATAGGTGAGGAGATTGACCATGCTGACCATATACAGGCAAACACGAGCATATGTGTTTTCGTCAACAAATTGGGTGATGTCCTCAATTATTTCCAACTCGCTCATAAGATCAACAGCATCGGCTTCGGCATTGTGGCTCAGGAAGTACGGCACCAGAGACAAGGCAAGGTCTACTAGATCTTGAGTGTCCTGGTCTGCGTTCAACCGGTTCTGGTATTCCTGGCCAATCTCCAGAGCAAGGTGGCGAACATATTCATGGCCCCAAGAGCCAAGGTCCTCGGACTTGGCCAAGAGGCGGTATCTGATAGTCTCCAGCTTCTCTTCGTCTCCGTAGGTCATTCCAAGCACCGACATCATATCTGCCAACGAGTTCTGAAGAAATTCGTTAGATCATTTCACAAAGCGGTGTTAAATCTCGACCAACCTTCACAGGGCCTGCAGCCCATTTCTCGTAAAGCCCGGAAAGGTCATCGTAATGCGGTCGGAGGAACTTAAGAGGCTTGGGAACAGCGGTCATAGACGATGTAGAAGTCTTAATGAATGTCTTGATTGCGTCCAATGCAGCCCCGTAGAGTGATGTATCCGGTTCCTATAATGAGTAAAGCAAAGAATTAACGTCATTCTACCATGCGCATGGAACAGAGCGTCATCATACCTTTAAACGCTCGACAAGCATCTCGAGTTCGCTCTTCAATTGCTGATCCTCTTCACTGAGCTCCTCTGTGAATAAATTCAGTCAATAAGCTGCTCTAAATTCATCTCAGGGCACCGAAGCTCTGTTTCAACATTGGCGGATAGAGCGTTATCGCAACGTACCATCTTGAGGCTCTCCATCCTTCTTCTTTGCATCCGCGGGCGCCTTCTCGCCCTTCTCGGCATTCTTGTCGATCTGTTCACGAACATCATCAACCTTGCCCTTGCCCTTGTCGGCGGAGGTTGGCCGTTCGCCCTCGTTGGCCATTTCTGCTGGGGACCAGGTCGGGGAGAGATTGGGTGTGCGAGGCAGAGAATAAGGTTGAGCAAGCGATCAGAAGATACTGTGAAAATGCAGAAAGAGATGGAATTCTGCAAGTAATGAGTGATGCAAGTGGATTGTAAGCTGGTGATGGAGAAGAGCTCGGTCGACTTGGTGCAGCTCCGTCCGAGATCGTATTACATAAGGCGCCAAGCCCTCGTCATTGTTGATTTCCAACGCTTCAACTTCTACTCGATTCTAATATACTGAGATTGCCAGAACTACTACAGCGTGAAAATGCGCAGACGGGAATTTACAATGAAGTCCTAAATTCTATCCAGGGCGGAAAATTTTCAGGCGAGGGACTCAGTGCCTGCTGAGGCACCGCCCAAATTTTATTTCAAAAGCAGAACAAGTCTGCCGAAGATCCATCAGGTTTGCCTTCTTCAGTACATTTCCCATAATGAGCACGGAACTTCTGCCGGTACTCTTTGGTTTGAGCTTCATGTCTTGCAGCATCTAGTAGCTCGCCATTGAATCCAAGTAGAGGTAGGGCATCCAGGTCCGGAAGCCCCAAAGGGAACAGGTCAAGCAAAGGATTAATGGTCGATGCACGGCTAAGAGGGGTCTCAACGGTTTCCAATGGAGTGGCAGAGTCTCCCCCTTTGTCTGGATCGGAGAGACTGCGGTCTCCGAATTCTTCCGGGGGCTGATACAGCTCATTGTGGACGGTTGCGATGGAAGAAGATTTGGTGCCCGGGAAAGACGGATATAGAAGGTAGTAGCCTTTTGCACGGATCATCTCGAGCAGATATTCCATAAAGGCTGGATATCTCTCAGATATCAATTCGATATGAGAGGCCGTTTCGGATCCTGGGGTCGAGAGGCGTTTGGATAAGAACAAGTGAAACTCCTCCCAAACATCCCCAAAGTATAGAGCTGCGTTGCTGTTTGGAGCTTGCCAAATAAAAGAAGGCACAAAGTTTTCTCCATCTTTGGTGGTCATTTCCGGCGGAACGAACGAATCTCTGTTCGTACTTGGTTTGAAAGATGGAAGTTCGAGAGAGATCCCGACCATATTCGGGAATATGTTCTTGGCGCGAGCAGAATGCTTGTAATTCAAAGCTGTGTACTTCAGGTAGTGGAAGAACGAAGATGCCAATTCTGCCTGCGGAGAGAGCACAAGTACATGGGTGGTCTCTGGCTGTAGGGGATAGAATGATTCCACTGTTTGAATGGATGCCTTTGCCGGGTCCATGTGGTGTGACTGAATGCGCCGCCGCAGGGTGATGCGACCTGCAAGCTGGCTCAACGCTTCTGGTTGCCGCAAAAACTGGAGTAACTGTAGATCCACTGACGGAGGAAGTTCTATGGTCAAGCTGGGGATAGACCCTAGGTAATCAGCTGCATCCAAAGACTTCACCAGCCTGATCAAAGACCCAGAAGATTCAGGCGCCGCAACCACCATGTCGATGCGGATTGCATTCCAGGCTAGTACGGGAGTTAGTCATGCCTTAAAGACGATCGATACCAGTATGAAGGAGGGTAACTTACTCTTAAGAGCTGCGCAATCTAAGAATGCCATCCACATGAGATCTCTAGAAACGGCCGGGAGTGCGATGTGAGGAGTATTGCTGTCTCGAGAATGTGCTTCCACCCCCTTTGAGAAGAAGGTATTTTCCCACACTTTTTTCTGAGAAATTATGACCTCAGGTTTTAGGTACATTTGTACAAGGTGCAGAGCCTCTCTGATGGATCTTTCCATGCGGGAATCGGTAGATATAGGCGCAGCATCGGGTCGACCAACTGTCATTCACCACCAAGTCAGCATAAGGTCGTGTGTCAATCGAGGTGTGAATTTACCATGCCATATCAGTGGACACTCGTTGTCCTTGATCCCATTGACTTGTTTGATATCTTGGACCGATATGCCTTCCTTTCCCATCAAAATGAAATGCACATAATTCAGTGGCTGATCGGCCATGCGACAGGCCAGTGGCAGCATATCCGATACGCTGCGCAAGTCCGATGCAGCAAACAACACGGCCCGACTACTCGCTTTGCGATAGTACTTCTGCTGAGGAAGCGAGCGATCTAATTCGGGGAACGTGAGCTTCCCTTCGTAGCCTTTCTCCTTCTGATCCCATATCGGTACCGGGGCTTGCGATACCATTTCCGGCTTGGAAATGGTAGGCACATGGTCTGGTCCAGTCCACTTGGCTAACGTTTCTGCCCTCAGCTTTGCCATCCCCGGATCGTAACGGTCGACTGCGGGTGCCAAGTCCGTCGGCATGTTCTTGAAGAACTCGTAGATGATAAAAAGAGCAACCAATGCGATTATAATCCGACGAGGGCGCGGGAATGCTCTGTGTCGTAGAGGTTGGAAGCGTGCATCGATCGGTCGGTGGTCGTCATCTTTCTTGCCCATCTCTTCGTCGACCCGAAGAGGCATCTTTGCGGGCGCCATACTGTGTGTGCACGCATAGACGCTCGAAGCTAGCACCGTGGGGCTTTTGTTTCTTTATGGCATTGAGCCAGCAATAAACAAATAATTGAGGTGCACTCTTGTTACATCGTCAAGGCGAGAGAATGCAGCGGAGAAAACAATCCCCACAAGCGATGACGCCCCGGCTTCCTTATCGCTCTTATCGGATCTTCACCTTTTTGCCAGCGGCGCGTACGACGAGGTCTGAACTCCTCATCTCTTTGAAATTGATTATATTGATCATGGAAGAAGCGATGGACATTGATATAGCTGATCAGCGTGGCATCAAGCGCGCAGCAGAGGATACTCAACCTCGGGGGCCTCCCAAACCGAAGAAGATCAAGGTGAGCAGACGCGCTTTCAACAATCAATCTCATCTATAATATCGGGGTGGAGACTAATTCTCTCGTAGGCTTTAGATCCTGATGTCGTTAACAAGATTGCTGCTGGGGAAATCATTGTTGCTCCGATGCACGCGCTGAAGGAACTCATTGAGAACGCAGTCGATGCTGGCTCTACCACAATTGAAGTCTTGATTAAAGAAGGAGGTCTGAAGCTACTTCAGATCACCGACAACGGCCACGGAATAGATGTAGGTCTTTTTCTTCATTTTCTCACCACAAAATTGTGGAAGTGTACCTGAGCATGTCACTGACAACAACCAGCGAGATGACCTCCCAATCCTCTGTGAAAGATTCACTACATCCAAGCTCAAAGAGTTCGAGGATCTGACATCTATCGGAACCTATGGCTTCCGAGGTGAAGCTTTGGCTAGTATCAGCCACATAGCGCATCTGACTGTCACTACGAAGACTGCGGGATCTAGTTGTGCCTGGCGAGCACATTATGGAGATGGGAAACTAATCCCTGCCAAACCAGGCCAAAGCTCTGCACCTAAAGCAACTGCCGGGCGAGGAGGAACTCAGATCACAGTAAGCTCAGAGTCCACTGCCAACCTGGCTGTAAGCTAACGTGTTCCGAAGGTCGAGGACCTCTTCTATAATATTCCGACCCGACGAAGAGCATTTCGCTCAGCGAGTGAGGAGTATGCAAAAATTCTTGACGTCGTTGGTCGCTATGCAGTGCATTGCTCTGGGGTCGCCTTTTCATGTCGCAAACATGGAGACTCTGGCGTGAGTATCTCGACCCCCGCTAGCGCAAGCATTGTCGACCGGATTCGCCAAATACACGGCAGTGCCGTGGCAAATGAAGTTGTTGAATTCGAAACAAATGACACAAAGCTTGGGTTCCGTGCATCCGGCCTTGCTACCAATGCCAATTACCATGTCAAAAAGACTTCGATCTTACTTTTCATCAACCATCGAGCAGTTGAGTCGACTGCTCTCAAGAGGGCAATTGAACAGACATATTCATCGTTCTTGCCTAAAGGTGGTCACCCTTTTGTATATCTTGATCTCGAAATTGAACCTCATCGCGTCGACGTCAACGTTCATCCAACAAAGCGTGAAGTGAACTTCCTCAACGAAGATGAAATCATCGAACTTGTCTGCACAGAAATCCGATCTAAGCTTGCGGAGGTAGACTCAAGTCGGACATTCCTGACGCAAAGTCTACTGCCGGGTGTGCCTACCATCGAGTCCCTTCAGGCTGATCAAGATGCATCCAATGAAGTACCAGGCGAGGGTTCAAAAGGGACAGCTGTTCCCAAGACACCTGCAACAGCAAAAAGACCATACGAAAACAACCTCATCAGAACAGACTCCAAAGTCCGCAAAATCACAGCAATGTTAAGCCCAGCAATAGCCTCTCCACGAGATCCATCCAATCCGGATGCGCCTACCGAAACAACCAATCCAGCAACATCAAAACTAGACGACGGTCTCCAGTACGAAACAACAGATCGGCAACCCATAAAGATTGCTCTCGCATCCATCAAAGGCCTGCGCGCCTCCGTTCGCTCGGACATGCACAACTCACTAACAGAGATGTTTGCCTCCCACACCTATGTCGGCCTAGTAGATGAGCGCCGTCGACTAGCAGCAATCCAATCCGGTGTCAAGCTTTACCTAATCGACTACGGCATGGCATGCAAAGAGTTCTTCTACCAAGTCGGGCTAACCGATTTCGGAAACTTCGGCGTGATTCGCCTCGAACCAGCGCCCAAACTGGAAGATCTGCTGAAAATCGGGGCGGAGGCACAAAGACAAGAGCATACCGATGCAGACGCAGAGGAGGCCGATTCGATATTCGAAGATGCGCCGATCAAGGTAGCCCAGACGCTCATCGAACGTCGGGAGATGCTGAACGAGTACTTTTCAATGCAGATCAGTGCGGAAGGCGAGCTGCTTACGATCCCACTCTTACTGAAGGGATATCTGCCTGCGCTGGCCAAGCTACCTCAGTTCCTACTACGCCTGGGTCCGTATGTGAACTGGGATAGCGAGGAAGAATGTTTCCGTACATTCTTGCGTGAGCTTGCTGCGTTCTATACGCCAGAGCAGCTTCCTGTTCTCGAATCTGCGACGGCTACCGCGGATTCTGCGGAGCCGGTGGTAGCCGGTGGCTTGGGGGATGAGGAGGATGCATTCGTGAGGGACCGGCGGGCTCAGATGATCCGCATGTTGGAGTATGCTGTTTTCCCGGCTCTCCGTGCGCGGTTGGTTGCCACGTCACGGTTGCTGCGGGGGGTGGTTGAGGTTGCAGATTTGAAAGGACTGTATCGGGTATTCGAGCGTTGTTGATGGAAGACCGTCTTACCATATTACGCTGTTCCGTACTGTTCGTGATTTATGATTAATGAACTGCCGCGTATTGTTCCATGTGCCATGAACCATGCATGAAGATCTATCCAGAAGACCTTGAGACTATGCATATTTTAGGGAGAAGTTTGGCGACAATGGCGAAGTGCGTTCCTGCCTAGCATGCCAGATACCCTGTCTTTTTCTCCATCCATAAAATGCGACTCTCATTGGTTTCTCTCTTTTTTATAGTATATTTGCGGTTTCAATTGTAAAGCAGCCTGTGCCGGCACCCAAAGCGAATAGACCAATCACCAACGAGGCGTGTGCTCCAAGCTCTGATTTTTGGGAACTTGACATAGAAGGCCAGTCATTCGAGATAAACGGCAGACATCTACAAACCAAAGGTTTTAACTGCGCCAGCCTCCACCAAAACATAAAACATGGACTCAATTCCCTCAAAAGGACCAAGACGATTGAATGAGCGACAGAAAAGAGAGAGGCCAGACATTATGGAAAGCGTCGAGAACAGATTGGCTAGGAAAATATGTAGATATTGAATGCAAGCGATGTATTTGAGAACACATCAGCTTCTATAACCGCATGGGGCTCAGTTATTCCAGAACTGAAGAAAGAATAGATTGCATCAACGATAAGATGTTGAGGATATAAGCAGAAATAATGGTGACACCGTCGGGAGAAGCAGAGGCTAGGAATAGAAACGTTCAAAGAAGACACGAGGTCCATTAGGGACGGAGAAAGAAAAGAAGAACAAAAAAATAATCAACTGGCAAATGAAGAAAAACAAGAACAAGGGAGGAAAAGAAGAAAAAAATATCGTGTCAAACAGAACAAGATATCAGGATTGTGTCGGCATGATGGCAATTTATCCCATTTTCTGAGATCTTCAGTACGCCATGCGCCACAGATCAATCAGCAAGTCGTTCCTTGGTCATAAAAATCATGCAAATTCGTTGTATCATGTCTGGTATGTGCTGCGGAAACACATGCGAGAAAGAAAACAGGTCTTTTTTTCCTGTTGGTTTGAGAATTGAAGGAAGCATTTAGCTCCTTGAGTACGGTTTGTTGAGGAGAGCGATCTCTCGTGTGACATGTTGCCACTCGAGTTCACGTCTTGCTGGTTGATTGCGCTTTTTCATTTGATATTCCTCCCACTGAAGAAGTTCATATCTGTGCACAATGTTAGCAGGATTCGACCGGCTTCCAGCAAAACTACTAACACAAAGCGCAGGTGGGGTTGAATAATCACATTGAGTCGTCGTGCGCGGACAAAGCAACTGAAGCATTGTTAGAAAACAAGTTTAAACGGGGTTAATAAGAAACATACTATGCTCTTGGAAAAGAAAGCTGTTTAGATGCCATGACTTCGGCGATGCAAATACTTGCGGATCTAGAAACACCGACTCGACAGTGGACTAGTGTAGCTGTCCCATCGCGCTTTCCTTTCTCTGTATTTTGTTGTTAGCAAACAGAAAGCGCGATCCGCGAAACAGAACTTGAACTTACCAATAAACTCCAAGCATCGATCAAACTCCTGGCATAGAGGGTCAATGCCGTTGTCTTGGACATTGTCGATGTACATCAGATTATCAGCCCCCCAACTGGCACGATCTGTCTCGGTCCAGTTAACAGCCTCTCCAATGCTGAGCACGCGCTTGATACCGAGTTCCCATAGGAGCTCTGGATTATTTGCATGAGTCAAATTGCCCAAATAAAGATATGGCAGGATGCGGCTAGGGAAGGAGCCATCGATGGCATGGAACCAAGCGGGATCAAGCGCTTTCCCTAGATCGGGGGACTGAACCGCTGGGCTTTCCTGAAGGAGGCGTCCCTGAATGTGGGAGAGGAACGCAACATCTGTTGGGTAGGCAAAAAAGTTACGTTTCCTCTCGCGGTGAAGTCGCAGCCAGGCTTCGTGGGCGGGCACGCCTTCCGCAAACATGAAGTATGCGACTGCCAACAATGAGCTTTCGGTGTAACCGTCGGCGCAGTGAATGAGGATCTTCCGGGGTTTTCCTCTTTGGTTCGTGGAGTCGTCGTCAGTTTCCATCTCTTCCGTTGGAACTTCTGGGTGTGCGAGATAGTATATCCATCTGATAGTGTTGACTATATCCTCAGCCTCACGGGTGTTTCCTGATGGGAGCAAGAGGGAGCCAGATGAGGGAAACTCCATTCGCTGAGGGCCACTCTCAAGTTGCTTGTCAAGCATAGCGAGGTACCGTGGCCCAGGAATGTTGGCCATATCGCTTGCCTCAATAAGAAGGTCATAAGGCTCCTCTTTGGGAACTCTAGATGAGTGAAAATAGTCAGGGGTGTTTCCAAGCCACACATTGGACGAGATTTCGGAAGCTCGAGACATGGTCGCCATTTCCAGGCGCTCCCATTGAACTATGAGCTGTTAGCAAAGAGCCGCATGTCATCACCGGGGCAACCTTACCAAAATCCATGGTTCGACCCGTCAATTGACCTTTTGCGTCAATTGCAACAAGCTCCGGTTGATTTACCGCAATATCGGAAAATTTGTCTGTTGAATTAATTCAGCGAGGGTTCCACACATGACAGGCAAAAGTTGATCACGAACCGGCAAGGATAAAAGTATTGTAAGTCGGTCGCTCCTGCAGAGGATCCATTTTCAGCCTCCAGGCCTGCTGCGCCATTGCAAACTGGTTGGCCAGATCCACAAGTTCTTTTTGGCAACCATCGTCTTCGGCATAAATAACGATATCGGACAGCGCAGCCAGCTTGGCCGTTTGTATTTGGAAGTTCCGCACAGAGAATCCCTCGGGGGATCCGCCAACAAGAACCGAGATGAAGGTGCTAGCACCTCGTTCACGGCAACTGCGCCCTTGATGCGCGCCTTGGACAAGTCGTTACCAAGCTTGACCACGGTGATCCCTCGCCAGCATTTGGGGGTGCGACGCGCGTGGCGCTTGCGACTCGAGAAGAACCCCAGTTGGAGGTGATTATCTTGATGGAGGCCGTGCAACCAAGGGAACATAGTATTTGCGTCGGGCATTGGTTGTGATGCAGCATGCGCGATCGCGGCTGCCAGCTTGGCGCCATCAATGGCATAGACGGCAGGGGATGACGGTCGCCCGATGCGCATAGACTCGTCTGGCGGAGATAGTAACGATGAGGTTCCGTCACTCGAAGTGACTATTGATTGCAAGGAGGGGCTCGGTGGAGATGGACCAGTGGGGCATATTGGGATATGCTTGTTCGGGATGGGACTGGATCGCCGGTTGACCGTCAAGGCAGAAGGGATAGGGGAAGGAGGAGGGGTCGAGTGATGCAGCGCTTGCTGCTGAACGAGCACGGTAGCCATACTGTCAACGGGTTGACCAGACTAGGATACAATGTTGAGGGCAATCGGCCAGACAATTACATCGTATGTGACGGCGGAAGTCACAGCGCTAAAGTAGGGGGTTAACCGAAAGAGCGGACAGTAGAAGCGAAAGAGCATACACAAAAAGAAGATCCAGGTAAGGGAGCAAGAATGTCAAAAGATAAAATGCAGAATGTAGGGTGAGGAGAGGACGCAGAGGGGAAAGATGTGGGACACGATCTCCCTATGTACCCACACAATGTGATTATCTCAAATACAGGCGTACACTTGTACAGGGTAAACGGGGTATTGTATCGACGTACTCAAACGGGGGAATTTGACTCGTGAGGTATTTATCACTCCTTTGATGCGTATCTTTTAACTCAATGGCCCGTCAGTGTTTACTTGCTTCCCCGTCACTTATCGTCATTCCCGACTTCCCCGGGGTGTCCACTGAACAGATGAACAGGGATCCTGACAACTTTTTGATTTGATTGCTGGATAGTAGCGTATAACGGTATAACCAGAGATACGGGGGATTTATAGACCGGCCAATCATCCGAGCTCAGCCATGATGACGCCGAGATTCCTTGATATCGGCCCAGAACCACCGTCTGTGCGCGGGTTTCATCTCCACAAAGAAGTTATTTGACCCCGCTTCCCTTTGGGCTCCACCTCGGATAGAGTCGATTACACTCAACTCGGGGCTATTTTGAGAGCCGTGTTGATAGATTCGAATGTATTCGATACGTGCGATATACTTCATGTATTGAGTACACACGGTATAGAACCATATCCACTAGCTCACGGACAGCCAAACAGCTAACCGTCACTTATCAATGACTGCCACATAACATCATGACCGTCGAAGAATCGATCCACTAATTATGGACCTCACCAGTCAAATGGTACATGCAGGGAACTAACCCCGGATCGCCACAGTGATCCACTCGAGGTGGAGAGTATCAATCTGTACAAGAACGAGACGGATCAAGCCAAACCCGCTAAACGCATGTTGACATGTTTCACGGCCTAAACCTCCAAAGACCTGTCCACGTACCTATATGTAGGCAGGTATACCCAGATGAAAAAAGGTGGCACGACCGGAATTTAGTCTTCTTTCTACCCTCGCGTCTCGCTTGCCATTTCCACTCGGAATCCCCTTTCCCTTGCCCCTCTGATTGGCTACCACTCCCCCAAATATGCTAAACCAACCGTTGCGAGACCGTGTCAGGCGCGTGGATCCAAACCCTCGGGCAAGTCTTCTGCCGATCTTGCCTTTTCTTACTCTCTCTGTAGATCACAGACTATACAAGTATGCAGACTGCGTGGACTTTGGCCCTAGACACACTGTCTAGGGCTGATCTTTTCCTCGGGCACCCCTGAGACGCTTCTGTGTTACCGGGTATTGGCAAGGGTCGTGCCGGGATCGTATCAAGGGAATCGCTTGTGGTGTGCCTGGGACAAACGCGAATCAGCGTCGGCGCGCGTTATTTTCATGAAACCCCCACTAGCCAGAAGGCGCAGGAACTGCATATTGTCGGGAACAGAACGCTACATTCGACATCGGATAAACACGTTGGTTGTCACCTGCCCTCAACATCACTGACTTGCCGGGTTTGCTACCCAACTAGCGGGTTTGCTCGGGTGGGGCCACATGGTACCGCCAACTACTCTACAGATGGAACCTCATGCATACTGCCTCCATGCAGGTCTTTGGAGTCATGCTGCATGCTGCGCCGCCCCATATAGAGGGCTAATATCAGGCGCTATCGCTTCTTATCTGATGTACACATGGCCATATGAACCTGTCAGTGAAGATTCTTGACCCAAATCCCAATTCTCCAATTGGGCCGCATGAACAGCGACCTAATCAGGATTGTCTCAAGCTCTGCATGAGGGATTATGCCGTGCGAGGCGGGTAGCTGCCTTACCTTGTTTCCCTCGCGCTTGCGAGTCATTCGGTACAGCGTTGATACACAGGCCGATATCAAACGTTCGAGAATTGTCTAGTTTTGAGTGATGACGCGCGGCAGATTTGGGACATGCCCAAGGAACCTGGCTTGTCTGGGTTTCCAGGCGCTGGCGGGTGTTGGAACATCCATCGATGGCACTCTACGGAGTACACTCTTTGGGACCGACGTGGCCAGTGCAGGAGCTCGGGCTTTTTCCCAAGTTCTTCACATAGGGGCCCAAGTATGCCAGAACAGGATCACGACATATTACAAGCGTGTGTCAGATGAACCCACAGATCTTTTAGTGTGTACTCCCTACTATTCTCTCAACGGCATGGCGACTAATCGGTCATCGTAGCCTCTCCCGAGTCCGTTCGTTGGCATCGCCCACTCTTGGGCACGAAAGATCGGGTTCCTCGGGTACCCGCGCTCGAAGTAGATCTTTGACAAAAATGAGCACATCCATGCTTCCAGGGGCGTTTCCAAGTTGGAACTAAATGACGCTTCTTACTCTGAATCACTCCGATGGATATATATTGCGCGATGTGGCTTGGAAGAAGTAAACAATCTTGGAACAATAGACCAGAACACCTACAAAACCACCTGAGCGGGCATCGCCCGCACTCACTTTTAGTGTTGTGTTATCTCTCAAGTCAGTATTTCCCAATGCCCATCAAGTGCCCTAAACCACAGTGGCATCAGTGTATTTAAGTGATTGCCAGACTAATGAGCCGTACATATATCAACCCTATAAACTTTATTGCCGCCCATAAAGGGTGTACCTCCGGAAACAACTCTGCGCGATATATAATATCAGTTTAAGTTCTGAACTCACCTCCGACAGGCCTGCTTCCAAGGTTGCGACTCAGCATGCTTATTCTGGCCAAGAACCGACCCGGTATTGGGTATGGATATCAATCTCATATGAAAGTATTCAATCAAACCACGACTAGGGCGCCCCAAGTCTCGATGTGACGACCGGCGTTCACAAATCGTTCCTCAGTTGTGAAGTAGATAGGTTGAGTTCGAGATAGCAGACGATCGCTACGTCATTGTTTGGGTTTGGAAATGAGGGTTTTTTCTTTCACTAATGAACGCAAGGGGTTAGTAACTAACGGACACACTAATTATACAGTAAAGGAGAGAACCGTTCACCGTAAAGAACAGCAAACCCTCAGGTCTGATCAGCGACAAGGACAATTCGCCGAAAGAAAAGAGAACAGAACGAGTTCGATAAGGGAAGACTGTAGGCGGTGGGCAATCAAGGTGTGGCCCAAGCGCGCTCGCTTGTGACGAGTTTCTCCAGGACCTCGCGGATATCAAATCCTCCTTCTCCACATCCGGCGTCGTGGAACTATCTCGGTTTGATCTCAGCACAAGACATGATAGGGAGTGGCCAGTGACGGGCATAGAGTCGTTGCTTCGGCCCCCTCTCGCGATCGCCCTAAGCGGGGTATATCCGACACTCCGAAAGTTGCCTTGTATCAACCCTATTGAAACTCGACTCAAGAAAACTTGTCAAGATGGCGATGAACTTCGTGACATTTAACCAGGACTACAGCTACCTGGCTGTGGGTGAGTGTTTCTTTCACTTTCTTCTTGATTGATGTTTGACTGACCGCATTTGTAGCAACGTCAAAAGGATTTCAGATATTTACCACTGAACCCTTTGCGAAAAGCTATGAAGCCAAGGAAGGAAATATCGCAGTCATTGAGATGCTATTCTCGACTTCTCTAGTGGCCTTAATTCTATCGCCACGGCGACTCCAGATCCAAAACACAAAGGTAAACCCTTGAGCCTATGATCAGTTATCCATGGCTGCCTTGTATATACGCTGGGCTAACATCTGAACTAGCGACAATGCACAATATGCGAGTTAACATTCCCGACTACAGTACTGGCGGTCAAGCTGAATCGCAAGAGACTTGTCATTGTCCTCGAAGATCAAATCTATCTTTATGATATCCAGACCATGAAGCTTTTGTCCACGATCGATACATCACCGAATCCGCAAGGTATGACAGCTCTATCCAAAGTTGGACACCGAGCCCATGCTAACAGAAATTAGCAATTTGCGCCCTGGCGCCATCGTCAGAGAATTGCTACATGGCATATCCACTTCCACAGAAAGCACCTGCCGCTGCCAGCACGCCGGCCCATGCTCCACCTGGAACAACTCATGTGTCTCCCACAACCGGAGACGTTCTGATTTTTGATGCCGTGAAACTAGAAGCCATCAATGTCATTGAAGCTCACCGATCTCCCTTGGCACTCATCGCACTCAATAGCGACGGAACGTTACTGGCCACCGCTTCTGATAAGGGAACCATCATTCGCATCTTCTCAGTGCCAGATGGCCATAAGCTGTACCAGTTCCGACGTGGCTCCATGCCGTCCCGAATTTACAGCATGTCCTTCAACACAACATCGACATTGCTGTGTGTTTCTTCTTCTACGGAGACTGTCCATATCTTCAAGTTGACCCAACAAGGTCCAACTTCAGACGGATCTTCATCGCACTCTCCATCGACCCGAGACCAGACCTCTCCCTCAAGTGGATATGGATATTCACACGACGAAGACGAGACAGGGGATGCAGGATCGGATTCTTCGGCTAGAAAGCACAACGGGACGTTGATGGGGATGCTACGTCGAACATCCCAAAATGTTGGCGGTGCAGTCGCAGCGAGGGTGGGCGGTTATCTTCCAAAGGGAGTCAGTGAGATGTGGGAACCAGCTCGAGATTTCGCTTGGATCAAACTGCCGCGATCAAGCCAAGGCCCTGCTGGAAGTCCTGGTGCTGGGCCGATCAAAAGTGTGGTCGCCATGAGTAGTAACACGCCTCAGGTTATGGTCGTCAGCAGCGATGGCAACTTCTACGTATTCAACATTGATCTTTCTAAAGGTGGAGAAGGGACTTTGACCAAGCAGTATTCGTGAGTGATTCTTTCCCATGCTTGAGACTTGGGAGATGCTAATACTTGCACAGTGTCGTGGATTCAAATGATAGGCTGGGATATACTGCAGAGTACTAAGACTCACCTGGCCAATGTTGCTGCAATTATTCGTTATTTTGTTCTTTAACCACCGCGTCCGATGCCCAGGTGTCTTCACCATGAAGAAATTCTTCTCTTTCATTTTTTTAGCGTCCCAATACTCCTCTTCAGCGTCTTTAGTCAAGATTCGATTGCGTACATTTCTTGCTTGATTTACGCCAATTACCGCCTTTTAGCTATTGTTGCATTTTTCTTTCTTTCTTTTGTAACAACATACTACCGGCATCCTCCACTGCTTGTTCGTTGGCACTCCAGGGCTGTGCTGAGACGTATCCATGGACGCCTCGAGTGCCAGGCTGCTGATATCTGATGATAAGGGCAGCGATCGGACTTGAGCGAAGCTAGATATCGAGAAAGATCAAAGAATACATACAGTAGCATATCCAGAGCAGAACTCTTATGGTCTAATCATGGTTCCAGCTTGGAATCTGGCGCAATATCACCACTCTAGCAACTGAGATAAAAGAGCAAGAGATAAGAAGCTGTCAATTTCAAATCATAACGAGATTAGCAGAGAAAGTAAGAGTTCTTGGGTGTCAAAGCGAATCGTGTAGCGGGTAAACAAAGCAATAACACCGTTGAAAGAGCATCCAGCTGGGTGGGAATCGTAGAATCTTGTATGTATAACCGACTATTTACAATTGAAAAGACATGGCATCGAAACATCTACATGTTTCGTCGGAACTTCTGAGGAATATTGCCCACAACCACCTGCATTTGCTCCAGCTTCTCAAGTCGAAGAGCGGCATCTTCCTCTTCATCGTGCTGTTTGAAATGCTCAATGTCTTCGGGATGAGTCAAGTCCGCCTCGGTGGTATCGTCTCCGTGGAACTTCTCAAAGTGGTGGATCTCGTACTCATACTCAATGTCGCCATGGTGTCCGGGACCGAAGCCCAGGTCGGGCAACCGCTTACCCGCAGCAAAGCCCTCCAGCCAATCCTCTTTGGTGATAAATCCCGTGTTGCCGGGGTCAAACAGCGCGAATACAGTGCGCACAGCGTCTTGTTTCTTGTCTTCACTAACACCCGCATTGGATTGGTCATTCAAGCCATATGTCTTGCGTACTTCATCGTGGGTCCACTGTCCCGAGGAGTCGTAGTCGTGAAGAATGAAGAACGAGGGAGGATCAAAGGATTCGATGTGGTGTTCCTCTACAAACAGAATCGTTAGAATTGCGAGTGTACAGTGAGATAAGTGATACTTTACCCATCATGTGGCGCGTGGCCCAATCGTCGGAGGGAGCTTGGTCACTTGAATGCGAGCCATGGGCATTGGCAAGCCCGCTCAGTGCGAGGAGCCCAGCGGCGAGACCGAGAAATTTGGTAACCATCGTTTATCGTAGCGCAAGAAAGGGAGATTCGTTCAAGTAAGACCAAGAGATCAGTGTACAATGACTTGACCAAACAATCAATGGTGTCCAGACAGCACTCGCCGGCCTGAGCTAGTTTGCAGTGTTTGCACCGACCCGGTCCGTCGGCGGAATTGCAAGATTATTTTGCTGCATTGCATGTTCCCCCATTCAGTACTACATCTTTACCTGCGACGGGCTCCGATAGGAGTCCCATTGATTTTCTCAGTCGATATTCTGGACAGATTTGCTTGAGAGCAATGTCCTGAGGATGCAGGGTTTGTGGTCCCGCGCTGTTTCGACGCAGTCCTCCTGCCGCTGCGTCGGGTGTCTGAGCACTACCGCAAATGGGGTCACTTCACGAGCAGCAACTGCTGCCAGACAGAGACGACTTCGAATTGGCAATTCCGTTACCGCATTATACACCAGCATTTTCGCTGCCGCCGCCCTTGCTGACGCGAGCGTGAAGGACCGACGCCGGAATGATTGGGACGAAAAGATCGCTGCTGTGAAAGCCGAAGTGAGCGAATTGGTGGACGAAGAGCAACGGATTTTGGCATCATTACAATCACGCAGAACAGGCCGAGGACTCGATCGTCTAATACAAGCGAGGGGATTCGGCACTGTCCCACGCTTCCCCCTCGGTCCTCAATCACCACCCGGCTTCAACCAACCAATGAGGGCCTTCCACACCGAGAGGGGCAGGTTCAATGCAGTCGCTGCTCGCATGGCCGAAAATCAGGCAGCGGAGAATGACCCCGAGGTCGACGAAGCCGATGACAGCGAAATATTCCTACCACAAGAGACACTACCCAACTGGGTTTTGGACGATGATCTCCGACTTAAGGCCATACAAAAACTCGCTCTCAGGCAATTTGCTATCCGGATGTTATTGCGGCCTGCAATTGCCCATCGTTACTCTGGAATTTCCATGAACTACGCGGCGGATTTCGAAACTCCCCAGGTCGATGTCTCACAACTCCTGGAAGAGTTGAACCATATTCGCAATCGCTTGTATGCGCTCAAGACCGACCCCAGATCGGTTTTCAGTGATGTGACAGCAGGTTATGCTGCAAGTCAACTCGGCGAGATCCAGCGGGAGCGTGCGAATCTTGATGCCGAACTCACTAATGATATTCGCGCATACACAAGCCAACAGATGTCTCTGCAGGAATTAATCCTGCGGATATCAAACAACATTCTCAGCTCACGGGATCCAGATCGACCCACAGCCTTTAGGCACATGATCATTGCATTTGGCCGGACACGTCAAAATGATCTCGTCGAGATGCTTCTGCGCACATTACTTCCCAATCGGTTTTACCTCAACCCTTCCCTTGTGATAACAATCGTCACGTTCTTCAGAAAATCAAAGAATCTGAAGGATTTCGATCTATTCTTGAAGATGCTGGGTGGAGATGGCTACTCCGTGAATTTGGGGAGCAGGGGCGTTTATAAGCACAGAACGGTCAACGGACTGGATATCATCGTCCCACCGCTGAACAGCACTAATCCTGTGATATATGCCGCTTTGATCGGCGCTGCGCTGCGTTTTGACCAACCTGAGCGAGCTGACGCTTGGCTCCAGGCTGCGCGGAGTGGGGGCTTCTTTGATAGCTGGGAGACTCTCTTCACATATCTTCGCTTCTACAGCCTTCGACGTGACTGGGAGAAGGGTTCGAATGTTTTAAAAAGAGCCGTCACCTACCTTGTGTCATCAACCGATCACCGTCTCGACTCCGTAGAGAGATTACTGGCGCGAATGGTTGGCCTTTGCGATTCCTGTAATCGACTCGATGCATCCGATGCCCTTGTGAAAGCCGCTGTACACAGTGGATTCGACCCAACGCTTTTGTCACGGCAGACAGACGCAGCACCGTTTGTCCACACGGACCCCAATCGATGGTTCAAAGCTGCCAAAACAACTCCAGCAGAGAACATTGACCGCCCGTTGTGGCAGAAGTGCTTTGACTTCTCCAACACCTTTGGCGAATATCTGTGTGAAGCTGGAATACCAGCAGAGAACACATTCACCCAACAGAACGCCAGGCTAGCCAACCAACATGCGGACAACGCCATGTCTGCCGCCCTTGGACACCGTCAAGCCCCCAAAGGCAATAGCCAAGGACCGCAAGGCAACACATCAAATGACGACATCTCCAACCTGAAAGATGAAGTAGCTCACCTCCGCGAGCTCGTTTATGAACTTCGCAAACATCACATCTCCACCTCTTTATCCACCGAGTCCCCTGGTGCGGCCAGCGAAAAGCCTGTTGCTCCTTCTTCCGAAAAGCCCACACCTATCAAGATGTCACACAACAAGGGCGCTTCTGCTAACCGGACTTTCACTACATCATCGACCAAGATCAGTCTGAACAAATCACAAACATCATCCCCGTCTACCCAGATACCCCCAAAACGCAACACGCGGCAAGGAAACCGCGCAACCCACGCATCCGTGGGCAACAACACAGCTCCTATCGCTGAGTCTTCAGCATTCGCCACCTCTCAAATGTGAGCCTTCATTTCTGCAGGCACAACTTACCAGATCGTTGTGAGGATGCTGTTCGCAGTAGAAGATGACGGAGCATTCTTGTACATTACATCATTTTGTTTCAACTAGAGTATATGGGAAACTGTGACACAAGCCACATGTGTACTTATCCAGCCCAAGGCGTTGGTGGTTTCTGCATTCTCCTTCTAGAGCAATTCATATCAGTTACGTTATATCGATTTTAGAACCTCAGGAGGCGTCCATTGATTGCTCCCGATCCCCAGTAGAATCTAGAAGCATGGAACAAAGCGATTCAATAGACAAATAACGGGTGAAAACCATGTCCGAGGTATGTTATGACAAATCTAAGAAGCAGGTAATCTATTTAACATATAGGCATCGTTATTGAGGTAAAAAGTGCAAAGGAAGCGTATCATGCGTGAATTTTAGGCTGAACAAAACAAGTCAATGGTCTATCGGCGCTTCTCGGCGCGCATCTTCTCTTTGCGAGAGAGACGCTCAGCAGCCCTAACGAGGGCAGAGCGCATGTCACCCTTGGGGAAACTCTGGATATCGTAGTAGGTAGGGGCAATATCCTAAATGACGATTAGTCTCTATAAATTGAAGATGGTTAGGTAGGAGGAAACATACCAAGAGCCACTCGGGCTTGACCGCAGTCACTGTACGGATGTAGTTCTTTGACGTGAGAACAAATTCGTTGTACAAAACCCACTCAGCCTCGTGAGCCAACATGGTCGACGGGTGCACAAGAACGTTCTGGTTGTCCTTGATGGTGAGGTACTGGCTCTTGCCACCAGTATCCTTCTTGGCGACTTGCATGAAGAATCCTGCGCAGAGAGCGCGGCGGATGTTTTCATAGTACTTCTTGTCTTCGAAAGGAGTGGAGATCATTTCGAGATCCTCACGCTCCATGATGCGCAGCAGCTGCTGGCGAACATTGTCGGCAGACTGCAGGGATCGAAGAGAGAGGAAGTGATCGTGACACCACTGCTTGGCGTTCTCCTGGGCTTCAGGTCCGCGGTAAGCGTGGTAAACGTTCAGCATTGTGAGATGGTCTCCGTCAGGGTGCTTGAAGAGCTCCTTCATCTCGTCGGCGCGCTTTCTTTGGGCAGCGGGACGAGTGAACACCTGCGGCACAGACAGGAGGGCAGTAATAGACAGGATTTCGTTGGAGCAGTAGAATTCCGGAGAGGAGATGAGCATGACCGCCAGAGCTGGATCAAGAGGGAAGTCGGAGGCCAGGCGACCCAACTGGGTGAGATTTCCATCGTCGTCCAGGCAGGCCAGGTAGTTCAACTCTTCCAATGCTCGCATTAAAGTCTCTGGCGCAGGTGGGTCCATCAGATCGAAGTGAACAAGATCATCAATGCCAAGCTTCTTCAGCTCAAGCACCGTTGACGACAAGTTAGAACGGAGAATTTCGGGGTAAGTAGACTCAATCAATTCCTTCTTGAAGGCGCCTTCGGTGTACAAGCGGAAGCATTTTCCAGGGCGTGTACGACCGGCACGACCGGCACGCTGCTGGGCGGAAGCCTTGGAGATGGGAGAAACCAGGAGCGACTCGACACGGATGCGGGGGTTGTAGATCTTTTGTTTAGAGAATCCGGGGTCCACCACGTAAACGATACCATCAATGGTCAAAGATGTTTCAGCGATGTTGGTAGACACAATGACCTTGCGCCCGGGGCGACCGCCAGGTCGGCGAGGAGGCGGCGCAGGGTCGAAGATGCGTTGCTGCATGTGTGGGGGCAGACTACCATACAATGGGTAGACCTTGATAGGGCCAGCGTCAGCCTCGCGAGTCATCTCGTCACCTTCGAGTGCGATTTTGCGCGAAGCATCCTCAATCTCTTCTTCACCAGTCAAGAACAAAAGGATATCTCCCTCGCCTTCTGTGGCGTGAATCTGCAGCACAGTGCGTACTGCGGCCTCAACGTAGTCTTGCTCAGGCTCAGGGGTGTAGAAAATCTCGACGGGGTGGGTACGACCAGGGACTGCGAGAAGGGGCGCATCCATGAAGTAGCGCTGGAACTTTTGCGCATCCAGAGTAGCAGACATGATAATGATCTTTAAATCGGGGCGACGCACGACAACCTCCTTCAAAAGACCCATCAGGATATCAGTGGCCATGGTTCTTTCGTGAGCCTCGTCAAGCATGATTGTGCTGTAGCGCGACAGGTTGTGATCGTTCATAGCCTCACGCAGAAGCATACCATCGGTCATGTACTTCATGATAGTCTTGGGGCCAGTCATATCCTCAAAACGAATGCTGTAACCGACTTCCTCTCCAAGCTTGACATCCATTTCGGCTGCGACACGCTGAGCGACGGACATGGCAGCCACACGACGGGGCTGGGTACAGGCGACCATCTTGCCCTGGGTTTGTGGGAGATCATCGTACAGGACGAACTGAGGAATCTGGGTAGTCTTTCCGGAACCCGTTTCACCGACGAAGACGAGAATTTGGGATTGCTGGTAAAGTTGCAGGAACTCGTCACTAAATTGAGTCAGTACATCTTTCGAACCCAATGATAACCGGGGACGACTCACCGCTGCTGGTGGACGGGCAGGTCACGACGGCCCTTCAAGATTGAGAAGTATTTGCTGGAGAAAGGTCGGCCACTGAAGGGGTTGATCTCGCCATCCTCAGCCTTCTTGGCCAGCGCGGCGGTGGTTTGGTGTCGCTTGAACTTGGACAACGCCGAACCAGAAGCGTTCTCATTCTCGTACATGTGAGCGAGGTAAGGGTTGTTCTTTGGGTCGGCGTCCATTTTCTGGCGCTTGGCGCGTGAGGCACCTTCGGAGTCGGAGCGGTTGTCGGCCATGTTGGTGTATGGTCGAGAAGCGAAGAACAAACTCGGCGAACAAGAAGTTCAGATACGAAGAAAAAAAATATCAGATAGGAAGGTCGGGCGAGGCGCCACAGTTATCGGCGCGCCACAGTTGTCTATCATTCACCGCCACTTTATTCTGCCGCGCTCCACAAAGGGATTGAGAATCTTTGGCAAGCTTGTTCACAACTCAGGCTGGAATTTCCTTGTGCGCGAGAACTCTTGGTCTTTTGAGGCATTCAAAGTGCCTTACTTGGAGTTGATCTAATCAGTGACTTTGTAGCTGCTAACAAGCTAGCATCGGCGTCTCTTGTCTCGGACCACCCCCACCATTGCGCCGGACTTCACTATGGAGAGCTACAATCCGTCCGAGGACCCTGGTCCAACTTTCTGCGTTGGGCACCATGAACATAACAGACTGGTTACCGTCACCCCGAGGGTGATTCAGAATGTCCACGAAAGCAATGTTAGCTACTTTATCTGATACTATGAGTTTCGAAATCCTAACCTGATTTGGCAGTATGATATGATGACCGTCCCAATCACGACGTCGCATTTCCATTCGCGTGTCTTGGGCTTATTGTCTGCCTACCTGACCAATTTACAACCTGCGACGTATGATGCCGCGGGGACCAGAGCGACTACGGCGAACACCCGTCCGCTGGTTGTGCCATCGCTTTCCAAGGCAGACTCATACCTCACTCCCAATGATGCCACTAGTCAATTGGTTGGAGTCACCAGTAGCTGGATTGATTTGTGCTCCCCTGATCCATTGATTGCGGACTTGTCCCGGCAAGTTCTAATGTTGGAGGTTGCATACGCTGCCTTTTGCGGAATTGGGTATCTCTTGATTCCTGGACCAAAGCTGCACCACGGTGCCCTGCATTCCGAAGGTGTCATTTACTATGCTCGCGCCATTCAGGATGCCTTGAACCTCGGCCCCTACATCCAATTCCATATCTGGTTGCAGATGGTCGACAACCCCGAGACTGAAGTGGACACAATGGGCGACCTGGCGCCCCTAGCCCGCGCGGATTTCCTGGAGCCAGATGACGGGATTCCGCCTAAGGTTGATCCCTTCGGAACCTGGGATGCTTGGGATGCAATCAGAAAGACTTCGAAATACCACACTAGATTGTTCGTTGGTATGGATATATCCCGCTCTGCGCCTTTATTGACTATAGCTTCAAGCTGACACAGACTCCAGCACTCACCATGCCCAAGCAATTACCCTCATTATTCGTGCAGTCACGATGGCACTCCGAGCCTGTGCACTTGCTCACAATCGATGGATCTGCCTTCCTCAAGAACCAAAAGGGATACCCAGTCTTGTCCAAGTCACACCAAGCCTTTATTGCGAAGATGATGCGCCTTCGTACCGCGCCTTGGATTCTGCTCTGTGGCGTTGGCCCCATTCCTGGACTCGAGAACTCCGAGGACCCTGAAAACCACCAGGCCGAATCTGATTACCCAAGCCTGTCTCAGGCTAGCAAAAAGCATCACGATCCAACTCCTCATCTCTCTTACATTCGCAATCTTCAACAGCGCCAGCCAGCGCGCACTGCGATCGAGAGGTTTGGTACTGGGTACCAGGACTATCTGCAAGCACCTCTGCAGCCACTGACTGTCAATCTGGAGAGTATCACATATGAAGTTTTCGAGAAAGATCCTATAAAATATGAGTGGTATGAGAAGGCCATATACAAGGCGTTGAAAGACTGGGCCGAGCAGAAGAAGCCCACGTCCCACCCAGATGGAAAGGTAGTCCTTGCAGTTGTGGGCGCAGGCCGTGGCCCTCTTGTCACTCGTGCTCTCAAGGCCAGCGCCGAGGCTGGTGTTGAGATTGATATGTGGGCTGTGGAAAAGAATCAGAATGCTTTCGTGTTGCTTCAGCGCCACAATGAGACTATTTGGGGTGGTAAGGTTACTCTCGTGCAGTCGGACATGCGCGCCTGGAAGGGCCCTCGCGTGCCGAAGCTATCCACCCAAGAGTCGAAAGCCCCCGTGGGAGAATCTCTCGGTATTGAAGATTCTTTGCTCCACAAGAAGGGCGAGAACGATGAAAGCCACGCATCTACATTTGCGCAACCCCAGGATACTGAGATGTCCTACACTCATGCCGATATCATTGTGTCGGAGTTATTGGGATCCTTCGCAGACAACGAACTCTCCCCAGAATGTCTGGATGGCGTGAACGATTTGATCAACCCTGTGCATGGAATTTCTATTCCAGCCTCGTATTCCGCTCATTTCACACCAGTCTCTGCTCCAAAGTTGCACTCTGATGTCGTGCACCAGACTGTATCTAACCCTGCGGCCCCGGAGACCCCATATGTCGTGATGCTACATGCTATCGATTTCCTTTCCACCACCACCGATACACCCGCATCGACTGAACCCTCCAACTCTGGCGAGAGTAATAGAGCATCTACCCCAACAGCGTCTTTCTCTGCAACTGAGTTCCCAACTCCCTTTGTTCAGACTGCTTGGTCCTTCTCTCATCCGAACCGACACATCCCTGCCCAGTCTCCCATGCAGTCGACTATCTCGAACGCACATAATGTGCGACAGACTCGCCTGACATTCCCTGCTCAAAACCGAGGTGCATGCCACGGCCTTGCAGGCTACTTCGAGACTGTGCTCTACGGAGACGTGGAACTGTCAACTAACCCAGTCACCATGGATGCCAAGAGTGCTAGCATGATCAGCTGGTTCCCCATATATTTCCCCCTGAAAGTCAGTTCCTTAACTACTCTTTCTCTCCGCTGTTTACGACTCTTACTAATTCTTGTCTCCAGACTCCCCTTAATGTCCCCGAAAACGGAGAAATTGTGGCCACTATGTACCGCCAAACCGATGATCGCAAGGTCTGGTATGAATGGATGGTTGAAGTATATGCCCTCGAGCGCATAAACTCATCCAAGCCGATCCCCACGAGCAGCTTGCGAGCTGGGTCTCCCAGCGTGGACAGCTTGAAGACCAAGGAGACTCCCGTCAAGCCATCTCGTGCTAGCCACCGCCGAGTGCGGGTCGGGATCAGTGATCTGCACTCTAGCATCAAGGATGGATGCTTAATGTGAAAACGTGATACGCCGTAAATCAGAAAAAAATATTCGAATAGCAAGCTTTGGAGTTTCCGGGAATGCACTATCAAACAACGAGAGCCGTGAACGCTCGGATGAGCTATCATCTGGGCAATCTATGAAATGATACCGTTTTTTATACAAAATTGCGAAGAGTTACACCCTGTTGGGTCTCTCATATCTTACCAAATCGACGTCATTCAAGATCGGAACTTCGTAAGAGCCCGGGAGAGTCTTGAAACCCGCATATATCAACAAATCAAGCGTAAATTATTGCCCGGATGATCAAGAAATAGCACCGAAGAATTGGAGAACCTGATAAGTATCGCATTTCCAGGGTTTGCAATGCGAGATTAGTCTATAGCATCGAGGAGTGGTTCCAAATTTCGATATTTGAGTACAGAGACATACTTGCTGGCCTCGGGATAAGCCTTGAAAATAGAGTTAAGCTACCCAAGGTTCCTTCCAACCGCCGCAACGGTGCAAATCTCGGTGCTTCCGTGCTTCTTTCTCTGCCTGAAGTCCATGCTGCTCCTCTTGCCATGAGGGCATTGATACAGATACAACACCCGGGCATCACAGAGTACTCCGTACTAAGCTTGGGTTGATTCGAGCTATGACGTACTTAGAAAAAGCACTTTCTCCGCTATAACGGACTCTAATAATCCCCGACTTGCTTCGGCACAGATCTCAACTATCACATCATGTGAGAATCGGCAATGTCCGTGAATCCACCGCGATCCTTCTCGAAAATGACTCAATTTTGAGGAGACATTTCCACGTGTTTTTGGGTTTGAGGATGCTTATTCCTTGAGATATCTCCCAGTCTGTGGATTATCGAAGTGACAGGAGTGTTGCAGAACGACATTGCACCCACAGAATTACAAACCTCGTTACTCAGGCCTGAGGCTGAAGAATGGAAGAGTATGAGAAGGCTCCGATACTCGGACCGGACAGCTGCTATATACATGTGATTTTAAACAATCCTCATGGCAAAAAAGCACGCGGATGTCTCACTCACTTGCCGAAGTGACGGGGACGCGCCCGGAATGAGTTAAGGCCCCGGGCGATCTCCACCGATAACACCCTAGAGGATCGCCAAGCACGATCGATCAGGCATTGGTTCATCGTCAGCGGTTCCTGGTAGCAACCTTATGGAGATGGGATCTGCATCCCATCAATCTTTTACATCTGGAAATTTCTCCGCAAGGTGCCGGTTAAACCGCACACGGGTGAAATTATGCACCAGGATCACGTTCGGAGATATCAGATATCGCAGTCGCTCCGCGGTCAACCACTGGTACACTCTAAGTTTTGTGGGACTCTCCACGGGCATCACTTGGGTCAGCCATGTGCAGCAATGGGTGAGCTGAACATAAAGCCGCGCTCTCCCGCGCGAGCTGGGGTGGACTTCGATCAGATATCGGCATTCCTCGTTCATCATGCGCTTCTCTCTCCTCACTGCCTTGTCCGCTGTGGCTTCTTTGGGTCATGCCCTCCCCAGTACCCTGCAAACTCGAGGTATGTGACTACCAATACTTCACGCGTAGTGGTCACATTGCTCACCCCTTTCTAGACATCTCAGCTGATCAAGTGACCGAATTTGACTTTTGGGTTCAGTATGCTAGCGCTGCATACTACTTGAATGATTACACTGCTCAGACTGGCTACAAGATCAGCTGTGCCAAGGGTAACTGCCCGGATGTCGAGAAGAATGGCGCAACGATCTTCTATGATTTCTCCAAGTAAGCAAATAGAGTCAATTGCTCCAAAATTAGCCAATGCTAACCTTATCCCAGCTCCACCGCTACCGACACCGCCGGATTTATCGCAGTGGATGATACCAACAAGGCCGTCGTTCTTTCTTTCCGTGGTTCCTACTCTGTGCGCAACTGGATTGCCGACGCCTCATTCTTTTACACAAACCCAGGCCTGTGCGATGGCTGTGAAGCCGAGCTTGGTTTCTGGAGTTCTTGGAAGGTCGTTCGCGACGATATCGAGCCCCAGCTCAAGGATGCATTCTCAAAGAACTCCGACTACAACCTGGTCGTCGTAGGCCACAGCCTCGGTGCTGCCATTGCCAGTCTCGCCGTTGCTGATCTCCGGGACAATGGTTACCCATCGGCCAAGCTATATGCCTATGCTGCACCCCGCGTGGCTAACGAGAAACTGGCCAAGTACATTACTGCCCAGGGTAACAATCACCGTTTCACCCACATTGATGACCCCGTCCCCAAGCTGCCTCTTCTGGCTATGGGATATGTGCATATTAGCCCCGAGTACTATATCACGGCTCCTAACAATGCGACCGTCCACGCTTCGGACGTTGAAGTCATCGAGGGAGATGTCTCCTTTAAGGGAAATACTGGCACTGGTGCCCCATCCCTGACAGCCTTCTCTGCTCACCACTGGTACTTCAGAGAGGCTGATGCTGGTATTGGAGCTGGAACTCCATTCAAGCGATCTCTGAACTGAGTTGACTGTGTTTGACCAAACCATATACCGTGGCTCTCTGATTACGCTTTGTGTATATCATACAAGCTAAGCTCACGGACAGATGGAGGAAGATGCAAATAATGTAATTAATGAGGAGAGAGAAAGTAGCACGGCGACAGTGCCTTTCCATTGAATTTGATGTTTGTTGGATATGTACATTTCCACCTTAGTACTTACCGTCTGGACCCTTAGAAACCAAAGCTCTCTTGCATGAATATTTCTCCACTTGTGAAGGCAAACAGCCTCCACCTGGGCAGCTTTCAATCTTTGAAGGTTGTACAACAATCAAACCCACTGCTATCGACCAGCACACTTGCCTGGTCATCTGGCTCCAAAACAAAATAAGCATCCTAAACAAATTTTGATACATAACATCCACTTCAACCTTACCGGCACCCCTACCATTGAACTCCATTCCTATAAGCCTCTACAACACAACAAACGTCGTTACCAGCCTGGAAGACTTTGTCTGCGGCAGCTTATTCTAGGTATGATGGGATTCTTACTACCCAGCTGAACACGACGCTGTACTAGGGAATTTAGCTCAGACTGACCTCGGGATCAGTCCCGTCAGTGGCGGGCCTCGAGAAAACGGACACCAGGCCAGTGGTATAGAGTGTCAGATCCCGAATTGGCTGCACTTTGTATAGCGAGATGTTCCAAGGTTCAGAATATATGTATGAAGCTTCAATTATCAAAGATACTCCCTTTTCAGGATTGTGCTGTTTTTCCGGGTGCATAAGACGGCTGTCTAGTTCAGGACACTCCAGTGATATAAATGAGGATAGGACAGAACTTGAAAGTTAGCAAGGCTAAAATGCAACATTGTAAGCATTATCAAGTGGTCCAGCGACAACAGGCACTGCAGTTTTATCCCTTTGGCCATGCTAATATTTCCATAGTAGCATGATGCCCAAATGCAGTGAACAATATTCGAATATGCCACAAATGTTTTCGGATTTGGAAAATGGCAAACCCATAGAGCAGCAACCTGTCACAGAGAGCAGCGACTTGTCACAGAGAAACCTGGGAAGTTTGGAGTGGTGCCAGACGTATCGGAAGTGAAACTCACCACGCCCTTCACTTTCCCCTTCTCTTAGCATCCCTCCGCTTAGAGCGAACTTTCCTTTCCACAACCGTTTCGTCGCCATCCATTCATCTTCAATCGCAATGTCTACCCCTGCGAAGAACCCTGCCAACACCGGCAACACCGGCGTCAATGACTTCAACAAGCTCGCCGAGCTGAAGCCTGCCGACATCAAGCTCCTCATCTTGGGAACTCTGTGCGTCTCGGGCAAGGTATGTTTCGATCCACTCAGTTCTCGTATTCGGATTTCTCGTATTCGGCTGACTTCAATATCAGATGGACTATGACAAGCTCGCTCGTATCACCGGCTTGAAGAAGACCTCGGCCACTTCCAACTACAACCGCTCCAAGAAGCGCATGTTGGACCTTGTCGGCGGGGACCTCCCTGATGACGCCACCGAGCCCACCAACGCTCCTGATGCCGCTGGTGCCGCTGGTGCCAAGCACCCCTCTCCTGAGGAGACCCCGACCAAGCGATCTCCCATCAAGCGTCGCAAGATTGTGCGCCAGATCGTGTCCTCCGACGCCGACGAGGATTTCGAAGAGCAGGCAATCCAGCGCAAGAAGGACGCTTCGCTCAAGCGTGATGCCTCCAAGCTCGATGACTCCAACTAGGCACATGCGGGCTTGCTGTCTCCCTGCTCCAATGGGATCGACGAATAAGAATTGAGAATTTCAAGAAGGAACAGAAGATGAGTCTGGATAATTAAGGAACTGGTTCGAAGGATTGGGTTTGAGGATCATCGATCTTGTTTTCGTTGCCAGTGAGATATGCCCAGGTGTCCATGCCGTTTGCCATGGTCTTGGGTGGGTAATAATAGTTCCAACAAGTTAATAAAATCAAAGGACCTTCAAAGGCATTCAAAGGTTCCCGGTTTCCAATTGTAGAATCTCGACACAGACGAGCTGCACACTGCTCTTGTTGCCGCAATGTGTTTTCTGCTGGATATCCCAGCCAGAAGTAGGAAGCAGGCGGGTGAAGGGCGAGTAGCTACCAATGTGTCTTCACTGGTGTGTCAAGCCCTTGGTCACGCTGCTCGCAGCCCTGGAGTGATATCATAGCTCTTGGGTCATTTGAAACATTTCTGCTCTGCAACCACAGCTCATGCTGAATGATTACTGACTGGAGATCATCGTGAGCAATTGAAAATCGAATCACAAACTGCGGAGCCTCTGGTCAAGACCTGACCTGACACTGACGCAAGCATCCATCAGGTAGCAACTCATATCGAACTCGAAGGGACTGATGGAAGGTCCTCCGCGATTCCAACTTGTGGTTATCCATCCATTTTCAAGCGTGTGCCCGGTACGCTTCGACAAGCCCTCCACTCTAGCCCAAGCGGAGCTGCATTCAACGCGGGGTACGCCTCCGTGAAGGACTCTTTATACAGGGTGCATTGACGACACCTGCTCCGGTCACACCCCTCTTGCAACCAGCACCATGTATCTGGGACTGAATTGTATAGAGCAGCCCGCAACCAAGGTCTTCCTGGTCCGTGTTGGTGACGGCTATCCCGAAGGGTTGGAGTTGTTTGGGTTGGAGGTGATGTCTTCCGGGATCATTGATGATGACTCTGCGACAGCTTCCATGACCCTTTGGGATGGGTAAGCATGTGGGGAATACTAAGACAAGGTTGATGTCAATCGAGAAGATGATGGTAGTGGATGAGATGAGATGGCCCGGTGCTCCACTCTTCCATGCTATGTGCGTGGCATTATCATGGATGCCGTGCGCTGAGGCTTTTACTCCGTATCATGCCCACAATCACAATTTCCACGCACGCACATGCATACATCAGTCGCACGAGGGCACGTCGCATTACAGGGTCCCAAATACTCTGTACACATGTCCAAAAGGAAGCCTGGAGCCCAAATGCAATGTCTGCCGTGCCTAGAGTTGTGCTGGATCCTTTGGCTGAACTATTTTCGACATTGAATGAGCCCTACATCGCTAGTAGGATCCTCAGATGATTACAACTATTTCCTATCCCTGGGAGGTAGAGGGCTCCCTGAGCGATGATGCATGCCACCTAGATATCGCAGCTCCACGCCCATTCCGTACCACTCCATGTGTCTAGTTCTGGGGGACTAGATACCGGGAAGTTTCAAGGCTGCACCCCGGGGTCCTCATGCCTTTTATTTGGGGGACCCCGGGAGTACTCCCAGGCCACAATTCCAGGTCTTGGACTGAGCAGAAGGCATTTCGACGGTTTCGACCTTCCAAGAATAGGTGCTTTGTTCAATGTGGGAGCTGTGCTTACATTTCAAGCACCCGAATTTACATATCTAGGCCTGCTATATACCTGCCTACGTGGGTTTCCAGATTCTGGATTCTTTGAACCCTTCCAAGGTTAGAGATGCAACTTTATAAGCATGTGGGTCAAATTGCATTCCAGTCTGCATGTACCTACAGTAGGTGCGTGTGTCCAGAAAATCAGCATCCGAAAGAGGACAGATCTACGCATAGTGCGCCTGTCCGGACTCGGCTCTTGTGCCTGATAGGGCATTCATCATGCCGATATAGGATTGCGCCATTGCTCATTGACAGGAGCTAAAGGCTGGAAGGACACAAAGTGCTGTGAACTATGACATACTAGCTTTAGGGCTGGTTCTAAATATGAATGTTCAAGCAATCTAAATAAAGTGTACAAAGTAGCACTGAACCACCCATGCTCTAGAATCACATCATGTATGCTTTTATATTAATATGAAACCGCGGAGAAGGTGTGAACCCCCAGGAACAACCCCTCAACCCCTCCGATTGCATCACACTAGTGTGGTGGGGTTCAGCCAATAAGCGTCATTCTGCCTGGGCGGTGGAGTCAATCACGCCATGGAGCAGTCATGAGCCGATCACTTGTATACATTGGAGGGGTTGCTGTCCTTTCGTATTTGAACCTGTCCTCCGCCTCAATTCTTTCTTCTTCCCAATTATCTCTTTCTCATCTATACAATGGCTGAACGCGCTCCTCCGTGAGTCCCATCCTTGAGCCCTATACTCCAGATTCCCATATACTAACAGCTATTAGCCTCCGTCTTGGCTCTACTGCCCCCGACTTTGATGCTGAGACCTCCAACGGTCCCATCAACTTCCACAACTTCATCGGTGACAAGTGGACCATCCTCTTCTCCCACCCCGATGACTTCACTCCCGTGAGTAGCTCAATGGAGGTTGCATTGGGCATTGACTGACAATGCTTTAAGATCTGTACCACCGAGCTCGGTGCCTTCGCCAAGCTTGAGCCTGAGTTCACTGCTCGCAACACCCAGCTTATCGGTCTGAGTGCCAACAACACTGAGAGCCACCACCGCTGGATCAAGGATATCGATGAGGTTACCGGCTCCAACCTGAAGTTCCCCATCATCTCCGACCCCGAGCGCAAGGTTGCCTACCTCTACGACATGGTTGACTACCAGGACACCACCAACGTCGACTCCAAGGGTCTGGCTCTGACCATCCGCTCCGTCTTCATCATCGACCCCGCCAAGAAAATCCGTCTGACCTTGACTTACCCCGCCTCCACTGGCCGTAACACCGCTGGTATGTCTTTCATCGATGAAACTCTCCGTTGGAGAACAAGTCACTTGCACATGGGAACAATCCGCTAACACACTTCCAGAGGTCCTCCGTGTTCTCGACGCTCTCAAGACCACCGAGAAGCACGGTCTCACCACCCCCATCAACTGGCTTCCCGGTGATGACGTTGTCATCCCCCCTACCATCAGCACCGCTGATGCTAAGGCCAAGTTCGGCGAGATCCGTGAAGTCAAGCCGTACGTTTATCCCCTCCCCGGGTAATTGAATAATAGACCAGGATGCTAACGTGTGACAGTTACCTTCGCTTCACTAGCCTCAAGGAATAAATGGGGACCTCACGACTCGATGCAAAATAGATTCTTAGGGTGCTCGGTTCCTTACTCGGGCGAAGACCCTTTTTTGATACCAATGTGACACGATCTCTGCACAGTTCTCTGACGCTCAATTCAGTTGGCCCCGTTTTTTGGTTGCGTAAATTGTACCAAAATTGTGGAGGTTTCTGGCGAAGCACAACAGCTTTCAGCCTTTTGTAGGGAATCATGCAATGCAATTCTTTCCGTTGTCTGAGAGACATTAATTTGGCTTGCGACTCCACACGTCTTCTGATTAGGTATTTCAAGCCATATTCAACGGCTCCCCCCTAGAGACATGTGTGTCAAAATGGAGGTAATTCGTGATCGAGAAAGCCACCGAGATATTGAGAATAGTGTTGTAATATGATGCAACTTTGAATAGAATTAAGAATATGGGGACAGTCCAAAAAGGAGACCGTGGAGAAGCATCCCGAACACTTGGCATTGTGTCCAAACCCATCTTGGTCTAGGAAAGGGTGAGACCGCTTTTTTTTTTGTGCCGATCGGCATCCACGTATGACAGTTCTGCTACTCTGTCACCTCATGCCGATACCGCCCAGCCTGTCTGGTTTGTCCTCAAAGTCGTCCTTGTGAAACCTGACACCTCGTTGTCGCGGGAAACCTCCTTTTCCCCCCTCGAAACCCCAGCATTCCGCCGCGACACTCTTGCGATCAGCGCCGGGAATATTCTCCGAACCACATCGGTATTAGACGACTAAGACATCACATGCGAGCGACATCGAGTAGACGAAACAAGCCGGCGTCAACGGCTGCCTAAACGATCGGACAGTTGAGTGGAGACCGGTATCTCGCCCGCCATGATGTCGCGAAGCCAGTCAAGTCTGGGCTACATGGATAGCGGCAGAGAGGATTCAGCCCCGGGGGTCTCTCCATCCATGAACCAGCAATCTGCCTCCGGGCCTATCAACCTCTCGGGTCTGGTGTGCAACGTGCGACGAACGACCGGCAAGGAACCTCACCCCCTGGTGGGTGCGACGACGACAATCCTAGGCGACAAGCTATACGTATTCGGAGGCCGGATCCTCTCACGCAGCCGCCCGCAATTGACGTCGGATTTATACGAGTTGGACCTGATCCGCCGCCATTGGACGAAAATCGAACCTGCGGGAGACGTTCCTCCCCCGCGCTACTTTCACAGTGTGTGCGCCCTCGGAGATAACAAATTGGTGTGCTATGGTGGTATGTCGCCTGCGCCAAGCGCGCCTAAGGACCCCGAGAATCCTGAGTCGCAGGCGCAGTCTGAGGTCGTGGTCATGTCGGATATTCATATCTTCGATGTCCCATCGCGGGCTTGGACCCGTGTTGCGGCCTTTGAGTCGCCGCAGGGGCGATATGCACACTGTGCCACAATACTCCCTTCAAGTGCCTGCTTTACCTCCGCTAGCGCACCTTTATCAGCCATTCACCATAACCCTGAATCTTCGTCCCACCAAGGCACTCTTGGTGTAGATATTGATGGCTTTGGAGGTGCAGAGATGGTGGTTGTTGGTGGCCAGGACAGTTCCAATCACTATATTGAACAAATCAGTGTCTTCAACCTGCGAAGTCTGAAGTGGACCAACACTAGCCCACTAGGAAGGAGCTGCGGCGCTTATCGCAGTGTCGTGGCTCCCTTGGTGGGAATGGATGTGTCCGAGATTGGGTCCTCCGCTCCAGATCGCGACTTGCATGAGCCAATTCAGGACAGTGCCGAATCTCCAGGATGTCCTATGTTGATCTACTCCAACTACAATTTCTTAGATGTCAAGCTGGAGCTGCAAGTGCGTCTGCCGGACGGACGCCTTGTCGAACGACCGATGCAAAGCCAAGCTTCTCCTCCGGGACTGCGTTTCCCCAATGGTGGGATCATCAATGGCCACTTTGTTGTTAGCGGCACCTACTTGACTTCCTCCAAGCAGGAATATGCGCTGTGGGCTCTTGACCTGAAGACTTTGACCTGGGGTCGTATTGATGCCGGAGGCTCGGTCTTTGGGCAAGGCAGCTGGAACCGAGGAGTGCTCTGGCCTCGTCGTAACTCATTCGTAATTCTTGGACACCGGAAGCGAAGCCTTGTCGATGATTACAACCACCGACGTATCAATTTCTCGCATGTCTGCCTGGTCGAGCTGGAAGCCTTCGGGCTATACAACAACCCCTGTCGCACTTCCCCAACCTCCGGGTATAAGTCATATAGCTCTTCCACGGTACCTGCATCTCTTCAAAAGAAGTTGACTCAGTTGACATCGGGCGGAAGACCCCTGTCTGCCGCATCAGATGAACTGGGTAAGCTTGCTCAGTCATTGCCGGAGATGGCCGATATGGAGCTGCAGGCTATGGGGGAGAGCGCATCTCTGTCAACTCTCGTGTATTGACTCGGCGCTGGGGTCCTTACTTTATTCAACTCCTGCGTGAGTCGTCCGAAGGTGGAATCGCAGACACGGCAACCCTTCGTCCGGCTCTGATCCACCCGAGTCGCAACTCCAGTATCACTATCACGCCTTCTGTGGGCAACAACAGCAACTACTCAGATGCTACAACACTCGTCAACCAAGGCGCTCCACCAAAGTCTCTGCTCGAGAATTTGGAAGCCCCTTCAGCTCACTCCCTCGCCCCGACCTCCCGACCTCGCGTGCTTTACCTACCCCACACGATCTTGACTCTGCAAGTTCTTGTGCAATATCTCTACACGGCAGCTCTACCAGCTGCAGGTTCCTCCTTGTGCACCCCTCAGATCCTCTGTTCGCTCCTTCAGCTAGCCCGCCCCTATCAAATTGACGGGCTTCTAGAGGCCACCGTCGAAAGACTCCACCAAGTTCTGGACGGACGCAATGCCGCCGCCGTTTTCAATGCTGCCGCAATGGCAGCCGGCGGCGGTCGCGGAACCGGATTCACCGGCGGACCAGGCGGCACGCTCGAGGCTTTGAACGGCGCATACGCAGGCCGCAACGGATCCATCCCCGTAATCGGTGAAAACAGCAACTCTCGCGGGCCCCTGGCGTCCGATTCCTCAGACACCGAGCACGGAGCCTCTGCTTCTGCCAGCAGCAGCACGGGCGACCTGACCAACTTCGCGCGCGGCCTTCCCTCTCTCCGCATCGACACCAGTGTTTCCAACAACTCGCGCCAGCGCAGCAACCGTAACCGCGAAGACTCCATCAGCAATTCCAGCACGGCAACTTCTGTATCAAGTGCTAGCTTCAGCCAGTCGGATTCGGAGTGGGTCAGTGGTGACGAAAGCCGAAGTCGATCCCAGTCTCGTTCCCACCACCGCCGCGGCACAGATACAGAGCTGCGTCGGCCGCAGCGCGAACTCTGGACTGGTGATCTGAGCAGTGTGATTGGTCTACAGAAGCGTGGGCTGCGTGGTCTTATGGAGGGCCGTCGTATGCGTGAGCGCAGCACGAAGCCTGCTAGTACTAGCAGCGCGTCGACATCTATACCTGCTTCGGCTGCCTCCGGTGAAAACTATATTCCAATCCAGGGCGTTGCTAGTTGATTTTCGACATGGCTTCGTCCTACTATCGTCATTTGGCCGTCTTGCTCTTTTTATTGGTTGATTCCTTCTATATACCGGTCCAGCATTTGAACATACATTTCTTTTCTTGCTTTCCACCCCAGCAGGCTGGCAAGGTGGGGAGATCTTAGGAGGCGAATTTCAAAATCTGAACTACGGTGCATTTCTTTGTTTATCTCTGTTTGTTGGGTCTTTTACACATAGTCATGGATATACACGGAGACTCCAGTGTTGGAGCTCTGCAGCTGATGCACTTTCATACCTTGAAAATGAATATATGGTTTCTTTTTCTGACAGAATGGACTCATAGTCGGATGGAGTAAAAACTTCGTATTATTTACAGTGGGAGAAAAGAAAAGAACCCTGTAGAGACAGGAACTCCCAATTAGTCGTACATGCAACTCGCTCTTGAGACAATACCAAATAAGTAACCTTGGAAAATATGCTACTTTTTCTCTACTGCTTGGACAAGTCGCTTAGGGCTCTTGTTGCCATAGACTAGCCAAAATCAGTCAGTACCCAAGCCTTTTGTTGGAATCTTGTTGGTTTCCGAGAACTTACGACGCTCATAGAGAACATATGACGAAACAATAACAATGGGCAGTGCGACAATGGTTGAAAGCCATCTACAAACCATTAGAGCTGGGCAAAGGGGATTGGAAAGGGAACTTACCTGCGCGCAGCAGTCTTGTACTCCTTGGTCTGTCGGATATCCTCAACCCCCTTGGGGATGCGCGGAGGCTGTTGCCGGACCGGGCGCGGAGGACGATTGTTTGGGTCCACAGAGCGGAACCTGTGTTGATCTTTGTAGGATGTCATTCTTGATGTTTGTAAGTTTGGGTTCAAACGGGTTGGCTATAGAAGGCTGTCCTTACATGGCTCGATTGGAGGTTGGACGGCGTGATTTCCGTGAGGGAAGATTTAGTTGGCGTTGGTGCCTTAAGGCATCCAGATTTTGACTACTTGTCTGGTAGTAAATGACTTTGCCAAATTATACAGGACAACATCTCTTTACTACTTGCAATGATTGATCTAGAGCCAGTGAGACTATCTACTGCTGCATCACACAACAGAGGAAATTAGCGGGCGGAGAGATGGTTGCTTGTTCTCAGTCTTCATAGAAGTTTGGTTTATAGATGGGAGGGAACAATCAAAGTAGAACATGTTTGTTTGGCCCTAATGCATCAGACACTAAGAAATTGCAGAAACATTGAGCGAATACAACAGCAAATGATTGTATAATGGGACCAGAAATCTCAAATTGGTTGGAAATCTCGAAGCCTTGACCTTGAAATTGAAAACTAATGTCGAGTAACAGATTGATAAAGTTTCTCTGTGATGAGAGCCTAGAGCTGTAATTCCAAAGGACCTGAAGCAACCTTAAAGCCATGGAAGGTCATCTACAAGTAGCTTTTTGTATACATACGGGGGAGAAATTGCCGAAAAAAAGACCTGCGTGACCTGGGGTTCGATTGCTCGCTGCGCCCCGGCGCCGTTCAAGCCCTGCATCTACTCCAAATCCAATGAGTCACTGCAGCCAGTTAATGGCTGTCATCAGGAGCGCATAGAAAATCAAACTTAATGATGGCATTCTGAGAATTATACCACGCCCATGGACCGCACCAGCTCATGGCAAGGCCTAAAGGGCCCCCGGGTGCATTTAAAAAGGAAATTGTGTACCTACTCTTGGAAATCATCTATTGGTGAAAGTAGAACAACGTATAGATATGCAGATTGGCCGTCACTAAGCGTCGACTACTGCGAGTTAAGTGACGGGGTTCTGCGAGTTAAGTGACGGGGTTCTGCGAGTTAAGTGACGTCGGTGATTCTGAAAAAGACGGAGATGATACTGAACTCCCTAGTATGCATTCGCTAATCATACAAGCAACACAAGAAATAGAAAAAATTGAGCAGGCTTAATACATGTCAGGGCGGCCCCCATTAGGAACGATCAATTCCGCCCAACATTCACTCGATCGTCACTTTTCGCGCACTTGATTTGGGTATTTAGCCCCGGCGCGGGCGGCGCTTGTTCGAGTTTACGGGGGACGGCGCACTCGACAGAGCAGGGGAGGGAGAAGACTTCAAGGCGAGGGACTCGGCGGAAACGGAGACACGCCCAGGGGATGCAGTCTTGACCGGCTTCAAGGTCAAGCGAAGCCGCTGGACCTTAGGCTTGTTGCTCTCAGTGGCAGGAGAGGCAACAGTGCCAGCACGGCCAGACTTTGCCTGGGTCGCGGTGGTCGGCGGAGTAGATGGGGACGAAGAAGAAGGGGCTGCAGGAGCAGGGACGGTTTGGCGACGGCGGCGCTGTGACTTGCGCCCGCCGTTGGGAGCGGGTGTTTGGACTGTGGCGGTGGCAGAGACGGCCTCTTCGCCATTGGTGTCAGCCGGGGCGGGTTCGGTCTGACGGCGCTTGCGCGCACGGGGTTTCTTGTCCTTGACCGGCGGGGCTGAAGCAGGGGCATTAGCCAGCGCGCGCGCCTGCTCTTCCTGCACGTTTTCCGTGGTGAAGGGATTCAGCGCTTCCGCGGGGACATTGCGGCTCCCCATCAATGGGGGAAATCCGTGAGAGTAATCGGCTTCGGCCTGTTGGGTGGACCGAGCCCGCACTGGAGGCCAGGGCAGTCCCTCATAGCCGTAGGAATTGGCTGCGAAGTGAGGATGATAGTTGTCCGGGATGAGCGTGATCTCCTCACCCTGACTATTAACTCGCCCAGTATCTACCCAGCCATCACTGTTGACTTTAATGTCAGATATCTTCTGATTACTCAGAATGCCCACTTCAGTAGTGCCAGTAGTCAGCGGAGCAGGCGAGGTGAGCGTAATCTCAGGCCCCGCTGAGGTGTCTTCATCTGCAACGTCGGCATCGTCGGACTTAGATGATGTGTCCACAGGCAATTCAGCGTCATAATTGGCCTGGTTTCGGCTTTTGTAGAAATCTTCACGGAGCTTCTTGAGGATTTCGCGATGATTGGGTGGAAGTTTGAACCCGGGACTTAGGGCTTCAACGGCGAGGTCCACCAGGAGCTTCGCGGCAACATTGATGTCGACATCGCGATCAAGCGATGTAGCGTCCTTCCGCTGATTTGAATTAGCCATGCGCTTGGAAGTTCTCGTTTTCTTGATCGGTTTCTTGGTGACCTTGTGCTTCGTATCTTTGGCGCCAGGATTGGGTGTTTCCACAGTCGGACTAGAAGCGAGAGTAGTTTGGCGGCGAGTGTTCCTTCTGGATGTTTCAAGAGACTCAATGGCCCTTCTTGTTGGCTTGCGAACTCGGGATGAGTTGCGCATGTCGGATGCGGAAGTAGGGCTTGATGGCCCGTCAGCTGGTGGCTCGGTTTTGAAGCTTCCGATGTATTGATCAAAAGTCCACCCGCCGCTTTCAGCGCTATCTGGAATTTCAAGATCAGATGTTTCTGATGCCTGTTGCTTTGGAGTCGTAAGGGTGGTGGTTCGCCTGGTGCGTCGAGTCCCTTGGTTGGTGGCCGGGGTCTCCACGGTGGGGGTGTAAACGGTCGACAGGCGTGACGGACGTGATTGAAACACCCTTCGCCGTGATGAAGGTGTTTCAGGGGGGTTTGATTGTGTGTAAGGACTTGAAGGGGCTGTTTTGGGACTGTAGAAGCGGATGTTCATGGGATTGTCTTGCGGGGAGGCGGAGGGGATGTTCAGCGTTTTGGCGGATCGAGAAGTTTCATTTGAATTGTTCTGCAGCGGAGGTACTCGTGGGGATCGTCGTGAAGGTGTCAATGTGGGCGCTTTATGTATGCGCCCAGGCATCGACTTACGCGGGCCCTTCTTGGGAGGCATCGTGAATTAGAGCTAAATCGTCCGCGGATGTCAGTTAAGCTGTTTATGTGATTATAACGAATAATGAACAATCCAGGCAGGCAAATCAAGCATGTTAATGACCATTATAAGGTCTCCCAATCATTTAAGGCATGGGTAAAGCTTTATATGGTGGTGGGACATGTAGGGCAAGCCGACGTCAGAAGGCCGGGCTGGAAGGGGAGAACTTGGGGATTAGGGCCCGACACATCGGTGCAGTACTCACGGGACCAAATGCACACCCATCCGCTAAACTTCTCAAAGTAACTATTGAGCTTTTTTGTATTATTCTCAGTGTTGCGGTTGATTTGCGGTGGACAGGGCGCAACCAGCAACGAAGGTCGTTGACAGAAAAGATAAAGTCCACGGGTTAGGGCTTGGTTGATCAACGATCGGCGCTTATCGGCTTGACCCTTCCGCCTTCATTCTGCAACTCCCAGCAACCACGTTGGTTCATAGTTCTACTATTTGACTGTTATCCAATTAATACCAGCTTTTGATTTTCACAATGCATCTGTGGCAGGCCACCGTTCCATTTTGCCTCCTGGCAGCTGCTGCCTTGCCTGGTGCTGCTGCCACGGCTTGGGGCTTTACTGATGCCACCGTGGCCGTTCAACCTAAAGGTGCTGGTATCAATGGAGGCTTCAAGGACCAGTGAGTATTCAAGGTGGAATGAAATGGCATAAGACTAATCCCGAATCCAAATAGACTCAATCCCTCCAAGGCCCTCGCCAAATCCGTCTCCCTCAACGGTGCCGACACCTTACGCGTCACCTTGACAGCTCAAGAAGGAAGCTCTGCGAAGCGGCCACACCAGGCTTTCCTCCTGTTGAAGGATGGCGAAACTGGTCTGGATATATCCTACCCACTCAATGTCAAGGACAATGGAAAATCAAGGGTTGAATTGGTATGTATACCCTGGATCCAACCCCGGCGGCGCAACTAACAGGACCCCAGACCCAGAAGGACCTCCCGATCCAATTCCTCTCACTATCGAGCCCGGTCGATGCGCGCGTTATCCTTGGTGGATTTGGTGATTCTGCTGCTCACGACAGCTCTGTGTTCAAGCTGTCAATCGACCGTAACCCCGACGAGGCTGTGCCGACCGTTGAAACAGAGCGCTATGGCAAGAAGGCCGAGATCCACCACATCTTCAAGGACGCCGCGTCTAGCCCACCACTTGTGATCACACTGGCCTTTGTTGGTCTGGTTATCGCTGCTATTCCTGTTCTCGCTGGCATGGTAAGAGAAACCCCCACAAGCCTCAAAGTGATCCCAGCTAATTCACTCTTCAGTGGCTCTTCCTCGGCGCCAATGTCAACCACCTCCCCACCGCACTCAAGTCGGCCCCTCTCCCTCATGCCGTTTTCCTCGGATCCTTGGTCGCATTCGAGGGTATTTTCTTCCTTTACTACACCTCTTGGAACTTGTTCCAAATTCTTCCCGCGGTGGCCGTTGCCGGCGCTGTCGCATTCGTCAGTGGTAGCCGTGCGCTGGGTGAGGTCCAAGGTCGACGCCTCGCCGGTCTGCGTTAAGTATTATAGGAGGTGTATATCATTCTGGAATGCGATCACGGGCGTGTCGTCGTAGTGCTCCCAGGCTGCAGTTGAGCCTTCCTTCTCACTGCATTGTATCTTAGCTAGCAGCATCTAGCACGTCTCAACAAGATAAAGGATTGACCCCCAATTGATCAGTATTGACTGCCTTTCGCGTTCGTCATTTATATAGTAGCTACGTAGATTAGCTACTGGTCATATATTGTGAAGCTCTGAGATCTCCAAGCAAGAACTTGACATGTAGGCTTCAGTCAGCACCTCATCCAATTGCTGATTTACCTCGAATATATCACAATCGATGATACTATATCTGGTCAGATTGAACATTTCCATTTAAAATGTTATTGTAAGCCAAATTAGGTGCCCAGGTGTTTATTGACACCCACGGGCTGTTTTGACGTCACCTGGAACAACTCGAACGCCAAGGCGACCTCCGCGATTTTTCCCCGACCTCCGCCGCAAAAAGCTTCGAACCTCACCACATCCCACCCACGAACTGTCGCAATGGGCTCCGCCGCTTCCAAGCCCGCAAAGTCGGCCGCTGGTGCAGCTGCCCGCCAATATCCCAAGCAAGCCGCACCTCCTCCCCGCACTGCACGCACAGCTCCCAAAGAAGCCAAGACGCCCACGCCTCCAGCACCCAAACCCAAAGCTAGCCCGCCTCCTCCTCCTCCTCGAGCCCCCGCTCCCCCATCACAAGGCCCAACATATCACTCCAAAGAGAAGGCATCAGGCGTCAAATCAGACGGTAAGATCTTCCGCCCGGTCGTAGAACCAGAACCACCTGCTCGTCACAATACTAACCAGACCAGCGATTGACATGGACGGTCGAGACCCCGACTTCGCCGCCTCCCTCCGCTCCATCGGGCCCGTCGATCCATCCCCCACCTTCTCAAACTCAAGTACCTACAAGGGCCCGGCGCAGTCCATCTTCCCCCAGTCCTCTAACCCGGCCTTGCTAGTCGTGACTGCTCGCCAGCGCCTTACGAAGGCCGCAGACGAAGAGGCTGAGCAGTTTGGTCGCGCTGGTCATTCTGGCCGAACCTTCTTGGATGCCTTGACTATTCAGCAGGTGCTGACCATGCGCGACAAGCAGAAGCAGCGTCCTCGTGAGATCGAGCGCTTTTTGGGCCTGAGGAAGGGAATTTTGGATCGTCTAGGGAAGGACGAGATTGTTTCGCGCATTACTTGACGGATGAGATTATGTTGGGCTTTTCTCTGGGGCGTCTGGGGATCATTGGCGTTGTGTTGCATCTGTATATTAAACATCTTGAATCCCTGCTCATTATAATGCATACTTTTGGCATCTGTGTGGTGTCTCAAAACTCAATCTCGCGCTTTATGGACTTGTGATTCCAAGGTTATTGGTACTAGCTCGCTGGATTCACTGCCATGTAATATTCACTGAATAGAGCATTAAACAAGAGGTACGGAGTGGGATTGCATCGATATTGAGTTCTAGGAACATGTGAAAAGTGCTGCAGGTGAGCATTTATTCTGAAACCTCCAGGAAAGAACCTTGGAAAGTTCAAAGACCCTAGTGAACACGCGGCCGAGGTTCAGGGCTGTCATGTACTAGGCTTCCTTATTTCGTGGATGTTGCAGTCGAATCAACTTTAGATATATATATATATATATTTTTTCTTTTTCTCCCCCAGGACACAAGTAGAAAAAGAAAGTTGATAATTGTTGCATGTTGGTGAGAAGCTTATTGAACTTTATATACAATCCCTACAGGAGTACTGGGATGCTATGTTTGTTTCCGTGGGTGCCAAGTATCAGGGTCCAGGGTCCAGGGTCCAGGGTTTTCGGAAGGTTGATGGAGCAATGATGAAACCAGATACCCCGTAAATGTCAAGAGTTATACTCCAAATGTATTACTCCGTAAATGGGGGCTAAATACTGTAGTCTACCCCGACTCGTGTAGAGGCATTGGGCGCCTAAGTCAAAGATGAGCAATGAGGGGGCCACACATGTCTAAGTTGTCCACCCGTACTTGTACGGTAAGAGAAGGTAAGAGAACAGGTCGCAGCATGCAGGGTCCGCCAAGCCCACCTCAGCCTCAGACCCCCTGTGCTGTCACTCTGAGCTTGAACAGAAGGGTTATCACGAGACCATATACGGAGTACGGAGTAGCTAAACGTTGCCATTCAGTATCGGTGAAGATGTACTTCGTACTTCACACAAGTCGGAAACCTTTCGACTCTTGAAAGATCAGCGTGTAGTCTCCACAAGGCTGTCTCTCACACAGCACGGGAACCCCGACGATCAGGATGATCTTGAATCTGAACGCCTTGTCCCTTCAGGGCCCTTTTCAACGAAAAGCCACGAACCACGGTTACACTCAGACACAAAAATGGAATTGTGGGGACGGGGATCGGGCATTGATGGGCTTCCGGTGCACCGTCACAATTCCCTTTCCCCAGGTTTACTTTATACGAGCAATGCATTAACCCCCTTTTCCAGGGTTGCAGATGAGGATTAGACCATCGGGGCCCAGTATTGTCTCAGCAAGGTCCGAGGGACGAATCGCAGTAGGAGGCAAGGACACCAAAATACATCGTTTAAGACATTAATGTGCGGCAGGGTCCACAACGTGCACAAAATTTGATTCCGAGTCCGTCATAGCCGGAAAGGCCGGTAAATTAAGTCAGACCTTGGAGGCGAAGTTGGAGGGTCTGGGGCCAAAAGGGACGAGAAAAGAAGCCTTGTACTAGTGATGGATCGCGTGGTCCATTTCCTGAACAAGGGATTGTACCCCATTACCTCATTTGTTTCGGTATTTCCCACTCGATACATCTAAGAATAACTTTCATTTCTCAATTCCTTTTTTCTTTCTTTTCAATCCTTTGGGCACTTGCACTCTTTATTGTATCATGACATGAGGCCATCATGTCTATCCTCGCCCTCCTACCACCACTTCCGCCCTTCCTTTTCTCGGCCCTCGTCGTGAGCGGTCTCGCCTCGAAAGCTTTACATATCGCCCTACATATTCGCTCGTTACCCTTCCTCTACTTCGTACTATACTCGCCGACCCTAATTCTTCCCGATGTCTTCGTCATTTTGTGCGCGCGCGTACTGTTGCGCTTCCAGGCGCCGGAAGGTCGATGGCAATGGCTCTCGACCGTGCTGGGTGGGGCACTCTCGTATGTTGACCAACAAAATAAAAACACAAAGACAAAGACAATGGGGATTTTGTGCTAACAGCTGGAGCCAGCTTGATCACATGGGGTGCCTCCTCCATCCAGTTCGGATTCTTCATGCAGACCGGTGCCGAGGTCGCCTGGGCAGCTGGGGGTAGTTTCCTCAGCGATCCAGCCGCCATGAAAATCCTCCTCAGTGGCATCTCCACCGTCTCCGCAGCGGCCACCGTCCTCGGCCTCGTCGCCTGGTTGGCCCATTCGCATCTGTACAACCTCACCGGCCTCGGATTGCAGGCAATCCGAGATCTGTGCGTGGGAAGCTACAGAGCGCGCTATACATTAATTTCTGCTCCTAGGAAATCATGCATGGCCTCCATGGATCTCCGATCGCTCCGCATTATCATTCCCGCTGTCGCCATCTCTGTCTCACTCGTGTTTTTGGAAATTACTCGCCCATCGATTCCATATGACCATCTATCCGGCGCTTTGCCCTTGACATTACTCGATGCGTTCAACAAGAAGACCGCTACTGTGGAGGGATGTCGCGAGCCAGTGGTGCCTTTCCCCGAGTTGAAGTCCTCCCGCCCGCTTTTCCAGCCAGACGCATCTTTCGTGGAACAATGGTCACGAGCGACATGGCTGCCCGAGAACCCGCCAGCAGGTTTCAGCCGCTGGGACATCAGCCCGCACGATCGTGCAGAGAAGGATAACCACTTCTCTTTTGTTTGTGGTAGTGATGAAGGCGGGTTCTTCAACCCGAAGAATGATCCGCTTAAGGTGTCGAACTTGGGCTCTGAAATTTACGAGCCCCTGCAAAAAGCATTCAATGAGCACTCTGTTGAGGTCAATCATGTTGTGCTATTGACCCTTGAAAGCGGTCGTAAGGAGCTCTTCCCTACGCAGCAAGGAACCCCCCTGTTCGATGCTCTTCTGGCCTCTCACAAGAAGCAGAATGTAGATGAAGCAATTGACCGTTTGGTCACAATGACTCCTACCGCCCAACAGCTGACCGGTGAATATGCCACCGATAGCAAGGGCAACAGGGTTGATTTGAGCAATGCTACTTGGGAAAACCCACCTCAAGAAGGGATGGGTGGTCTTAATGTGCGAGGCGCTTTGACTGGAAGCTCTCTGACTTTCAAGAGTGTTTTGGGCAGCCACTGCGGTGTCCACCCACTACCGGTCGACTTGTTAGAAGAGTCGCAGCTTGAGATCTACCAACCATGCTTGCCCCAGATCTTTGATCTGTTCAACTCCGGCAAATCCCAGCCCCATACGAACCAAAGCCAAGCCTCCAGAAGTACTTCCGAGGCCGTGAAGAACCCCTGGAAGTCTGTCTTCATGCAGTCCATCACTGACGACTATGATCGCCAAGATGTGCTCAACGAGAACATGGGCTTCAAGCACAAAGTCGTCAAGAGTGATCTCGAAGGCTCACGTTCGAAGTACAGAGCCAAGGGCAAGGAGATTAATTACTTTGGTTATGCTGAGACCGAACTCCGTCCCTATGTCCGGGATCTCTTCGAGGAGGCGGCAAACAACAAGACCCGCATGTTCCTCTCCCATGTTACTAGCACAACGCATCACCCATGGAGCACACCGGATGACTTCAAGAAGCAACCGTACATGAGTGACCAGGGAAGCATCAACCACGACCTGATGAATAACTACCTGAACGCGGCCCGTTTCGTCGACATCTGGCTCGGTGATATCATGAACATGCTGCAGGAGACCGGCATTGCCAACGAGACTCTTGTTGTCGTTGTTGGAGACCACGGCCAGGCTTTTGGCGAAGACAACAAGGACATGACTGGAACCTACGAGAATGGCCATATTAGTAACTACCGTGTTCCCCTGGTTTTCCACCACCCGCAAATGCCCCGTGTCGATATCACCGCCAACGCAACCGCCCTCTCCATCATCCCGACGATTCTTGATCTCCTCGTCGAGTCGAACTCTCTGGATGAGCGAGACGCTGAAATCGCCTCCGCCATCCTCCCTGAATACCAGGGCCAGTCTCTCCTGCGCCCCTTCCTCTCCTCAGTGGAAGAAAAGCCCCACCACGGTAACCACCCACCTCCACCACCTCCCCCCGGAGCGTGATCTCTCGCAGATCGAAACCCGTTCCAAGCACGATGGCCCACCCAAGCGATTTGTCTGGAACATGGGCCTCATCAACGCCGGAGGTTCCATGCTCTCCATCACAACGGCCGGTATGCCTTACCGCATGATCCTGCCCTTGAAAGAAGAGTTCGAGTATACCTTCACCCATATCGGTGAAGACCCCGGTGAAGCCCACCTCATCAAAGCGTGGACACTGAAATCACTCGTCGAGGAGGTGACCCCCAAGCACGGCGAGGAAGCCGCCATCTGGCTCGAAGATGCCGAGAAGGTCGGCAAGTGGTGGGTCACCGAACAAAAACGCATCTGGGGCTACCGCGAAGCCTAAATCTTATGAACAAAAAAGCAATCAACCGGCCACTTATATAGCCATGTTTTCGACTTTTTCCGGCTATTTCTCCCATTTTCACTTCACTTATCATGATATCTGCAACATCTCGGACTGGCGCTTATACGGAGTTTTCATATCTCATCATTTTCCGTTTTCGAACTGCCCTCCAGGCTTACACTTCTCTTCTCCGACTTGACAGTCATTCTCATCATTGCGGCTCTCTTTTTTGATATTTGAGGGCTTTGCGCTTTGCGCTTTTCCCGTGTATCTGGCCCGGTCTTGCATTTCTACTGTACTTGTAGAGAGTATATGGGAAGAACATTGTACATAGCAGGGATTTCGTTGGGGCTCATGTCTTTCTGCATTAGGGATATTGATGAAAATAATTTAATATTGAATCTTAAGTGATGCTTACCTGGAGTTCATCATTTAGTCGGATAGAACTGTGTTTCGTATCAACATTTATCAGATCGCCCACGGAGGAGCGTTGAAAGCCTGTTGACTCCTTCGCTATATCAATGTAGAGGTTGAACGCAACAGCCCTTGAGCCTGGGACCAGAGGAGGAGGAGGAGGAGGAGGAGGAGGAGGAGGGAGGAAAACGGACCGCGTGCGACTCGTCCGGTTGGGTTGATAATTGAATGAGAACTGCCATGTGGTACAGCCATGGACACTCAGCAAGTCAGCAGGCGAGATACCTGGCAGTTGTAGCTATTTTTCGTACGACTTTGGAAGCGATCAAGTAGATTTGATTGAGAATGAAAGTGTTTTATATTCGAGTACTGTGCGGCTCTGGTCGGCCCGACCCCCTGGAAGTGAAAAGGCATGAGCACACCTTCCAATGAATCTAAGGGCTAGGTAAATTTCTGTGGGCATAGCCTGTGTTCAAATCCGAGGATGGGATCATCCAGTGATAACAGAGCGTGGGGGGTCAATCAAGCCTTCCCTGGAGTCGGGCCCGAGCCAAGCCCGCGATTGAAGATCCCATTGGGATATTAAGCCTATGCTAAGGCCAGGGGTAAGAGCAAAGAGCAACGAAATTCTGTTGACAAGTGTCACGCGGTATGATGAAAGTTAGAACGAGAGCTCGGAATCGCCCGATTAAGTAAGGAGCTCTCTGGAATGGAAGAATTAGACGGTCACGAGACGACCATTTGATAACCCGGGGTGATGGATAAGCAATTTGATCTTCCCGGCAAAAGCAAAGTCGGAGTCTGGACGTGTCTTTGCTAAATTTAGTGTCCCCCGCATAATGATAGCTATTTACTCCGTACTAGGTGCTGACCTTGAAGGTTCTTGAGCCAAGTTACATAATTTTCTTGCCTTGGGGAGTCTGAGATCTGATCAAAGAATGTTTCAAGGCATGTTCGTCAATGACTCAGGTTGTTCATATTTTCGGCATTGGCCCTTCAGACAGGAACGGACCCTAAAGGGTAAAGTAAATCTGCACAAGACCACCTGACTCAGAACTGTAGTTTCTAGAAGACGTGTCGTCTTGGCAGTGAAACCGAATCAATCAAAGTCACCTGAAGAGTGTGGATGAAGACACCAAGAGAAAAAGACACAGAAACCAATTAGTGTGGCGTTGGGGTTCCCCGGGTTCCCAAACAAACGGGTTCCCCGATATAGAATTCCGGGCCCTGAGCCGAGATCGTGAAGTCTGGTGACCAAAAACAGTGGAATTATTTTTTTTTTTTAAAAAAAAACTGTTGATTCAATTTATCGGTTGAGTTACTGGGAATTCATACAGAGGCAAATTTTGACCAGGATAGGGACCAAGATGACAAGACAATGATGAAGATTTGGAAGTAGTCTATGGCTCTTCTGCATAGAATCTTGATATCTTCCATGTCTACTACTCATTGCTTGAGATTCTCCTACGTACCGTGTATTTGCACGGTATACATGGCCACAGCCGTTCAGCCTACATTCCCTGGAGGCCTGGGCCCAATCTGCTGCGCCCTTGGCCCAAATCTGGATTTCCCCTTTGGGCTCCCCAGTTTCTTTCTGCCCACGGGACTCTTGTGCTGGCACACTTTGTGGATTTGGCTTGATAGTTCCGGGCATTTATTCATCACTATTTAAGTAGACTCCATTTCCTCGATCCATGGGTCATCAATTGAATCCCATTCTTCTCTATTCACATTTTGAACAACCAGCGCTCCCAGTTTTTACCGATTTGATACTTTGGATATTGCTCTATATTTCCCTTTGAGAGTTACACAGACTTATACAATGTCTGTCTCCATTGAGGTCACCGATGTCCCTACTGCCCCCAAATCCGACCAGCCTGTCTTGATGGGCCAGAAGTCCAGGATTCCCGAGTTTAGTCTTGCTGGCAAGGTCGTTCTTGTCTCCGGAGCTGCTCGCGGTCTAGGCTTAACCCAAGCAGAGGCTCTCTTAGAAGCTGGCGCGAAGGTCTACGCACTTGACCGTTTGGAAGACCCTGTACGTCCCCAGATAACGACCTCAGAAAACTTGTCGAGTCGAAACCTAACATAAAACCAGGCCCCCGAATTCGAGCAGATCCAACAAAAGGCAAAGGAACTCGGCACCGAGCTACACTACCGCCGCATTGATGTACGTGACACAGAGCTTCTGAACACCGTGATCGAAGCCATCGCCAATGACGAGGGCCGCATGGATGGTCTTGTTGCCGCAGCAGGTATCCAGCAGGAAACACCTGCACTCGAATACTCGGCAAAGGACAGCAACACTATGTTCGAGGTTAATGTCACGGGGGTCTTCATGACATCTCAGGCCGTGGCTAAGCAAATGATTCGCTTTGGGAACGGAGGTAGTATCGCCATGATCGCCTCGATGAGTGGTACCGTTGCCAATCGGGTATGTTCTCAATCCTCCTTTTCATATAGCCATTGACCCGATTCGGTGGCAATATATTCCCTTTTCAAACAGTGTTGTGGCGTGTCACCTACGGCAAATAAGTCATTGGTACTTCGTATAAGTATCTGGGCTTTATGCTAGGGTTCCCCGCTTTTCTGGCACTTCCTCTCCGTTGATTTGGTCGTGAATATCAATCTGACGTATTTTTTGCAGGGTCTGATTTGTCCCGCTTACAACGCTAGCAAAGCTGCCGTTCTCCAGCTTGCTCGAAATCTCGCGGCTGAATGGGGAACTTACAATATTCGCGTCAATACCATCTCTCCTGGCTATATCGTCACTTCTATGGTAGAGAAGCTGTTCGTGGAGTTCCCGGAGCGCCGCGAGCAATGGCCTAAGGAGAACATGCTTGGTCGTCTTTCCCGTCCGGAGGAGTATCGTGGCGCCGCGGTGTTCCTGCTTAGCGATGCCAGCAGTTTCATGACTGGTAGCGACCTCCGCATGGACGGTGGCCACACTGCATGGTAAATTTATTACGATTAATATGATTCGATCTTTGTTCGTTTGTTGGGGATTTTGCCTTTGAGCAGTCTGCGCGTGACCGCTCTATTCTGGTCTCTCATTGCACGGCGTTCTGCTTTCTGGTTGTTTTGAACGTCTGGCAAAGCGTGGGTTTGTTTGGAATTCTTTATCCTTGCTTGGCTTGGACGGCAATAATTGGTTAGTGGACTATGATGACGTTAGACTATCGCTCGAATAATAATATTGTTCCTCCTGTGTCGATCTTATGTCCCAAGTAGATGTAGCCTTGTAGATCTGACCCACCTCAACGTTGACAGATCGGCCCCATACTTTATTTTGTATCAACTACACCTGCGCTTGACTTTGCATTCATCCCTGGTGTGCCTTCTTGATCACTTGAAAACAATTTGCCCCCGGCACGGGAGATCCGAAACTCAGCCCCTCAATTAGCTATCCACTCAAGATGTACCACATAGTGAACAACACCACCTGATCCTCAACAAAGCCGATCGACAGATATATTTTTCTAACTCAAAGATCAAAGATCAGTCAATCGTATGCTTGCTTCATGCATTCATCGCCAGATTTAGTAAACCGAGTAATACATGCATCCCGTGATGCAAACTGTACTCGTCATCCATGCTGTCTAGATCCGCCGAAAGGATATTCTTGTTTCATTGCTCACAGCCATGGAACCGATCACTGCTGACAGTCTGGGGAAACGTGGGGGAGCAGGGACCAAGTGTTGTTTCCGACGGGCTTAGATACCAATCACTTGGCTCGGTTACAGCTGCTTAACCTTGGCTAGCATCGCATGTAAGGGGAATTGGCCTGGCGGCCTTTCTCGGGTGCCAATACTCCGTATATTGATCTCTTCCGACCAACACTCATATAGCATACAGCTTTTCAATCTCATTACTTTGCATTTGATTGAACAAACCGGGTGCCCAGGTGAAGGCTGTTTCCTGGATACTGGAGTGCCGTCGAAAGCATAAGCGTTACGCAGGAGCTACGAAGCCTGAGTATAAGGTCTTCCTTTCTCTATTCTCGTTTTTCACTGCTAGTATTATTTCTTTTTTTTTCTTCTTTTTCATTTGCTCTCTGCTCCCTCAGGGGCAGATTTGATTGTAGAGAGAATTGAGACGTCATGTCAGTCGAAGCGGAGATAGAAGGGAGTATTGATCATACAACTGTTTTGAGTATTGAAGCAGAAAGTACTCTGTAGCGAGTGAGCTTCGTGAAGGGAAGCATGCCTTCACCCTTTACATTGAGAAACAGAAAGGGGAATGTTTCGAGGCTGATCACACCCGTTGCTTCTGCCGCTTTTGCCGCTCTTCCCGCCCCCTCCGATCCTTACGCTCCCGCTGCCTCTACCGCATGTGCTGCACGTGCCGTCTCCGCTTTCTCCGTCTTGTCCGCTTTTCCGCCTGAGCTTCTTAAATCACCATCTCTCATCTCTCACCCCATACATCGATTGCCTGATATGGAGATACAAAGAACCATGAGCACTCACGAAATATAATGCACCAATTTTGGACCACGAAGCATTTTACCCTGCATCAAACAATTTCGAGCATGCGGTATGTGCCGAAAACCAAGAGGCGTGGTCAATGAAGACCAGTTCCCACGGCAGCAAATGGTCAACAGTATCCGGGATTCGGCTTTTGTGCAATCCAAATATTGAAAACAAGGATAGTGGCTAGCTGGACTAGTCTAACAGCATTCATGGAGCGACAATGGGGCTCGTTCACAAGAATTAGCGACGAATACCAATTTGCATCTGTTTACTCAATTTTCGGGCTATGCTTCTCCTTCAACCCCAAAGGCAACAACAAAAAACTAAATATACTCGAGGGTCCAAGATTGTTGGCAATATTGTACGGAGTATGACTTCCAATGTTTATCGATGCAGAGCTTTCGGCAAACCAACAGTAGATTGACATGAGTGGGCTCGAGGATCGTCAGGCTACTTACAGCCTCTCGCTTGATATTAACCCATCCCCCAAATCACTACGGAGTAGTACGGAGTAGGTTTAAACAGTAATCGCAGGACTAGAGGATACAGTTGGCGCCCTGGACCAAAAATATTTACCAACTCCTCAAGATCCTATAGATCAGAAAACCGGATGCGAAATGGAAAAGAGAGCCCAACTATCGGGCCCACTTCGGAAGAGGCGCCACAATTCTAGGCTGCTTTAATTTGTTTTATGCGCCTTCATTACGGGTCTTCCGGCTCTTTTGGGGCAATCGAGGTTTTTTATACGAACACGATATGCCCGTTTAAATTCCGATTCCACACGTTCATTAGGCCCCCCTCCTGACCGACTCTTTCCCAGTCAATTTAGGCATCTGTGTTTTAAAGTCTATAATTGGACACAGTCATTTCAAACTCTGCCGTGGAGTCTCATCGAAGAAACTTGTGCGGATACTCTCTAGGGCTGTATACCTGCACGGAGTAACGTTACGGAGTAGTTACTCGGTACAGCTGATGACTGTCAGCACCTGCGTTGTATGTATGCAGGGCTAACACACAGCCTGACCTCAGCCCTGCGCCTCCCTGGAATGCAATATCGCAACAAAAACAGTCTAGTGTACTCCAATATTGGTTGGAATGTTTTAGTCAAAGATCATAATTAGCATAATTGCAACGCAAATGTTAGTCGGAGCTCCCGGCGCCGACTTTGACATCACTAACACCCCACTAGCTCGAAGCCCACTCGCTGTCCCTTCATTGGCGATCCTCGGGACCCAATCTGCACTATGAATGTGCTAAGAACATGCCGAGAACTCCTTTCTCCATGACTTGGCTAAGCTTCCGGCGGGCCCGGTGCATAAGAGTCTCCTAGGCCCTTCACTTTGAAAGGCTCATGTTTGTTTGCTTTTCCTCCCTACCACTTGATTGCCATGAAGTCTACTCTGATTGGCTCGATCGCTTTGGCCTTGTTGCCTGGTAAGTAATTAGCGTTCGCTGAACTCGGGAGGCTTGTTTTGAAAGTCTCCAGTCTCGGTGACAATGGGGCACATGAATCACGCATGCTAACTGAACGTAGGCGCGATCGCCTCCCCCGGTGGTTTCAACCCGGACAACATCGTCTTCGCGCAACGCGCACTCCCCGACGCGCCCGACGGATATGTGCCAACCTCGGTCAGCTGCCCAGCGACCCGACCGACAGTTCGCAGCGCAGCGAAGCTCTCCTCCAACGAGACATCATGGCTCAAGGGCCGTCGTGAGAAGGCTCTCACCGGCCTGAAGGACTTCTTTGGGCATGTGACCGTCGGCGACTACGATGTCGCATCTTACCTGGACAACCACTCCTCCAATATCTCGAACATCCCTAATATCGGTATTGCTGTGTCGGGTGGTGGCTACCGTGCGTTGATGAACGGCGCTGGTGCTATCAAGGCCTACGATAGTCGAACCAACAACGCGTCGACGAGTGGACACTTGGGTGGTTTGCTGCAGTCTGCTACCTATGTCGCTGGTCTGAGTGGAGGCAGTTGGTTGCTGGGATCCATCTACATCAACAACTTCACTACCATCGACAAGTTACAAACGCATGAAGATGGTGCCGTCTGGCAGTTCGGAAACTCGATCCTCGAAGGACCCAAATCTGGCAGCATCCAGATCTTGGACTCGGCGAGCTACTACAAGGACCTCGCTGAGGCTGTCAACTCGAAGAAGGACGCTGGCTTTGACACCTCTCTCACCGATATCTGGGGTCGCGCACTCGCATATCAGATGTTCAATGCTTCCAATGGTGCCATAAGCTACACCTGGTCGTCTATTGCTGATACCTCTGATTTCCAAGATGGCAACTATCCCATGCCACTGGTTGTCGCGGATGGACGTAACCCAGGTGAACTTGTCGTCGGTAGCAACTCGACCGTCTACGAATTCAACCCTTGGGAGTTTGGTACCTTCGATCCCACCATCCATGGTTTTGTTCCTCTCAAATACCTGGGATCTCGCTTTGAGGGCGGCTCTCTTCCCGACAACGAGAGCTGCATCAGCGGCTTTGACAGTGCTGGATTCATTATTGGAACCTCCTCCACCCTCTTCAACCAGTTCCTTCTCCAAATCAACACCACTTCGCTTCCTAGTTTTGTGAAGAGTGTATTCACCGACCTCCTCACTAAGCTTGACAAGTCTGATGATGATATTGCGGCATACGACCCCAACCCCTTCTACCACTACAACAACGACTCGTCGCCATATGCTCGCCAAACTGAGCTGGATGTCGTCGACGGTGGTGAGGATGGACAAAATGTGCCTCTGCACCCTCTTATCCAGCCCGAGCGTCACGTCGATGTTATCTTCGCCGTGGACTCCTCGGCTGACACTGACTACTACTGGCCCAACGGCACATCTTTGGTCGCAACCTACGAGCGTAGCTTGAACAGCACCGGTATTGGAAACGGTACTGCTTTCCCTGCAGTTCCCGATGTCAACACCTTCGTCAACCTTGGTCTGAACACCCGCCCAACCTTCTTTGGTTGCGACAGCTCCAACATCAGTGGGCCCGCTCCCTCGTTGTTTACGTTCCCAACGCCCCTTACTCCTTCCACTCCAACGTCTCAACCTTCCAACTCAGCACCGACGACACCGAGCGTGACAACATCATCCTCAACGGATACGAGGTCGCCACTATGGCCAACAGCACCCTCGATGGTAACTGGACATCCTGTGTTGGCTGCGCCATCCTGAGCCGCTCCTTCGAGCGCACAAACACCACCCTTCCTGAGATCTGCAATACCTGCTTCGATCGCTACTGCTGGAACGGCACTCTGAATGCCACCACCCCCGCAAACTACAACCCCACGACCTACCTGGCCGATAATGCTGGTTCTGCCATGCTGCCCACCGTTCTCTCTTCGGCTGTTGCTACGGGTGTGACTCTCTTCGCCTTGATGTGAGAAGGCAGATAAGTCTTTTTATCTTCACACTCCAATTTGAACATAGACACTCACGGCGCTATGTACATTGTTTCCTGGGTTTTCAAGTACATGGTCGGTTTGATATTGAGCAATCACCGTAATTACTTTATTCAACTCATCGCAGGATTTTTAATGAATTTGTATATTTTATCATCTGCCCGGGTATGCTCCACTGGTTCTAAGGCGTATAACAATCTGTTCATGCGTGCTTGGTTCTGCTTCCAAGGTTAACTTGCGCACTGCGATGAAACAAAATCGAGATTGTCCCTGATACAGAACATTGGAAGATCATCGAAAATCAACCATATGTAGTCACCCTCAAACGGAATGTCACATAATATCACTGCTTCCCGAGGTTGGAGCACGAGCTATATCCTGGTGAAATCAGCAGCGGGACGGCAAATCAGAGATGGCAGAGCTATGATTTTGTTACCTAGTCTCTTCCATGTCACTCCGTCATGTCTGTTTAATGGCCTCCACTTCAATCTCAATTTTCATTGCTGGAAACGCTAGTGAGGGCACAGCAATAGAGGTCCAAATAGGTCGATGACCCGGGATACGCTCCTTGAGCTTTTTGACAACCAGGTCAAATGAAGCACCCATATCAACATGGTAGCTGCGGATTGAATAGACGTCTTCCCAGCCGCGAAGACCCGATGCCTGTAACACCCTGTCCACGTTCTGGAAAGCGAGATCCACTTGGCCGGGAATATCGTCGGCATTCAGAGCGCCAGACTGCTCCCAGCCTCCTTGGCCGGCACATTTGACAATGTTTCCTAAAATAACTGCTTGGGAATAATGGCATAGGTCACTGTGTTTCTGACCAGCGCCCTCTTCGTTGATATAAGTCAGAGAAGACATTTCGATGTTTTAATTGCTGAGCGGGATTGTTCTTGGCGGAGCACAGGCAAACAGGTTGCTGAGATGAGAGGATATCGAAAGAGAAGATCCGAGATTTTAGGCCATTGCTAATTGTCCATGACGAACCCTTGAAAGTATTCTTATATATCATGGCCCGTGGCCACTTTTGGAGGTGTATGGAGGTGGTTCTCCAGGTCTCCACTCGCACCCTACGTACACATGCAGCGATGATGACACCAACTCCTAGAAACGTATATAAATGAGACAAGTTTTGATAATCACCTCCATGAACTTTGGATTCATCCCCACAGATGTTCTCGAGTGCTAATGTAGTACCGCATGTTTTACGGGTCTTGTGTAAAATCCAACCCAACTTTGGAGACCTCCCATCCTATACCGATTGATAAGAACCACTCGAATGGTGTTGACCTAAGCACTTCAATGAGCATGGCTGCGAAGAAATCTAAGATTTAGAGGCAAGCAGTGTCGACCACGAAACCGGGGGCAAGGTGCACATGTGGCCTACTCTACCTAGGTATGACCGTGATGTATATACTCGGTGGTGAGGGAAGAAGGGTCCACGGGTACTTTCTCATTTTCGAATATATGCTCATCGCCATTCCGCTCTGTCTCTCTACCTATCTATTATCAATAGCGGTGCTATGGGTCTATACCGCTCGGGGCACCTAGGCTAGTACTTTGCAGGCTATGACACCAGCTAACTGGCAAGCTCGTGGGCTTCTGGAACCATGGCATAGAGTGTGTTGATCAGTCTGTATCGGGGAGAGGCATCCGATGGTAAATCTTCAACTAAAGCACACGAGACTCAAGATCTCCCATCCCTCCCACAGCCCGGGAAGAAGGGATTGAGTATGCAGATGTAGAAGTGGGGGTTGAATCTATCAACTGCCCACTCTAGAGCACATAAGATTTAACCCAGAATTTCCTCCAAAGACTTCGGGACACATCTTCTTTCCGGTGTAAATTTAGGTTAAATTTGAAAAGTTCCCCTGCAACCTTCAAGAAAAAAAAAATTCCATTTACCCTGTAGCGTCCAAAGATCTATATAGTGATGTTGCGTTTCAGTTTGGGGCTCAAGATGATGTGCCTCGGTCATCGACCAGAAATACATTGAACTATGCTAAGTCGTAGCGAAGCTTTGAATTCTGCAAGATCAGAGAATCACTAATATTCGCTGTGATATCTGTTTGATTCATGACAATATGGCCTCTGTTGACAATTCGCATAGTAGAGAAAAACATCACGTGGTGGCAGTTGCCGTGGGAACAGCGCCACAACAAGCACCAGCTCGGATCGACACCTCCACAGTGGATAATTCGCCTTGCCTTGCTTCTTCTCTTATGCAACTAATTCGACAATCCTACGACATCCGGGGCGATACTACCATTTCGACCTTCAATCTCGACATGAGTGCCTCGGACCACTAACTGCGACAAATTATAACGACAACATGGCGCGCGCAGCAGTGATCCCCCAATCCCCCGCCAAGCGGACGGGACGAACATCTACCCAGTCTACAGCCGCCGCTGACGCAAAGAGGAAAGCTCCTCGCAAGGCAACGGTAGCAACAAGGACCGCGACCCCAACGCCGAACGTTGACTCCGACGACACAGATGACGAGCTCGGCTTCATCACAAACACAGCGAAACCCCGCGGCCGCGTCGCTGCTCGCCAAGCTGTAAAGACCAAAACGACACCAACTACCCGCGCCAAGAAAGTCTCTGCTGAACGTGTCGATGCTGAGCCAAAGAACGCGTCTACATCGGAAGCTGAGGCACCTAAGAAACGCGTCGGACGGCCGAGAAAGACCCCACCTGCGGAGGAAACGACAACACCGAAGCCCGCCACTGCTGCCAAAACTCGCGGACGACCCAGAGCAGCAACCCCTGCAGCTAAGGCCCCGATACCTGCTCCCACTCGGAGGACTCGATTGGCGAGCGAGTCCGTTAATCAGACGAAACCAAAGAACATTCAAATCTCGACCAGTTCTATTATGCGCTCAAACATATCCCGCGGACCGGCCAAGAAGAAAACAGTTACGTTCCAGGATTTAACCGAATCCGAAGAGGAAGATGTGACTGAGCCTGAAGCACCTGCTGCCGGTCGCAAACGGGCGGCAGCCAAACCTGCTGGCTCTGGAAAAGCTGGCCTTGGTGCAACGCCTGTTCGCAAGGCTCCAGCTACCGGTACTCGTGGGCGCAAACCCGCAGCAGCCAAAAAGGGAGCAGCCAAACCGCTATCTCCCAAGAAGGACAAGCAGGTGGCTAAATCTTTATCGGCATATGCGAGCTCCGATGACGAAGATGAGTTGAACACGATTAAATCCGAGAGTGCAAGTCCAGTCAGGCTTGTAGTTCGCTCGCCTGTCAAGCATGGGTTGGAAACCAGCGGATTGAGCTCTCCTGTGCGAAGAATCAATTTCACCCCGAAGAAGGCCGCCAGCTTTATCGACGAGAATGGCGAACCGAAACTACCGACCCCCAAACACGGATCAGAAGGCACCGGTCTTAGCTCTCCAGTCCGGAGGATCAACTTCACACCGAACCGCAGCCAAAATGCTGTCGCCGAGAATGGCCATCTTGCCCTACCACCGGGCAATTCGATCAACTTCAACCAATCTGGACTTATGGGCAGTCCTGCTAGACGAGCTCCCACATCATCTCCTTTTAAATTCAGCTTGAGGGAAACACCAAATCGCGCGGGCTCACTGTTCTTGGACAGTGCGAATCCAGTGTCTGCCCCGGACTTCGCACCTGCCAACGCGTCCCCACTGAAGATGTCTCCGAAGAAAGCAAATCTTGGAGCATCTTTCTCGCAATCGGCGCTCAAGGCGTCCGCTCCACCAGCTCTCGCTCGTACTCCCCTCTTCCAGAGCCCCGCAAAGAGAATAGCTTCCCCCTTCAAGAGTTCCATCTTCTCGGCTCATGCTTCTGTGAGCCAGACGAATGCCGAAGATGACGGAACCCCCACCAAGGCCTTGGAGCCAGAGGAAACTACGACCCCGAAATCATCACCACTGGCAAGAGACGAAAGCCGAGAGACATCAGAGCAGGATTGCGAATTGGTCCAGGATGTAGCTCGAGACATTTTCAATATCGACATCGAGCTTTCCGCTGATGACAGAACACCATCGCCTGACCCAACCCAGCGAGAGGAAGTTGCATTCACACCAGAGAACGATCGCCATTTGGACGATATCGCTGTGGACATGGAGGTCCAAAATTACCCGGAATCTGAACAGGCAGAAGACACAGACCTTGCTGATGAGATTCAATATGAATACGAGGAACCAGAGACCCTTTGCTTTGATGCAATGGAAGAGGCAAACCTAGCGCCCGAGGAATTTGACGACCAGGCGACTCTGGAATACTCAGATATCGAATATCAGGAAGGCGTTCAAGAAGACGAGCTTTATGAATATGAAGAACCCGAAACACTTTGCTTCGATGCCATGGAAGACGCGCAGATGGAAACAGACGATCTACAATACGATGAAATCCGGGATGATTCAACTTCCGAATCAGGTAGTTTCATCCAAGATGTGGCCCCATTTGAGTATGAAGAGGCCGAGTCTCTTTGCTTTGACACGATGGAAGATGAATACCTTGCGGGCGTTGACCTCGTCCACCCAACAGTCGAATCGGTAGACTCGGAGACTGATGACATGGAAATTCCTGGAGCTGAGCAATCTGATCGCGAAAGTGAGACAGACCAGGGAGCTCGAACTCCCAGTGTTGAATACGATTCTCCTGAACCAAGCCCGACGCCGGTTCGGGGGAACATTGAAATGGACCAATTGGATGTTGAAGAAGATACCAACGATGAGGTCATGAGCGATAACGATCAAGCGGAAAACAGTGGACCCAGCTCTACAAATGGCTTCCATATTTCTTCGCCACATGAGGCCAACAATTTGCAAACTAGCGTCAGCTCGGCACAAAGGATTCAATCTCCCTTTTCTCCAGCCTCGAGTTCTTTGGAGGTTAGCAACACCACCCCAGTCTCCGCAAATTGCCTAGACGACACCGAGAATGGCAATGACTCCACTCCTCGCGTGAAGAATGCCAATGCCAGCCACACCCCCAGCCCCTTTGAGAACAAACTCAACTACATGCCAGAGGGCCAGGTCGATAGCCCTGCGTTGATGGCACCTAGTTTATTCAACACACCAAGTGTTGCTGCCCAGCATCACACACCCACCGAGACTGGCCTGGGCTTCACGCCGTTGGCACAACGGTTTGATCGCTGGGAACAGGATACTCCTTCTCAGGCCAGATCACTTCGACCTCGTCGCCGTGGAGTCTTTTCGTTGGTGGGACCGCTGGAGCGTACGTCTGCCGCAGCCCCCGACGAGTCCGGCAGTGTCTCGTACCCAGATATTTCCAAGAGTTCTCTGGCAAATACCCCTTCGTTCACCGAATTGCCACTTCAGCCGCAGAGTGATGATACAAGCATGAGCCCCGAACACGACCAGACTCCGCGACAATCCGCAATTTACGAACGCCGCAAGAGCTCTATTTCACCGGCTAAGCATACAGAGATCTTTGAGGACCCTCTCCCGGACAGCACACGAACCTCCACCAATCGTCGGAGTTTAGTCAAGGAGGATATCCCGGCTTCACAAAATCTGCAGGATCAAGGCACCGAAGACAAAGAAAACTGCGGTCCGCCGACTCACCTCCCAGTCACACCAATCAAGACCAGACCTCAGACTGACGATCATCGGACTGTTCATACTGTATCAAAAGTCCCATTAAAGGCCGAAGGCGAAGTCTCGCCTCTCAAACTGTCTCGTAAGAGAGGTCTTTCTCTCTCGGCAACTTCCCCCACACGCTCTTCCCCGCGCGTTCGAAAGCCTGCTGTGGTGTCACTCAACGACAATTTCCCGGTCCTCCCACCTCCCCGAAAGGCGCCACGGGTCAGCAACGGTAGCCCAACCACAAAGAGACATTCTACCATGGGCAGACGCAGCAGTGGTCGAGGGCCCGTGGTGGCTTCACCCGGTCCTCCTGCTGCCACTGCTAGCCCTTTCAAGAAGCCCCGCCGCAGCATCAGCAAAGAGCAAAAAGCTCTACACGGTGCGGTTGTGCATGTGGACGTTCACACAACCGAGGGCGAGGATGCATCTGGTATCTTTGTCGAGCTTCTCCAGCAAATGGGGGCTCGCTGTGTGAAGTCTTGGTCTTGGAACCCCGGCTCTAGTCTTTCCCCTGTTGATGGGGCAGACCCCAAGGATTCACGTGTGGGTATTACCCACGTCGTATACAAGGATGGTGGTCTTCGCACTTTGGAAAAAGTGAAGAAGGCCGCAGGCCTCGTGAAGTGTGTTGGCGTTGGTTGGGTTCTTGAGTAAGTTGATACTCTCAGTCATTCAGTATTTTACAGTGAGATCTAACAGCCCCTTTAGTTGTGAGCGTGAAAGCCAGTGGTTAGATGAAACACCCTACGCAGTTGACAGTTCAATCATCCCCCGCGGAGGCGCCAAGCGCCGCAAGAGCATGGAACCTCGTGCGCTAAGCAACATCAACGGTACATTGGTTCGCATCTCCGGATCTCCGACGCCATCAGCCAGTGGCCGTCGCAGTGGTGCCGGCCAGGGTGCTGTTGATGGATTCCGCAAAATCACACCTCCAACTCACCAACAGGAGGTGCCATCTACTCCCCCACGCCAATCATCCGCCACCGACTATCAATACCCTGCCACGCCTGGATACAACTTTGCCAACCTAGATGCCATTGGCATGTCTCCTGCTACGCCGGGATTCCTCGGCAACCGCTCCAAGCTTGTTCAGCAGTCCTGCCCGCCGAAGCAAAGCAACCGAGGCCTTTTCCCTGGTGCCAAGCCTTCCATAACATCGCAGGATGATGGTGATGACGAGGATTCCAGGCGCCAGCGCCGCTTCCGTATGGAGGCTGCTCGCCGAAAGAGCCTTGTGTACAAGCCTACAGTTGCCAGCCCTCTTGTGCCTTAGATTTTGCATCCCTTTGCGTTCTTGGATTTTATCATTGCTTTGTAAATACCCCCCAGTTGCTGTACATACGGGCAGCTTTTGTTTGGATGGCTTGTACATCATTGTTGTATGGTGGTTACCACGATGTTGGCCTGGTATTGTGCATTATATGGCGCATTTGCTTTCCATATGTCGATCAAATAATACCAGCTCAATGACAGATATCGCCACATTGATTCTGACCTTTAATGATATGCCCGAACTAGGTAGGAGTAGAGTATACCGAGAACAACTCTTCTAAATAACCCCGAAATTGCCCTCACCATTGTCCCTTGACATGCGAGCTGACGGTCCTGAGGTCGTGCTGGGCATGTGGCCAACCACCCCTCCATTTCCCTCAAAACCAACATTATTGGTCTTCCTAATCATCTGACTCTTCACGGTAGAACCCAGCAACCAAGAAAGCCAACTCTAGAGCCTGTTTCTCATTGAGTCGTGGATCACAGAATGTCGTATACCGTTCTCCGAGCCCATCCTCCGTCAACCCAGCCGCACCACCCACACATTCAGTGACAGCCTCACCAGTAAGTTCAAGATGCATACCCCCAAGGAACGACCCCGCAGCACGGTGAATCTCCAAAGCCTGCTTCAGCTCAGACAAAATATCCGTGAAATGGCGCGTCTTCACTCCAGACGGCGTACTCTGCGTATTACCATGCATAGGATCACACTGCCAGACAGGAATATGACCCGATCCCTGCACAGCAGCAATGTGAGCAGGCAAGAAGTTCGAAATCTTCGCAGCTCCGTATCGCGAGATCAGCGTCACCTTCCCGACCTCCCGGTCCGGATTGACAACATCCAACAGTCGAACCAGCTCCTCCGGCGCCATACTAGGACCGATCTTGATACCCACGGGATTCGCAATCCCGCGGAAGAACTCCACATGGGCACCATCGAGCTGGCGCGTCCGATCGCCAATCCAGAGGAAATGGCTGGATGTCGCGTAGTAGGCGGTTTCCGACTGCGCGGTGCCCGGGTGCCGTAAGAGGCGAGTGAGACTCTGCTCGTACTCCAGAGATAGACCTTCGTGGCTGGTATAGATGTCAGCCGTTTCGACGCCGCGGTCTTTGTCGATTCCTACGGTGCGCATGAACCGGAGGGCGTCTTTGACGGCATTTACGGTTTTGGCGTATTGCTCTTTGATGGAGGGGGTGATTACGTGGCCGAGACCCCAGTCTAGGGGGAGTGGAGGTCGGCTAGGCCTGATGAGAGGGAGGCGCGAAGGTAGTTGAGGGTTGCTGCGGAGTGGAAGTAGGCGGAAACTAGACGGGATGGGTCTGGTTGGCGGGATGAGAGGTCTGCTGCGAAGCCGTTGATGTTGTCACCGCGGAAAGAGGGCATTTCCACTCCATTGACTACCTCTGTTGGGCTTGATCGTGGTCTGGAATTGGTGTTAGTAATTTTGGAATTGGTGATTCATAGTTGACAGTTAGGATGCTTACTTGGCGAATTGGCCAGCAATGCGCGCAATACGGATGACGGGCTTGTTGGCGCCTGTTGATGGTTAGTTGATTTTTACTGCACTATGAGATAGATTTACATACCCCAAATTAGAACCAGACTCATCTGCAACAGGAGCTTTACTTTGGCCTCGATCATGTCCTGGTTGCAGTAGTCGAACAGCTCAGCACAGTCGCCTAAAGCCGTCAGCCCAATGCCTTATGGTATCCTTTGCGAAACATACCACCCTGGAGCACAAATGCATTGCCTAGAGCCACATTTCGGAGGCTGGATTTGAGGTTGTTGATCTGAAGAATGTTTAGTATGACAATTCAGGATGTTTGCTCCGAGCACAATGCATACTTCTTGGGTGGTCACAAGCGGGGGTAGCTTCTGCAATTTTTGTAGTGAGTCTTTCAACCCTTGAAGATCTTCGTAAACCACATCTTGTTTGATGGGCTTTTGTGTCCAAGCTGAGAGTTCTGTTAGCGGCAAAGATTAGGGGTGTCAAATTGGCGCCTACAGCTTGGACTCCATTCCGCCATTGTGAGGCCGAAAGGTGGGGTGCTGATGGACTAAGCTCCTGATCGACGGTCAAACAGCCAAACGGTCGAGCGCAATAAGAGGCCACAGAATGACTCGGAGTGAATAACAAGGAAACGTCTTATTTTGCAAGGAATAAAGGGGAACTTGGATATTACGCGCAGCTTTGAACAAAATACCGAAGGGTTGCAACGTGACGCGCTTAGTCGCGGCCTGCAGATGACTCACTTGGTTGCCTGACTCTCAGGGCACTCACATCCTTGGACTATTTATTACTCAATCACGAACTATACCTAGCCCAGTCAATAATAACAAACATCTTAGCAATTGAGATATGAATTCAATTGATCGGTGTACTCCGTACTGGTGCCCAGGTGGGGGCCTGCGCTGACTTCTGCAGACGTAGCTCTAGCTTGGCACTAAATTGGAGCTCACATCATCCCCCAAGAACTATCCCGAATTCATTATCATTTGAACAGCAGGCACATGAGACGGTAGAACTGTCTCATTGCTGGGATGTCATAATGGTGGTTTTACAGTCCAATGGACTCAAACAGGTCGCGTTACAGCAAAATTTGGACCCTCAGCGGATGTGACCCCTAAGGGTCCAGCATTGTGGGCCTTGTAAATCAACACTAGGTCGTATTCGAAGGGCCCTGGAATCCACGTTTCTTCAGAGATCTAATCTGATGTTGAATAGAAAGCAAGGCTGCAAGCCTGGAGAGGCAGGTGCAATTTGGAATTGATGAGGCCTGTGTTCCACTAGCTCCCTACGTTGGTCCTCATGTCAGATGTTTTCACTGTTCTTTCGTGAATAGAGTCCATCGGTAGGTGATTTGGGGGTTAAAAATGCTCTTTTCCTTGGCGTCGTGTGTATTTCACAATTATTGCTGGTGTTCTGGATTTGGACGAGAACCTAGTACGGAGTACTCTTCAACGAGCGAGATGATTTGCCAGAATGGGCCTGTGTCTGCCTACGGAGTACTCCGTATTTCGTAGAGTCCACGGGTGTCAGAAGTGGGTATCTCAACACAAAGAGAACCTCAAAAAAAGTTCAGTGTGTTGGCCATTAGGTGATTGGAGCCTAGAGATGTGAAAACGAATTTCAAGTGCAGCACAGTGCAGTCAATGCCAAAACTAGCCATTATACGAGATTGCATCCAATAAGCAGGATGAGGCGTGATTAGCTCGTAAAGGAGAAGAGAAGACCTGAAGTACTCCGCACTTCACGATACTTCAAAACAAAGTACAAATCTTGAAAACCCTAGGTACAAAATAGGCAGGAGTGTAAGTTGCATTGGCAACAGTCATGCCAAGATAGCGCGAGATGAAGAATTATTTGGTTCATAAAAAGAGTTCGGATATCATAAACTTTGGGGGCCATAACAGAATTTTCGGTGTGCCGACTCCCCGATTTCCGTTAGCACTTGAGGCTCACCCCCGGACTTGGCGAAAAGGGGCTAAATTTGGAAAACAAGTCGGACCACGGAAAAGATAAAAGGGGGTCTTTAATCTTATTGCTGACGGGCCAAACGAGATAAATCGAGCGTTGTGTCGAAAGTGGCGGAATGAGGCCCGAAGCAATCGGCTCCATTGGACGGACTATATAAGCCCTAAACAAGCCCCGCCCAAGTGATTGGCCAGGTCTCGGGGCTAAAGTAGTTTTAGCAAGTTTGGGTTTTGCTTGTTTGGCTAGCGATGGCCAGAACGTGGCTAGTATCGTGAAAGAGCCGCTGCAATCCCTTGAGACCCTATTTATTTAGCCCCCGCCCTTGATCTTTTCCAATTTCACCCAGATCTCACCTCTCGTATCTTATATCCACTCCAATAAAATGCAGTACAAAGCTCTTGCCGCTCTCTGCTTCGCCGCTACGGCCCTGGCTGCCCCTGCCACCGAGAGCAGCTCGGATGATTACTCCGACCTCTATGATAGCTCTGATAGCAGTGATGCTTTCAACCTTGGCGATGTCCCTGACTCCATCCTGACCGTCCTGGCCACCGCTATTCCGGATTCGTGGTACAGCGATATCATGGACGATGCTTCTCGTTCTTCCATCGTCAGTGCCGCTGCAGCTGGTACCTACCCTGCCTGGTACAACTCCCTTCCCAGCAGCGTCAAGGCCTGGGCCACCTCCAACTTCGACGACGACGTCCTCGGTGCCTCTTCAACCATCAACAGCATTGCCTCCGCCACGGGAGCTTCTGGTAGCTCTGCCGTTGAGACCGGTTCCAGCTCTGCTGTCGAGACCGGCTCCAGCAGCGCTTCCAGCAGCTCCGATGCTAGCAGCGCAGCCGGCGTCAGCTCCACTGCCACCCAGACCTCCAACGCCGCTGAGACCTCTTCATCTTCCTCCTCGGACTCCAGCTCCGACTCTTCTTCTAGCTCTGCCTCCGCTTCTGCCTCCCCCTCCCAGTCCACTGGTGGTGCCCCCGCCCCTACTGGCGGTGTTGCCATGGGTGTTGCCGGTGCCGCCGGTGTTCTGGCTCTGGCCCTCGCTCTGTAGATGATTGGAGGATGATCCGCCCATGTTTCTAATATTGAAGCCCTGAACTACTGTATACCTGAGCTTATCTGCCGTCCATTTTATCACATCATATATAATACTTTCATTTATGGAATCACATAACATATAAAGCTTTGCAATTTTCTTCTAATGTACATATTGAATCATGATAATTGCTCATTTTAACTGGGTGTGAGCCAGAAAACCCTTGGAAATACCTAAATTACAGTTTAAACAAAGAAACTCAACTTGCGACCACATATCAAAACACCAAACGCATGGCGTGACACAGATATGGCTGTACTTTATGCTTATCCAAATAAACGGCGAGACGAATGATATCTCCACAAATCTTCAGCTCCACTTCGAAACTTTCCCTCTTCATCAGAGCTTCCGTGATCGCTGTAACTTTTTCCTTGGTGCCTTCCAAGATGCGGATAAGGTCGTCAGCGTTGACACCAGAAATATCTTTTCGGAGTGTCCGGCATTTGGGGGCTTCTCTAATCATGGTCAACACCCTTTCAATGACTTTTCTCAGTTGTAGCTGGAGTAAACCTAGCTTTCCAATGACCACCTCACGTTGTGTAAAAGTCCAACCACGTTGGCTAACCATGCTGGCTAGTTCGGCGTGCGACTCTATCCACTGGTGCCAGGCATCATGATAGGCCATTTCCCATGTGGTGACGGCGTTTGATAGAGTCATTTTGAATGCGAGCATGAGTAATGAGGATTTTGAGTTTTATGTATAAGGTGTTTAAGTGTTGAACGACAATATAAGAATTTTGATGGGAGACTCGTGAGTGTTTGGACGAGTATGATGAGTATGATGAGTATGATAAATACTCCAGACGCAGACAGTGCCAGGCTTTTAAGATATTTCCCGAGCTCATCAATGCCTTTGTCTATCTATTTAAAAGGTTCGATTCTGGTTTCGAGGCAAATGCTATTGTCACGACTCTTTGTCGACTGCCTTTGAGGCCATGCAATAGTCTGAAGCCCGACAAAGCCTCGATGAGTCGAACATAAAGAAGAATCTACCAAAACAAAGAGAACCAATATTAGAAGTCTTCATGCTCACACGTCGCTTGCAAATTCGTTACCAGATTAGACATCAAGAACAATGGCATTCGGATTATACAAGACATTGGCTCATCCATGGATCAACACCCGGGGTGCGGCCAGAATTAAGTTTCTGTAGCTTCAAAGACAGTAAAACAGAAGTCATTGGAATAAAGAACCATTGAAAAGACTTCTCATTTCGTGGTAGACTCCATAAAATACCTGGCTAGTTGAGTCGGATAGAGGAAACAGCGAGATGAAGGGAGCTGCAGGATCATCTGCTGAAAAAGACTATGTAATCTATGAGAAAAAGCTCGCCACCCAGAATGATACTTCGAATATGTTTCTATTGCTTGCTACATTCTGAGAGTGGAAATATGGTACAAAGCATGGCCCAAAGGGTGGAGCACGCGGGTGGTGGAGTAGCCGATCGACATGGGCCAAAAACAGATCACCAGATGCCAAGTTGACCCCAAACACCGAATTATAGTAATCAAACAACAGAGCTTGTCACAATAAATTTAAACGCATTTCAAGGATGTAAAAGTAGCTTGAAGTACTTTGGGCTTCGGGGCTGAGGCAAACAATTATGTCAGCGCGTTGATAAATTGGCGTGACGTCAAAACACAACAATCCTTTGTACTCCGTACTTTCTCTTTCGAACAACCATGTCAGACCCTATCCCATCCGCAACAGCCGACCATGATGCCGCTGATCATAAATCTGTATCTAATGCCGAAGATCGCAAAGCAGCAGCAGCTCTCTCTTCCCTGAATGTGAGCGAGATTGCCACGGAAGGTGCCTCCGATGGAGCACCAGAAACAGCCAACCAAGAAGCCTTGGGCAAAGCAATGAGTCGCCTTGATATAGCCACCGGCGAAGGCTCGATGACCAAAAAAGCGGGCGTGCAGAAGTCTGCAGGAGGTGGGGCAAAGCAAAAGGTCGTCAAATTGGCTGCTGCTGATATTGCCTTGCTGGTAAGTTTCTATGATCCAAGCGAATATTCAAAATGACTGATTTGATTCATTTCACAGGTGGATCAGCTAGATTTGACCAAGATCAAAGCCATGGAATTGCTAAAGTTGCATGATGGTGATACCTTGAAAGCAATGAAAGCTTTTATTGCCCCGACCTTCAAAGCATGATCGCAACACTTTCCGTTCAATGATCTGACGATCAGAAAATAGGAGATCGAGGTATGAGACTAAAAACTATGTACTTTGTTTTGACCAGGCGTGAAAATAGTTTTGTATCAAATGCTTGTGTTGTGTATGGTGTGTCGCGTCCACGGGTATTTACATGTGTAACGTTACCTAGCTCACACCTGCCAAATGGAGCGTCATCAATCATTCCTCCTCCTCGTCTTTCTTTTGTTCTATTCCCTTGCCCTCGTATATACTCCATAGCATAGCCCATCCAACCATTGCCTGAGCAGCCAACGCCCACCAAACTGCCCCGATCATGTTGTACTCGAGGCCCAAGCCAAGCCCCCAACCTCCAAGTAGCGGGCCAAGCGTGCGACCCGCACTGGAAATGCTCTGTGCTACGCCATGAACTGTGCCAAGGACAGATGCATCCGTGACACAGTTGTTCACCAAAATGATAGCAGCAGGCAGAATAAATGTGCGTGAAATAACCTGCAGACTGACGACGAAAGTGAAGGAAGGCCAGACAATCGCCGGAATGCGCGGAAGAATCACCAAGAAAGGCATCAGCATATAAGAGATAGGCGAGAAAGGAAGGAAAGTGCGGAATGAAGTCAGAGTTCCGAGTTTCGTTTGTATCTGCGGATACAAGAAAATCTGTAGCGGCAGGCCGATGAGTCCAATGATCGCAGTAGCGAGACCGACTCGCGCGGACGGAAGACCGAGGCCGCCGCCGAAATGGAAAAATCCTTGCCGCGAGTCCTCGGGGGCACGGGGTGCTGGCAAGAACACAAATGTCATTGAATTGAAAGCACTCGTGTGGAAAGCGAGCAGGAAATTGGCCAATAGAGTCAAGAGAACATTGCGAGTCCAGATCTGGCGGAAGCTAGGCCTCTTGTGCACCCGAGCTTGCACGCGTGAGCGGGCTGGGCTTGACGGCACAGACCAGGCATCCACGCTGCCGTCTTGGTAGACAGAGTCGTCGTCTCGGGAGCGTGTGAGGGGGCGGTAGTATCTTGGTCTTCGTCTCCACGCTCTCGTGAGTCGCTTGCCAAGTTTTCGGCCCCAGTCTTTCTTGTAACGTGCGGTTTCGTGGGTCTTGTTTCAATTAGCAAAGGTACCGTCTTAAGAATGGCTATTATCTCACCTCATCAAGGCCGAGGAGAACTGCGAGTACTGATGCGAAGATGAAAATTGCGCTCAAGACGTTCGGCAATGCGTATGGCCAGCGCTGCATCCACCAGACACCTTCTTTGCCTCCGATGATAGATCCGGGGCCGAATATCTGGGGGAAACTGTTGACAGGATCGGCCAAGGAACCGCCGAGGATTGGTCCAATGATGACACCAATGTTGAAACACATTGGCAAAAGCAAGAAGGCTCGTGATTGATACCTAGTCCGTCAGTTTTCATATCATACGCAAGTTCATCGAAAGGAGCTCACTTCTTTTCGCAAACAATCTCTGCAATCAGCGTTCTCATCACTCCAATGTTGCTGTTTAACACTCCACCTAACGTTCGAAAGATCATTGCAGATACGAAGTTGCGAGAGAACCCAAAGCCTATACATGACAAGCAAGTGCCCATCAATCCGATCAAAAGCACCCTCTTCCGACCCATCCAGTCGGCATCTGCAAGCCTACCCCACCATACAGCTGTTATGAACTGCGCGGCGGTAAAACTGCCCTGAAGAAGACCCGCCTGAGCAGAGACCTTGGAGTCTGGCAGAGATGGATCGAAAGATTTGAGCTGATAGAACATGTACGCCTGCAGAGAAGTCTGTGTCAGGGGCTCCGAAAGTCGAGCGAAGGTCAGAATCGCCAACTGGCCCTTCTTCGGTAGCGAGCTCCAAGTGACAGGTTTTTCCTGATCCTCAATTTGCCCAAGCGCGTCGTCATGGTCAAAATCGCTCTCTTCCCCAGAAAACCCTCGATGGTCAGTTAACAAGGGTGCAGCTTCCAATGTCCTCAGGGGCGGCAGGTCGGTGTCGGAACCAGAATCATCACCGTCGAGGTCGCTATAACCGTTGATACCTGGACTTCCCACATGACTGCTTGCACTTTGTTCAGATGCGTGGGAAGACAAACGAGCATCCTTCCGGTCCCCAGAGCGGTTGGGGCCCAAGCCTCGGGTTTGCGAAGAGGTCCCCATCAACAATGGCTTGGTTCAGAAACCTGTCACGCGAGCCTATGCCGATCAGATGTTTCAAGCCTATTTGCTTGTTTTGAGACTATTGGCTGGTGGCTAGTAAACCTGGAACCGAGCTGAAGTGAGAGATTTTGAAATTCCAAATTACACCATTTCCCCCCACAGTTGCGATGCGGAGTTGTTGATAACACTCGGATCACTGATCATTTTATATGCCCTTTCTCATTTTGATATCTTTCTCTCGTTTTCTTCGAAATCTACTCGCCTTCCACTATACTTCCTTTTAGTTCGCTCGCTTTGATCATCCCATCAAGCATTTTGCTTGAAGGCAAAAAGTAAAAAGATATGTTTGTGCACCGACCGGGGTTCGAACCCGGGCCATTCGCTATACCTAGCCTGTATCAAACAGGCCATTGGGAAGCGAACATCGTAACCACTTGACCATCGGTGCTGAAAACAACTGTTTTGTAATTTCTCAATTTTGTATACCAAAAATTCAAGACACTAACAAGGCAATCGCCCAATATGAAGCCGACATCAACAACCTACACAGTGATATGTTGTAGCCAGTTGCTAACATGCGCCAACCAGCAATAATCGAAGCTGTGCTAGCTTTATTGCTACCCAGGTGCTGTTTGAACCCCATGGACTAAATGGGACGTCTTAAGATCACATTTCTACCGAGTCAACTCTCTCCTATGCGCTTCCGGCCAAGGATTGCAGTGAAACTTAGTCTTCATTTGAGACAGAGACATACACAGTACTATGTGTGGGTCTGGAGCGCCGACATTGAAAAGACCATTTTTGGTAAACGCTTGTTTGACTGCAGGGACAGACAAAGCAGGCATATCGTTATCACGAAAATGAGCTTCCAGCGAGTATGCTAGACCTCGAGGTTGTAACGCAAGACCGGTGACCCGATGATAATTCGGCAAAGAAGGCCGGGGTGATCAGAAGTATCGGAGTACTCTGGTAGCTTGCTTCAGCCATTTCAATATTTTCTCTCTCATGGTTTTCCGGTAGTATCTTTGTAGTATCTAGGTAGTACTCCGTACCTATTATCGAAATATTTCAACCTTCCTTTGAGCGCGTCTAGGGCTAAACCGACAAGAATTAGAGATAAATATCCATTCGGTTATCCATGGTTTATCGGCGTCTCCCTCTTAATCAATTGCATACAGATTAGCACACGTGCCTGACGCATTCCAATGCCATTCTCTCTCTCTCTCTCTCCACAGCGCTTCGCTGCAACATCCAAAAAGGTCTGAGAGCATACACCCAAAATATGAGGCAATGTTCTCAGTGATTAAACTCAGACATGCGTTCTGCAAATAATTGGATTAAAGTTATTCAGAGAGGCGCAGCTCGAACCATGTGACAAAACCGCGCGATGTGAGATCTCAATTTCTTATCTTTCTTCAGCTCGGATATTGCGCGAGTCTATTTTGAATTTGACTCACTATCAAAAAGTGGTGGTTAGTAGTGACCTCCCCGGGAGCTATTGAGACATGGCTTGAATCACCTTGCAGATCAGCCCCATGCGATGCCCAATCAACGCCAACCACGCCCGATCTTCGCATCCACCATGGATCTGACCTGTCAACCCGTTTGACCCCAAGGTTCGCTCGAAGATCATCAAGCTATCGGCATCGTGCAGTCAAGTTGACATCAGATGCTTTGAAAGAAAGTAACTGTTGGCGATCAAATATGCAAATCATGTTGGGTTGCACTAATCTCGCTTAAACCATCCTCTTGCAGATAGAGTGCACGCACTCGTCGGTTCACCGAGTTCAAGTTGCACTGCATTGTCAATAATCTGAACTTTAGCACTCCGTAGAGAGTACCACAAGATGCCTCATCGGCCGTTTGCTCTTATGGACCGAAGGCCTCCAAGACAAACAGAAATGGAGCTAGCCGATGGGACCTCTTCCATTAAGATCTACATTCCAAAGTCAACCGCCATTGCCCTCGGCGCTTTGAGGGAATCCCTTGCATTTCCCCCATTTCTTCCTTGCTTATCGGTTAATCCTCCAGCCTGACACTGACATTTCCAGGCTCCGACGCATGACGCGACAGCCCGGTCCTTGGTAGCACTATCCTGAAGTGCCAGTTGATATAGTTGATCATCTCACCGACTGATCGGAATTATTTTTCTTGTCGGCGCCAAATTTCTGTTTTGAATATTATTTCTTTACTTTTTCTTACCTCCGATGTCCGCTGAACTGGCCATGGCGCCCAACCGGTCTTGTCACTGATGCTGCTCATCGGCTGAACTCCAAGAACCCTCACTGGTCCTTCGATGTTTCCCCTCATGCATGATCAACTTTATTTATACCATTCATAATTCGAGGATTCCTTCTTCGGGGCAGGAGTTGCTCTCTCTAGCATCATGGGAACCGAATCTCCTTCTCCGCGCCAGCTCTTTACAGAGGCCATAATCTTCTGGTCGATTGGGCTTGTGATTTATGTTGGCAGAATGTGAGCTTGAAGAGATAATCCAAGCGAATTCAAAGCTAACCGCTGAACAGGATCGCTCGGATAATCGCCAATGGCTCCGTGAAACGGTTGTTCGGTATGGTTCCTCGAACATGTGGATTGGCATGAGCTTATGAAAAATGATCTTTCTCAGTGGACGATTATGTTATGACAGCAACATTCGTGGGTCTCAGTGAACAATCTTTTCATAGCCATGCTGACTTCCGATCGATATAGGCAATTTACACCACACTTTTGGTCCTAATCCAAATCTCGGCGCGCTATGCAACTAACCTGATGGACCCCAATGACTACGACCAAGTGTTAGCGGACCCAAAACAAGTCAGTGACCGGATTTACGGAAGCAAAATAGTGATTGGCTTGGAACAATGCATGCTCGTTTCAACGTGGGGGGTCAAAGTATGCATGCTGATGCTCTACTGGCGAATCACACAAAACCTGAAATCGAACCTATACATCAAGATCCTTTCTGTATATGTCGCTGTTGGGTTTGTCGTCATTATGGTCACATACTATGCGGTGTACTGCCGACCATTCTCACAATACTGGGCCATGCCCGTGGACAATATGCAATGCGCGACATACCAACACTACTCAATCACACAAGCCGTGTTCAATATTTCCTCCGACGCCGTGATGTTCGCGATCCCGATCCCTCTTTTGATAAAAGCTCAGCTCAAACGCCGCAGGAAGGTGGTTCTTATCGGCGTCATGAGCTTGGGCTTATTCACCATCATCGCCGCCATCCTCAACAAATATTTCAACTTTGCCTCGCCACTCACAACGCAGTACCAAATATGGTATATCCGCGAAGCCAGCACTGCCATCTACGTTGCGAATCTCATGTGCTGGTGGCCACTCCTACGCAAAATATTCGGCCTCAAGGCTTTCCAGTACAACAGCAATCGTGGCCAGCGAGCTGGCAATCAAAACAACCAAAACAAAAACGGCAGCGAAGACTATTCCAACAACTCACAGTCACAACCTTCTTCTTCTTCTTTCCCTCGCTCGTGGAAGCCTCCTTGCCGTCGTGGCGTCAAAGGTGCATGGTTCGGACACAAGGCGCGGCGTTCAAGCACAGAAGCGATCAATCGACCCAATGACGATTTCGCGCCTGATGTTCAACGAATGGATGCTGTTCCACTGGACAGCTGGGATAAATCGGAAAATTTTGGAATTCAGACACCTGCCGCACAGAGCTCCAGGCATGAGCTGCAGCATGGACTGATGTATTCCGAGGACGATTCCGATGTACAAACAAAGCACAAGCAGCGTACTCATTCGCCATGTTGATTTATGTATATGCAAATTTTCTTCAATTTTTACAATTATCGTGCAAACATGTGTGTAAATTCTGTAATGGGATAACCTTGGAAGACAACCTTGCATTATTCCAAGGTTATATTTTAGCTGTTCAAAGGAAGACCCCGGGAGCATCCGTGCCGTGATCCGTGGATGAGTTGATGGTCGCATGCCTTGAGGCAAGAAGACATGATACCAGCGACTCTACCAGAATTGTCGCCTCGACGAGACTGTTTATTCTACCGCCACCGCAACACCAATGTCAATTAGCCTTATTTTCACGGGTTGACCAGTTGGAATAGGCCCCGAAGAGGCTGTTGTGGAGGTGTGTCACAATGACGCAGAGTGCCACTCCCCAATTGATATTTAGTATTTAGTTAAGATTTAGGGTACCTACACACCCAGCTACTATCTCCACAGAATCTATATCATCTGCACGCTGCACCGTCTCTAGAAGTCGCAAATCCGATAAGAAGTGTGGTAACCTGTCATGGCGACGCCAGGAACTCAGTATCTGATGCAGGCCGGCTTAGCGGCCGGCATGTCAGGCTCTCAGGGACTACACAGTCCGCGTCTTCAACCGGTAGACCGAAGACTTAGTGACCCTGTGAACATGCTCCCCGACGACTTCATACCCAACTCCCAAAGTCGGATGGCTCTACCCGGGGTCAATGGCAAGGATGTACTCGTCCCCTACATGAGCGTTGGTGCATGGTCATGGGGCGACAAGGCGACCTTCCAATACAATCCTACACAGGACCTACCGCGCATCCATGCAGCCTGGGCCAAGCTCAAAGCTGTCGGTTTGACCTTCGTCGACACTGCACAGTCTTATGGTGATGGCGAGAGCGAGCTGATCTGCGGAACTCTTTTTGACGGTATGCCTCGAGACTCGTTTGTCGTGCAGACCAAATGGCTGTCGACCCCAGACATGACCAATACGCTCTTACAAGCCGGTGGACCTAAGTCCAAGCTTAGAGACTCACTCGCTCGACTTAGACTTGAGTACGTCGATATCTACCTCGTTCACGGTCCCATTCATCCCAGTAAGATCTCCACAGTGGCCAAGGGTATGGCCGAGTGCGTGGAATCAGGAATGGCGCGGGCTGTCGGAGTCGCCAACTATGACACGCAGGAGATGATCAAAATGGCCGATGAACTAGCCAAGCACGATATTCCGCTCTGTGTGTCCCAATGTGAATACTCGGTCATTCGCCGGCTGCCTGAAGTCAGTGGGATGATCCGGGAATGCAAAAAGCGTGGCATCTGTTTCCAGGGATTCGCCTCGCTTGCTGAAGGCCGTTTGTCGGGCAAATATTCACGCTTCAATGAGCCGCAACGCCGCCGACGCTTTAGCAGCTACCCCATGCATTTGCTAGAGCCCACGATCAATGTGTTGAAGAGCATCGCGGAAGAGCGACGTGTGCCGGTTCCTGCAGTCGCACTGAACTATTCGAATAACAAGGGTGTGTTACCTTTGGTCGGTGTGCGCGATGTCGACCAGGCTGAGCAAGATATGCAGGCGTTGGGATGGCGATTGTCGGAAGATGAAATGAATCGAATTGAGGGAGTCAGCTTCCAAGGACACAAATCCACATTTATGCAACATGGTTAGAAGAAACCAGAGATAGACGTCAGAAACCAAAGGACAATCTTGGAATAAAGCAGATCACATTCCTCATTTGCAATAAATAGTGGGCATCGGCAGTGAACAAGCTGAAACAGTCGATCAGGGCGGGGCCGATAAGATTCCCCGCCATAACACGAAGCTCTCCCTTTTCACTTCTCACTTCTGTTTCACTCCCCCACAATGGATCGTTCTAACAAGCCTTCTGCCATTGGAGTCGGTGCTTCACTCCCACAGCCCTCTTTGTCCATCAAGGACAATGTCATCGAAGCCTCGCTGCCTACCGGTCAATCCGTCCAAGTCCACCTCTATGGCGCGACTGTGACCTCGTGGAAGACCAACGGCAAAGAGCAGCTCTTTGTCAGCGAGAAGGCCCATCTGGATGGCTCCAAGCCCATCCGTGGTGGCATTCCGCTTGTCTTCCCTGTTCGTGGACTACTGTCCTTGCTCCCCTCCGTTGAATCTAGCTAACCGTTCTTCTCTCTTCAGGTTTTCGGACCCCCGCCCCAGAACCACGCTACATCTTCACTACCGCAGCATGGATTTGCGCGTAACTCCAACTGGGAGTTCCTTGGCAAGTCAACTTCGGACGCGCCCGGAAAGGATAGTGACAAGGCCGATCTCACTGTGAAGCTGGACTTCGGTCTGTCTCACTCCATGCTGACCGAGGAGTTCCGCGAGGCGTGGCCGTACGAGTTTGGACTGGTGTACAGTGTTACACTGACTAAGGACACATTGGAGACTTCCCTGCAGGTTCGCAATGAGGGCAAGCAGAACTTCGAGTTCCAAGTGTTGATGCACACTTATTTGAGCATCGAGGTATGTACAGGATCTTCATACTCAAACTAGCGCTGATGTGATTCGATTATAGGATATCTCCGATGTTCGTGTCAAGGGTCTTGACACCAAGACTTATCTCGACAAGACTCTCCAGGGATCCTCCCACGTCGAAACATCAGCAGCACTTGCCATCACCCAGGAAACCGACCGCGTGTACCAGAACCTCGACCCCGCCGTGCCAATCGACGTGACCTCGGCGAAGTCCGATCAGTCTTTGTTCTCGATTACCCGCGAAGCGTTGACTGATGTTGTGGTTTGGAACCCTTGGATCGAGAAGGCCAAGGGCATGGCTGATTTCGGTCCGGATGAGGCTTACAAGAACATGATCTGCGTGGAAGCTGGCTCTGTCGCCAGTTGGCAGACTCTCGAGGCTGGTGAGGCCTGGGAGGGCGGCCAGAGCATCAAGTCTCGGCTTTGAAGACAACCTTGCAAGGGTACCTTGGACCTCTTATGATACGCACTACTAGTTTATGACCTCAAGACAGCCTTTCTTAATGCCATTCAATAGATTTGCTCATGGAGTCATACCTGATGGTCAATCTATGCTTTGCTCTTTGACCAATATCTTCCAAGATTTTTATCATTGATCTGGATTACATTTCGGACCTCGTTGATTTTGATGAACATCACCTATTGATACTTTGGTTAAATTCATATGAGCACGAAGTAAAAAGAAACGGAATTCCACGCCCCGCCTGCTATTATCGCAGGCGCTTGATCGATCATTTCATCATGAACTAACTCCCGGGCTCACCACCCGGGAGAGATACATCCCCTGCAACATCGATAAAAGAGCGACGACCCTGCTTTCCTTCCTGGAAAGCGGTCAATCGTTCAGCTGCCTCGAAGCTATACTGAGGGCCCTGATACTGGTGTTTACCACCAACAAACCACCACACAGCAGTCAATACCATCAAGCCCACGGTGATAACACTTGTGTAATTCATGTTTTGCACCGTGGCTGGTAACACCAAGGGGAAGCAGAAGAAAACGACAGTAACCAAAATGTACACCAACGACACGATATTGACCACCATGCCAAGTTTCTGCCCCATGTAGAATGGCCCAGGGACCATGTTCCTTCGCCCAGACAAAACATGGGGACAGATGGCGCCGAAGTAAGACAGTGAGCTCAGCACAATGAAGGACGAAATGAGTGCTTGGAATGCGGTTGTACTTCCAATGTAGATACACCCCAGACAGGTGACCAGTGCGCTCATGGCGACTGTTGCTCGCACGGGACAATTCAGTGTCGGGTGGACTTGGGCAAAGTAGCTTGAGAAGGGGATGGCGTTGTCGCGGGCTAAGCTCCACCACATTCTACCGCCGGTCACGAATGTGCCGATCAGTGTCGGGAAGGTTGCGAGGAACAGGACAGCAATGAGACCAATGGCACCTGCGTTAGAGCCAGTTGCTTGTCGGTAAATCTCGGCTGTTGGGAAGAATCCGATACTGCTCTCGAAGACGGCATCCAGGTCCTCAATTGAGTAGAACAGCGCAATCAGGTAGACGAATGAAGTCGTGAAAGCTGTAAGCATTTGTAGCATGATTCCTTGTGGGACCTTGACTTCGGGTTTGGGTACTGTTCGAAATGAATTAGTGGTAGTTTTCCTGTCGTTTTCAAGATGTCGAACCTTCTTCTGATAAATGGCTGATACAGTCTGGAACACCAACTGCAAATGCGGCATTCAACAGACCAGTCATAAAGCAGATTCCATCTGACCATCCACCTGTCCTGTTGTGATATGTGGTCCAGACTTGGGTGCTGCTGGCATGTTTCTTTGGCATCACTGCAAGGACGATCACGGTGGTGAGAAGGCCGCACATCGAAAGCGTGAGGGCAATTCGGTTGATTAATGGAATGAACCGGTTTCCCAAGCAGACAATGGCACAGCATGTCCAATTGAAAATCTGGAACACGATAACCACCTGCCAAGGGTGCCACTCAATAGTCGGATGCTTGAGCAAGTACATCGCCACGGCCTCATTGCCCAATATAGAGCTCATAGAAGATGCAGAGAGCAGCCATGCGCAGGCATTGAGATAGCCAGTAAAGAACCCAGTCTTGCGGCCTTTTGTTGGACTCAGAACTGATGACCAGTAGTAGACGCCGCCGGCCGAGGGCATTGACGAGGCGAGCTCGGCAAGGGAAGCTGAGATAGCCGTGTAGAAGACACTGACCAAAATGAGACCATACAGAACCGCCATCGGGCCGCCATTCTGTAGCGCAGCGACGATCGTTCCTCCTGTTGATGCCCAGGAGCTTGGTACTGTTAGTCGCATAGACTTGCATTCTGAAAATGACGCCTTACTTTGCGATAATGATTCCTAGACTCGTCAAACTCCACAGACCAAAATTTCGCGAGAGCTCTTGCTTATGACCGAGTGCATTTTCCAGGCGCATTTCATCCATCCGGGCATTATCTGGGGTCTTTTCACGGTCCAGGGGTACCTGGCTCGCGCTCACTGCCATTTTGTCGTTCGTCATGAGGGGTAACAAAAGAATTTTAGAATATGGCTAGAGTCATTGCAAATTAATGCAGGGCAGAGAAAGTATTGGAATGAGGGAGGGACAGGAGTGTTCTGCAGAGGTTCGGAGCGTAATGTACTGGGCGTACGAGGAAAACCTGGCGAGTCGCAACCCCAGGAATGTGCAATGCGAGGGTCCCTCATGGCCGCCACGTGTAATTATAATTACAGATTCGAATTTTAGGCGAAAGTGATTCTTCGATTTTCTCCGACGCGGCTTGGAATGCACTGGGGGCCAAAGATATTGAGCTAAATGTTGTTATTGTCAATAGCGTTTGTCACCTCTGACTCGACACACAGCTCACTGTAGTCATCTAAATCACCTCAAGTCTTATGATTTCGACCTGATTACTCTCCTGCGACCTTCCAAAAAGAAACAAAAAGACTAAAGACCCAGATCCAGGTGATGCATCTGAACGCAAGGGGTATTGATGTTCCCGAAGTTAGGGTTAGTTGGGCGCCGATCGAGTGATAGGCGATAAAGACGCCCCGGGGGCCGTGGAAACCCCCGGCTGAAGTTTCCCTATGCCCTGCCTCGCTCGTATCAATTGCTTCGTTTCAAATATCCTTCTGTAACATCATGGAGCCAATATTCCATATTCTACTCCGTATGAGGTACTCCGTACTGTATTACAAATCTTTCGCAGCGTTCCTACACGTAGAATTATTCACTTCAGCAGGATACGTTCATTATATCAGAGCAGAAGGATATAGACCAGTCAAGGGAGTCTTTCAATAAAACACCCACCATCTACACTCCACAGGAAAACTTGAAACAATCCATAGATGTGCACTAAGTGACATCAAAAGAGATCAGAGCGCCTCAATTGAGTAGCGACAGCATTTTATCTCTTCGCCCTTCTAAAACCTTGGAAAATGTCTGGTCTCAGGTAATGGGCATTGAAAATTTGCTCGATCAAACAAGTTCCCCTTCTACACTTGTACTGTATCCTCGGAACATGAGTTCGCCACATTCCGGCGTTCTCAGGGGTTTGCTGCATGACATCCAATTGGCCTGCGCCATGCATGCAATCGAGATTCCCTCGGCCGATTTGATCTGTTATGACTGATCACTTCCAATATTCCCTGTATGCATCCAGCCAAGGTCAGAAAAAGCAAATCCCAAGAAAAGAACAGGTTCACATTCGGTTTGTGTGTTCTAGAATATAACACTGTTTTCCATGAGATCAACAGGACCAAGCGAAATTATCACTGCATGGGCCTCTTTGTTTATTATGTAGAAGACCGGGGGCTTGGCGGCATTCAAGAGCCTTCGGAGCGGGCCTCTGCGGGCACAAACTCAGGACGATCATCGCAAATTTTACTCACACGTGTATTAGTTCACCGGAGTCTCAGGATCGTAGAACGACTCCAGGGCTTGAGCTCAAGTGATTTCTTTGCTTCGTCTTAGCCAATGCGGCGGTACGGAGTTGATGTCAACACCGTCCGTAGCTCCTTGAAAAACATTGGCACCCTTGTCCCACCAGCCGCTGCCATTCTCAATGGCCTCGGACGGGTGATCCGCACTCGAAATGATGCAACCCACTTTAATTTCATTCACATTGTACCTCAGCGTTGCGGCAGAGAAGTGTTCACCGGTAGTGAGCCAACTAGCATCTTGTTCTACAGAGCATGCAAGTACTTCGTTAGCAAGGGGTCAGAGACCTCGAGATCTACGAGGTAACAAGTTCGAAATGCACTCTCTCCAGGTCAGCCGGGTGATCCTCATGAATTGACCTTGGTAGTTGTGACTGAAGCCAAATAAATCAAATACCTATGTATCAACTAGCCATGGCGTGCTAGTTGACCACGACTTTGTCGGATTGCAAGTTACCTTTGGATATTTTAATCTGTACCTTGGTGTTTCAAGTTCATGGATATTGTAAATTTAATGCAAAAATGTTCAATGCTGAAATCTATAAGACCACAGTAACCCCTTTGAGAGCATGGGAAAAATAAAAAGATAAAGTACACCAGAATATAAGAGGTATTGAAAACCATGCAACGTAGCCGCTGTGTTAGAAGATGAACACAGCAAAATGCAGGTGGGGAATAATGATGTGACGATTCCAATGTAGTGGGGGAAAAAGAGAAATCGTATCTAACTGAAGGTTTCGCTGTAAACGCCGTTCGCTATGCTGAAGTGTTGTGTCGCCGTGATGCATCATGTGCTTCGACACGAATATTGAAGAGGAGGTCATCGACCTCACGGAGGGCGTCTGGGCCCAAATTGGCTAATTTGAGATCACCCAGTACGTCCCTCAGGGCCTGCGTGATACCCGCTTGGGTAATTTCAGGTCGAGGTAGAGTGGATGATTCCTCCTGAGTCTGGATGCTGGCAGTGGCAATTTTTGTGGTTGCTTCGACACTGTCACGACCAGTTTGGGTCTCTGATTGTTCTACGTCCACGTCCACGTCCATTGTTGGTTCTGGCTGGGCCTGGTCGAACTTGATTGATCGATCATTTCCAGAGATCTGGGAATCTGTCGCTTCTTCGGTTGAGAGAGGAGGGGTGTTTTGCTCCGCCGCGTGCTCCTCTTCCATGGAAATCTCGGGAACAATTTCCACATCCATGTCCTCATCTGCAAATATTTCCGGTTCTTGTTTCATTTTCTCCGAAGGCGGATGGAAAATTGGAGGCTCAGGTACGGATTGAGACTCAATCGCGTGCTGTCGAGATCGTGTTTTCCGCAGGCCAGTATCTTGAGACGCACTTTGAGGTTCATTTTCAATGGATTCTGAGACATCATGGCCACCAAGACGAACAGATTTACGCGATCTTTTAGACGGCCGAGGTGTTTCGTCGTTGGCGGTGGGGTTTGGAAGAGGAGAATTCTGGGCGTCAGAAATGGCCTCAGGGGCGGAGTTGCTGTTTCGCTTTCTTTGCGAATTGCGAGTGGACCGACGAGTCGCAGTCGGCGATAGAGATTTGATTGGTGAAGCACTTTGGCTGACGTTCGAGATGGCAGGACTTCGTGGAGGCGTGCCATTGAGATCTAAAGGTTCAGCATGGAGACTGTCCTTCGCAGTCGACAGTCGAGTCGAGCGACGCCTATCGGTCCTAGTAGAAGAGGGCTGCGATTTGTCCTCATCATCGCGTTTCCTCTTTCGCAAGGAATGTTCTTCCACCGGTTGTTCTTTCTCGGGTTGGGCTCTCTGTTCAACTACGACGGCCAATTCCAGATCCAATCCTAGTTGGGAAGCAATTTGTGTCTCAGTCTCCTCGCTGGAGTCCATGACACTGTCGCCTCGGGTGTCGGACGACATTTCCAGGGGTTCCGGAGCTAGTTCCTGTGCAGAACAACTTGGGCTGTTTTTCTGTCTTTTGATGCTAAAACCGGCGGTAGACTTGCCGTTGCGAGGTTTCTGAACCGGTGTTCTGTTGGGGGAATCAACGGTTGGTGCAGGCGAAGGCACTGAGCTTGGCTCTGAGTCCTTGCCCCTTGCAGACCGCAGACGCCTGCCAGGAGTGTCCATATTCGGCCGAGGCGTCAAGTCAGCGTTTTCTTTATCGTTGTCGTGATCATTGGCAGTGTCCACATCATGACTTGTGGTGTTGTTCTCAGTAGCAAGACGTGAAGTGGCAGGACTATTCACTGTTGATTGTATACCTGAAGCACCAACGAGAGCCTTCCGCGCCTTCGCAGCCCGTCGGCGTGCAGTTCGTGCACGATTCTTCTGGGGACTTGGGCTCCGAGAATGAGGTTCTGGGGGAGATGAAGGGGGGTCGGTTTCCTGGCTAGTCGGAATGTCCTGGGGCGCTGGAGCGGCCGCATTAGAATTCGCAGAAGGTGTTGGTTCCTTCGTTCCAGGCGTAGGAGAGGAGCCAAAGAATCCATCTTCATTTTCGGTCGGCGCTAGGACCGGCGTCAAGAGAAGCTCAGAATTTGAGTCACCAGATTGCACTCTACGCAAATGAGGGGGTGTATTGAAGCCCAATTTGCGAGGAGTTGTCGCCGGCGACGATGATTGAATAGATTCAATCATGGAGAACATCTGCCGGCGGGTTCGACGCTTTCGGGATGCAGTAGTGCCATTGTCATATTGCGCATCGGTGATATCGGACTGGAAGCTATTTGGTAACTGAGGTTCAGTCTCTTGTTCAACTTCCTTGACCATAGAGCTTTCAGCTTGCATCACCGGCGAGCAGTCAAGCTCAGAACTACGCAAAGAGCGAGTCGCAGGTTGCAGTCTTTCTGCCGAACGGCCCGTAGATTCTTTTGGAGGAGAGGGGGCAAAGATTTGAACGTCATGAGCCACGTTTTTCAAAGGGAGGATAGGGCTGTGGATCTTAGATTCGGCGGATTCCACGGCTTGCAAAATATTGCTGGGGTAGGTATAAGAGTCCTTTGAGCCAAAGGTCAATGTCCAAAGGTCGACGAATTTCTTGGTTGTTGAGTTGTGAGACGATTCAAAGCCCGCGAGGAGGACATACTCAAATGTCTCCAAAGAGGGCAGATCATGAAGGACGGAGGTTTGTAGGACGTGAACAACAGCCGAAGTAAGAGAACCGTAAGCAGTAACAATTCTGCTATCAGCGCTGTCACCCAAGTCGACCACATTGATTTTGTGCAGTTCATCTTTCAACCAAAGACAAAGAGATGGCTGAAGATATTGAAGTACCTGACTTTGGAACTGTGGAACACCAGATCCCAAAAACGAAGTCAAAGCCTTAATGAATTCTGCAAGAGCGTGGCTGTCAGACGCGCCAAACTCGTCATACGCAAGACGCAACGTTCTGGAAACCGAGTCGAGGAACTTGCTGGGAAAAGCAGCATGACCAGGCGGTTGGCCGCCCCCGGGGTTGATACCCAAACCGGTGCCTTGCAAGAAAGGTATTGACAAAGAATGACCAAACAATGCCTTTGTAGGCAGATAGGTTTCTCCGACCGGAAGGCAAATTGTGTGCTCGGCTATAGGCTCCACGATCATCGTCGCTATGAGTTGATTACTCTTTTCAGTTTGGATGACGCGGACAAATGATTCAAGCAGATCGGACCATCCTTGAGAAGCAGCCGGAAAGCGAAGACCAGATAGGAGGATCTTGATGACATTGTCGTAGTCACGAGATACTGACCCATCGCGTTCACGCGCGGGTTCTATGGAGAAAGACCCCAGAGTGTTTGAGGCTGTTTGGGCAGTGGCATCCCAGACAAGCTCCGTCAGTGAAAGAGCTCGTGAGATAACACCAGTTTCTGCCGTGCTCAACTCCGCACACTTTTGCAAAAGTTCAAGACGAGAACCCCTTGAGATTTTGCTCTTGCATGCTGCTTCAACATTACCCATGACAAGGTCTTTATAAGACTGGCTTGGTAGTACCGACCATCCGGCGCTGCTGATGGACCGAAGAAGGTGCAGAATTGGACTGTCGGGGCTTGTGCCTAGTTGTCGATGGCGATCTGTTGGGGTGCTTACAGTTGCGAATGTTTCATCCGCAGTGCTAAGAAGAAGCTTTTGGGTGAATGAGATGCCGCCAACCGATCCGATCACAGTGGTGGACAGATATCGGAATCTGTCGAGGAAGATGTCTTGGTTGCTGGCATTTAGCGAGGACGGCCCAGCAACCCAGAGGCGATGCAGCAGACTGAGAACCCCTGCAACAGCCTGCATTGACTCTCCAGACGGTGTGATTTCTTTGCTGGACGCCAGCGACAAGGCACTGCAAAGGCTGTTCCAAGCCAGTGCCACGTTAGATGTTGCCACAGCATTATCGACCCAAAGTGAGGATTTGAACAGGTTTTCAAAGACTTTCAGGATAGATGCAAATCTCGATCGAACCCATTTGCAATCAGCCGAAGGAAGCTCGTCTGTGTCCATCCTGCTCGGATCGTCAATTCGACGGTCAGTCCAAATCTTGGGTTGCGTGCTCCACAGCAAATTGGAAATTATGCGCGAAAGGCAGTCGCTGAGGGCTGGCACTGTGGAGAAAATACCCGAGGACGGCTGTAGAACATACTCTTCCCATATGAAGTCGAGGTGTTGGGGAGTAGCCGAAGGCCGGAAGGTGTAATACAGCAGGTTGTAGTAACTGCTTAAAGCGAGTTGACTGGGTGGTGACGCGGACTTGTCCGTTTTCCTGCGATCAAACTGTGAGAGGATCGGTTTCCCCAGCATTTTGAGTAGCGAGCGACTGGTAGATTCTTCAGGCCCGACAACAGAGACAAATCGATTCCAGCCGATGATCGCTTGGGCCTTGATTAACGGTTCACTGCAGTTGAAGCATTTCTGCAGCACAAGCAGCCACTCTTTGTAATTGTGCCAGTGCTCCATGTTCCATCTTTTATTTCTCAAGAGAAGAATGATGACACTCCAAATCTGAGGAACATGCACACCGCTCTCTGTGAAGGTCATCATTCTCGTCATGCGCTCGCGGATTTCGGCAAAAATCTTTCGATCGTGCTCGAGTGGCCGGTCGAAGAACTCGCGGATGCTTTTTGACAGGGCAGCATTCGGACCAACCTCGGCGGCAATTCGAAAACCAAAAATGATCCCTTTGTCCCTGGTATCCTTGACATGATGAAGCATACCACCGATCAGATTCTCCATCCATAAGCCGGGATGAGATAGAAAGATGGGTTTAGCTTGCACCCAAAGACGTTGATAGACACTCAATCGATTAGAAAGAATTCCATTGCCAGATATGCGTTTGGTGATGTCTTGCAGTATCGTCAGAATACGCGTGACTCGAGCATTTGTCATAACCTTAGGTGAAAAGTTCTGCGTGTGTAGTATGGCCATGTAATGCGCCAGAACGGATTTTGGGGCTTTGGCCTCGTGCAGGGAAGAGATAGAATGTTCAACCAGGAAGATTTTGAAGTCCTCTGGTATTTTGGCAGATATCTGGGGGTGCCAGATAAATGTTGCCGACAGTTTCAAAGCTTGGTTGGCAAGATTTGTGTCTTGAATTCCAGCATTCGTAAGATCGCGCTTCACGTCCCGCTGAATAAACTCAGTGATTGTCTTCAGTTTTTCGCCAATCTCTTGACCGGCCGGTAAGCCATCGTATGCTCGGAGGGCGTTGAAAAACTGCATGTAGGCGTCAAGTCGCGAGCTTGTTGACTCGCCGGCCAACTGTGTGATGCTTGACTCGAGGAGCATAGCGAGAGATTCAGCTGTGAATATATTGACATTGGGCGACCAGGCGGGGATCGGAGATTGTGTCGTCTTCAAGATGGATTTCGTAGGCTTTGAGTCTGTGGAAGGGATGATCTTGATGTCGCCGGCCGATTGCGAGGCGCTAGCAAAAGTTGGTGGTTTGATAAACTTGGGCCATGGCGAGAAGTTTACTCTCTTTGAACTTCGGCTTGAAGTTCCAGGTGCTGATTCTAACGATTCGAAGGACGAGGTTTTAGGCGTGGAAACGGTCAATGGTGATGCGATCTGGTTGTCGTCTGCGATGCGCGAAGCTGTCCTGGGAGGTGTGGGCGGACGAGCAGAGAAGATCTCCACCATGATTAAGCTCAGACGCAAATTAAGAAAGAAAAGAGAAAGCAGGTGAAGGTCATTGCTTGAATGTTTGAGGTGAACCGAGAGGCCATGGAGAAAACTAAGTTCCGACGCGGCGCGATGCGCGTAAAGTGTCACCGCCTGAGGCGACGAGGCACCCGCACGGGGTAATCTGCGTTTCGACGTGACCAGCTACCCCTCAGGCAACGCGAGCTGCAGATTCAGCATGGACTTTCTGCAGATGCAAGGAACAGGTATATCGTGACAGGAGACTAAATGCGCGACATCAAAGCGAGCTGCTGACAACATCCTTGCTTGAATACAGCGAAGCTGCAGCAGGTGACGCAACTGCTCAAGAGTCTCGAGAAAGACCTTCAAGACAAAAACCTCACCTCAGCAGGTAAGTTCGCCCCTTTTTGAATGGATCATACGAGCAATTGAACTATATGACCTATCATTAATACAATATACCTACAGAAAGAGTACAGACCCTCCTCAAGCTCCGACAGCACGGCACGAGTCCATCGAACGCCGAACCAATCTTTTCGCAGAATGTAGGGGATATCGCTGGACGCAACTTCCAAGAGGGCGAAAATTTTTCTGATTATCGGCCAGGGAATCTCGATTTTGACTCAGTATGGAGTTGAAGGAGAGACGCCCGGCGTTCGGCGCGCCGCTCTGCGTTGTGTTGCAAATGCGCTCTTGCTCGATGCTAAAATGCGTCAAAGTCTCGTCGACACAGGATACGGGAATAAGCTAGCAGATATGCTTCAAGTATGAATGCTCTGCACGCCCATCTTATTCGTGGCTGACGGGGATCGAGCAGACCGATGATTCAGAGGACGAGATGATAGCAAGCCGAATCCTGTTCTACACGACGTATGACACCACCATGGACTTTGAGAATTTAGTCAAGACCCATGGTTTGGCAGATAACGTCTCCTATGTGAGATAAAGAGCCTATGTTTCGCTGGCAGCCATGCTAACTAGCGCAGCAATTGAGCCGCCATGCCAAACAATTCCCTAAGTCGGGAAAGGTACCCCTGTCTCAAATGGACGAATTAGCTCTGACCGACACACTCAAGCTGATATACAACGTGTCGAAGATCTACACAGGCCTTGCCGCGTCTTTTTCGACCTCACTACCTCATATTCTGAAGATCATTACTCGCATTGACATTTCACACACACCTCTGGATGGGATCCTCGGGGGGTTGCTTAACGCCTTATCTATCCTCGACCTGTCTGCAACCACGGGCAAGGTGTTTGAGAACAATCCCCTTTTCCCATCATTTGATCCGAAATGTAACGTGGATAGATTGATTGGTATTTTGGACCAGGCCGGGGTACAATATAGCCCCGAAGACTTGGAGGCCAAGGCAGTCCCATTGCTTTATTCACTGATCACAATCTACGAAGTTGCTCCAGAGGACATTCAGAAGCATATGCAGCAGCTTCTCTTGCCTGAGGAAGGCGATCGCAGCTTGCCTATCGGCCAATCTGATACCCTACCTTCAAGACTTCTCAAACTCTCAACCAGCCACTTCGCCAATCTCAAGGTTGCGATCTCTGAGCTGATGTTTGTTCTGTCTGGGAGGGACGCCGAGGTCCTCACCAAAAACATTGGCTATGGCTTTGCTGCTGGTTTCTTGGCAGCCCGTGGACTTGAAATGCCTCAAAGTGCCAGTGAAACATACTCGACTGACAACGCTGAATCGTTGATTAATCCAATCACGGGACAAAACCTAGCCGCCGAGCCAACGGATGATCTTCCTCCGATGACACAGGAAGAGAAGGAGCGCGAGGCAGAGAGACTCTTTGTCTTGTTTGAGAGGTAATCCTATTGTTGCTTCACATCCAAGCCAGTCACTAACGATGGAAACAGAGCGAGGGCGAACGGCCTGCTTAACGTTGAGAACCCGGTCACCCAGGCTCTCCACGAGGGAAGATTTGAAGAACTGCCAGATGATGCTGATAGCGACTGAACGACATGTTCTCAATATGCGCAACCTCCTGGGTTTCCAAGATTGGCTCTGGTAGTGAGCTACGGAGCATGTACATACAGCCTGATACCCTTGTCTCTGTGGCTCAACTGGACTCTCTTAAGGGTCTGTCTAATTAAGGAAAGCTTTATACGTACACTCCCTCGAACTCCAGCACAAACATATAGATGGCGAGATCATAGACAGAATCAGCCAACAATGCCATGTACTAGTTTCACTACTTTCACTACTTTCATTGGTTTCATCCATGCTGTCTAGGTACTTCAATGGGCATAACCTTGGAACTTTAAGAACACTGAAAATTTATAAGAATTATCATGCAGAAAGCTCTAGAACAGCATAAAAGACAACATGCCCTCCAAGTACTCCTTACGGAATAGCACATTGGCCTTTATGCAGTGTGGGCCAAATGACGTTGCGCCGACCGCCCGAAAAAAATTAAGGCGGGGCACCGAGTTGAATTTCCACCACCGCACTTCCTCTCCAAACCACTCCTTTCGTGTATTCATTTGGAAGTTTATACTTTGCACAAACCCGTCAAAATGTCCAAGCCATTCAACCCCGAGGAGGCGGAGAACCTGGAGGATGTATGACCCCGCGTCCCTCTTGGATCAACCTGGAAAATCGGTGATCGCTGACAATCGCTATAGATGGAGAAGCAGTTCGCTGTCAAAGGTCAGTCGCCAATCGCTCAGAGTCTTACCAATCAATCGCGTTGAATCTTTTGAACCAATATTGACATTTCGTCCCACTTCAGCTGTCGAACACCTCATGACATACTGGGCTATTTTGGAGAAGGTCAAGGGCTCCCAACTGCGCCTGACCAAGCAGGACAACGAGATCTACGAGTCATTCATGGAGGCATTCCCCGACTTCGATCCTGCCGGAACCCTCGTCGAGGACGACATGAAGAGCAAGGCGGGCAAGGAGAAGTGGCGCACCTGGATGAACAAGTGGCAGAAGGTCGAGGACTACAACTTCGGCACCATCATCCGTACCCGCGCGGACGCCGAATACGACCAGGACACCACTATCTTTGGTGTGCGCATGCAGTTCTACGCTGTTGAGATTGCCAGGTATGTACTGAGTGGAGCCTGTTGAGTCATAATCGCGTGGAAATTAATAGGATGTTCTAGAAACCGCGCTGGTCTCAACGATTGGATCTACGAGAAGGCTTCCAAGGCTAGCTCTTGATTTCCAAGCACATACTTTGCTGCTGTTCTCTACATTAGAACGGTTCCACTTCCGGGCTGATTGGCCGACGGCATTCGCCTGCTTTGTGGCGCAGATGATGGACGGCCCTGACATCGGAATTTGATATCAGGATCTGGCATTATCGCCTTTTGGGATTGGTTGTTACGATACATGAGTTGTCATTTACCATAGACATATCGGGTTTGATTTGCAATCAAACCATCAATCACGACTTGAATGCGGACCGGAAAAGCTGTCACCACAAGTCACAATATACCCAGAATCAATATTCTTCCCTTGTCTTCGTGTTTTCCCATGATGAAATGGAGTCTAGGCTAGAAATGAGGTTTGAGGCTCGAAGGGTGAATGCCACGTGATTGGGGACAATGTCGGAGGGAGGCAAGGTTGCCTTTGTTCTACAACTTCAATGCTACCCACATTTGGCAATCTCTTAATATTGTTCTCTCCGACCCATATTATAGGGAATTAAATCATTCAAGATGGATGTCTCGCCGAATTCTAGACCTTCGGACATCTTGCTATGCCGTTGTGTTACAACAGCGCTGGAAAAGTCATTGCTAGTCGCCGAAACCCCTAAACTCGAGCGTCGAGTACCGAAGCACGATGGTTATCAAAGGAAAATCCACCAGCGCGAATGAAGACAACAATAACGGCGAGCCTGATGTCATAAGCCCCAGCTGGAAATCCTTATTCGGTTTTACGGCACGAAGACATCTCCCGACTCTCATATTAGGATCCATTCTCGCGCTAATTGCTAGTTGTGTGACGCCTGCCCTGGCTGTCTTCCTTGGGAATGTATTCGACTCATTCACGGGTTTCGGAGCAGGTCTGGTCAATTCTCAAGGACTGCAGAGATCGATAACTCAAAGTTGTTTCGGAATGATCGGACTAGGAGCAGCAGGCTGGTTCTTAAATGGAGCATATTATGCATTCTTCGTTGCGTTCGGTGAAATGCAGGCCTCTACCATCCGCAGTGAAGTGTTCGTTGAACTTTTGAAGCGGGATGTTCAGTGGTTTGAAGCTCAAAGCGAGGGTTCCGGGGCTTTCTTATCCAGAGTTCAAGCGTGAGTGCTTTTTCATATCCCAGAGAACGAATCTCGGACGATCTGACGCCATTTAGACACATACATGAAATGCAGATGGCGACTTCACAGCCTCTTGGGCTCCTCTTGCAGTATTCGTGCCGATCTTTGGCGTCGCTAGCGCTTGGCTTTTATACATCATGGAGCCTCTCCCTGGTCACTCTTGCGGCATTCCCAATATTCTCGTCAATCATCGCATTTCTATCTTCAAGAATGAAATCCAGCATTCAGGCGCAGCAGGATGCACTCACTGAAGCATCTAAAGTTGCCAACAATGCCATCACCAATATTGATACGGTCAAATATCTCAATGGCCAAGCATGGGAACATCGGAGCTTTCGTGAGCACATCGAAGCTTCCGCCATACACTATCTTCGACAGGCCAGACTCAACTCGCTCCAAATTGCCTTCATTCGCTGGATGATGTTCGGAATGTTCGTCCAGGGATTTTGGTACGGAAGCTCGCTGGCTCGATCTGGAAAGCTCACATCTGGCGAAGTTCTCAGAACCTTTTGGGCTTGCTTAACTGCAGCTCAATCCATTGAACAAGTTTTGCCGCAGATGATTGTGATGGAGAAAGGCAAGGCTGCTGGTTTGGCTCTCAAATCAATAATCGAGAGGACGAAAAACAGAGCTGTGAGCGAGATCAGAGGCCGATATCCACTACACTGTGAGGGTGACATAGAGGTCAACAATGTGAGTTTGAGTGGTGTTCGAGATGCTCTCCCAGAAAAACAAGAAGACTAATCAAAATTGGTGAAGGTCTCATTTGCATATCCTAGCCAACCCGACCAATGTGTTCTAAACCCATCAACTTTCTTCTTCCCAGCCGGCGAAACAACATTCGTTATTGGAAAGAGTGGATCTGGAAAAAGCACACTCAGTCAATTACTGATGCGGTTTTATTTGCCCACATCAGGCGAGATCCTGATCGACCGCACCCCGATGCAAGAACTGGACGTCAACTGGATCCGCAACAATGTTACCCTCCTCGAGCAAAAGAGTGTGTTGTTCAACGAGTCTATGCTTACAAACATCGCGTTTGGCCGTCAGGACTACGAATATGTCACAAAAGACGACGTTCAAGACTCTATTGATCTAGCCATGCTTCAAAACACCATGGATGGCCTTCCATTGGGAATTGACACCAATCTTGGCCCTGGTGGGAGCTCTCTCAGCGGCGGCCAAAGGCAGAGAGTGGCAATTGCCCGAGCAAAGCTACGAGATACACCAATTTTGATATTGGATGAACCGACCAGTGCCCTTGATCACACCAATCGGGTCGCAGTTATGAAGGCAATTCGTGAATGGCGGAAAGGAAAGACAACAATCATAATCACGCACGATATGTCTCAAATTATGGATCAAGACTTCCTGTATATTCTGGAAAAGGGTTCGATCGTGCAAAGCGGATACAGATATGCTGTCGAAGTCAGTGCGGGAAGTGAAAAGTATTTCCGACCCAAGGCCGGCAGTGGGGTGGAAGCAAAAGTGATTCCGACCAGACGAGCCTTTGACGATTTGGACATCCGCCCAGGAAAGTCCGGTGAAGCCTTTGAAACCCTGCTACCCCCACCATTCTTACGCGAACATCGACGTTCGAGAACATCATGGGCCCAAGATCATATCCCAATTACCCTCCGCTCCAGCTCACTCGACTTGACATCACGACGAGACTCAGATTTCATAACCAGACGAAGAGAGTCACAGGCGCTTCCCTTGCGTGATTGGAACCAACGTGTGTCCTTCTTTACAGATGACACCAGTCCTCATCCCGATTCAAACCAAAGCACGGCTCGTTTCTCGACTCAAGACGTTGAGATGACACCGATCGACTATCATGACGCACCAATTGATAAGCAACTCCAGAATAGCGCTCTTGCTTCCCATAACCTCGTGGAGAGAAGGCCCCGACAAAGACACTGGCGTAGGACTAAAAAGTCAAAACAGCATTTCGTGAGAAAAGACAAGATTACGCCTCTTTCTCAGATCATGGGAACGATCGTACCGAGCCTTAATCTCAAGCAGCGCGTGCTTCTTTTCCTGGGGCTCTCGGCCTCGCTGGCCCATGCTAGCGCCACCCCAATATTTTCATACTGTCTGTCGCAATTATTCGGGACCTTTTATGCAGGGAGCAACAGCGCACACCTCACAATGACTTGGTCTCTTGCCGTACTGGGGGTCTCTTTTGGGGACGGGGCGGCCTCTTTTTTCATGCACTACTTTCTCGAACTATGTGGTGAGGTCTGGATGGATAACTTCCGCAAGAACGCTTTCGAGCGAATTCTTGATCAGCCAAAGGCTTGGTTTGAGCAAGACGGTCACGGTTCTCTCAGGCTCACCTCGTCTCTTGACCAAAATGGAGAGGATATGCGCAACTTGCTTGGTCGGTTTGCCGGCTTTGTCGTTGTTGCTGCAGCTATCACCGTGATGTCGATTATCTGGAGTTTAATCGTTTGCTGGAAGTTGACTCTTGTAGCCCTATCTTGCGGGCCAGTGATCTACATCATCACCCGAGGGTTTGAAGGAACCAACGGCATGTGGGAACGGCGATGCAATGATGCGAATAACGATGCAGCTGACGTATTCACGGAGACATTCACAGAGATTCGTACTGTCAGAACATTGACACTGGAAGGCCACTTTCACCGCAAACAAGCCAATGCCATCGCCCGATGCTTGATACTTGGGCTGAAACGTGCCATTTACACGGGCATGCTGTTTGGCATGGTGGAATCGACTGTGATTTTCTCCAGCGGTGAGTTCTCCTTACCCGAACTCTACAGGCTCTCATATTCTGACAGTTTTTGATAGCTTTGATTTTCTATTATGGAGCGGTACTTGCAGCATCCGGGGAGTTTAATGTGAATGATGTGATGACAGTGTTCTCGATGCTCCTTTTCAGCATCGGATACGCAGCACAGATTCTTTCATGGAGTTCGTTTCCCCACTACTACCGAAGAGATGGCAAAATGCTGACCTGCGTATAGTTCCGCAAATCAACACTGCTCGCGAGACTGCGACGCAGCTTATCCGACTCGCAAAGCTCCCCCGCGATGGATCACACGAGCACATTGGCTCCCTGACGGTCTCAAAGCTCACCCCTATAAAGTTCACCAATGTGGAGTTCAGATATCCTTCTCGACCCAAAACGGTGGTGTTGAAAAACGTCTCTCTCGAGATCCCACGCAACTCCTGCACGGCACTGGTGGGACGATCGGGATCCGGAAAATCTACAGTCGCTTCGCTCATATTAGCACTCTATGAAACGCCTATTTCTGTAACGGGAGGCTCTACAGTCACGCTCGGTGGCACAGACATACTCCGTCTACATGTGCCGACCCTCCGGTCACAGATATCTATAGTCTCACAGCAACCTACGATCTTCCCTGGGACCATCCACGACAACATCACATACGGCCTTGATCAACATTCTCCACTAGCCACATCGCACAGTGTTCGCATTGCAGCTCAGGGGGCTGGTATTGACGACTTCATTTCCTCTCTTCCGCGTGGCTACAACACTGTCATCGGAGATGGCGGAATCGGCCTTTCAGGTGGACAGAAGCAACGCGTGGTCATCGCCCGGGCGCTCTTGCGCCAGCCTCAAATATTGATCCTTGATGAAGCCACTTCTAGCCTGGATCCTGCTGGTGCGGAGGTTGTGCGTCATACAGTACAGCAATTGGTCGCCACGCGTCAGGGACTTACTGTCATCATCATCACACACGCGAAAGAGATGATTGAGATTGCCAATCATATTATAGTACTTGAGCAGGGGGTTGTTGTGGAGGATGGGCCATATGCGAAATTATTGAAGATAACTGGTGGGAAGTTGCACTCTTTACTTAGTGACCCCGAAGAGGTCGGCACATAGATGGTCGTCTGACATCAGGCTACACTTAGGGACTTGGCCATATTATATTCGAAACATGGTGCAGAGAGAAGGTCATTGGCGTATCTTATTTGAATTCTTGTTTTTTCCCCTCCAATTTTTTTCTCTCTTTGTCCTTGCAGTTTACGCAAAATACATGAACTCGCGAGACGATCACAACGTAAAAGTCTTGGCTCTCGCGATACCTTGGCGCGTTCCACAACCTGCAACCCCCTCAGCCTTACAGCCTTACACAGCCTGCTGGTTAATCTGATCTCCCAGATATCTTGATAGGTCAGAGCGAAGATGTCAAAACCGACTCTGATTTTCGCCCCGGGCGCGTGGTACCCACAAACCATCTTCGACCCAATCATCGAGAAGCTCCCCGACTACCGCAGCCACAGCGTTGCGTTCCCCTCTGTCCACGAGGCAAGCTCAGTCACCCACCTTCGACCAGACATTGACGCTGTACGGTCTTTAGTACAGCGAGAAGCAGACGAGGGCAATGAAATCGTTGTGATTGCGCATAGCTGGGCCGGCTTACCCGTAAGCAGCGCACTGGAAGGTCTGAGCAAGACGGAACGCGAACAAGCCGGCCAAAATGGCGGCGTGGTGAAACTGCTTTTCATCGCTGCGTTTCTTCCTAATATTGGCGAGAGTCTGATCGGCGCGTTTGGTGGGATGCCTCCACCATGGTACGAGCTTGATGTAAGTCTTCATGTTTTGATTACCTTGTTTCGTACAATTTCTCGTGTCGTCCTAATTGGCTGACATCCTTCACAGGAGGAAGAAGGAACTGTGTTCTCCAGTGACCCCCTTGTGTTGTTCTTCCATGATGTTCCCAACGGCGCCGAATGGGTTAAATCGCTCAAGCCCCACGCTTGGGTGGCTCAAACTGCACCTGCTACTGGTGCGGCATATCTCACCATCCCCACAGCCTATCTTCTATGCGAGCAGGATCGCGCAACTCCCCTGCCAGTTCAACAGGTCTTGGTCGAACGTGCTCGACGGAAGGGGGCTGAAATTGAGACCGAGAAGATTGCCTCTGGAAACACGCCATGGTTGGCTCTGCCTGATCAGTTTGTCTCTTACATCAAAAAGCATATTGCGGTCTAAGTCTCGACTCAACTCTTCTACAATGAAACAAATCATTTCATCCTTAAATGATGTCAATTTACCCTTCCCAGCACGAGGCAAAGAAATACATACACACTGCCACCTGAAACTCTCCAAGGAAAGACTCAAACCAAAGGATCGATATGTACACACGCGCGTATACTGTACGTCAACGCACCCGCAAATAAACCTGGAACTATCCTGTCATGACACTGGCCTCCGACCTGAGCGTTCTCCTGTGGCGTCTCACCGACGCCTGTGAAACGAACTAATCGTGACCAATCGATCAAATCTCCCGTCCGTACCAGACATACCAAGTTTGATGGCTCCCTTCTGTTGAATTGTACCTGCTTCCCCCGACATCAGACTTCTTGCCAGACTTGCTTCAGTTACCACCAACAGTCACAGTCAAAAGACTCGGATTGCCATCATAAACACTTCCTGACTGGTCGATTCCTCCATTTGGCGAGACATCGTCAAAGGGGAATGCATAACCCCGTGCGTCTAGGCTCACTGAATGGCATATACGTGAGTAGTGGTTTGTTGGGACAGTATTATAATACCTAGAGACCGACTCTCCATTGGGCTGGTTTTTGTTCAGTAGCAAGGTCGACCGATTGAAAGCAGCGGCGAGTCGTGCAGTGACGGCGTCCCTTGTGCCGTTTCCAGAGGCAGCGAAAGGCCCAGAGCTATTGCTGAAAATATCGGCAGTAGAAGGCTTGCCATAAGAAATACCTTGAACCGAGGTATACATCACGCCCGAGGAACATTTGGCAGTGATATCCCCGGCTGCGGCTTGGGTATTGATGGTCAACATATTGTTGGTGTTGTTGTCATAGTAGTTCCAGACGTCATTGACATAATTTTCATAATAGTTGTTGAAAAGAGAGTTGTTCATCACCCTCCCCAGGTTTGGAGACAAGGCTCGAAGATTGACACCGTTGCGTTGGACAATAAGTTGATCCCAGCCGGCATGGTCTCTGTTGTTCTGATCCCTGAGACCATTGCATACAAGGTCTAGCCCGTTGGAGGGCAAGCCTCGGACAGTCTGGGTCCCGCCAGATGCATTTGTCAAGGTCATGGCGATGGGGAGGGACACGAAGTCGACATAGCTCAGGTTGGCATAGAGCTGGGCGCTGTTCCAAGTGAATTCACAGAAAGCCCAATTGAGGTTGTAGTTTGGATCCGAGGTATTAGACACCGAGGGCTCTACCAGTGCAGCGCCGGTGGGAGTGGGGTTGAGATAGAATGTCAGTTTGTTGTCTCGCACAAACCACAGCCGAGCGCCCGCAAGGTGCGGGATGGTTATGTTGGTGGTGCTTCCAGATGCACCCAGGTAAATCCCACAGTCAACTTCAAGATTGCTCAGAATGCCAGATGGCCTGGAGGGATAATATCCCGACCTGCCATCGGATCGCAAAAGAAACAGCGCATTGTTTTGGTCAATTGCCAAGCCTGTGACGTAGGCGTAGGCATTGTTTGACCCAGTGTTGTTTTTCAAAGCAAAGTTCAGAGTTGCCATTTTGAAAGTCGATTTCAACTAGAAAGGGTTGAAAGCTCAAGTCGGTTGGAGAAAGTTCCAAGGTTTTCGAGGGGCACTTGCGGAGTTCCCAAGGCTGTGGACTGAAGCGGTTGCCGAAGTTGCCGAAGTAGTTTTGAAAGGTTGAAGATGGCGGGACGGTAAATTCCAAGGTTAGAGTACAACTAGAGTTAAGTCAAGCCAAGGCGGACCCAAGCACGAAATGAGTAGAAGATGTTCAATCTGAAGCGCTGAGGGTTGCCAGTTGTGTCAACTCCAATAAGAAGCCAGTATCAAGACCCACAAATAGGCAGATGTGTGATTTCAAGCACTATCCTACGCAGTCTGCTTCATTATATATAGATCCTGGATCCCAAATTTCCAAGAAAATCAAACCCTTGCAAGGTTCCAAGGCTGGAATCGAACAAGAGCTGGGGGGCAGGGTGACAGAACCCTGTGATGGAGGGTGGCAACGGTCTTTGGCTCTTCAATCATGCTCTGGAAACGTTATAATCGGTCATTGCGAATTATTCATGAATCCCATCTAACGTAAGAAGCAAGCGACAATTGGATTCCAAGCCAACGCGGGTCGGCACGATCATGCCGTGTCTCCAGGTGATCGCATGGCTAATTTGGCCCCCGGCGCCATGTGCGGGGCCCTCGATCAATTTGCAAATCCGGGGTTTCTAATGCAGGATCTGTGATTATGGAAGACGATGGGACCCTGGTCTCTACAAGAATCAGGGGGGTGTTTACTGGCACATGGTCATCCGCACGCATACCTATTACCTTCCATCCGCCCAGGTTTTATGGACTAAGTCCACTGGATGATCACGAAAACCTTCAAGTTCCAAGGCTGTCACAGATCATATGGCAAACTTCAAAAATCCCATCTTTATAATATGCAGGTTCGGAGGCTGAAACAATTAAAAGGTACCACAGACCGCAGCCCAAATCAGACGGTGTTACACCAACCTTGGAAGTGCTTTAAATCAATGACATTGAGGGCAAGAAAGCCTCCTCCATCTTCCATAGGTCAGGTCAAGTGGCCGATATCATCCGATCGATAACGGAAGATCTGAATTAATGTATAGTCCTAAGTTCGTTGGAGTTGTTACACAATAAACCCTCCAAGGAGGCTGGTTCCTAATTTACCTTTCTGAGGGTGGCCACGCATGGCGCAAAGGTTGTTCACTTTTGGAGCAATTTACAATTTAAAAAATGGAAAGATATACCGTGACTGCAATATCGTATTTTGTTCAGGTTTTCCCATACCTAGGTATCTGCGAGGTATATTGGCGAGAACAAACCTTGGAATCCATGAATGGACTCTGTTTGGCTGTCCAGGTTGCAGATTTACCATAGGTCATAGGTAGCGACTTGGCCATGGAAATATCTAAACATGACAGGCTCCTATGTCTTGAAGCCAAAACTCCCCGAAAAGCTAAAGTGTTATCTTGGATTGGTGTTCCTGATCAATGAAAACAATTACAGGAAGTTCAGTCGATACACTTTTAGTCGTTAATCTCATCAAAATACCGACAGATCCCTGTGGGCTTTCAAACGCCAGAATTAAAATGCTCCTAGGGACCAAGATTGTGTACTTTCCGAGATTTGAAGCGATAGTTTGGCAGATTTCGTCATCGTACCACGATGCTCCCCCGACAACTATGGGAAGGCTGATGCCTAGGTGGTCACCCACTTTCTGAGTAATTACACTGAGTACACAAACAAAACCTATTGTATCAAAAAGTCGGCTATCGGCGCCGACTGCCGTAGTGCCATATCGCCATCACTTCTGACGATGAGCAATCGACACTTTGTTAGGTTTAGCGGGCCCACATTAGACATATAGATCGACTTAATCAGGACGACGCGACGAAGATGTGCGAAATAGTACTCCGCGGAGTAGAAGTGGCTGACATTTGGTTTGACTGTATTCTAACATTGTACAAATTGAAAATTCTTAGGCGTAAAATTGCCAAGTTGATACGGAAATATTCATTCTTCCAAAGGAGACATGTGCTGGCTAAGTGATACCATACAGAGTTCCTCTTCACCCATTCAATCCTCGACCAGAGTCAAACTTTAACCATTTCTTTCTGAATCTCAGATGACGTTGAGTCGTCGTCAGCACCGTTACGTTTCCATTCTAAGATCAGTCAGTTAGAGAGCACGTTCCTTGGGGTTGTTGTCAGAGAGAGGCATGAGGTATTGACATACTTCGGAACCGACGTGCGGGAACTTTCTCAGTCCACATGATCTCTAGCTCCTCTAATGAGCGCCCTGACATATCCGGGAGACAAAAGAAGGCCCAGACAAGTCCAATAATACCGAATCCGCCATAGATAAATCCGACCTTCGAGTGAAGGTTGGCATATCCCGTCCCCAAGAGGTAGGGTAGGGTGTAGGACACGACAAAATCGCAAACAAACTGAGTCAAGTAAACAACCATCGAAGACTTGTCACGCAACTGCAGGTGCGGAACTTCTGCTGCCGTCACAGCGCCACTGTGGACATAGGTCAGCACATGGGAGAGCCTGGAAACATTAAACAAAACACTCACATAGCCCCAAAGGACATGATATAGAACCATCCAAACAGTACACATGCCGTCAAAATACCCGTTTTGTCGCCAGATGTGACATTTCCAATTCCCAGACCACCGCAGATCAGAAGAACGGCAGTACAAGCACTTCCTGCGGTGAGGTAAAATTTGCGTCGACCGACGATGTCAACGAAGGAAAAGGTTATAATAGGACCCAGACATGTGACGGCAGAAGATATGACTTTGAAAGTGAATGGATCCATCGTTTTGAGACCCTTGATGAAGATGGCTCCGTACTGACTCATGAAGCTTTGGCCAGTCAATTGGTTGAACATTGCCACTCCTATTGCAATTCCGAGTCGTCTCTATAAAACATGGGAATATCAGTAAACTCTTGCGCTTCTCAAGTGGAGGTTTGTTGGCGTCATGTCTCACTCTGTTTGGTCCTTTAAGGAAGTCCACCCAGCGGCCTTTCGTTTCCAAATCCGAGCAAATGCTCTCATGAAGGTTACCAACTTCGGTGGCCACATCCTGTTCCGAGACGGAAGACCCCTTTAGCCAGCACAAATGTTTTATGGCTCTCTTATTTTGACCTTTTCGCACAAGCCAACGAGGGCTTTCGGGGACAAACCAGAAAAACACCAAAACAAACAACGGGAATGCGAACATGGACGCTAGCGGTATCCGCCAGGATGAATCACCTTCAAACGAAGAAGTTTTGAGAGTCACAAAGGAGCATATCAAGGAGCCGAGAATGTGTGCCAAAACATACACAACCACGATGCCACCTCGGAGGGCTGTAGGGCTGATCTCGGCCAGGAACATCGGCGCCAGGAAGTTGTCCCAACCCACAAAGCATTGAACGATGATCCTTCCACCAAGTGCCTGCCCAAAATTTTGGGCACTATAGCTGACGGCAATTCCAATAATCACGATGAACTGCATCGCGATGTAAGACGGTTTTCTTCCAAACCTCTCCGCCACCAGTAAGCCTGTCACGGCGCCAAGGCATTTTGCAGGAAGACCAAACGAGTTCAGAAACGATAAGTGTTCCGCAGTAAAGCTCCATTCTTGTGTCGAGGGATTGTAAGTGCCGAATCGCTTTTCATAGGCTGTCAAAGGTGGAATTAGAACGGTTGCAGAGGAACTGGAAGTTATATTTACCATCCATTGCCTGGATCGTCGAGAAGACACTTTGATCAAATCCAAAGCTAAAAACACTGGCATTGATGACTATAATGGCCAATAGCAGATTCCAAGAGACCTGTCTGAAAGACTTCAAGTCCTTTAGGTTTGCCATGATGTAGCAAGGCTGCCAGGGGTGATCCAAATGGCTCTGAGATCGATTGACCTGGACCATCCAATTTTTATCACATCTTTATACAGATATCATCTATATTCCTCAATAAGCCCCTGTCATGTCGTGATCGGGGGTTAGATCCACTTACTATCAAGCGTGGCTTGTGCTAATACACCTGTAATCCATACCTCCATTACAATTTCAGCGACAATACATATCAAACAGGATTATTTTCCTCGGCCTAGATATTGCTCAATCATAGGTTGTCAATTCATCTGGAAAAGGAAAGAAGAGTCTGGGCTTGTATGTAAAGATTGGTATGGGGTTCCTGCGGCACTAGTTATTTTCAATTCGTTGAACAAAGGCACATCACCGTGGAGAAAACCACCTGGGCACTTCCTTTTAAATGTTTTCTAGTGCATCCTTAGGTCTCAATTCATACTGTTTCTTGCCAAGCTGCTCTCCAGAGCTTAGCTTTTAATGATGCTCTCCAAAGTTTGAGAATGAAACAACCCAGTGTTCTGGTATCAAGCTTCACAACAGCTTGCGGCTATCTGATGCTATTCACTCAAGGCATCCGGCATTAGATTCAATTGATCTCAGAATGCCAAGCTTAATGCTCACTCAATTACATGGTCTCAGTAGTGAGCTGTGACGCCGCAAAGAAAGGGACAGTGCCCTTTGGCTCTCGTACACATTGCCGCTTTGGGGTGACATGATCGAGCTGATGAGTTGATATCTCCCGATACTCTCTCAATGTAGCCAAATTAAGAAACAGTTAGCAAAGCTAGAATACGTGAAGTCGACTCGGTCAATGGAAGAGTACGAGCTCGAAAATCCAAGCCCATGGCACACCTTGGTAAGTAGCTCATCAACAGGACCTTTGAATGATTGAATACTCCTGGGTTCAAAGTTTCTTTGCCATACTTCTGCGCTGTATTCATGGAGTCCGACAGAGCTTTCATCATGTTATGTTTTTTTTCTTAGGATATACCAGCCTATCTTTCCAACAGCTCTTAGGCTGTCCATGGGCGGCCCGTGAAGTCTATACCCCAGCCAATCGAACGGCGTTCTGGCGATGAACCGAGCCAGAACAAGGGTTTCCCTGATACCAATCAGAGTTGAGCTGTTGACAGAGACAATGAAGCTTGTCATTTACTTAGCAATGGTCATTTGAGCCACGTAACTACGACATGTGAGCAGAGCAACTGTCGCGTGCAGCCAGGTTCCAGATGTCGTAGATGCCGCTGAGTCAGCGGCAGCAGGAAAAAGGAGAAAGATTGAAGGAGAAGAGCTTTGACTCTTTAGAAACAAAATAATAAGAGGCAGTTGCAACAGATCCTACGGGGTCATCGTCAAAGTGAAATACTTCAGGTGCCTATTGCGGGCCCAATTGACAACCCCGCGCCAATCGTTGACACAGATCCGTGCCCCTCGATTTTCTTTTCTTCCACCAACCCCTCCACGCGCATTCACCATGGCGACTGCAGCAGCCCCCGAGTCTTCTCTGCTCTCTCTTCTCTACAGGTCGTACCCGAACGTTATCTCTCCCAATGCGACCGAGCCCGACTACCTCCACGCCTCCGCCAAGGTTTTCCCTCAGGTTGTCTTCGCCGAGACTGAGGAGGCCGACATCAAGCAATGGCTGCACACCGTTGACGGTCTGAAGAGCTCCCTCGCCAACGGTCAGAAGGATGCTACTGATGGCATCCTCGGTCAGCTGAACATCCATCTGGCCACCCGCACAACCCTCCTCGGCGCAAAGCCCTCGGTCGCTGATATTGCCGTCTACGCCCTCCTCGCCCCCGTCGTTGAGAAGTGGACTCCCGAAGAGCGCACCGGTGAAAAGGGTTACCACCACATCGTTCGCCACATCGACTTCGTCCAAAACGGCCGCCTGTTCTCTCTCCAGATCCCCGAGGAGGAAAAGATCGCCATTGACGTTAACGACGTCAAGTTCGTGCCCAAGCCCGTCGACCCCAAGGAGGAGAAGGAGCGCAAGAAGCGTGAGAAGGCGAACGCTGCCAACCCCGAAGCCAACGCCGACGGCAAGCCCCTCGTCATCGGCCAGGCCAAGGCCGACAAGGCCGCCAATGCCCAGAACCAATCTGGTGCTGACGCTGCCGCCGCTGCCGGACACAAGACCACCAAGAAGGAGAAGAAGGAGAAGGCTCCCAAAGCCCCCAAGGCTGCTCCCGCTCCCGCCGCTCCCCCTGCCCCCTCACTCATCGATCTGCGCGTCGGCCACATCCTTCGCGCCATCAACCACCCCAACGCCGATTCATTGTACGTCTCCACTATCGACTGTGGTGATGCCCCTGGCTCCGACAACACCTCCCTTGACGAGGAGACTGGCAAGACTGTGCGCACTGTCTGCTCTGGTCTGAATGGTCTGGTCCCCCTGGAGGAGATGCAAGGCCGCAAGATTGTTGCCGTCTGCAACTTGAAGCCCGTGACCATGCGTGGCGTCAAGTCCTGTGCTATGGTTCTCGCCGCCTCCCCTCGTGTCGCCGAGGGTGAGGACTCGCACGCCGGCCCCGTTGAGCTGGTGAACCCCCCTGCGGAGGCTCCCGCAGGTGAGCGCATCAGCTTCGAGGGCTGGAACGAAGGTCAGCCTGAGAAGCAGCTCAACCCCAAGAAGAAGGTCTGGGAGACTTTCCAGCCTGGCTTCACCACCACCGCTGATCGCGAGGTTGCTTTCGACAGCAGCGCTGTTCCTTCAGTTCACGGCCAGGAGGGCAAGCCTGCCCTTGGAAAGCTAGTCGCTGCCTCCGGTGGCATCTGTACTGTTAAAAGCTTGACCAACGCTACCGTCAGGTAAGCGATGGATTATAGCGGGTTTTGATTGTTTGAAAATAAAATGGACTAAACGCATACCCACGAGAATATGAATAAATCAAAATTATCAGTTTCGGTATTATTTTTATTAATGTCCACTACCAGCATATGAACCATTCGGCTACTGGACAGATGTCTGAAGTTTTGATTCTATCTAGATTTGTACATTGCTACACCTGGTGCAGAGCTGATAAATATCAGGAATTTTTCACGCGGGTGCCGCGAATCCCAGAGAAGGACCGCGGTGATCGAAGACCACGAAGAGGGCCTTCAAGAACACATCACCATAGATCGCCAGGCTTGAGCCTGCATTTGACTGAATTCCGCCAAAGCATACTACAAGAAGGTCAGTAAACGGTCACACCAATACGAAGGGAAGAGTACTCACCAGTCTCACCAGTTGTGGTGTTGGTTCCAACCTCAGAGAAGTTGACGAGCGATCCAGGAACGCTGGCCGAGTACGCAGTGCCAACAGCGACTGCAAGACTAGGCAGCTTGGCAGTGCAAGGATAGATATATCCTCCGGCGTTGTTTGCATAGATGGCACCATCAACCTGCTTGTAATACGCCGCGGCAACGTCAGGGCTCACCAGCATCAGTGAGGTACCGGTGTCGGCAATGGCCTCGGGCACATCGTTGATCGGGTTGAATGCACCTCCTCCAATGGAGTACTGTGCTGAGCCGAACTGCCAAAATCCATTGGAGGAATCGACGCTGACATTGGCCAGAACGCCTTTGTACTTGGAATGATCGATGGTGCCGAATTCATATTGACCCACGCCGTCAGCAATCAGACGAACAGAGAAGACGGGCTCGTCGAGAGTGGAGACAACATTGTCGAAGAAAGTCTTCTGTGGGCCTGGGTCAATGGTGTTGATCGAAGAAAAGCCAAGGCCGACGAGTCCATTGGAGTCGGCGTCGTCGGTGAAGGTGTCTGAAACTTTAGTTGGGAGACCGATCATCTGCCCTTCAACTTCCACACCACCGATTGAGACGGTATCCTTGCCTACGCCACCTGAGGCGAAGGATGAATCACCATAGGAGATCTTGAAAGTGCTGTCGGTGACGTCTTTGAATGTCTTGGATTTGCTGGGATCATAGACTGTTCGGTTCTTTCGTTCAGACTCTGGAAGTCTCGAGTTCAGCACCCAGCTATAAAGGCGGTTAGCTCGTCACATTTGGAAGAATTGCATTCACACAGCCACACAGTCGTACTCACAAGTCAGCAGAGCCAGTATCAAAATCCATGTCAAGCGTCTGGCCACCAATGCTCACAGGCGAGACGAATTCAACGTCCCCCTGGACCGAAGTCGCCGACACGGAGCCCGTCTGGTCTGATTCCCCCGCATCCTCCTTGGCGTTCTTGCCAGAGGTAGATACCTTGGTGTCGAAAGGCTTGAAGTCACTGACATCAATGCCAGTAAGGGTTGTCGTATCGATGCCGAACTTGCGGTACGCCTTGCGCAGTGCGGCGGGGCCATGGATGGCATCGGTACTGCGTTTTGTATGTTCCACCTTGAAGGACCGGCCTTGAAGGCGTTTTTCAGATGTCACTGGAATAGCAAGAGCACTCAGGCTCAGAGAGAATAGCATAACAATGAAAAGAAAGGACTGCATCTTGCCCAGCGCCCCCAATTGGGAATATCAACTTCAGAAAAGAGCGAATTAGGTCAGGGCCAGCCTGAAAATTGATAGCAAAGAATGTAATGGCAAGAAAAACGAAGCAAAAGGAAAGGAAAAAGAAAAAAGACAGTAAGTGAAGATTAGAAGCAAACTTTAAGAGCAAGCTTGCAGGATCTAAACAATGCCAAAGAAATGAATGCCAGCAGGCTGTAGTCCTGACTAGAAATCCTGTCAAAGGATGAATGAAAGAATGAACAACGGACAATGGACAAATAGAAACAGATGAAGAACTGAACAATGTCAAATATAAGAGAAAACGTAAACAATGGGGTCGTCGATCTATATGGCAGGACCAACCCGCACAAAAGTAGCCACTGGAAAAAAAAAAAAAAAAGCAAACTTCCCCCTTATACCAACCTATCGGAGTCGAAGCAGCAGTGCAAAGCCCTTGGCCCATGCTGGGCATGCTTCACATTAGACGCCATCGGGCCAAGACCAGACTGGCCTACGAGTGGATAAGTCACTAAGCCCAGCGAAGGGAGAGGGCCGGAGTCACGGTATACGTAAGTAGATTATGCAGAGACGACCAAGACTTCTCTTCATTTGTCTGTGACTGCGCGGCGTCTTAGATGGGTGGGGGGGCTGGCCCCTGAGCGCGTGGGTTTGACAGGTGAGACTACACCAGTCGGTGTTAGGCGTAGTTGGAGGATCATGAAACAATGCCGAGCGGGTAGGTGACCAATCAGTTGTCCGACTCCTTGAAACGGAGAAGGAGAAAAGACCTTTCTTTCTGATCTGTTGCCGAATGTGAGCTTGAGGTTACTTTGACATACAATGCCATTCTACGGAGTACGTTGGCAACGTTTGGTGCGGAGGAATGGATATTGACGATGGCTGCACGGAGTACTCCGAGCGTGATGGCTGGCCTACGTTCACCCCTCACATTTGATCTTCGGCCGATCAAACCGTTACAAGTGACCAATGCGAGATGCTGATCAGATCGAACCATATGATTAGTCTGATCTTTGATGTTCGGAACCTTCATAGCCCCCAGCCCTTCCGGTCTGTGGGTTTTAAAAGCCAGCCATTCCCTACTCCGTATTGTGCCTTGCATCTCCCAGCTATTCAAACGCTTCGAGAATGGAAAGGCTGGAAAGGCTGTGATTGTGGAACCACGGGCCTTGGACCATGGGAAGCGCATCAAGGCACCCTTTGTTTCAAGTCAATATCACAAATTTCGGTACGACGAACCTTGGTTGCCTGCGCTTCAAGTGGTCATGCTATATGATGGTGAATTCATCAATTCGGGTTGTGATGTTGTGCGTAGCTAAAATCATCCAATATTGAACAAAACCTTGTAGGGTAGGTATGGAGTAATCCGTACTCCGTCATATCTTGTATCTGATTCAACATCAAACTATCAACTTCGTACGTGCAGTAATGTGGTCAATCGGGATCTAGTACGATCTAGAATAGAGCCTACATACGTCATTCGACATGATGATATGCAGCAACCCATGAAATCGAAGATCCTTGGGAGACAGAATTCTCGCTCGGGAAGTCCAAGATATTGTGACTTCGTACGAAACAACGGATGAAGAAAGAGAATGGAGAGTGAGATAGTAAATAATGAACCAAGCCATTTTAAGTGCATAAATGGTCAAACTCGCATACACAAGTGACCCCCAAGGATATCGATTTCAAACAGAAACAACTCCGCATCCCATGGTCGAACTCGCAACCAGACCAAACCTGCCACATACCAGTGGCAGGGAGGCACGTTGTTCACCAATCTCCGAATCCGATATACAGAGAAAACAATCCGTAACAAGAGGAAGTAAAAAAATAGACGGAGAAGGTAACCAGCAAAAATAAAACAACCCAAGATATTCAACAGTGCCCAAGCAATGCAGACGTGTATCGTTTCCGCCTCTAGATCCTTGAAAATGATATCCATTCCCGCCCCGATAAAAAAAAAAGCAAAGCCCAAAACAAAGAAATCATAGAATGAAAAGGAATGAGAGTCAGGTATCTGGCAAAGTCGTTTGCAAAAACCTCCAAAGAAAGGAAATCAACTCCAAAAGTCATAGACATGCGACATCAAGTAGCCATGTCACTTCACATGTTCTGTACATCATCGGTGGCCAAACCGGGATAAATGAAAACATATAGGCCGAAGAATATATTCGTCCCTCCCTGAGAGACGAAAGAGGTATCGTAGAAGGATGCAAGGTATTGAATCGCAGGCGCCATCGCTCGCAACAAGCCAGAAGTATCGCAAAGGATCTAGAACATAGGCGAAGGTGGTCGTAATCGGCGAGAGTGAGAGAGAGGTAGGTGTGGTATGTACAGGTCGGTTTTTTGTTTTCGGATTTTCAAGGTTTTTTTGTCGCCGTGTTCGTAGAACAATAGGTTTTCCAAAAATAGTGTCGTGTCGAATGCAAAGTGGCGTATCAGACAAGAATGCAATGAAGAGAAAAGATTATGACCTGCGATTAAGGGACCCACGATGATGCAGAACAGTTGTGACGGACATGCAAAGAACAGATGGAGGCGTAGGGAGCCAGCCTACGACTTTGACAGATGACTTTACCATCTGCGCTGAGCATTCTGCATCATCGCGGGGGAGATCGATGAAGGCGGGCTGGTCATGGTCATTCCCGTGGACGGGTTGATGATGGGGATGACCTTGCGAGTCCGGTTTGCAGGCTGCTGCTGTTGCTGCTGGTAGTTGACGTGATTAGGGTTGCCGGCAACACCAGGGTGAACGTATGAGTTGGTTTGAGCGGGAGACAGAGAAATGGACGGAGTCACTTGCTGCACCGGTTGGATTTGGTGCTGCAGAGGCGAGGTGTCCGGTGAACCGCTAGAGAGGGACGAGCGGTCGGAGGCGGAATGGATGGAGTGCAGCTGGAAGAATTATCAACAAGCTGCTCAAATGGCTCATGGGTGATCTTCAAAGATCAAGGGGTCGGAGGTTCGCCGATCACAACATACATCGTCCTCGGTCAGGAGACCGGGGCAAAACTCGAGGTCGTCGTCCAAATCAAATGAACGACCGGCCTCGAATCTCGCCCTGAACGCGGTCACTGCCGGTGCTTCCGCCAATTCCCGCATAGACTTGACACCTCGAAACTGACGGGCATTCTGCGAGGCCATCTTGGGGGCCCGGCGAGAACGCCCGTGGTTTGCGGATTGCATGTGTGCACCGTGGTGCTGCTGGTTGTAGAAGTAGGCTGACATGGTGTATAAAGTATAGAAAAATAAAAGAATCGAGTAGAGAAGAAATACAAGAAAAGATGGAGTTAAAGATCAGAATGAGATTGTGTGGAAGGGAAGAGGCGAGGGCAAAAGAGGGGAGTATTTTGGTGGGCCGTTTAAGCTCCATTTTGTCTTTGGTTCCCTCCATTTTGGGCGGATCTGCGCTTGCTGATTGGTCCGCCCTTCTTGCCACTTCGTTAGCGCTTGACGTTGGTTGGTGCGAGCCGCTAGTCTCTGCCCACCCCTGACAATACCTGACCATACCGTCCCTCCCATCTCTTTCTCCTTTCCTTCCATTTGCCTCCCACGGTGGCCCCCCGAGCCCTGGAGTCCCCCTCCGAGTGGAGTCTAAGGCCAAAATTACCGTACACGAAATGAAACGTGACGTCGTCGACAATTTTCGATTCCGTTTGGCGGAATTCAGTGACGCTCCTTCACTGCATTCCGTGCATTGAGGTCATTAGCCCTTGGAAATAAGATTACAACATTCTAGATATTCTCACGATTTTCATGTATCTGCTGTATTCATATCTAGTTGATTGTCCTTCATTTGTACAAGTACCACTCAGTACTCCGTATGTACGTAAGACGTAGGTGGAAATGACATCGAACCCGGAATCGGTCATACGAGTACGGATTACGGTAGTATGAACTATTTCGAGCTGAAATTTTCCCTATGGCGGGTCCTCTTCACTGCAGGCTGTGCAGGGCATGGCGCCTTTCCAGGCACATTCCCCCGGTCCCCTATAGGGTCCCCGAATCGGGAGTGGCTGCTGATCTCGCTTTGATCGGCTCCTTCGAATTCCCCAATCCTTCGACACGCAGTGAGAAAAATAAAAACCTTGACGGTCGCAAGACACCCATATCCTTAGCTGCAGCTTAGCTGCATATGACCGAATTCCTGATTGGCAGGGGACCTTGAGATCTTGCCTTATCGGCTCAAGCCTCTCCAATTCGACTTTCATTTACGAATAGCGGAGGGGGTTAGACCTAAGGGGCTGGGTAGCATTGCCTACCCGTGACTCAATAACATCCGAATGAGATGCTGCTAGTGTCCACTTCAATGTGTGGCGGATTCCCGTAGGTGGGAGCTACAGGTTGATCTCCATGTTTTGTTTTCCGTGCACTGTGTAGCATTTGATCTTGGATCTGCCCGGTCGCTGTCGGCGCTTACTGGAACATACTCTTGCATACTCCGTACTCCGTACGCCAGTCCAGTAAAAGCTTCTAACACTGCATCTTACGGCAGCACCGACCAAACTTAACTCCAAACTCTCCCGCCGTAGCACTTCGTAGCTGTCTCCAATCTCGGCCTCACCGCCCCTTTGACTCACGAGGCGCAGTCGCACGGGCTTCGGATATATCACAAAACACGTTGGGACTTGCAGATGATCCAGCATTTGTGCGCAATGTGGATAATGATCTGTGCATTGGATTTCATCTGAAATATGTATTCAGCGAGGGACAACCATGCTACAATCCAATCGTCATATACTCAAGCAAGGGACTTTCAGGCACGATCTGTTTGCCCTGGATCTATTTAATTGATAACAATCTCGTCTTGATCAGTGTAGCCTCGATCTCCAGGCCATGTGCACAGATTCGGAGTCTGGTCTTGAACATTAGGCAGTTTTCGAACAGCGATCGTAAAAGTCGAGTTTAGTCTGCTTACTCCGTACTAACCTACACACTTTCAAGGCTGTCTTTTAGTTTGCCTTTGCCAGTAAATAAACCGCAAAATTCAATGCATCATTTGCCGGATTGGAACGCACTTTTCTCTTTTTGTTTATCCTATGTGCTCTACGGAGTAAAGGTGCCAAGGAACTCCATGTTTTCAACAAAGTAGCAAAGCTGAGATGGTCAATTTGATGACCAGCCATTCATCCATCGCTTGAACACTTCAAGCTTGGATCTTAGGACCTTTTGGGGCTAATTGAGTATTCAACAAGCTCGAGGTTGTACTCCGTATCGGTTTGCGTGATGCAGAGTTCCAAGGTTTAGAGCTACTACTAGTTAGTTACTACTACATCCGCGCAGAGGACGTGGAAAATCACCAATCTGCTGGGACCGACAGTGCGTATCCATGGATGTCTACAACTATTGAGCAAAGCCCAAAAAAATATACATAAATACATATCGGGTACGTGTTTCAAACTTGGTACAAGACTGCTTCAATCTCCAGTTGGTGCCATGTGTTGAATTACAACTGAGGCAGATCGGTAACAGTTTGGTTAAAGTACCATAAATTTCTGTTAAAAGCTCAGCGCCCGGGTGTGCGAACCACTAGGCCAAAAGACATCTAAATACTATATATCGGAACATCGTTCAATCAGGCATCAAAGACAGTTTCCGACCCTTGGGCGCTATACACTCCCGTACTGGACCGCCCGCTACATATAACACAACATGCTAGCTACGCCGTAACAGTTTATCATGTGTACAAGCCTCAGCCCTGGAATGCCGCGCCCAGGCGCAGCCAACCAGACGATAATAGTTGCTTACAGAGATTGCATATTTGCTTATTTGGCAAGCCTCCTGTCGTTATATATCCCTTCTACTCCGTATTAACATCAGAATTGATCAACATGCAATATTTTGATTCCAAGGTTGGTAACGGAAGAGATGGGCTATCATCGACTTGGAGAGTGTTTATAACTTGTTTGTCTTTCTGCTGTCCTTCTAGTTACCTTTTTTTACTATCTTGCCAGCTATTTACTACCGCCACGCTACGTACGCCGTTAACAAGTGGCTGGGACAAGATGTTTGATTTCAAGGTTTGCTCCACAGTTCAGCTGAGCCCACGAGCCAGCCGTGGCTGATCAGTCAAATCTTTTTGGTTTCCCTTCCTATCTCGTGCCATTTTTTGGTCCAGGGTCCTTGCTGTCTTTCAGAAGGGACAACATGCCGTGGTTCCCCCTCAATATCGACGATGATGCCGTCTCCTGGCACTTCGATATTGTTGGTTTACTAGCAGTTGTCGGAGGGTCTGCAATACGAAAGAATTCCCTGGCAATGACCGCATCGTGGCTGGGTAGTTTTCCACGTCTCTTGCCAGCTCCTGAAACAATGCTTGATCCCGATCGTCCACGAATGCTACGACTCCCCGGCACCAACGATGTCACTGTTGTCGGTGCTCATTCCGGTTTTAAGTATACTGAGCTAGACCTTTTCGCCAGCTCAATTCACCGAGTCGAATCCCTCGATCCATATCAGTTCCAATGCTTTCGAGTCACCTATAAGGGAAAGGACGAAGAGCATAATACTGCGCCGAGCGCTAATATCCCACTCTATACGTTTTGTCCGCTTAACATCTTGACCATTGCTTCGATTGTGATTACAATCGCACTGTTTGTTTGGGCTGGCATTGAAGGTGATGCTGTCGCTCTACTTGGCCTAGGGACTATGTCGTTGTCCACCAGTATGGCATGTTTGTCCACCCAGTGGAAGCCGGATATTCCAGTGCGTAGGGTCCGCTTCTGTTTCCCCAACCATGACGTGGTGATTAGGACGCGCAACGGTGCCTTCATTACTGTGAAGTGCTCAGAGGAAATTGTACGCGAGTTATATTCAGGAAAGCACCTCTATTACTATATCTTCGGCGAGCGGGTACAGTTTTCCTGATGGCGGCTATCGTTTTCTTCAGTAACTGTGGGTGGAAGATCCAGATCGCGGTTGGACTTGCGTATATTGTCCTTAATCTTGCTCATTGGGCTTTGGCGCTTTTGACAAAACCGAACGAGAATTTCAACCTGGGGGTGCGTTATGATATTGAGGTTCTTGAGGATAAGGTCAACCAGAACATCACTCAAGTGTTATGGGATGCTATCCGAACAACAGGAAGCATTGAATGGGTCAAGAAGACCGGGGCGGCTCCACAGACGAAGAATTGGGACGGGTGGTTGGAAGAAGCAAAGGAGAACTCCCAAAATTCGGATTGGGACCCGGAAAAGGCTCGTGATCGATGGATGTCGATGAAACTGGATGAGCCTACCAGTGACATGGAAGAGAAGATAATTGGGAAGATGGAAGCATCGAGGAACCATACAGGAGGTCGTCGTAAAAACATGACGAATGGGGCAAGAAGAAGGAACAAATGGCGAGCCTATCAGGCGGGCTATTCGAGAGGAAGGTCGACGGAAGCTGAGAATGATCCCTGATGCTCTATTGCACTGTTGCGGTGTTGAACAAAGACATAATATGTTCACAAATGCCTCTCATCCCCCCCTCGAGGGTGTCGATCCACCATCGTTTTCCTAGTGGGTTGGGCTGAAATCAAAATCGAACGGGCATTGCTGATGTCTGTCGATCCTGAGTATGCAGCACCAACCTCGAACCCAATGCGACGCGGAATATTTCTCAAAATATTGATTGGTTCATAAACTGAACCGTACATCTCCGAGATCTCCGAGAGAGTGGGTTGCCATTCCTCCAACAATCGAGAGTTGCCGTACGGGGCATAGCTTAAAGATCGTGTATTTCCATATACATCAATTGAACTTGGATTTTGTGCACAAAATTTGTCTGCTTCTAAGTTGGGTGGAACGGTAACCAAAAGGTTAAATTGGTATGTGTTTAGCCAAAAGAGAAAAAAAAAAAGACAGAGACGAAGCAAATTCGCTGAAAGTTATAAGATACGACGAACGAATGCATCTTAAGCGAAACAAAGTTGCGTCACTTATCAAGGTTCTTGCTTTTGACCATCCTTCCTATCAGTTCCTTGCAGGTTTTTTCGCTATACTGCTCCCAAACCTCGTACAGTGAGACCAGCTCCTGAGTACATTCGATCACAGCTTTGATATCAACTTCGCTTTCTGCGAGCCAACCCACGAGTTTCGTAATCTTAGGAGGGGGACCCGAGCCTGACTTGTCAGACAAAGCGGCCAGCATCTGCATACCCCCTCCATCTCTCATGGATCCTGCTAATGCAGATTGCCCAGAGCCAGGGAAATTGGTTGAGTGAGTAGGCTTGAAGACGACAGCAACAATGATGGCCATGATCGCGATAACATGAGGAGGATGCAGTAGTGGCAGGTCTGTTAAATAATGATCGTTGATCACCGACCAGGCAAGTGCAATCTCATCAGAGGAGAGTTGGAGTTCCGTTTGCAATTCTGACAAAGTACGGTAGGGATGATGCACGATAAGTTGTGAGCTCATTTCGGAGATCAGGGCGAACTCGCATTCTCCCAGCTTTGCAACATCTGGAGTGATGAATTCTGCGAGCTGTTAGATGTGCATGAGCGTTTCAGGGACGACTCATACCTGGCCACAGACCACGCGCTTCACCGACCACAAAGCGGATGTGCTGCGGGCATTCTTCCATCTTGCAGGCCAGATAGAAGGCCGTGGTGAGCACGAGGTATGGATTTGTCTGTCGAATTTCATTTTTGGTGTAGAATCTCTTCAAGTACACCTGTGCTGTAGCAATAGCCTGCTGTCTTGTAGACATGCGTTTGCCAAGCTTGATGAGTTCTGAGATTCTATTAGTCCCATATCATCCAAGTAAGCCTCAACACCCACGTTGGTTGCAGTAGATATTCAACAGGCGTTGGTCTGGCAACGGGAACTGCGAATGGGCAATTTTGTCCTTGTCCCATAATCCATCACGAATATCTGCTAGTTTCTCTCTGGAAAACAGCCAGTGTCGGCGCTGGGACGAAGCCCAGTAGTTAGCGGCCATGGTCGTGTTGATAGTTCAAGCCGACCGCAAGTCATGACATGATCGACGTGATGTGATGAATGCGCCTATTGCACCACAATCTTGAGAAAGGAATCAATGTGAGCATCAATAGGTACGAGAGTACAATGAGGTCAGGTTGCAGTCCCAATAAGGGATAGTAGGGCTTGGCCCTGCCGAGGGATAATCCGGAGTTGAGGTCAAATCGCCGGGCGTCTATTAATCATTAGCTCCTCCCGACCTCGATGCTCCATAACTTCACATCTCAACGTCATCTTATGCTTTGCGGACTCGCTCAACTTGCCCGACTCTCTCGACTCTCCCGAGTTCCCCGCCTTTTCTCGAACCACTCGACTTGGTTGACTTCCGCCCTGTTCCCCGCCTAAACAATGAAGGGAGCCCGGTAACAAATTTCAACATGGCACCAGAGTCAAAGGACGAACGCGACCAAAGAGTTGCCAAACTCTGGGAAACACTGGACACTCGACGCGAGGGACACATCGACCTACATGGTCTAAAGAAAGGCCTAAAAAAAATCGACCATCGTGAGTCTCGGAACTCCGCGTCATGGAAACCGGACTAACGATTTCTTCCCAGCGCTCAAAAACGCAGATGAGATGGTTGTCAGCGTTGTCCAGCAAGTCGACACGAATGGCGACGGGCGCATAGACCAAGCTGGTATGTACCGACTGAACCCAGGCGAACTTGGAGGGGATACCTTTTAGCCGCGCGCCAATGTTCGGATACTTACCACCACCAGAATTCCACGCTTTCCTCAACCACACCGAAGAGGGACTATGGAAGATGTTCCAAAGCATCGATCGGAACCACAACGGAGAAATTGACAAGGCCGAATTGCGGAATGCTTTCTCGAGTTCGGGGGTAACAGTCTCTGGCGCCAAGCTCGACCGGTTTTTCGCCGAGATGGACAAAAACAACGACGGGGTGATCTCATATGCAGAGTGGAGGTATGGCCATTTGGGCTCAGACGAAGAATGGGAAGATGGGACTAATGAATGTTTTCTCTCCACAGGGATTTCCTCCTCTTCCTCCCCCTCCACTCCCCGACCGACCTCCACGCAGTCCTCTCATACTACACGGCCACGGGTAATCTAAACCCGGAAGGAGATGTCCACATCAATGACCTGCAGGGTTTAGGTACAGACCATCCGTTTCTTAGACACATTTCGGGCATCCAGCACCTTTTGTACAATATTCTGTCACTCCCTGCCTTGGCCTTCCTACTCCCTTCAGCCCACGCCGAAGCCATTCATGTCTCAAAACTGGATCCCGTCCTCGAGAATGATCATCTCTCGTTGGACGGCGATTTTGAAGTGGAGTGGTTGACTATTCCCCAGACTACCGCCATGCGGATGTTTTTCCGATATTATGGACGGAGGTTGACCGAAAATACCCCTCAATTAGGCTACTTTTTCGCCGGTGGAATCGCGGGCGCTGTTTCAAGGACGGCTACTGCACCTCTCGATCGTCTCAAGGTCTACCTGATTGCCCAAACCGGCGTGAAAGAATCAACCGTTCGGGCGGCGAAGGAGGGAGCCCCGTTGGCTGCGGCTGGAAATGCATCCAAAACGTTATTTGATGCGCTCAAGGAATTATGGCGGGCCGGAGGAATACGGAGTCTGTTCGCAGGTTTGTTGGAGACTCCCCCCCCGCGAAGGATCAATTTCTGATTGAGCAGGAAACGGGTTGAATGTGGTGAAAGTCATGCCGGAATCGGCCATCAAATTTGGCGCTTATGAGGTATGTGGTTCCGATTATCTCTTGTCATGGTGGATGCTGACCTGAAACAAGTCTGCGAAACGAATGTTTGCTCGACTCGAAGGACATAATGACCCCAAACGACTTCTTCCTACCTCCCAGTTCATGTCTGGTGGCTTTGGTGGAATGGTTGCACAGTATGTTCTAGGCTGTTGGTTCAATCAAACAAGCGCTTTTCCTAACGGTCGTTTAGATGCTTTGTCTACCCTCTCGACACCCTCAAATTGTAGGTCTAGCACTTTCCTTACACCTTGATGCATGGGCTAACGTCCGCCAATAGTCGCATGCAGTGTGAAACTGTGAAGGGTGGTCCGAAAGGCAATCAACTCATTGCGGCCACCGCGAGGAAGGTGTGGAACAAGAATGGTCTCTTTGGCTTCTTCCGAGGTCTCCCCCTCGGTCTTGTGGGCATGTTCCCCTATGCCGCAATCGATCTATCAACATTTGAGTATCTCAAACGTACCCTCATCGCAAAAAAAGCCCGTGAGCTTGGCTGCCATGAGGATGATGTTCCCCTTGGAAACTTCTTGACAGGCGCAATTGGCGCCACGAGTGGAGGATTCAGTGCCTCAATTGTCTACCCTCTTAACGTTCTCCGCACTCGACTACAAACACAGGGCACCTTCATGCACCCACCTACGTACACCGGCATTGGCGAAGTCCTCAGAATTACTCTTAAATCTGAGGGACCACGAGGCCTTTATAAAGGCCTCACACCCAACCTCCTCAAAGTGGCACCGGCCATGTCAATCAGTTACGTGGTTTACGAAAACGCCAAGCGCACACTTGGTCTCCGGTGATCACCATCTCTCAAACTTCCATCCTCCGCAGGCCCTTGCGCACACCACCTTCTAAACTGGCACGTCAATTTCGGTGCCCCAGGCTGATTGATCTTCGATCCATCTACTTGCTTGCCATTAAAAAAAAGCGTCCTTACGATACCCACACATGCAGCCACTGGACCGGCTCACATCCCACTAAAGGACGCATCCGAATGCGTCCTTTCGCCATCTATCTGATAAATTTCTGACCAAATGAGCTATCATGTTCATCTCTTGCATGTGCCCTCCGTTGTCTCAACAGGGCTCTCAATCTGTAATTTTCTATTTCCTTCTATTTCGCTCACGTTACTCTCACTTGAGACAACTTTTGCTTCTGACCATCCTTTGACATACAATCAGAGGCAATGGAAACCATCACCACATCAGCATGGCATGGCGTCAATATAATACCACGGGACTTTGAATTTCATTTTGTCTATATCTACTTGTACTAGAAAGAACCATGAAACAGCTATGTTTCTGGATGAACAAACGTTATAAAAAATTCAAACTTGCTTCAAATCCTCTTCGTTCTTGATTCTGTTCAATTTCTACCTACATGATAGATAACCTTGGAACCCTCACTCATCGGTCACTAGGCTGCCTGTGCAGCGGTCACCTCCTGGTCCTTGGGAAGGACATCAGGAACAGGCCCAAGAGGAGTGATGCCGTATGGGTTAATCTGCTTATGGCTCTTAGTGTAATGGAACTTAATGTGCTCGAACTGAGTAGTATCGTGGAAAGCCGGAACATCCCAGTAGAGCTTGCGGACCCAACGGTGAATGGCCGGGAAGCCGGAGCGGATATCACGCAGATTGCACTTGAAGTGCTGCACGTAGACCGGATCGAAGCGGATGATAGTAGTGAACAGTCTGATATCAGCCTCGGTGATCTCATCGCCGAAGAAGTAGGGCTTCGAGGCGGCTTGCTGCTTCGCAAGATGAGCCTCAACCTTGTCGAGCGAGCCAAAGAGTGTAGTGACAGCCTTTTCGTAGGCTTCCTGAGTGGTTGCAAAGCCGGACTTGTACACGCCGTTGTTGACGTCATTATAGATCCATTCATTGGAAGCATCGATATCAGCTTGCAGGGCCTTGGGGAACAGGTCCACTTTCTTGAATTGCTCTGGGAGGAGATCATCAAACTCGGAATAGAGCATGCGGATAATCTCAGCGCTCTGGTTTTGTTAGCATTAGCAAATAACGCAGTGTTGGGTGTCTCTTACTTCGTTGCTGACAATCAACTTGGTCTTCTTGTCGAACAACACGGGGACTGTGAACCGTCCGGTATAGTCCGGGTTATTAGAGAAGTAGACCTGGCGAATGTGGGTGAAGTCCGGGTGCAAAGGATCGGGGATGGTGTTCTCCCCGGGGATCTTTTCATCCGCAGTAGCGAACCGCCAGCCTGAGTTAATTAGCATTTGGTCGCCTGGATTATGGTAGCATTGGCTCTCACCATGTTCTCCGAGATGCCAGTGCACCGATGAGAATGAGATGAAGTCCTCAAGACCCTTGAGCTTCCTAGTGATCAAAGTCCGGTGAGCTACATGACCGTTAGTAACATGGTAACAAGCTGGGTTGGCAGGTCCTTCATACCCCATGGACAGGCATATGAGACATAAAGATGGTAGCGGCCCTTCTCAGGAGGGAATTGGGCACCGGCTTCCCTGGAGATCCAGTTGCGAAAGACGGATGTCTGACGCTTGAACTCGCCTGATTTGTCTGCGGGGTTCACCCAATCGGTGATCTTGGCAGAATTACCGGTCTCGAGCCAGATGTTAGTAGGCAATTATAACCGATGGGATGAATTGCTTACAGCCATGTTTCGAGTAAGGAACACGTTGCTTGTGTTAGCTGTAGAATGAACTTTACGAAAAGTTGCTGGCCGTGGAAGGTGCCGTAATGCCTGAGATCTTAGCAGAACGAACATTAGGACAGTGGCGGAAGTAGCTTTTATAGTGGTGGCCAGAGCTAGCCCAAAGAGGAATTACGTCTTCCAGAGTTGCTGAGTCAGATTGCTTATCGAGAGATGGATCAGCTTTGACAAAGCTCCCGCTGCCCAGGTGGGATCGGCTAATCCATCCGGAGACACGGCCCCAGGGAGTGAAGCATTCGGGCCTTGGCATTGCCACCTAACTTTATATACGAGTGCTTTATAGTGCTCACAATCTTGGAATCAACCATACGCGTTCTCGGAATTCCGTCTTGAATAATGATGAATAGAGATGAAATCTAGCTACTGTACTAGGAATATGCTTTAACCACCTGGCCTCTCATGACTTCTCTGGCCTTATTTGGAGAGCTTAACCATGACGTAAGGGACTTCAACATCCTCTTCGGTCTGGTCCTCGGCGGTCACCTCAAAGATAATGTTCTTTTGGTGAGAGGGGATGGGTTTCTTGCTAACGTGCTCCACAAGCTTGCTCATGCTATAATTTCGGTTAGTGCGCGCATTGGGCAATGGGGAACGAGGAATACTTACGAAAGAGGCAGGCGATCCTTGACCTTGGATGGAGGGTAGAAGCTTGCATACAGCAAACTGACCCCAGAGCTGACCATGGTGATTTCCAAACCCTTTTCGGCGAAATAGTTGATGAACTCCTGAAGAGGAATGTCTTCCACCTCAAACCGGTCCCAAAGATTGTCAATGGTGACCTCACCTTCCTTGCCCTGGTACTTGCTCTTTGCACTCTGGATAGGCTCACTGAAGCTGAAGAATGGAAGTGCGAGGTTGATAAAGCCGTTCTTGTATTTCTCAATATCATCTTGGCCACCAACGACCTTGTAGAGTTCGAGAGCAACGAGACCGGTAACCAAAGCGGTGGTGGTGGCAATGGCAGGAATGATCTTTCCAGCGATAAATTTGGTTTTGTGTCGGTCGGCTTGATGAATGTCATAGTTCTCCGCACGGAGGTTGCTAGCCGCTGTGATGAAGTCGATGTGGTGGTTGGTGTCGTCGTCCTTCTCGAACTCAACCGGCTGCAAGCGGAAGCCAGCGAGTGATTTAGGCGAGGGCAAAGAAGAGATGAGTTGCTCCATATCATCCTCATCAGAAGCGCCACCGCTGGGCTGAGCATTAGGGTCAGGGTCGTTGTCATTGGCCTGGATTTTGACGTTGGAGCTGGGAGTAAACTCGGGAATGATCATGTCGTCGACTACTCTGCGGTAGTAGCCCTTGTCTGCGCCAGGGTTTTTGATGCCGTAGTTGAAGGCGTGCAGATTGGCGCCAGCGATGACGTATCCGAGATGAGTGGGGCTAGTGCTGTCAAACTTCAGCGGCGTGGGAGCGCGCTTGGGTCCAGACCAGAACAGCTGGCCGGAAGATGTTTTGGAATCCCGGGGGAAATTGTAAAGGAGTTGCTGAATCGCATTGTTGTACTGTGCTTCAAATTGCTGGCGAGCCCAGACAATACAATCATCGAATGTCAAAGGCTTCTCCGTGACCAAGAAGTCCCGCAGATGCTCCAATGTTTGCTTCTCGTTACCTGCCTGCTTGAGGGTTTGTTGAATGTAGTCGGGTTGCGAGAGGTACATGTTGACAGACTCAGGTGGGCCAACAAAATAAGTTTGGAAGATATCACGAGCCCAAGCAATGGTGTGTTCGATGCGGTTCGGGAAACTCTTGAGGGTACACATGGGGAAAGACTTCTCGGGGGATCCTGAGAGCTAGAGTAAGACTCTGTGATGAACGGAAGCACAACTTGAATGTTGCCCTTGGTACCGAGTGTACCACTTTCGAGCAGAGGCTTGCGGAAGAACACACAGCGACGATCGACATATGTGCGTGCTTCGACATTGTCTAGAGCGTTGGTGACACCGTCAAGACCATTCCAGAAGTCTTCGTTGAACACATGCTCAGTATCCGCACCAACACGGTCACGGAGAGTGACAATTTTGCCATTCAGCTCCGGGTTCATCGCCTGGACAGCTGCAGAGGCACACTCGCTCTTGAGTTTACCGACATCTTTGGTGCGGAACAGGAATTGACGATTCAGGTTGCTCTTCTCAATCTGATCCATATCGGTGACGAGAATTTTACCCTTAGGGCCTGTGCCCAAGCCAATCATGGCCCAGTTCTTGAGGGTTTCGCAACCGATGGCACCGGCGCCGACTAGGAATTGGGTCACATTGGCGAGCTTGTCCTGGTACTCCTTTCCAAAGACGGCAATTTGGCCGTCGTAACGAGTACCAAGAGGCTGGCAGCTCTCTTCGGACCGAGCGACGGATGGGGGCAAAGACTCCAAGGAGTCAAAGTACATCCATTGCTGCACGGGACCGAATTTGCCAGAGACAGCCTTGAGAACTTCTTGGGCAGCGATACCACCAAAGAACGCGGCCAACGGGTTCAAATCACCACGAGCCTGGTAGCTGAGCTCTTTGATGAGCTTCTCATCAAGCTCCACCTTGTCCTCACTAGCAGCCGCAAGATCAGTTGAAAGCTTCAGAATCTCCTGTGCATCACTGTCATTGTGAGGACGTGGCAGCTGGCCTTCATGGGCCTCCGCAAACTTGTGAAGAGCCTGAATACCGATGTGCAATTGCTGTGGTCTATCAAACTTGGCATAATCCGAGATCAGAAGCTCGGGATTTTTGAGCTGCTCACTCAAAGGCTGGAAATCAATGAACTTGGGCATCTTAACTTGTTTGAAAATACCACCGCGCTGGTAGGTGCCCAGGCCGGACACATCACCGATGGTGAAAGTGTAGGGTCCCTTGACGGTGATCTTGCGAGGATCACTGTTGTTAAGACCTTCCATGCCCTCGACTTCAGTGAATGAGACAAAGTCACCATCCTCGAGGCCGTGTCGGGACTCGTCCAGTGCCGATACCAGTCCCTCCTCATTGATGTGTGCAACAATTCCCTCGGCAGGGTCCTCACCACTTGGGTCACCGACAGTGAAGTTCTTGCCGAAATCGTTGAAGATGTAACCAAAAAGACCAAAAGTATCCGTAATGGTGAGATAAATCCCATTCTTATGGCAGAAGTCGGCAATAACAAGCTGTTCGCTCAAAGGTGTTTGCGTGAGGACTACTGCTTGGTATCGTTTGAGTTGTTCCAGATCGCCCACGAGGCTCTCGCCCTCATGGATTGTAGTTGGAACATACGAGTTCAGTTCAGCCACTCGTGGGGCGGTGACTTCAGCACGAGGCTTGCCAACATCCTCCGGTTGGAGGAAGAATTGAGATGAGAGATCCGCAATAGCGACGGGTGCAGGGTCGTAGAGAGTAAGCGACTTCACGCCGGCGAGGGCAATGTTCTTGGCTATAAGAGTGGTTAGATCATGGGAGGGCAACCCTGCTTTTGCCACCAGCTCACTTACCGATTTCGACACCGAGGCCTTTCAGTCCAACAACGAGAACATTTGAAGAGCCCATGCGCTTCATGGCCTCATGACCAAGAACATATCTCGAAGGCGTCAGTATATATCTCATGTAACTATATGCATACCTCAAGATGAGGCAGGTGTATGCAGGTCACTCACAGCTGCCGACTATAAAGGGATTCATCGATTTCTCCGCTCTTGATCGCTTCGACGGTCTTTTGTGGGTTCTCGACCTGCATCTTGACGTCCTGTAATAGAGGTTGTCAGTCGCAATCCTAGCTCGAGGGCCAAGATAATCCATACCGTCATATTTCGTTTCTCTGGCCGAGCTCCGACGGGGTCTTCAGAGGCTCTGCGTTTTTCCGGCTTAGCCGCGTCTCGAACAGGGATATTTGAAGGAATGATGAAAATCGGGAGGTGAAAGCCTCGCGAGGAGCAAGACTTTCGATAGTGATGATAAATCAAGTTGTAACGCCTAGCGTACCAGGTACCTAGCTCAACGAGCACACAAGTAACAATCCGAATGCGGCCGGCCTTTGATAAATGGTATATGGAGGAGAATCAAAGAGAAATGAAAAGCTGTGAGAGGTGAGAGAAACACAAAAAGAAGTATGAAGTACAAGTGGAAGTCGAGGCACGACGTAAGAGGGGACAGTCGGGCGGAGAGCTACGATGACTAATGAGCGGTGAAGATTAGCCCCGCGATAGGTAGGTATGCTTGGTCGATAACCACCTGAAGCTGTCCACTAGTTCCGTGCCAATTCGCGTCTGGAGTCAAAATTCTACAGGCTAGATGTGATCGGACATACCAAATAATGCATTTTGCTTCCTCACGCTCATTCTGACACTCTATTGCTCGCGATATCCGACGCGTCTTGACATCAACGCGAACCTTGGTCTCGCCGACTATTCGACTTCACATGTGTCGCTTTGAATTCGTGGGGCGTGGTATCTTGTATTGGAATCGCCAGAAGTATCCAGCAGAAAGGAATCGGTTCTCGAGGTAAGCCACACGCCAAAGTGGCGTGGACATTCAAGCTTGTTACTAATTCCAACCCAATAGCCAGATTCCGTCAGAATGCTCCACGAGATCCTCCTCTCCCTCTCCGGCCAACCCTCGCCCCTGTTCAATACCCACAAAGGGGAGCAGGTTGAAAATGAAGATAGTTTCCCCCTTCTCTCACCTCCGGAAAAAGCCCTCCTCTCCTCCGTTGGTCATCTGAGTCGACTCCATGCACAGTTACGAAAACAAGCCGCTGAAATCTCCTCCACCAATCCTTCTGTCATATGTCGCTCAGTCTCCACCGCAATCCTTGGAACACATTTAAATGAGTTTCAAAAGAAGATTCTCGAGGTAGAGCGGGCGATCCTCGCCGAAGATAGCGGATACGTTGGGGGTTATGGTATTGTCCCTTTGTCGACGATCGTAGGCGAGTTCGCACCATGGACGCGGCGCATGGACTGGCTTTGGGAGATTATACGATTCATCCAACCCGAGCAAAGGAAAAGCGAACGTTCATATGCCTCCACGGGGGCAGCAATCATCGATCATCTACGGGTTGAAGCTCAGACCGGATATCTTGATATCAAAGAAATGGCATTGAGTCTAGGAAAAGCTGCTGAAGCTGCCTGGATGAAACAAGTCTCAATGTGGCTACTCTATGGAAATCTTCCAATATATGGCAAAGATGACTTCTTTATTCGGGAAGACCTCGAAAACCCCGACGATGAGACTCAATTCAGCATGCATCCAAGACTCCTGCCCAAATTCGTCACATCGCAGACAGCAAGCTCCATCTTGTTCATAGGCAAGTCGCTCAACCATATTCGGGCGAAGCGAAAAATTTCGATCGCAGGCGCGTCTGCTGCACCGGTGACTTTATACCAGGAGCACATAAAACAACTCGCAAGCCTGGAATCCCCCATGTCATCCTCGAAGCTCACTGCTGCTGTTGACTGCATTCGTCTCTCCCTGTCTAAATCGACCTTATCGAAATTATTACCACTTCCCAAAATTCTTGAGATCCTTCAATTGCTTCATAACTTCTTGCTGCTGAGGCGAGGTGAGTTCGCTGTGGCTTTGGTGGTGCATGCAGATTCTCGAGTGGATGAGAGTCGGCGCCGTGGCGCAACAATGGCTAGCGGCGTCTCGGGAAAATTTGAAGGCCTCACCATCAAAGAAGGAGATGTCACAGCTGCTCTAACCCAAACATGGGCCGAGCTCTTCTCTCTACAAAAGGAGGAAGATCCTACCGACGAAGAGCTTGAACTTGCTCGAGAATTAGTTTCTCTGTCTGTCAGCAGCGGTAAAGTTGGGCGACCCATGACCCCTGCTCAAAATCCCAACCCGATATCAGATATCTCCAGTGTCCCTTTTGACGACCTTCTTTTCCCGATCCCGACATACCTCACTGCGCAAATACGCGCCCCTTTGGACTTGTTCATCTCCCACTCTGACATTGTGATCTATACAAGGATCCACTCGTATCTTTTGGGCATAAGGCGAGCTCAGCTTCGGTTGGGTGATCTTTGGAAGCGGACCCCACTGCGAAGAACGCATCCTACCCCCCTGGGGGCCGCCGAAGAGCAACAGTCCTTTTGGGCAAGCTAGATTGAAAGCGAGCAGACAGAGAGAGAATGCTCGCATTCGCCAAATGCGCCCTGTATGGGCTTCAGGCAGTGCGTGCTTGTTCGTACTTTCTGAAGTTGGTGGGTTTTTCCAGGGGGACGTCGTCAATGAATCGTGGCAGCATCTTCAGCATTGGATTCAAGGCCACTCTTCAGCTCCATCTGCACCCAACTCTCGGCCTGGATCTTCATCATCGTTCAAAGCACAGTTCGATTCCCCGAAAAACGACTCTTTGGGGTCTGGCCGAGAAACCATGGGACGTCACGACCCCGAGGCTCTCACTGTCGCTCACCGCCGGCACTTGTCATCCCTGATCCACTCTCTTCTTCTTGCAGAAGTCCCATTCGCAAGAACCCTCAGGGGTCTTCTCACCAACGTTGATCGCTTCGCCGCGCTTGTTATACGATTGGAAACGATCCAACGAAACATGGACCTCGAGGCAGATGAAGGTGTGGAGGATGCTTTGTTCGACTATGCTTCAGAAGAGCGTGAAGTGTGGGAGGAGCTATGTGCTACTCGTAACGATGTCGATGTCAGCATACAAAATCTTGTCACAAACCTGAGAGACATTGACGATAGTCGCTCAGGAGACGGTGGCGGACAAATCGATCTAGCACAAAACTTCGGTCAAACTCTGCCTGGCACCCAGCACGACAATACCGACCCGGGGTTCAATCACTATGTGCCCCCCAAGCCGGCGGGCGTGGACCGCTTGCTCATGAAATTGGATTTCGGAAGCCTGTAAAGCGGCTTCCGGTCTGATTTTATTGCTAGTTCAGGATACCATGACTGGTACTACCCAAATGCCTCGCCAAATATGGTCCTTTTGATTTTGTTGTTTTGTGTTTCAATACATAGCGAGGGATTGGCGTTTTAATTCCCAAGGCGTCGGGCAAGACGAACTGATTCGATGGAGTTTCATATGCGAATTTCTTTCCACTTCTTTTGTGCCTTCATAATTTCCACAAGGGTAACTTCAACCCACGCTGTATACTAAAGGATAGACCTCGGGAGTACAAACCATACACAGCCCCAGCCCTGGAGGGTAGGTTCGTGTTTTGTTAAACACAATCGCGCGGGCTAGATTTTGGGAAAATCATACCATCACCTGCACCCGTGGAGGCCGTATTGCTTATTACCTCAGCAATAAATAAAACATACCAAGTAGCAGCCGTATTTCAGATCGCCTCAAGCTCTTTCTCGACTGGTAGGTACCTATTTCGAGTGTGGGCAGGTGAACACCTGGACAATCAATGACTGCGTGTATCTGCGGAAGGCCGTTCCAGATTGCTAGCTCGGACTCCTTACTCCACAAAAAATACGGGACCGCCTAGGCGTGCATTATGTGCAGCGGGTCACCCGCCTTTGAACACTTTTCTCTCCCGGCAGATGGCGGAAGCTTGATATAAGTGGAATTTGAGTTATCGGTCTAGTGAGCTAGGTTATCACAAGCGAGAGACCCAGAGTATTATTTCAACAATAAGAAAACATGAGCAAGGCTGAAGAGGTATACAATTAATTATGTTGCCCCTTGAGAAGTGGAGCTGGTGTGAGCGAGAGAAAGGGTTACCCGATTAGGATATCCCGAGCTTCGATGTACATACTGTGTGTGAATCAGTTAAGCTTACTCCGTAGATGCTCCATCCTCCCCACACTAAAAATAAAACTAAAACTAAAATAAAGCTCGGGACTGGATAAGCTGCTCTTCCGTGGGTTTGGGTGGATTGAAAGTGGACCTCAAGAGGGCCCTGTCCCTGAGAAGACCGGGACACCGAGAAAGGGCATTACGAGCATCAGATCAACTGACCTCTTGCTCGGCGGTTCATTTCTGCGGGACAAAATACATTTACCAAGGCTAAACAGAGTGGAAGCAACATGTATTACGAATACCCGTTGAACTGAAAATGCCGAGTGTTTCATTGGAGCCGGCATTCCGTGTCTGCACGGGGAGCTTCAACTTCGTAGGATCTTCTGATATCTCCCTAGCAGTACTGCATCTCTCGCCCTGGACCGGGTGAGGGATCCACATGGAAAGTAATTGAAACTTTTTCCATATGTCAATCATGCCTTTCGAGGTCCAGGTGTGATAGTCAATCATGCATACTTCGGTTGGCCCTCGGTGGATCATTCCATCGAAGCTCTGATTGAAGATTTGTCGCTTCCAGTACGAGGGTCACGATATTTCAGCTTGGCGGTGCAAGCCCCTTCCCCCGACATACACATCGATGTAGCTAATCAGAGCTGTCGTGGGAGGTGTGGAATTAGCTACCATGGGCGCTCTCGGGCAATCGAAGTGTCTGGACCCACCGAGTCATGGTGACAATATGCTGTAGTGAATCCACCGGGTCACGCGCGGATTCTGATTGAATTGATCCCTCAGTTCCTATGCAAGATGCGATGTTTCTCGGAAAACCCTCCCAGGAAGTACCGTTCAGGTCCTGAGACGTATAAATCACCTGCAAAACCGCGGAAGTTGACTGTTTCCATTGCATCAACTTTTCCAACATTTCGATCTATTAGCTGCCACTGATTTGTCTCACTTACCTTCGGCTGATTTCCAAGGTTGTTTTGCGTTTATATACCCCGTCGGCTTTTGAACCATGTCTTTTACGCGCATGCTGGCTCCTGCCCGTACTCGGCTGAATGGTACTATCACTACCATCCCCCGTATTCTCACCTCCTCTTCTCGACTTTACTCCAGATCCAAAAGCTCATTCAATCCACATGACATTCTGGATGTCTCTCACAGCCCGGAGCATATTCAATCAAAACTGCCAGAGCCGAAGCATCTAAACAACCATCACCGATTCAGCGAGTTTGACCTCGAGGGTCGGGTATACGCCATCACCGGCGGTGGAGGAGGTCTAGGACTGTCCATGGCGGAAGCACTGGTTGAAGCTGGGGCTAAAAGTACACCGACAACACCTTATCAAAGCCCAGAATGAATACATGCTAACACATGACCAACGTTAGTATACTGCTTGGACCGTCTCGAAACCCCACATCCAGACTTCTTGATTGCGAAGGAAAAGGCCGAGACTCAATACGGTACTACTCTAGAGTACATTCGTATTGATGTCCGCAATGCCATGGAGGTAAACAACGTGTTTTCGGCGATTGCATCACAGCATGAGCGACTGGATGGCCTGATCGCCGCAGCCGGCATCAACCATCTCCAAAGCGCCCTGGAGCACTCCCAACAAGCGTTGGACGAGGTGATGACCATCAATTTCAACGGAGTGTTCAATGCAGCGACTGCTGCAGCACGCCAGATGTTCAATTATCAGCAAAAGGGGTCCATTCTACTGGTGGCTAGTATGAGTGGTCTCATTGCCAACAAGGGCATGACATCGCCAGTGTATAATGCATCAAAAGCGGCTGTTATTCAGCTTGCCCGCTCGCTCGCCATGGAATGGGGTCGTCATGGCATTCGCGTCAACAGCTTGTGCCCGGGCCACATCATCACGCCCATGGTTGAGAAGGTTTTCCAGCAAAACCCTACCGCGCGTGCCACCTGGGAGGCAGAGAATATGCTTGGCCGTCTTGCTTTGCCAGAGGAATTTCGTGGCACAGCACTTTTCTGTCTTTCCGACGCCAGCAGTTTCATGACCGGAAGCACCTTGCTCATTGATGGAGGCCATACTGCCTGGTAGGGAAATGTCGATTGCAGATGAATGTTGAAAAGAAGATGCCGTCAGGATGTGGCGGAGGGTATGACTTTGCTTGACGAATGTGAGGTACTCGGAGGTGGTTCATGGATATACGCGGCTTGTGTGTTTGCCCAGAGCTAGCAAGCTATGTGACACGAACAACAAATAATGCAGAAATATTCTATCTTGGATAACAGAGGTTAGCCGCAGATAGTAAGCATTGGGACAGCCTAGAGTCAGAGAAACCAAACATATGCAATGGGAGCGCGCAAATAGATGGAGAAGCAAACAGTTGCAGCCATTTTAGCCGCATTTTGATCTTGGCATGTGAGTATGTGTTGGCACTTGCATGGGGGATACCCTCCAACATCACCTTTGCGAAAGATTTGCTTATTATCTCTAGTATTGTGAGTTGAGAAAGGAAGAATATGCAGCTAGTGTGTGTTGTCGAGTTGCCTGTTGCCCAAGTGGGAAGGATCCAAATTGTCAACGAGGGCCGCTATCACACACCTTCCAAAGTTATCCCCCTGGTTGTTGCCCGTGCTGGCTGATATTTAATATCCCCCCCAATCCTCTCCAGAATTATAACCTCTTCCATCTCTCTGTTTTTCAATAACTTGGACGCCAAAGTCTACAAAGAAAGAACTGATCTCATGATCTGTGGAAACATCATGGAGCTAGATGTGCAAGAACGGTATGTTGTATCCTCGTGTACCAACCACCATGCTGATTGCTTGGATCTAGGTATCATAAGCTAAATTCCCGAGTCGTCGATCTTGTTGGCGACTTTGCTGGAAATGAGCTTTTCATCATCGAGGGTGACTCTCTTCTACTACACTGTTTCACGAATCCCAAACTTGATTTCAACCCCGGGCTGCAGGTATTGCATGCCACATACTTGGTTGAGCAGGTGATATACAAGCTTCGACAGCGCAGATGTGTGTTTGACATCGTATTCTTTGCTGAGAATGCGCAGTGCTCCATTCCCCCGATGGCGGATAGCGGTTCTCACGATAAATATCTTCTTGCCCGAGAGGCTATTACGCAGCATCTTATTTCTATCCAAGGACAAGTATCACCGCCCTTCCAAGTTCTCAAATTTCGAGATCTCAAGTCTAGAGATTTTGGTGCTTATCTGAACAGCTGCGGAGCATATCTTTTCATATGCCACGACGGAGCTGTTGCTGCAACTACAAGAGTCGCCGACACCGACATTGACACAGAGAGCGATGTCTCACTCAGCACTGACATTGACAAAGGTGGCCTGGAAGATGAAGGCGACACTGCGTCTTTCACAGCCCCACATGCTGAGACCTCGAAGCTCAAACTTCGTGCGATGATTCACTGTTTCTCTGACTGTGGATATAACACTGCACTGATCAACAGCTTGGAGTTCCGGGATACCAAGGTGATTTTACCTTCCTTTAGACTACTTTGATAGCTGTTTGCATAGCTGAATGTTTTCAGGTCATGGTGATGATGCTTGATGGTTCTACCAAGCCCACCAAGGATCGCATGCTATGGGATAACTCCGACACGGATAATACCGAGCAGCCTGATATCACAGATTTGCACAGGCGGGACCTTAGATGCGCCCTTCATGATATGAATAAGGCGCTTTCTGTATTGAGTCTCAGCCAGGATACCTGTCAACCACTAAGCCCGCAAAGACTTGACGAACTTCTAGCATCAATGATTTTAGATCAGCCTACACTGACCCAACGTCAGCTCCTTTTGATTGCCACATTAAGCGCCATGTTCTTGAGCGGTGTTGCGCAAAGCATCATCAACAAAACTGCGGCGCAAGCGATGATTTTGCATCTTGTTATCCTACAGGAAACTCGACTATCAAACCGAGGAATAAAAACAAAGAGATATCGTGACTCGCAGTTCTTGAATGCATTCTTAATATCAGCACGAGCCATTCTCGCGTCAACTTGCTGGGCAAATATCACGACACAAAATCATCTGTGGTGCGATCTTTGCGACTTTCTAGATGGCACTTTGTTTCTCGCTATTCAAGAGATGGCGGAGAACGATGGTATCCGCCAAGTGCTTTCGTCGGTCACATTTCCTTCTTTCAAAACTCTCGCATCTTCCGTGGATCAGTTTTGTGGATCAAAGCTAAGCTGCGCATTTTTGAAAAATGGAGTTGATTTCGAAGATGTGAACAGTCAGTCTAATGAGAACGCAAAAAGCATAACATCATCAACTCGGGCATTTGGCAAGGTGCTACCTTTTTCCAATTCAGTCTTTGATGAACATCTGAGACCTGTACATCTTGTCATTGACGAGTCTTCAGAATCAAGCGACATTAAAGGGACCTCAAAGGTGTTCTTGGATGAAACTCACTGGCATAATTCGAAGTCTCTCAAAGAGACAGAGAAAGCTACATTGTCGCCAGAACAGTCGAAACGATTTCGAAGAAAACAACAGTTCTTCATGGCAGACATGGATCAATCGCCTTCCGAATTTGAGAAAGGGGGTTTCCGCCGCCATTGCCACCTTTGTCAACGAAGCATGTCAACTAATTGGACTCCCGACTTGTCAACTTGATCATCAATCGGATGAGAGTTTGTCTTTTCAACCCTTCAACCCTCCCACTGGGTTTCAAATGAGCATTGGGATCCCATCAGCTGAATTTCAGCTGTCATATGGTGGGCACTGCATGGAGCGCAGCATAGAATCCATGCCTGACCCCCGAACACCCGACTTCGACCCCGATCGCTGGCAGCGCGAAGTTTTGGATCAAATTGACCAGAAAAACAGTCTTTTTATAGTAGCTCCAACAAGTGCAGGGAAAACTTTCATATCGTGAGTCGCTTTGTGTCTTGATGATCTTCTATACTGATGAAATGCAGATTCTATGCGATGAGGCAGATCTTGAAAGAGGATGACGATGGCATTCTTGTTTATGTCGCGCCCACCAAGGCTTTGGTCAACCAGATTGCGGCTGAAGTTCTAGCTCGGTTTTCAAAATCATATCATTCCCGAGCGAATGGAAAATCCGTCTGGGCTATCCACACAAGGGACTATCGTATCAACGAGCCGAAAGGCTGCCAAATATTGATCACGGTCCCACACATTCTTCAAATAATGTTGCTTGCTCCAACCAACGCCAACGCATGGACTCCTCGAATCAGACGTATCATCTTTGATGAGATTCACTGCATAGGCCAAGCCGAAGATGGAGTTGTATGGGAACAGCTACTTCTTTTGTCTCCATGTCCAATAATTGCTCTGTCGGCCACGGTGGGGAATCCTCGAGAGTTTTATGATTGGTTGTATCTTGCCCAAAAGGCAAATGGACTGGATCTCAAAATGATTCAACACAGACATCGATACTCGGATCTGCGAAAATACGAATACCGAGCCCCGAAATCTTTTTCGTTCAAAGGATTCTCCTCTCATGATGGATTGCCCCTTTTGGGGTTGGATGAGGCAACTGGCATGAAGTTCATACACCCGGTCATTAGCTTAATTGATCGCTCCAAGCCCATTCCAGATGACCTGGATCTCGAGCCCCGTGATTGTTTGACACTGTGGAAGGCAATGAGTGACCTTCAAACAGAGCGCTTCCCCGTCGATAATTCTCTGGATCCATCTGTCTTCTTCTCAAATGGTATCATCAAAAAGGCACACACCATTGAATGGCAAAAGCAGCTGAAGTCTCTTCTGACTGAGTGGATGAGAGGTCAAGGCTCTCCGTTTGAAAGAGTCCTACTTCGTTTGGAAAATCGAGCTCCAGGATACATAACAGAGGAAGAGCAGAGCCCATCAGATCCCACGGTACAAGCAGCCGACAGAGATGTCGGTCTACTCGACAGCACTCTTCCTTTGGTGTACTCTCTTCACTCCCAAGGTGCCCTTCCAGCATTGTTCTTCAATTATGATCGCAGCAAGTGCGAAGATTTGTGCCTTAGACTTCTTGGACAACTCCGAGACTCCGAAGCAGAATGGAAAGCTGGGAGCTCTAAATAAAAAGAGAAGATGGCAAAATGGACCGAATGGAAACTCCTTCAAACTGCAACTCAAAAGAAGTCTGCCAAAGTCACGAGGAAAAAGAATGCTGGACACGATAACAGTGATGATGATGAAGGACCTGGGTCCCGAGAGGATCAAATGAGGGATTCACCCTCGACCGAATCCACACAGTTCGATCGATTCGACCCTGAGCGGCCTTTGAATCAATTCAGCTTGGCGGATTCAAAGAAAATCGGACCTGGGGAGTTTTCTACGCTTGCAAGGGAATTGAAAGCACGACAGGTAGCTCAATTCCTCATAGATGCCTTGGAGCGTGGTATTGGAGTTCATCATTCAGGGTTGAACCGCAAATATCGCCATGTTTGCGAGATGCTATTCCGCAAAGGATTCTTGCGCATAGTCTTTGCTACTGGAACCTTGGCTCTTGGCATCAACATGCCCTGTAAAACGGTCATGTTCTCAGGTGATTCAATCTTCTTGACAGCTCTCAACTTCCGACAAGCCGCCGGCCGAGCTGGTCGCCGTGGTTTCGATTTACTGGGAATTGTTGTCTTCCAGCGAGTGCCGCGCTCAAAGATGCTCCGACTCATCAGCTCGAAACTTCCTGATTTGAATGGTCATTTTCCAATCACGACCAGTCTCGTTCTACGCTTGTTTATCCTATTGCAAGGCTCAAACCAAGCTGCTTCTGCAATCAAATCAATCAATTCTCTGCTCTCAAGCCCGCGCATCTACCTCGGTGGATCCCAGATGAAAGAAACGGTCCTGCACCATCTCCGTTTCTCCATTGAGTACCTTCGACGAAACAGACTGATAGATAGGAAAGGCGTGCCTATAAATTTTGCAGGCTGTGTCTCTCATTTATATTACACAGAAAGCTCAAGCTTCGCTTTTCATGCTTTGCTTAGCTCTGGATATATCCAAAGCCTTTGCAAAAGTATCAAGTCCCGCCCCAAGATGACTGTTACCAATCTGATGTTGGTGATGGCACATATCTTCAAGCGCCTCCCTTTGCGCGCAGCAACATTGGAATGGTATCAGACCGTGGGAAAGAGGCCCTCCTCTGTTGTTGCCCTCCCGCCATTGCCGAAGAAAGCTGTCGAATCCTTGCGTGCGCACAACAAGAATGTGCTTCAAGTATACTCAGCGTATGTATCTAACTTTGTTGATCAGCATGTTCATACCCCAGATTGCCATCTCCCATTCAGTGGGTTCAAGTGCGGCGGAGGGCACACCTTTGCCCAATTAGGACTCTCAAACCTCGACTGTGTCTACCCTAAGATCGTATCCCCGTTCTTCGCTCTGTCTGGAAATGATGACAACTGCCGTACAATATCTGATCTTTGTCAGATGGTGCGCAGTGGTGTGTGGCTTGAAAACTCAGTTATTCCGTATCTGGCTCTATCCTCGGAGAGCCCAGCACCTCTCAATGCCTATCTGTACGACTTCTTCAAACATGGAAACGTCTCTCAATTGGAAACTGCGAATTGCATTCGTCGAGGCGACATTTGGTTTTTGCTTAATGATTTTTCGTTGGTGCTGTCAACAATCAACACCAGTCTGGATGCTTTCCTTGCCCCAGGGGGGCCACATCTCAGCGGATATGACCGAGGTGGTAGGTGGAGGTGATGCGCATGAAAGTCACTTGGAGATGCACATTGTCGACAGTCAGATCGACACGGAAGATCAAGAGACACACAAACAGGAAAAGGGCTCACACATTCGGGAGGATATAAAGCACTCTACTTCCCGACAAGTCAAACCCAATGTTGGACCGAAGAAATTGCCTGATATCTGGGAGGATGAGGCTGAAGAAGAGGTGCAAGATTTCAAAGATGTCGAAGAGTTTGAGCAAGTGCACTCTCAGCATCCCGGCAGTGGACTCAAGAATCAACCAAAGGAGCCTCAGCCAGAAGCAAAGAAGGAAGAACCGGTAGACAAGTCTGAGAGATCCATGTGCTTAGTTTCGCAGGCCTTCAGAGAGCTCCAGCAAGAGTTTGATACCAAGTTCAGGGCAATGTGGGCCTAGGCCTGATAGCCTACATACTTTGTCCCAGTTGAAGACCATCAAGTCGGAAAAATATTGTTGGGTGTCGACTACCACAGACTTCAAATTGAAAATTCTTCCAAATTGCTCAGCCAGGCCAGGCTAGGTCCCAAGGTCATGCGCAAATAGAAAATTGGGACTCCTTAATTATCGTTGTATCAGTCCTTCAGTGACCAGGATATAATTAGAACCAGAATAATTGGAGCTATACTTCTACTCGCTCCCACCTGTTGATCAAGTACGACCTCGGATAGTTCCAAGTTTAGCATACCATGTCTATTTGGTTTTGTTGCTCATGATCGCGGTGAAGAGAAGTAAAGCCACTATCGACATGGGTTCAATCAAAATTTCCGCTCCTTGCGGCTATCGCTCAACACTACTGTTCTTTTAATGCCTCTTTACATCCCAGATGCAGGATATGGTGGTCAATGCCTAAGAGGCCTTGATGCGCTATTCATCAAGCACCAGAACAAGTACATCAACAGCACGCGAAAAGATCGAAGTGAATTGCAGTCAAGGGGTATTTACATAGACAAGGGATAATGCAGAACATGCGTAGCACAGTTCCGAAGAGCGAACGTGTGGCGATTGTGGGGTGTGGAGTACACACAAGAGACTGTCGCTGCTGGGCGAATCAACTACGTGATTGGTGATCTCTAATGAAGTATGTGATAGCCAGTCCCTCAGTTAATATTCAATTGGCTCGGTTTCAGCCGTGACACACTTTCCATGCCCAGAGAACCATGGTAGCAGGCTCGTGCGAGAAACAAAGATGCAACCGTGCCCCTTGCAGTGACATCGTAGATCAGGACTCACCTTTGATCTACGTCTCAATGAGGTAAACTTTGGACACACCGCTATATACATGATGTTTCAATGTTCAGATTTAGCTTTTCAACTATGATACAGTCCTACCAGATGGTCTGACAAGCCCACGCTAAAGGAACCTCGTTATCGAAGATGTTTATGTAACCTCAGATAGTGGGCACCATTCTTTTTTATGCAGGCGTCTATTGTTCTGGTAGAAACATAATGTTCACAAATTATGAATAGATCAACACCTGCGAACTTCAAATCTTGAAATGTTGATTTCAAAGTTGAATCCTTGGGAGCTTGGCTATATCTGTGTCTTTTGATTTGTCTACAACCTAGATCCTCTCTGTTCAGAAGCAGCAACAGACGTCATCGCAGAGTGATTATGCATTATGACCTGGTCAAAGATATTCACTTTGATCATCAAAGCTCGCAACAGGCTTTTCAGAAAAGTAAGGGGACTGGAAAGGGCTCGCTTGCTGTGATCAGACACACAATCCGCTCAGATAACCAGAAAGCAGTAAGCAGGAAAAGAGGTCTCGGTCTTCTTTAAGAATGAGAGGTGTCCCTTTTCAAACTGGTATCTTCTCATCATATCTATTCAACAAGACACAGTCCCCAGTACATTACCAAGCTCCACGATTCTCCGATAAATTACCACCACAATGCTTTTTCTCAAGGCTTTTGGACTCCTACCCTTCGTGGCCATGGCTCTGGCTGGCTCGTCGAAATTTGCCGACACATGCCAGGATATTGATGGCGAAGGCACAACCCTTCATGCACAGTGTCAGGAGAGAAAGGACGGTCAATTGCAGTCGAGTACATTGGACTTGAACCGGTGCCTCAAGAATGACAAGGGCAAGCTTAAGGTAAGAGAACCTGGGGAACTTAGAACGTTCCAAGACTGACACAGCTAACCCCGGAATAGTGTGGAAAGAAGTGAGTTGAATACTGGAAATAGAACATCGTCCTTGGAAAAGTGACCTAATTTATCAGTGGCAATTATTCCGGATCTTGCATCAACTGTACTCTCCGTGGGACGGCCGACTTTTCCTGCCAGTGCCGGAACTCCGAGCGCGAGCATGATTATGTCAATACTGTCATCGACTTGAGTGAGTCCACAGTGCTTTATCATATCCCTATATCTTCATCAAGCTAATATAATGGACCCGAAAGACAAATGTGTTGCCAACAACCACGGCGAGCTTCGTTGCTAGATGAGCATGATGCACAAAGCTCCATGAATGTTGATTCGAACGAACTAAACACATGCAGTGAATTGGAGATGTGCTAGTGGACTGAAGAATTATGAAGTCATGAAATTGCTGGAACTCGAGCATAGGTAACGCAAATATACGTGCGAACTGAAAGAATGACTGAATGAAGCTCTGTTTATCGTTCCAACGTTGCGTCCTCGGGAAAGGCGTTCTGAAAATGATGCTTCCAAAAGTCATTATCCTTTTCTGATGGCCATGACAGTCCTGGAACTGCCATTGTTCCAACATTTGGATTATATCATATAAACAAGACCTCTATCGCCAGTAGATTGATCGAGATCCTTCCTCCTTCCACCACCCATGAGCTCATCTTGCTCTTCACCCTGATCTGCAGGACCAGCCTGTTCAATAATAGTATAAGTAGTCTCGGCAGCAGCACGGTTCATTCGCTGGAACATAATCCGCAATCCTATGGCCAAAAGCGCCACAACAACCATAAAGAATGAACATATCGTCATGCCACGAATATACCATGGCCCATCTGACTCTGGATAAAGTCTGGTTCCAAGGAGAGGGCCACACTGACCGATGATGTTGAGAATAACAATGCTTGCACCCTTGCCTTCCTTTTCAACTCGATTATCCATTGACCAGGTGATGACAATGGTGATTGCAGAGAAGAACCCAGCCGTAGCTGGGTAGACACAGAAATATCGAATGAGCGTATGGAGCCACTGCGGCAAGTGCGCATGGGAATATCCAGTTACTGCAATGGTCAAGTAGGAAAGGGAGGAAACAAGGGCATGGCCAATAAGATACGGGCTGCGGGACCGACTGCGATCCGAGGCATATGCGGTGATGAGAACCACGACGAATGCAACGAGATAGGGTGGCGCGGAGAGAGCCTGGGCTTGAAGCGGTGTATAACCCATACTAACGCGAGATATTAGCAGAACTCGGGGGTTGAAGGCCGTTGAGATACACACTCTAGAATGATGGTAGGCAAAAAGACGGGCATGGAGCTGAAAGCAACGTTACAACTGAAAAACATCAACTGTGGGAGATCAATGGTCAGAACTTTGATATGTATTGCAGACAGCAGAGAATTTTACCGCAGCCATGTACGCCTTTGGGTCCGATGCCGTCTTTAAAATTTCACGCCAATTGAATCGACTTCCACGGGACTTTTGATAGTCGACCTTGCTCTCGAGACGCTTCTGAGCCACCATCCTCTGACGAGGGGTAAGAAATACCGCGCGATCAGGCGAGTCGGGTATCAAGAACCAAGCAAAAACAGCCACGATCACACTGGGGAAACCTTCAACGAGAAACAAGGTACGCCAAGGCGAGATTGGACCATTGTTGCTGGTTTTCACGATCAGGTAGGCTAGACTACTAGCGAACGATGTTGCAAGCGGTGCCGCCGAGATGAACAATCCATTTCGGAAAGCCAGCTCGTGGCGCTGATAAAACAAAGATAGGTAGAACGGGACGCCTGGAGCAAAAGCAGCTTCGGTGATCCCAAGCAAGGCACGGAGCACCATTAACCCTTCAAAGGAAGTTGCTAGACACTGAAATGATGCAATAAGTCCCCATCCACATACACACAGCGAGATGTAGATATGTGGAGGCACAACACGGTACATAAGTGTCATCCATTCGAACAGAATGTAAGTGATATAAAAGGAGGTGAGTAGCCATTCATATTGTGACGAGGAGAGTTTGAGATCATCCTTAAGTCCAGCGATCTTTGCGTTTCCGATATCTGGGAGCACAGTCAGTAAAACTGCAGGAAGAGAGCGTGCTTCACACGGGAGAATGGCCAAGCGTACTGGAGCGATCCAAGAAGGAGAGCAAATAGAGAAGGGCCAGGAAAGGGACCAGCCGTCGATCGAACCTCTTCACTACCTGACTCTCCTCTTCTGGCGTATAATTTGGCGCTGCACCGGCATTCGGAAGCTTGCCTTCGAGCTCTTCGCTTTCGTTGTATCTGCTCTCGTTTTCGATATCGGAGAAAGCGTCGCCAACGTCCGGATAGTCCTGGAAGTTGGTTTGTACGCGCAGCGGTAGGATCGGGGACTTTGCAGGGCCGGATTCTGGTATTTCTTCTTCTGATCCGTAGGAAATCGGGGTAAAACGCGGGTTCGAGGACGTGCTTGAGCTCGTGGAGGGCGGGTGCCCCGCTGTGTGGAGGCCGGCCATACTTGAAGAGACAGCACAGCCTTCGATAAGTCTCAAACGCGGAGCCTATGCAATATATTCTCCATCTAGGTCTAGGTTGACCGCAAGCTTCTATAGAGCTCCCCCTCGATTCGCAGGTGACCGCTGTTGATCATCCGTCTGAAATTGTTATGTCATCAACACACGTGGGAACTGCCGCTAAACCAATAATGGATTAGCGTTGAGCTTGGATCTATGGACGATCCTGGGGTTGAAAGTGCCTACTTTGACGTCCCTGGGGCGCGTGGTATACCTATCTTTGAGTGGGCGAGACTGCCTGTTGACTGGAGATTTCGATTCATTGCTACATATCTCAAATTACGCGACTGGCAAATCTGTTTGGGGCTTTCGCTGAAGCACTAGCAGGAACACAAAACACCTCCCTCCGGAGTCTGAACGCCTGTTCTCAATGAATAATGCGCCCAATAAACTGGATTTAGGGGCGGTAGGAGTCAACACCCCGGCCGTGGTTCCATCCAGTCTTTGGTACATATCGGTCCCAGCGATCGTTTCTGTCACTTCCCCGTAGGTCTCTCCATAATATCCGTAAGGTCGGTAGGGGCTGGGGCTGGGGCTGCCATGAAAGCTGCTGTCCTCACGCTCGAATTTGCGCTTGCGACCACCTGCGAGCTTGTCTGCATGGGCTTTGCTAGACTTCACGGTATCCTCGAGTTCCTGAATCAGATCGTGATCCTTGTCTACATTCTTCAGGTAACGGAGGAGGTTCTCGGCGGTGTCACGAAGGAAGCGGACGCTGTTGGTTTTCTTGTCGTGGGTTTCGGTTACCTCCAGTACATAGTAGTCTTCCTTGGCCTTTTGGTAAGTTTCGACCAGTCTATCGAGATGGCGAGGCTTTGAATCTTCGGAGTCACGGGTCGAGTCGGTAGCCTGGGTGCTAGCATTATCGTGGTCGGTAGACTTGATTTCTTCCTCTCCAGCGGTCAGGTTTGAAAGAGTTGGGATCTCCGAGATGGGGCCTATTCTGTCGTGTTAGATGAGAAAGGTAAAATTTCGTTTTTCTGTCGGCTTACCGGCGTCAAGAACACGCTGGGCCGCCAGGTTGGCAGCCAGGCAAGCTTTGATCTCTCCATCTGAGACACAGTCTTTGGTTCCGAGGAACTCAGCCATGTAAAATTCGAACAGACCATAGGATTGCATGGTATGTCCATTGTCATAGAGACGAACAAGAGCAGCATCAAAGATTGTGATTTGGCCATCCTCGGATTTCTGCGATCGTTGACGAATGGCTTTCACCTGACGCCTCAGCCCATGGAAGAACAATCGAGAGTTGTCTCGGTCCCCAAGAAGTTCGTGAAGGGCTTCACTTGGATGCATAACTGCACTCCACTTGAGATACACGCTGTCCCTCTTGCTGCGGAGACTGCGCGCCATGGCGATCAGACTTTGTAAACAAAGTTTAGTAATGTGAAAGCGATGCGAGGTGATGCATGCCACAATACAGACGCAAGGCCCGAGAGTAATTGTATAGCACCCAGAGGACTTACCCTGGTTGGATTGAACGTAAAGACACAGGTATCAAAACGCGTCGAAGCCTTGCAGGCAGATTGGAAATGGCTATCAGAGCGATCTCACGAACGGGAGAGAGTAGAGAGGATGAGGGCGAAAAGCGAAGGAAAGGGGGAACAAAAAGCCCTTTGAAAGCTAATCGAGCAAAGTGGAAGTCGGCGGGTTCGCTGCTACACGTACCCTCAAAAAGGTGCTCAGAGACTGGTAACACATCCAAGATTCCACCAACTAGGCTGTGAAAGTCATTTTTCAGCGACAAGGTTATACCCAAGTGATTTGACCGGACAACATTGGATGGACTTCCACAAGATTCTTCTCTGAGCAAGCAAAAGCTTTGTATTACGTTGACTCCATCTTAAATGTTAGTCGTTTTCGTATTAGTGTAAGTTTGAATCTCGTGGGGAATCATCAGTTGCATTGAGAATTATATCCTATCGTATAGGCATGAGCGAATAGGATGCGATCAGGTCTTAGTTCCTCTCCTTGTAAAGCTTCTCTACCTGATCAACAAGGGTTGAAGGTTGGGCGCCCTGACTATTCTGGCCGCAATCTTTCCATTCATCGTTGTCACGGACGCACCAAACAGTGTCATCCAGGCGGACAGTACAGCTGGTCTTGACACCAAGCTTTTCGCCGCGGGTGGCGCTCTCACGCAGGAGGGCAATACCGCTGAGAGGTGGGCTATCATCTCCACCGTCGTCTGGGTCGTCATTCTGCTGGCTTGCGCATTTGTTGAGGGCATCAAAGTCGATACCAAATTCCATGGCACACTGGTGTACAAATTCGCGTTCTGGTATCTGGGCGAAGTCGTTGATTAAGCAATTTGCAAATCCTAGTGAGCGGACAATAGGGGTCCGAGGGTATTGAGGCGGGAGTGTTGTGTCGTCCATAGCCGCAGGGAATGGAAGATTGGCTGCGCAGAGCAGGAGCATATCACCAATGCATTCCCCAGGACCATGCTTGCATTCTATCTCTTCTGTGTTCGGTGAAACACTGATAGCAAAAGAAGTCATTAGTGGAAGGCTCCAAATAAAGGAATGATGTAGAATGCGAATCAGCCTTTTCGTAGATTATTGCTTACCTAGCAATGAACGAAAGCCTGAAGTCAACTTTGTCATTAACCTTCTCCATTGCAGGAAGAACCAGGTCTTGTAAGCAGGCTTTCGCATCTGGACATTTGCTCATTATGTGAGCTTCCAGCGGGATCTTGATCTGCCCCAGTGACTTCTGTCCGTCTGGGGTAAGAGATGCTAGATTCGCCCCATGGTTACCGTTTTCAATGTAGCCAGAAGTCCCATCAAGACTGTCTTTTTGGGGGCGCGCGTTGTGATGTGTGTCACACGCGGGAGAGGGCTTTAAAAGAAGTAGGTAGTAGCCGATGAGGAACACCACAGCGATGCACAGGCGGCGTATAAATGTGGCTGTGGTAGGTCGCGTTCGTTGCTGGTCTTGGTCAAATCCGACTGACTCGCCAAATACCTCCTTGGAGTGGCTCGGTAGTTTCTCCATGATGGCTATGCGGCAGAGGTGACGTTGTTTTGATAAGATCATGTGGAGCGCGACCCGCGGGTAGACCGCCCCCATTACTAAGATCTCCCATCTGCCCGGTGGGCACTGGGAAGGAACCTCCAATGAGCTCACAGCCCTGTGGTTATTACTACGATGATTGTGGTTGGAGTAAACTTGACACCCGGTTCCCTCCTAAATGCCTAAATTCATGCCCAGGAATATGGTCACCGAGGCCATATTCATCAAGGCTCCGACCTCGGAGAGATGCCTCTCGTTTCAAAGTCAGAGGCACTAGGGTAGCCTGCCCTCTGCAGGAATGGTCTGTTGGCCAAGCCACATTTGCTAAGAATTGCGTGCTTGGGATACTCGTTACTGCACAGGTGAGCAAATTCAAGTTAAGTGCTCTTATCGAAGCCCTGCAGGGCTTATGTTCAAGAGGGAACTTTCCGGTCGATTCACGGGGAGCGGGTGACCAATTCCGGATAGCCCTGGAAGTAAGCAAACGCGATAGCGCCGACAAGGCTCAACTCAACTCGAATAATGGTGGCTTCCAAGGTCCCAATGAATAATCGAGGAGCTCAGAGCTAGTTCGCGGAATATATCTGTGTCTGGATACGGGCATGTCCGGCCCCCATCACCACGCGAGCGCCATGGGTATATCAAACGAGGCGAGGATCGTATCGAGCGAATGATCTTTGAGCTGATCATTGAGCTCGGTGCCTAGGCCGGGGGATCCTGGAACCCCGCCATTCAATGTCTCGTCGTATAGGGAGGCACTCTGACCCTCCACTCGTGCATTTCCAAACGCCTCGCAGCCTCGTGTGTTTCGTTTAATCCCCAGACTGCCAAGAATGGCGTCTAGACCAGGATGGGTTCGGCACAAACAATCGCGCACTAAGCAAGGTCATGTACGGAGTATCAAGTCGTCGGTCTCAAGTACTTCGTACATTTGTAGGGTTACATAGTGGGATACAAGTGTGAAACACCACATCGCGGCTGGAAATGATTTAGCTCATAAAATGGGCCTGAAGCGGGGAGATGAGAGATGAGATTTCAGAAAATGTCATCCATAAAGTTTCAACCTAATGGAAAGACAACTGCCGGGATTTCCAACCTGTCCCGCACAAAACGAATAGCGTCGCATCGCCTCGTCTCGTCCGATGGTCGCATCTCGCTCATCTTACACGTTTAGTTCTGTCTCTCTTCAATCTCCTCGCTGGTTCTTGTCTTTTCTTTGATATCATGATTATTACTATTTGATCCATCTGATACCCTAGCTGCTCCACTCTCCGACTGTTCTCGTCCCGATCAGCGCATAACTCAGTTTAAGCTAAAAAGGTACCTGGATTTGGATTTAAATTATCGCCAACCATTTCTCATTTGAACTTGAGTTGTTCTCTTGTTTTTACTTTTTTTCTCTCTCTGTTTTTTTTCTCGCTCTGATCCTGTCTTAAGCAGGGAGCTATACACTCCCATTGAGCAACTCCTCCAGGGCATCTAGGGATATTTCTCCTCAGAGGTCTTATATAGTCCTCATCCCCCAAGATCCATTATTTGTTTCTGCACGATCAGCGCATACCAAAATTCCAGGGTACGTAAAGCAAAGATGGCGGATTGGCATGATCAGCGTGTTTTCTGTTTTCCCCCGCAGCCGGATTATCGCCCTGCAGACCGCGTCACCGAAATGTTCCTTTTACCCTTAATTGCAACCTCACTAACCCAAGACCCAGTTGCGACTTTAGCTTAGGCACTATAGTGGCCCTAGCATCGTGTCTCCACAATTAAAGGATTTTAAGGATATGCTTATGCCCTGTCGGTCCTAAACATTCCAAAGCTTCCACGTCACTGTTGAAAACATAGCGGCTCTGTCCGCAAGGGAACATTATTATTCTGCCTTTGGGAATCGGCGAATCCGAAAAATACATCCTCACCAAAAACCTCACCATGGCCTCTGTCGATTCTAAATCATCGAGAAAAGACGAGGACGAGGAGTCCAATGTCATACATGACGACTTGAATGAAGATGAGGAACAAGAGCACTCCAGCTCGGAGTTGGACGCCGTCCAACAAGAATTCTTAGCGCATCATCAACAGCTGGAAGAATTCCTGTCGCCGATCTCTTTGAATGAGGGATTGCTGTATAAGCTGGCCCGGCGGTTTTCCGCAACCTACCGCAACCTGGCCTTAACATCAGACCAGCAATTTTTACCGACTCCTGTCACCCAATTACCTACCGGCCGGGAGACCGGCCGCTACTTGGCCATCGATGTCGGAGGCAGTAATCTCCGAGTTGCATTTATCGAGCTGCTTGGCGACGCTGTTGATTCTGATGTTCGTCCAACAGACGCCACGGAGGAGTCGCATGACACAATCCGCAAGGCTCAGCGCCCACGAGTGAAGCAAACGCTCGAGAAGGCGTGGCCTATCCAGGAGCATTTAAAGTTGGACAAAGCAGAAGATCTATTCTCTTGGATCGGTGATTGTATCGCGGAGGTGGTGGCCGAAAGCCTATCCTCGGATGCAACCAAGAAGGATATTCCTACCGAATTAGACATGGGTATCACATTCAGTTTCCCTATCATGTGAGTGATATTCCATCTATATCTTCGGGCTGTGATAGGTTGGGATCTCAGGTCCTTTCTGTCGGCTCGTGTTCGTCCTCTTTATTTACCAATATTTAGGCAAGAGTCGCTCGCAGAAGCCACACTGATGCCCATGGGCAAGGGTTTCGCTATCTCATCAAATCTCAATCTCGGCAATATTCTTCTGAATGGCTATGAAAAGCATACGAGACGACCGGATGATGATGACGAACCATCCTCTAAACGCCGGAAGCTGTTCGCACTTCCCAAGCTCAAGATCCAGGCAATAACCAATGATACTGTGGCGACTCTGGCGTCGTTGGCATACAAGGTAAAATCCTTGCCGAATAGTCGAGTAGCCATGGGTATCATTGTGGGCACTGGCTGCAATGCAACGATACCAATGAAGCTCGACTCTCTGCACGAATCAAAAGCTAAGAGCGTCCACGCAATGGAGCCAAACGCCGTGGAGACGGTTGTGAACACTGAATGGACCATCGCGGGCGCTGCACCGCCACTACAAGAGCTCGGGGTCACCACAAAATGGGATACTGAGTTGGACAAGGCTTGTAAACCCCCGGGGTTCCAACCCTTTGAATACATGACTGGCGGTCGGTACATTGGAGAACTGGTTCGCTTGATTCTGTTTGACTATCTGACTACAGTCGTTGGATTATCAAAGCGCGCCTTGCCGGCAAACCTCATCCAAGAATACGCCTTGACGACTACCTATATATCCAACAACGTTGCCAAAGCCCGATCTGACCCTGAACTTGCCAAGACCTTGAATGAATCACTTCCACCTCCCGAGAGCAGCGATTGGCGCTGGGATGCTCGAACAGCCGGGGCCTTCCGAAAGGTCGCCCGTACAGTACAGAGACGATCAGCCGGGCTGATCGCAGCTGCAGTTGTCGGCCTACTAGCATGCGCGCGTGAGATTGAACTCAAGGAAGACAGCAACACTAACACACCTGATGTTGCTGCTTCGCCGAAGAATGAAGAAGTTGTCGGCGCACTGGATGCTGCTGCCGCAAGCCTTCAGTCGACTGGTAAACATGCGGCTCACGAATATGTTGTCCCGGTTATTGAGCCCATCAAGGTCGATTGGAATTCTGGACCCGAAGAACTGGTTGTGGCATACACCGGTGGCATCATTCAGCATTATCCTCAATTCAAAGAGATGTGCCAGCAATATATCGATCGCCTTATCATGCGAACAGGTCCACAGCGTGGCGCCAAGTCTGTTTTCCTACGAGAAGCATCCGATGGTGGTGTCATTGGAGCTGGTGTTCTGGCTGGCATGGTTGTTCGCAAATGAGCATCGATGGGTTAATTCAGGTCTTTAATAAGCTTGTTATTTTTGAGTTTTTGGAGGGAGGTGCGAAATGAGAACGCGGTTCGGTTTTAGGCGTCAGTGGACTATTCTGAACTTTGAACGTGATTCGGCAGCCATGGCATATAAATGAGACTTGATTAATTGCGGTGCTCCCGACAATATTTCGCTGCTCTGCGACTAGAACCGCGCCATTGAACTATTTATACACCTCTTACCTCTTGTCCTCCCAAAACAAGATGCACGCAAACCTCGTCCAGATGAGTGTCAACTAGTTGATATAAGCGCTACCTCAAATGAAGATCATGCCCTAGAAGGGCTTTGGCTGCCCAGGTGATCTCTTTCGCGGCAGCGAAATGGTTCCCTGGAAATGAGAGAGGTGCTCAAATGAGCCTGTCTAGTATGTTGGCCAACCACATGACTTCGACGGTGCTAGGATCAAGAGGTCGCGAGAGAACAGCGCATCTGCTTGCGCGTTCGGTCCTGTTCACGCAATTGCAATCGTAATCGGGGAATGCACTTGACGACGCATGGCTCTCCACACACATCAACCCAACGTCATATGAATTGTGCTCATACCGGAAACAATTCCTGAAAGAGCGAGCCGAGAGAAGGCGAGAGGTTCCTATGTTCTCCCTAGAAACCAAGTCAGGTTGATGCGGATTGCATATGCCACAAGTTGCGAGGTAATCAGCGCTGACCCTCCCGTCAAACGCAGAGTTTTTCCGTGAGATGGTAAACATCATGTTGTCTTTGCTGGTGCTCCAATCCGACTAATTGTTTCAAATCAATCGGAACATGTTGTTTCGTACACCACGCTTCATGGCATTAGGCTTGCCATCTTCGTATTCAATGCCAGAAGCTCCTCCTTCTCCAGACATTTGTTCGAGTCGTTCACGAAGCTCGGCGTCAGCTTGGGAGACTGTTTTGCCCTTGAAAGGCAGGGAGCGGCTTTCATCGTTATTTTTGGGGGCCTTCCCACGTTGAAGGTCTCCCTGTTTAGGCTGATCTGATCTGGTAGGATCTTGAATCCCCATAAAAAGCTTCAGTGTTGGCCTTTGCTGAATGTACGACTGACATACCTTGAGGGTTCGATAACTGGGGCGAAGTTGTATGTAAGGGCCGCCAATTAGAAACAGACACCTGTCTAAGAAATGACTTGATTCCAATGGTTTGGAATATTGCGCGTCCTGAGGCCATGGTCGTGAGTATGGATGTTTCTGCGGTTTCGTGTTTTGAGTCCAGTTTCGATTCTTGGCCTCTGACGCAATTGAATGTAGATGGAGTGCACGTGACCAATGTCACGTGCAGTCGAGCGCCCCCGCGATTTCACGGGGATCGATGAACTCTCCGTTAGCACTTCCCCTGTGTTTCTATCGACAGGTCTGCCATCCATACCTCACACGATGGCATCAGTAGCTTACTATGAGCTTTACCGTGGGAGCAGGTACTATACCATTTGAAGCAGATTCAAGGTTCTAGAGCTGACTCAAAGAAATCCCAGCCTCGGGTTGTCTCTCACCGATACACTCGATGATTTGATCAATGAAGGACGCATTGAGCCTCAGTTGGCGATGAAGATCCTGGGAACTTTTGACAAAGTCGTCACCGAAGTTCTCGCAGACAAGGTCCGGGCGAGACTGACCTTCAAGGTACTGACTCCATCTCTGTTACTTCGTTACTTGTTCTTGGCATTATGACAAAGATGGGCAATGAAACTGCCTGGGAGAAGTTGGCATGTGCTGATATTTGTCTTGCTTTAGGGCCATCTCGACACCTACCGGTTCTGCGACGAAGTTTGGACTTTCCTCATCAAGGATGTGTCATTCAAGCTGGACAACCAAACGACCGTCACTGCGGAGAAAGTCAAGATCGTCAGCTGCAACAGCAAGCGTCCTGGAGAGGCATAAATCGGTCTGCTATGGATACAGATACAGGCGTTTTACTGATTTTGTCAACTGGTCGCATAGGCGTTCTTTTGGCTGCACTATCTCTTTTCTGGGGGTAACAGGCGTTTACGGTGGTTTGAGCTCTTACAACTTTGCATTGAAATGTCCTCAGAGGCTTAGATACCCTAAAGAATGAGGTTACAACACAATTCACGATATGCTGCCATTTCGTAGTTGATCAACCAAACTTTAGGTTGTCATGCGGGATGACCTCACACGTTCATCTTTCGCCGTAGGTGCCGATCAATCCTTCCCTTCCCCAATCTCTGGCCCTGTCCCAATACGCCTTTGGTCCTCTTGATCATTGCTTCAGACCTCAATAATGCCTAGGGTCTTACCATGGCAGCGGTCCGGAACTGAGACTACAGTCAAGAAAGAAGCCACCCCAAGAAAGCGCGTCAAGACGGAGTCTGAGCTTGGCCGCGATCTCACTCCCAGGAACCCCCCGAGCTCACCGTCAAAGCGCGATTTCTTTCGATCTTGTGCGCATATCTTTGATTTGACCCTGAAATACACTCCAGCTGATAGTCACACTGCGCAGCTCAGTCCCCGCCATCCTCTCCCGTCAAACAATGTCCCCCCGAAGAGTGCGACCGGGCCTGATCAATTCAATATGATCGATAACTGACATATGCTAGGTTTTTAATACCGGGTTTTGACCGGGATGATATGTGGGTTATGGTTGAGGACGAGTTCTATGCTGTCGCGCAGACATACACGCAACACCTTCACTATGCGGAGTATAGGAGACGAAGGAAGGAAGTGAAAGAAAGACACTCTACACTTGCAGCAGAAACCGAGCGACCCACGGACGAACGCACCCCTCTCCCGAGAGACGTTGAAAGGCGGAAAGAGAGTGAGGCCTTCAGGGAGAGACAAAAGGTCGGGCTTGCACAGGTTGCAAACGAGCCTCCGAACAAAGACGGCGACGACGGCGACGACGGCGACGATGACCAACTATGGGCCGGCACACACCTGCAAGATTTCATGTCGAGTCCACGGAAATCGCGCTCCCTGTTCGGTCTTCAATCGAGGAAGTCGTCTACTCGAGCTGCAGCGGGATTTGGACAGGTGCCTGTGGCAGCGTCGACTCGGGCTAGAGTGAACAGCACTGGCAGCTTTACTTCGGCAAGCAGACGCCCAGCCATTGAGGCGATCGAGATAGACGAGGAGACTGCATCAGACTCGGACGATGATTTGGACCTTGAAGCTCACCAGGTGATGGCCCCTCCACCGAGGAGATCACAATCAGCAGTGCAACACAAAAGCACACCTCGACCTCATGATCAATCGCATCTACGGAATACGCCTACGCCAGATGTGAAACCCACACCACTCATTGCACGGCCCATTTCGACACCTGGTTTCAAGTCAAGGATGCAATCGCTTTTTGATGATTTAGATGATCTACCAGAGCCATCTGAAATCGAAAATAACACTACCTTTAACGCCAACCAAGTCTCCGTGAAACAGCAGCCTGACACAGCCGAACATAACAATTTAGACCCAAAAAAGCACCGGCACAATGAAGTGCCCACATTCTTGGTGTGAAAGCCCGAGGCAGCCGCTGCCTATCCACAAGTTGCGAGTTCAATTGACCCGGGGTCGCATCTCTTCTACCGCGATGTTATCGGCACTCTGTTCATGGGGCGCTGTTGATCTCGATTTCCACCAGTGAAGCGCATTCAAACGCTTGCGGATGCGGTTTGTGATAGTCTCACGCTCAGTCTGCGCGCGTGGCCTTGGAGCCTGCTCTTCGTTGACGATGGTAACGGCATCATCTCGATCGTTGTCTCGTCTTTCTCCACGGTCGTTGTATGACTGTCCTGCGACGTCAAGGTCCTGTGTTTCAGTGGTCAGATTGGGTCGCTCTGTCGCATTTTGGCTGGGCGAAAGGACTGACTCGGCATCAGAGAAGCACGCGGGCAATTCTTCTTTGCGAAAGTTGGTTGGAGGACCCTGCACCGAACATGATCATTAGCGAACCGAACTCCTTTTGCTGTGCCAATATCCAAGACGTGCGCGACTTACGATCTCGATGACCCTTCCTCTTTCACGCTTGAAAGGCGCTCTCACACACCGGAAGATCTGCCGGAAACATTCCATGTTGTATGGATGGATAGCTTTCGATCTGATTTGAGGCTGCCGCGCAAAGTTTTGATGACGAGCTTTGCAGTTGGTGGAGGTCTAGAGAAATGCCGATTTCACTCGGGTGTTCAGTGGATGAAAACAAGGAGACTCAGCAACACAAAGGTGACGCTCTGGGTGAAACAAATTTACAACGAGTGACAATGCGAAAAGAACGAATAGGGGGAGAACACCCAAATAAAGCAACAAGAAAGAAATATGTTTTGATGTTCTACACCATGAAGGCGTGTTGGTGTGATGATAAACTGAAAGACAAGGCCGGGCGGGCACATATATATGAATGTATGTCAATTTACCCGCAGCTGAAGTATGCACACCAAGCTATTCCCGGCCTGTCAAGGATTGACTGATCCACAGTCTCGCCCAGGTTGAACTAGGCGACAACCGGACCTTTGGCATGGACAGGACTGACAGAACTGCCGCCATTGGCTACGGATTCGTTCCCTTTCTCAGTCTGTGACACATTCCAATCTGGCAGTCCGCTCCTTCGTTGGCTGTGGATCCTCCCCTGGGCGGCTCAAATCCTCGTTATTGGCTACAAGGAACAGTTTCTCGAGGTCGAATGCTCGGAGTTTCTAATTAACCTTCTCCGGCTTCTAGTACGCATGCAACTTCTGAATCATTTATCCGATATTGGCTGCAATTGTTAAAGATACCATACATACTCCGTACATACTACCACGATCCCCTGCACAACAGCGGCTGCAACACGGCAGATGAAGATCATATGAAATACATAGACTGCATGCTGCAGGGAAGAAAATGTTGGCGTCGGAACATGCATATTGGGCACTTGATCTTCCGTGGAGCAGGTGGAGACGCGCTAGACCAAAGGGGCAAAAGGAACTGTTCCAACGAAGCTACACGAGTATAGCCCCCATTCCTCGGGTCCCTTTCAAACGAACGCCAGAGCGAAAGTGATTTTAAGTCGGCGATCATTATGTATAACCAAACGGTGCCAGGATGACTGGGCGTCGATCTGGGCGGCGCCCGCCTGTCGGGTCGGTTGCGTGCATCAAGAACCCTGCGAAGCTCGGGGGGACGGCAACCTTTTCCCCTGTACTTCTGGGGAGCACTTTGTGTTCTTCCCTTTCATGCAAGCCACTGCATGTAAAATTTGACGCCTCTTTGCCTCGTTCATCTTGCCTTTGTCTCGGAACTTTGGTCTAGATGGAACCCGGTTCCCGGCAATGTAATTTTAGATAGAATCTCGGGTCTACAATCGTCGATCCTTAATCCTGCAGCCGTGCCGATCGATCATGGACTTTTTGCTGACAGGGATGATCTTAAGAACTATCTCGTCACCCTGTACTCCGTACTTCGTACCCCGTTCGGGAAATATGTGACGATACATAGTATTGCCTTTTATCAGAGACATTCAGCCGTGAATCGACATTTTATACGCAGCGCAGAATATTCAATACGTCAAGGAGTTGTTTTCACAGGCAATTGAATTCATTTTGTTTAAGATTTTTGGGGGAGTATCAAATTATTGACCTATTGGTGGACTCTGCCTCCTATAGTTGTAACACATGTTCCAGTCTCATTGACAATGCCGGACGGGAGTGGGCTTCGCGACCCCGTACTTATTTCTATTATCATTTTGCAAATTACTAAATCCCCTCAGAAATCCCATGTCTTCAGACATAACACATGAAACCTTGCGGGTTCATGCGAGGCCCGGGAATGGTTTGCGCGCATCTCCCTTGCGTCGGAGTAATGTTGACTTAAACAATATCTCGCAAAAGGCTAGCTCGGGTTTGGCGCGTCAATTTCGCGTAGGAACACATTCCAGTACCATCAATTTGACCAGGGGTAAGATAAGAACAGAGGATTAGCTCAGCAACTGGATTCGACTAGGCTCTAATCATTCAAATCTCCTGCTCTGGCCGTCTATGTCGCGGGAAAGTTGTGTAGACCCAGCTGAGCCCCAAACTCATTTCTTCCACAGGGATGAATAATTCATCATGTGTGCTTGGTTCACGCAAATTTTTCGGGTGACCATCAGTGATGTAGGCAATTGAAAGTCTATACCGAAGGTTTGATGAAGAGTATGTTGAGTTCTGCCTGGGTGGGTCCTACTGAATGCTTTTCTTTCCAATAATGACTGTGTAAGTAGTTAAGTCGTCTTATAATTGACTCATACTATTGCATACGTGTTATCATGATCATACGCAGTGTACGTAGTAAGTGGGTAGGTATCAGCCTGCAATGTTAGCTCTCTCTCCGACGCTCATTAATACCGTAGAACTGACCTCTGGGGACGAGCTTTATTGTCGGGGCTCTCCTCCTAGCACAAAGCAGTCAATATTTGCTTCGTTGGAGGCTTGAATGGAGGTCACCACAAACCACAGTTCCAACTCACGAGTAAGACCTTGAAAATGACCTTGGAAGTAGCAACAACCTTGGAACCTTCCAATGTTGGAACTTGAATCACTTTCGATCGCCCTGAAGTCGAATAATAGTACCATATCATTTTCTATGTCCGCGGGTGTGTCCTTACATTGAACTCCCGTCATCCCAGCATACTCCGTACTTCCAAGGTTGTTCCTCAAGCCCGCAGTGGGCAGCCTTCAAGGTTTCCAATGTTGATTCGGGAAGACTGGTACCTGGAATATTGGCTCAAGAGATCATTAGGTAGTGGCATCCATGGATCGTAAGAGGACTTCCAGGGTTGACCCCGAGATTACCTAGGTAGACATGGAAACGCATGTGGTAGGTAGGTAGTTGAATGAGTACATCCATGGATATATTTCGGAGCGTCTCATTGTCCTGATGAACGATCCCGGGAGAACATTGAAACTCCGTATGCTGTGAAGTAAGATAGGTAAAACCTTGGAACTTATATATTTTTATGTAAAGTTCACAATCATTATGCATGAGAGGTACCTATTCGTGTTTTCCTCCCACTTGGGCAATGCTAGCGACCTACCATGTTGGCACCCCTAGAGTTTTCCATATCCCAGAAACATCAGCGCCGCCCGCAATTTCCTCGGGGCTGGAGGGTCGATGGTACCACACAATGCCTTTCAGTTTATTGGGCGAGGGGTAGACATACATCATGTCGATGCGAGAATATATAGGAATCATATCATCAGGACCCAGACCAATGGATTCCTCTTTAATGAAATATTCCAGTACAGCGCTAGCTCCAGCCGAAGCCCAAAACCCCTCTCGTCGACGCGAAGATGAAATCAGACGCAGTGATTCTCGACGCGTGTGCCAGTCACGGCACCTGTGGGCAGAGAAATAAACCGGAGGCAAAAGCATGACTTTGGCGCAAAACAGCCCAGTCTGGCATTCTGCGGCCAGAAAGAGCATTGCTAATTCATTGATGCGTTGGAATTTTGGTAGGTAGGCGTCATAAAACATCTCATCTTGGCGACCATTGGCGTAAATAGCCATAAGATAGATGAACTCAGTCCACATCTGGATGAGCAAAAGGGGGGTTCTTTCTGCTGATGTGAGTATGCCTGCTGTGGCTAAGGCAAAGTTTTGGAGATGACCCTTCCAAGCATAGAGTCTCCCCATTATTGTAAGCGGAAGACCTTTCTTGTCTCCCGAAAACAATTCGGTAGCACTTTGAATCAAGGGAATCAAACGAGATCTTTTCCCGTTCGCAAGTCTGCAAGGAAAATTTGCTGAAACAAGTGAGCCTAACATGGCTAGCAGTCCCCGTGCAGTTCCTTCTTCTGCATCACCATCAGAGTACGTGTCGCAGGGTTTTGTGAAATTCTGCCAAATCGGTATGTGCACCTCTCCCAGCGCCGTTTCGCGACTTGAGAATGTCATTCGATGGAGTTGTAGGTCTTGGAACACACGCATGAGGATCGGCCCGGACGGGCTTCCGTCAAAATTGACTTTCTCCCATTCTAGAAGCAAGCGGTGGCCTGATACTAGATGTTTCATTACGGCTTTCACATCCTCTTGGAAAAGAGCAAGAGACACCAACGCAACACATGTAACAAGTACAGCCTCTCTGTGCGCACTGCTTGTCACATGCGAGTGTACTTTTGTCAAATTTTGCCGAAGAGAGGCGATAGCCTTGTTACATTGCTGCAATGGGAAGGAAGCGTCGTCTTCTGTGTCGGGATTCGAGTCGGACCTGGGAAAGGAGGCTATCGACAGTGAGTTTGACTTGAACTCGGATTTTGAAGCATTTCCCTCTTGTAAGAAATGCCAGTGGATGGCACTAATAGCAATTGTTGCATGTCGGATAGCGGGCTCTTCCTCGCTGACTTGGTGAATGAGTCGCTGCCAGAAGTCATCCACAATATTCCCGGCGCACTGACCAGATGTCGCAACACGAAATAATTGGAGATAATGACGTTCGGTAGGTGTGAGACCAGCTTGGCTTGGATCAGTAAGGCGTCGTGCGATAACATCGTTCTGCAGTCGACGCACATTGCGTGTCCGCCGGTCAGGAGTTTCTTTATATTCGCATATTCGGCGGGCTTTTATGCACATTAGACAAGTAGGATGAGTTTCATCGCACTTCTTGCGGCGGGCTCTTTGGAATCCACATCAGCAATTGCTTGAATGTTCCACTTTACCCAGCGGTCAACCTCCTGGACACGTACTTGCATGTCTGACAGCCCGTGCGCACCTTCGGGTGGCTAGCCCTTTTCCTGTGCTCCGCCCCTAGAATCATTGTGATCCCCGACAACCGAGAGGAGTTCGAAAATGCACGATTCAGCCTTGGGACTCAAGATGCCCCTATTGGCTTTGTGGATGGGGTTCACCGCCTCGAAGAGATTCTCCGAACGAGGGGGGCCATTTTTAAAGAGCCTCTTGGGACGCAGGTCGGCAAAGTGCAAAGTGGGCAAAGTGAGCTAAATTGGGCTGAAGTGATCGGCGAAGCCTAGCTCCGACCGAGCCTAGCAACGAACGTTTTCCAGTCCTAGATTTGAACAGTCCCAAGGTAAGACAGATCTAGCGATTCGTGTTGTTACTGGAGACATGAATTGTGTTCTAACATTAAAAAAAAAAAAAAAAATTAATATCGCTCCAAAAACTAATGATCCTCGTGAATCGTCTCGCTCCTTCGCTCCCGCCCTTTGTCATTCGAAGCGTCACTCGATTCGGATATTTCTGATCCATGTCGAGCCCGACGCGTGTCCTCTCCGTTTTCAAATGTCTCATGGAAGTGCGACGTCCGGCTTGTCAGGATATCATCGATTGAAGATGAAGCCCCCAGTGAAAGTGAGGACGGACGGCGGTGGTGACCCACAGGCCATGACCATTCCGAATCTGTCTCGGGGGTCATCGGTGAAATTGGATACGAGGATCCCCGCTTGGGGCTGAGCTGGGGAGTCATGTTGGGAGCAAAATAGGAGACATTGAAAGCGGTTGGCAATTCCACAGGCGATGAGTCTAAGGGAGAGACCATTGGTTAGTATTTCTCACCTGAGATAAGGTTGCGAGGGATTTCATACCATGCATCTCGTACACCTCGTCTCCCCGGATTCAACTGTGCCAGGGGTGATTGGCGAGACGATTGAATCTTGAATGCTCGAAGGTTCCGTTAGCGCTGATTGTGCCACTGAAGCATGTGCTATCGAGTGTTGGACTGTTGATGGCTGCGTTCTCGAGGTTTCGGTTGTTTCTACGCCTGTGGATGTGGAGGTTGGGCCTGGTCCGGGGAACTTGGGCCACCACCATACATCCATGCCGGTGGATCCTTATTCTCATCCTCTTTGACCTTTTCGTTTTCGGCCTCTTTGGCCTGGCGTTGATTTCGACGTCGGCGATAAAGCCAGAAGCCTACGAGGAATGCGATGATGAGCAGGCCGAGGACCACGCCGATGATTGCACCAGCCCAACCCGGAAACCCACCACCTCCTCCATCATTTTCTGGAACGGCAGAGGCACTGTAGGGCCAATACGTCTCGACAGTCTTCGAATATTTCTTGTCGAAAACTCCGGCTAGAGAGCTGTTGGTCCACGAGGATGGAGCTGTGGTGGTCGCTCCTCCATCAGAGCTATGAGATCTGTTAGCCACGGCGCAATTCCGCTGAGATGCAAACCTTGTACTTACTTGCCGCCAATCTTAGCAGTGATCAAGTCTGGAACTTTGTATTCGCCCCAACTGGTCGGGTCGTATTTGTCCTGGAACTTGAGAGTGTTGAGGTTGAAGTCAACAATGACACCACCCTCTAGGCATTTGCTTTGGTCGACGTGTTGCCCTCCAACGACCAGCATTTGGTCCGGGTACACTTTAAGACATCGATGACCACTGCGGCTGTGTGTACTCGTCCCACTGTACGCTTTGATCCATTTGAAAGATGGCAAAGACAATATGTACACATCGTCTGACGGGTTCGCATTATACTCAAGACCATTATATCCACCATAGATATAAATGTTGTGAGAGGAACCATCTGCCGCACTTGCAAGTACAGAGCAGAACTCAGTCAGCTGTGGAGGTACGTCGCCTGTCGTGTTCTGCAGATACCAGGTCTTGCTCTCAACATCGAAGAGCGAGACCGTGTCCATGAATGTTGGGCTAATAGCTTTGCTTTCATCCGTCCGCGTTGAGTTCGACTTTTGATTGCGGAAAATGCTGATGGGGTCAATGACTCCACCAATCGCGACCAAGACCCCAGAATCGGACACTGGCACCCAGACCAGCTCTGCGTTGGAGCGTCCTGGAATGTAGCTCGGTAGTGTGGTGTTGCTCCACTCCCCCGAACGCATGGTCGACATATCCACCGTGATGAGCGTATCGGCGGTGACGTTGGCGTTCGAGTCGTCTAGCGTAAATTCGCCCCAGTCTGAGGCGCGCATCCCGCTGAAGTAGAACCCCAGATTTTCACTCGGAGCAGATGCTGCGGCTCCGTTGGTGATAAGTCGGGTAACATTCTCAGACAGCGACTCCTGTGTCCAACCTGCCGCCCATACGCTCTTGTATGCACCGTACTGATAAGCATCATATGAGAGAACGCGATCTTCGGGAGCTGGGTCACTAGAGTCTGTATTGCGACTCATACCCCTGTTGACGTACAACTGAAAGTCAGCATACTCTTCGACCCAGAATACACGAGCTCGGGAGGAGCATATACCCATAGAGATAGAACTCATTGTCATTTGACAGCATTGAACCGCTAACGTAATTCGGTGCTATGTTTGTCGCGGCGCCGCCGGCGATAGACATGTTGCTGAGGGTGCTCATGAAATCCGAGCTAGTGTTGAAAGGAGTTGAAAGATTGAGATAGTAGAGGTTCGCGGTCAACGCTGAAGCCGTTTAGCTTGGTATAGAGAATATTTCGCACCGACATACCATCATCCGCCATGTATCCGACGCAACCGTCATCATATCCCCTAGACTTGGTTAGTGGTGGAGGCAACCAATTTTGGTTATCTCTTACCGTTGATACCATAACTTCCCTCCATCCAAGTAGAGTGTGTCGCGCAGAACAGTGGCTACGAAAGTTAGCAAAGAAAACAAATGAGATCCCCTGCCAAAAGTCTAGAGCAAAGAAACGGACAAGTCCCTACCGCGCAGCCCTTGCCAGTTGCACATGGAGACATTGATCTGGGTTTGAAAAGTACTACATTCTCCCATTGCGCTATCTAACGCGAGAGCGAATGCAAGAGCTGTCACAAAAAACCGCATTCTGAGACCGTGATAATCGGGACTGCATTCATCGCTGGTCAAGATGAGAGGCAGCAGGCGGGACGTCGCATGCTCGAGCACAGCCGTGGAAAAAAACCGCAAAGTGCTGACAGAAATGTAACCGAGTCAAGTGCATGCAACCCAGGGCGAGACCGGGGATGACCCGATCAAGGTTGGGGCCAAGGTTGCGGCTTTGTTCCCATCCTCTGATGTCTCGCCGTTCTTTGTTGTCACTGCCACGGCACAGACGCCCCGTGCGAAACTCGGGACCAACGAGGAAAGAGAATAATTCCACGTCTGATTTTGAACAAACGACTCTAGTTGTCCGATCATTGCCGGAATAAAACAAGTTGCATAGGTTTTCGCAGAATGTTATGCGGCTAAAGTAGCTTAGCGGGGAGGAAAGAGTCAGGACCCGCTGAGGGGTTCGATTGTGCGGCTGAATAGGGCCCCGATTGATTCCCTTTCTCCCGTTTTGACTACCAAGCAGGAACTGCTAAGCCACGGGTGTACTCTCCGTATTATGCGAGGCCTTTATGCAAGGCTTCATGCGGAAACACGATGGGGCCATGATACCACATTTGTCGAGCTTTGTCGAGGCCCAAGCCATGGACTTTGGAGCCTCGCCCATTTTCTTTCACTCTTTTTGGTAACTGAGATGCTGCTGCTTTTTATTTCTTTTTATTGTTTTTTTCTCTGCCCTGGTCTTTTCGCCCCCTGGAGCTCAATTACCTTTCTTTGTTTGGCTTCCTAGTCATCTCAAGTCTGCAGCTTCTCCTCTGAAAAAAGTATCACCATGAAGAAATCGATCGTTTGGGTATCGCTGTTGGCGACGGCCTTGGGCCTGATGCCAACAAGTCGCGCCGAGGCTCATCGCATCAAGCGGGCTGCACCTGCATTGATGAATGACCCAGTACCAGTGGCCTCGGCAGCAGCGTCGACTGTTACCGTCACTGTCGAGGTGACAAAAACCGTTACAAGCACTGGCAATACATCTCCAAGTACTCCAGTCACAGTCACAGTCACGGTGACAGATCAAGATACTCAGACTGTGGGGGGTTCGAGCGCCGCTCCCACCACCGTCACAGAGACAGTGACAGCCTCATGCAATGGTGCAGCGCAGACCATCACAGTTTCTGGGACGGGGCTCACGGAGATTCCCACGAGCACGGTGACAATCGGCCAATCGACAGTTACGGAGACATTGACTGTGTCTGATACCGCTGCTGTAGCTGCTCCTCTCGGAGATGCAGCTACCGAAGTCTCTGCGGCGAGTTCAACGGAGGCTAGTCCAAGCAGCGCTACGCCCGTTGATTTATCTGTCAAACTGATCTCTGCCAATAATGCCCCGGCAGTGAAAGCTCCTGCAAAGGGAAGCACTTCGACCGTGTACGCTACAAGCCTAGTCACCATCACGAGTTGCGCTCCTACTGTTACCGACTGCCCCGCCGACTCAACCACTGTTCATACCTTGTCAGACAGTACTGTGATCACTACTACACCTGAGGATACAGTGACCGATGTGGAAACTATCACGGTCACCATACCAGGCACTACCGTTGTGACAACTGCCCCTGGAGACACAACCACGGACATATCAACTACAGTAGTCACCTTACCTGGTACCACTGTTGTGACTACTGCTCCCGGAAACACAGTCACAGATATCTTGACTACAACAACTTCTCTTCCTGGAACCACTGTCATAACCACTGCCCCTGGGGATACAGTCACAGATATAGAAACTACAACGGTCACTTTGCCAGGCACAACTGTTGTGACAACTGCTCCTGGAGACACAGTCACGGAAATAGAGACTACAACGGCCACCTTGCCAGGGACTACTGTTGTGACAACTGCTCCTGGAGATACGGTGACAGATGTAACCACAATTGTTACTACGGCCCCTGGGGATACAATTTCGGATGTGTCAACTGTCATTGTCACTCTGCCGGGCTCTACTCTCGTGACAACAGCTCCTGGTGAAACAGTCACGGACATATCAACTGCCACAATTAGTGCTCCGGGGACTACACTTCCAGGAACTACTGTCGTGACAACTGCTCCAGGAAATACAGTCATCCTTCCCGGAACAACAGTTTCTGACACAAGTGTAGTGACAAGTGTCTTCATTTCCGAGTCTGTCACAACACTTCCTGGGACCACTGTGACAACACCAGGAACGGCACTTCCTGGGACGACTATAGTTACGACACTTCCTGGGTCTGGGGTTACCACCACAATTACTCTTCCAGCAACAACTATCCCAGGTACTACTGTTGTAACAAGTCTGCCAGGGTCCACTGTCACTCTTCCAGGCACGACACTTCCGGGGACAACAATCCTCACGACCAGAACTGTCTCACTTCCGGGCTCTGTGACAACTGTGCCGGCATCGACCATCACAAGCGTCATCAGCGTGCCTGCTTCTAGAGTAACTTTGCCCGATACTACTAGAATTATACCAGCTTCAACCATCACCACGACATTTGTTCAACCGGAAAGTACAGTCACCGTCGGTGGATTAAGCACAGTGGTAGAAACCATTACTGTTCCAGGTAAATTACCATAAGGCGACGGGAGGATGACATGAGAGAAGCTAACGATGTCAGGGTCCCAAGTTACAGAAACAGTAGTCCCCACGGGTAGCACGGCCACCGTGACCGAGAGCTTCGCCAGTACCACTACAATTTCCGTCTCTGTCTGTTCCAGTTTGATCACCAATCCGACGTATACTCCTGCGTCTGCGTTGCCAAATGATTACACCTGGGGATGTCCACCTGGATACCTCTGCAAGCCTCCTCACACTGGGGATCGTGCAGAATGTGATGTCGAATCTGGTCTCCCCGACGTGGGATACGTCTGTTCACCTGAGAACTGCATATTGGCTCCACCGCTAGCAGTCAGCAACCAGAGCCACTACAATGTTTCCAAGAACTACTACAATCTCAACCCTACGGACTTTGGTTTGAACTACTCAATTTTCCAGTTCTCGGACGATACAACGACGTCGACTCGCAAGCGTGACATGTCTCTACAAGACTTTATCGCCAGCCGCAAGGCCAAACGAGTGGATATCACCGATGCCATCCCTCCTACCTGTTGGGATGATTGCAATGATGCCGCGTTGGAGCCACAGATGATTGGAAAGACACCAGCGCTATGCAAGAGTGACTCTGCATTCATGGAAAATCTCGATAACTGTGAAGCCTGCGTCACCAACAATGCCGACTCTGACACTGGATCCGACGACTACTCATCTCAGTTGCTGCCTACTTTTACACAGTGGCTGAACTACTGCTCGGATATGACTACCTCTACGAGCACCACAGCTAGCACCACAGCTAGCACCACAACCAGCAGAGCCACAACCAGCACTGAGGCTTCAGTCACTACAACCAGCACCTCAAAGGATACTGGAGCCACTACTACCAGCACGGAAGCAACGACACGAGCTACTATCACGAGTACTCAGGCGACAAGCACTGCAAGTGCGACCGGTACCTCAGAAACACCAGAAGCAGCAAGTTCTGCACCCGCAACTTTGGAGTCCACTGATGAGACAAGGTCCAGTGGTTCAAGTGGAGACTCCTCTCACTCAACTCAAACAGCGCAGTCCAATGGCTCGTTTACGACTCTAGTGCCTGGCGCAATTGTGACGACTTCGGTCTCTGGGTCTCTCGTAACAACCTCCCTGCCCGGTTCAATCAAGACTAGCGTCTTCCCGACTTCGGCGTCCGACTCAGCCGTCACAACCTCAGTGTCAGGATCAATCCTGACAACGTCGATTCCAGGGTCACTCTTGACGACCGCAGTGTCAGGTACCCTTGTGACAACCTCTGTTCCTGGCTCATTTGTGACCACCTCCATACCTGGCTCCGTAGCCACACCTTCCGGTGCTTCTGGCCAGGGTGCGGGTGGCGATGGAAACTCTGCGCAGACATCAGGCGATGGTGCGAGTGGTTCATCGGGCTCACCCGGTGGAAGCCGTACTGGGTCGGCGGTGCCGTCTTCTTCGTCTCCTGCTTTCAATGCGGCGACATCTAGCAATGTTCCCCACATAGGTGCATTATCTTTGCTGTGGGCTGCCATTGCAGCATTTCTTTAGATTACCTTAATTGTTAACAAGATCGGTCAAGATGGCGATGGAAGGGTTGTTTCGCGCTCGGATGCTTATATGCCTTTAATGAAGATATTTATTGACTTTATCAACATTGTGCGGTCTGCCGCTAGAGCGGATGCAGTTTTGAACCTTCCAAGGTTAGGTGGTGCTAAAGTTTGTTTCGTCATTTTTGAATGTTGCAGACAGCCCTGAGGTAAACGATGCCAGATCGGCGCTTTTTCAATTAGTCATTTCAATATCTGGGCTTTTGTGAAGGACGATGTTAGCATGAGACATTCGCACAGCTTCGATTTTGCAGGATTCATGTAAAAGAATACCCCATTGAACATGAGAATTGCATGAAGCCTCCAGGGCCCGATAGCATCTTTCTCACGGACAGAGGAGTCAAATATTTCAAAGCTGTTGACTTATATACCATTTTGACAAAATAAATACAAGTGACATCATGCACTGTGACCTCAGGCGACTTCTTTGGTCCACAATATCATCAGGCAGGGTTTGTTGCATCCGTCTTTAGATCAAATCGTAGTATGGTGAGAAATATCTCTAGAACTGTGTGCATGTCTGATTTTCAAGTCAGCCTGGATCCTAACATGCCGCAAAGAATACGAAAAAAAAAAGATTGGACAGATTTGCGGCGTAGTACTTACACCATTAGACGCGCAAGTAAGGCCCTCGCAGCAACATCCTGCGCCCGCACAGCTATCAGAAGTACATGTCATGGTCTCCTTTGTGTGGTATTAGTAACCAATCGAGTTGTTTCTATTTGGGAAGTTCGGTATGACTGACAGATTGGCACGAAATCGCGGCGTCGGGGCGGGCTTCGGGAAGCGCGAAGGTGAGGGTGGCAAGGAAGCCAAGGATAACAACGGAGGCACGCATGTTGAAATGAAATGAAATGAGAAAGCTAGGTAGAAATGGGGTATCTAAGAGAATAGAACATCATATTAGCAGTTGTCTTAAAGCAGATAGGAAAATTGCCGATGCGGTGTGATTGTACAGCGATGTGAAGCGTGAGATGAATGCAAGGGTGGGAGACCGGTGAGGAAGAAGCGAACCTTGAGCGGCAATGGCAGAAATGAAAAATATAGCGATATCGTGAACTTGGTCGATGGGGTATCTCAGTATCAGAAGCGGGAAAACAAGTGCACCCGCCCATCAGGCTCCATCAGAGATCTTATAGCTTTCCAGCCAGACCCAGGCAGAGCACGCAGTGACATCAACCACGCCCCAGCGCGAGGATCCACCATAGCCTCGCTTGAAACAGGGCCGAAGGATCTACAGGGGCAACGAGGATTGATCGGCACTGATTGGATGAGGGCTGGGGTTTGTCATTTTTGTGGACAAGCCCGGTAGCGGGGTCGATTCGCGCCGAGTTCACAGCACAAGTGGCATATTGTATCCGAGTGTGACGTTGGTTGAAGCTGGCAGAAACATGACGAGAACCATATCCGGACGGGCTTGTGATTCTTCGTCAACAGGGTCGAGCAAGAAGCTGTATGATGCCACCTGGTGTCACACTAGGTCATTTCGAGCTCAGGTTCGTTGTCATCGTGCTACCTTGGACCCTCTCTGCAAGGCTGTTTGAAGGACAAGCAGCGCCCCAGCCGTGAGTTAATCCAGGACGCGACGCGGTTGCAGCCAAGGTCTTGGCATGATATTTAAGGGCACGGTCCAACCACCTCGTAGAGGCTTGGCGGTGATGCGAAGAGCTTGCGTGGGCGACTGAGAAGGGTAATGATGATCTTGCGGGTCTAAGAAAGGGTCGTGCAGTGAGAGTAAGAGACAAGTTCTCCATAGACATGATGGGGCTTTTTTTCTCTTATTTTTTACAAAACAGACAGATTAATCTCGCGAATCCTGTTACTGACAAATTGATCGCAGTATCTTGTTTACTTTAGACCGGATCAAGGTAATATTCAAGGACAAGTCAAAAGTCAAAAAGTTCTGGAGATCGATTTTTTGAAAGTCTTCCAAGGTTGAAAAGGGAGTGCCGGTAAATTGTTAGAGCCTTGTAAAGAGAAGTACTACATGCGACAGAGCAACCCACATTAGTTGTGTTAGACTCCTAAACTTGAAGGTAATCGAACTCAAGCTACACTACATAACCCTTTAATTCTCAGATGCTTGCTGGCCAGCAGCAGTTTCCGAGATGGATTTTTGATCATACTTCTCTTTCAGGCCCTTCATCACGACCTTCACCAACCCTCCCAAGTTACCCGCTCGGTTGATTTCCACCGTGGGCAGCTCTACGCCCAGCGACCTCCGCAGCCAATTCCGAACTTCTATCGCCATGAGGGAGTCCACGGCAATTTCTGCCATTGCAACAATATAATTGGTATCATCGGTACCATCCTGGGTTTGCTCTTGCGTCTGCCCTGAGAGATTTTGGCTCACAAAGCGACCCAGTTCCTTGATCAATGTAATCTCTGTTTCCTTTTTCCCTAAGAGGGATGGATCACGTTGAATCTCACCTAGCAGAGCTTTGAGCGCGCTCACTTGTTTCGATTGGTCTCCACCAACCGCCCCACTGGTCGATTCAAGATTGGGATAAATTGAAAATCGGGCATCACGACCGCCAAGAAACATCTCTTTGGGAAGATCAGATCGACGCTTCGTATGGGCAAGTCCGACTGTTACTGCCCCTGTGGGACTAGCAGAGTCTGTTGGTGATATCCTGATGGCTGCCGCTAATCCATCGATCACCTCTGCTTCATTGAGCACATGTAGTGCAATTGACTGCACTCTTTGGAGGAAGCGGGGATTTCGACTAGCCGCACCCGCATCTCCAACCACTCCAAGGTTCAAGACAGAGCAAGCGAGACCTCGTTGTCGCCGGAATCGCGAGAAAGCCTCCAGGAATGTAGTCGCTGCAGCATAATTTGCCTGCCCGGCATTACCACACACGCCCGCAATAGACCCAAACAGAACAAAGAAGTCAAGAGGGTGATGCATTGTAGCATGATGTAGATTCCAGCTGCCGGTGAGTTTCGGGGCGAGTGCAGCTGCCCATTCGCTATGACTCATCTGCAAAAACAAGCGGTCCTAATGTGGATTAAGATATCAATGAGATTGAATGGTGAAATTGTTTGGAAACATTTTTTCGCTTACCTTGAGGTCCACTGCCATTTGGATCATCCCGGCGAGAGGGCGAGTACGTCTGCCAATAGCTTCCTCTACATCCTCTCTATTTGTGACGTCCCCGACCACGCAGATGACATGGCAATCCTGCGTTTCAAGCTCGTGGATAAACTTTTGGTCCTCATTTGACTTACCAGCCGATCGAGACAAAAATATGAGCTCTTTCGCGCCACGCTCAACTAGCCACGTTGAAACAGACCGTCCGATGCCCCCAAGTCCACCAACAAGCAGATACGCGGCATCAGATCGGAAGGATGGGGATGACTTCACAATGGGCAATGGCAAGCTGTTGGAGTTGGCAGGCAGATGAACAACGATCTTACCCAAATGGGTGCCGCCTTGCATATATCTAAACGCACTCACAATATCCGCTGCTTCAAATACCTTGATGGGGTGAATAGGTTGAATCCAGCCTCGACGATACCAGTCGGAGAATATTGCCAACATGCTGCGGACTGTCAGCTTTTCTGTACCAGAACGCGAACCCAAACCAACCTCTTGAGAATTTCAGGAGCTTCCTTTCCGATCTGTGCGAGATCAACACCGACAAAAGTTCGATTGGACTCAAATACGCTCATGTCAAGAACCCCATGGCCGATGAAGTCACGCTTTCCCAGCTCGATCATCCGTCCAAACTTGGCAACACACTGCCACGACGCGTGCAAAAGGTTGCCAGACAGCGAATTGAGCACAATGTCCACGCCACGGCCCGCAGTCACCCGCATGAGGTCTGTTTTGAAAGACGCGCTACGAGAGTTGAAGATACGGTCTCGGGATAGGCCATATGTCTCCATCAAGTAGTTCACCTTTGCTTCGTTTCCGACAGTGGCGTAGATCTTGGACATAGTGTCAGTTATGATATCAAGAAGACTAAGCGGCATGTGAGCTAACCTGGGCGCCAACAGCTTGACAGACTTGAATGGCGGCAATTCCAACTCCCCCACATGCAGAGTGGATGAGAACAGACTAGTCTCCCGTCAACCATGAATACAAATGAGCAGATCGTGGCCCAACATACCTGGCCATGTTTTAGCAAACCCACTTCCAATAGTGAGTACAAGACGGTGACATATGCTGCCAACATTGTGGCCGCATCTGCCATTGAAAGTTTTTCAGGAAGCTTGATGCAGGCCTCCTCGGGCACCGTCATTCTAGAGCATAATGCGCCGGGATGCATCAGAACAACGCGTTCACCCACACTCAACTGTTTCACATCTGCTCCAATCTGAAGAATGACTCCACTGCCCTCAAGACCAAGATCCCTCTTATCTCCAAAGAAACCCATGGCGACCATCATATCCTGGAACATGTTAACAGGCAACAATTGATATATCGAAGCGAAAGAATACCTTGAAATTTAATCCCGCATATTCTATCTCAACTTCTACCTGGCCAGGGCCTAGCTCGGAGGGCTCCTTGGGGGCCCATTGAAGTGTATCGAGTAATCCAAATGCCGTGAGATTGAGCTTTCGAGCTGTATCAGGTAAAGGCGAAGATTTGAGCTGCTCCGTTAGCGGGGCCCAGTGATACCGGCCGACTTTGATATTTCCTTCATGGAATGCAAACTCATACTCCGGGTCTGGCAGAGATTGCGCTCTTGATTTTATAATTTTCTCGCAGACCTGAATCACTGCTTTAGCAGAGTTCAATTCCCATGAGGGGAACTCCAGAACTGATATGTCAAGAAGCAACTCAGTCCGTAGGGTACGCGCAAATCCATGAATCAACCCATGCCCCGGGTCTGAACAGGTATGAGAAGTTGACTCGGTAAGCCAGAGAATCTTGCACTCTTCCGCCTGTTCGACATAATGTTGAACCGCCAGGTAGGATTCTTCTGACAGACCTAGTATGGGGCTAGATTCCGAGTCCAGTAAAGATATTATAAATTGGCCTTTTGGTGGCTCCTGATCCAAAGTAGTCCAGGAGGTTGAGTAGCCCTTGTCTTCAAAAGCGAGTTCGATAGCTCTTACCCATTGAGGGTGGTTGGGAGTTCTTGTGAGCAAACAGATCTTGGGTTGAATGAATACAGAGTCCAATGGGCGCGATAAATAGCTGGCCGAGATGTGATATGGCGGCTTCGAGTCGTAGGCCATAACTTCCGCGCCATTGAATCCTGCAGTTTGTAACTCTCGATGCCACCTCGTCGGGGAAACGTAAGGTTTGTAAGTTCTATCATCGTCTTCACCTAGCCACCAGCCAGAAAAGACACCCTGCGATGAGTAAGTACTGCTTTTCTTTGGGCTCTAGACAAGGTCCAACATTACCATAGTCAGATCTGCGATCGAGATTTCTGTTCAAGTGTTAGGCTGTGGTTTCAAAAACTCGCACAAGAAGCATACCGGGACAGATTTCATGCAGCAAGAGCCAGCCTGTGGGTTTGAGAAGGCGATGTACATGTCGTAGTGATGCCTGGAGACTTGGAGTAGCATGTAACACCTAGATTGAAACTTTAGTGCAAATTCTCTCAGAGGAGTGAAGTGAGAACTGACATTGGAGGCAATAACCAAGTCAAAGTTGTGGGCGTCGAAGCCTTGCTCCGTCGGGTCTAAAGTAATATCAAGAACTTTATACTCTATGCGCTGCTCATCGGCAAATCTTTCCTTCGCCGTGGCCATGAATCCAGAGGAAATATCAGTAAAAACATACTCTCCATACATACGAACCCCGTCCTTTGATTTAAGATGCTCTAAAGCCATCGCTGTCGCTGATCCTGTTCCAGCGCCAATCTCAAGGACACGCAAGGCGGGGTTGGAATGCGACAGTAGAGGCAAGAAAGGTTCCCAGCTTGCATACTGTGTATGCGCAGCATGAAAGTGGTGCAGAAAATTGTCCTTCATGAGAACGTCTAGTGGATCAACATCACCAGACACGAGCTCTTTGGAACAGTCATACAAAATCTGCATGCACTGCACAAGTGGAGCATCGAATGTGAATTTTGCTTGGGCCATAATATCCCTGATCAAAGATTGTCTTTTGGCTGAATTCAGATACGCCCAATCACTCGAGTTGGGGTATATGGGTCTTTGGGCCCCTGTCTTGATATCTGAGGCCTCAATGAGTAGGTAGTTCTTCCACTTGACCAAGTACTCCGATCCTGGATCAATACTCCGAATTTGGTCGGCTGTCTCTAGCACGTATAGTGCAGACAGTTGACCCAATGCTTTAATATTTATCGCATTTTGTGTATTGTCATGGGGCGTAGACAGCAGCGTAGAAGACAACATCAAATCAATATCGGGTTGCCATTCAAGATGGCTTACTAGATTGGAGGGTCCAGTCCCATAATCACTATGCTCATTTTCGAGGGCAAACAGATAAGCATTCTCAATACTGAGAACGATGTGATCATCAACCATTGCGGTTGCGCTCCCAACTTGACCATCTCGCACACCAAATTGGGTTTGCGCAGTCGTTAGCAGGCTGGGACCCCCTGGTGCGACGAACATGTAGTCTATGACTGCCGGCACATATATTGAGCTCAAGTTCCTCAAAAGGCCTCGAGAACCAGCCACTCCCATTAATTGAAGACACTGATCAATGGCAGTGGGATGCAAAGAGTAACTGCTTCCCGGAAGACCGCAATTACCAAGGACGGTAGCAGTTGCTCTGGAGCCCGTGGGGTCTGCGGTAATATTCTCAAGGCCCTGGAATTGAGGTCCGTATTCTATGCCACTCCTTTTGAGAGCTCGATAGACCCCTTCGGATGGAACCACTCTTGAATAAGAGCAGATTGGTGAGCATTGTGGAGGATCTTCAGTACCCGGTCTGACCTGGCCCTCGCAGTGCATCGTCCATCCATCTCCATCATGGGTCATGATCTTGAATCTATGCCACCCCGACACGACCCTATCGGCTACTTCAATCGGGCTGAGGCTAGTGATGATCTCGATGCGATCTCCTTCGTGAAACAGAAGAGGAGTGATAAATGTCGTGTTGCGTATCGAGTAGCCGTCACTACTCATGTCCAGCTGTTGAATAGCTTCGCCTGCCATGGAAACAAACCCGGCACCGGGGAAGGTGACGGTGCCTTGTATGACATGATCTAGAAGCCATGAAACATCATCCAAGGTGACAAGGTTGCGCCACGATGGATCATCATCTGTTGTGTCAACAACCCGAGAACCAAGAATCTCATGGTGTGGATATTTGCGTTGCCTCCAATCCCGACTTAGTCGACTTTCGTTCCAATAAGATCGGTTATGCTGCCAGGGATAAGGAGGAATGTCGGTTAAGACCTTCCCTCTTCCAATAACGGCATTGAGGTCGAGAGTAATCCCGCTAGCATGCGCTTGGCCAGCTGTCCTAAGTAGCTGGCTTTTGACATCCTCGTCGTACCGAAATATGGTAGGAATATATACTGGAGGTTTCCCCGCCAAGGTTCGAAATATTTGTCGAAGGGGAGCGGCTAGTGCTGAGTGTGGCCCAATTTCTATAAACACTGGGGTTCCACCAGCCGGGAGGCTTTGAATAGCCTCAGTGAATAGAACGGGTGACTCCAGATTCTGTCGCCAGTATGACGGGTCGAGTTTATGACAGTCCGTGATCGTTTCACCGGTAACAGTAGAGCAAAAGGGAAGCATGGCCTCCTCGTGCTCAATCTCACGAGCAATGCAGCGCTGATACTCCAATCCAATATGTTTCATGTGGTCTGAAGGCTATGTTAGCGCGTCTCTGCTTCCCGAGGAGTGGGGGAAGTAGGGGTAGTGTTTACCTGAATGATAAGCAATCCGAACAGGCAGTCGTCGGCAAAGAGTTTCCGAACTGGCAGCTTTGATTTTTGTGACAATATTGTCTACTGACTCTTTGTCACCTGAGAGTGTGATACTATGTGGACTGTTGTGGCAGGCGACAACCACTCCAGGGGTGAGATAGGGGAGTGCTTCTTCCGGAGAAAGCCCGACCGCCACCATGGAACCCAATCCTTCCAATGACTTGGCCACTTTTCCTCGGTAGTATGCTACCATGATTGCTGTTCTCATAGAAATGGCCCCGGCGGCATACGCAGCAACGATTTCTCCGCTAGAGTGTCCAACGACTGTCGAGGGACGGATACCCCAGCTGGTAAGAATGTTGACTATGCCAATTTGAAGGGCAACGCATAAAGGCTGGGAGTATTCGGCCTCATGGATGCGTGAGTCTGTGCTCTCTCTGCTGAGTTCATCTGGAAGACTTGTCAAACATGCAACTTTCATTGCTCAGGGGCTTTGCAGACCTACCATACAATAGCCAATTTGGGTGATCAGGTAACCGTTGTAAAGCCTCATCCATCCTTCTCATATCTTGCTTGAACCTTGGGAAGCTTTCGAGAAGCGTTTTTCCCATCGCAGGCCATTGGGCCCCCTGGCCTGTGAACACAAATATGACGTTTGGGGAAATTGTAATGGAACCCGTGAATGCGGTCTCCTCCAGGGGTAGATTGTTCGGTCGCGACACAGCAAAGGCCCTTTGTTGGAGATGTTCTCTTCGACATCCTAGGGTGTGAGCAAGGTCAGGCAAACAATTTGGGTGATTGTTGATATACGTGGTAATCTGACTGATCCGTTTACGAAGGGTGTCGGCAGTGTGCGCAGACACGACTAGAAGTTGTGGATCATTGCGGCAGTCTAAAGAGACCGGTATAGGCTTCGATATGATTGTTGAAGAAGACTCTAAAATCACATGGGCATTTGAGCCACCGATCCCAAAGGAGTTGACGCTGATTCTATGCGGTCGGTGGTTGGGCCAAGGGGTTGGCTCGACGGGTACGTGCAGCTTTGCTTCAGAGAACGGGATTTTCGGATTTGGCGTTTGAAAGTGAATATTTGGTGGGATTGTTTTGTGTTCGAGGGATAGAACGGCCTTGATGATGCTAGTGATTCCGGATGCTCCCTCTGAATGACCGACGTTTGGTTTCACCTGCCCGCGGGTATCGGCGTGGTAAGCAAGACATGTTCAATCCGCGTGATTGTCAACTTACGGCTGTGATATATGTATCCTTCTCTTGAGTCAACTTTGCAACAACTGATGCTTCGATCACGTCGCCGATTGCTGTCCCGGTCCCATGACATTCGAAGACCGGGGTGTCGTCGATGCTATGGATTCCAGCAACCTCATATGCGCGTCGGATCAGGTTCTCTTGGGACGAGGGACATGGATTGGTAAAATTAGGGGTCTTGCCGTCATGGTTGGATACCGTCGAGCGAATGACAGCGCGTATCGGGTCATTGTCACGGAGGGCATCGTTCAACGGTTTGAGATAGATGCAGTTGATTGCTTCACCCCGGCCATATCCATCTGCGTTAGCATCAAATGTTTGGGAGATTCCACTTGGTGAAAGAACCAAGCTTTGATTGAGGGAGTCTGTCATTGTTGGGCTCCAGATCAAACTCGTCCCACCCACGAGCGCCGTCGAGCATTCCTTGGAAAGGAGTGCCAGGCAGGCTTCATGCAAGCTGACCAGAGACGAAGAGCACGCAGTCTGAATTGTCATACTTCAAAAGGTCAGAGCGTTTCAACACATTTTAACATAAAGGCAGTGATCCGCACTCACCTTGGACCCTGCAACCCAAATCGATACGACACTTGGTTTGCAAGGGCAAAACCACCTGTTGCAATTGGGTATATTTGTCCCACATCCTGAAGGTCTTTATGAGACATCTCCAGCCAATCCTCTCCAAAAACACCAATAAAGCAGCCAATTTTCTCATCACGCCACTTTGTCTCCCCGGAGTTTTCCAGGCATTCTCGGACAACTTCCATCAAAAGTCTCTGCTGGGGGTCTAGCCTGGCTGCTTCCTGGGGAGGAATAGAAAAAAAGGATGCATCAAACAAAGAGGGATCTTCTTGCAGAAAGAATCCCTTTGTCACATCCCTCGGGGTCCCTCGGTCGGGATTCATTGACGCCTCCTTCGAGCAGCGCGAGGGAGGCGTCTCACAGAGACCATCGCGCTTATCCACCAACATCTTCCAAAACTCATCGCCATCTCCAACACCCCCCGGCAATCGCATAGCCATCCCAATGACTGCGATAAGCTGATATGAGGAGTCATCCCCGCAGTTTCTGCATGATGTTTGTCCTTGTCCAGTTGTTGAGTTCATTTTTGGTCGAATGATGAGAAAACAGATACTAGGACAAGATGGCTGCAGAAAAGACAACAAGAGGATGGCTTAATTTTGACTTTTAGTGATATTATCAGTGGCACTCTCACAACAGATTGAATTTAGTGGTAGATTGGTCTCTTAGGCTTAATCTACACACCTTATGGACCCACATATCCTGGTTCTGCATTCTGCAAGGAACAAATTCTCTCCGGAATCCTCCGTAGTATCCCTACATCTCAAATACTTGAGCGATTTAACGATAACACAGCCTGATGCGATGACGGGAGGTCTCCCAGAGGTAGTGACGGATTTTAGCGATATCAATTACCTGCTTCAGGACTCGCATTCAAGCTACTCCAACCCATACCTGCATATGTGTAACTCGACAGACTTCACAAAGCAGTGCTCAAGCAAACATCTTTATCCGAGACACATGCTTAGGACATGCCACTGCACACGTGCCTATCTTAGATTTGCTGAAACTGGTGATCTCACAACTGAGCTCCAGGGATTTGATATGCATACCCCAGGAGCTGGTTCCTTCTACAACTTGCCTAAATAGATGCACAGAGACAACTTCTCTAACAAAAACAAAATCTTCTAGTTAATTTACAGTGCCATATACGTTCTGCCTAATGCAACCCAGCTATGGAGATCCAAGCTCCCATACCTTCCGGGTGTTACCACCACAAACTAAGCGCAGTGCCACACGGATGAGATGTAGTCTCACAAGATAACAAAGGCGCATCTGGAACTGGCTCTTTATGGAAGACTACTCCCTTCACCCGAGAAAGAAAGTGCTTTGTTGATTGCGTTTTCTCCTGATCTGAGCTGTTCTCCATCCATTGCAAAGCATCAATTTATTCAGCCTCGGTTCTTCCATGCGACACTTCAAACAGTCTGATTCATTGATATTTTCTACTGGAAGAGGTATTGACTACATTCTCGGCTTCTCCGCCGGACGAAGAGTCTGAACCATTTTGGTATTCGTTGATGCCTTACTGACATCGTTATTGACGATCGTTCTTGTTTGAGCACCGGCACTCCTAGCCAAAAAGCCGAATCCTGTCCATCATAAATTTATGTTTTACTTTGTTTGATCAATATGAACATTGAGTGGTTCAAGAATCATGTGGTCTTTCTCACTGGGGGGACGGGTAATCTTGGAGGCTGCTTGCTATACAAGCTGACCATTCAACTCCCCACTGCCAAGATATTTTTGTTGATACGAGGGTCAGTTCAAAGTGCAATTGAGTCATTGGAGCAGTCGATGCCTGAGCATATTGATGAAATCATTGCGACTGGGAAAATACAGTTCCTGATAGGTGATATGACCCTGCCCAACCTCGGCCTTGCTCCTTCTGATGTCCTACGTCTACAAACCGAGACCACTCTGGTGATAAACTCCGCTGGTGATATATCTTTATCCCGAGATCTTGCAGAAACTCTCCCAATTAACTGCACCGCGCATCTGACACTGATCAGTCTGGCGGACAGCTTCACTCGCCTGAGCCACTTTCTACATGTTTCAACGACATATTCGTCAAGCTTTCTTCCTGATGGGACAATAAAGGAGAAGGTTTACTCCATCATCGACGATCCGCAAGAGGAACTAGAATCGATCATTGCCACAGGCCAGTCGTACTTTACTAAACAATTTGCTGCACCATATGCATTGGCCAAATACTTGGCCGAATGCTTGCTTCTGAAAGGCGATCACAGGTTTTCAGTTCTCATTGTACGGCCTTGCCTTATATCACCTGCAATAAAGGAGCCCTTCCCCTTTTACGGCAGTGATGGCGCAATACCTGTACATTCATTCCTTCAAGTTCTCTTGGAGGACTCGAACTATGGGCCATTCAAGCTGGAAAAGATATTACCGGAACATGTTTCCTGTAATGAAATTCCGGTTGATCTTGTGGCACGTGTGTGTCTTGCTCATCTCGCCAAAGGCACGACGGGTGTGGTCCATGCCGGTGCAGATCTTTATGTAACTCGAAATGTCGGGGAATTGCTCAACAGCATGCGCCGTCACGCTCCAGATGGAGTTGTTGAAAAGGTCAGAGAAGCTGGTATAGATCATGGCGACGTCACTGCACCTGAGCTCTTCAGCATGATTCATCAATTCGCTCGCGATTGGCAAATTGAATGTACTCGCTCTGTTGACTTGAAGGAAGTAGCCGGACCTTTGGGGCTCAATTTTAATGACCATGACCCCGATTTGTTCCTCAAAAATCGAATTGAGAGACTTGCCAAATCTGTGTTGGAGAGGCTGAAGAGCCTGAATCCCTCTGGCACAAAGGTATATCAGAGTTTGACCGTATGAGCCCCAACCTTGGAACCAAGCTTGGAGCTATGGCCACATCTGTTCAGATATCTGCTACCATCTACCTTGAGCAATAAAACTTTCTGTCCGAATTGAATTTTGATAAATTGAGGAAGTTGGATTGCATTGAGCTACCTAAGAGGAGAAGGTTTCTATTTCAATCGGGATATGATACCGCGGGTTCAAAGTCAACGGAATAAGAAGAATTTCGAAGCGGCAAGAGCGTACTATTGAATGTTAGTCCCATCGTGACCTCAACTTAAACATTTCTATAGTTGATCGCTTTTATCTTGACATACTTAAAAGATGTAGCGAAAACTGCCTGGGTCACCGGGGATTGCTTGTCAACCATGGTGTCGGTGGGGATCGAGTTGAAGCTTTTGAACAACGCGGATTGAGAACCTTCAGGAATGGCTAGAAAGCTAGCATCAATGAGTAGACGGATTACTTGGGACCTATTGCAATTTGTTAGCATACGTCAGCACGTAGTCAAGTTAACGAAATTGAGAGTAAAACTCACATAAAGTCTCTGCAACCAATCTGAAGCCCATTTTCGCGGATAAACTCACAGGTGTTCAGCCCAGGCGTCTTTAAAGTGTGAAGAAAGTAGCCTACTGTCTTGTTTCCATTCACCGGTAGATCTATTACCCTCATAGCATGCCGGTGTTGACCCATATAGGTACATGCTTTGATTACCATCTCAACTGGGAGTGACCTTGCATTCTCTGCTGGAGGATCAGAATTCTCCTTGGTCACATCCAGAACAAGGCTATATGTGTTAGTTGGCGCATAGGTACTTTCTGTTGTTAGCGCAGGATCCAGCATAACCCTAAGAATGCAATGCACGAGTCTATCAGGGTCGTCATCGAAGAGTTCATCGACTGGCCCCACGTCAATCAGCTCAAGTGCACACTTTGAAATCTTATGGGGCTCAAAATTCTCGGGGAAAGCTGGATCTTTGTCAAAGATCCACCTCTTGGTGCTCATGATTGTAAAACAAAATTGTTTCTTGTTTTCTTGCCGAGCTGTGTGATAATATGTTTCGCTCGGTAATGAATATTGTTTGCGGTAACATTTTCTACTCAGTATACTAATCTGCTGGATTTGATGTCTTTTTATACATGCATGTTTACCTAACTTGGAAAAAAAGAAAAGAAAAGAAAAGAAATGTTTGTGAAGCCTTCATGTGTCGAAAAATAGTCTCGAGCGAGATGACAAAAATGAGATTGGTAGCAAGAAGGATCAACAGTCAGATAAAAAAAATCCCTACTCTATCCCCTATTTAGGTGGCCTTTGTGAAGTATAATGCTTAGGAAAAACATAGGAAAATATACCAAAAAACATACCACTAAATAGGCAAAGCACTGGAGGTTCAATACTTACGAAAATCCATTGTAGACCAGAGAAGGCGAATAATGCCCCATTGCAATCCATGGGACCGGAGTCTAGGGCTGCCCGGGTCTACGGGTGGATATTTCCCGTGACTAAGTGGCTCAACCCCCCGGGACCGGTACTCCGGGGCTCCGCAGGCCCTTTCGGTGTCTCTCCGCAGTTCTTCTTTCCTCTCTTCACGACTTGAAAATGGAGGAGCCAGTTTTACTATCGGAAAGAATAGAGCCTTTCAGCCCGCTGATTGAGGAAGAGGCATTTTTATCGCCGGGGACATTTTCCAGCGCAGACGAATATGCCGCCAACCCCAGATTCCTTGAACTGCAAGAAGAGCTCCGTTGCGTACTCTTTTCTGCAGTCGCTAGCCTTGAGCCTGCAGACACATCACCGCCCCTAGAGCCAGAAGGCCCCCAGACGCGAGCACGCCAAAGCCTAGACTTCACCCGCGTCATCTCAATTCCCAAAATCAAATTAATATTTTACCTGAAAAATTGGATTACGGAATGCGCTCCGTATCTTGACAAATTTGATGAAGCCCGCCATTTCGGTGTCCAAATTCCCATTCTGGCGCAGGGTTCCCCTGCTCTTTTCTACGCCATCCTCGCATTCTCGGCGCGTCAAACCGAGCGCAAAGCTTGTCTCGACAAGGCTTACGATAGCCTAGAATTGTATCAAGAATCGATCCGTCTTCTGGCCCCATGTCTGCAAGCGAAAGACCCCAATGTCCTCGTCACAGTCTGCATTCTCGCCGTGATGGAACTGATGTCCGTCAGCCCGCGCGACTGGCGACGTCACGTTGAAGGCTGCGCGGCATTGTTTGACTCGTTCAATGTGAATGGGCTTTCGGGAGGGCATCTCCAAGCTGTGTTTTGGTGTTACGCGCGCATGGAGTTATGTGGCGCAATCATCTCTAACGGGGCGGAAAGCACAGTGCTTCCGTTGGAGAAATGGGTTCCCGCAATGGAGCAAGCCGCATCAAAAGAAGCCGAAGAAGACATGATCCGAGACCTGTTCTGCGATAACGGCCGCACTTCCGCTGATATGCATGCCAACTGGGCTGTCTACCTATGCGCAAAGGCGTGTGATCTCTCCTGCCGAAGAACGCGGTACCTGGAACTGGGCGAAACGGCCGGTGACCCGCGACCGTTCTCTGAGCAGTGGAGTCGACTTTGGGACGAATTACAATATTGGATTGAGACAAGACCCCCTGCGATGCTGCCGATCAAGACTACAGGCATGGGCAGTGGTCAAATATTCCCTGAAATATTGTTTGCGCATTGGGCTGCTATCTCAGGCAACCAGTTGTACCACGCGGCCTCCATAATGATGCTGGAGATGCGACCTGTGGAGCGGGGGCCACCGGCTGCAAAGCCCCATTTCTCGGCTATCTGGCATGCCCGCCGCGTTTGTGGGATCTCTTTGACCAATCCCCATTCCGGAAATTTGATCAATGCCATTCAGCCATTATACATCGCGGGAAAGCTGCTCAGTCACCACAGTGAGCATGTCGAAGTTGCGAAATTGTTCAAGATTATCGAACGTACAACTGGCTGGGGGGCTTTGTGGCGATTGAAAGACCTCGAGCGCGCTTGGGGCTATGAGCCTGGAGAGATTCTGGGGGTAATCTAAGCATTATAATGTGACTACCCTATACCTTAATCGACAACGAGACGATTCAAACGAGCCCCGGCGCAACAAAATTCGAAAATTTGAACCTGGTGATACACATTGATTTCTATCCAAACCTTAAATGTCTTGAGCATGTACATGCTCGATCAATTCGAAATATTTACAGTTCAAGCTGAAATATCAGCCGTTGCCCAAATGGTCTTTCTACTGGAAATCAGCACACGACTTAGGGTACTGCAAAGCGTGCTTGATCCGGTTCGTGAGCCTCTCAGCATCCACTTCAAACACATAGTTAACCTCCCGGATACCTTGGGGTGCAAGTGCCTTTTGGTACACATGGATGTTTCCATAGTTGGGGCTGCCGTATGATGTGTCGACGTCCAAAAATACTTGAAAATTTGTTAGCGCTTCCACAAGGCAAATGGAACTTGTTCCGCATTGACACACCTGATGTTTGGTTGACAGAGATAGACGGGTCGACCATCAGTGCAGCAGCTGTCTCGTCCCAGAAGGGGAAAGAGAGATCGTAATACTTATAAAAGAGCTCGCTGTACGGGTTTGGAACCGAGTGAACCTCTTCCATAAACTCCTTGGTCGGGAAGACTTGGTTGGCAACATTACCAGCGATGGTGATGTTAGGGAAATCCGCTGTCAGGGCGATCTTGGAGGCCTCGGGGTCAATCATGAGGTTGATCTGCACCGTCAGCAAGGAGAACCATACCCATTATTTCTAAAGATACTCACATCTGACTGATAATCTGCCAACATGATACTTCCCGTGGCTTCAAGCATATTCAGATCAACATATCCACCCATGATCACAAGATCCTTGGCAAGCGACGCAAACTGCGGGTCCATACGCACAGCAAGCGCAATATTGGTCAACGCGCCGGCCGAGTAAATGGATACCTGACCAGGATACTTGTGCACCATCTCAACCATGAAATTAGCGGCCGAAGTGGAGTTCTCCGGTCGGCCCTTGGGGAATCCCTCCTTGAAAGCCTCCTTCACAATCCGATTAGGATCCCCGGAAGTAGGATCATTGCCCGCAGCCTCCGCAGTTTTGTTTTCGGGTGCAAATGCGCCTTCCCAAGGCAACTTGCCATGGATCGTCTCCCAGGCCTGGAAGCGGTGCGGCGTGTTGATCAGCGGCCATGTGGCGCCCGGGTAAACAGGAATGCAGCTCAAATTGCCGGCTTCTAGGGTGGCCACGGCGTGCAATGCACCTTGCGGCTGCCAGCTGTTGGCAGTGTCTGAAAAATTTCCCGCTTAGCTTTGTCCATGCACAATGATGTGAGTACCCACCTGAGGCCAAACCGAGGATTTCCACATTACCATCCAGAGCAACCAGGTAAGGCACAAAGCCCGCTGTATACCAATCGTTGTCCATGATGGCGTAGTGCTTATCCGCCCGGGGCTGTAGCGCAAGCGCGCCCGTGACGAAAGTAAGCATTGAGCTGCAGAGCAGCGGAACCGAGACCGACCAGTGCATTGCAGGGATGAAGGGTGGTGTTGCCGAATTCGGAATGCAATAAGTATACAATTCTGGTATACAGAATAGAGTCAACTCGAACAAATTATCCTTGTTCACTCACCGGGCTCTTTATACTTCAAAGCTCATCTCGACCCCAGATTTCCCCAAGAGATCCTCCACCCGCAGAATACCACCTGAAGAATAACTTTACGTCAATCGAGATCCTTTCGAGCTCTCCCCGCTCCTTGTAGCCCTCGATCAGCATGGACCTCGCCAAGTCAGCGAAGCAGTGGCTACGATTTCCCAAAATGGACGCAGTGCCTGGACCACCCCACAATCCTCACGGCAGAGATTAATGTTTGGCCAGGAGGTGAAACCAGTTTAGTCGGGCTAAGCCGTTCGAGGACCCATTTCTCTCCCGTTTCCCCTCCGATGATGGGTGGAGCCAGCTTTTCCTCCCGAGACGCCCACACTTTTCCGAGTCTGAAGCCGTTTCCAACCGTTCTGGGGAGTCGTAGGCTACAGACCGCCGAAAGTAGTTTAGCGGTCGGGTTCCTCCACAGTTTTGCCTCCACAAATTCGAAGAGTTTGGGGTTCCGGGGCTTCGTAGCGAGTCGGGACGCCGAAAACTGGGGTGAGGTTGAGTTTTTTCCCTCACGTGGTGCCACCCTCAGCGATGAAGTATGACACAACTAATTCGATCGCCGTACTAACGGAATCGTCTATATATGGGACCCTCTTTCCCCCATGTTTGGGATTCCCCAGATTATCTCTTGATCATTGCCCGCCATGACGGACTCCGATGTTGAAGCACGCGTGCAAATCGCAAAGAAGTCGATGTGGCAGTCAATCTTTGCTAACCCTAAAGTCCTCTTCATTGCCTTCTTTGCTTCGTATGTTTTCTCCATTACACTTCAACAAAATCCATACTGACTGTTCAGATTCGGTGGTTTTGAATATGGCTACCAGCAAGGTGTTCTCGGCCAATCTCTGGTCATGACCCGCTTCAAAGAGAACTTCCCCACCGTGGTCGCTTCATCGACATCAACGGGCTGGTTGACCTCAATTCTCCAATTGGGTGGTGTTGTCGGTTCCCTTTCCGCCGGTATCTTGGGCGAGATCTTCTCGCGCAAGTACACCATGTTTTTCGCCTGTTGCTGGGTCATCCTCGGCAGTTACATCTATATCGGTGCGACTGCCGGCAACCCCTCTCTCCTGTACGCTGGTCGCTTTTTCACCGGTATCGGTGTTGGACTTTTCAGCGGTGTTGGACCCTTGTACAACGCCGAACTGGCAGCGCCCGAGATGCGTGGACTGCTGGTTTCCTTCTATCAATTTGCGACTATTCTCGGTATCATGATTTCTTTCTGGGTCGGTTACGGAAGTAACAACATTGGCGGTACCGGCGAAACTCAGACCGATCTAGCTTGGCGCTTGCCCTCAATCATCCAGGGTATTCCAGCTGTCTGCCTTGCGTGCGGAATCTGGCTCATGCCTTTCTCGCCCAGATGGCTGGTCAAGCAGGGTCGTGATCAAGAGGCTCAGGATACACTTGCTTGGATGCGCAAACTCCCCGTTGAGCACGAGCTCGTTCAGGTCGAGTATCTTGAAATCAAAGCCGAGGCCCTCTTTGAGCAACGTGCTTTCGCGATCGCGTCTCCCAAGCTTGCGGATCGCGAGAAGAAGAGCGTTATCATGAACCAGGTTGCTCAGTACGCCAACTGCTTCCGAACCATGGATAACTTCAAGCGTGTCTGTATCGCCTGGTTGGTGATGTTCTTCCAGCAGTGGAGTGGTGTTGATGCCAGTAAGTTTGCCAATCATATCTCAGAATTACGCCAGTGCTAACTTCAATTTTCTAGTTATCTACTACGCCTCTAACGTGTTCCAAAGTCTTGGTCTGACTTCAGGCACTATTGCTCTGCTGGCTACTGGTGTGACTGGTGTTGTCTTCCTCATCAGTACCATGCCAGGAATGTTGGTCATCGACAAGATCGGTCGCAAGCCCATGCTGTTGGGTGGATCCATCGTTATGCTTCTCAGCATGGTGATCGTCGGTGTGATCGTAGCCAAGTTCCAGCACGACTGGCCCAATCATGTGGCCGCTGGTTGGACTGCGGTTGCTTTGATCTGGCTTTACATTGCCGGATTCGGTGCAACTTGGGGCCCTGTCTCATGGACACTGGTCTCCGAGATTTTCCCACTCTCCATTCGCGCCAAGGGTGCTTCCGTCGGTGCCTTTAGCAACTGGATCAACAACTTCGCTATTGCGTTCTTCGTTCCACCCATGCTCAAGAACTGGCAATGGGGCACTTACATTTTCTTCGCTGTTTTCCTTGCCGTTGGCATTGCCTGGGTCTGGTTCTTCCTTCCTGAAACCAAGGGTGCATCATTGGAAGAGATGGACAAGGTGTTTAACAGCAAGGCTGGAGAACAAGACGCGGAACTCCTCCGCGAGGCACAGCGGGATGTTGGCCTGACTTCCTTCCTTGAGCGCATGGGATCGGCCACCGGTCGTGACCTTGATAAGATGGAGGGCTCCCAGTATATTGAGAAGGTTTGAGGGGGTTTTTTACGTTTCAATATCCATATTTAAAGGCACTGGATGGAGTCCTTTGTCATCAAAATCATATTTAATCAATTATGCAATGTCACAAATTGTCTCTTCTCAACTCTTTTGCTGTTTTTGTCCAAAGGATCCACCTTGATACCCCATACTCGAGCCACGTTCGCCATGCATTTCCCCATTTATGTTTAAATCTCGGAGTCTCGGGTGGCGTCCGATCGCTGTCCGCAGAAGTCAGGCGGTTCTTAGCGCTGAGGCAATAATGACATATGTCCATGTCTTCATTAGTGACCATTTGGAAATAAACATAGGTTGCATCTTCTTACTCTACAAAGTGCTACAACTGCTCCCAGTCCAAGAGCAGCAAAGCCTAGGGGGTGATAAGTCAGTTGCCAAAGTATTAAGTACTATCACTTGGTATCACACCATTGGAGTTGATCCTTGTGGTAGAATTCGCCTGCAAGGCTTTAACGCAGGCAGAAAGACAACCTCAACTTAAAACCACGTACCCACATTATTGACGGGACTTCCCACCTATTATTTCCATTCTCAGCCGATCCCAAAGGATAGTCAAATCTAAAGATGCGGAGTTGACATTTTTTTCGAAATCACCAAGCGGCCGGAATCGCCCACTGGCCTGTCGGGTCGACTGTCCCGATTGGAACCGCCCCACGCCGGACCCGACTCAGCGGCCGTCTCCGGCAGTTGACCACACATCGGGTTTGCAGAGCCTCCGATCATTCTTTTCAAGCATCCTGTCCGGCAGTATATTCGACACCATGCCCAGAAAGCCCACGCCAGCAGCCAAGCAGCGGGTGAGAACTGGCTGCTTGACGTGTCGGAAACGCAGGAGAAAATGTATGTGTCACGTGTGGCCTTTTTTTCTATGCAACAACTGACATTGTTGCCGCAGGCGATGAGCAGAAACCGAGGTGTGCGAACTGTGAGGTCAAAGGATTCACCTGTAAATATGGCTCTGATCTTGCGTTTGTGCCACCGCGCTCGGGGGTGGTTCCAGGTGCAGGCCAGGGATATAGCACTATCACGGTGGGTGCATGGCAAGCACCTGATACCACAAGCGACATACTAACAGAGGATAGTTTGTGGATGATTCACCAGCAGTTACCACAGACAAAAAAGAGCAAAAGCAAGACGGGCCCCGAAGCAATGCAGAATTATCCTTGGACGGTCTTCAGTCTTCAACAGAGAGTCACGAAGATTCTTTGGAGCCACCTCGGGCGTTTGAATTCCAGAGCATACTTTCATCTGCAGTGCCAAGTGTTGATTTCTCGGAGCCTCCTATTCCGTTCATCGATGATCGAAGGACACCAAATCCTCCGTATATGAACACTCTCTCATATTTTGGAAACCCCATCTCAGTCCTCAGTGATCAGACAGCCGAGCGGCGAGTACAGCTTGCAAACAGCAACCGTGAAACCGATCTACTTCGACATTTCAGGTACCACGTTGGACCTTGGATTGATACGGGAGATCCAGAGCTCCCATTTGGGCTACAAGTTCTTCTCCTTTCTAGGACTAACAGGGCCCTTCAATCTGCAATTCTAGCAGTCTCTGCTGGTCAGAGAATGCTGATGTCATTTCCAAACAGCATGGATCATGACAGTAGTCAAATATACCGAAAAGAAGCAGAAGGTAGCCTTGCACTCGAGTGCGATTTAGCTAGGCATGCGGGGCAGGCCCTCGTTATGCTCCAGGATGTTCTACCTTCGGGTCCCCGGCTGTGGAGAAGTTTGCTTGTTCCAACATTAGAACAGGCCTGTGGTTTTGCATCACAGGCAGGGCAAGGAGAAGACTTGGGAGAAGCCTTACTATGGCTTTATTTCAGACTCGGTAAGGCGTGCATTCTTGTGTTCGAAATCAGAGAGTAGACTGATTAATATCTCTTCTTAGATCTCGCAGGCTGTATTATCCTATCAAAGCCACCACTTACGCCCTTTCGATCATTAATGCAACCCGACGGCACGTTTATCCACCATACGCATCCTCAACTCGAGCCACAAACAGTTCATCGAGCTTACAAACACATATTGTGCCTGCTCGGTCACTGCCTAGCACTCATACACGGAGATCCAGATGTCTCTTCCCCGCAAGCGATTCAATCACCAGAATTAGCGGCGTTCCCTTCTCTCCGACAATCCCACTCCCTCTCACAATGGACATTCCTTTGGTCAGACTGTCAAAAGTGGTACAATGACCGCCCCGTAAACGTCAAGCAGATTGTGGACATTCGCGGTGGTGAAGCAGACCATATCGACCCAGATCACGACTCCTCATTCCCCATTCTTATTTACACGACACCCATGGCGCTGGTCGCCAATGCCGTCTATCACATGATCTCCCTTCTGCTATTAACACACAAGCCACGTCTTTTGAAATCACTTCCCGGGCCTAGGTCTGTCACTTCTCACATCTGGCATGCACAATCCATCGCCGGTATCGCAGCAAGCAACGATTCACCAGAGCAATGGGACCCAGTACTGGTTGCGAGTCTGCTCGTCATTGCCAAGGAGATGACCCATGAATCACAGCAGACAGTCATACTGCAGCGTCTCGCCAAAATCACCGCCACAACTGGAATCAAACTCGACAGGGAGAGAGAGGCGCTACAAGCAGCCTGGAATCTAGCGCGTTATGAGGAAGAGTTTGAAGATGAACATGAGACGATATAATTTCCTGAAAATACCCATACCGTTCTAATTTTTGCTTCTAATGAAAACACACCTTATCATTACAAATCATAGGCGAAGGGGATGCTCTGCATGGCTCCCTGTCTCTGCACACACATAGCAGCAGCAGAATTCGCTTTCTCCACAGCACTTCGGATATCATCAAACTCTTCCAGGCTCTTCCCGGTCGCCAGAAGACGCGCCACAGAAGATGCAAAATACCCAACGAACGTGTCGCCCGCAGCAGTGGTATCCACAACCTTTGCGACCTTCACACCAGGCACAGGTCCACATTGCCCAGATCGGGTAGAATAGAAAACACCTTCCGCGCCAAGCGTGATCAAAACAATCTCAACGCCCGCGCGCTCATGGAAAACCCGCGCCGTCTCTTCGGGCACCAAGTTCCCATCAAAGGTACCAACAGGAAGGTTTTGAATCGACCGCGCCATCTGTACAGCCTCCGTCTCATTCATAATCAGCACAGAGGTTCCCTGCACGGCGGAAAGAGGAACGCCCTCTGGAAACACGGGCGCGGGGTTGAAGACCACTTTGGCCTGCTTCTCGCGATTGAAATGCTCCAGCAGTTCAATTGTAGTGCTGCGCGGAATTTCACCCTGCAAAACCACCACATCGGGCTTCTCGTTCTCAAGCGCGGCAAGAATAGAAGAAACATTGCTCATCATGCCAGCATGATTAGCGCCCGGGACGACAAGGATGCGATTCTCGCCATTGATTTCTTCAACAATGATACTCGCTGAGCCCGTTTGGGTCTTTGATTTCTCGATGGCCGCGGTGTTGACGCCAGAATTTTCCAGAGCAGGCTTCAAAAGCGAGGTGTAGTAGGGATCTTCGGCGCCGACGGCGCCGATCATGCTCACGGAGACATCCTGGGTTGATTCAGATGTGAAGGAGGAGCGACCACAGGCAACGGCTTGGTTTCCACCTTTTCCGCCTGCTGACACGGTGAGAGATGTTGCTGTCAGGGTCTCGCCGGCTGTTGGGCAGCGGGGTGTTGTTGTTACGAAGTCGATGTTTAAGGAGCCGATGATGCTGATTTGGGGGTTCTTGGTTCCGACCATGATGTCCAATTTGCTAATGCGGACCGTATTCAAAGATTTTGTAGTTGATTCGGGTCAATTGGGAAAGTTGGGATAGTGTGTTTAATGTACCTTTTCTCGGGATCCCGGCGGTTTTGCAAGTGTCGCCGACACGGTTTTCCTGATGCGGGGTACATAGGCTACGCGCAGCCCAATGAGGTTAGCGCCTTGGCACTCCGCGTTTGCTCGCTTTGCTCGGAATTGGTTTCTCTCGAGTTCACCTGGGCAGCGTTCGAAACTTGGAATCATTGAGCTCTTCTCTATTCGATATTTAGATTATCCAACCTTCCAAGGTTGGAATTTATTGAAGTCGTTCTTCTATTGTATAATGATCATTCAAACCTTGGAATTCAAACCCAAAATTTGTGCGCTACCCACCAGAGATATACATTGCCCCCGGGCCCAGAGCACGCTGTGTTTTCTGAAAAAAAGGGCGAATGGCTGCAATGTTGCCAGGACTTAGATGCTCACGGAGCTGCTCTTCATATCTCGATATTACAATTTGGTGACATATCTCAATTGGTTATTGAAAACACTGGCAAAACAAGAAATACAAGCACAAAGAAAATAAAACACCAATCAAACATTGCATACCCTCCAGGGCTCGATTCTGGTAAGGCCCACGGGTCCTATTTGAAGTGCCCTGCGTGCCCTGGCATTGGCTGTTATTTACGTCATGTGCCTGTCGGCGATCATGAGGTGACTTCCCCGCGTCAAATGTCGGGGTAAGCTCCACTCCGAATCAAACACCTTCTCCCCCTCCTCTCTTCCTTTCTTTCTGACACTTATCGACAAAATGACAAAGGGATTCGCAGCTTTCACTCCGCAGGTCGAGGAGACCTTTGATCAGGTCAAGGAGACCGACACCCTTGACTACATTTTCTACGAAGCCAACGCACACGACAAGAAGATCTACGTCGCTGGATCCGGCAAGTACACAGAGTACACCGATTTCATTGCTCAATTCAGAGACGACACTCCCCGGTATGCGGTCGTCAAGTTCAAGTACCCAGCTCCGATCGGGAGTGAAGAGCGACACAAGATTGTCCTCATCACTTGGTATGTTTCTTGTCTCTCGTCGCAATATTATCCATTGGCAGTGCTGACCTCTTTGTTTGCGTAGGGTGCCGGAGGAAGCAGGTAATCATGACAAGTCCTACTACACCTCCAACAAAGATCATCTCTACTACTCCCTTGACGGCATCAGTCTCCACGTGCAGGCACATAACCAGGATGAACTCGCTCATGCTACCAGTATGCATTCCTATCAGATGATGTCTTGAGTGTTTTGCAAGCTAACTCTTGACCCTCTTTAGTCCTGAAGCAGTTCAAAGCACTGTGAGCCTTCGATACCCGTAGACCCAAGGAAGATGAGTCTGGAAGAGAGGACTTACAATTGGTAACTTCTTTACCGTATGACTGTGGCATGATCGACGAATATGCAATCGCTGAAATGAAATACATTCTCGCAAATGACACAAAGAAGCTTTTCAAGATTGTCTCCGGTACTCCGTACTGTAGTTCGGCTCGATTCATGTTTAAGTGAAACCAAAACCCACCTGTGTGTGGGATCTTTGATCAGGCAGCCAGTGGAGAATGCTCATAAGATACATCAAGTCAAGAGTTGATAGCGACGTATTAAGGCGAGGAGCCCCACAAAAAGGGTGTGCTGCCTGACGCTACGCCAGGCAGCAGCAGCGTTGGTGCCATATTATTCAGGCCACAACACATCTCCGTAACTAACTAAGACATCTGATTGACATTTAAAAGGGGACGGTCTCTGCTTTCAGATCAGGCTTTATATTCTTTTCGTCAGATCGCACAATTCCATCGCCTCTCGGTACATCTTGAGTTGCTGCCGGGTACCTTCGCTCGTCTTCTCTCCCCCAATTCGGCCCCCTAACTTCTTGACTCCGCCACACCTCACCTTCAGACTCAATCCACCATGCCTGCATCTTTCAAGAACGTCATTATTGCAGTGAGCGGAACATTTCCAAACCTCCGACAAGGTACGAACTGCATACGCTAGGAGAGCCCCACATGGATCACACTGACATACCACAGCCGACGTGAGGGGACTCGTCGAACAGAATAGCGCGACTTTCAGCACCTCGGTGACTGAGGAATGCACTCATCTCGTGACCACCCAAGTTGATGTGGACAAACAATCGACCAAATGTGGGTTCGCGGCTGTTGATGCTTCACCGAGCATGACTAACATACCGAGCAGACAAAAAGGCCCACAGCCTCCCCAATTGTCAGATCGTTTCGCTATCCTGGCTTCTTGAATCAGTACAGGCCAAAAAGCCTTTACCAGAGTCAAATTTTGCGTTTGGAAATGGGTCAACATCCCAGGCGGATACGAAAAGCCAAAACGGCAATGATGACACCGATGTGAAGCCGAAAACCAAAAAGCGAAGTGCAAGCAAAGAAGAGGCCCCAGAGTCCATCAAGAAGTCGAAAAATAGCCAAAAGGCCACAACAAAGTGCCTAAATATCCCTATCGATGAAGGCTTCAACATGCGGAGCGGCACATTCAGGCGTGAGTAGATCCGAGGCAACAATCTACAAAGTGATCTGAATTGACATGAATCTATAGAGCCAACTGTGTTCATTGATGACGCAGGGCTGATATGGGATGCGACATTGAACCAAACAGTGGCATCGGACAACGCCAACAAATTTTATCGCATCCAACTGCTAGCTGGCACGAATGGAACCTTCATGACTTGGACACGCTGGGGTCGGGTCGGCGAGAACGGCCAGTCAGCCAACCAGACGTATTCGAATGTGAAAGATGCAATGGCATTGTTTGAGAGGAAATTCAAAGATAAGTCGGGCTTGGCCTGGGCGAATCGTCTGGACACACCCAAGAACAAGAAGTACACATTCCTCGAGCGCAACTACGAAGAAGACGACGAAAGCTCGGATGATAAACCGGAAAAGAAGGCGAAGAAAGAAGAGAATGCTCCCGCCGCGGAGAGTCTCATGTCAAAGCCTCTGCAAGACTTGATGTCTTTCATTTTCAACCTCGATCACGTCCTCGAGGCCCTTGCGTCCATGTCTTACGATGTGCACAAGCTTCCTCTGGGAAAGTTGAGTGATAGAACCCTGAAGAGTGGATTCTCTGTGCTCAAGGAACTTTCCGAGGTCATCACTGACCCAGCCTCGGCACCCGCCAAATATGGCACTGCTTATGGTCCAACAATTGAGCACTTGACCAACCGATACTACACTTTGATCCCTCACGTTTTCGGACGTAACCGCCCTCCTATTTTGGGAACAGACGCCCAAATCAAAAAGGAAGTCGAGTTGCTTGAGGCCCTGACCGACATGGATGTTGCCAACGAGATTATGACTGAGTCCAAGGATGATACTCAGATCCACGAACTAGATCGCCAGTTCCAAGGCTTGGGAATGAAGGAAATGGTTGAATGTGAGTGCTCACTTGGATATATCGTCCCTCAGTCAATCTAACAATCAACAGTGGATCACTCATCAACAGAGTTCGAAGAGCTCGAGAGCTACCTGCAAACATCTCGCGGTAGCACCCATAACATGAACTACAAGGTGGTCAACATCTTCCGTATCGAGCGCCAGGGTGAGACCGAACGCTTCAATTCATCCAAATACGCCAAGATCAAAAACGGCGACCGCCGTCTCCTCTGGCACGGCTCTCGCAGTACCAACTTCGGTGGTATTCTTAGCCAAGGTCTCCGCATTGCACCCCCTGAAGCACCCGTCAACGGCTACATGTTTGGAAAGGGCGTCTACCTAGCCGATACCTCCAGCAAGTCCGCGAACTACTGTTGTCCCTACAACAGCGGTGGAATGGGCCTCCTTCTTCTTTGCGACGCCGAGCTAGGTTCCCCCATGCTGGAACTAGAGCGCAGCAATTACAATGCCGGCGAAGATGCTCTGAAGGAAGGCAAGATTGCCACCCTTGGGAAGGGTCATCATGTTCCAGGTGGATGGAAAGATGCTGGCTGTGTCAATCCTAATCTGGCAGGTGTCAAAATGCCAGATGTGGCAATTAAAAATCCCGCTCATAACAACGGTGGGCTGTTCTATAACGAGTACATCGTTTATGACGTTGCGCAGATTCGCCAAAGATACCTGTTCCAGGTCAAGATGAACTGAGGGATTGTGCTTCTGAACCTGAGCTGGCATTCATTTAGCGGGAGTCGGATATTTTTTTTTGTTTTGTTGCTATCTTTCAAAAGCAGTTTTGCTACATGGAAACTGGTGTATGGAGAACCGATCTCGGGGATAATCCTCCGATGGCGTGCGATGGGAGAATTATGTCGATTAAGGCTCCACTTACTCAATGTGCTATCGTGACAACTTCTAATGAATTGACATTAATACTTTTAACGGTGGCCGATCATATCTTCTCAGGTCGGAGAACAGACTGCTCACATCTGAACAAGATTCATCGCAAGATTGAGGTTACCCTCGGTGGCTTTCGAAAGCTGCGCGGTCGCTGTGAAGAATTTGGCCGAATCGAGCAAGCCCCCGACAAGCACATGGACATACTATCCAGAGGCTCCAGTCTCGGTAAAGCTGTGTCGAACCATCGTCTTTATCTGCAAAAGCTCTGACCCACCATGTGGTATTAAATCTCAATTCTCCCCAAAATCTCGTTTGTTTCATGCACTTCATCGAAGGTATACTCAGCCTTCAATCAAAATCATGACAGCAGTAATGTCATCAGAGCCGTCGTTCAACGACACTGCAGACTTCGAAGCAGCAGAAAGGGGGTTTATTGCCGCCCTCAATCCCGGAATTATCAAAGATGCAACAGGCAAAGAGGTGTGGAACATCGATGCCTACGATTTTATGAAAGACGATTGCCCACCGACAGCACACCCCAATCTCTGGCGTCAAGGCCAACTCAACTCCAAAAATGGTCTCTTCAAAATCTGCCCCGGAATCTACCAACTTCGCGCGTATGATCTGTCCAACATGACCATTGTAGAGGGCAGGGAAGGAATCATCATTATCGATCCCCTCGTATCGTGTGAATGTGCAGCCGCAGGTCTCGCGCTGTACCAAAAGCACCGAGGCAACAGAAAGGTCACAGGAATGATCTACTCACACTCCCACGGTGATCACTACATGGGCGCAGGCGGGGTGATAGCCGATACTCAAATCCCAATCATTGCCCCGGAAGGATTTCTAGAAGCAATCATGAGTGAGAGCATCCTCGCAGGTCCGGCCATGCGTCGACGCGGCGCCTTCATGTACGGCAATGCGCTTCCTCGCAGTCCAACTGGTCAAATCGGGACTGGGCTGGGTATGGGCTCGAGCGTCGGTACTACCAGCTTGATACCTCCCAACGTCCTGATTCAGAAGACGGGTGAAGTGCACGAGGTAGATGGCGTCGAGATCGTGTTCCAGATGGTTCCTGGGACCGAGGCACCGGCGGAGATCAATTTCTTTTTCCCTGCTTTCAAGGCATTTTGCATTCCTGAGACGGCGACGAATTGCATGCACAACATTGTGACGTTACGCGGCGCTCAAGTGCGAGATGCCAAGGCTTGGTCGGGATATTTGGATGAAGCGATTGTGTTGTTTGGAGGGCAGTCGGATGTGCTATTTGGTAGTCACAATTGGCCGACGTGGGGAAGGGAAGATTTGATCCAGCGTTTGGCAGAGCAGAGAGATCTGTATGGGTATTTGCATGATCAGACAGTTCGTATGATGAATCTGGGCATGACTGGTATTGAAATTGCGGAGAAGATGCAGCTTCCACCGGCGATTTCAAGAGCGTGGCATTGCCGAGGATTCTATGGATCCTTGAGTCATAATGTGAAGGTGGGTGGTTATGACGCTTGGATTGATCGAAACCTTCAAAAATAGCTAACATTGCCAGGGCATATATCAAAAATACATGACTTGGTTTGACGGTCGTCCCGAGCATTTGTGGCAGTACCCGCCTGCCGAGGAGGGAGAGCGATATGTCGAATGCTTCGGAGGTATTGATGGGCTCTGTGACCAAGCCGAGAAGTTCATTTCAAAGGGAGACAATCGTTTCGCTGCGACTTTGCTCGCGCATGCCGTCTCTGCGGATCCCGACTCAACAGGGACTAGGGAGAAGCATCTTCTAGCTTCTGTCTATGAGTCCCTGGGCTTTGGTGCTGAAAACGCGACATGGCGAAACTTTTACCTTACCGCCGCTCAGCACCTGAGATCCGGAAAAAGGGCCGGCATGGTTGCCGGAGGTGGAACCGCATTGGGCGAGAGACTGAGTATTGATCAGTGGTTCGAAATTCTCTCTGTCCAGCTGAACGGAGAAGCGGCCGCAGAGAAAAATTTCGCGATAGACCTTGATGTCACTGATGTGGAGCAGAAGTGGAGGTTGATTGTTAGTAACGGGGTTTTGACACGGCGATTACTTGATAACGCAAGTTCACAAAGAGAGGCAGACCAAAATCCGCCGAACTTAAGCCTCGTACTCACACGGAAGCAACTTCTCGAGATCATCCGTGGGAATGCTGTCAGAGTTGAAAGGACGACCGGTGATGAAAATGTGCTGGTGGAATTATTAGACCTTATCCTTGTACAGCAAGGGTCCATCCGAGGGCCAAGTCAATTGTGAAGTTTATGACACTGAAAAATGCACTGGTTGGAGAACTGTCAAGATCACGCCGTATCTACGGCAACAAACCACATTTTGCATCAACTTTGGTCCATATTCTATTTCATACAAAAATTGCTAATTTTTCCTGCTTGTGTGCGAAGAGAGACTCGCGGAAATCGACCTGCTCCCTTTGATTTGCCTGTCTTTTTTTAGCATGAAGAAAAGGAAAAAAAGGAAACGAATAAAAAGAAAAAGAAAAAGCAAGAAAGGATATCGGCTCAGCGAGAGGTCCAAAACCGTAGTTTGGTTGAAAACACCATTAATTTAAAACTATCGAGCCTGGATTGTAGCCCAGAAACTTTTTGTCATTGAAGAGCCTTGGACCTAATTGTTGGATTGGCTAATGATGCGATGGTCTGCTGAAGCACTCCATTCTACCAAGGATGACCCGCCTTCATGCGTATCCCATGCACTCGAAAGGTTCCAAAGTTCCATTACTCTACGTCACAGGTAAAGAGTTTAATTGAACTCGACCATGGTTTCTAGATCTTCAAACAGGGGCTACGGAGTAGAGTGCCACGAGATACGAGTAAGTAGATCTACTCACATTGGTTGGTGAGTCTTCTCCTGGAGGCGAAACGAATCCCGTCGGAATGGAAAAGTCTGGACTAGCCAATCCAGCGGTCAAGCGAGGGCCGCCCCCACGTTTGAACCACACTATGATGGAACAGTAGTCATAGAAAAGTGGGATCTTCGGTCTACAAGTCCAAGTGGGGTTCAGGAACACGCCCGTGTTTTTGTTTTTGTTTCCAAGGTTAAAGCCAGGTCTGTCAGATCTATTGCGCCTCTTCAGTTGTATCTCACTGTGTTCCCTGTTTCTGTGTAGTCTCGGCAATCCCACATCATCATTGGCACCTGGGCATATTGCCCGTGCTTTGTCGCAAGGTTTGGCAATTCACATTTACCCAGCCAATCATTCTGGGGCATACAAGGTACTTGTACATCATATCATATGAGGAGATCATCTCACCCACCCGATACACGGTCAGCCGTCCCCTAAATGTCTCGGACCAGGGTATTTGCGGGAGCTTGGCCGAGCCGTCACAGCATCCCGGTTCATCTTCCTACCGGCCCCGATGCTGGGGATTCTTTTGCTAATCCCGATCCGACCTTCGGTGAAGTTCCGGTAGTTGTAACAGAGGATCCCGTCCTGTGGCTTGGTGACGTACACGTCATTGGCGCAGAGGGAAACCTTGACCAAAACTTTACAGAATACCCCAGACATGGAATATTCCATGAATTCTAAGTTGAAAGGTTATATTATGACTTCCGTGGAACGGCAGAGTCTCCTAGATGGTGGGAGCATCATCCCAGATGCATATTCTCATAAAAGGGTTACAAAGGGGGAAAAGTGAGAAAAAATTGCAGGGAGAACGAATAAGCGGAGTGTGGGGGAAATGGCACCCCGGAAAACCCCGATTTCCCCAGTTTCGGAACACGCGAGGAAAGCCTCCCGGAGAAACTCCGATAAAACATCGGCGAATATCTCATTTCGGGATGGTGCTTGGCGGCGGCCCGATCTCACTGGCCGAAATCTCTGCTTCAAAATCTCGGCTGCGATGTCGGATTTGCTGATCTTTTTCGATTTTTGCGCGGTTTGAAATCGGCACCCCTTCGGAATGCGATCTTTAGGGAAATCTCGCTGTCAGTTGCGACTCGGTATGTCTTCTAGATGTCTCGGGGAAACCTCGCCTGTCAACGCCCCTGCGAGTGCGCGAATAACACGGACCCACTTCGGGCAAATTTGACTTGGCTCGCTCGCTGATTGCTCGAACCAAAGAAAATGGAGCCATGGGTCTCCACGGCAGAGAAACCTTGGAGTAGACCTTGGCTTTCTACCCCGTGGAGATTTTACCCCGACTTGTAGTCTCGACTGATGTAGTCCTTTTTCCTCTTTGGCTATAAAACCCTCTTCCCTCTCCGACTGAAACTGATCCAGTTTGTCTGAATTTGTTGCTTATCGACTCTGGGCTCTTCGGTCCTCAAATCTCATCAAACCTACTCCACACTACATTTGGTTTTGCCCAACATGGCAGGCCTCGGAATGAGCGTCGACTGGAAGTCGAATCGATGGGCCATCGCCTACTGTTTAGTGGCTGCTATCGGTGCCCTCTGCTACGGATACGATACAATCTACTACACTGGAATCCAGGGCATGGAATACTTCGCCAAGGACTACGGTGTGAAGACAGAGAACGGATGGGAGCTTACAACGACCTTTTTGTCTCTGTCTGCTAGTATCATCTACGTGGGAGAGCTAGTTGGAGCCCTTGCTGCTGCTCCCATCAATGACCTTTTTGGCCGTCGTATGGTGTTCCTGACGGCTTCCCTCTCCATCATCATCGGAGCCATCGTGCAAGTTTGTTCATTTGGTTCTGACCCCGTCTTCTATGTCAGTCGTGTTTTGATTGGTCTCGGTATCGGTCAATTCACTGCTACCTGTCTGATGTACATTGGAGAGGTGGCACCCTCAGCTATCAGAGGACCGGCTCTTATGTCCTTCCAGTTCATGCAGTCCATCTCGCAGCTGGTCGGAGCCTGTGTCAACCAGGGTACTGAAGGTATCAAGAGCGCCGAGTCCTACCGCATCCCCATGTGTTTGCTGGTTGTTCTCCCCGGTATCATGTTGTTGTGTCTTCCTTTCACACCTGAAAGCCCAGTCTGGTACATGTACAAGAACAAGCGTGAGCAGGCCATCAAGGCTCTCCGCAAAATCAACCGCAGTGCTCGCGACTATGATCACGCCATGGACCTGCAGGTCATCGACGACCAAGTCCAAATGGACCGCGAAATGGCCAAGGACGCTTCCTGGAAGTCTCTTCTCACCGACCCCGTCGAGCGTCGCAAGCTTTTCTATGCTTGCGGTGTCATGTTCGTTCAGCAGATCAACGGTATTCAGTTCTGGTACACCTATGGAGTTGTCTTCGCCCAGTCTATCGGCGTCGCCGACCCCTTCACCATCAACACCATCATCTACGTCCTGCAGATCATCACCGTCGGTGTCTCAGTCGTCTTCGGCAACAAGATTAAGCGCCGCAACAACCTTCTCGTCTGTTCGGCAGGTATTTTCATCTCCCTCATTGCCGTCGGTGGTCTCGGCACTACCCGCGCTGCGGACGGCTCCTTCAGCCGCGGCATCGGCATCGGTATCGTCGTCCTTGCCTACATCAACATCATCTTCTACAACTTCTCGATCGGTACCCTTTCCTACTCCATCGCATCGGAAGTCTCCGTCGGCCGCAACCGAAACAAGATCACTTCCTGCGCCATGGCCACCTTCTTCCTCACAGTTTGGCTCATGGTTTTCACCAGCCCCTACATGTACTACACTGGTGACCTTGGTCCCAAGATTGGTTTTGTCTACGGAGGAACCACCCTTCTCTTGCTCGCTTTCTCCTGGTTCTGTGTCGGTGAGACCGCCGGTCGCACCAACGCTGAAATCGAGAGACTCTTCCAAGACCGCGTCCCTGTCCGCGAGTGGGCCACTTACGTTATTCCTTCGGATGATGTGACCTATGTTAAGAACAAGGGCGCCGAAGACGAGCAGATTGAGATGGCATGATTTACGTTATATATGAATTTTATCGAATAATGCATTGAATGCATAACCAGCTGGTTTTTGGCTGTGAACTTTTTCAAAATATATTCCCCTCGTCAGCCTAAATTGGATTCATAGATTTTTTAATATGCATCTGAACTATTACACGAATACATCTCGAGGTCCCAATGTTGATCTTGCGACTTCTGAGGCCTTGTGAACTGCAAATAATGGGTGCCCGCCTAACCCCAAGGCTTTCGCCCTAAATTTCACTGCTGCGGGCACGCCTGGGCGGGCGGGGGGCACCGCATCGCCTTAGACCACCCAGGCAGTATCTTACACTGTGCCCATGTAGGCGATTTCCCTTGCTCTATGGTCAACATCATAAATTAGTCCAACCATAGGTAATTTTTGCATTTTCTAGTCTAAACAAACTTGGGAGCCTAGTAATCTAGATTTCAATCATGCGATTCTCCATCACGATGTAGGTTTCACTCACCATGCGCACAAATAATGCCGCTGTACAACTGCCATATCAAAGTTTTCTCTATTCAAATCTTGAAGACAAAATGCTTTCTTGCTCAAGGCTCTATAGAGACTAGTAATGGGGGACAGCATAACATGGGCTCATCTCCGGCCTGCAGATTGGTTGGGTTCTCAAGCCACGATGCCTGTGAGACGCTGAAAACTCGACCTTACATCTATTCCCTCGGCAATCAGTCTTGGCCACCATGGGGCCTGTCCGACGGGGAATCTGCTCTAGACACGTTGCAAAAATAACTCAAATATACTCCAACGGCCTGGCCTGAGGGTCCTCGCGTCGGAAACTAGGAGAGATACCCAAGTATGCCTTGACACACTTGGCACATTTCCAAGCTTAACAACTCGAAGTAGATCCAATGAATTTCCTTGCTATCAATTGTCGTTGCATTTGAAGCGATTGGCTATCATGACTTCGAACTGGGGTACATGGGGCTCAATAAACTTCCAGGGTTGGAAAGCGGGTAAGCCCCTGAGAAAGGTGTCATTCGTCATGGAATAGTAAGACCGAGCCCTAAATTGGGAAGAATAAAAGGTTTGTTTCCCCGCCTCCGCATTGTTGTTCAATATTATTTACGGTGCACAAAGTCTCCTCGACCTCGGTCAGGTTCCACCGGTAGACCCGATTGATCTCAGGACGCGGAGAACACAAACTGCATTAGGCGCAATAAGATCGTTGAAAATATACGGAATATTGGAGTCGAAGTGGCACAAATCTCGAGCAGAGATTGTTTCAAAAAACCCAGCACCAAACTTCCAAGGTTCGATATGTCAGGCGAAAACTGATTGAAACACAAAGATCAACGGTCGAATCAAAAGGCTTTCAAGGCAAAACTTAGCCCAAGTATGGATGACAATATTAAAACACCGACAAAGATGTCGAAAGAAAGGAAGAAAACAGGAAAGAGCTTTGCGATCAATGAAGTTAAACAGCCTGTTCGTACAGTGGCGCGGGCGGCACAGCTAGAACAGGTGTGCTTTGTTCACTCGATGATCGTGGAGAAGATATCTCCGTGAGCATTGGGTGGTCGAAAATATCCACGTCCGTGGCATCCGGGACAACAAGGTCTGAGAAGTGATCGATGTAGGCCGGGGGTGGAGTTCGATTGCTCTGCATCTGTTGAATGTCTTGCCCGTGGGCGGATGCACCGTCATTGGTTACATTAGGAGTCATGTAAATCTTGAAAGGCAACACTGACTTGATCTGGACTTACGTCAGATTTTGAGTTTATCAATCAGGGGAAGGAATGCATACCTGAGTTGCTTTCTGCTCAGTTCCATTCCCAAACTGCGCTGTGACAACTAAGTCATGGCTTATCTTGATATGCTTGTTTGAGATACTCTGTGAGCAGGAATCCAAGCGTTTTGGGAGGCAGACAGGCTGCATAAAGCGCCACTCAATATCAGAGTCATTATCCGGGTTCTGATCACCCCCTTGGGCAAAATCGAGACTTTCTGAAAACACAGTTTGACTGTGCGCCTCGGTGATAAAGTGTATGTTGTGTCGCACTGATTCTGAGGCCGTAGCTTCCAGTCGGACAGTCTGTTTCTCAATCACTTTGATAGTCACAGCATTGAGTTTGATGTCCTTCGACAACGGCGCGAACCAGCATTCCACAGGAAAGGTACAACCGAAAGGCACATTTCGATCGGTGATCGAAACGCAATACTGAACACCATTGTCCGTATGCCCTTCAAGTGTCTAGATACAATTAGTCTCCATTCTTCCAATGATGTAAGTAACAACATACCAGCGGGCTTGAGGGCCTCATATAGCTCGTGTTAAAGTCTGAGATCTGATAAATCCTGACCGGGTGCGATATTACCAAATCGCTTTTGAGACGTCGCTCAATAACAACATCTACACGGTATGTGTGATATTGATGTTTTGGGCCAGTGACTGTTTCCAGTAGTTTACATGGAAGTGGGATGTCGAACAGGAATGCATGATCTCCCGGCGGCATTCGAAAGTTGGTTTTGGAGGAAGCTAGTGCTTGGTTATGATCAAAGGTCACTTGCTCTCGATAATCTGTGCCCAAAATCCCCTCAATGGCACTGTATGTCAGAATGTGAGAATGTGATCAATGCAAATTTCGGGATTGAGTCTTACATAGCCATAGTGCCCCGTAGCCTCACCTTGATGCTCTTGAAGGAGGCCTCATGGGCGAGGGAGAGATTGAATTTCCCAGATACAGAGCATGGGGCTGTTTCTTCTGATATGAAAATGCATGATTGATCCAAACTAGAACTGGAGTCAAAATGTGTGATATTCGCTATGCGCGGGCAATCATACCTCAGATTAGAGCTCGCGATCTGCTTTCGGAAAATCGTCAATGCTTCAACAGGCATTTGGAAAGACATTGATAAGAGCAAATCGTGTTTATGGTTTTATTCAGTCGGCGAATTAATTTCGGGGATTTAATCATGGCGCATTGTTGTCTTTATAGTTCGCGTGGGCGCGTTTGGAGCGGACATTCCTAACTGGGGTCGGGGTTCGGATTTCAGGGAAGCAGGCCCCATTAACGCAGCTCTTCGCCCCGGGAGGAAATACCGACATTCCTGTGTTCCTTTCTATACGTATGCTTCACTACAATGACCTGCTAGGATCGTGAGCTCTGCGGTCGCGTTGTATCACCAAACATTCCACTAGAGCTTGGCTTTCCCCCCCAGCCCTACACGCTAGACGCGTTATCATCACTTTAGACTCGGGAATTGAGACCTTGGAAGTTTCCACTCCTTTTATTTAATTTGAATGAACCTTGGAGCACTATGCACGAATATACAGTTACCAACTTCTCGAAGGTATGGTCTAACCTTGGAAGATCATCCGCGCACCTGAGTTGTTGGACAAAGGCTGAAGTCTCCCCACCATGTATATAACAAGACTCAACTCTGAACATGGCCACCTGGGCAGTGGACGAAAACATGTATAAAATAAGTTCCCCGATCGATCATCAGTTGACACTTGTATTCCCTATATCAAAATCTGTCTGTGACAAGTTCAAAGTCCTCGATGTCAAGGTTCGACAGGAACTGATCGTTTGAATAGCTGGGGAAATTGAGGTCAGGAAAATTGTCGAAAAACAAGTCAAAGTCCTCCAATTCAGAGGAACCAAAAGGACCGGCCGTTGTATCATTGGAATCGGAATGGTTGATTGATCCTAGATGGGTGTTGTTGAGATGGTGTGCACTCTCAGACACGGGTTCTGTTTCCCCCGATGCTTCCCCAACTTCGAAATTCGAGTGATACTGTGTGTTGGTACTCAACTCTAGTGAATTTTGCGACGTATGGCGCAATTCAGGCTGAGAGTTTGATCGGGTGATATCGATTTCATGATCTGTGGAACGTTCCTGATCTATGGTGGGCTGGAAGCTGTTCAACACACGCTTTCCAAGACGAGCCATCACAGCCGCCGACCACCACGTGGTACTTATTTTTTGAAGACATCGGTGAAAATGCCGAAGTTTGGATAGAGAGATATGGCGCACCGACGGTGACCTGGTGGTTCGTAGCTGTTTGTACGTAACCGAGAAGGCAATTGATACAGTGTAACCGATCATTGGCAGCGGAAAGTAGTCGCTGACATCCTGATTGCAACTGAGGGATGCAAGGGTCAATATCGAATGTTCTTGTCGGATGTTTGACATTTGGGACTGTAGACGCCCTTGCAGCCCTTTCGAATGGGTCGACAAAATTACAACAGAATGATAAACAAAATCAAGAGACACTATTGATTTCCAGGTTAGAAAGCACTGACAAGGGTGCAAGGCTTCATACCAAGTTGATCCGCGTCCATATCCCAAGCTTCACACTGTTCAACAAGCTCATCAAATGACGGAAGCTCAAGGTCTCCCTGGTCGGTATCTTTCGTCATCGGTCGGTAATGATGAATTGTCTCCCCCAGTTTATCGGCAATCTTCAGCCAGACTCGGAATGTAGACGGAAACGATGAAACAACATCATCCACCCCTTGGCCTCGGTCTCCGTCATGTATCATCAACGGTCTTCCGTGCATGGCAGCGTTCCATCGGTCCAGACTCCAAAGACACCAAAAAAGGGCCTTGGGAGACTTCAGGGGATGCTGATCGGGTCTCATTAGGTGTAACCCCAAAGTTTGTGCATGATGAATAGCCTGTGCTAAATTTAAGGAACAGTCTTCAGACCCTGTCGTTCCCCATTCATGAAGTGATAGCAATGCCAGAACTTGAATTGTGAGAATCTTTCTCTCAGAGCGCCTGGGAATGCTTTGCAGAAGATCATTATAGAGAACGCTGGTAAACCTTTCAAGACCAAGTGGTTCAGCATGGTGCCCAAGGCACAGAAAGGAGGCGGCAGCTGGATCTTTCGAGGCCACAAGACATATTGCTTGAACAAGGCAGATAGGTTGAGTATCTGCTTTGTATTGATTCCGCACCATTGTCTCATCGAGAATGGGTAACACTGGGTGAATCCGTCGAAAGTAAATGTCTAACAGAGCATCCTGGCTTCTCTTGGGGGGTAAGCGCTCGGAAGGTACGCCATCATCATGCTGGCTTGTCGGCCTTGCCTTGGGTAAAAGAGAGCGCGAAGGTTCTTCGCTCTGTTCAACGGAGTAGTCGTCTGGGCTCAACCACGCTCCCACATCTCCTTTTTGGCAATTACCTTTCTGCAGCCGTAAACCGTCATTTTCCAACAGCGTCGCCATCGGATTTGAATCGCACGCGAAGCGACGGGGCTCTTCTTCAGCCTCCGTAATTGATCTCCCATCTGAGTCATTGGGAGCTGCTATTTCAACTGTTGTATTTTGAAGCTGGACGCCACTTATTATTCCTCGAGGAGGAGATGCTGATCGACTCCGCGTGATTGGATCACGTTTGGATCTCTGTGATGGGGGGCTCTGGCCATCCGAGATGGCAGAGCTGCCCATTGAGCGGGTCGAAGTAGGTGAGTCCTCGTGGGCTTCATTATGGTAGCATCGTTTCTGGTGGAATTAGCTTGGGGCTCGTGCCATGGTAGGAAATTACTTGAAGGTCAACCGATATAGTACCTTTTTGTGGCGACAATAGTTGCACGCACGACGCGCTTGACTTCTCTTAATATTCGCGCCGCTTGATCCAACCAAAAAAGTCAGCTCCATGGTGAAGTTTCGAATTGATAATGTGGTGATCTTTGCGTCGAGTAGTGCGGGGATTATCCGTTTTGGGGGCGGAGCGAAATTACTCTCGCCCCGGTGCGGCGATTTTCCCGATTTGGATGGCCCGACGTCGGATAGAGGCTGGGCATTTGCCACACATCTCTACTTTCTTGGCCTGAGTTAGTTTTTGAATTTGCTTGGATGTTATGTTACTAAAGAGAATCTAGCATGTCTTCAGGGCGTCGGGCTGGTACAATGAAATCAAAATTCATTATAGTCGCGTTGATGTGATGATGAGCATGAAATTTCGGGAGCTTCGTACCCGAGTACTGAACGAGTAATGTAAATGCATATGAAGACATCCTCACTTGTAGAACTACCGATTACACATGGACATATCATACCACCGAAAACGAGAATGAGGGGGTGAGCGGGTAAAATGCCCAATGAGATTGACCAGGAGAAGACCATAGACAGGATGCTGGAGAGAATAAATGTGATCCAAGCCCTAGAAGTAGAGCGACCATAAAATTGAACATGGCACGCAAGATGTGCGAAAGGAGTGGTATAAACAGGCTGGGATGAGAGTTGAAAGGAGAGAAGAAGCATATTGCAATCGAATCAAATGGAAAAAATCAATCGCTCGCAGAATAGCAGTCCCACAAAAGTTCGCAAGTGTATGCAGAGATGATCGAATTATGAATGTATGAACGTGGTTGTGCAAAATGATGGATGTTGACGTGCGAGGAGGCGGGCGTCTCAATTGTAATTGGGACGTTCAACGAAAAAAATGCAAATGTGGGATCAGAAAATGACGAATCGCTTCTGTTTGGGTTTCTCATCTGAGATAGCAAGTCAGCGGTGTAAAATTGCAGATGCAAGGCCATTATAAACTTACTTTCGTCTTGACCTGGATTAGACGGTTGGTCCTTACGCTCGGTTTTTCTCAGCCGACCACCGGTTTTCGCAACTCCAGTGCGAGTAGCCATCACATGCTTCCCATCAGCTGCTGCGCGGATGGTAGCGATTCGATGCTTGGCGCGCTCATCGCCTTGGTCTGCTGCCTTGACATACCAAACATTTGACTCCAAAGGATCTCGGCGGCACCCAATGCCCATTTCAGTAAAGTAGCCAACTGCGTATTGTGCCTTTGCGAGACCAAGATTGGCAGCCTGGAGCGCCCACTCATAGGCCTCGTTCTCGTCCTTTTCCAAAACCGGCTCCGCTCCCACTAGGTACCAGGCGCAAAGGGCCATCATAGCGAGCGGATGGCCGTTTTGTGCGGCGGTAGTGTAGAAATGGATACTCAGGGCTGGATCACGCGGACAATTCAATCGTCCGTGCTCGTAAGCATCGCCAAGTCTGTAGGAGGCCTCAACATGACCCAGCTCTGCGGATTTAGTGAATAGTTGTGCAGCGTAAGTTTCATCCGGAAAGACGTCCTCTCCAAAACCCCTCTCGTGCATAACACCAAGCTCATATGGTCCAGAGTTGTACTGTGCATCTGCAGTTTCTGTCGCACGCTTCATCCACTTAACACCCTCGCGGTAACGCTTACCGAGTCCCATATCGCCAGCAATACAGGCCTTGGCCATACGCATCATGGCACCTGGGTGGTTCTTTGAAGCCGCCTGGCGGTAGAATTGAACCGCGCGGCTTCCATCAACGCGAGAGCCCCAGCCAAACTCGTAACACAAAGCTGTCCGGTAGCAAGCTTCGACGTGGCCGTGTTTACTAGCGGCAAGGAACAGCGGGAATGCACGGTCGTGGTCTTCGTGACCTTTGCTGAATAGTCCGGACGCATATCCGTCGGCAAGGTAGTACTGAGCGAATGGGTAGCTGCGGTCTGCGAGGCGTTGGAGGATAGATTTCGATTCACGAAGGAGCCGAGCTCTGGTGATCGGGCTTGCGTCTTCGAGGTCCACCGATGGCATCTCCCGCATCGAATTTATCATGAATACGGCGAATTCGTAGAGTACTGTTGCTTCGTCTGTTTTCTTGACATTTGCTAGGTACATTTCGAATGTTTCTTTATGACTGAGGAGAGACGCATTGTTGCCGACGGAGGCTTGCAGACGCGAGTTGTCAAATGTTGCTGCTGTCGGACCGGGTTGGGGGTATGATGTGTTAAGCAAGTCGAGGAAAGACGAGGAACGATTGTCGGGGGAAGCATTGGAGTGCCCGGACGGGGACCGGGCGTGCAAATACGGTGACGCAGAGAGGTTTCGTCGATGGCCTCCATTGTCAGAGTTGGCAGAGTGTACGGACAAAGGTCGCGAAAGCCGTGATCGCCGGGCCGCCAGCTTGTCCGTTGAACCAGGAGGCGTTTCCGGGGCGTTTATCACCGGCTTCGCCGACGATTTCGAACTCGAGTTCTGCTGGTGGTGGTAGGCGAGTGGCTCATAATTGTCCGCTGTTGGCACCACGCTATCCAAACTGCCCCTGGAAGAGCTGTTGTAGCTCTGACCCTCGCGCTCCAGGGAGGAGCCACTCTTGTTTGGATTTCCGTGGGCGTTATTCGTCTGCTGGGGTTCCAAAACTGACCACGAACCACTGCTGGCGGGAGTGTGCCCATACGGGTGCGATTGTGGGGCATGTGATGAGTCGCGGCGCGGGGGATGTGAGGGATTCCAGCTCTGCTGGGGCAGCTGCACGGGTTCATCTAGGGACATGTTGACGAACTCCGAGACTTCCAATTGTGGTGTGACGGGTCCATTGTAAGAATCCTCGACGCGAACCGAGGAGGGTTGAATGTCTGCGCCATAGTCGATCTTGACTGGGGAGCGCGGCGAGTTTTGAATAATCGGCGAGGTTTCGGAGTATGATGTATGAATTGGAACTGGTTTTCGGGCGAGATTCAAGCTCTGGGGGCGATCTGTGATGGTGCGCGGTGTTGACCCGTCCGAGGGTACTGGGGGAGTTGATCGGAGGTAAGCCGCCGGCGGTGTTGGCAGGGTCTGGCGGTAGACTGGGGCAGGGCTTGTCATGATGAGAAGGTGAGTACGGAGTACGGGGAATAACGAAAATCAAGGCGAAATCTCCTATCAAGCGGTCCTTATCGCATATAAGTCCGAAGATCCCAGCGAAAAAAGTGGTCCGTCAACAGAGTGGAGCTTGGAGAGAGAGCAGAACAGATCTACTCAGAAGCGAGGGGCAAAGAGTTTCCCAAGGGCCAAGTTCCCCCATTTCGTATTTTCCCCCACTCACTAGTTCCGGTCAAATAGAATATGAGAATGGTGTGAAAAGGTCAAATCGTCGAGTAAAAATACGGAGTACGTCGGTTTTTCCGTTACGCGCCCTAGATGGCTAGGCATCTATTCTTGCATCTCAAATGTCAAGACATAAGCATTCAAGAGACTTGCATCTGATCTGTTTCCTCGTATAACACTCTCCCAAAGTGCCTCTAACAGCGGCTGTGTCCATTGATCTCCATTGGTCTTGTCCCACAAGTCTGACGTCCCCACTCCAACAAAGGCCCCTTGGGCGAAACAGGGCTCCCATCCGAGACATTCTAAGAATAAGTCTGCTCGATGACCTGGCACGCATGTATTGCGAATTTTTCTTTCCTGTTCGCTTGGCACGTAATGGTAAAAACCAAAAAACACCAGATCAGTTCTCACAATGCGGAGGGATTATTAGTTCGTAGACCCCTGGTGGAGACAACTGGGGCATAACTTAAAGTGCAATTACTGCGGCCATTCCGCGTGCGTGGCAACTACAGCCTCTCATCTTGTATATCTGGAACTTTACAAGGTTACGGACAATATCATTAAATTCTCTGACGTCGAAAGGGCTCGAGCTAATCATCGATATTACCGTATATATCACTCCCAATCTAACAACCCCTTCCGCGCTATTTGAATGGTCTGATCCCCCAGCGAAATAAACAACCTTGGAGCCGCGATTGAGTTCGTACCTTGATTTGACGAGAGGGAACTCTCGCACGGCCCGTTTCGCTTCCATGGCGCTATTCATGGGCGAACTCCTTGCGCCGGCGCACGCGTTCAGGTAATGCAGTCAATCACACCGTCTGTATAGAGTAAGCTAAACACGCTACTGTCTACGGTGACCTTGCAATATTGGGAGAATTACATTGACGGATCCATCTGCATGGTTGAAAGTCTGAAGACCCCGAAGGTAAAATTCTGCTGTCCAGGTATACTTCGTACTAGGGGCTTAAATGATGGGTATAATGTGGTCTGATGTTGTGCAAATTGCGTCGAGAAATACGTCAGCATTTCAGCACCTGGACGAGAACCGAATAACGTGGCCCCGACAAATATAGCACACCGTAGGCTTCCTGATCGCTTCCAATGCTGAGGCTGATCCGCTAGCTCCGCTAAATTCCAGACAGATCCGTCCCAGATTGCTTCTTCGATTGGAGCGACAATAACGGAGCACGGAGTAGGGAAAGGGAAAGAATATTTTCGGATGTTTGTGATACGTTATACATTCTATTCAACGTTCTGGGTGGCTGGGTCAGTCTGGAGGCTTGGGCACTTGGGCAGTTGAGGAGCTTGTTTACCGCAGCGAGATATGATTCGGGAAGTCCATGGATAATGCATGTGCGCTCTGGTGATGTACTCCGTATACTCAGGTGGATTCTGGGGAGGGATGATCGCCCGGCAAGTGTCGATCACTTTGGTTGGTTTAAAAAGTCATGGCGAAGGCTGTTTCCTATGAAGGTTTATTCAGTTCCCTCGCAATAACCCAGGAATGGATCCATGGATGTGGTGAGATTCAAAGTATATCTTCCGTGGCTTTTTACTTTTGAACTATACATATATCAGATCGTCATCGCAACTCTTATGTCGGTCAGAATCACCAGGTAGCACAACCCTCACGCCACGTCTGAGTTAATGTCTTGTCCAGTATTCATGCATCGATGGTGCCCAGGTGAATGGTCCTCAAATGGTAGAATTAGCCTTGCGGCGACTTTCGTTCAATCGCAGCCACGGGGTGCTCGGTCCAGAGATCATATTAAAGATGCATCACAAACTTTTTGACTCGCGGACCCCTGTCAGGGGAGCTTCAAGCCAGTATTGAGTATTGAGGATACAATACTTCATAAAAGACCGGGGACGAGCGCGTGGCATTTAGAGCTATCTGAGTGGAGCCATGGAACAAAAGAGAGGCTAAGCCCGAAGAGGGCCCCACGAGAGCCCCGTGATCAAGTCCCTCGGCTCCTCTTCCCCTCTGCAACGTTGTTATTCGGCGTTCCATGGGTTTCGAGTCATTTTTCACTCATTTTTCATTCTTTTTGAGTCGGCTAGAGTCTCTAGTCTCTATTCCCTAGTCTCCTGATACCATTGAATTTTTACTCCGTAGTTCCATTTGGGTTAACCTGTTCCGTGGCAGGGGTAATTTATGATACCCCAAACATAAGACATTGCCCCTAGTTACCTGAGTGACCTCGCCCAGTTACGGTTGACATATTAATCAAAACAAGCTAACCTATCCAAGCCTTGAGGCAAGGCCTGGAGGCGCTAAAGTCCCGTGTACTCCGTACTTTGTTTAGTCTTGACCCTGACCCTTCCTTGTCTTGTATTCTCCAGAATCTGTGAAAAGGAGAAAAATCAAGATACACATCTTGATCTTGTGTTGTTCCACTGTCGATCCCTCATCTGAGATAGTGACGTTGGGTGGGACTTTGTTTATTCTCCACCCTCGAAACTCGTTGCACCGGCCGACCGGGACACTTTTGCTGCATCTCATCTTCAGATCAACCTACGCTAATTGCTGGTCAATCGAGCAAGGTAGATACCGGAGACATACGGCATCGAAGGGTTTTTTTTCTTGCATAGATTCCTAGAATCGCATGGTGGCATTGTTCGGGACCGCGCATTTGACATGTTTCAGTCAGCAATCGGCAGCTCGAGACTCTGAATATATCCACCCCAACCTGTGGATGAGTGGTCATCTTTGAACCGTAAGTGCGCCTGTGGTGAGAATTCAATTCAATTTCCGGAAAAAAAAAAACATGGCGCGGTGATGGTTGACCTCGTATCGCTTATCACTAGTCAGAATATGTCTTTACCTCAAAGACCTGGCAAAGCCTCACCCCGTCGAGAGGAAGCCCGCGCATTTCGTGAACCCTCCCGCCGTCGCCGACGAGATACCGACTCGGGAGCCTACAGTGACGACCCCACTTCTCCTTCACACCGGCACCGTCGCCGACACTCTCACAGCCACCGAAGAGGAATGGATACCGACGAAGAGCGCATGGAGCGGGGCGGCGAGGTGCGACGAAAAAAGAGCATGGTCAAACCGGAGCGCCGACGAGAAGACCGCGACCATCCAAATTACCACTACCGCCAACGGTCGCATCAAATGTCAACATTCCCATCAAACACAGGAAATGATCCGCTTTTGGACCACCGAGATGGCGAAGCGGAGACAAATAGCTCGCGCAGCGTAGAATCAAAGAAGGACGGGCTTTATGGCGCGCGAGGAAATGTCAATAAGCCGATGGAGCGGGTACCCAGCAGGCATCGCTCCAAGAAGAAGAAGAGAGGATCGCGACGATCGTCAAAAGGTGCTTCTGCGGATGAGAAACGGCGACAGAAGGCGATTGAGCAGAGTGGTCCACCCGAGCTATGGCCTACCTATTGCGCAGTGCTCACATTCTTCATCCCGGACTTTGTTCTGAAGTGTTTCGGCATGCCACAGAAGGAGCAGCGCACTGCCTGGCGAGAGAAGATTGGCCTGATCAGTATCATTCTCATGATAGCCGCCTTCGTCGGTTTCCTGACCTTTGGTTTCACTGCCACTGTCTGTGGGTCTCCTCCAGTTCGTCTGAAGGTCAACAAAGTCAACTCCAACTATATGATCTTCCATGGAAAGGCGTACGATCTGTCTGGATCAACCCATCCCGCTGTGGAGGGCATTCCCGCGGGCACCAACGTGCTCTACGATCTGCCACACAAATACGGTGGCCAAGATGGCAGTTTCTTCTTCCAGCAGGTCAACGGTGCTTGCAAAGGATTGATCACCGCAAAGTCAGGCGGAGATATCCCCACCAACTCCGATGGGGATTTGGGATGGTATTTCCCATGCGCCCCATTCAACCAAGACGGTTCATCCAAGCCGAATTTGACGGTCGATAACTACGTGGGTTGGGCCTGCCATACCAGCAAATCAGCGCGCAATCCATTTTACACACTTTCCAGCGACGGAGATGTTTACTACACCTGGGAAGATACCAAGAACAAGAGCCGAAACCTCGCCGTGTACTCGGGCAACGTGCTCGACCTCGACCTACTCGCTTGGTTCGACACCACCCAGGTCTCGTATCCGTCCCAATTTGACCAGCTTCGCACAAACCCCGATGTTCGCGGCGTTGATCTCACCTACTATCTTCAAAGCGGAGCTGACAAGAAGCTCGGAAAATGTCTCACGCAGATTATTAAGGTGGGCAGTATTGACACCGACACGGTCGGTTGCATCGCGTCCAAGGTTGTGCTTTACGTCTCTCTGATCTTTATTCTCTCGATTGTGGTCGTCAAATTCGCCTTCGCTCTGCTATTCCAATGGTTCTTGGCCCCAAGGTTTGCCGCGCAGACTACAAGTATGGCCTCTGACGCCAGGACCCGTAACCAGCAGATTGAAGACTGGTCCAACGATATCTATCGACCTGCTCCTCGAATTACCGACCCAGTTTCTTCCGATCGTATGAGCAAACGCGCCAGCTTTTTGCCCACCACGTCTCGATTCTCTAGCCCCTACAATGTCAGCAGCAGCAGCGGTAGCAAGCAGAGGCCTATCTACGTCACCATGGCGAGCCAGAACTCTACTTCACGACTGATGCCAAGCTCGAACCCCGGAACGATGTACAAATTGAGTCACAATGGCAGTGGAGGGACGCTGAGTGCTGAAAATTCTCGCAATAACCATGCCGCCAGTCGGACGAGTCTACATCCCCCAGGACAAGACCCCGGCTATGCGACCCTCTCGACCGACCACGAAGGCCCTGGACCTGCTGGTTTCATCCACGAGGCTGTCGTACCCCAACCACCTCCTGAATGGCAGCCATTTGGCTACCCTCTTGCACACTCCCTCTGCCTGGTCACTTGCTACTCCGAGGGTGAAGAGGGTATTCGATCGACTTTGGATTCCCTTGCCACAACAGACTATCCAAACAGCCACAAGACGATTCTTGTCATCTGTGACGGTATCATCAAGGGTAAAGGAGAAGAGTTTTCGACACCGGATATTGTACTCGGCATGATGAAAGATCCTTTCGTCCCCATGGACGAGGTTCAGCCTTATTCCTACGTGGCTGTGGCCACTGGATCTAAGCGACACAACATGGCCAAGGTTTACACAGGATTCTACGACTACGGCGACACCTCCATCATTCCCACCGAAAAACAACAGCGTGTTCCCATGATGGTTGTTGTCAAGTGTGGCACTCCCCAGGAATCCACCCAATCGAAGCCCGGTAACAGAGGCAAGCGCGACAGTCAAATCATCCTAATGTCGTTCCTCCAGAAGGTCATGTTCGACGAACGTATGACAGAGCTCGAATTCGAGATGTTCAATGGCATGTGGAACGTCACTGGCATACCACCAGACTTCTATGAGGTCGTTTTGATGGTCGACGCCGATACCAAAGTCTTCCCTGACAGTCTAACCCACATGGTCTCGGCTATGGTGAAGGATCCCGAGATTATGGGTCTTTGCGGCGAGACCAAGATTGCCAACAAAACCGACAGTTGGGTAACCATGATCCAAGTTTTCGAGTAAGCCTAATCCCCCTGTGTAACCATTCCACCCCACTTATCAGAAGCAGGTACTTCATCTCCCATCATCAAGCGAAATCGTTTGAGTCTATCTTCGGTGGTGTGACCTGTCTTCCGGGATGCTTCACCATGTACCGCATCAAGGCCCCGAAGGGTGGCCAGAATTACTGGGTGCCCATCCTTGCCAACCCGGACATCGTCGAACACTACTCGGAGAACGTGGTTGATACGCTGCACAAGAAGAATTTGCTTCTGCTCGGCGAGGATCGATACCTCACCACCCTCATGCTCAAGACCTTCCCCAAGCGCAAGCAGATCTTCGTCCCGCAGGCCGTCTGCAAGACTGTGGTCCCCGACGCTTTCATGGTCCTACTCTCCCAACGCCGCCGCTGGATCAACAGTACCGTACACAATCTCTTCGAACTGGTCCTCGTCCGCGATCTGTGCGGCACATTCTGCTTCAGTATGCAATTCGTCATCTTCATCGAACTCGTCGGAACACTGGTCCTCCCTGCCGCTATCTCCTTCACCATTTACGTCGTCATCTCCTCTATTGTCAACCGGCCCGTCCAGGTCATCCCGCTTGTCCTCCTCGCTCTGATCCTCGGTCTTCCCGGTGTCTTGATTGTCGTCACCGCGCACAGACTGGTCTATGTCCTCTGGATGCTGATCTACCTCATTTCACTCCCTATCTGGAACTTCGTCTTGCCAACCTATGCGTTCTGGAAATTCGACGATTTCAGCTGGGGTGATACCCGTAAGACAGCGGGCGAGAAGGATAAAGGTCACGGTGATGCGGAGGGCGAGTTCGATAGTACCAAGATCACGATGAAGAGGTGGCGAGATTTCGAAAAAGGTAAAGCTTCCGCGCTCAAACCCCCTCCATCGGATTTGTTCTAACGTGTTTCCAGAACGCCGCTTGCGCACAACGTGGGCGCAGCAGCCTCATCCTTCTGATTATCCATCGCACTACGAGCCTTACTCGCATTATTAACGAAAGTGAACGCAATCTAGCGCTGATTCATCTTGTTTCTCTTTTGATTTCTTGTCCTTTTATTCAACCTGGGCCCTACTTCATATGGACGCATCTCATTTCGATGTGATTTATTCTCCCATTTACATAACGGCGTTCAGTCATCATAATACAGCACGGAGTGGGCTTGACAGCGTTGCACGACTCACGAGGGATTATGCTTATGAGTGCTGTTTCTTCTTCTCTTTTTTCCGCGAGCTTTTCGCAGCTCTTTTTTAATGGGCATTATCGGATTTGTTGATTATTTTCCTTTGGTCCGACTGTGCTGAGGACGCATGTAGATAATGAATATGTGAAACATAAGCATGAACGACTATAAGCGTAACCGGAATAAGCGAAGATATATGCAGCACGAATTCCAAGGTTCACATGTTGAGTAGGCCCCCCTTGTTGCTGATTCGGGCTCTTCAGCCCAATACAAGATCAAAGCGCAGGTCACCGGGCTTGACCGGGTTGGATCTGCAATGCGTCCCTCCCTGCATTATTATTTACATATGCGAGGTTGAATCTATAGATCAGTTAGAATGACGAAAGTAGTTGAGAGTATACTCCGTCCTCCCGGGGGCTATGCTCATTGATAGATCACCGTGGACCCGCTGACTAAAGACAAAAGTCCCCGGCACGATTTCCCCCTCGTTCTGATGTGATTCGGTCTGAATATCCTCAACTTTGACATCCTGGCATCCTGGCATCCTGGCATCCTGACAGGCATCAGGATCTTTGCACTGCATTTCTTTGGCATCTTTGCTCTGGATCGGTGGATTGAAGTGTCGCCTGCAGTCCCCTTTCACTGCTTATGGGCCTCGTTGCTTATAGTGACGTTCTCCACGTTCTCACCCGCCACGTTCTGGGAAGACTAATCCCTTCCACTTCGGTCATTCCTTGCGTCCGACCATTTATTTCCCAGGCGCGGAAAACTGTACCGCGCATTGATCGCTTGATGGTCATGCTCTTTAGGACTAACGATCAGCCCGCATTCTCGTTCATCTAACGTCTTCTCTATTCCGTACATCTTAATCTTTACCTCCCCCTCACCCCCCTTCGATCGCGTTTCCCGGCCCTATCGCGGTTGACTCGGCATTGCTGTTTCGCCCGCGTCCCGCATACCTCTCAGCGGGCACCGAGTACGCCACCTCTGCAGTGTGGTTAGCACCCCCACACTGGCGAGTCAGCAGTCAGCTGCGAGGCGACCGAAGACCTGCCCGAAAACCAGTTGCCAGGATTGGTGGTTTCCGATAATAACCTTGGAAGTTGAAGCACGGTCGCCCCGCTGCCTCACTGGACCGTTCCTCACCGTTGTACCACCAACTGCTGTCCGCCATCCCTGCCATCCACCCTTTTGGGACGTGATCATCCGTCCACTCGCTGCACGGTGCCTGGAGCGGAATCTCAGAACCGAAACAATTACTTTGGGTCTTACGACTTCGGACTGATCCTTTTCTAGCTCGGCTCGACTTTTCATGGCGGACGATGCTTCATTTCAGTAACTGTCACTCTGCCTCAAATAGTTCGTCCGACCTCGCTGCCCACTGTCGAGATCGCCCATCGTCGCGCCATGTGGCTTATGATATCAGCCCTGCGTCAGGTCCACCGCGAGTCATGAACCCTCCTCCCTCCTCTATGGACAGATCATCCGCCCGGGAAGACGATGCGTCGACCCTAAATTCGACCCCACGTTCGGATATTTTTTCCAGCGACGACCGCTCGACTCCAGCTTCAACCGGTATGGCTTCCGATGTCGATCGCCATTTACATGATGTTGGCGTTGCAGCGCTTGCTGCTGTGTCACAGTACCCACATGCTGTGAACGATCACAGTGGTTCCTTTCTTGTGTCGGAGATTGTCAACGCCGTGACGAGCGCTGGCAGTCCGCCCGACCACCGGCTTTTAGACTCAGTGAGCTCTTTGCTACCGGGTCGAGGTTATACCAACACGCAATCTGGATCTCAATCACTGGCTGGACCGGTTTTTGCTTTTGGTCACGGGTCACTTTCGGGTGGCGACCTGAATATTGATGGCATGGTTCAAAGTTCGCTTCATCGCACCGCCGGTCGGCAGGGGATCGTGATTGAAAAGGACAGTGATATGTATTATCACAAGGATATGGCCATGGAATTCGAGTCTACGACCATGCAGCAGCCTTCATCTCCCTCGTCGGAATCAGATGATGAGTTCGAAGATTTTATCCGATTCTACCCGGATGAGGAAGAGCATCACAACTTGCGCAAGCAATACCCGACACAGCCTGATGCTGAGATGGCAGACTTTGATTTGGATGACTTCTATAAGACCATCAACTACGAGGATATTGATATTGATCTACCTCAACCACTCGGGGTTGCTGTTTCCGATCCTATGGAGACTCACGCCGCCGAGCAACCTGAACCTGGCCCACATCCAGCAACCATCATACACACTTCAAGTAAGATACTCGTCCAGCATAAAGCGACATTTGACTAATATTTCCCAGCTTATGAAAGAAACCTTACCGTTGATGAATTCATCCAACGCTGGATGGTTCAAACAAATGTCATTCCTCGCGGATTCCACTCCGAGAGTCGAATTCCACCACAGCTTCGCCCGTTATCAAAGATGATCAGCTGGGATCCCCCTCGGGAGACTCTCCGCCCCCACGGGTGGAGACGGGAATTCTATGATCTCCAGCAAATCCCGTGGACAGAAACTCTACGAGTCAAGCGATCCGATGCGAGGGCGATGCGCGACAGCTGGTACACCTCGTACCACAACTTGGATTACTCGCATCTCAGTCACGCGAAGCGTCTTCCGCTGAGTGAAACCGCTTTCCGAGAAGGTTCCATGCACACTTCGCACAAGGCTTCTATTGAACACTTCCAGCTTCGCAATCTGATGTCGGCTCCTGCTTACAACACCGTCCACTTTGCCTCACGCTCAAAGGTGCTCTCGTGGACTCCGTCTACCGGGGATGCACGCTGTCTCATTGATCTTAGTCAACCTGATCCGGACTCGGGCTTCTTGGGTCCAGTCAAAATCTCCACCATGAAGACAGCCCATGGCCTTACAATCGCAGGCGGCTTCTGCGGGGAATACGCCTTACACAGCTCAAGAGGCGGCGCTGGCATCAAGGGCCTTGTAACCCCCGACTTTAATGACGGCATCACAAACCATGTCGACGTTGTTCCGAGCCGCACTGGTCCTTCCCCATTGGGCATTTTCGCCTCCAACGATAAACACCTCCGCATTCTTGATACAGAGACAAACGTCTTCCTGTCCGACCAAGAACTATCCCAACCGATAAACTGCACCGCCACATCCCCTGATTCCCGTCTTCGTGTAGTCATCGGTGATTCACCAGACGCATGGGTCATTGAATCCGAGACTGGTCGACCCGTGCACCCCCTTCGCGGTCATCGTGACTTTGGTTTCGCCTGCGCTTGGTCCCCAGATATGCGCCACATCGCAACCTCAAACCAAGACAAAACCGTGATTATTTGGGACGCGCGCACCTGGCGGCCCCTTGAAACAATCGACTCCGACGTCGCAGGTTATCGTTCCCTGCGCTTCTCTCCTGTCGGTGGCGGCCCGCGAACACTACTCTGCACAGAGCCCGCGGACCGTATCTCCATCGTCGACGCCCAGCTTTTCCGCTCGCGCCAGGTCCATGACTTCTTTGGTGAAGTCGGCGGAGCTGATTATTCCCCTTGTGGTAGCGACATCTGGGTCGCTAACACTGATCGACATTTTGGTGGCTTCATGCAATATCAGCGTCGGCAGTGGGGCCAGCGCGTTGGACTGACGGACCTTCCGAATGAGTGGTCCTTGGAGGATGATCTGGAGGATGATTCCAGGTGCCTCCTGAGTGCGAAGGAGCGACGCTTGCGATTCCTGAGGAATTTATCGGATGAGGAACATGATTCGTTGATCCTCTAGCTTGTTCGGCGTGCTTTTTCTTTCTTGTTTCCAGGATATTTGTTTCGTTCCCTCCTTTTTTCCCCGCTTGGCTTCAGTCTTCTTATTTTTTTATACTTTTGGGTTGGTATTCTTTGCGCATTTCCATTTGCATCTGATACCCTGGGCTTTGGCGTTGGTGGCTTTTTTACATGTATCTATCGTTCTTCGCAAGTATTGAATATGGATCTTTATTTGAAGCAGTCTCATTCCGTTCAGCAAATCGCATTGCCTGGATGTGGCGCTGGGGCCCAGACATACCCCTGATAGGTAACCATGGAAGTTATCAAGGAGTCTTCCAAGGTTCTCAAAACCACGAGGAAGACATAAATTCCAAGGCTACGAGGTTATCTGGGAGTGGCCACATCCAAGTAGGTCTCCCAAGGTTCGGGGTGGTCTCGCACAGTCGACCCACATTTTCTTCCTGGTTCGGCACTAGAACCGAAGCCCCTAGGCTGCTTCAATGAAGCTTGAAATTTTTTGGATCTGGGACCCGTAAAACTCAAGTTCCTGAGTAGTACTCCTTGTACTAGTAATAACTAGCCTCCCTACGGAGCACTCTCCCAAAATCTGCGGCACAAGCGCAACCAAACCCAGCAGATCCACATAAGCACCTTTTATAGGGGCGCTAGCTCTCTCCTGGATCTACCATCGCGCCTGGCTCCAAATTTGTACTTTCGACCTGAGAAAGCAGGGTTCTCCTTGTCATTTTCTCCCGACGGCACTCTCAATCCAATCTGAAATGGATAATGGGGCACCTTCATATGCTACAAGCAGGTCTCGACGGTCACACCGAAAGTCTCGTCTAGGATGTGGCAATTGCAAGACGCGCCGGGTCAAGGTAAGCCATTATCATATTCTGCCGGCTTGGTATTGATCGAGTACAGTGTGATGAAACCGAGCCTGTTTGCAACAATTGTTTACGCCACTCAATAGAATGCGATTATGGCCAACCACCAAGTCGCTCGATCGGCTCTGTCTCCAACCCAAAGAGTGATCAACGCCTGAAGTCTCAACGAAAGCAGACGACAGATTTGCTTTCATATCCTCGTCACAGTCAGAGTTCGCCGTACCCAAGCGAGCACGGCGTGAGACTGCCCTCAAAAAAACAAAACCTCTTCCTCCTACAGACACGGAGACAGCCGTGGCGCCAAGACCATTCCAATTCTCCGTCACTGACATGGCCCTATTTCATAATTGTTTCTCAGCAGACGATTTGAAACACCATATGCCAGATGAACTCGTGCGGCTCGGATTCTCGGTTCATTATGTGCTACGCTTGCTCCTAGCAGTTTCGGGGTTTCACATGAAAAGAAAACCCTCTCGAAGTAATATCAACATACATCAGTTTTCAGAGCCGGATGTGGATTTCGGCGCTGAAGCGGAACGCCATTTGAGAATCGCAATCCAAGAAGTCGCAACCACAACACCTCAACTAAATCAGGCAAACAGTCACTCGCTGTATATCGCTTCGATTTATATATTCATCTGTTCCCTCGCGAGGGGACCACAACGCGGAGAGTATTTGGCATTTCGAGATGATGGGGACATGCCATCTCTGCAGCTTTTCCTTGGTGTTCGGTCCATTTTGGAGGCCGCCAACAGACTTGGAACGTCCGAAGGGATCTCCCAACTACACTCCAGTCCGAGCCAAGATAGCCCCTTGGAAACAGAGGCAGGATCAGAAAGTACCACTATAAGTCCTTCTTATGGGTTCAACCATCATAATTTCCAAGAGTCTTACTCATATTGGCAACCATTGAACGATCTACAGTCACTCATGAATAACACGTTCGAACAAAGCGATCCTTGCTATTCGACATACCAAGGTGTATTCAAATCACTTTGCTCAACTTACGATGCTATAATGGGGGTCAACGCTGCCCTCGGCCCGGATCTTTGGCCTCAAATTTTCGGCTGGCTTTATGGACTGCCGGATATTTTGGTGCATGATATGCAAAGGAAACACCCTGTTGCACTTTTGCTGATCTCTTTTTTCTCTGTTCTTTTGAACGAACTTGACTCGGTCTGGTTCATTACAGGTTGGCCGCGTCATATTGTTTGTGGAGTGTCGGATAATTTAGACGACTACCATCGCAAGTTTCTTACTTGGCCTTTACACAAACTCGGGCTTGTATAACGTCTTGCAAGTTTTTCAAGGTTGTTTAATTTTGACTGTTCTATCAGATTACTTAAGTAATATCCGGGACATCAAAAAAAGAAAGAAAGAACCTTGGAATGATGTTCGATAAGACAAGTAAGAATAAGACCAACAGCAACTGCGGCAATGATGAACAAAAGAATAGATAGAACAAGACGAAGAAGAACTTCCATGGTTTGGGACGAGGAAGAGGACAACACGAAGTGTGTTGATCATAACCTCGGAAGTTGAGTGACTCTCACATCCACCCGTGGACATATATTCCAAGGGTCGGTGCTCAGTATCGGGCGTAAGAACTCCGACCCGGTGAGTTCAACCTTGGAAGTGAATCCTCTCTAAGGTTTCACTGAGACAACTTGGCATGCAACAATGGCTTCATTGTCGCATTGCAAGAGCAAGAGAAGCTACTGGCTTCAGACACATTGCCGCCATTGTATACTTGCTTCGCTGGGTATGGACAGAGAATTCTTGACTGTTCAACGCCATCTGTGCCGTTGAATTTGACAGGCAATTTATCAGGGACAGTGCCATCTTCCACCCAGCTCCGGAGCGCATCAAAAGTGGTAAGAGGCTGTCCGCCAATTCCCCCAGAACAATGACCAAGACCAGGAGCCTCAAAGTATCGATAGAAGCTCTGAATATCAGGCACAACCTCGTTAACTGCGCGATAATAGTGCTCTGAGCTCTTGGTTGGGATGGACTCGTCGGCCTATTGAATGATTAGAAACGTTTGCGGGAAATTTGAGGTTTAATGTTAAGGTCAACACGAACCATTCCATGGTAAGAAATGAGTTTTCCACCAGCGTTCTTGAACTCCGTAAGATCCGGGTCATCAGCGTTTAGCAGACCAGCATATTCTTGAACAGCATGGTGGAAAAGCACATCGTATTCCTCGTGGCTTGCATTCAGTATGTCGAAGTCCTTGTTCTTTGCCACGAACAATCGGAACCAAAGATCTTGGCCTGTCGTATTTGTTCCTGGCACGGCACCAAACGAGCTGATGTCTGCACCCCGATTGTATCCGTACCAGAGGGGGTTGCCTTTAGAAGTCCGAGGCCCCGACCAAGCTGCATTAGCGACCAGAGCTGCGCTCCTGCTAACATGCATCGTTTTGCGAGTGGATTCGCAATAAAAGGTTTTGTTGACGACAGAGTGGGCGCTGAAATCACACTGATTTGGGTCGGAAATTATTCCATCCACAACACCATCTTTGGCATCACATTTTTTGATGGCTTCCGATGTAATAAAGTCAAGTTCGCAAGCTAGAGGTGTACTCGAGTTCGCCCATCCTTCAATCAAAAGTGGATAGTAGACGGAAGAGGCAAGCTGGGTCCAGGACAATGCTGGAGCAGAGGCGGCAATACCATCATATGCAGTTGGATATCTCTGAGCAAGCATGAGCCCCTGTCTCCCACCTTGAGAGCACCCACTCCAGTATGAGTACTTGGGGTTCTGACCGTAAAAGCTTTTGGCAAGACTTTTCCCGATGATCGCTTGATCGTTCAAGGAAACATAGCCGAGGTTCTGAACATCATAGAGATTGACGTTGCCGGGACTTACCAAAGCCCATGGCTCTGGGGAACCAGCGTCACCCAGTCCAGCATCCGTTGTTGTCGTAGCGTATCCCTCTGCAATAGCCCCAGACATGAAGAATTCCGACAAGACGAAGCGACCAGCTGACCAGCCCCCGCCTCCTGTTGCTTGGAGTCGATGATTCCATTTCTGAGGTAGCCACGTCTCCACGGTAATCAAGTCATCATGTCCCGGGTGGGTGTATTGGACGGTGATGTTGCAAAATTCGGCATTTTGAAGGGCAGCGTTGCCGTGGTTGTAATTAAATGCCGAGGGGACATAGGTTGTATAGTTGGTAACCCATGACGCAGAGAGCGAAAGTATCTCTGCACCGAATACCACCGGCTATGTGATGTTGACAGGCGAGCAGGACATGCTATGGGCTTCCAACATCATTTTGACCAAGAAATAAATGGGTCGCAGGGAGATGGAAAGAATAAATCAGAAATCAAACCGTCCTCTCTAGAAGTGGCTCACTGTGCCTTTTATGGTGGCACTTGCATGTTTGACAATTTATTTTAATCGATTCTTGTTCGCGTGTAGATTAATTCAATCCAAGGAGTACGAACTGCCTGTTTCGGAAAAGCCCAGAAAAGACATCACTTGGAGCGCCGGTTTTCCCCCCATTCATTGCCACTCATACCCACATCGCCCACGCATGTTGGAGTCCAATAAAGCCAGACCGGTATAGCTCTTCTACCAAGCCGCAAGGAAAAGCCATCCTCCCGTTTTCCCAGGGTTTTTCCCCCAATGAAAGTGATTTAGTTTCGGAGCCCAGTCATAAGACCCAGAGACTAGTTGAGAAACCATGACTTTCTCATATTCTAGGCCACGGTATCCCTCATAAACTTTTGGAGATCTACACACCGTAGCCAGATTGAGGAGATTCGTTTCATTCTATTTGCCCGAGGCCTAATTTTACAGTAGAGAATTCTTCAAAGAATCTCCACCTACTTGTTGTCGGAGGGTCTAGTTTGTAGCTTGTTTCCAAGTAGCGTGCCACAGACCCACTTTATCCGTTTCTCGTGGTCATTGTCTCCACAATGCTCTCTCATCATTGGCTGCCATCCGCAAAACGAACGCGAACTTCCCAATCGGGTCAAAAATGTTGATCAGCAGTATGAAATTTGGTTTCCTCTAGTATTGCTAAGAAAGCCCTACTATGCCGTTGTCTGCGACTATAAGACCATGGGAGCTTCCCCATGACACCCGGAAAAGAACAAAAAACCACAACCTTTCAAATATCGTTGTCGCCTAGACTCTACAATTGCCACCGAAACAGATTGTCACGATGGGAGATACTTCACAGAAGGCTTATCGTGCCTGGCCAGCCGACCCACCACCATATTCTGTAGACGAGAGTCACATTTCAGAGAATCGAGAATGGAACCATTCCTTGTTCGCTTGTTGTTCCCCCGGCACACTCTGTCAGTATACCTAGACACCGACTTTACGGGCAGGACAAGGACTTTGATCTAACCCATCTACTCCAGGTTTATCAAGCTGTTTTCTGCCATGCCTAGCATATGGAAAAACACAAAGCAGAGTCAACGACCCCAGCCTGCAAAACTTTAGTTACGTGAACGGCTCTGTGCGACTTCTCCAGTGATCTATCCAAATCCCAGTCAGTGCTAATCGAAACTTTTATTTAGTGTGCAATTTGGACTTTACTCAGCTTAGGTGCCTCACACTGGATCATGCAAACAATTACCCGAGGCGAGATGAGGCAGCAACATGGGATTGAGGGCTCCTGTTGCGGTGATTGCTGTGTGTCATTCTGGTGTGGCTGTTGTGCCCTAGTTCAAGAAGAGAAGGAAATGGAACTGCGCACGCGACCTTCTCTGGTTGGCTACCAGAAGACCAATGGTATGTCTATGCCATGATGCGTTCTATGTCAGAGGGCTCTTCTGATAAAAGTGGTCACATCTGCTTTTCTGACATCGAGGGCTTGCTTTTGCTTTTTGGTTGTTACGTTTCTGCGCCACGGAAGAAATTCCAAGGGCATACTATCATTAATTCTTTTCTTATGTATTCATCCCATTTTTTAAATACGTCTCAGGCTTCAAAGGGGCTTTTTTTTTTTTTTTTTTTTTCAAACGTTAGTTGGCAATTGTACTCAATATCCTGTGTTTCTAATTCAGGTCTGTTCCAGATCTTCTTAATCTCGATTAATTCTTCGCTGTGTGATCCAGAAAGACATTTATAATTAGGTCGTGACTAGGATTTACTTGGCAAGTTTGAATTGCGCCATTTTGCTTATTGTGGATCATGTTGCAAACCAGACAAACCACTGATTATCCAAGCTGAGCCAATCGCTCGAGCGACGGAATTAGAGCCGCTGTTTGCACGGTTCCAGGGCTGATCGTATTAGTATTTAGTATGAGCCCAAAAATTCTGGTATCCTGAGAAATGAATCAAGTGTTCAAGGATTCCGCAAGGCTTCTCTCGCGTCATCTTTTCAATTAATGTGCATTCGCTCTGGGTAGAGGCAATCACAGCTATGTCAAAAATGGTGTCGGAAATACTGCTCCCTTCTACTCGACTTAACAATGTTCTTCGATACCTCCTAAAGCATCAGCCTCCAGGACATTCTTCATGCCATTTTGGACACCATCAGAACCTTGAATGGGTCCTAGAGTCAGATACATGGTCTCAGCTCGGGTATTTGCATCAAATGCTATGCCCACGGCCCGCAATCCCAAGACTACCACCCGACATCCTTGCCGATGTCGAAACGCTAATTGGATACCGAAACAGTCACAATTTGTTGACATCTACGACATCAATTGCCCCCAGCGTGGTTCTTCAACAGTCTGCGGAGCACAATCCTCTGAGACTTTCATGTTGGAAGGGCGATATAACAACATTGACCCACGTCACAGCAATTGTCAATGCAGCCAATGCCCAACTCGAAGGCTGCTTCCGCCCTGAGCACCGCTGCATCGATAATGTCATTCACTCGGCTGCTGGGCCACGTCTTCGAGATTCATGCCATTCCTTGATAGAAGCTCAAGGCTACGTGGAGCCAGTGGGCTCCGCCAAAGTTACACCAGGATTCCTACTTCCAGCTCCGTGGGTACTGCATACTGTTGGTCCACAGCTGAACCCTGGACAAAAGCCCCAGCTACATCATAAAGCTCAATTGGCATCTTGCTACGCCTCGTGTCTGGATGCGGCAGAGTCGTTGCCTGCTCTGGAAGATGGTAGCAAGGTTGTCGCTTTCTGCTGTATATCAACGGGACTCTTTGCCTTCCCATCCGAGCTTGCAGCAGAAATTGCTGTGGATACAGTTGTGTCCTGGCATAAGGAACACCCCGATACAAGCATCACTGAAATTGTTTTCAACACTTTCCTTGACAAAGATTGGACATTGTATCAAGAAAAACTGACCCGGCTACGAAATTCGACACCCGAGATCTCAAACCTCAGCATTCATTCATCACCTCGGCTATCGCAGTCATTGCATTCATCCAAGTCATGCCAAACATTGGTCCAGATTCCAAATGATGCCCTGACAAAGGCACGCACTTGGATCAACGAAGCATCCAATTTGATTATCTCAGCTGGTGCTGGTCTCTCCGCTTCAACAGGTCTCGACTACACTTCTACTGCTCTGTTTGACAAGCACTTCCATGCATTCACTGCGAAGGGCTTGCGCAGGTTATATGATGTTTTTGGATACAACGACTGGGACAGCCCGGGGCAAAAATGGGGCTATTATTTCCTTCATTTGGACATTGTGCGCTCCTGGCCCGCGTCGCCAGTTTATGATGCCCTTCGCGGGCTGGCTGATCGGTTTGAATCCAAGTATTTCGTCCGCACCACGAATGCAGATGGCTTCTTTTTGAAGAATGGCTTCGATGCGAATTTCATATCCACTCCACAGGGGCAGTATCGTCTCCTACAATGCTACAACAAATGTCGCACCGATGCTGTGTTTCCTTCCGATCCTTTGGTCAATGCTGCGCTGCCTTCCATTGATCCTGTTACTCAGGTTTTGACCGACCCAACAAAGATCCCGCACTGTCTCTTTTGTGGTGGTGAGGTCACAATTTGTGTGCGCGGTGGCAACTACTTTAATGATGAGCCTTTCCGGGAACAGAATTTGAAGTGGGATAGGTTCTTGAGGGGCCTGAATGGAGAGCAGGAAGGGCAGAAGGCTGGATCAGCGAAGACCGTTATACTTGAATTAGGTGTTGGGTTGAACACGCCGGGAGTGCTGCGGTGGCCGAATGAAGACTTGGTGATCGAGTCGGAGAATCAAGACTTCCGACTCATTCGTATTGGGATCGGAGCTTCGGGGTGTGTTCCTTGGGAGCTGGAGGAAGAAAACTTGGCCGTTGGAGTCTCAGCCGATGTCAAGACGGCGTTGGATTTGCTAACATCTTGATTTGGACGCCTAGGTAGACAAACTAGGAAGTATTATAGAGCAAACTGTTGATGTAATTTACCGAAGATATAGTGACTTCACAACCTTGGAAAAAGCTCGATATTCTTCATGATAACGCAAAGCACACATTGTCTCCTAGTGTCCCTTCAAGTCCTGCCCCACATTGGATGTCACCCTGTCAAGTTTGCATAGTTTGCATAGAATTAGTGGCCTTAGATGGAAAGAGCGAAAATACTTGGCGTGATTTACAAAGGCAAGATCATCACTTCCTACAAAGTACTCCGTAAGCTTGTCGGACTTGCGGTGAGTAGAATAGGAGGTGACATGGGATCTGGCAGTTTTTCGAGCCACGTTGTCAAAGTTGCGAACCTATCGGGCTTGGCTGTGGGGAGCGGTAGCTAAGAGCAGCTGACAGACTGTTGCCGAGTTGGCCAGCGGTGACCTGGCATACTTTTCAACGGGGCTTTAGTGATAGCTCACAAGGCTCAATGGCAAACATTGATCAAGTAGCTTTGCAAGTTCGGAGTCCGATCTACTACCTTTCAACAGTGGGGCATTGTGCCTTGAAGTCATGTTTAAGGTGGGGAAATGTCAGTATTCAATGTTGGAATCTACCAAACGAAGTAACATACAGATACGTACGGAGTACATCTATCTATCTGTGACTTGTGACGATATTTGAAATCGGCAATGTTGACAAACTCTGAAGGACTGAGACAGAAGCATGCCAAGGGGATCAAAGGCATGGCATTTCATAACCCTTGCTTTGCTTCTGACACTGGCAGCTATGCAGACCATGTTCCCGGGCAGACTGCAACAATGCGAATTACTTTTATGTGGCAATTGACTCTCCTTTACTCAAAGACTCGCCTGTTCTGCTTCAGTAGTGTGTTGGGAGTATGAGCCACTCGGTCTCCATTCTGATCCGTGTAGATCACCTGCAAGAGGTGACGTGGATCAGTAAGTAATCCTGAGACATGAGTGTTGAACCACTGGAATGGGATCCCCAGTCCACCATGCTATGATGTTGATGCGAGTCTTACCTTGGTGTAGCTGGCGACGCCTTCGCTACGAGCGCTGGATCCATCCTTGACGATCGTTTCGACCTTTTCACAATCAAAATGTGTCGCTGAAGAGCAGTTGAAATTCAAGGAGGGGGGGGAGGTGAATCCTACCTTACCCTCATGCGACCCTTCTCGCAACCTTGTAGTGAAGACAAAATCACCCTCATGGATATCGTACCCCTTTTGATCATGAACCTCCCCAACAAACTTGGTGGTCATGTTGATTAGATGTGAAAACCTTGAAGGTGGCCAATACTAGGCAATTTTTGTGAGGTATTGAGCAATTGCCTCTTGCCTTTGGTTGAAGGTCTTACCAACTACTCCTCGAGGCGATACCACTGATATGATGTTGACATCTAGGTGATGTCATAACCACTGCCAGATGGGAGGGCGAATTGGTGAAACTCAATAAACCAAATTGCCGTTGACACAACATTCGGCTAGCCGGAGAGTGAGGCTCCAAGGAGGACCCAGCCATGGGCTAAACCCTGGCGGTACGTGCGACAACATTGCTATACCTCGGAAGCCCCGATATCCTGGTACCCCATGATTCAAGAAGAAGAATGATCTCCACTAAATACTCCGCTGTTACAGTGCATGCTACAAACCGGGGTATCGGACCGGAGGTTTCAGAGAAAACGCGTATGGAGAAGAGAAAAATAGGCATTTAAGTAGTTCCACATCAGTGTAACGGTCCTGGGGCCCGACTACTACCGTTACACCCAAGGGGGTCATTGGGTATGTACCGATACATACCACACTAGGAATGTCTGTATCTGGTGTTTATATTCCCGGGCTTCTGGCACCAATTGTGACTCGTCTGTTGAATTAGTGTATAGATCTTGGGTCGCTTTGCTTCTCTATCAAACATCGGGGTGTGTATGAAAGTGGTATTGTGCTGTTAGCTGGTATTTTACTCCTTTCTTCGATCGCTTTACTATGCGTAAGGGTGTTTAGTATGTAAATGCAACTCCGGAAAAGAAACAAGACAATATGATAGGAAGATCCCAGGCGAACTACCGAATGTTCCTGCAGCAAGATCTCAATATGTACGAGCAAGTACAAAATTCCAGTGTACAGGAGGTTCGGAACCGAAGCCCAAAGGAGCAATGATAGAAAGATTACCGTACGTGACAATACCGACATTGCGACACCGCAAGGGCTTCTAAACAGTTGCAGTCGCGGTGACACTGTCTACTCAAGAATGGATGTTGATCGGGTATTGACCCTCTTTTCCTTCTTCCCTTCTCTTCCCTCTGCGTCTGCTACACTCCCATCCATCTGGGCAGACACTACTCTGGGAGTGTCACATCAGCTCCCTTATAACCTCAATTTATTTCCTCTTTAGTCTTATCTGCCCATGATCCGATAAATCATCTGCTCTCTCATCATGTCGGCCCCGCTGGTCAAGGTCCTGCACCGATTGCAAGAGCTCTTCCACAACGTCGTCGCCGCACTCGAAAACATGATCCTCTTCCCCTCCCTGTTCCGCGGACTCTCGCGCCGCCGCCGGAAACCCTTCCTGGGCGCTCATTGGAAACGCCGCTCCCTCGATGACTTCGCCGATGAAGTCGAAACCGCATGCTCCGCCCCCTTGTCAACTCGAAACATGGCCGATATGTCCGAAAAGATTCGCGCTCAGTTCCGAACTTGCCTGCAGGACAGCCCATGCTGCATGCTCCCATCCTACGATACGACGCTCCCCGCTGGCACGGAGAAGGGCACATATCTCGCGTTGGATGTGGGTGGCTCGACCTTCCGCGTGTCCTTGATTGAGTTGAATGGGCGGGATGAGGAAGTGCGGATCCTGAAGGTGTCGTCGGCGCAGATCGATCATAGTGTGAAGCTTCTGGAAGGGACACAGTTCTTCGATTGGATGGCCGGGCAGATTGAGATCGTGCTCAGGGAGATGGGAGTCGACTACGGGCGTAGTGAGGTTCCGCTGGCTATGGGTCTGTCTTGGTCTTTCCCGATCGAGCAGACCTCGCACGGAAGCGGACTGGTGGTTCAAATGGGCAAAGGGTTCAAGGCTTCAGACGGCACGGTAGGCCTGGAGCTCGGGGATCTCATTGTCCAATCATGCCGCAAGCGCAATTTGAACGTAGAGGTGGCCGCGATCGTGAACGACGGCTCTGCGGCTCTCTTGTCGCGCGCCTACGTTGACCCCAAGACCCGTATGTCCCTTATCCTGGGCACTGGTACAAACATGGCAATCCATTTCCCTGTGCATGAGATTGGGAGGTCCAAGTTCGGTGTTCGTCCGGACGGCTGGTTCGACTACGCCAAACACGTCATTATCAACAGCGAGATGAGCATGTTCGGTGGTGGCGTACTGCCCATGACTCGTTGGGATGACTACCTGAACTGCACTCACCTGCGTCCCGACTACCAGCCACTCGAATACATGATCACCGGACGGTACTTGGGTGAGATTGTGCGTCTCATCATGGTCGAGGCTGTCGAAACTGCCCGTCTCTTCAACGGCAACCTTCCCCACTCCATGCGCGAACCCTACTCTCTTGACACCAGCATTGTCGCCTTCATTGAAGAGGACTCCTCTCCATCTCTCTCCGCTTCCGCCGCCCTCCTACAAAAGCAGCACACTTTCCCCAATCTCCCATCTCCTGAAGATCTCCGCTTCCTGCGCCGCATCTGCCAGACCGTCTCCCGTCGCGCAGCTGGCTACCTCGCAACAGCAATTCACAGCATGTGGTGTCTGCGCAACGAGGTCGAATTCCCCTCATCACCCATCACAGATTCCCTCGACAAGGAATCGCCCGAAATAACTGTCATTGAAAGTGAAGATTCCTCCAAGAACCTATCCATCGCTTGTGACGGAACAGTTATCAACAAGTACCCTGGTTTCCAGGACGCCTGCCAGGCTTACCTGAACAAGCTGACCGAAGAAACACACCCCGGTACTGGAGCCTCTATCCGATTGAACCCTGCGCCAGAGAGTGCTATTCTCGGAGCGGCTGTTGCTGTTGCCGTGGCTGTGGCCGAAAAGTCCGCTAAGCAGTAAGACTTCTCATGGCACGACCTACGCATGAATCTACGAGCATATATCTCGGACCGTCTTCTTGTGATTAATTTTTTTTTTTTTATTCCGTCACTGGCGCATGACATGTGATGGGGCCCTTGGGGCTTCCTTTTCGTCTGCATAGGCATTCCCGGTTGGGAGTTGTTGAGAGGGCATCGTTTTTTCTTTCGTTTTTGTTTTCATCCCCATTTTCCATCTTAAACCAGCTCTTCACGCTGAGTTCGCATTTACAAGGAGTTTTTATCCCGGAATTGGTGTCTTCCATATGGTTGTCTCTGGGTTGGCGGAGTCCGGTTGGTTTTCTCAGTCATTCTGCTTCATGACTTTTGTTTACTCTTACCATCGTTATTTCTTTGGAATTCAAGCCGACAATTTTGATTTGTCCATTCTGAATCAATCTCACTCCTCTTAGGCTAATTTCCAAGGTTGTCTCTAATCTAGCCTTTTGAATCAAATACCCAGTGAAGGTCAACAATTGCTGCAACCCCTTTCTGCGATGCCTATGTCCGAGCGATTTTTCAATCTACTCCACCTTGGTCTTGTCAACGCCGATGGTGATATATCCAATCATACCCTTGGTGACATCCTTGCCATCAACGGGAATCACCGACACGACGGGGTTATATCCGTTTTCAGTGTCGCCTTCGAACACACTATCCACAGCGTTGGTGGTACGGTTGATCTCCGTGTGAGAAACGTAAGGCTCCTGTGCCATGATCTTCTGGGACAACGGCTCGTCGAAGTAGATCTGGCCAGTGCTAACAGTATCACCGTAGGCCATAGTTCCGTTGCCGCGAATGGTCCAGTCAGTGTGCACCTGAACGTGGATGTGGATGGCTCGTTCAACATAGAAGCCTTGTTTGTTAGCTAGGTCTCAATCTCCTCTTGGGCGCAAGCAATACTCACCAGGGAACACAGTCTTCATCTCCATCATACCGTGCTTGTCGGTAGGCCACATGCCACGCAGCCAAGTGGTGTCATCGGTGTGCAAGTCCAGATCATCGGTCATGGTAACATTGAGGTCCTCCAGCAGCTGAGCAAAAGGTGTGTTGGGCGACAGTCCCGTGAAAGAGGAGTATGAGCCCGTGGCATTGCAATGCCAGAAATCGACCAGCACGCCCTCGAGTGGCTCACACGTCTCCATGTCGAGTACACCTACATCCAGCCACAGTGGGATTCCAGGCTGGTCTTCGGTCATATCTTGACGCAGAGTCTGAGACTGTGGCCAGATGTAGGGACCTTCTGTCACCTCGGGAGTGAGCACGCAGGTGTCATTCTGGATGTTCTGATAGTACGGGGCCTCAGTCTGGATCTGATAGGTGGTGTTTGCTGAGCCGGGGAATCGTTTTGAGAGGTTACGCTTGACACGCTTGGAGTTGAAGGACGCAACGTTTGAAGCACAACGAGAGGACAACTCATGGCGTCTGGTCAACTCACGCTTGCTGGGCTGGTGGTGCGGACCTGGGTGGGCTGCTGCCAGGGTGAGCAGACTTGCTGCGAGGAACTTGGTAATTTGCATGACTGGATTGAGGAAACGGATTCTTTGAACATGTCAATTGGCGGGGTATGGACATTGGCTTTATGTCCTCCCCGGATATACGGAGATATTGCTTTGCTTGTTTAGGATACATGTTTTTCGTAGTCTTTTGCGTCAGCTGTGGGTGATTGAGGCCTTGGCAACATCTAGGCTGCGATTTTGGATCAATAGACTTGTCTTTGGGACAGGCATTTTGGCATCATTAAGGGGCTATGGAGAGTCTCCGAGAACTATGAGCAGATCCACAAAAAGGGCTATTGCTCAATCAGAGACATCGAAGTGTAACAAACTTGAGCTAATTGGGTCATAGTCGAGGGCAAGCGTTTCTGGAATCAAGCAAGTTTGTGGAGTAATATGGAAAATTGAAGAAAGGACCTTCCTTGAAGGTTTCATGGAAGAATATATGGAAGTTCATTGGTCGGTGCCTGAGTAAAGCTGCAAGGCTAGTGACTGCAGTTACAAAACAGGCTTAGATTAAACAATTCGGAGCTTTATATCCGCTGACTGATCTCAGAATTCGGACCGAGTGTGGGTGAAGCGCCGATCATCGAGGGTGTTTCAGTCCAACCTCATTGGCAGAGAACATTGGTTGCGCGGCTTGCTTGGCACTTCCTCTACTGCCCAGGGCGGGCGTACTTTGAGCTAACGCCTCCAGGGCTGGAAGGTGAAAGGAATGCAACCTGATTACAACAACGCATTCTGCATCTACATAGCAACATGACATGGTAAATATACAAATCTCACGGCTCGTATATTGCCGAACCTAATTCCCTACTCAGCGCGGGTATATGCCTGAGACTTGTTCAATATAATCTCCGCCAGAGCCATCAATGTCCCACTGGAGAGTAGCTCCAGAACCTGCACATTGGCATCGGCCTCACGGGCAATCCAGTTCCGTATCTCAATAGCCACTAGCGAGTCAAGACCAAGCGAGGAAACGGTGATTGAAGGATCCATATCCTCCAAGGAAATAACAAGCACTTGAGCTAGTTTGGCGGCCAGCGCCTCATAACAAAATTGCAATGCCTCTTCCTTGGAGGCGGCACCTTGTAAGGTTACCTGTAGTGGTACAGATGGATCATCGCGCTGTGAGCTGCTTCCCAAGCTTCCCTTGGCGGACTCAAGCAGGACACTGAACTTGGCGTCTTGAATCCAGAAATTGTTCTCCAGGGAGTCCAGCGCCAATCCCGTGACGCACTGTCCCGAGCATGATTGGTCAAGAGCACCAGTCAGAGCCGCTGCCACGAGGGCCAAAACTTCTGACTCGTCAATCGTCTGGTTGCCAATATTCTTCAACACCTCTTGACGTCGCTGCGCGTCGCTGTCAGCGAGATAGCCGACGTCGCTGACCGCTGCAAGGTCGATTGATGTTCCAGGGAGACCAATGGATTGGCGATACTCCATAAATCCGTCCAGGAACACGTTAGCCGCAGAGTAAGCTGCTTGTCCACGGTTACCGACGATACCCGCAACAGAAGATAGCGCAATGAAGAAGTCTAGCGGAGCATTGATCAAGGTATTATGCAAGTTCCACGTTCCTTCGACCTTGCTGGAAGCCACAGCTGTGAAATCTTCGAGAGACATGTTCTCAAACAGCATATCCTAGGCAGTGTCAGAATTTGAGGATTTGGGGGAAAGAAATGCAGACAAAACAAAGGAAACAATAACTAAAACTTACACGAAGCACCATTGCACCCTGAACAACACCTCGCACAGGGGGAGATCTTTCATTTCTTGCTTGACAAGGGTCTCAACTGACAGCGGATTGCTGACATCGCAAGCTTTCACGGCGACTCGCACTCCCAAGGTAGCCAAGTTATCGATCAAAGCTTGTACTTTGTCGTTGATAGCTGCTCGACGTGACACAAGAACAATGTTCTTTGCGCCCTTGGAAGCCATCCACTTAGCCATGCTTCGACCCAGACCACCAGTACCACCAATCAAAATGTACGATGCGTCTGGGCGAAGCAAAGTCGCGCTGGTCTTAGGTGCCACAGCCTGTGAAACGTCATCTGATTAGCCTTTTCCATCGAGTTTGCACGTGTGAGTGTTTGCTTACCCTGACTTGGTCACCCTCCCGGGGAACAACCACAATCTTGCCCTTGCTCTTACCCGTCTGCAGGGTACGGAACGCTTTCTCGATGTCGGAGATACCGTAAATCGAAATTGGTAGAACCGGGTGAACGTGTCCCTGGCTGAGCAAGCGGGAGACATCACGTAACAGACGCTTCATGAGCTGTGGCTTGAACCTAGCAACCTTGGTCATGTCGACTGAGGAAAAGGTCACATTGTTCTCAAACGGCTGCATATCAAGGCGGGTGTTCTTGGTGATGTCGGCCTTTCCAATTTCGATGAAGCGACCGAATGGAGCTAGAGTCTCCCAAGTCTCACGCAGGAGATCTCCTGCAAGTGAATTGACGACTACATCCACACCTGCCTCGCTGGTAGCTCTTCGAACGCCACGGGCGAATGAAGCATCACGACTGTAGAAGATGCGATCCTCGGGAATTCCATACTGGGTCATCAAGAATTGCTTCTTGTCAAGACTTCCTACAGTGGCGAAGATGTCTGCACCGATCATTTGTGCCACCATGATAGCAGCCTGACCAACTCCACCAGCACCGGCGTGAATCAACACACGCTCACCAGGCTGTAGTTGGCCAAGGTCAAACAGTGCATAGTATGCAGTGCCGAAAACCACTGGAACGGTGGCTGCGACCTCAAACGACATGTCTGCTGGGATCTCGGTCGCGCTGGTAGCAGGGCAGCGCGCGTATGTAGAGAAACAGCCTTCTGGAAAAGCCATGACTCTTTGTCCAACCTTGACATCTGTGACATTCGAGCCCACACTGGAAACGATGCCGCTGCATTCAATTCCAATGTAAGGCTGGGCAAGCTGGCCCATGGATACCACGATGTCTTTGAAGTTGAGACCAGTTGCCTTGACCTCCAGCTCGATTTGGTTCTCACCCAATGGTGGTAGATTGTCATCGACGAAGTAAAGCGAGTCCAGGGCACCTAGGTTGCCAATTTGGATCTTGAAACGTCGCCCAGGCTGAACGAATGGCTGGGTTGAGATTGCCATCTCGTTGGTTTCGTTATAGACAAAGCCATTAGCAACATCGTCTTCAACAATGCGCTGAACAAACAGCTCCGAGCCCTTTGCCTTGAATTCAAAGTCTCCAGATGGCTTAGATCCATCAGCAGGCCAAAATATATCGATAGCGGCCTGGATTGGCTTCTCCGGTGTGCCAATGTCTTCAGCAGCCAATCCCAGAGTGGCAATTTTGGCCAGAGTTTCCGAGCGCAAGGTACGCGCCAAACCAACAGTCATTTGACTATCAGGAGAATCGGTCCGATAGACCCAAAGCACAGTCTGAGCGTTGAGCAATGCCTTCTTGAGTTTGTCGAAAACGTCCTCGGTGATGTTTCGCAGCGAACTCTCTCCGGTTTCGAGCAAAAGGAGATGTTTGTGAGTTAAGTCAGTCTCGCCAAATGCCTGCACAGAAGGCTTCCAGTTCAGCGTTTCAGATAGTGCACGGCTCAGCTTGTCAGCGATGATGTCCGGTGCACCGAAGTGGGAAATAATGATATCACGCTTTGGTTTGGCAACTTCCTTATTCACATTCTCCTTCTCATGGTGATGGCCATTGGTCTCCAGCTTGCCATTGCTTGTTGTGCTAGCGTCTGCCTGGGAGCTACCGTTGACTTGAGCAGGTTCTCGAGACTCCTGATTATCCGTTTCGTCAGAGTTTTGAAGCTCGGTCAAGGAATGCCAGTTGAGCTTGTAGCATATTTTGCGGAAACTTTCACGGCGAGTGTCAGCCTCCCTGAGAGGGGTCATAATAAGCCCCTCCATGAATATCAAAGGCTCGGTACTTCCTTCTTTCGTGGCGAAAAGATCAAACTTGGTGGGCTCAGGTGAAGGTAAGCTGGGGCTGCCGTTGCAGTAAGCTTTGACAAATTCACCGGCCTTTGTTGGAACATTGATATCAATCGTCACACGCTTTATCATGGTTGGCATGTAAAGCGTGTCCAGATCCATGCGGCCGAGTCCTTGGCCAAGAATAGGCCAGACAAGATGAAGCAGTCCATCGAGGAATGACGGATGCACGGTGAGTGGCGGTTCGAAATTCTTGGGCATAACACTAGCTGTATCTCTGACATGCAAATCTGCGAGTGAATGGTGCGGGCTGGCATAGCAGTCCTCAAGATCTTGGAAGATGGGACCGTAGCCAGCACCCAGGTCACTGAGAATTTGATACATGTGCTGTATATCGGTGTGATGCGTAGCAGCCGCCTGTATCTTAGCGATTTGAGCCTTTGTGTGATCGGTTTGAGTCTCAACGGGGCTCGAGATTGCAGCGGCTTGTTGCTTCGGGTCGGAACGGACTCGCACTTGACCCGTGCAGTGCTCTATCCATCCTCGTTTAGTTGTCCAGGAACAAACGCGGAATTCGTCCCAGACATCGGATGATCCACGGGTACCTTCAGTGTAGGGACGAAGCGTGATGGTGGTTTCCGCATCTGTGTCGTCAGTGAGAACAAGAGCCGCCCCAACGATAACCTCGCGCAGTTCGAACTGAGAGATTTGAATGTCAAGTTGGTCTGCACGTCTCCGCACTGCTTCAATCGCCATGACCAGCTAGTTTATAATCAGCAAATGAGTTCAAATAAGATGTTTATAAGAAAAGAAAAACTCACATAGCCTGCTAGGGGGTAGACCGCCATACCCTGCATCTTATGATCACGGAGATATGGAATCTCATCCAACCGAACAATGTTTCGCCATGTGGGTTCCAAATCGTTCGAGTAATTTGCCAAAACTCCCAGAACATCGTTTCTAGCGCGGTCTCTGATTGTGTGCTTCTGGGCAATTCTACCATCGTGCCAGTACCGGGTACCATGTTGCCAAGGATAGCGAGGCAGGTTGCTCAAGAACCAGCGGTTTGCCGCCCCGGTCTTAGGGAAGTTTATCTTGGTGATGTCAAGAGTAGCACCACGCATGTATGCAGCGGCAGCAGTAGACAAGACTGCTTGAGCCGCCTCAACATTGCGGAGAATTGTAGGGGTGTATCCAATCTTGGAAACCGTAGGTCCCAGGCTCTTCAGAGTGTCCAGGATAGGACCTTTCATTGCAGAGTGTGGACCAATTTCAACAAAAAGATTGGGCCTTGTCTCATCGTCGGACACAATCTTGCTGAGAGCATCGGGGAATAACACGGGCGAGGTCAAATTAGCGACCCAGTACGCCGGTCCAAGCTCAGCAGGTTCTGCGAGACGACCAAATACAGAGGAATAAAAGGCAGATTTCCCAGATAAGGAGGGCTGTACGGATTGGATTGCCTCAAGATATGCTTCCGAAACGTTTTTCATGTGGTCAGAATGATAAGCAACATCGATCTTCAACTTTCGGTTGAAGAGCTGCTTGTCTTGAAGAATTTGTTCAAGTTCATCAATTGCTGTCGCATCTCCTGAGACAGTCACACTGGAGGGGCTGTTAACGCAAGCGACAGTTGCATATGCAGACAGAGCTTTCAACATTGGTTGAACATTCTCGCGACTGGCCCCGACTGCGATCATTGTACCCTTCAAAGATGGGAACGAAGCCTTGAGCAGAGACGTCATTTGTCCTCGGCGGTAGGCCAGGGTCATAGCTCCTTCCAGATCATATATACCGGCGGCATACGCTGCGCTGATCTCACCGGAGCTGTGACCCACAACAGAAGATGGGTGGATCCCCCACGACTCTAGAAGATCCACAAGTGCAATCTGAAGCGCTGTGCAGGCAGGCTGACTCAGATGAGGGGAGTTGATCTCAGAGGTGACGGAATCCCGTTTCAACTCTTCGATGAGAGAGAACTCGGCGCCAAGGCCCCTGAGGCACTTATCGGCTCGTGTGATGGCCGACTCAAAGATTGGATAGTCATACATGAGCGGGATACCCATCTGGGCCCACTGGGCTCCTTGTCCCGTGAAAACGAATGAGTAAGTTGGGGATCCAAGAACGCGAAGCGGATTGATCGTGAGCTGAGCAAGACGAATCCCCAGCTCATCAAGGGAAGTCGCCGCGATACCGACACGGTAGGACAGTTGCGACATCTTGCTACCAAGGGTGTAGGCAAAATTTGCAAACAGAGACTTCTCGAAGACTTCAGGGTGTTGCTCGAAGTAGATACCGAAATCCTTGATTCTGGTCCGCAAAGACTCTTTATCGTTCGCGGAGATCAGGAACAATTTCAGCTTTGGATCCACATCAATGTCCTCAACAGCATGGTCGGGTGCCTTGGAATTGAGGGGTGCCTTTTCCAGGACGACGTGTGCATTTGTTCCACCAAAACCATAATTGGAGACGCTCGCGTAATTCTTGCGAGCAGGCCAGGGTCGAGTCGATGTCAAAACCTTCATGTTCCATTCATTCAGTGGAATATTAGGATTTGGCTTCTTGAACTCGGCATTCGGAAGCATGAACTCTTTCTCGAGCATCATGGCTGCCTTTATGATGGCAATGACACCGCTAGCTCCTTCCAAATGTCCAATGTTCGACTTGACTGATCCGATATAAAGAGGGTTTCTTGCAGTCCGACCTCCTCCGAGAGCTGCTTGAACTGCAGCAGCTTCTATTGGATCACCAGCCTTTGTTCCCGTACCGTGCATTTCGGCAAAACCACATTCTTCGGGGTTGAGGTTGGCTTCTCTATAGACTTGTCGAATGAGCTCCTCCTGAGCTTGTCCGTTGGGTAAAGTGATACCCTTCGTGCGACCATCTTGGTTGACACCTGAGTTGGCAACAACAGCTCGGATGGGATCTCTGTCGCGTAGAGCGGCATTAAGGGGCTTGAGGATCACGACGCCAGCGCCTTCACCACGGGCAAATCCCGAGTTTGCTCTTTCATCAAAGGAGAATGTTTTGCCGTCATCATTGAGTAATCTGTCGAGGTTCGATAAAGTCAGAAAAGGCAAGTCAACAGATAGGCAAGTGACCCATGATACTTACTGTGACATGGACGTCGAAACAAAAAGATCTGGTATAATGTTGAGATGGCAGCCAACAACAAGGGCCTCCTCGGATTCTCCACCTCGCAAGCTTTGTACCGCGTAGTGAAGTGCAACGAGGGAGGAAGAGCAAGCCGTGTCAACTGTGATACTTGGTCCCCGAAGGTCGAAGAAGTATGATAAGCGGTTGGATTGTAGGGAAGGTGCACATCCGGTGGCTTGATACATAGGAATGGTATCCATGTCGCGAACGTTGTTGAGTTCATAATCAGAGAAGTTGCCACCAGCGAAGACGCCGACCTTTCGGCGTGCAATGTTCTCTTTGGGAATGCCAGCACTCTCCAAAGCCTCATACGAGCACTCCAACAGCATGCGCTGCTGGGGATCCATGGAAGTTGCTTCCTGGACAGACAAGTTGAAGAAGGGTGCATCGAAGCGGGCAAGATCTTCTTCCAAGAAGTAGCCTCCCTTGGGGTTGAAGCATCCCACCTTAGACGGGTTAGGATGATGGAATGCGTCAACGGAAAATCGGTCTTTCGGGATAGGCGACCAGCCACTTCGGGCTCGAGTGCATAGCTCCCAGAGATCGGAGGGGGAAGTGACTTGCCCGGGAAGTCGGCAAGCATATCCAATGATGGCGATGGGCTGGGGGGCGCCTTGTTCGCGGTGAGACGCCTCCGAGTCCGCACCGTTCATTTTGGCCATAGTGAGGATTGCAGATATTGGAGGGGGAAGTGTTGGGGGGTTCTAGGAGGGTCGCAGAGACATCGGAGAAACCGACTGGCGATGGAGGGTTATATAGCGTTGCAAATGCCTCAACTCCCACGGTCCCTCTCCAGTGGAATTTTGGGGAAGCACAGTTCCATGAAGCTGTCTCTGTTTCGGACAATGATGGCCTAGGCGACAATCAGAAGGGATCACCACCATATGCCATCATCAAGTGGCACGATAAGGGCGCTTGACTAGCATTGGGTGGTCGGTGGTTATTCGTGACTTTGACTGAAATGTTGTACTGTCCCACATCTTTTTTGATACCAATTTCGGGATCTCTTTCACATGTTTCTTCCACACGTGGAATAAAATGGGCATTGAATTTATCCAGATGTATTCATCAGGAATTGAGTTGAAGCTAAGTTCAGCGTCTGGTAGTTGAGAGATGTTTGATCGTCGGTGGAAATCCCGAGCTTCTCTGTTTTTGGGACTTTCGGACTTTCGTTTCATCTGCGTATTCCCTTACACCCCTTGTACAGCCCGAGCGGTAATTTATTCTCGTCACCATATAATTTCCCTCTTACACTCTTCTCCTTTGCTTTTGGATATTCTCACTGATCTCGCAATATTCTTTGGATCCTGCTTTGAGGTCTGATACAATGAAGTTTCTCTGTCTTCACGGTGCCATTGGCAACATCGACGTGAGTTGTCCGAGATATCTATACAAAACCATATAGACGGCAATACTGACTTTCTCTCGCAGAATATCAGCATTCAGCTTGGTAATTATTATTTGACTTTGAATAGCTGAGATTTACTATTACTTACTTCTATTATAATGCAGCTCCTTTGGTGAAAGAGTTGGAAGTTGATGGTTCTGCTGGGTTCCACTATATCAACGGCCCTGTCTCGCTATCGCCCCCGGACGGTAAGTTGTGATCAGGCACAAACACTCTAACCATTGCTTACGTCTCAATGAAGGCTTTGCTGAGTACTTTGGCGTTGGTCCACATTACCGGTGGCTGGAAGATGGCGGAGTAGCAGAGGAATCCATGATTTCCCGTGTTCGAAAGGCCCCGCATGGTTCAAGCCCCGAGGACGTCATGAGAGCATTGGGCAAAGACTGGGATGGCCGCTGGAACAATCATCAACAGGTGATGGATTACCTCTATGACACGCTAGAGAAGAACCCCGACATCGACGGTATCATCGGGTATAGCGAGGGTGCTACCATGGCTGCCAGCCTCATTATGGACGAAGAGAGAAAGGCCCAAGAGACTGGACGCCCCCGTCGTATCAAATGTGCGGTTTTCATCACCGGGTGGCCACCTCTCTCCCCAGAAGAAAACGTGGTTTTGGCGGACGAGACTGACTATATCCTGGATGTTCCTACCCTACATGTGGTCGGTGCAAACGGTAAGTTTGGTATCTATTTCCCTCATCAAATATTCACTGACCATGGAGTTAGATCCCTATCGATATGGCGCACTAGCCTTGTTCAACGTTTGTGATCCCGATACCGCAGCTATGTTCGATACCGGGCGAGGTCACACCATTCCTCGGTCCGGCCAAGTCATATTGGAGCTCGGAAACGCCGTGCGGGACTTGGTGGACAGGGCTTACGAAGCCTAAACGATATTGGGGTGGGAACCACCAAGCCTTGGAGCCATTGCCTCTGCGGTGTGACGGCACAAGGTTCGTTGCGCAATACACAAAGCCGGAGCCGGGGGTTCCAGATTGTTCAACGGCTATCTGCTGGAGATAGAGTTTACCTTTCCATACATAGTACATTATTCAATTGTTATCATAGCGTTGCCTCAACTCTTCATGGAGTGAAGCTCAGCTAGGTTTTATTGTATTGCCCGATAGACAGAGTGCTTCACTCGCCAATCGGAGCACAAATGGCGTTCGCCCAAGTGATAAGCTCGGATAAAAAGAACTACAACTTTCATATTCCTAGTAATTGTGCATGATTGTTCTGGAATCTCTGGCTCGGTGGATAGATCTCCAGGGCGAAAGCCGGAGCGGAGTTCCAATCTAAACCCCGAAGATCGACCAAGCTGATAGGCTTCCGCCGTGGACCATAACTAAGCTACAGTTCCAGATTCTAAATTTGAATCTCGGGATTTTGGCTGTAACGTTGTATACTTCGGGGGGCTCCATGTTCCTCGCTATGCACACTACTCCTCGCTAGACACCGAGAAAAAGGCTAAAACAGTCGCTATAAAGAGATCCCTGCAGACTCAAGACTGGCAATTATACATATCACGTAATGGTAGAGAAATCTGCAGCTTAGACGGGATGGTGGTACATAGGTGGTCTCGGGGGGGTAAGAAAAGCAACGCTAGACAGAGTCGATCCTTCCCTTCTTCAAGCAACACGGAAAAGAGATTCTACCAGGAACCACCCTCAACAACAAAGCTCCATCAAGTGGCTGCATTTGGTAGGCAGCTCGACACTGACTCACGGATCTCTTCTCCTCCAGTTCCAGAGCTGAATCCAGTCTGGGCAAGATGTATGGCGTGATAATGAAGATCACTTGGCTGCTAGCTGTCATTGCAAACAGGTTATTCCTATATCAGGCACAGCTAGTGTCAGAAAACGACTGCGCAACCGGCGTTCACGCCATCATTGCCAGGGGTCAAGGAGGGGGCGATGATCTTAACGTGATGAAAACCCTATCAGATTTGATACTACAGCAGATCCCAGGATCAACGACCCTCGGCCTACCTTACGATCACGAGAATGTTTTAACCGATGCTGCTAAGCGAGATACAGTCCATGACGCGGCTGTCTTAATGCAGGAGTTCGTGCAGGAATACGCCGAGGCCTGTCCCGATGTCAAAATCGTGGTGGTAGGATATTCAATGGTGCGTAACAAACTCAAAACACCTTACTAGTTTTGCATGACACCGTAGCACGCCAATTGCTAAGGTTCTTCATCATGCTCTAGGGTGCAGTCGCTATGATGGATGCCATATGCGGAACCAGCGAGGTCGGATTCATCTTTGTCCCTCCACTCCAGCCAATTTACAGCAAAACCGGTAAACGACCACAATGGAAATTGCCAAGATTAAACACTAACCATTGGGCTAGTCATAGCGGCAATCGCTTATGGAGATGAGACGTATAATCCCGGGATGCCATGGAATGTGGGAAACTGCACACTTGGTATAGGGGTGAGTTTGGGTGAACACTGCTCCTTGTTTAAAGTGGTATGAACTGATGTGGATTGAGAAGGTCACCCCTCGCATGAACTCGGCATTGTGCAGCCCATTCGGCGCATCGATTCATAGCTATTGTGACTACGGCGACAATCAATGTTGCTCGCCCTATCCAGCTGACGGCAATGTTGCACATCACGGCTACGTTAAGAAATATAATCAAGACGTGGTGGATTTTATCAAACAACGCCTTGTCACAGCATAGCAATGATTTTGCGCACGCAATTATGGGAATGACAAATAGGTGTTGGAAGGAAAAAAAGAAAAGTTGATTACAGCGACAGATTGTATTTTACACAGGACTTGGCCCCTTCGGACTACAAAGTTCCGGATAATAGAGGCAGACCATTACACATCTCGTCGGACGTTCCTGGGAGTGACCTTGGCAAAAGCATCAAAATTTGAGATCTTCTGGGCTCGAATCAAACCGTTGGACGTCAGTTGTCGACTTTTAGGTTTAAGTGGAGAAATGCAGGGATCAGTGGAGAACTGCTCTTGTTCCAAACCTGTCTACTAATGAGGTGGTGTTCATCATTGCGGTTATTAAAAATCTTCCAAAAAGATAACAGTCATAGCTCCATGCATGTACAGAGTACTGTATCCTCTGTTCTAACTTGCTGATACATTCAATACTCACGCCACACGCAATGACTAGCACTATCACATCCGTAAATATCCAAAGTACTTGCTACGCCCTAGTGATACAGTGCATTTTTCGAGCCTGGACACGCCCAGCCGCTCGTCCGAATCCCCAGGTTCCCCCGAGGTCAAGACTACAACAGACTTCGTATACATCGAAACTTCAGTTCTTTGAAATGTCACCGATGGAGGATTTGGGGCCTTAAAATTGGGTGCCGAAAATATGGGTCTCAGGCCCCAGCCCCGGAGAGCTAGGGCTGCGCTATAGTAGGTTACCTAAATGAAACATGACCTGGGACTTTTGATCTATGACCTCCCCGGGGCTATGTTAAGGACTTGGGTAACCAAACTACCCTGACTGGAGATCAGAACTTTGGTTACATCTGCGCACTAAGGATTACTGCACTGATGTCTCATAAGCTGTCCCCTGTACTATGATCTATTTCCTACCTGATTATCTATGTCCCTGCAACATCTAATAAATGGACCATGTGGAAAATCAAAACTTCGAAAGCTTATCGGTCTTGGGCTCAGTTTGCAGCAAGGAACGCATGTGCCATGTTTTTGAGCTTAATCAAAATAGACTATATCCCCGTTAAATGAAACGGCTGTCGAACGACTCAATTTTGAGCCATCCATCCTAAATACGAGGCTCATCCTGATTTCGGGATATAAGCCTCAAGTGTTTGTATGACACATTGCTATGCACCTTCGGGCCTTGATATAATCCTCATTTTACCAGATGGTAGGTAATAGAAACAGGACTTGGGGGTATGATAGTATGATAGTCTCCATCCACATACATACTTCTTTATTGGGTTATCCGTTTGGTACCTAAAAGGCGGCAGGTTTGGGCATGTGGTACATAGACTCTGAGCATACCAAGAGAGCAGAATTGGTGGCGGATTTGATTCTAAGCCCAAGGTATTGACACCGTTTTAACCAGGATATGAGAGCATAACTGAAGCAAGAACACAGACACTGAGTATCCATTTCATCGTCATGCAAAAAGGGAAAAGATGGATATTACAGACATCGTGTAGGTGGGTAAAATCGTAGAATTGCAGAATTTCCGGATCTTGACATCCATTTCTAAATAAGCACGACACAAATAACTAGATACGGAGTACAATCACATGAAACAGCTACAAGTAGCAATATCAATGTGCTACCCTATCACATCTGTATGTGATTGATATAGTGCGTGGCCGACCAAAACTTTGTGCGTGGCGTATCACTTTTTGGTGCGGTGCTCATAGGACCACGTGTTACCAGCCCGATGTCTATTCGCCTAAAGCCGTGCCTCGGATCATTTCGCGCGTGTATACAATTAGTTTCTACCCTCTCTCTTTCTTCCCCTGTCCATGCTAGGAAACACCCGTGGACAGTGTTGCTGGGCTTACATTGCCCTTTGCTGACACGAAAATTCAGTATCCCCTGTTCAGCTTGGCCGGTTGTTTGCAAATGATTGAAGACATACTCTTCAGCCTGCAATTGATCCTTTCAAGGCTGCACGCTGATTGAATCTTGTTTACACATGCACACACTCAAGTCTTGCACTTGGCAATAATCCTCTGGTAATCTCCAGGGCTCTCGTACACCTCTTGTGTCAATAGAGCATGCTACAGGGGTCAATATAAACGTTGCGAGTACTCCGGTAGCTTTTCAAGACAGGACCTGGGCAGCCCTCTTTCGGTTCATCTACAACACCTGTGTGTCCTGATACATTCAGTGCACCAATGAGCAGTATACCAAGTCCCGCATTTTTTTAAAACGCAGATTGACTTCTCACAGCCGAGGGTCAAATGATTAGATCGAGATATATTCTCCGCATCTCAAAATGTTCGTGCTGAATTGCGATTACCCCGCTGGCGTTGGAAATATTCTCAATAAGCTGTATACAGTTCACTGACATGCCAGGTACATTACTAACTAGTACGCCAATGAAAAACATTCATGCAAGATTCCAAGATTAAGGATAGCATTCTCCCGATCGTAATATTATTTGGCTACCACCATGTTACCTACACACTTCCAAGGTTGATACATGGATATTACAAGAAACCGGGCAATCAAGACTGCAACGATAATGGCAACAAGCAGCCCTGAAATTAATATACGTGTAGTTGAAACTTGTAGCCAAGTGCAGTGTGTCCGAAACAAGGTGCATATCTGCAACGCCGTCCCACGTTGACCGAAGACGGCATCACAATATACGGATCAGCAGCTAATCCCGTTTCGGCGAGCGCAACTCCTTTTTTCTTCAACACCCCCAAGGCTTCCCACGTCTACTCCATGTTCTCCTCAACGACTCGTCAAATCCCAGGAGTAATCTCCACCCGCCTCTCTCAATTAGCCCGACCGACCCACCGCCAGTACTCGACACCTCGACCCCCGCCACGCTCACCCGCCCCTCAAAGCAAATCCAACTTCCCCGTCATCCCCATCGTCATCCTCATAGCCATCAGCTCCGGCTCCTACGCTCTCCTCGTCAAGTCCCGTACCGGCCAACCAACCACACGTGCTAAATAAACAGTGAGGCAAACCTAAACCTCCCCCGACCCCGAACCCCAATTAACCATTCTAGACCCCAACAGCCAGTATGACCACCCCGCGCTTCTCCTCCAACGACGTGACCGTCGTCTTCTTCCTCGGCGGCCCGGGCAGCGGTAAAGGAACCCAATCTGCCAACCTCGTCAAGTCCTATGGCTTCGTGCACCTATCCGCAGGCGACCTCCTGCGCGCCGAACAAGAACGCGCCGGCAGCCAATACGGCGACATGATCCGCGAATACATCCGTGAAGGCAAGATCGTGCCCATGGAAGTCACTGTTGCACTTCTGTCGAATGCGATGGCCGATTCGCTGGCTTCTTCCCCTCCCCCGCTGGAACCAAGGCTCGGTTCTTGATCGATGGGTTCCCGCGCAAGCTGGACCAGGCTCATTTCTTCGAGGACACTGTCTGTCCTTCCGAGCTGGTTCTGTTCTTGGATTGCCCCGAGAGTGTTATGGAGAGTCGGTTGTTGAAGCGTGGTGAGACTAGTGGGCGTGCGGATGATAATGCGGAGTCGATCCGCAAGCGCTTCAGAACTTTCGTGGAGACTTCTATGCCTGTTGTTGAGTACTTCCGGGGTAAGGACCGGGTTGTTGAGGTCCGGGCGGATATTACTGTTGAGGAGGTCTTTGAGAAGGTCAAGGCTGGCATTGAGGCTCGTAACATTCACCCTCGTTAGGGTCAATGTAGCTGCACATTTCGTTAAAACGTGTTTATGTACAGATTGTTGTTTGAAGCTCTTGGATTGAAAATAGAGAATAGAGAAGCCAGCGTTTGAGCTATACCTCCCGAGGTCACCTTGAAAGCACTCCTTTGCTGATATCTACACATTGTTGTGTAAACGTGGTATTCTAGAACGCCGAAGGATCTCCAGGGCTGTGATCTGTACAACCTTTGAAGTAAAAGCGATCGATCCCCAGAATAGTTCAGATCTCGCGAGTTCTGGAAGCATTGAACATCCATTACATACCCAGCACAAGACCAATCTAAAGAAGTATAATATTCTTTAAAAAGTAAAAAATTGAACAAAAGAAAAGTCATCCATCCGGATAACATAACAAGACTAAGATTGACATGACATGACTCGTGGGGTCCCAAACAACCAACGAAGGGCCAGAGAATCCAACCCTACAAAATGATAAAAAAAAATGCATGAGGAAAAAGCAATGATTCCCCTCTATTAATCCAAAGAATTTTTGAGTGAGCTTTTCTCATAAATAAACAAACAAGCGCATTTACTCAGCGGCCTCGACCTGAGTCTGGATCCGTCGACGGTCACCGTTGGCGTTGCGGCCCTTGCTGGCCTCTTGCTCAATAGCAGCCTGGGCACCCTCGCGAGCGAAACGCTCACGCTCGGAGCGGATGACGCTGAGGACACTCTCGAGGGAACGGCGCCAGACCATGAGGCGACCTTGCACCTCGGACCATTGCTTCTCGCCGAAGACACGGTAGGTGGCGCGGTGAACAAGGAACTCGGACTTCAGCTGAGACAGCTTACCCTCGACAAGACCGGCACGAATGGTGTCGATAACCCAGACCTCGACTTCGGAGGCGGGGACGCGCAGAGCGGAGGCGATGGTAGCGTAGGGGAGCGAGCGCGAGGGGGTGGCAGATGCCAGCGAGGTGAGGGTAAGGAGACGGATCTTGCTCTGCAGGGCATCGGCGGACTCGGCGAGAACACCGCCGGAGATGGAGGAGAGAGGGTTGGCGGCGACGAAAGTTTCGTAGGCCTCGAGGGTGTCGGAGGTGAAAATCTCGAGGAGCTCGAAGAGAGCGCTGTCGCTGGTGCGGAGGGCCTGGACGGCATCGGAGGCAGTCAGGGGGTGAAGTCGAAGACGGAGGAACGGCGCAGGGCAGTGGCGAGAGCGCGAACGGCAAGATCACGAGATTCGGGCTTGCTGACGTCCGCGGCATCGATGGTGGCCAGGGCTTGCACAATGTGCGACTGGGAGAGTTCCTCGTCACCGGCGGCGGTGGCAGCTTCGGCAATGGCAACGTGCAGCTTGCGAGCATCGCCGCTCTCCAGTTCCCAAGATGAGAGCCATGTGGGGAGCTGGGAGGCCAATTGGGGCTTGAGAGCCTCAAAGGCGATTCCGGATCCAGACTGGCGGATGACAGCAACGATGGCCAGGAGGACGTGGTAGCGGCTGGAGTCGGTGGAAGAGAGGGTGTTGAAAATGGTGGTGAGGATTGAAATGGCGAGGGTAGGGCCAAACTGAGGGGAGGTGGTGATGGGCTTGGCGAGATAAGTGCAGATGCGAGGAAGGAAGACATCGGCGTCAGAGGACTGGTGAACAAGGTGAACCAGCAAGTTGTAGGCGGATGTGATCTCTGTATTTTTGATCGTCCAGGTTAGTTTTTATGCACCAAATCAATCCCACCAAGTTCCCGACTATCTTGTAGATCGTCTTCAATATGACGACTCACCCTTTTCGGGGGCACTGCTCAGAGCGGTAGCTGATGAGACGAGCTTCTTGAGGACTTCATCGCGCTGCTTAAGGTCGGCTTCGCCCTCAGACTGTTCCTGCTGGCGGAGAGGCTCGAGGAGCGGGGCGATCTCGGTTTGGAGGCTGCCCTCTTTGCGGAGAGCGTCGATGTACTGGGCGAACTCGTCGGCGAGCTCAGAGAAAGAACCCTCGATGAGAAGGGTGTTAGAGGGGGCGGGCATGATGGCGGTGGTGTGGTGAAAGGAGAGGAGGAGAGACCGTGGAAGTTCTTGGTGGTGGAGTCTATCGATAAGTTGAGAAATTTCAGTGTGTGCCAAAAAAAGTCTTGGCGAAGGAACACCAACATCTCGACCTGTGATTGCTTTTCTATTGACGCGCCTACCTTCAGATCTGAGGATTTCTTTGTTCTCTACTGGAAATAATACAGCATCAATGCTTCACCAAAAGTGGGTTCATTACTTTTTAATGGAATAAGGGCGCAGAGTCAATCAGCGCAAATATGAAAACTCCTACCCAAATCGCATCCAGAAAAGACAGGCGCCACGTTCATAAACATGTGGAAAAGACATCAAGAAGCCAAAGACGTTCTGAAAATGGGGAATCGAACGTTGTGGCAAAACAAAACGACAAATGGCATAGCGATGCGAGAGAACAATAAAGCAAAGAGGACGCTATGCGACCCACAACAGAGGGATGATCAACCCAAACACTATCAATCGCTCCTTTACAGGACCATGCGAGCAGCCACGAACATGAGGCCAGCCATGAGACCAGTAGAGTACTGGGTCATATCGCCGAGCACGGCGGCGGCGTTGGTGGAGGTGCCGGCAGCAGCCGCGGACGAGGTCGCGGAAGCAGACGAGTCAGTGGAGGTAGACACGGCCAGAGTGGTGCTGGCGCTAGCGGAAGTGGAAGAAGAGGAGGTAGTGCTGGTCTCGCTGGCGTTCTTGGTACCGCAGTTCATGGCCTTCTTGCAAGCGCGCTGGCCCTCAGCGTCATCGGGGTGCGATCTGATGCACTGGCCGTAGGCGTCCTGGCAGACGTAGAAGGGGACGGTCTGGATGTACTCGGACACGTCGGGGGCAGAGTCGTCAGTGCAGACACAGCTGAACTTGAGAGTGGCCTGATTCGATTGTTAGCAGCTTGCGCCGTGGCACCGGTGCGGAGAAATCACTTACGGGATCACAAGAGTTGAGCTTAGTGCCCTTCTGGCAGATCTCGGGGCAGGTGTTGCGCTGACCGGAGCACCAAGCGCCTAATTAACTGTCAGTGATGCTCGGATGGTTCAGAAAGTCCAGCACTTACTCAGATCACCCTTCTCGACCTGGGCGATGTCCCAACCAGCGGGGAAGGTATAAGAGTAAGTCGAGTTGGCACCCATGGCAGCAGTGGCCAGAGCGGAGAGGGCAACAATTGAGGTACGCATGATTAGAATATGATAGATGATGTGAGGAGAAGAGAGAAGAGAAGAGAAGAGGAAGTAGAAGGCGAAAGGTAGAAGGAATGAGCGGTTTCTTTATTTCCAAGGTTTATTTTTGTTTCTAAACCAACTGGGGGTAAGTACGACCCAGCTGCATCCAGGGTAACACCGGCCTTTCAACACTTGCTTTCTCTTCGCATACCGAGGTGGATATTTGTTTTTAGTGGCCTTTGGAAGTCATTTCACTGGTGTCATTTAATTGGAGTCCTACAACTAGTCCTTGCTAGGTCGGCAATTATTAGACCGGCTTATCTTTTTCTTCATTATTTTTTTTTTTTTTTGCTTTTTCCTCTGAGCCTGAGAAATTGGAGAGAAATTGGGTACAATCAAGCGGAAACCTTGGAAAAGAGTCTGCAAAGATACCGAGCTGGTTAAGGGTCCTTGGCTGCGTCCCACTAGGCCCCTTACGGTAAGGTTGCCCTTACTGCGCTTCGCTCCGCGCAAATCAAAGGAGGGCAAAGGGGGTTCCTATGGAGATTCCAAGGTTGTTGGGTCGCTTACATTGGTCTCCATGTTTACTTCCGGTGCTATCCCTTCGACATTCCCATTCCCTCTCCTTTGTTCTCACTCCCCACATACCGATCAGTCTGTGCAGACGGCAAACACATGGGAGAAGCTTCTTCGCTTCTTAGCTTCCAAACCTCCCCTTTACGAGTACGAGAGTACGGAGTATGGAGTACGGGGGAGTAGCCTCCTAACTTCGGCTTCAACATATCAAAGTTCTTCCGGTTCCACATGGACCGTGCTAATCCCCCCCACACGTGATCATCTCTTCAGGCCTTCCTGATTCGGCGATACCCGGTGCCGAGGTTAATCGTATACAGTTGATCATATCAACAACTCTCCATTGCACTCAATTGATACAATGGCTGAACCAGGACCAGCAATAGCTCACCTTCGCCCCAACCCGTGGGCGAACAGTCTCATTGCCTCGACAGACTACAAGGCAATTGAAACCGACTCCCGACGCCTAAAGCCCTCCACCGGCGAAGATGGCTACTTTGCGCAAACCCTCAATACACCTGCTACCATCCCTCATTGTCTAACCCTGCAACGAGTCAACATTCAGCCAGCACCCGCTGAAACACCGACTTGGCTTCCCGCAACCAAACCCGATGCCTCAAAGCCCCCTACGCCGACGCCCAACCCCGCGGATATCGTGATGATCTTTGATCTTGGTAGCCCTGGTCTCTCGGGGCATCCCTCCACCGTACATGGCGGCATCGTTGCGACATTGATTGACGAGGCAATGTCGCTAGCGGTGGCCGCGCACACGAACGCGCCCAGCACGGGCACCGATGATAATCCGCGGGGAAAGATCTTTACCGCCCAATTGGACGTGCGGTATAAGAAAAGGGTCGTCACGCCTGCTTTGCTGGTGATCAAGGCAAAGGTTGTTGGGAGGGTGGGGAAGAAGTTCTGGGTCCGGGCTCAGGCTTTACAGGAGGATGAAGATAACGGGGGACACCTGGAATGGGCAAAGAGGAAGGTCGTGAAAGCTGATGCCATGGCTTTCTGGATCGTCACCTCTGACTCGAAGCTATGATATAAGCGTTTTCCTCGGTTGGCTTTGCGCACCAATCGTAGCGGAGCATGGTTTGATCTGCTATGTCATTTCAACATTTGTACAGCGATCTACTAGATCGAGAGTTCTTGGCATTACTGCTACATTTCACTATGCTGCACATACATCTGATAGAACTTGCTCAATACATATGCTCACATCTCAATCTGACCCTGGCGGATGATCTACCTAGGTTTGCCCATGCGGCAAATGCGCAACTTGGAATGAATTAAGCCAGGGACTTGGACGCGATTGTATAAAGTCCACAACGTAAGGCGTTTCAATCTTTCGATATTATCACAGGGAGTTGAAAATCAGACGCAATTTGTCGATCAGTTTTTGATTGGCTCTGGGTTAATTTCCTTTCATATCTCTGAGACGCGAGGGCTTCTCCTAGCCCCGGGTGATGAAACGCTTAATGCGCGCCGGGAACAGTCCTATTTCAGCTTGGACCATAGACATCATCTGGTTGAGGATAATTTTCTGGATTCCATATTCTTTCTTGCCCAATGTGCCAAGTAAATCAATCGTCCAGCCCACGCATATTTGAAGGCTGATTCAAGGATAACCCGTGAACACTCCCAAGTCATGCTGGAAGCCCTAACAACTCTTTGGAACTGACCCAAGTGAATGACCAGTAAGAGATACAGGTGGGCATTTTGTGCATGACACGTGGATTGAGGTGTGTTAGGTTTGGTCGTACACGGCGCAGGTTTCGAGGCTTCCAGGCTCCTCTACTTTGTTCGCCGATTTTGTACTATCGGTACTAACCCGGGGATACAATTGATGGATGGATGAAACTGATATCTATTTGATTATGAGTCTATAACTTCCCGTACTTTCTTGTTCCAACATTCCGACTAGCACTAAGCGCCAATCCAACCTGCGTACTCAACGCGACGACCTCTCCGTCTTGATCCAGAACGGTAACCCCCAAGTCTGTTCTTCCATCCCTAACAACCTTGGTGACAACACGGCTATAAAGCCATTCGACCCCTTCAGCTGGCAGATGCTTCTTCATATCCACATTCAGCGTAACAGTAGGATACCAATTCTTAGCCTTCTGCCCTTCAGCAGAGCCCCCATTCTCTCTCGCTGCCGCCTCAGCAGACATGGTATCAAACCCATCCAGGGCCGATGGGAACATATCAATCAAGTAAGCAACTGCAGCGTTCGACCACCGCCCATTCACATCCCCACCAGGCCGGAAACGCGCCCACTGGTCAATACTCAAACCTCCACCCTGCTTCTGCAGCGAGTGCCCGTTCTTGGGACCAAACAATTCGGTATGCGTGCCAGCCTTTCGGAACTCAGGGAACGGCGGTTCGATCTTCTGCCATGCGCCATCGGAGCCAGTTCGTCCCAGCGCAGAGAGATCAACCGATCCATCGGCGCGCGACCCAGATGCAGGCGCAGGTTGCGGCTTCCACCCTGTTTTGGCGCTAATGCCTACCTCCGCGTCGGGCGGGCTGACTGTGATGTAGCCAGCTACCATGGTTTCAAACGTCCCGGGCTTCTTTTCAGAAGGTTGGAGCAGCTTGATGTGGATGGTGCTTGTGCGGGCTCCGATCTTGACATCTTCCACTTCAAAGGTGGCGGGGCCTGAGGCTGTGCGCCGGAGAAAGGAGAGTTGCAGTGAGATTGGCGCTGCTGGGCTCTTGTATTGCTTTGGGTGGGCGTGCGCAAAATGTGTTAGGGCCAGGTTGTAGATAACGGCTGTTGTGTAGCCACCGTGGGGGACTTTATTTTATTGTTAGTGTTACGTGGCTCGTTGTTTTTATTGTTGCTGCTGTGGGGGCTATACCGGTTCCAATGCACCATTCTGGCCGAAGGTAGGCGCTGTATCGGTTTTCGCCCTGAGGAGTGACCTTGATAGCCTCCTCGAAGAAGGAATTTGGTGCCATGATTGTGGTAAATTATGTATGTACAAAGAGAGCACCAGAAAGAGAGAGAGGGATGTGTAGATTCCAAGGTTCCTCTTGTACGGAGTACCTCGATCTCCGACGAACCTCGGCTGCCGGTTCGGGGCCCACAGCCATGGTTTGTCATCGCCTCATTACGCCCGCACCCATGGATATCTCGGTTGAAGTACAGTATTAAGCAATTTTGGAAGAATAGCAGTTGGTTAAAGTAGTAGTAATTTATTGAAAGATATGTGAGATTATCTCAAACCTCAATGTATTTATGTGTTCCATGCAAATGTATCTACCATGTCAATGTGTGTCCACTGGAAACAGACCGCGAGAGATGTGATGTATGCTAGCATCAAATTATAGCCCCCAACAAAGGAGACTCTGGTTCTTCTTGATATCATGTATTCGTCTTCGCATGTTCACATCTTCAATGCTTCGTGTATTCATACGGCATGTCCCATCACTACCGCAAGGGCAGTGTTGTCCTATCTTGGGAAGCCAGCTGTTGCAGGCAAGAAAGTACACCTGGAAAAAGAATTAGTAACTTGTCAAAATAATCACTGCTGACACTTACCTGTAACTCCTTGCGTCAAGGTTGCCTTGGCCTCCGTACTGCGTGAGCCTAATGTGACGGTCATGGCATAATCAACAGCCTTGGCCTTCTGAAGCTTGTTTGCCCATCGGAATACAGGCTCATCTTCACGGTTGTCACCCACAATCAACAAAAAGTCGGGCTTGACAACATTCTCCCCTTTCTCGACATTTGCTGAAAACCATTTCCAAACCAACTCGGCTGCAGACGCCTTGTTAGTATGGGTGGTTTCCACGATCAACGCGCCCTCGGCGGAGATAGCATGTACGCCTTGGTTAGCGCAAGAATCATTGATGTTGCCGGCGCACTCGGCAGCCAGTCGAGTTGCAATGTGGCGATCTTCGGCAGATCCGTGGTGGAAAACGAGTGAACAGTGACGCTCCTCGATCCAACTACCTTCAATACGGGCATTGAAGTAAGCCAGGATATGGGACACTGATGACTTCCACGCCTTGACATGAACTTTGTCTGCGAGATGAGTCCATGTGTCACCACGAGGTTCGCGGACGAAGCAACCATTTTCAGCGATCAATCCTAGATTGGGGACTTGTCGGAACAGCCGTTCCATCTCTTCAGGCATGCGAGAGCTCATAACGTAGACAACATTAGCTAAGTCTTCGGTGAGTTCGGTCAAAGTCGTGATTGCGCGCTGCGGTGTGGTCAAAATGATGCTGCGAGGTGAACCCCACGAGGCTAGAGTGCCTTCATAATCAAGAATCATGAGTCGTTGTTTCGACTCACGATAGCGCTCAGTCAGCCGAGATACAGAGAGTCTGGGCACTGCCATAATCTCGCGCGATGATTGCTCATTCCAAACGCCTGTGAGTGTTTCACTGAATGATTTGACCCAGTTGGCCGTCGAATTTTGCAAAACCGCGCGGAGCATTGCTTCCCAAACCTCTTTTCGTTCTTTTTCATCGCGCGTCAATGCAGTGTGAATAGCTTCCGCACACTGGCGATAGTCCCAAGGGTTGACCAAAAGAGCATGGTTTCCGAACACAGAGGCACTGCCAGTGAACTCACTCAGAATCAGAGACCCGTAAGCTTTGTCTCCATAGCTTCCATCCTGGCAATATACAAACTCGTGGCTTGTCAAGTTCATACCTTCACGCAGACTGGTGATCATCAAGGCATCTGCTACAGTGATCAAAGCAAGATACTGCGGGAAGGCCAAGTCTTGTTTTAGGAAGACCAAGGGCTGATGCGCGAGCGTGGAATGGGTGGAGTTGATTCGCATGGCGATATCAGAAAGAGTTGCCTCAAGTTCAGGTTGTTCCGTAGTGCTAGTTGCAACCTGAATCAAGACAACTTTGTCCGCCCATTCTGGATTACTGTTCAAGAACAGCTCGTAGCTAAGAAGCTTCTGACGAATACCTCGAACAGAATCAATCTTGTCACGCGAAACAATGAGGCGTTTCCCTTGGTAGCGCTCCGAGATTGTGTCGACCCAGCGCTCCACGTCTGTTAACTGGCGACGTTTGTCCCAGGAAGTTGGGTCAATGCCGATAGGGAATGTACCAACGTTGACGAACCGATCTTCCAGTTGAACACCTTCGGGGGTTGCTTCTACACAGAGAATTCGACTGCATGTCTGCAGGAAGTGCCGGCAGTATTCATCTGTCTGGAAGCCGATCAAATTAGCACCAAGGATTCCCTCGAGGAGCTCCTTTCGGGGTGCCAAGCACTTAAAGACTTCTGAAGATGGGAACGCAATATGCAAAAAGAATCCAATCTGTGCATCGGGAACCAGCTTGCGGAGCATGGCAGGAACAAGAAGTAAATGGTAGTCTTGGACCCAGATCGAGTCGCCTCGTTTCCAGTGCTTCGCAATGCGCTCCGCAAATGCCTGATTGAGTTTGACGTAATAGATCCATGAATGATCTTCGTACGCTTTGCTCTTGGGGTTATCCGGGATCTGATAATGGAATACCGGCCACAGGATTGTTTTGCAGAAATGAGTATAGTGGCCGTCAAAGTCACCGTCATTCACAAACACGGTTAATGACTCGTACTCGTCCTCCAACTTCTCTGAGATGTCTCGCCGGGTCCATTTCGCGAGAGCATCAGTCGGCATACCCAAAGTTCCTACCCACATCATCTCTTCCAAGACCCCAGCGTCTGTCGCTGAACGGACAGCGTTGCGAAGGCCACCATTGCCCTGTTCAGCGGTTTCAATGCTCCATTCGGCTTTTGAGAATGAGACTTTCCGGTTTGCGACGCTAGCCTTCCTGAGTCCAGTATACGTAGCAGCAGGTTGGGCTGGTGGAGCCCGCTGCGGCACGGATTCCTTGGCGGGGTGGGGATCTAGGTGTTTGAGGATGGAAGGATCCGGTGACAGGGTTGCCTGCGGCTTCGGTTGGTTGAGGGAGGTCGTGGCTCCCCATGCAGGCGAATGGCCCTCACTCTCAGTGAGCAGTCGGTTATCCTCGACAGAAGCGGGGAACGGATACCCGCTTTTCTCTTGCTCGGCCTGTGCTACGTTTGAAGCGAAAATGCGCTCATGATCGGTGGTAGCCCCTGGTGTGAGACCGGGTGTTTTCCCGGGTTTTGCCTGCCCGAACAGACTGGCCGCGGCCTGGGGGATGGGGGTGATCCCGTCTACAGTCGGGTTTGCAGATGGGGGGTTGACCGGGGTACGGTGATTGCGTGAGTTATCAACATGGAAATTGACTGTGTATGGAAGAAATCTACAATATGAGTTAGCAGGGGATCAAAAGTTGTAATCCGGTAGTTACTTACAAAGATGCAATGAAGACCGTCATGATGATCGACAGAGCCCAATCTTAGGCAGATGAATGGGCAAAGATCAAATTCAAAAGAGAGAGCTTGAGGTCCGAAAAACGGAAAACAAATGCAACGATGAAGCGAGTGCCAGCTGGGTGTTGGAATTGAAGCAAAATGAAAGGAAAAAAAAGGTCAGTTACACGATTTGGTTTCTCATGACTACGTCATGTGAAAGCGTGTGGACTGAAGAAGCAAGTTTCTTCGAATGGGTCTACCAGGACACCTAAAATGAGAAGACGGCAGAGATCTCGACTGCTTAGTTCTACCTGTCAGGGCGCTCTGCATAGAATTTATTTTAAAAGAATCAGGGAAAGATGGAGCCATCTTCAACTATGATCTCAACGCATTACCAGCTCTTACTGGTTTTACCCCACACCGACGGGGCGTCTCGCCATTTGGGGGCTCTCGTACGGTAATACAGTTACAGAACTATGACCCCACGTCTGTGATTGGCGGAAACTCTTAGACTTTAGGTCACCTGACATGGATAATATCTGCGACCGAGTCCGGTCGTCCTGATATAGCTCATCTACTAATGCCATGACACTGCGCCTCACGTCCGCTCCGGTATCAGGCGTCAAAAAACGAAAGTCCGCCGCGAAACCCCGAGCCTCGCCCTTTGCCGGCTTCGCGCGCCGAAAACCTACATCTGGCGCCACCAACTTGAAGCTTGCAGACCTGGATCAGGATGATCCGCTTCCAGATGTAGGTGGGTCGCACTTCATAGCGCAGACCGCTCCAGTACAGAATGTGCTCCAGGCCATTCGATATATTCGCGATAGCATGTTCGAAGAACTTCCAGCGCGAGCGGGGATGAACAGTACGCGAATCGCCGAACTCCTCAATCTCCGTCGATCATTACCTCCACTGGCATCAGTGGCCCATGTGCATACCTTGCTAGAGGCGCCAACACAGGTGGAAAGAGAGATCGTTGAACTGGTACAGACTGGTCAGATTCGGCGGCTCATCATTCCGGGTCGGGGAAACGATGCGGCGGGGCTGGGCGACTGTTTGGTGTTAGCAGAGGACTGGGAGAGACTAGTGCAGGAAAGCCCTGCATTAGAGACACCAGTGAAGGGTGAGTTTGGGATGTGAGCGCTCGAAAACAAATTTGTCATTAACTTGGTTGTAGGGAAATTTCTCGATATTCTCAAACGCATGGGGACCTCCTCGGCGATATCGCAGGGTGTCTTCACCACGGATGAGTACAGAGCCCTGCTACGTGCTGGGTTCATAGTTTCCTCGTCATCTTTTACTCAAGGCTCACTCAGTATCGCATCCCTCCCCAATCTACCGACCATGGCAGCATCGTCCGCCAGTCGGGTCGAATCGGGTCGCTCTGCCTCCAACCCAGAGCGGCCTGTACAATCAGACTCTCAGGCCCGTGCTGCCACCCTTTTCTTATCTCTTCCCAACACGGGGTCATATCTCCGCTTACTGGGACTAGGTCGCGCACACCTTCTCGCGCTGCTCAAACGTTCTGCCTGTGGCGAAGCTCCTGTCGGTTTGGTAAAAGACCGGTGGGATGGAGCCGTCGAGACCGAGAAAAGCTTCCACTTGGCTAAACGAGCCCGCGGAGAGTTTGCCGGTGTTCTCCCCGGCAAAACTAAAAAGTGGAAAGAGTTGAATGGCATGCACTTCCGGTGGGTGCTCGAGGAAGCACTGGGCGCGGGGCTTGTTGAGATGTTCGAGACTGGCAGTGTGGGACCCGGAATCCGCTCTCTATAGTGTCGCCGTGTCAAATTACATGGGCAGGTACATTCGACGGTTGTCCAGGGGGTCTAAAGAAAAACATATCATAATGCAACACTCACTTATAATAAGGAAAAAGTAGAGCTATAAATCACCTGGGCATTCATGTTACGGTCTCTTTATCAACCTGCTTGACCGCACAGGGGCGTCACAGTTTGGCCTCGGGACTTGCGTGATCACCTTAACTGTTTAACTTCCCTTTTAGCTCTGATACGCCCAGTTGCTAGTTCGACCAATCTGCGGTTGGAGAATTAAGCGCAAATCGACCTTGAGAAATAAGTTCACAGTACGGCCCCCTGGGCAATGGGAGTACATGCTCAGGAGTACACCCGGGTGTTGGCTTCAATATTCCAAGGTTGTGCATGAAGAACGCCTGGGCAGTAGATAGGTAGCCGGTGGGACCTTCCAATACAGCTTAAGTACAAGATGCGGCGGTGTTCATATAAATCTTCCTGAGGAGTGTGACATTCCAGGTATCAGGGATATAAATTGCCCCAAACAAGCTTTGCCGATCCCACCCCAACCTTGGAACCGCAAACCTCCCATTTCCAAGATTCACATCACCAACAATGTCGTTTATAAGGCTAGAGCCCCATCCACTGAGAGACCTCCCCAGTCATACCAATTTCAAAGGACCCGAGTCAAAACCGCTAGATTCCTTGATTGATAAGCTCCTGCGCGATGAAGCTGAGCCCCTGCTGAACAAGCTCCGGACAGACCTACGAGAAGAGCCCAAACTTCGTCCTTCACCACCCTCCAAAGCACAGGTCAAACTATCTCAAGGAACTCTTCAAAATGAATTCTGGGTATGTCGCCAAAGTGACCACCAAGACTCACCCGCCGACGGGACAGGGTCCTGGCGCGAGTTTGAGAACGGTTTGCGACATGACCATGCCGAGCACGAAATGGAGTATACACCCAGCGTGACAAAAGTCAAACAACTTCTGAATTGGAACCAGGACGGAAGCTGGGATCCTAATATGCGAATTGAGGTGTCTGATAGAAGATACAAAGACTTCATCGTCGAACGTATGTTAATCCAGCCATAGCAACTCAAGCCAGGCTAACATATCCCAGTCAACTTGATTGTCCATACTTTTCACCCAGGGGCCCTCATTAGGCCTCGAGCATTTATCTCTTGGACTGTATCGGCGGCGGTCAGCAAGATCACGCCGGAAAATGGATCCGAAGCGACAAGCTTCATTACTATCCAAGTCCCGTTCCGTCTATCAGATGCTGCCGAAGATCCAGTAAACCAACAGCTCTGCGCAGATGTTCGAGCCTCTGTTCCACCGCGCACGATCTTCGCTCACTATGCGAGTATCGAGCAAGTTGAGCTACTCCACCCCTCTGATTCCTCCGATCGCATGATTCGGTGGACTATGGCAACAGCATCGGAAGCTGGCGGGAAAATTCCACAGTGGGTTCAGCGAAACTGGACACTGGGTGGGGTCCCTAAGGCTGTTGTTGCTGATGTAGGATTGTTCATTGGGTGGATAATGAAGCAGCGAGGGCAAAGGGGGAGGCCCTTGGAGAAATAGATTACAGCATTCTACTTTCACACTGTGATCTTCACAGATACCTATCTATTCGCGACTCGATCCTAATGGTTTAGCACCCCAAAATACATATGCAATTCAAGACACAGCTTCGTGCAGCTGCGACAAGCTATCCCATGGGCTTAAGCCTTGGCAACAGCCCAAGCCTGTAGCGCAGCACACAATCCAACAACGGAGGCAGTATCTTTGATGCCGTGTTTAGCATACCAGAAAGAGCTAGCCCACAGGAGGACATTCATGATACCAGCAATGGCTTTGGTCAATGGCTCATGGAGCAAGCTGGGGTCGCGCGCCCATTGCCAGTGGAGAAGACCTGCCCTTGTTAGAAACGCACAAGATGAGGTAGCATATGAGGTTACTTACCGGCGATAAGCAAGAACCCACTCCCCTATGTGGAGCCACATTAGCAACCTGGGAAAGCATACATTTTTCGAACTTTCGATATTCGACTGTTCACTGGGCACACGCACCTGGTACCAGCCCACTGTCCCACTAGCCCAAGGCTTCGAGCCTGCGATAGCCTTGAATCTGGGGTCGGATGTCCACTCCCTGCCCATGATCTACAGAGATATTAGTGCTTGTGATAGGGGCGAGAGTGAGGACGTGGGATTGAGTACCGTGTGTCCTACGGAGAGGAGCACGAAAGAGCCGGCGGATATCTGCAGCAGAGAAGGAGACATGACTTTTGCAAAGGGGATTGTGTAGAGGGTAGAAGATGGAGAGGTTGCAGAACGTACAATTTAAAGCCTCGGTACATGGGCCGTGCTGAGTGGAGAAGTCCGAGGTTTGGTTCCTGTGAATATCACTACAGCTCTGCAGTTGCGAATTGGGAATATTGAGTTAAAGGGTATATTATCACTATAGAATATCATAAGGAATAAACTCCAAATCCAGCGTAACCCATGCACATGCACTAGAATCCATCGAGGGTGACAAAAGGACGAGGGCCAATTGCCAATTGTTGAGCGACCAATTCTTTCACCCCCACGACTTGGGACCAATTTTGAATTTTTGAGGCGCCAAACTCCCTCGGCCATTCAGATAGAAAGAGAAAGGGGGCGCGTGGTGCAGCTCGCCCTGTGTATATAAAGTAGGCTAGAACGAAAAGAGGACCCAGGTGTGGGACACAAAATGAAAGATAAAATACCGGGTAGAATCGAAGGTACCGACGCCGGCAAACTGTCGGGTGATCATGAAAGGCATCAAACTTGACGCCCGGGGTAGAATGGGACATTCAAAACGTATCGACAAAGTGGAGAAAGGGGGCGCTTCTGCCAGCTCACAGTGCTGACTCGCCATATCGTACAGATAGTCTAAGATCAGACTATCGCCCGTTGTTGTTAAGGTTGACTTCGACGGGCGCCGGAGGCGCAGATGAATTGGTCGAGGCGATGTGCGCCCGCAAAGCGGCAACCTCGGAGCGCAGACCTGTCATCTCTTCGTGCATAGTTCGCACGTGTGCCCATAGCTTGTCAATCTGACCTGGGTCGTTCGAGTTGGCATCTGGGGCTTCGGGTCCTTTATAAGTAGATAGGCTGTGTGTGCTGGAGTGGCTGTGCGAAGGAGTGTGTTTGGTTGCTGCCTGCATGCCGAATCGAGCATCGGGAGAGGTCATACCCGGCGGCAGAGGCAATTGTGGTACACCTGGCTGAGGGAGTGGCAAGCCAAGGGTGGGAGGTGCGTGATTTGTGGATTGGTTCGCGCGCCCAAATGAGGACTGGGGGTGTGGCAGAGACTGACCCATGCCGGGAGAGTGTGCGCGATGTGGCGGTGCATTGTCATGTTGCGACGACAAGGCGTTCGGGGACAGAGGCTTAGGACTGTCGCTTAGGTTATTGGACGGGAAAACAGATGTTGCCGATGCAATCCCTGCGGGCGGGAAAGTCATGCTTCCAGATTGCGAAGCTGCTGTTGATGGACTCCCTCCATGGTTGGTTGGAGGTGGGAAGAGGTGGTTGGGACGACCGGCTGCGATCGGTGGGTAGGTGCTAGACTGGCGCGAGGTGATTGAATCAGATCGAGCGGCAGGGTCGGATTCATGCTTGCGAATGCTAGGCATGAGTCGTCGCTCGTCTTCCTCATCCATGCGCTCAGGCTCTGCTGTGTACATCAGACCATCCATGTCGTCAGCACCTCCAGTACCACCGTCGCCATATTCATCATCTGCGGCGAAGCTGCCCATGCTGGAGCGTCGACCTGCGCAGCCTGCTTGTCCCTTGTTGTGCCGAGCAAGCGCGTCACCCCGAGCAAAGCGACGTCCACATCTCGGGCAAATGTGCGGTCGCTCCCCGGTGTGAAGCTTTGTGTGACGCTTCAAATCATGAAGTCTTCGGAAACGTGACTGGCAGGTTTGACACACAAAAGGCTTTTCTTGGCTATGGGTGAGCAAATGGCTCTTGAGATTATGTTGCCGCGTGAATTCGGTCGCACAGTAGGGGCATCGGTGTTTCTTCGCGGAAGGAGAGCGAGGGCTACCTCGGTTATACCCCGCGTTGGGTAGGCTCAGTCCGCGACGCGGGTCGTTCATGGTCGGCATCGGATACGAGAAGGCTTTTCCATCATGGTCGATCTCGGAGTCATCGCGAGGCCGTCGATCTCCATCTTGCGAAGTCGATTCTTCAATGGGACCGGGGCTTGCGACAGTGGAGGTATGCATCAATGAACCGTGATGATCATTTGATCCATACGGGTCCGATGGTGATCCGTTCGCGTGGTCGATTTGCATTTGCTCCGGGGATGCGTGGACCGAAGGTTCGTGGAGGGTGGCACCCGGCGACTTTTCGCTTGCGCCTAATGCCTCTCGGGCCACCTGTGAACTCTTTCGTTCTGCATCCTTCTCGTGCTCCGGGCGATCCGCCGGGGCTGAGATCGGGCTCGTCATTGAAGGTTGATCACTGGATCGCGAGACGTGTAGGCCGGCACTGGCGATGGAGCTCAGGCTGTCGGTCTTAGGTTGAGGTTTGAAGAGAGATAAAGGTTCGGGACTGGTAGGATTTGCAGACAATGTGTTAGAGACGGCGACGGGATCATTTGACATCAACGTCGCCATGGAGAAAGCAGGTTTCGCGCCAGCCTCGAAGGGTGGACGAGTGAAAGCGACAGCTACTTTGGCCATGTTAGCGGGAATGATTGGGAAGGAGAGAGAGGGAGGGGGACACGACTGACGTTCATCCAGTGTTTTGTCACAGATGTCAAGCAGGCGAAGTTTGGGGGAAGAGAGAGCGAAGGTCAGGGCGTGTGGGGCGTTTCTCACCAAGAGTGTGGCGCAAGCTGACGAGTGGTTTCAGCTTTCGAACTTGTCCAGGCAAAAAACGATCCACCGGAATGATCCCAGGGGGGGCTTGGACCTCGCGTTAGAACAACAATCCGGGAACGAGTGGATGAGAATCAAAGATCTGAAGAATTAGGAAGAAAATGAATTGACAAAAAGAAGCTGAAGGTGGGTATCCCGGTAGGCCATCAATACGCAGATCGGCCAAAACAGAGAAGCCTGACAAGGGGGAAACGAGTACGTGGGGACAACTGACAGAGTCGAGGCTCTGGGAGAGTTGAACCCTGAGGCAGCCAAGTACCCGGTACCTCTGTTTACTATACAGTGGCTTATCAATTACGCGGTACCCAGTACCTGATTAAGATTGAGGCTGTGTAAACCTCACGTTGTGGGGGCACGAGGTTTGCGGCTCTCCCAGCAATTCAGTTCAATTCGATGCTCAAACGAGTGTGTACAGATCTCAGAGAGACACTCGGGTTTATATACAATGAGGTCATGTTTTCCTCAAACCGGTATTTCGATTTTCACTTTTGGGTTGCCACCAAGCCCTGGAGGTGATGTCACGGTTAGAGCAGATCCGTACAAGTATCTACTCCGTAGAAGGAAACAGTCAGCAGCACGGAGTATTTATACTCAGTACGGAATGCGGTGTACGGAGTACACATTGCTTTCCTAGAGTATGATCGGTAATTTGGCTTGAACGTGACAGATGGCGCCCATGCTCTTCAAATGGGGCTTAGGCGGCTAGAAGATCTACGAGGCGGAGTGCTCCGTACGGAGTACGAAGAAAAGCAGAATACGAAGTAATATGAGGCTATTAAGCTTGTCCACAAATGTCCATGTAGGTACGGAGTACGGAGTACGGTGCATGTTCAATGCATATAATAGGGGGCGTTTAATAGTCTCAAGGCTTACTCCGTGCTCCTGACTAGAGTCGTCGACTCTGGAGTGCAACGTATCAACCCCGTCTACCGCCACATTGCATTGCCACTGCCCCATCCACGCGAAACAAGGAACCCCGTGGATATTCGGGTTCATATCCAACCTCCTTACTTACCTACATTGTAGGTACTCCACTTCCAAAAATAGTTGTGGCTGATTCACCTCGCCTCCCCTCATACCACTTTCTCCGGTATAAATGGTCAACACTGCCACCGGCGCATACACACCTACGTGTAGAGTTAGCACTTTGCATCAAGCTCCCAGTAACACAATTACTCCATGCCCGTCGAAATGAAAGTTAATTTTCGGGAGTGGAAATAAATGATGGAGACACCGGTACTCCATAACTCCTGGTAATATTGAATCAGGACAGGGCCCTGAGAGGTGAATGTAGATTATCCTGCATGAATCATGGTGCTGGTCGTGTCCTTCGCAGGCCAATATTCTTCAACATCGTGGTAGTACTATTTCACCACTCGGACAGGGCATCGTCAACGTCTACCCGCTGAGGACCTCGGAACCTGGAATTCTCGAAAGATTCAAGACTAACCTGAAATTCCTCAACTGGCTTCACATCTGGAACTAAGCTCCGATTGAGCCATTACAAATAGGTCCGCCGCAAGGTAACATCCGGTCAGACAGAAATTGGTTTGTGGGAGAACTGGAAGGCATGAAGTATACACAGTCCAGGAGCATATTGATGAAGCCTCATTTTGTTTAGCTTGACGCTTGATCTCCAAGAAGAAATTCGAGAAACGACATACAAACAAAGGATCCCCAAAAGGGTTACTTCTGGAACCTTGGAAGGCAAATAAGGAAAGACGACAGGTCCCTCATTGAACTAATCGCCTTTAGATGGAAGAACCTAGCGGCTTGTTCCGCAAGTCGGAAGTAATATCCCAGGAGTATCAGTGCTACTGGTACGTACCACTCCGTAGCAAGGGCGACCTCGGGAACTGAAAGAGCGGGTCTTGACTCTTGACTGCTCATATGATTGGGCCAAAGGTCATCGGCTACTCTTAACCTTAAAGCTTGACAAAGCCTGAAAACCAGGAGATCTTACCGTATACATGGTCACTCTCTAAATAGCACGGTTCAGTCACAATTTCCCAACCGGGTTCTTCAAATCGGGCTTTTGACTGACACTGTAGTCCACGAGTGATGCAAATTCTTCACAATGGACCCACTGCATTCTCCCTTGCGTCTGTTTCCCAATCTCCCGATGTGTGAGGATCCTATAGTATACATTCCTATCTTTTGATAGCGTATTCTTTGTTTCTTTTTGGAGCCCCTGGCCTTCTTCACAGATCGCCTCACTTCTAATGTTGACCTCGGGAGCTTTCCGATCTATTGCTTCCAAGGTTGGGCCACCTGCTGCTTCCGTTTGCTCAATCGTGGCCTGTTTCCCTCAGTGTTCGCCGTTCTCACTCACATTATATTGTTACCCATTGTCAGCTCCTCTGGTGGCTCTATGCTTTTTTCTCTCCTTTGCCTCAAGTCTCAGAGTCTGAATTTGCATTCTCGAAATGGCAGTGTCAGCCACCGGCAAGCCCATCACCCGCCTTCGCATCCCTCTGTATCAGCTGGTACTCTCCCAAGATACTGTCACCGATGACGTTCTAAATCACGAGTGGGATGGCAGTGGGACAGAACAAGACCCATACCTAGTTGAATGGCTGCTCGAAGATTCTCGAGATCCCCATCAGATGCAGAACTGGCTTAAAATGACAATCACAATCCTCCAAGCTGCATCCTTCCTTTCGATTACGTTTGCTTCGTCCGCCCTCTCAGCTGCCAACCCGCAAATCCAGGAAAGTTTTGGAGCCAGCGATGAACTGGTGATTGCTGACACTTCGCTTTTTGTTCTGGCTTTTGCAATTGGACCGGCGATTTGGGCTCCATTGTCTGAAATCTTCGGTCGTCAGGTCATTTATTTCATCACTTACGGCTTGACCACAGTTTTGGCTGGAGCAACAATCGCAAGTCCGAACATCACGACATTGTTAGTTCTCAGATTCTTGACAAGTGCATTTGGATCATCGGCCATTTCCAATACCGGTGCTGTGATTTCGGACATGTACGAGGCTCGCGACAGAGGAATAGCAACAATTGCATATGTTGGCGCACCACTTTTCGGCCCTAGTCTCGGGCCAATTACGTGTGACTTCCTGGCGGTGTCCAAGGGCTGGAAATGGGTACAGGGTCTCATTACAATCTTCAATGGAGTGGTGTTCCTGGTGGGCATTATCTGTATCCCCGAGACCTACACGCCTGTGCTTTTACAGAAACGCGCCGCAAAGCTTAGCAAAATAACAGGAGCTGTATACAAGAGCCGTCTTGACGTAGGCGAAGCTCATCGAACAGCCGGTCAGATCTTTGCCAAAACAATGGTTCGGCCATGGGTATTGCTTTTCCTGGCACCAATCGTTCTACTGCTGTCTATTTACATGGCAATCAGTGAGTCCCCGTTAGATCATATTTGAGCTCATGCATGTGTTAGGAAAGCTAATGCACATTGCCCATTAACAGTTTATGGAACCATGTACATGGAGTTTGCTGCCTTTCCTATCGTCTTCGAAGATACTCTCAAATGGTCACAAAGCACCTCAGGCTTGTCATTTTTGGGAATGATGATTGGGCAGATTCTTGGTTGCGTCTACTCAACCTTTGATGACAGGCGTTATCAAAAGATAGCCGATAAAACTGCCTATGGTCGTCCGCCCCCGGAAGTTCGATTGATCCCAGCTATGGTCGGCTCAATCACCCTTCCAATTGGACTGTTCTGGTTTGCTTGGACTAACTTTGCTGGGATTCATTGGGTTGTATGTGAGATCGGAACTGTTCTTTTTGGGTTCTCCCATGTTACAATCTTTTTGAGTATCCTGAACTACTTGGTTGATGGCTATACGATTTATGCCGCATCCGCACTGGCAGGCAACGCTGTCATGCGTGCAGTTTTTGGCGCAGCATTGTAAGATGATCTTTTTTTATGCCAAATTTGGGAAATCTCACTAACACAATCCTTGGGCAGCCCTCTATTTACTACTCCAATGTATAAGAGTCTTGGGGTTCATTGGGCCTCCTCCATCTCGGCTTTTATGGCCCTCGTCTGCTTGCCGTTCCCCTGGATATTCTACAAATACGGACCACCCATCCGCCGGCGCTGCCAATATGCTGCTGAGTCTGCCCGCCAATTAGATGCTATGGCTGATCGCATGCGGGAAAAGACGGAATTGAAGGCAAGCACTGAGGCAAAGTCAGAACATGGGACCAGTTTGATCACTAGCCTTGATGGTAGACCTACCAACAATTAACCGAGCGTCTGAAACAATAGACTGGATTTTATCCCAGATCTGGTGAGTTGGGATCAATATTCCACCTCGGGACTTTGGTGCCCATTCTTTTCGGCTCATATCTACTTTCAAAACCAGCAGACATCACCTGAAAATATGATCATAAGATAGCTCTATTAATATCTTCCATTTTCAACGAGCCTCGGAGGAAGATTTGGCAAGGAAGCAAGCCCCTGATGTATTCTGTACTACGCGCTGGAAAGGTAAACCCCCCCCCCACCAAGAGACTATTATCTTCCATACAGCGTCTATTGGTTCTTCGTCGTTTGTGAAATGTCGAGTAATATTTGAAGACAAGTTCCACTCATCGGTCATGGACTTGCCTTGGATTGAAAGGCGTCATCCGGCGGTTGTGACCAGCCAGTGATAGGCGAAAAAAGGAGGATGAAGTGATGGAACAGACGGAAAAGGTAGGAGATGTTTGAGCCGTGGAAAGTTGGCGCCCTACTAACGGGGTCTCTCGACATCCATGAATGGTGGCGGGCGGGTTCCTGGTCTACCGTATAGTTATGACGGGAGTGACAAGTTTATAGACAAGGGAAGGATGCAGGGCAAAGTGGACCTGGGTATGGAATAACAACACTATCAATACTCCGTACTTTGTGTGTTATGCTCATTCGACATAGCACCATCAACATCTAATCATTCAATATCTACGAAGTAAGAATGGTGAGTGCTGTCAGGAGATAAAACCGCGTAAATGTGTCAAAATGCCTGTTCAAATACTCCGTACTCCAGTAGGGCTTACTCTCAACTGTAAATCGTCGAATCAGCCTGAAGTACAGAGTATAGAGTACGAGTGTAGTACACCAGCTTGAAAGACTATCACCAAGACGTAAGCAGGAAGGCTTGGCAACGAGCTCCTAATGCGCGAGGTACCGCCCGTCACGGGTGTGATCGGTCTCCCACAGCACGCATAATTCCCGCAAAAATAGCCAGTGCACAGACTATTGTTTTTGACGCTCGACCAAAGCGAAGGTGGTTGTGAAGATTGTCCCCGGGATGATATTATCCACTCATTTGAAGACCAGCCTCCACCCTCAATTCTCCAGCGGTTCAGCAACGCATGTGGTTGGTCAGACGATCGGCGGATTAGCGCCGGTTGGGGTGACAAGAGGTGCATCGAGAGGAGCAAGCAGGGCCTTTACACGATCTGACTGGCCCACTGCTCCACTGTGACAAGCTTGGCTGATCACTCCCGCCATCCAGTCACACTTCCCCCTCAACGCCTCGAGGTGCAGTGCACTCGAACGGCCTCGACGGCAGCGGAATCTCCCAATCATGGCCCTGGCCGCTGTTGCAAATCACCTCCGGCGCTTACTCTAACCCGGCTCGAGTGATGAGAGCCAAAAGCCTGCATTTTAGGTCCCCGCCCTCGGACCAGCAAACATTATTGATATCCAAAGGTGCCCAGATTCTTGCAACCTTTTGGCTTTCATTTTTGTCTGTCTCAGGTCACCTTTTGCTCGTTATACCCGTGGACGCAGGCTTCGCACACGGTATTGGTGATCTACTGCAAAGTCCAACATAGCTCAATCACTGTCCAACCCTTGTGTGATATTTTGGTGGAAAACCGACTCTTTCCCTGTCGCATTTTCGACCCCAGTCCCCTGAGCTTCACATCAAGAGCTGGATCTCTTGATTTAATTGTACGAGTAAACTGTCCGACTTTTCCTCTTCAATGATGGATCATCACGACGACAGCCGCAATTACTCACCCCAGACCTACGAGCCTGTTGTCCCCGTGGATCTCACCCGGGCCTCTTATCACAGCGGAATGGGTCCCCTTCCACAGCACACGGTCCAGGAGACCCGCAGCTCATCGGAGAACAGCAATTCATCACTCAAGAGCCCACGCACCGCCAGATTTGCCGAGGCCACATCGATACACTCCCCGATTGAGCAAGCTCAGCGGTCACCTTTTGCCGACCCTCCGAAACCACAATCCAAGGGAGACGTTGGTGATGTTGGCTTTGGCTATGTGGCAGCGAACAATTATCATGCGAATGATCAAGTGCCCATGTCTCCATTCAGACCGGATCTGAAGGTGCCCCAAACAGCTAAATCACTGAACCCGCTCAGCCCGACCTTCCGTGAAGAGTACATGCTTGAGAAGCAAGAGAAGAAAGCTGACGTTGAGAACGCCCGAGACATCGTAAGATTTCCTCGCATATTTCAAACCTGTGTCATCAATTGTACTAACCCTCACCAGAGAATCAAGCTTCGTGTTCGCATTGCGAAGGTTTTCTTGCGTTTTGTCAACTTTGGCTGCAGTCTTATCGTTTTGTCTCTTCTGGCCGTCACATTGACCGTTTTCAACGCAACCAAGAACCTGCCCACTCGCAACAGCCTTCCTGCCTGGGCAGAGGGAACCAATCCGTGGGCTCAGTATCTCCTTCTGGCCATGGCCTGCGTCTCTCTATTTGCCTGTTTGATTGTCTTCTGGGCGTACCGAAAGGGCGGCCACCGACGTGCCGAAAAGGCAGCGGTTTACTATACCGGGTTCTCAATTGCCTTCTTCGCCTTCAATCTCATCATGTGGATTGTTGGCGCCGCAGTCTACCAGCATTCTAAAGCCACAGGAAACAACAAAGACATGTGGGGCTGGTCCTGCGCACAAAACACTCGCGAGCAGATCTATCACAACAGCGTCGACTACGCTCTACTCTGCCGCCTCCAAGACTGGGGCCTCGTCTGTGCCATTATCGAAGTCGTCATCGAGGTTCTCGTCATCGCAATTTACGTCGTTGTCTTCTACCGCGTCTGGAGCAAGCGCAAGCTCATGAAGTCAATGGACACTCGCGACAACGCCCGCTCAGATCTCTACCTCGCCCAGCTGCGTCTCCAGTCTGCCCCCAACACCCCCGGCTTCGCGGGCTTCAGCTCTTACCCACCCAAGTCCCCCTTCTACGCTGCCGCGCCGGCAGACCCCTACTCGGCCGCCGAGAAGGGCCAGTCTGCGCCGACTCAGTATGCGTCGCCGCGCTCCCCTACCCGTCCCACCCCAACTTTCCAGCTCCAGCCTCCTCCCATCAAGGTCCAGCAGCCGACACCTCAGACTGCACAGCAGGAGTTCGCTCCTTACCCACAGACACCATCACCGCCGCCTTCCAGTCAGCGCGTGAGCCCGCCTGTGCATGCCATTAGTCCTCCGGGCGAGCGCACCTACGCCGCTGTGCCGATTCCTGGTGCGTACGGGAGTCCCATGGCTCCTACATTCCCGGCTCCTGTGCATAGATAAAGATTGCCTGGAAATCATGGGAATCAAGCACAAATGAGCAACGTGATATGCAAAGAGAAAAATTATTATCATCAAAGAAAAAAAAACTTGAAAACTTCAAAATGTGAGATTCTGGTCATCATTATGATTGACCTACATCAAGCCCCGGCGGATCGTCTGTCCTTTCTTTTTCTGTTTCCTTCACCTCCTCTCTATGGAGTTTAATGTACACCTCGGGGCGTTTTGGTTGAGATACAGATACCTATTTGGGCTTTAGTACACGGTTCGTGTATTCACTTTATTTTCAAATTTTGGTCGTAGTCCAATGGATGAATGCAGCTTCACCTCTTAAGGCTAGACTGACTCCTCAAGCCTCTTCCAAGGTTTCAACACCGTACACCTATGTAGCAGTAGATATGCCAGGAGGCTAGGCCGTAAGTTTTGGTGCCCCGATTGATCCTTTTATGGGGGTCTTCGGTATTCAGGATCTAAGTCCACCCGCCTTGGTGTAGGAACCTTAGCAGCAACATCAGACAAACCTAGCCTTGAAGCTAGACCGCAAACATTAGTGACAATTACAGACGGGACAAGGGTTGGGTTCCAAGGGCATTCTAGAGCCCCGGACCTCGGGAGTATGTATGTGTGAAGTTATTTGAATTCATGAAATAGAGACAAAAATAAGGGCTGGCAACCCAAAACCTTGTAAGGACCCTAGAACACCATTCACTGCGAACAGGAAAAAGCAAAAAACCCCAACGCCGCAAGGATCTACCGAGTCACAATTGTCCTCTCTGTCCATCACTCGTGATCAACATGCAAATCGTAGTACTTCTACCCGCAACAACTGTACATGCGATGAAACCAAAGGCTTACATCCCACCATCTTCAAGGATAGCGTGGACATCCCTGGAAACAAAGATCTCTTCCAGGGTAGCCGCATCAGCGCCGACCTTGCTGAGATCACTCTCAAGGACAAGACCCTGCTCGTTGGCGAGATGAAGTAGACAAATGAAACCGAACGAGGTACTGATATCTCGCAATGTCTCGGCTGGATATACAGCCTTGAGTGAGTTCATGATGTGCGTGAATCTTAGTCGACCAGGATCCTTGGTGTCGACAGGTTGTTGTGGACTGTTGGCCTTCGGTGTGAGGGGGGCAGGGGCATCTGCCTCACTTTCAGGCTCTGGTTCTGACGGTGCTTCGCTAGATACAGCACCAGGCTGTGAAGCTGAAGCGAAGTCAACGGCGTCAACCAAGCGCTCGCCCATACCCTTCCACATTTCGGTCTTGAGACGTCGAACGTCTACCTTCTTCGCGACACGCGCGTATGCCACATAGTCGGGTCTTGCCCGACGACCACCTTGAGTGACCAGCTGTGAGCCGTAACCACCCTTGCTGGGTGTGGCGCCGACCATGTTCAAGAGCGCACTTAGGCCAGTTTGGCCACCTGGTTCGCCGGAGGATGCGCCTGCACCGCCGTCTGGCGCTGGGGACAGCATCTCCCGAGCATCCGCAAATGGCAGATTGTCGTCATCGTCGTCGAGATCAATGCCATTGGGGAAAGCAAGACCGTCGTCATCGGCGAAGAAGTTAGCATCGTACGCACCAGCGGCGCCTTCCTCGCCAGCATTCTCTTCCGGCTTGTGATTAGCCCAGAATGCCTCATCCATGTCACCGTTGCCGGATGTTAGATCCGGGCGTCGGCGCTTGCCTAGTACTTTCTTTGAGCCTAGCTTGGCTTTGGGTTTAAGGAAAAGAGTGAGGAGGTTGCGAGAGTTAAAGTGCTTGTCGTCGGGGAGGAGATTGCGCCCCTTTGTCTTCCATTGTGTCTTCGGCAATGAAACGGCCGAGTTTGAGCTAGCAGGGGTGTAGATCAACTCTGCCACAGCTGGATCAAGAGGTGCCGCAAAATCAATTTCGAAGGGCTCCTTCTCTTTGCGCGGTTTAGGGGCTGCAGTAGCGGCTGTTGCGTGGTCTTTGATTCGCCGAATCTTCCAGTGCTCCGGGCCTGCCCAATTCTTCTGTAGCGCATTATCGAAATAGCTGAGGATGTTCTCATGATCCTGATTGTTAGGCTGATGAGACATCGAGATGGCATATGGATCTTCATCGTCCTCTTCGCCTTCTCCTTCGTTGTCTCCAGCGTGGGCAACACGATGAACATTCAACATCGGCTCTAGGGCTGCTTCTCGGGCCCATGCCTCACCTCCGTCACCAAATCCAGTGTCACCACTGAGGTCGAAGCCGGCCAAGGTGCCGTCATCATCGTCAAACCCGACTGCATTGTCGTCATCCAGCATGATTCCAGATGGATCATCGGGTGCTCGTCCTTCTTCATCCATCTTGTCTTGTCGCCAGTCCTCGGGCGCTTTGAGGAGCGGAATATCCAACGATCCACTGGGATCACCCAGGTCGAGGTTCTTCAGGGAGGGGCAGATGTCTTGTTCGCCTAGACGATCCAGATCCGGGAAGAACTGGCTTGCAAGAGAACCGATGTCAATTTCCTTGTTATCTTCAAAAGTGTCACTTGCGGGCTGCTGGGCTGGTTTCGATTTGTCTTCGGTTTCCTGGTCGGGCTCTGCGGAATCTTGACGGTCATCCTCGGCTGTCTTGGCACTATCATCCACAGCATCGTCGCTGCTATCAAACACAATTCTTCCATGGCCATCTATGGCGAGATGATTCAGGAGCAATCCCTTAGCACCTCCCTCGTCGAAGTCTGCCGATGCCTTCTTGAACAGCGGGTCGACAGCAAATTCGAGCTCGAACTTCTTGAGTTGGAGTGACGCAAATGATGGGGCGAGGGTGGATTCGTGGGAACGAGTCTAACAGTAAGTCTTTTAGCGGAGATATAGACCTTTCAACTTTATCAAGCATACCTTCTTGCGCGACTTGCGAGGCTGACCATCTTCGCCTTCTTCATCTTCTTCCCCGTCTTCTACATCCTCTTCGCCACGCCCTCTTTTGTCGCGGCTATCGGCCAGACCACTCAAAAGTTTGCCAGTCTCTGTTGCGACACTGTCCACACGACTTGTGTAGATCTTCACGCAACCGTCAAGGGTACAACTAGCCTTCTGGAAATTCACACCGTCGCCTTCCTTCAGCAGAGACATATCGTGGAAGTAATCAATGAGCGCAAAGTTCCAGGAGTTGTTCGCATTGATCTTGTTATCAGTAGCCATCTTCATCCACTCTTCGAAATTTGCCAGAATGGGCACGCGCTTCATTGGTGTCACCGCGCGGCCATTCACATCGCTGACACGGCCACGGTGGCCCGAGCCTCGAGGAGTCGCGGGACTGTCACTTCCTTCACGGTCGTATGTAGTGAATCGGCGGGGGGGGCATAGGTGTTTTGACGGCAGCTTTGATCTGGCTCATTTGACGATCATGGAGCGCTTGGCGGGCCTCCATGCGCGCTGCCTTTTCTCCTTCATCATCGTTGAGGGGGATTCTGTCGTCGTTAGTTGCGCGTAAGCGGAATCGTTCTCCGGGCAACGTACTTGACTGGGGAGTTCTTATGGGGGGTCGAATTGCCGTTTGACCGGCGGTGCACCTTATTCGAGACGCGGGGCATGGTTGCGACTGCCCCCGATAGGGGATGGCGATAACGACGTATGGAAAGTTTGATGGGAGAGGGGCGATGAAGCAAAACAAATGGGGAAGTCAACAAACATACGGTTGCCACTGCGCTCCAATGACGCAGTACATTATGTAACATGTTGCCTCCTGGAGATTCAGGCACATACTTTAACCTAATTGGGTTAGTTGACTAGTCAACTCTTTATCATCCCCGGTTTCTGCAGACCACGATGCACCTTTGCACCGTTTCTTCAAATCCTACATACGGTCCCCTTGTGAACTCAACTGTTTGAATCACCCAGCTTCATTCGCAGTCTTGGCTCAAAGCTTTGCTTCATCGAATTCTTGGGCATAGAGGCCTCGATCATGAACACCCTCCTATCTATAAGTACATGTAGACCATTGTTAAATATGATCGGTCCTGAGGGTATGGCAAGTAGCAGATAAATCACAAGAAACTTGTACATTTTCAGCTCAGATCACGTTAGGCAACGCTTTGAATGAGCATGGATACCCAGTACTTCGTAGGACATGCCAGATAGGCAGAAACATGAGGCGGTGGCTAGCTTCGCAGGGAAATTGCAGAGTTGCAACTAGAGAAATCCCGGATTCTGCAAACACCCTACCCAAACTTGTGGCTAGGTATTCTTTGTGTTATTACTCCGTACTCGGTGATACTTCATGAAAGTCGATGCCGGGAACCCCTCCGTTGCTTAGCGTATCTTGCAGCGATCGGCACGCATTGGCCCACTTCCGAGGTCACTGCACCTGGAGCCTGCTGACATCACTGACTTCACCGCACTCGCGACACTTGCTAAACATCTGATGCTCGTTGGGCTTTCCAATGTCGGTCTCGGTACAGTCTGATTTATAGACCATCTGATCGGCCCACGATGCCACTGTGTTTTTCGTCATAATGAACAAGCTGCCGTACTTCCTGCAGCCTGCCGCCCGCCGGCACCAATATTCAATTCGACCGTTCTACACCTCGCTGATCGTGCTCTCGGTTCTTGCGACTGCAAGCTGGCTCTTCAGTACTACCGGCAATGGATATGAACTCTATACACAAGGCCCTGCAGCAGGCATCAACCTGTTCAAGCGCGAAGGCGAACCAGAGGTATCATTTCCCCTCCCTTGTGAGATGTGTAAAGGCTAATCTCTGTCCTACCTTGATATAGTGTCGCTCAGTTCGCAAGGCCCTTAATCAGTGCGAATTTGTCCGCGCCAATTGCCCTGATCATGAGGATGGCCTGATCTTCTACCTGCGGTTTTATTACTGTACCCTGACCGACGCCAAACCCGTGGCTTTCATAATCTTGATTGTTTGGCTGTCGCTACTGTTCAGTACCATCGGAATTGCGGCCAGTGATTTCTTATGTATCGATCTGAGCACATTGGCCAGCATACTGGGGATGAGCGAAAGTCTCACGGGCGTCACTTTTCTTGCGTTTGGCAATGGAAGCCCGGATGTATTCTCCACCTTCGCCGCCATGCGGTCGAACAGTGGGAGCCTGGCAATTGGTGAGCTAATCGGCGCCGCTACTTTCATCACATCTGTGGTCGCGGGCTCCATGGCTCTCGTTCGGCCGTTCAAGGTCGCGCGCAGAAGTTTCGTGCGAGATGTGGGTTTCTTCGTTGTGGCTGTTGTCTTCAGCATGTTCATGCTCGCGGATGGGAGACTGCACGCCTGGGAGTCAGCTACAATGGTAGGCTTTTATGCTTTCTACGTCATCACGGTGGTAACCTGGCATTGGTTCCTTGTGCGCCGGCGCCGGAGGCTTGAGAGAGATCTCGCAGCACGAGCCCATTTCCACATACCAGAAAATCAGGAATTGGAGATCGAGGAGACAGCCGAGGACGATGATCCGGGCGTGGCATCAGAGTCACGAAGCCTTCTTCGCGGTGCATCAAATGAAGATTTTGATCTTTTGGAGCGCGCTGAGGCTGTACCGATTTGGAAAGAGGAAGAAGACACCGAAGATGATGAAACTCGCAATCGATACCTTGCCGAGATTCGCGACAACATGCACCTTCACCGGCCTATGCGATCAAGGCGCAACACGATGAACCCTATCAGACCAAGTCTGGTTGGTGCTTTGGAATTTCAATCTGTGCTTCACTCGCTGCAGAAATCAAGAAGCGCCTATCACAACCCGACAATAAGTCTGAACAGCTACTCAGATGACGGCGAGGCCGATTTCGATAGGCGATCGATAGCATCGCACCCTCGCGCCAGCCGGCCATCTACCACCAATGACCGGCTTTCGCCTTCTAGCGCAGCAGGCTCATCGCGAATCCGAGCTGTTTCTGCAAACGACGCAGAGGGTTTGAAACTTGACACTAGTATCTTGGAGCCTCGACCAGCCCAAGGCCCTCTTCTCACTGTAAGCAAGCCCTCCTTCGAAGATACCCCGGGCGAAGACGCACTGCAGGCGCGCCAACTCCCTCGCATTGATACTGCAAATGCATTGGCGGTATCACAGCCATCCTCTGCCCATCAGTCATCTGGCGTGAGTCCCACCGGAGCAGATCCGCAAACCCCAGATCGCCTTGCCCCAGCGGACGCTTTCAACTCCCCAAATTATCAGCCATCAGGGGTACACGAAAGATCCCCAATGTCAGTCTCGCCTAGAGGTACCACAAATCGTCGTCATTCGGGCTTTGGTCTGGAAAGCCCCTCGGTTCCCTTTCCGTCTTATACAGATCTGTCCTCCCTCTCATCTTCGCGGGCACCCAGCATTCGACTGCCATTCCCTGCCAGTCCGTTGGAAAGGCTCCAAGTCCAGGACGACTTTGATAATTTCGCTCATGTAGGCTCTCCTTTCCGGAAATACCTGAGGAATTGGTGGCCTGACTCGATTCCTCCCCCTCAACAGATTGGCTGCACCCTCTTTCCCACATTGGCAGGCTGGAAGTCGAAGAGTGTCTGGGAGCGACTTCTTGGTATAATCGCAGCCCCCAGCGTGCTGCTGCTCACCATAACAGTCCCAGTCATTGAGCCAGAACCGCCAGAACCCATGGACTCGGATCCAATCCCCTCGGTCGTCATTCAAGACGTTGGAGATTCACAGGCCCCTCCACCTAGGGTCAGACTCCCGGCCGATAGTCCGGTCATGATTCCCCAGGAGCACGACCACGACGGGTCCCTGTCTTCCAATTTGCCCCCGACACACCCTCACCGCAAGATCTCATACGAACACTCCGGGCGCCCACGCTGGGACTCTGAACTACCACCTGTGCCTGTACCTGGCTCAGCAGATCCTATAGCCGTCAAGGACTGGAATCGCTGGCTAGTCTCAATCCAATTATTCACAGGCCCTTTCTTCGCCGTACTCATCGCCTGGACAACACTCGACGAGGATCTCGACCTTCACAACCTCATTCTGCCTACCCTCGTCTCCCTCCTCTTTTCGTCCATCTGTCTCACGTTCCTCATTATAAGTACCCGTCGTCACCAAAGCCAACGATCCAGTACAGATTTCACTCTTCTTTCACACGACTCTCAACCCCACACCCCAACCCTCCCTCCTCAATGGCGACCCTTCCTCTCTCTTCTTGGCTTCCTCGTTGCTATCTCATGGATCGCAACAATCGCCACCGAAGTCGTCTCCCTCCTCAAAACCCTAGGTGTCATTCTCAACATCTCAGACTCCTTACTCGGATTGACCGTCTTCGCAGTCGGCAATTCCCTCGGCGACCTAGTCGCCGACATCACCGTCGCTAGACTCGGTTTCCCAGTCATGGCCTTGAGCGCCTGCTTCGGTGGCCCCATGCTCAACATCCTACTCGGTATCGGGCTTGGAGGTCTATATATGACTCTCAACGGTGGCCAGAGACAAAACCAGGCCGTGGGGCTCCGAGACTCCGTTGGCTCGGTTCAAGTTCCTTACGAGATTGCCATATCCAAGGTCCTTGTCATCAGTGGTGCTACACTCCTGGCTATTCTTGTTGGTCTTTTGGTTGTTGTTCCATTAAACAACTGGAAAATGGATCGCAGGATCGGTTGGGGCCTTGTTGCTGTGTGGTGCGTGAGTACCTTGGGTAATGTCATAGCCGAAGTTTTCACTTGAGGTTCTTGGAAGTTGAACGTAAATTGAAGCGATCATTCTTTGGGGATATCTTTGGGCTTGGAGTTTTGTTTTAACAGTGGCGTTTTTCTGGGTTTTTTCTGCATTGCGGTTCATCATGTATACTTGGTTTGATGCACATTGAATACTGCACGGTCTCACTTCGCATGTGGTGGTAGTGGAAGACTCATGATATACGAATACACATGACCTCAGTCATTCTACTTTAAGAAACATACTCCTAGGTGTGACCTCGGGAGAGCAGATTATTGGGGTTAAAGCACCAAGGTGATAGACAAAATTTATGAGTATTCCAAAACAAAATACAGAAACAGCTAACTAATCAGCCCTCGCAATTATCAATTATGAATTGACTTCCTCAATCATCCACGATGTCACATTCTCTTCGTCGCGCATCTGTACAATATGTACTCTCAACTCAAACAAAACCAGACATCTTCTTCCTCAAGCTCACAGGACACGTCCAGCAGAAGAGCTCGTGCTGCGATCATTCACTTGAGTCTTCTTCAGGGTCATGCCTTGCTGGATGGATGCAAGAAGAGCACCTCGGCCGCCGGGACCACCTGCGGGAGCGGGTGCAGGTGGAGGGGGCACACCGGCCGGTGGTGGTGGGGGCGGAGCAGACGGGGCTCCGCCTGGAGGTGGGGGTGGTGGAGGAGCAGATGGGGCACCAGCTCCAGGGGGAGGTGGAGGAGGTGGAGGAGGCGGTGGTACTGCAGATGGTGGGGTGGGTGTCGCACCATCGCTGGGAATAGCAGGGACCGGGGGTAGCTGTGCTGGGGGAGGGGGAGGGGGTGCGATAGGGCTGTCTTGGACTGGGGTGGCGGAGTTAGAAGCCGGCTTGTCCTCGTCCATAGCGCTCAGAGGACGCGGGGGAGCCATGGTGCCAAACAGGATGCTGGCAAGCTGCTTGGCGCTTCCTCCAGTTGGACGGTCGTCGTCATCATCGTCAGATGAGTCGGCTTCGGAACCTGCAGCAGACCAGTCATCGTCCGCTTCAGGGCGGGCGCGAGTCTTGCGTTCCAGGGGCGCGGCACCGGTGAAGGTTGGCTTGATGGGCTCCTGCTGCGTCAAGCGGTGGAAGGGGTTGGTGGACTGAGCCGAAGCTGGTGGTGAAGCAACCGACTCAGACTGTTGACCCATAGTCTTGAAGTAAGGGTTCTTAGACTCGGCATCGGGGGTAGCAGCGGGGATGGCGCGGCTGCTCTCGGGCGAGCTCGCTTCGCTGGGCAAGCTTTCGGGCTCGGGAGCGAAGGAGGGGGGTTCAGGGACAGAAATTGTAGGCACTGGAGGGGTGGGCAAGACCTGACTTTGGGTAGGAGTGCTGTGCTGAGGAGTAACATCAGCAGGCCCTTCATCGTCAGAAGAACTGTCATCGTCAAGACCCTCAAGTTCACGCTGCAGCTGTCGCTCGCGCTCCTTGGCCGCCTCCAGCTCTGCGCGTTGGGCGGCAAGGCCAGCTTCTTGTTCTTTAGACTGTCGGCTTGCTTCTTCTCTGCGGCGCTTCTCTTCTTGTTTCTTGATTTTGCCTTGGCGAACCTGTTCCTCGAGAGCTTGCAGGCGAGCTGCCTGGGCATCCTTCTCCTTCTGGAATTCCATTTCACGCTGGCTTGCCTCGTTTCTGTATAGAAAATTAGCTTGTGTAGACTTCGATTGTCGGCATGATACTTACTCAAGACGCTTGGTCTCCACCTCCTGGGCCTCTTGCTCTTCCTTGATGGCTTGCTCGCGGGCAGCTTGCTCAAGCTTAGCGGACTCATCTGCTTTCTTCGCGTCGGCTTGGCCAGCGCTATCTGTCCGGGCGCGGCGGGATGGCGGCGCTGGGGGTGGCTTCTTGCCTGCCGGCTTGGGAGCTGCGGCACTAGGACCACCACGCTCTTCGGCTAGACGACGCTGTCTCTCTTCCTCGCGCTTGGCATCTTCTTCTTCGGCGCGACGAACACGGTCCTCGCGCTCTTTTCTCTCGCGCTCCTGGCGTTGCGAGAGAGTCTCGCTTGCATCATTCGGCTTGAGGCCTGCGGCAGCCATACGCTCCGCAATACGCTTCTGGGCGCGCTCTCGGGCAGCAGCCACACGGTCATCATGTGTGTTGCCGGGAATTGAGCCCGAGGAGTCCACAGATGCAGGCATGGAAGGACGCGCGGCAGAGGTTTCAGCCGCTGGAGATGCGCGAGAAGAAACATCAGGCGAAGGTCTCTCTCGTCTATTCTTGGTCAGCGGTTGATCGATTATTATATGCGCGAGAATAACGTACTCTTGCTTGCGAACATTCGCAGTCCGGGCATTACGGCTAAGATCGTAGATGAAATCGCGGATGACATCCTCGACGCCCAAAGCATCTTCCCAACGACGCTTTTCGTGTTCGCGTGTGGAGTTTGAACCTTGGTCACGGAGACTGTCTTCCAAACTGCGAGCGAAATCACGCACGCTTTCCTCGACATCACGGGTCATGGTGTCGTTGCGCTCACGCTCAGTCTTGATATTAGTACTCTCAGATTCCAGACGGTGAGCGGCTTGGCCGTCATCGTCTTCCGTCGCGGGAGCGGGTCGACCAGCGAGCTCTGCAGCTCGAGCTTGCATACGAGCACGAGCACGGGCCTTGATGCGGTCCGCCTCGGTCACAGTTCCACCGGGTCCAGTACCAATGATGTTGGAAGCGCCTCCGGGGTGTGCCTTGGCATCCTTGATACGGAACAGTTCAAGTCTGGCATCAGCAATATCGCGCTCAAGGCGACGAACATCAGATGCAACCTGAGGAACTTGATCCTCGAAGGACTGCAATTGACGACGAAGAGCCCTGCGATCCGCTCCACTGTCCACTTGGCGGAACGCGGCATTAGGATGGGTATCGAGATCATCCTGGACACGACGAATGCGCTCCATGAGACTCTCTGCCTCGCGACGGTCCTGGCGATCCAGATGATCATCATCCTCAGCCCGGTTTTCGTCCTGGAAATCAGCAGCGTCCAGCATGACCTTGGCCTCACGAATCTTTTTGTGAAGCTGATCTACAGAGAACTCCTCATCCGAGGCGCCAGAGGCAGCAGGGGAGGGGGTTCGAGCTTCGTTACCCACGCGACGGCGTGCGCTCGAGCGGTATCCTCCAGCGGAGTCATTGTTCTTGAACATGGTCGCATCTTTGCGACTGGCAGTAGATGAGCCACCTGCGCCGCCACGGAAGGAGTGATCCTTCAGATAACTGACGCCGGTCTTCTGTGGCTGCAGGAATGCACCAGTAGCCTTGCGGTTCTCTGCATCCTGAGAGAGCAGCGACTTGACTGTACCAATGGAGTCGTTCAAGTGGCGCGTGGAAGGAGGAACAAGCTCGGGTGGCAGGCGGTTAGGAACAGGATATCCGTTCAGAGCACGGTAAATCATATGCATAGCCACAGCGAACTCATCCATGTTAAGACGGCCACGGTTGTGAGGATCGGCCAAGGTCCAGATGCGCTCCAGATCCAATCGGTTCAAGCCACTTTGGCCCATGATTTCGATGGCAGTTTCACCACTGACAAAGCCCTTGCGAAGACCGTCCCAAGCACGGAAGAGATCATCGTAGATCTTCTTCTCCTCCTTAGTAATGGCCCAAGCAACAGTGGCGTTTCCTGAAAGACCAGCAGTGCTGAAGCCGCCTTCACGGCCAGGTTGAGGCATGAGCTGCTGCTTCATGGCGTCAATGTTGGGCAAACCCTGCGCGGGGGTGTTGATAAAACCCCACTGACCCGGAATACCAGTGGGCTGTGCGGTCAGACCAGTTGGTTGCACTCCCAGGCCCTGAGCACCGCCAGCTTGGCCAGGGCTCAAGCTAGAGCCAAAGCCAGTGGGCATGGGCGGCATTGGAGGCCGAGGACCAGTGTATCCAGTAGCCTGAGGGTTGCTCAGGAATCCAGTCTGCTGGGGCTGAAGGAACTGAGACTGGTTCTGTCCAGGGAATCCTGTAGCCTGGGGTTGTTGGATAGCGGGTGGCTGAATGCCTGTCTGCTGGGGGAAGAACCCGGTAGGCTGCGCTGTCAACTGCGACAGAAGTTGGGCATTATTCGGTTGCTGCGGAACAGGCTGTTGAACGACCGGGGGCGTAGCACTGCTTTCCATGAGGGGCGCATCGAAGTTGGGCACGTTGGTTCGCTGCTGGGGCGCCTGCGGCTGTGTATCGGGGACATCGAAGGAGATGATGTCGACCATGCTAGAAACCTCGTTCTTGATCGTTTCGGGCAGAGAGGGAGGGAGTTCGCGTCCGGTGATCCGGAGGTTACAGAGGTACATAGCCAGTGCGAATTCAGGGAAGAACAGCTGTCCAGATTTAGTGGAATCACTCAGAACCCAGATCTTGGAAAGGTCGGCGCCGCCGAGCTTCGAGCGCATCAAAAGATCTCTCGCTTTGTCGCCTGTATGAAGTCAGTATATGAGGTGCATATCATATTAACCCAACGCAGGCTCACCATCCATCGTCTTGCTGTCGCCTACGGCTGACTTGAAGAGCTGCTCGAACCTTGCCTGATCTTGCGCCGTGATGAATGACAGCCGAATGCTCGGGATCTTCGATCCTGTCTTCGGCGGCACCTGGGGAGGTGCTCCAGAACCAGCATCTTGGAAAGAGTTCGCAATGTCAGACGAAGTCTTGAAGCGAGTCGGGATTTGAGGGACTGGTGGTGGCGCCTGCTGCGCCTGGTTCTGAGGTGCGAATCCAGTATATTGCGGTTGGAAGCTCTGCGCTTGTTGCTGCTGGGGAGCAGCGCCGGGGAATCCGGTGTATTGTTGTTGGAGTTGACCAGCGGGGAAACCAGTGGCTTGGGGCTGGAGCTGCTGGTTACCAAACGGCGAGGGCTGGCCAGCAAAACCAGTGGGTTGTGGAGCAAGACCAGTCGGCTGTGGAGCGAATCCGGTCGGCTGGGGCTGTTGAATTGATGGTTGTTGACCCTGGGGGAATTGCGAGTAGGGGGGTTGTTGCTGTTGCTGCATGAATGGTGCCTGGCCGGGACGGCCAGTGGCACCACCCCCGAGGAAATTATTCGACGAGGAGTACATTATAAATTCACGCTCGCATTAGCAAAACAGATGCAAGGACCCAGTCAGAAATTGATGAGAATAAACAAATGCAAAGTGGTCAGTGAGTTGGGTCTCAGGAGGATGCGAATGACGCCGATGGACGCGGCCCCGGGTACACGCTAACCTCATCGGGTGCTTAGTAACAGCGGTCCAGTGGATATTTTAAGAACTATCAAATGCAACTACAGATGAGAGGAGAGCTTCAATGGCAATGAACTTCTTGATGTACTGTTGAAATTTATCGTCGGAGCGGAAGACCATATAGGTGTCTTCCATATCTCGGACTTTGAAAAGCCTTAAAAAAAATTGGAGTATCCGCGCCGCAAGGAAAAGATGGGTCGTCCATAGATGCCCAGATTGAAAACCCAAGATGAAAACAAACGCAAAGCATAACATCATCACTGCCCCAAACACCTTGCTTTTAGACCGGTGCATATTTATGGGCAGTGGCTGTCAGGTTCAGCCATTTATTCGGTGTGTTGTTGGTTGGCAGCGTTGGCCATCTTGCGAAGCTCATACTCTTTGGTGAACTCGCGAGACAGGGTACCGAGGTCTTTGATGAGAGCTTCGGAGGCGTTGATGACAGCCTGGCGCGGGGTAATCTCGCCATCCGTCTGGACACGCAGCATGAACTCTGGGGTAAGAGGGTGGGGAACCTGGTATTGCACTGTTAGTCTCGCTCGTGGGAGCAAAGGACGGCCGGCTTTCTTACGCGGTAGGCAGCGAAAATGACGTGAGCGGTCTTCAGGAGACGGGTGCGGAGCATGTTGCCAAGGGTATGATCCTCCTTGCGGAAGGTGAAGATGCAAGCAGAGGGCAAGCCTGAAGTAACTCGGTCAACGAAAACGTGTTTCTAGTCGTGTGCAACAGTGTACTCACGAGTATCGACTTCAACGTCGATCTTGTTCTCGCCAGGGCCAAGCAGGATTGCTTCATAACTGTTTGAGGTGTCCAGGTTAGCCAGTGAATGTTTAGGGTCATATTCAGAGCATGGCGTGGTGATATGTGGTGATAAATGAAATGGGAAATTTGGGACCATCAATGAATGAAATGACCATTCAATCAAACTGACACATCGGGGACGTCGTCGGGGAGCGAGGACCTCTCATGGCGAGGAGCCGGAGCTGAGCCCCGACGACCAGCACGATCTCTGGCAATAGCCTCGCTGGCTGTCAGGATGCGACGAGGTGGGGCCATGATGAGAATGGATAAAACAAGTAGAAGCGAAATCACGAGAAGAAAATGGGATGAGGTGTTGTGGTGTCAGATGCATGGAAAGTCGGATTGATCAAGGTAAACAGCTTTTGTAAACGGCACCTTGTGATCTGGTAGCCAACACGGCTCAATGTGGAAGGTGCGATACTTCGTACCGATCCTGCCCAACCTCAAGCCGTGAATGGTTTCGAGATCACGAGATCAATTTCTGGAGTAGCCATGTAGACCTCAAGCTTTCTCAGGAAGATAGAACTTCGTTGATTTGTCTCAACCAGCTCATTGAGGCACATCTGATATTGTCGCAATGCTCCGCAACAGTCTCACTCAGACACATGAAACGACGTATGAAAAGAACATCAAGGCAACAGAGGCGGGGAATTCATCGGGGCATCAAAATGAAAAAGCGACTAAAAGAATGCATTTCCACGTACCGATCGGGAGCGTTCATATTGAATGAACTCCAAATTTCCCAGTAAGTTGGTAGTGGTAAGAGGCAAGTGAGTCCGCAAAGAGCAGAATGAGATATATGAAAGGTTCAGCTCGGGAACTATCGTACTTCGCCGAGAGCTAGCAGGTCAGCGCTGCGTTTGGGGGATGCGAGCTTCAGGACACGATCCACGGGGACGTTCAAGTATCGGTTCAAGGATCCCTTCTTCGACCCAAGTGAGACGGAGTTGACCAAGGCTGGAATGTTCAATCGGGCAGCTCGCTTTAAATCAATAAATGAGACTTGATACCAATTCAGCCTGTTGTCTGCTTCGATGAGAAGAACTCGGTGATATTCATGGATATCACCGAAGCAGATCTGATATCTACACGTGATCTGCATATCTACACGTGACAGTCACCGACCCACATTTGGACATTGACTGTCATTGGTTCAGAATTGCCTCGATCCATGGTTCACACTATTGACTTTGGTTACCATTCTCATCTGTATCCTGTTGCTATGTACTATAGCTCCAAGGTTCTAGCTCCCCGTATCGAAGGAGGTAGTATTTATGCAGTTCCCTATGTGTGTATAACGTACTTTTGAGTTGGCTGGTAGCTACACAAGTACATCCATGGATTAGGTAGCTCCAGCGGCTGAATATAATTTTCATTTTAGTAAAGTGAAACGACCCATAGTTAATAACTGCTAGAGTGGAAGCAAATAGTCTTGTCTAAGATATACCAACATTGGAGCCACTTTGGGCCGCCATCCATCCAGAAAAACAGATACACCTTCGAGACCTTGGAAATTCCAAGGTTGGAATAATAAAATGCCATCAAGATGCGAACACGCAAGCAGTCTGCAGGGCGAAATAAACATGCAAACCAGATTTCTCGGTTATTTCCCATAGAAAGCCCCCAAAGCATTCTACAAGCCAGAAAAGAGAATCCACGCCTACGAAACCACCAATGTAAAGAAGCCGGTAGAACGGCCCCAAGGACCGAAAATGTATTATGGTCGAGTAGCGCTCAGGCAAGATGCAAGACTCAAACGAAAAGGTAACACGAACAAAAACAACGCCTCTTCCCACGCCGATGCCATAACGAACAAAAAAAGAGAGATCCAAAACGCATGAGTAGAAGCCCAAAAAGACAAAGGAAGCATATGTATTCATACTTGTCGGCTATATCGACGACAGCAATCCCATCCATATGCAATAAAATGCAAATATAGAACAAGGGCGACAAGGGAGGGGACGTGTCTAGTAAGACAGGCCCAGTGATGATATGTGCGTGAGATTTCGTGCAAATATTAGAGAAAAAGAAGATCAAGGAGGGGAGGAAAAAAGGCTATACAGCGTGACACGGACATATGCAATGGAATGCAAGACGCTAAAGCGAAGATGGTGGTCTCAGTGCACGGCGCTGAGGAGATCGCCGAAGGAAGAAGTGCCTCGCTTCATCTTCCAGTTTGTCTTCTTCGTGTCGCGTTTCTTCATCATATCGGCCCAAGCTTCGTCGTCATCTTCGTCGTCGGATGCGGCTTTGTGGCCGTGTCCACCGCCAACGCGACTATTCTGGGAGACAGGACGGACGCTCACGTTGGCGAGATGTGATTTTGGCAGGTTGTGCGACTGGGAGTTCAGAACGGATGGAGATTGGTTTTCATCAGCCCATTTGTTTGCTGAACTAGTAGAGTAGCTTGTTTCTGGGGGCACGACGGAGACCGGACGGTAGCGGGGAGCCATGCCGGCATTGCTCCGCTCAGAAGGCGCAATGGAGGGGGCATAGCCGGTCTGGGGGCGGAACGCATTGCCAGAGAGGTTTGGCATCGGGGATCCAGTGCGGCGGGTGGAGATGTTGGGGTCGAGCATGCTCATGGTGCGCTGATCGGGGTGCGGCATCGCAGAAGAGGGGACGTTGAGCATTGAACCGGCGGGCATGGACATCGGACGCATATTGGAGTTGCCGTTGAGGGAGGGGGTCCTCCCGAGGGCGAACCCATCGGGGGCATGGGCATCGGGCCTCCGGGCATCATCATGGGAGGCATGGGCATACCCTGCATCATTGCTTGGCCCTGTCCACCTTGCATCTGCATCATTTGCTGCATCCACTGCATCTGCATCTGCATCATGTTTGTCATCTGCTGTGACAGCTGGATCGATGCTTGTTCTCCAGGGGTTACGGGCGCAGGCGGACCAGGCATTTGTGGCATCATTGAATGTGGCCGAGGCACAGATCCCATGTTGTGCATAGCTTGGGTGTTTGGACTTCCTCGGCGCATAGCTCTTTGGCGCTCCTCATTCGCAATGACTCCTACTAAACCTCCAGGGGTAGGTGCTGGAGATGGGGAACCTCCATGCACTGAGCCGGAGCCGCCTCCAAAGGCCAAGGATTCACGGTTGGCGTTGTTGACCAGACCAGCGCCATAGTAAGGATCCTGTGGCAAGTTCCTCGCAAAGGGAGGCAGGCTTCCCCGGTTTCCACCATTCTCCGCACCCGACACCGAGCTCGAGGACGATATGTACGGTGGCTGCATGGAAGCACGAAGGTTGGGGTTCGAGCTGGCGTTGTTCAGGCGGGTGGGCGGTCGATTTTGACCGGGGAATCCATGCGCTGCCAGTATACCCAGGGGAACATCATCGTCCTCTTCCTCGCTACTCTTACCGCTGTTAGACTTATCACCCATAACAGACAAGCGACTTGGTAGTAGGTTGGGTGTGCTGTTACTAGCGCCGGTCATGACTGGGCGCACCGAGTGCATAGGTACTTGCTGGCCGGTGATTTTCATCATCTGCTGACGATACACAGAAAGGTGAGCCTCCTGCTTTCGTCGTTGCCGTTCCGTCTCGCGCTGCTTTTCCACCTCGTCTTCCTCATCGTCGAAGTCATCATGGTCGGACTCTGCCTCACTCTTGGATGCATTGCTGTTGGACCGTCGAAGTTCTTGTTGCTGACGATAATGCTCGAATTGAGAGGGAGTCATCACCTTGTTACCCGGTGACGTAGACTTGGGCAGCCTCTCCGCGTACCGGGCGGCCAACCGTGCGTTGGCCGCGATCGCAGGGTCTGCCCTCTCGGCAGGCGGCGGCGAGCGACGATACAAAAACATATTATCGGGTTCGGGGTTAGCGGGCGCAGAGTAAACAGCCGATTTGCCCTTGTCCATGTATGAGCCACCCGTGGTGGCACCCTCTGCCCAAGGTGAAGTTTCCTTACTCCACATGAGGGACTGGCGAACCAATTTCGCATCTTCGTCATCAAAGGGCAAACCGTCCCCTGATGGAGAATAAACCCCGCTCCTGCGCAATCCACTTCGGTCCGTCCTGTCCTTCAAAGGCCGCTCCAGCGAGCGATGCGAAGTTGTAGCGGCCTCCGAGAGGTGATTTGGAGACGGAGAAGGCCTTCGGAAGCCCATTGGATCGAGAGTAGACCGACCTTGGTCCAGCGACGGATCACGGTTGTGTAGCAATCCTTCCTGAGACGGGCGACGACCCCACGAATAGGGAGGGGACTCGATGGCGGTCGACCGGTCTGTATTTATCGGCGCGGGTGCCCCAGCTCTGCTCACCTGGAACTCAGGCAGAGCGTGGGTTGGTGGAGATGAAGAATACTTTGAACCAGTCAGATTGCCAACTCCGTGAGTAGCTTCAAGACTTCCATTATGCGGCTGAGGAGACCTTTCTCGCGTGGAAGAACCACCCATATTATCGAACATCTTATTGAAATCATCCTGAGACTCCATGGTAAAGTTGGTATCAGGCAACTTGGGTGGAGTGGCCGTACTGTCGGTGCTACCCGTCACCGGGCGTTTGGCGGCTTCGGGCGTTTGTTGACGAACGACAGCGGGTGTAGACTTTCCAAAACGACCGCCGAACGAGAATGTTCGGCCTGCAGCACGCAGGGCACTGGCGAGTGGTGGTGGTGCGGGCACATCGTGGATTCGGGAATGCGGAGATTGAGTCTCTTCGGCTGCCACTTCAGTGGAGGATGGGATCGTCGACGACGAGCTGAGTCTGGTTGACGTAGAACTTTCGTAATTCCCACTTTCACGGTTCCCCGTCAGCCGTCTCCTGAGAGAATCCATGGTTGAGGGACGTTCATACCGCTTGTCCAGGGGTCGCTCTGCAAATATGTTGTCCTCTTCCAGGGCCGATGGCACCGCATTGCCTTCGCTGTGATGTTTGGATAATGCTGCACCGTCCGTCATTGATCGCTGCGGCCCCGGGCGCTCGAAGACTCGGAAGGAGGATTGAGGGGCTTCCACGTCTTCCAGGACGTTGCCGGACGATTTTCGTCGCGCGAAGCTCTTGGGCAGTTTGATGGGCATCACCGCGGATGGGTCGGCCAAGCACTTCACTGGAGAGTTATTATGGACCCCTTTGGAAAGCGCCAGTCAGCTCTCATTAAGGTTTGGACGATCCTGAGAGGTTGTGGCCGAACGCCTGACGTGTCGACTGCAAGATCGGAATAACCGATGAGTCCAAATGGATAGGTATAGTGAGGTAAAGATCACGTTCGGTAACCCAATAGGTGATCAGGGGGGAAGGAGGAGGGGTTAGACTGAGGGAAAGAATTAAGCCGAGTCAGTTTTGGAAGGAAGCACAACACGGATGAGTCTAGCGGCCGATCAAAGACCGGCAGGAATCCACAGAGTGGATTGTCTTGCGTCTGCGCGATCGATGGCACCTCACAACAAGATTTGGATAATAATTCCCAAATTCCTTGCAGGCGCGACAGAATGGGTAATGATGATGGGATTTCCACCCCCTGGAAAAAGCCAAAAAGAAAAGAAAAAGCGATTGAACCCACAAGTGAAACCAGCGCGAAAAAGGATCGCTTGTTTCGGTTCGGGCTCCGCTGGGATTTCAAAGAAACAGTTTAAAAATGGATACCCTGTGGGGAGTGGAGAGAGACCCTGCCCGCCAAGAGAGAGAGAAAGAGAGAGAGAGAGCGAGAGCTGAAGATAGCAATGCAGAAAATGAATGAAGAATGAGAGATTCCGGAAAGGAATGGAAAGAGAAGGCAAAGTTTTTCCACGCTATGGGCTGGTCTATTCCTCTAGGGTACCTTTTGTATTGAACAGGTATAAATACACTGGGTATCACTCTCAGATGGGCTGAACAGGTCTCATTCGCTTGCACATAATGTATATGTGACTAGCAGCATCTGAGCATATGATCTCATCGGTTTGGCTTCCAATCTAGACTGTGAAGAATGTGAAACCTTTCGCTATACATAGTAAGTGGCCCTTGTGTGTATGTCTAAAAATAGCCTCAACTAGTTGGGAATGTTGAAAAAGAAAAAAACACACGACTGAACGGTCTAGAGCAGCTAAGCTTGCAATTATTGATGTCTATTTACTTATTACCTAGGACGGTACTTAGTACCTTCTCGTACAATGCAATGTCCCGAGGTTCTTTCGGTACTAAGTACCAAAGTACGGAGTACCAACGGACCAGTGGGGATCTGCCCATGCATATGTCAGATCACGTGGGAAGATTAGGTAAAATATCTTAACCTTTGCTAACCTTTGGATCCCTGGCGGATATCTCCGAGTGTCGTACTTGTACTCCGTGTGAAATACACTCACCTGGGCATGAGTACACTTCCTCTTACAGAAGTCTGTCCCGTGACACAAGACTCGAAAGTCTAACTCCGATTCAACAGTCTCCTTCTATATAACTTATCATACATATTGCCATGCAAATGTCAATTTCATTCCGGCCTAAGCCCAAACCGCCCATGCTTATTTGGCAAAGTGCAGGTCATAGTTCAGCCACTTGCGGGCCGTCACGCCCGCCACGTCCAGACCGGGGGTACCGTAGGTCAGCGGGGCGTAGAAGAGGAAGCCCCAGATCGTGGCGGCCAGGATGGCCAGGGTAGCGATCCAGCCTGCAATGAGGGACTTGCAGCCCATACGCTCCCGAGCGGTGACGAAGCGGCGCAGGCTGCTGACGGACTGAGCCTTGGACTTGCCGGTGGGGTCGTCAGTGGGAGGGAGGGCAGTGCGGGGGTCGAGGGGCTGCAGGTTGAAGATGAACTCAACCAGAGCTCCGCAGACCATCGTAGATGCCAGGTGAGAGGGCAAGTAGTGGTGCAGGAAGCGCTGACGACCCATCAGCCAGAAGGGGAAGAAGTGAGCGGCCCAGCAAAGGAACAAGAATCCGGTGCTGTTGTACAGGCGCGAGCGAGTGCCGGGGCCCCAGACTAGAAAGAAATACAGGTTAGCTACTGCGGGGGTGAATTGGAAACTGCTTGTTTTGACTTACTTTCTTCCAATGCATCGACACCGCGGCGGAGCGAAAGCTGATCGGCACCAACAATACCGGCAAACACAGCCAGGATACTGCTAGCAATCCACCATCCAATGGGGTTACCCAGGAAGTAAATCTGCTCGCGAGTATCGTTCTTGGTCCAGAAGCTCACACCGCGGAGCAGGAAGGGCCACTGGAAGGGCTCAGTAGCGTAGGGGTGGCTGCTGGTAAGAGCATTGTTGTGGTGGAACATGGCACCCTGGAGCTCGAAATACTTGCGCAGGAAGGGCAAAGTCTTGACCTTACGCTCCTCCTTGACCAGGCGAGGGCTATCCTCAGCCAAGTTCTCAATGTTCTCGACATACCACGCGTTGCTGGACTGAAGGATGTTCTTGTTTCCGTTGATCTCCGCCTGCTTGTAACCCCACTCAGGCAAGGGAGTCGTGTGTGTCCACAGAGCCACGCGAGTGGGAACGTGAACCAACTTGAACAAGCTAGCAAGAGTTCGGAATTCCTGGTTGGCCTTGGCTGACTCGATCTTGAGCTCGAACAGAGTATCGTTGTGACGCTCACCGTCCGCTAGCTCTTGAGAGACCGTGGTGAACTCCTGGTTGGTGGGGAAGAATGGAGAGGCGACATCGTGGGTCAGGAGGTAGCTCTCGGTTCCAAGGTGGCGGAGCTGGATAACATCGCCGTTTCGCACGCTCTGGGGCTTGGAGGGGTCAACAAGAGGCACACCAGGCACAATCTGCCACTGGTTGTTGGTATCATTGTGGGGGTAACCAGTGACCTGCTGGCCCTGACTGGAAATGCGGCCATCATCATAGCGCAGAGGGTACTTGTCCCAGTGGCTGTGGAGGAAGACCTTGGTGTCCTTGTGGCGCATGGTGATGGTGTCGAAGTATTGGATTCCAACAGACTGCGCAGTCATTTGGTTGTCGCTCAAGGTCTCCTGGAATTCGGGTGTCATAAAGTCGTCACCCGGACCGGAGCGAGTAAGAATAGCAAAGTGGACCTGGAACCAAAACAGGTAGAAAAGGAATGGAATAACAACGAGTCCAACAGCGCGAGCAACAAAGTGCTTGCCCCAGGTGATCATGCTCAGAGCTCCTTGTTCACGCTTGATATCAAGGAGGTTCCACAGGTCGATCAGGACGGCGGCACCAATGGTCACGAAGGTGAAGAAACCGACGTATTTGGTGGAGATAACGCAGCTCAGACAGAAGCCAGTCAGCAAGAGCCACTTCCACCACTTCCGACCAAATGGTTCGTGACGCAGCTTGTAGAACCGGACGTAGCACAGAACACTGAGCGCCATGGACAGCACGAGGGTCGCATCCAAGAGGATCAGACGGTCTTCGCCCACGTGAGCGTTGTCAAACACCATCAGACCCGCAGAAAGGACACAGGCAGGCAAAGAGTAACCAGACTCCCACATGATGAGGAACACCACAGGAATAGTCAGGGTGCCCAGGGTGGCCGGAAGTGCGCGCAGGGCGAGGTAGGGCACATTGTTTTCGATATAGGAGTCGCCAATGTTCTCAAAAAGGAAACTTCCATCAAATCCAACCAACCAGCCCACGAGGGCAAACAGCAGCTTTCCAAAAGGTGGGTGCACATCGAAGAAATAGGTGCGTTGGAGGTAATAGGAAGCGAACTAATAAATGTAAGTGTCAGTCGGGGCCGCCCCTATTCGTGGATGTGCCACTGAGGCACCAAGTATCATACCTTTCCGAAGTGGACTTCATCAAAGACAACCTCGTTAGGATAGTCAATGCGGTAGAATCGCGTCGCGAAAGCCAGAAGGGTAAGGATGACTATGGCCAGCCAATAGTCCCATTCCGACTTTTTGACCGGCGCAACGGGGATCAAAGAGCCATCATCGGAAGGCAATGCAGTGTAAGCCTCCTTCTTTCCGGTTCTTTTCCGCAAAGATGGCGAAGGGGACGACATGTTGAGATAAGATGAAACAAAAGAGAGCGACCGAGAAACTACCTATAACCAAATAGACTGGTCGCGTCAACACTCAAGATCCATGGAAACAGAAAACAGACGAAAAGACGGAAGATAAAAAGAAGCTTACCAGGATCACCAATAGAGCATGGCACCAAACGAGGCCAAGATGTTTAAGGAAAAAGGAAAGGAGATGGGGGGGCAGACGTTGCGTGTCTTCTTTCGGGGCGGTGGCCAAAGCGGATCTACGTATACAAATCCACCCAAAGGGAGCTCGGGAGTATACCCTGAAACAACCCTATGAACCTCCTTGTTTTGAAGAGAAATTTCACAATTTGAGGGCTGAAATGATCTGGTGCTGTATTGTTCCGAGTTTGGTTCTTCGCACAGCATATGATCCAAGTGATTCTCAATTGAACAAATCCATGTGATCGTCTTGACTACTTTTTCGGTCTTGTAAATGATATTATTGCCCAGGTGGACCAGAGACTTGGAACTTTGGGGTTATTACTTAACCCTGGAGGTGGACCGCTCCTTCATTGCTAAGGTCGTGTCTACAGGGCCAAGAAAATGCAAAGTAAGCCTAAATATTCGAAAAAAACGCTCGTCGATGTGGTATATCCAAGTCTCCCTATTAGACTCCCTCCAGAGATTATATTCAACGCGCAGAGTTGCCAGTCTCCAACACTAACGGCTTTCCTCGGGTTCAATCTCTCGAATGACAAGCCACAAGGCCTTGCGGAAAAGTTCAGTGTCTTCAGGACTAGCCTCCGCGTCATTAGGGCCAAATCGCTCCCTTCTGCCCCTTCTCTCCCTTCTCATCTCCCTTCTCGACGACTCCCCGGGATCGTTTCTTTTCTTCAAAGCAGCATTGAACCTCGTTAGTTTTGACTTGGAAGACCAAGGCAAGATCTCAAATTCCAGGTCGGCGATCCAAGGTTGCAATATCCTTATGCGACGCTGCACCTCTAGCTCCGCCGCCTGTTGTTCATCGCTAGGCTCGAGTTGCTCATCCTGCAGCTGCAAGAGAAGAGGAGCCTGTCTATTGATCTTGCCCTGGGAATCCAGAATTGGGATCTTAGCTAGATGAGCCAGGGCGTCCAATTTGGCAATTTCAACCTTCAAGCCACGGGGACCAAAGATGTCCCTGTTGGCTGTTTTGATGGACGAGTCGGTGCGGCCTTTGGACATGCCCTGGCCGCCCAAATTTGCGAGACCGCTAACCGCATTTCCAATCCAGTGCAGTGGGAAGAGAATGGGAACTGAATTGAGAATCCCTCCTGTTGCGTCTAGGACTTGGAGGGGCGGGCTGCTGGCCATGTCTTTGTTCAATTGGTCGAGGAAGTTGAGGAATGATTCCTTGGGAAGTTTGTGTGTCTGTAGAATTGAAGGGTAGGCGCGAATGAAAGGGGAATCAAAAGAGCTGGCTATCGCTGGAATGGCGATTGGTCTGGGTGATTGAGAGAGTGGTTGGTCAGGCCATGAAGTGGATGGGCCTGCTTGCGTCGAGGGTGAGAATGACCGTGTTGATTGCTCGGCCGTGTATGCTGGAGGATGCTCTGCCTCTGCCTCTGCCTCTGCCTCTGGGGGGCCCATGGCTTCAAAGGGGTTCTGTTTCTTTTCGTCGGCCATGATGTGAAGTTGTGGAATCTGAACCGTCTTACTTGGGGGCCAAAGGTCTTTTAAACACGCGAGTGGGGTGAGCCCAGCCTCAACCTGATAACCAGCTCGCAATGGTGGCTGCTTTCGGCAGGATAAGCATTTGCTTAGCCACACTTGTCAGAGGCGGAGCTACTTGAATCCCCGGAGTGCCCAGGTGGTCCTTCGTACTCGAATTTATCTCGCCAAGATGCGCCTTATCGGGTATCCTTTGCGATATGGCGTCATTAAATGTTTTAGATTTCAATCTTACATTTGGTTTTGTTTGCCTTTTTATCTCTGAATAGTTTCATTGGTCTCATGGAGACATTTTGTCTCCCAGAATACTCTCAACACATGCATAATAATGTATGAGCCCAACCAAACTGGGCTCATGGGTATCAAGTATATGGCTTTACTCGTCATCCGTAATGTCCAAAAGCTCCAACTCCCTCGAGACCAGCGACTGGAACTCTGCGCGAGGCATTCCAGTGGCCTTGGCCAAGCGGAATAAGCTCTTGATACTGGTGCCAATATGTTGCTTCACCCCAACCTCGTACGTGGATTGGCTTTCCGCTTCCTTTTCCAGTCGGGCTACTGAGCTGGAAGAAGAAACGGAACCAGGCCGAGGGTGGTTCAAAGCCTGCGCAGCGTTGTCACTGGGGACTTGGCCAGCAGGATATCCGTTACTACGGGCCTCTTCTGTTGAATCGCCGTTCACCTGTCGCCGCAGCAAGTTGGCCAGCATATCCCCGTTGAGCGAAGATGGACCAACTTCTGGCTGCTCCTCGCCAGGATCATGGTTATCCATCGCTGGCTGAACATCGCCATACTGTGAGAAATACGACTGCTCTGAAAGACCCGACGGACCCAGCTTCGAGGACCCAGCAGGCTGTGCTGGGGTCTTCGATCCAGGTGTGGCATCGTACTGGGCCCAGTAATCGTCATCGTCCTCTTCTTCCTCCAAGCCGTTGTCTTGGGGTTTGCCGTCCGGTACATCGGCCGTGGACTGATCTTTGGCCTGGACGTTGGCCTCGCCAATAGAAATAGCCCAGGTGTTGTCGTCGTCGGCGGGACCTTCACGTGGAAGAAGCTCCGCGACGCGCCAGCCTCGACCACCGCCTTCCTCATCTGTTGGGCACCACAGGTAGACTACAGTGATACTGTAATCGTGCAGAGGCACCTGTGCCTTGAGGGTCTCGTCATCCACCCGCTTGTATGTCACGGGGAGCTCATCCGGGAGCTCGATCTCGCCTGAAACGGGGTGGGGTTCAAATGTGGCGCCGTCGATAATGGCCCGTAGACGCTCTGCTTTGCCAGCGTCCCAGCACAGGAGTTGTAACCATGATTCCGTAGCAGATGTGGAGAGTGAGCTGAGGACGCCGACTCGTTGGCGCAGGATGGGAGAGAGGAGTGGGAGCAGAGCTGGGGGCGCCCGTGGCGAGACGAAGGCGAGTGGGAGACAGGCGAGGAGAGGAGGGAGGAGCAGACGGGTCTCTGGGGGGTTGATGAGTTCGACCATGTTTAATTTGACCAGGAATGAGAATGCGGAGAGAAAGAGAGATGGGGTATTATTTTGTCCTCAGAGATCCATTCGACCGAACGTGGGGCAGCAAACAGAACCAAAGAGCTTCCATGGGTCCGTCGACCGAGTAGGGCCCAATCTCAATCTCTCCTTTGGCGCTTATTGATCTGTTGGTCTCTTTTTCTCTCCATACGGGGAATTGCTTCAAACAACATGTTCACCCGGTCCACGGTTGTTTTTTTGACTCCTTCTTTTTCCTTTTTGTTTTGGTTTTCCTTGTTTCGGTCACTTCAATACCTAGCTTTCACGTAATCTATGTCAGTCGTCAGAGCTCCAGAGCTTCTATTGGCCTCATTGAACTCCAATTCTAGAACCCATCCGGTGTATAACATACAGTGTACAGGTATGCGCGAGAATCTCGAAATCGACCATCGGGCCGACACACCTTCGGAGTAGAATTCAATATCCGACCGGGAGACCATTGTGGTACTATTGGTACTATCGGATCCGAACGAGCATAGTTTGCAAAAGCAAAACAAAATTATACAAGAGCAGAATACATCTTGGCAATAGTGACCACTAGGCTTCAATAGCCCCTCCGTACGGAGGATCTTGCGGGGTGCTGATAGAGTGCTTGATACGGCGTACACCGTCCCCGTACGGAGTACACGTAGACTATTTTCTTTTGTGCAGATCTTGGACAACTCACACTTGAGCATGAATCATATCCCGAGGTCTACATAGTCCCAAGAGCCAGAGCCAGACCGACTAATAATGCGAAAACTACTCTGTACGGAGTACGGAGTATTGGTATGCGCTGCCTAGGTCTCGATTCGGTCTTCAAAGACACACTGCATATAGACCGGGTGCCCCAGTGGTCACAAAGTAGATTCAAGCTTTCAATGCAAGGCCATATTCAGAGTCGGCTAGGAATGCCATGTCATGTGGTGCTCAAGCGAACCCAATCAATCATCTTTGCGGGCGCCCCTTCAAACAATAAAAGGGAAGTTCAATGATAACAAAAACAACAAGAACTGGAGTTTGGAGGCTATCTACAGTCTGTGCAGATCCTCCATAACTGCGGAGTATATGGAGTACACCGAGACCCGATGAGGTGAGAGCAGGGAATCCTGTAGCACGACTATGAGAGCTTTTCCTTCAAAGTTTAATGTAAACAATGCGGCCACTGCATTTCCAGAATGCCCCCTCGACCAATTCTGGTGTACGGCATTACGTCGTTGAAAGATGGATCGAGAGAAAGTCCTATCGAGGTTGGGATTATAGCGCAATTGATAATCTTGCCGTAAGAGCACGCACTACTCGCTTCTATCACATTCTTATCCTGGAAAAACAAAACATCAACCCCTCCCAGTGAGAGGGACCACGAGCAAGCGATCTCAATTTGCATTCCTTTCAAAATGAGAAACTCAGAAAAGAGCCAATCTTTATCTGTGACAACCTTGCTTCAGGACGCTAATTGTGGCCCAACACCAAATCAAGTAGGCGGCGAACTAGCACCTGGTGGATTTACCTCAGAGAATGGCCAAGCGAGTTATGAGCACTCGGTCGAGTCGACCGCACTCGAGAAACAGGTACGGTGGAAAGTCGATCTACGCCTGTGCAGCATTGCAGGGCTCCTGTGCAGTCTCAATCTATTGGATTCAGGCATCCTTTCCTCTGCCTCGGTGACAACCATGCTCGAAGACCTCGAATTGAACCAGGGCAATCGATATTCAGTGTCTATCTTTATCTTTACAATCGCCAATGTGGCATTCCAGCTGCCATCCACACTAGCCGTGCGGTTTGTTGGGCCACGCCTCTGGTTCGCGACAATCACATTTCTTTTCGGGCTACTGACCTTGTGTACCGCTTTCATTCACACATGGGGCCAAATGATTGCTTTGCGTGTTCTTTTGGGAATTTCCATGTCCGGCATTTACCCAGGCCTCACTTACCTGGTTAGCACTTGGTATCCACGGCGAGAGCAGCAACTCCGATTTGCATTCATGCAATCTGGTGAAGTGTCTGTCTTCGCCACAGGTAATATTGTCAACTATGTATTAAACCACCTGAATGGAAAGGCTGGTCTAGCTGGATGGCGTTGGATGTACCTCGTCCAGGGTCTCATTACCTGCTTTTTGGGCGTGGTCACTTACTGGTGGATGGTTGACTTTCCCGAGAACGCCCAAAACAGCTTCTGCTTTCTTACAGAGAAAGAAGCACATCTTGCGGCCCGAAGAATTCAAGATGATCGTGCAGATCTTGTACCTGAGCCGTTTTCATGGGGAACGATGTTTTCTGCTTTCAAAGATCTGAAGATCTACGGATTCGCATGCATGTTCTTCTTGCTCAATCTGATCACAACTGCTTTGGCATATTTCCTGCCTATCATATTGCAATCTGGGATGGGCTTCAGCTCAGATACATCCATTTTGCTCGCCACGCCGGTAAGTTGACAAGATCACCACGGAGCTTCCGACCCCAGCTTCTGACTTTGCTGCAAGCCATATTATTACGCCGTCATCCCAGTTATCCTCACGTCGTTTATTGGAGACCGTTACGGCGTCCGAGGGCCACTAATCACATTTAATGCTCTCATGCTCATAGTCGGTTTCCTTATGTTCGGACTTCCTGCGTCTTCCCAAGTAGCCGTGCGATATGTTGGAACGTTTTTAGCTACCGGTGCTTACGTTTCGAATTGGGCTGCCTTGAACGCTTTCCAGGCTAATAATATTGTTGGCCAATGGAAGCGTGCTGCAACTGCAGCGACTGTCACTGCTTTCAATGGTTTGGGCGGCGTGGCAGGCAGCTATATCGTCCGACAGAAAGAAGCACCACAGTATTTGACTGCGGTTTGGGTATCTGTAGGGTGAGTTCGGACACCGTCATGTCCCGTTTACATTCGGATGAAAGACAATTTTGACAACCACTAGTTCTCATATTCTGCTTATTGCTATTGTGGGCTCATTCACGGCGTACTTCTACATTGCCAATCGACAGCAAGCAAGTGGGGTCAAAATACTCGAGGGTGTGGTACGTATTTTCTGCCAGATTTCAGGAATGATGGTAACTGAATCATGAGTTGCAGCCCGGTTTTCGATATACATTCTAATCTCATACTCGAAGAGTTGTTGATCTCGAGCATGGTCCCCGAGCTGGAAATACACATCGGCAACACTTTAATAGAGCGCGCATCTGCTGAATATATCATGCTGCAGTTGAACATGTATGGAGCTTCTGGGCAGTTCATCGGCCATATCCTTGGAAGGACGCTGACGGCAAATCCATTCAGAATTGGAGTTCCCGTCTGATCTGGTAGAATTCTAGGAGTTGCGAGCTCGCATCTAAGACTCACTCCAGGCTCCAGGTAGCTTACCCTTACGGGTGGATAGGTAAGAACTTAAGGGCTCAACATAACCATTTGCATTTTCTTGGTCGTTTTCAAGGTTTTGTCGGCTGATGCCTACTTGACAATGGAGATTCTAATATCAAAACCAAATTCTAATTACAATGATTAAATTGATTAGGCCTATATAGTACTTTTAGCATGTTTCTCCTCTCGATCATTGACACAAGACCTCATCATTGTGTCATCAACAAGAATGGACAATCTCTGATCCTCCAAGTCCGCCAACGAACAAGGAGAAGATTGTGAGCTATTCCAAGCATCTTCTCTGATCAAGGGAACCTCCCTGCAACGCTCAACTTGGGTTTTACTTTTGTTGGTCTGGTTGTTTGTAAGATACCAATTTTGGTGTTCGCTTTTGCGCGGGGTGCGAGAGAACCAGGATTGGAAACGTTGTGGTACCAATTTGGTGAACAAAGGCCAAATACTCATAAGGCAAGATGCAACGATGACTATACCACTTTCGAGTGCCACGAGGATACCCAGTTCGACCGAGAACCCCACTTTCAATGATATCAGTGACGAGTACTTGCTCAAAATGCAAGGCGATGCTTACATGTAGGATCATTGATGGATACCTGTCCCTCGGAGAAAAAGATCGCCAAGCTCAAGATGCTGGCCACGGTTCCTCTGTCAGATATTAGCGACTGTTGTGGGAAGCAGTTAGAACAGGGACTTACAATCCACCCAGAAGGAACACACCGGTCAGTGCGACCTTCTGTCCTCGGGGTGCATGTAGCTTCCAAACAGACGGAATTGGCAGGATGATGATCAGAACTCCAGTCAACACATTGAATGGCGAGAGAATCCGATAGATTGAGATTCGCCACACGCATGACCCTCCAGGGATTGACCTGTTCCAGATGTATGGGAAAGGCGTGCATTGGAAAAAAGTTGCGAACAAAGCTCCCACACCCACCCCAAGTACCAATGCACCAACACAATAAGCACAAATTCGGAATTTGCGAAGCGTGAAAATTCGTGTGTAGAACAGCAAAAGAGCAAGTTTGGAGGAAGTCAAACTAAGTGGATAATTCAGGATTTGTAGAATGAAGATGCTCTGGTTGCACTTGTGAGTCCGAGATGAAAGATTGAAAGTGTGCTTCAAACTTACCTTTCGCAGAAATATCATATTTTCAGGCGTGGAAGCCATAGGTCTGTCAGGGTTCCCAACTCCAGCTTTGGCCACTGCGCATGCGATGAGCTTTTGGCTTCTTTTAGACCACATAGATAGGATCTCACATACGGTAGATGTATACCGAACAAATCGATAAGCTTGCCGCCTAGGTCAGAGCAGATATGTTAGCTCATCTTTTGCTCACATAGCATTGCTTGATTTCATTTGTGATTTTGGCGCTTATACATACCAAGGCAAAAAGGATCAGGTAGTCATCAACCCCGATCTTCATCCGTTGAATAAACCGAGTGAAGAATCTTGCAGCAACGAAGAGTATCTGCACGACTGCAATACCTATAGCAGCTCCTAGCAGGGCATTGCCACCACGTGGATCTCTATTGCCCGGGGACCAGTCCACACCCATCATGTTGACGGAAGAAAATCTGTATACCTCTTCATTGATAGAGCTTTGAGATGCTGTGAACGAATACTGGAGAGAAGCTGCGGGCTGTGCATTATAATAGTAATTTCCAACAAAGAAAACCCCAGTTGAAAGCATAGACGCCGACGGAGACAATCCACTAGAGAATTCTCAAAGAAGCAAAGCCCTTAGCCAACTACCGGGGCGAAACCTACGAGGGGCGGTAATAAAAGAAGAGCAACCACGAGTCCAAGAAAATGACCCGCTTCGATTGGCTTATCACCCGCGTAGACAAAGTCTATCGAGATAAAGTTGACGTTTCCGTGGAACCGGATCGACAAGGTTCCTTTGGGCTCAAAGCGATCAAAGAGTCTTTCGCCCCGGGACTACTGGGGACTGACATCACCACCGCCATTAAGACAACTCCTTATGGGGAACCCTCGTCAATTCGGGGTTTCTCGGCGGACTTCCGCTGCCATGTTCGATTGCCGTCTGGGCATGATGTCCCTCGGCATACACCGGATACCGCTCACCCAAAGCTAGTTCCTAGCTATAGGCTTTGACGTGGGGAGTACTATTTCTATATTGGGACATAGTCCACGCACATAGGTGATCGCATGTTTAGTTTCCACTTTTGACGCTGAGGTCGGGTTTGGTTGGATGGACGTAGATCTCCGTACTTTGGGGTCTTAAATTTTACTTCGAGTATGAATCCGACATCGGGGATTCCAAGGTTTAGAGTTGATCTAGTAAATATTTGTGTTAATGCCTCATACTTCGTGGTTATATTTTGGCCCCCATAGATCCATCATCAATTGAGTGGATTTCAATGTATAAGATTGCGTAAACCAGTTATACCTGGGGGTGGATATATCCTTGGAAGTATTTGACATCACTCAAAAGTCGAGATCCTCGATATTTGATTTCAAATAACACACGAGTCTCAACCTAGAGAAACAAAGCGCTCGGCGTTCCAAGGTTGTGCAATACTTGAGCTAGTTACTGATTCTCGTTTGCACACCGAGCCTCTACGAACATCTTGCATTCCAAGGTTACCCAGAGGACGGATTGAATATCAGCCATCATTGTACAGATGATTGAAGTACAATGGTATTGACGATGAGATGCAAATACACAAATTATGTGATTGAAGGGAAAGGGGTATATGGCAAGCAAGACAGTACGCCTTCCAAAGAAAAAAAGGTAGACGGGGGAAGTCGGCCGGAAGAAAACTACATCGACAATCATTGAAAACACAAGTTCGTAGAATGGTAGGTTTAAGCCACCCGATCCTTGTCCTTTTGCTCCAGCTTCCCAACAAGTCTCTTCATGCCGGTCCACTCATCGGCGGGGACATCTTCCGGTAAACCACAGAGACCCTTGCCGACCTCGTATACCGTAACGACACCGTTGAGACCACCCGTCGCCAGGCGTCGGCCTTCGCGCTCATCCCATGCAACCTTGTTAAGGCTACGTGAAATGATATTTCCATGCTTGTTGTCGGCGACTTCACGTGCAACTGGAACCTCGGTATCCGATGCAAGATCCCAGACTTCGACGTTGCCAGCACCGTCGACGAGTGAGAACACACCTGGCTTAGTAGGGTGCCAGCGAGCATCATAAACAACGTCATCACGGGTGATATCGAGTATTGGTGAGACGACTTGTGGGGCTGAGGTGGACGTGGCAGACGCGGTGGTCGCTGGTGGCCGCACGCGCCAGAGCTTAACGCTCCAGTCTAGACTGGAACTTAGCATTAGGTCTCCTAGGTCGACGGGTCCGCGACCAGGGTGGAACGCAGTAGACATGATTGGTGCTGTGTGGCCCTTGTAGGCTAGGCGGTGGTCTGTGCCACCCTTGGCTCCGGCTCGATCGTACCGATGACAGGGGTAGATGACTCCTTCTTCGGTACCAACGATGAAGAAAGTAGGGTCGGTGTGAGGGAATGACATTGTGGTTGGAGCAAGGTCTTCCGTCTTGGATGGGGGTGGTGTACTCAGTTCCACACGATCTTGTGGGTGAGAGAGCATGTCCATTGTCCAGCCGCAGACTACACCATCCGTGGAGGCAGTCATTATGTTGTGCGCATTCTGCGTACCAACAATCGAGATGCTATAAACAGGATGGGCATGTCCAGTGCCAGTCAGAGGGGTCTTCTGCACAGGGGAGCCTCCGCCAGCACGTGAGGATCGTGTGTCCCACACAAGCACTTGTCCTGAATATGAACCCCCAACGACAAGGTTTGGATGATAAGGAGAGAACTTTGCTGTCAGGATGTCGGAAGTAGAGTGGAACACATATTCTGGGCGGGATTGCAAGTGTTGATTCCATATCTGAACCAGGCCATCTGGCTCATGAGGAGCTGAGGTATTTTTGGTGTATGATGCCAGCAACAGTTCAGGGAACTAGAGTAAAAGTTAGCAATAAGACGTGAACCAATTGGTCTGACAAACCCACCTTTGGGGAGAAGCTCAGATCACTGATTATGCGATTCTTGCTCCATCGCTCGTCCCAGAAATGAGACACTTCTTGCATTCCTCTCTTTTTCTTGCCACTCTCCTCATCTTCTTGCAGATTCCCGTCAATGCCTCCAAGCTCATAGTCTGCCAACACGTCATAGTCCTCATCCAACGCCCTCTCAATGACCTTTGAGGACCGTTCTACGAAGTCCAGGAAATCGTCGGACGATGTGACTGCCTTCAGCTCGTCGTCATCAAGTGTGCGCAGAGGATACCGCAACTGTGCTTGCGCAGCTGAGTTATCGTTACCCTCCTCTTGATTGGCAGCACGTAGCTCTTCTTCAATCTCCTTGCGAAGCTTTTGTAAGATTTCCTCGTCTCGTTCTTTATCCCGGCGACTGGAACGCTTGCCGGATCGCGTGGTACCAGGGGCATCTTCATTGTCCGAGGCGACAGAACCCTCAGGGGTTTCAGGTTGGAAGTCCAGACCATCTGTTTGTACTGCCTTGCTGTAGGTGACGACCTCGGGTTTAGGTTTGGAGTCGGGTTCAAGTTCAGGGGGAGGCGGGGCTTCTGTTGCGGAGGAAATGTAGGGCTCCTCGCCCATAGTTTGGACGGCAATGGACTGGGATTGGGGTCGCGAAGGGGAGGTATATGCGTCGGCATTCTCCCCGCTCAATTGGCTGGCGCTCAAGACGGAGGTTGGCCGGCTTCCTCGCCGCGACTGGCCATCTGCACCTTGGCTGAGAGAGGCCGACGCTGGGCGATCGACCAGACGAGCAATAAGGTCATCGAGCTCGTGCCTGTTACCTGGGTGACTAGGCGCTGGCGAAATGATCTGGCCATGTTGTCAGTCTCCGACGAGCTCTGTGATCTGTTCATGTGCTGTTGTTTACCTCTGAAGCATCCCCGACACTAGTCCTATTGGTAAATTCCTTCTGACGTAGCTCGCGTTGCTTTTTCAGCTCGGCAAGTTTTGCCCGCTTGGCTAGGATCTCATCCTTTCGCTGCTGCATCGACATCTTGGGCAATCATGAAGCGATGATACTCGAGCTGTCGCGCTTGTAGTAATGTATCGCCCACTGTTTATCGGGATGACTAAGAAACACATGGCCTGAGGTGTCCTTTTTCGGAAGTTGGGGAGCGGCCCGGAAAAACTCGCGCGCGCAGAACATGAACTGAACCTCGCCATTGACCAACTTGGAGACTCATTGCCATTGACGGTTGACACCTGTTGAACGGACCTTCCTTATACCGCCGTTTGATCATTTATTTAATTCCTCTCTTTCACAAACCTTTCACAATGGCTTCCCAGGGTGTTAATGTGAGTCCCGGCTAAGGGTCACCTCTCTCTCTCTCCCCCGACTACTGCTAACCATGTCTACCAACCCCTAGGTCTTCCGTTATTCGGCTCTCGTTGCCGGTCTCGTCTACGGTGTCTACCACCAGTCCTCGCTCAACTCCGTCACCAAGCGCGCAGAGATCGAGCACGAGTACACCCGCAAGGAGCGCCTGATCGAGCAGGCCAAGGCCGAGTACAAGAAGAAGACCCAGCCCCAGCAGGAGGTCAAGACACAATCCAGCGGACGTATGTTCAGCCCCAATAATCATGCGACTCGGACACTTGCGAAGATACCCGAAGCAGCCGCATGCCCCCCAAGACTCGCGATTCTAACAAGCTTTCTAGTCATCACGAATTTCGAGGACCCCAAGTTCGACCTTGAGGCTTTCCTGAAGGCCAACGAATAAATGGAGAGAACCTGTTGAGGAGGAATGTTACGCAATGATCTCTTTGCGGGAATCGCACCTCCCCCAGGGTATAAGACGCGATTTGTTCGACTCCACGCCATTTTTCTGTACGATTGTTTGGGTTTAATATGCCCCCGAGCCGTGTCATTGCGAGCGAAAGATGGAATGATTTTTGTTTCTCATTTTTAGACGTTTTATCTGGGTCCTGTACATACCCTGGGCTGTCGTGCGCCTGTACACTACAGTTGGACCAAAGCAAGAGCAAAAGATCGTGTTATGCATTCCGGCGTTACTAGTGAACTCTATATTGCCAGTTCACTCTAGCTCCGGGTACTCTCTGTCCTGGAGTATCCGGAGCGCGAACTGTAGTTGCGTAGGCTGATGATAGAGGGCCAAGTCTATTAACATGTATTGCGTAGTGTTTTGATGGCCTCTCAACTTGCGCGGGCACCAAGCATTGCCATCGCTTCGCGGATTCCATTGTAGGAATGACCATCCGCAGGACGTATCACAATGGGCTTGGGATGTAGCAACTTCGTATTGGGGTCCCAGGTCCAACCACACTTCGTGAAATTTGTGATGATGTTGGAGTCTTCTTGTTCCGCGGCCTTTTGATCCAAACCGAGATAGGCCGCAGCGACGGGCAACCTAATGGTCTGGTATGACTTGCTCACTGAGATTAAGGTCTTATCTTGGAAGAAGCCTATACAAGTGTTCAAAGATGTCAGTCTCCACTATGGGTAGTTCAAGAAGCGACAGGAGACGTACATTCGTATCTTCGTACTAATGGTTGCAAGACATCTGGCCAGGGCGATCCTCGCAGTATTTGGTAGACCTGGCCATGTTTGGTCTGCCATACTGCTCGAAGTAGAGATAAACAGTTCTGGAGTGTGGTATCGTGTTGTTTGAGATTAACGGGCACTCGCTCCGTCAGAGCGCGTGATTCGGCCCTGTGAAGCTTTGTTAGTAAAGTGAGGATCGTGAGTACATCACCAATAAGTCACTTACACTTGGTCTGTGAGGAGATGGAGGAGGAAGAAGCTCGAGTAAAACAAGCTTAAAAGCTGGAGATCGCCTCCAGATGCACTTGCATCGCTACTCCCATCTGACATCAGACATGCTTCTTGTTCGTATTCCGCCAAGGTCTCGAATAACTTTGAAGGTGGGGAATTGGAGGCTACCAGCTGTGCGAGCTGCTCTAGCGTCAGCGGCGGGAGCTCCATGATGTGTTGGAAGGGCGAGGTAGTCGATATGTATATTGCTGTAAAGAAGTGAGAGGAGCTTCAGGAACAGGAGTTCAAAGCAGTATCTCAAAGCCACAAAGAAAACAGAAATGGGACAGGTGAGTGTTGATTGGCAGTATTGCGGGGAGTAGTCGGAGGTGGCGCCTCTCGCCGGTGCCAAGACCTTCAGAAGTGACCACCTTGCGCAGCTCTCGCTCTTCCCATCTCAACTCACGGCGCTCACCATTGGCATCTCAGCCCAATCAGTTTCCTGATTTCATGTTTCATTTTTGATTTCTGACTTTGGACTTTGCTCCCTTTGGCCATTATGGCCCCGTCTTCCCTTGATGTTCTGCTGAAAGGCAGCTCCGGCCGGAACACGCGCGGTCTACTGCGGGTTATCATTCTCGTTACCATTGCCGCCGCCGCAGTGTCCAGCCGATTGTTCAGTGTTATCCGTACGTTTCAATTGGGTACTTTCAAATTCCACGCACTAACAGTTTCTCAGGTTTCGAAAGCATTATCCACGAATGTATGATTCCCTTACGCTGACCCGATGCAGCAGCATCTCGAACATCAACCGGCACAAGCACGAGATATTAACACCGTTTACCTTAGTCGACCCGTGGTTCAATTTCCGTGCAACAAAATACTTGGTCGAAAATGGCTTTTATAGCTTCTGGGACTGGTTTGATGACCGTACGCCTCCTTCTTCCCTGTTGCGCGTCCTCTAGGAGTCGTGTATATCATGCCTGGTACTGATGTCGTTTTCACAATTTAGGAACATGGCATCCTCTTGGTCGTGTCACTGGTGGCACGCTATACCCTGGTCTGATGGTGACCAGCGGAATCATCTACCACATCCTTCGTCTCCTTACTATCCCCGTTGACATTCGGAACGTCTGTGTGCTGCTTGCCCCCGGTTTCTCCGGACTGACAGCCCTAGCAATGTATCTTCTGACCTCGGAGATGTCTACCTCTCCTTCGGCAGGTCTTTTGGCTGCTGCCTTTATGGGCATCACTCCCGGTTACATCTCACGTTCCGTTGCAGGAAGTTACGATAACGAAGCTATCGCGATCTTCTTGTTGGTGTTCACATTCTATCTCTGGATTAAGGCTGTCAAGAATGGCTCCATAATGTGGGGAGCCCTGACTGCATTGTTCTATGGGTACATGGTCTCGGCTTGGGGTGGATACGTTTTCATCACTAACTTGATTCCTCTCCATGTCTTTGTCCTTCTTTGCATGGGCCGGTACAGCACCCGCGTCTACATCAGCTACACGACTTGGTACGCTTTGGGAACATTGGGTAGCATGCAGATTCCGTTTGTTGGATTCTTGCCCATCCGAAACAGTGACCACATGTCAGCACTTGGTGTCTTTGGCTTAATCCAGCTGGTGGCATTTGCAGAGTTCATCCGAAGCTATATTCCTGGCAAGCAGTTCCAGAAGCTTTTGACTTTTATGATTCTACTTACCGTCGGTCTCGGATTCGGTGGTCTCATTCTGCTGTCTGTGTCCGGCGTCATTGCTCCCTGGAGCGGTCGTTTCTACTCTCTGTGGGACACTGGCTACGCCAAGGTTCATATTCCTATTATTGCTTCCGTCTCTGAGCACCAGCCTACTGCTTGGCCCGCTTTCTTCTTTGACTTGAACTTCCTTATCTGGCTTTTCCCTGCAGGTGTCTTCATGTGCTTCCAGAAGCTCAAGGATGAACATGTCTTCGTTGTGATTTATGCTGTCCTTGCCAGTTACTTCGCCGGTGTCATGGTTCGTCTGATGCTGACACTGACTCCAATTGTCTGTGTTGCCGCTGCTCTCGCTCTGTCGGCAATCCTCGACAACTTCTTGGTTGCCTCTACGCCCACCGCCGAGAGCAAAGCCAAGGCAACCACCGAGGACAAGTCACTTCGATCAACCCGGGAACCGGTCGTTGGTATCTACTCGTATCTCTCCAAGGCCGTTGTGACCGGATCGGTGACTCTTTACTTGCTTCTCTTCGTTGCGCACTGCACTTGGGTTACTTCCAACGCATACTCGTCGCCCTCCGTGGTTCTGGCCAGCAAGCTTCCCGATGGAAGTCAATTCATCATTGACGATTACCGTGAGGCATACTACTGGCTCCGCCAGAACACCCCCGACAACGCCAAGATCATGTCCTGGTGGGATTATGGATACCAGATTGGCGGCATGGCTGATCGCCCCACTCTGGTTGACAACAACACCTGGAACAACACTCACATCGCCACGGTTGGTAAGGCCATGAGCTCTCGTGAGGAGGTCAGCTACCCGATCCTGCGTCAACATGACGTCGACTACGTTTTGGTCGTGTTTGGTGGACTCCTCGGCTACTCAGGTGATGATCTGAACAAGTTCCTCTGGATGGTTCGCATTGCTGAGGGTATCTGGCCCGATGAGGTGAAGGAGCGCGACTTCTTCACTGCTCGTGGCGAGTACCGCGTTGACGAGGAGGCCACTCCCGCCATGAAGAACAGCTTGATGTAAGGATATTCTCCTCGTATCTAGAGTGTCTGCTAACCCATTGAATAGGTACAAGATGTCTTACCACAACTACCAGAGTCTCTTCCCAGCAGGACAGGCCATGGATCGTGTCCGTGGCACCAAGCTTCCCAAGGAAAGCCCTCAGCTCAATACCTTGGAGGAAGCTTTCACAAGTGAAAACTGGATCGTTCGTCTTTACAAGGTCAAGGACCTTGACAACCTCGGCCGTGATCACAGTCATGCCGTTGCCTTCGACAAGGGCCTTAAACGCAAGCGCGCTACCAAACATAAGGGTCCTCGTGTTCTGCGAACCGAGTAGGCACCTGTAAACTCGCTTTGCATTTTCTTGTACTTTTTGGCTGCCATGAGTGTTTTGACATGGGATGCCAATGTTTGTGTTTGCGTTTACCTACTACCGAATATACTACTCTAAGCACACTTGTTTAGAATTATATCACATTATCCATACTGGAGGCAATTCGGCTAGCTCACTCAGCATACCCTGGCCATGAGGACTCGGTGTGATAAATAGCCTTGGATGAAGACTTGACGTGGTCATGAGGAAAGACAGTACGTACTAGTGTATACCCCGTAGCACGGGATCTCCGGATCAAATTGTGGCGGTATATGAAGCATCTGTAACCAGAAACTGGTTGTACAGCGCAAACTTTGGGACAATTCTGTACATGGCAACGCAATGGCTGCTATAAGCGCTAAAATTGCAGATTAAAAAAACATGGTCTCCCGAAGACTCCGAAACCCCAATTTACACCGTTGTCTCTTTCCCTAGGGCTTGCATTTCTCCCAGGCCTGGCTTTGGTATGGTACACATCGAGCATTTCTTAAAAACTCATGGTTAAGCGAGTGCGGTATCAATTGCTGGGTGCCGTGGAAGCCTTCATTTCTTGGTGGCCGGGGCATCGGGGACCTTCACGTCATCGAACTCTTCTTGGCCGACAGCCTTGAGAGTGTAGGTGTCTGAGTAGAAGTAAGGTCAGTAAACATCCTTTTCAATCTTCCTCGTTATCCGTGGGGTGTGTTATGGACAAGCTGCGGGTGGCATGACCATCTGCGCCGTGGAACACGATGGCATTGGGGACTTCGAAAATTGCGAATGCTACTCACAAACAGCCGCCGTGAAAGCGAAAAGTCCAAGGCCCGTAACGGCGTTCTTGAAGAGGTATGGGCGGCGGGCGCGCAAAAGGGCAGCGCCAGCCCGGTAATCCTTGCCGTAGTAGGTGGAGTTGAAGCTGGTAGATGAATGATGTTAGCGAGACTGGCCCTTTTCAAATCAAGAACAGGCATACATACATTCCTTGTTGAGCCATGTTGAGTATGCAGACCGAGACGTAAGAGACGAGAAAGTTGAGGCTGTCCAGGCAGACCCGGCGGAAAAGTCTTGGCGAGGCCCAGACAACGTGATGCGGCTTTACATGTTGTTCACCTTGCTCTCTATTCAAAACACTCGGCCTCATTCCAATAATCGCACCCGAATCCCAATGAGGTAGAGGAAAAGCTATCGCTTTCTCTGCTCGGCGTGTGCTTAGCTCGCATCCGCGTCTTTGTCCGCATTGCTAGACTTCACTACTTCTGTCGCATTCTCGACGGCTTCACGTCAACCCCGATCCAGTCTTCTAGCGCGCTCCACGCAGACTCCCGCGCTTTCTTCTAGATACCAGGTCACTTTCCCGTGATACAGCTCCTCGCAATAACTTGAAAAAGCTTCTGCGCCTTGCTTTCAGCGTTCTCGCCTGTCCCCGGCCGCCAGCCAACGTTCTCCCTTCGGACGCTTTATCCCCGACCCCCCTCGAGACCTGAAGACGATTTTTACGATTCGAATTCGGAACCATCGACCTCTCAATGGCTCAGACACCGGATGTCAGCGACCAGATCGCTCAGCTTAACGCCGCTCGCAGCCTGGTCCTGGGTGATTCCGCGTTTTACCCGCAGATTGTGAATGGCATCCTTCCCATTGTCGGAGCTAACACAAGATTGGAACTGCGAAGATGGGGTGCAAACTTCCTAGCAGAGACCTTTGCTAGTCCAGTTCTAGCCGTAGAGCAGAAAGAGCAACTGGCACCGAGTGTTTTGCAAACGATCCGTGAGATCCTAGAGCTGCCAGAGACCGATATCGCGGTGTTGCAAAGCTTAGTACAGACGTCCGCCAGCTTGTATCCTCTTGTCTTCAGGCACATGTAGGTTCCCTTCAAGGATTTGCCCTCCCAATGAGCAAATGATCGAAACCATGAGCTTGGTGCTGACGTTCTGACAGTGTGAATCACCCACAAGACAGCAAGTCATGGGAGAACATGTGCGAAATCAAGCAGGAAATTCTCCGGAAAATGGACGATTTCCCTTGCTCCATTAAACTTTGTTGTGCCAAATTCATTCAGCGCGTTGTTCAGGTCCAAACGCATAGTTCGGGCGGAGATCCAAGAGTATGTGATGGTTTAGTCCCTTGAGATCATGCTTGAGTGTACTCACCTCTTCTCTAGCGCCCCGAGCTGAACGAGACATCTCTCGCCATTGTCCCCCGCAGCCATGCACTGCTATCAATCCCAAATCTGGAAGCGGAATCATCTGGATTACTTGATCGGTTGCTTGGGGTTTTCCAAGAAGATACTAGGTAAGGATTAACGATTATTCTCGGATAACTTGGCTGAAAGCTAACCTTGGTCAGTGATCCTCTTCTGGTGAACGCCACAATAAACCTGCTGCCTCCTCTCATTCGAACTCGCCCAACCATCGCTCATAAGATAGTTAATGCTGTTTTGGATTTCATCCCAGCACATCACGTCCGGCCTCCGTTCACACCCACGGTTCGTGTCAGTGTCAAGTCTATGGAACGGACAGCCCGAGCATTGTTTTGGAACATTTTGAAAAAGTATGTATTTGCTCTTGAAGTTAATGGTAGTCTGTTCTAACACATCCAGGAATCAAAATCACCCTCTTGCGCCGCGAATGCACGCGTACATTGAACGTTTAAGCCAATCGCGCCTTGAGGCTACTGATGATTCTTCTCGGAAGCGTAACCTGCCAAACGAGCCTACTGACGGACTCGATAATGCTAAGCGAGCTCGTCTCGACGCCATGCCTCCGCCAACAATGAAGATACCCCCAATGGCACCAGGGCCCGCGAGCTTTGATCGCCTGTTTACTTTGACCGAGGATAGTGGACTGTCATCTTTCGACGTAAAGCAGCTTCCATTTGACATAGTCCTGAAGATTGTCGTGCCTCTTCTCTCGCAGGTGCATGATTCGACTATGACGCAAGCCGTTGAGGTATGTATCGCTTGAAATGAGTTGTATCCGCGCTAACTTGGTCCTAGGCTGTCCGCACTCGTTACCAAGCAATCAGTCGGGAACAAATTCTACAACGCCAGCAGCAGCAATCAGCAGCCCCAGACGAGGATGATGACTATGAGCCTGAATATCAGCCGATGGACGCGGCATCTGTCGTGTCAGAAGAGAACAGTGCAGTTGCAGAAGAGCTCGCAGATCTTCAGCCAGATTTGGTTTCTCTGGGACCATTCGTCCTACCTCAGCCTCCTCCATTGAGCGAAGAGGAAGCCGGTGAAATTGGACGAAGTGCCGTCGCACGCGTGTTTGGTATGCTTAACGCATCCGAAACATCACCTGCGCCTGCCAAGAGCCAGACGCAACAGAAGCTTGGATTCGCCCGACTTGCCGGCAGCACATTTGACAGAGATGCATGGTCTGTTCTCCTCGCTCGATTGGCTACTCGTGCACCTGCGGGTCTTGTAGATGGACCGCAGGCCAAGGGTGATTCGGCCGCACGGCGCCAAACAACCATCGCGGACTCTATCCGAGAAACTCTTTATCGATACATTCTCGAGGACTTCCGAGGACGTCTCAACATTGCTATCATCTGGCTTAGCGAAGAATACTACAATGATCGGATGCAAATGAGAAGTGCTGCTGCTCAACGCGACGACTCAGAAGAAGAGTCGGAACCAACCGTGGCTCTCAATTACGACACTTGGTCTACTCGTCTCCTTGATGGCTTCCTGGCATACTTGGATGGACGAGACATCAAAGTTCTTGTTCGTTTCCTCAGCGAGGTTCCCGAGATCACGATTGCAATCACTCAGCGGGTAGCCAGCTTGGCCAAAGACCCAGAGCGTGTGAACCTATGTGTTCAATCTTTGATGTACGTGGCTTTCGCTCACTATCTCGTTCGAAAAACTGACTCCATGCAGGTACTTGATCATGTTCCGGCCCCCAGCTCGTGACATGTGTCTAAACACGGTAGAGGACGTCTACCAGACATGTAAGAACACAACCTTACCCGATGACATGACCTCGCTGACACTTGCAATAGACGAAGAATCCCGACCTGCGGCCACGAAGGTTCTCACCAAATGGCGACCTGAGAGCACAGTGTTGGAGAAGACTACAAATGACGCACCAGAGCCGTCTGTGACGCCTGTACAGCCAGAGGCTCAGCCTACAGTTGCTGCAGACCCATGATTGAGCATACGATGACGATGGCACAAACCACGAGATGGGATGAAATATTCACATTCTGACCAAACCAAAGACACAAGGGATTGACATTGCCCGAACTCACACACATTCTCCAGTGTATGTGTGTGTTTCTTTAATTGTATCTTTATTCTAGTGTATCCATTTTGGGTCCTTTCATTCAAAGCTTGTCATTTACGGTCAATCTCCTTTGCTCCATATAGTGAATACATCCTCATTGAATCCATAATCGAATGTATCTATCTCCCAGGACGCTTGAACTCAGCCTGCGTGGGCATCATGAACCTCGGTCTAGTACAGATCATGTCCAACTGCCCTCGTCCGACTGTTGGGTATTTCCCGGGGTCTTGCCAGATGCATGCCAGTGAATTGTTCTCTCGGGAGCTTTGGGTTTAATCTTGGAACCGACCAATCGTTGTCTAATCCCGAGGTCCCGTGGCAAGTGATATTCAGTTCACAGAAGTGAAAAAATGAGGTCAATTGTTGCCGGCAATGGTGCGATTAGACTGACGTGAAAGTGATTACTACTAGTATCTAGCAGGGTTGGTATGTTAGTAGCGCGCAAGACCCTTAAGTCCTCTTTTTGGACTTTAATATAGGGCTCAAGGCTGAGATCTTGAGGCTGTGGTGATCAAACCTAGTTATCTATCACACGACCAGGACACATTCAAGCGACATACTTCAGTGTGAGCAGGTAGTCATTTCCATCCATCAGTCTGAGCTAAATTGTATTGCTACATCTAGAAATTTAGTTTCTGAAGCCATAAGACTTGCATGCACATACGGAGTACTCCATAGAGATCAACTATACATACGCTCGCGAGACCAAAGACCACCATCACACCAGTTTATGTACAAAGTTTACTATCAAGCAGAACTAACAGATCAATCGATTGTGTATGTTTTCGCAAGTTTTGCCTCACAGCCCTTGATACGGAAGTGTCACATGATGACGCGCGATGGTCGCGTCCCCCTCTAGCCGCGTTGACCCAGAGTCTAGCCACTTGTCATGGATCCAGTCTTAGAGGGATTGAACCATGCACAGCGCGAGGCTGTCACCTCATCTGGCTCAGTTCTTCAGGTGCTGGCGCCACCAGGCTCGGGCAAGACCAAGACGTTAACAGCGCGCGTCGCGTACCTTCTTTCACATCACGGTTACCAACCCCAAGATGTCATTTGTTGCACCTTCACAATCAAGGCCAGTCGTGAGATGCGCGAGCGCCTTGCGAAACTCATTGGCGAAAAACTCGAATCCCGCTTGATTCTCGGCACTTTCCACTCAATCTGTCGTCGCTACTTGGTCAAATACGGCTATCTGATTGGCCTGCGGAAGGGATTCGGAATTGCGGACTCGGACGACACCCGCGCAATCATTAAAGTATGTTGAGTACCCCTAAGTGGGCTGATGACAACATCTAACAATCAACCCAGAGAACCATCAAACGCCTGAACTCTAGCATTGAAGTCAAGGCAGCTCAGGGTCGTATTTCTCGGCACAAGGCACATGGTCTCAGTCCAGATGCACTAGCCGGACGAGCCAAGGCCGAGGAGCTGGAACTCGTTAATATCTATCGCGAGTATCAATCAGCATTGGCGGCTTCCAACTTGTTGGACTACGATGATCTTCTTTTGCGTTGCAGTGATCTCCTTCGAGATCACCCGCAGTGTGTTTCCAATGTGCAGGCCGTTCTGGTGGACGAGTTTCAAGACACAAACATCATCCAGTATGAACTGATGAACCTCTTTGCCTCCAAGAATCGGCGGATCACTATCGTTGGAGACCCTGATCAAAGCATCTACGGCTTCCGTTCTGCAGAGATCAAAAATCTCAAACGAATGCAAGGGCGTTACTCAAACACAACAGTTGTTCTGCTGGAGGACAACTACCGCTCTGCGGGCTCCATCTTGAATGCTGCACAAGAGGTCATTGAACAGGATGAGGCTCGGCCTGCTAAGGCTCTTCAGGCCACACACACCTTTGGAACTCTGCCTGTATTAAGGCGACTTCCTACCCCCAATGCAGAAGCCCAGTGGATGGTGCTTGAGATAAAACGATGCGCAGCGATGACTGGAAACCTCTTGCGCATGTCCGACTTTGCCGTCCTTCTACGCTCGGCGTCACTGTCCACGCAAATTGAGACAGCGTTCGGGAGAGCCGGCATACCATATAAGATGGTTGGAGGTCGAAAGTTCTTTGATAGGACTGAAGTCAAGATTCTTCTGAATTATATGAGAGTTTCAAGCCATACGGGACACTCGGACGCGCTGTTGAACATTGTCAATGTGCCGCCACGCAGAATCGGTGATGAAACGATCAGACAGTTGACAAGCGGTGCGGAGAAGGCTAAGCTTCCGCTATGGGACTTCATCAAGGATGTAATTCAAGGGCGCCGCTCGACCGAAAAGAAACTGCAAAAAGCCGCAGAGCAGGGTCTCTGCAACCTAGTGAAGCTGATCGAAGCCTCTAGGCAAAAGTTACAGGAGTGTGAGGATGCTTCAGCACCGCGTGTTTTGATTGAGTTTATCGCAGAACGCCTGTCGTTCCAGGAGTATCTCATCAGAACATATCCGCTAGACGAAGACAGCCGCTGGGCGAATGTCAAAGAGTTGATGCACCAAGCCTCAGAGGCTGCAGCTTTTGAAGATGAGGAAGTTGACAAAGAGATGGATCTCCCCGAGATTGAGGGCGTGGAACAACAGCACGCGCACGCTGGCGAGGAAGCTCTCACTCGGTTCCTTGCGAACGTGGCCTTGGCCACAGAGATCACTACAGAGGAGGACAACAAAGAGGGAAGTCAACCCACGGAGAAGGTCACCATCTCAACTATTCACGCTGCCAAGGGCCTGGAATGGCCCGTGGTCTTCGTACCCGCGGTGTACAATGGAAGCATTCCACATTCGCGTGCCGAGGTAATAGAGGAAGAGAGGCGATTGCTATATGTCGCGATGACAAGAGCGCAAGCCCTTCTATATTTGAGTGTGCCTATTCGACAACCCCGATTAGGAGAAGGAGAAGACGGTGCGACTACATTAACACCTTTTCTGCCTCCCAAATTGATCAAATCGCGCTTTCGGCAAACAGGACCATCACTCCATGAGAAGGTGGTGTATGCAATTGCTGATATCCTGAGGCGTCCTCATCCATCTCTTGATGCCATGTATAAGGGGCTTGCATTTCTCCCGTCCACGCTAGATGATCGATGGACAGCAGAGGGCGAGGAAGATCGCAGCAAGTTTGAAAGCACGACAACCTCCCACGACATCTCTGATGAGCCAAATCCAAAGCGGCGACGCTCAGATATGAACACGGGGTCAAAAACAACAACCTATGTTTCATCTACTGGGTATACTATGAATAGCTCAACAGGGTTTACCCTTCCGCCATCCGCTTCATCGGGTTTTACATCTGCGCGAGATCATATTGCCGCTTACCCCCAACCTACTTCGGAGTCAGCCGCGGAGTCAGCCTCAAGCGCTAATGCCGGGGCAGCCGGGGCAAACAGACCGACATCCAAGGAATCAGGCCGTAAAGACGGTCTTACGCAAGCCAGCATCTCCAATTTCTTTGCAGGCCCAGGGGCTCAGAAAAAAGAACCTGTGCTGCCTGACCGTCCACAGCCACCATCCCGAAGATACGAACTACCAGCGTCACAGAACCAACGTCAATCAACGAAGATCAATGTCCCGCCTACCCTCTCTTCTCACCGTGTCCAGCCACGACCACTCATCCCAACCGGGCCGGCACTGGAGCCTGCCGGTACCAATGGCTACACGTGGTTGGCGGCTCCATCGAGACCCCCAACCTCGAAGCCCAGGATGCCGGTGACGCAGGAACAAGGCGCTGGCAATGTTTCGACCAACGGCACGGCCGGGGCAGAGGTGAAACCCGAGGCCTCGCGAGGGTTCCAATCCGCGACAACGTTCCACACAACGACCATGTCAATGGTCCAACAGGGGCCGAGGCGGACGCTGGGGATTCGGCGGAGCATGAATGGGTGGCAAGACCGGATGAAGCGAGAGAGCGGTGGAGGCTGAAACGAAATCGGGGAGGCTGGGTCTAGAATCGTGACGATACGTTCACGGGACCAGGTCAGGAGAGAGGCCCACAGGCTGCAATTTGGCTCGGTTGCTGGGGAAGCCCCGGGTTATACTCAGCTCGGAAAGTGATTGACCAGGGAAGGGTTGGATGGGCCAGAATTTCGGTCTGGGGAGGAATGACGCACATCCGTGCCAGGGCTCGATCTGACTTGTTTATGCATAGCTCTTAACCAGTACCTGTACACGTAGCTCAATTTCATAATCATTCTCATGGATGGCCCATGTATGTGGCGGGACGGGCAGATCTTCCGATTGAGCCTAATACATACATACGATAAGGTCTATGACGAAAAATGGGAATCAATAATATGAGGGTATAATAATTGAGACCTAAAGAATAGGATTCTGGACCATTGTGGAGATCTGGCGGTGAAAGGGTCCCCCTTATGCCTTAGTTATTTCTCTGTCTAGTTACAGCCGCCATTGGCGCAATGACGCTAGCGGTGAAGGGAAGCGAGGAATGGTGAACACGACAGATCAGGTCCATGTGTGAAACCCAAGTAAGCAAGTGAGCTGGAGTACGGAGTAATGTACGGGAGTACGGGAGTATAGGATGGACTAGTTGAGTCTAATCTGTACCGAGTTAGGACTAAGGTTGACAACCAAGTTCGGTAAGTTTAAGGGGATCCATGGATTGCTATTCTTGGAGGAATGGCTGAGTCATCATTATTGGTAACAGTACGGTATTACCGCTGTCAGGATACCGCATACCTTTGCAAAAAGAGTCCACCTGGTAAGTGCTCCTTTTTCTTCACTGGCTGTCACTGGCTGCCCTACTTTGTTTCTGCTCTCTCGGCCAATCAATGTCACGGGTATCATTACCAGGCACCAAATACGTCAGTCCCATAGCTCAAGCTCCAGTGTTCCCCAGAGTGTAGATCGGGATGGCTCAATCTGGAATGGTTTGCTATACAAAAAGAAGTCATTGCCCTCAATTCAATTCATCACTCATCTATACAACCACTTTATAACACCACCAATTGTTGATCTTTTTTTGTTTTCATTTCTACTCTCTATATATATTTTCTATACCTTTATCATTGTCTTTATAATTTTGCTCACAGTTCAACACTGTGCGCCTACACCTTTTTTTTACGCTCTCTACAACGACATTTAATACCTCTTAATACTTCCTCATATTCACCTTGTACCTTTTCACCTTCACGCTCAAATTTTTCACCTCTTCCACAATTCCATCCTACGTCACAATGCCACACAAAGTGAACAACTCCAATTCCACCCTGGCCAGCAGGAGCAGCGGTGACCAAACCACCGAAGTTCGGAATCTCTGTATGTCACACCCCTGCCCCCGATCTCCAGATTCAGCCCAAGCTAATGCACACCCTAGCAGCCAATCCCGTCCGCAAACCTCCGGTCGTCGTCCATAACAAGGGTGGCCAAATCTATGATGAAACCCGGCCCTCGGACTGGGATAAGCAACGCTGGAAGTAGTCCTGCTGTTCCCATAACTCGGGAAAGATCACGCGGATATCCAGCACTTTTACCCGCGCGGACCAGAGTCTAGACAATCGGCCAAGGCAGCAGACACGCAAAGAAGATGCTACCAGAAAGAGAAAGTGAGGCGGTGATCGACGATTGGGCGCTAAGCCCCCTTTTTTTGAGCTCTGAGCTCGAGCTTCGTCACCGCTTGAATCTCTTTCTCTTTCTATCGACCCCCTGACCAGATCTGGTTCGCAATCTTCTGGATTCTCCCGTTTTCCCTTTTTTGCTTGTCGATCCATTGCCGCGCACTCCCTGCGTCTCCCCGGATTTTTGGGTCTCCACACAAGCTCTGCCCTTTCTCCCCTTGTATCATTATTCTGGTGTTGGAGGCGTCTCTGTTTACCCTATGGGCTTTCATTCTTTGGGGGCCTCGCTTTGAGCTGCTGGCTTTACTCTCCTCTCTATTCATATCTGTTGGGCCATGTTCGATTCTATTGCACCTGTTGTGATGCTCTGAACTTGGTCGAGATAATCTTGTTTTGTTTTTGTTGCGATGCATAGCGTGGGTATTATTTTTGGGTCTATCGAACCTAAGGTGTTCTGAAGCGAAATTGATTTCTTGAGAAACGCTCTCAATGTTTTAATATTTATGATCACTTCTCAGTCGTAAACTAGGATTTTCCACTGCCGAGATCCCGAAGCTGAGGTTGGATAGTATCAACACCTGGGCCTGGGGATGGGTACACGGCACAAATTATGATGGTCTCGACAAGGTAAAAAACATTGAGCTTGCAGATTGATCACCCATTTGGGCAGGACCTTGGAATTTGGCGCATATCCATGGAGATCCTGGGGTGGTCTTCAGGGGTTGTCATTGTACAGTGTTTGGCTCATCTGTATGGATATGTCCTCCCAATTCCCTCCCTACCATAGAGATGGATCTTCGGATCCATCCTCGGAACACGTCTCAATGGGTCTAGAACCTTGGGTCATATGACACGATAGCACTCAGAATTGTGAAAATGTATATATTTTGCCTGTGTTTAATGGGATAACCTTTGATGATCCCAAAGTCTCTACCTAGGTAGTGTTCCCAAAAGTCGAATCACACGTGTTTTGGCAACTTTGGGATTGTCTCAGTTGCTGTATGGGGTCTAAAAGTAAACATGACACTCAAAGTGTCATGCCTCTAGGGTTGGGTACCTATCTGTTGTGCTTCGGGTTCCAAGGATAATAATCCCGAGGTCCCCTGGGCATACATAGTTGGACTTCGAAGAACCCCGTGGACGTTGATAGAAATATATACTCCGTACCCGATGTCAGGATAGGACAGCCCAACACCCAACAAAACCTTGGAACCAATCCGAGGGTTGTGCCTCAGATACCTACCTGGGCAGGTGAAACCCCGATAGAGGAAGCATGCGAATGTGTTCATGCTATCCAAATTTTTTCTTGAGTTCCAAGGTTAAACTTCGAGAGCAATTGCCGGGGTTTGATTTGACCCAGCTGTGTGAAAGATAGGAAGGAGTACTCTGGAGATTATAAAGTGACGAGATTGCTCCAAGGGTTGAACATGAAGAGGCGTAAATTTCATGCGAAGATCTAGGAGGAAGTAGGGACGAGACTTGCACGAGAGGCAGCATGCACCAAGGACTAAGAGGTCTACGGGTTTGCAGAGAACGAAGCACTCAAAGACTGAATAGGAATAACTGAAAATGGGATATATTCAGGGCCAAAGGCCGAAACCCGATTCTCGAATCCACAGATAATAAAAAGCACCTCAGCCCCGTCACCAAAAAGGATTGCGACAGGGGCATCGAGGGCAGGTGTCAAGGGCTAGATACATAGGAAGAGGATAGCAAAGGCAGGAAAGGCACACCGAGTTGAGCTCTGCGGCCAGTCCTCCCAGAAGACATATGATTTTTTCCGGGTTTTCTCGCTTTTTTTGCTTTTTTTGTGACCTCTGCAAGCCCTTGCCACAGACAAACCAAGTTGTCATTGAAGAAGCGGGACCCGTCTCACATTCACGAACGAGCATAACGTGAGGGAGAGGCGAGGCACATTAAAAACGATTTTAGGAGTTTTCTGAGATCAACGTGAGGGGCGATTGGGGAAGGGGTTGGTGAGCGCGATGGGGAGGGCAGCTGTGCTGCTAATGATCGTGGTGGGGGAAGGGGATATCGAAAAGGCGCAGCGCCGACTGACGCGCAGCAAGAGAAAAAAAGTGTTCAAGGTTTGTGTGATGTGCCTTGATAAAGAGAAGAGAAGATAATGTGATGGGGAGTGGCAGATGCATTCTTAAAACAAATAAATCAACATGGCTCGCGCTCGCAATGCTAGTGGTCAAATCAAGTGCGACTGATGACCCGAGTATGGGTATTGGAAGCAAATGGGTATGCAATTTTGGAACAGGAAGTGAAAGGGCTGGTCTCGACTCCAGGTCCGTAGAACCGAGGTCGAATGCAAAGCGTAAAAGATGAATGAGGAGGCGGTCGAAATTGAGAAATATGGCACAGGTCGACAGCTGGTGTGGCGCATTGAAGATTAAGACAAAATATCGATGTGAATCAATGCAGGATCGAGCGCTCCTTGGAAAGATTCTATGAGAGGTGACAAAAAATCAAGATTGAAACTGGAAGGAAAATGCAGGACCAAAATCGGTTGGAAATGCTGTTCAATCCGTTGTCGTCTTTGTTTACCACCCTAATAGGTCTGGTCCATCCCCATGTGGGTAGGTGCCACTGGGAATTGTTGAAGCGCTGCCTGCTGCGCCATGTACATAGCCTCTTGCTGGTATGCTTCGCTGTTCATGTATTGCATCTCAGCAGATGGCGCTGGAGATGGAGAGCAGCCATTGACAGTGGTAATTCCACGGGTCATGTCATGGTTCCCCATGTGTGCATGAGCATGCACCAGAGCCTCATTCTCCGGAGTGATGGGAGGAGTGAGGTATCCATGAGGAACAGCAGTCAACTGCGAGGACTTCTGTGGAGTAGCAAGACCAATCTCTCCATTGTAAGGCCGGGACTCGACAGGAGTCTCGACAGGAGGAGTGCAACGGGCATAGCTGGCCAAAGAAGCTTGGCGGTTGAGGAACTGCTCCATGACCTTGGAAACCCGAGAGTAGTGAGCCGAGGCATACTTGCGAGAAACAACGGTCGAAGGCTGGTGCAATTGTTGAGACAAAGAAACAAGCGTCATAGAGTCATACTGTGAAGCCCAGTGAGTGTGGCGAGGCTGAGGCCGGTTAAGGATACAGCGCGAGAGTGCCAGGGCAGCACGAGCGAGCTCGCAGGACGGCTTGGCAACAAAGTCCCGGTGGAATAGAGCAATCTCAAGAATGTACAAAGCCATGTGTTCCACCTCAGGGTCGTAAACATCGTCAAGCAGAGCATGCTGCAGGAAAGCATCCACGGTCGGGTGTCCAATGGTCCAGCCCAGGGTTTGAAGCACATGCCATTCCATCTGAGTGAACATGTCATCATCATATAGAGAGCAGCACATGGACTTCAATTCCTTGATGGTAGGCACACGGTCCTTCTTGTCATTGTACTTGGCCGCAATTAGCAGAGCTGCACATCCAACCAGCTGGTAGTGTCGCTTGTAGACCACACGCTTAGAGCAGTAGCGGTCCAAAAGGTTGATAGCCAGGAACAAAGTTGAAGGCAGAAGCTGGAAAGCAGTGTGGGCCTCGATCAAAAAGTCAAGAAGGTATGGGCGCATGAACCACTGGATCTCAGTTTGAATGTCAATGGATTCGACGTCGGGCAGGGTTTGGCTCTATACCGATAAGAAAGATTAACATCGCATTCAACTACAATTTGAGTGAGAGACCAAACTTACATCCATTTCCAGCATGTGACTCAGAATATCATCGCGGAATTCATCGCTGGTGAGTTGAGATAGCTCATCCGCCATGGCATGCTGACGCTCACGAGCCACGATTTTCTCATGTTCTTGCTTTGCGTGACGCTCTTGACGGGCCCGAGCCTCCATGCCATAGTCATCTTCAACGAAGAAGGTGGAGCAAGGACGGTAGTTGCGGTGGTAATCCATAGTTGCGGAATTCGGCCGAAGTAGATAGCGGGCGAGTTGATAATGATGATTGTAGTTTCAATGAATGTATGCCGGAAGAGCAATTCCTTCGGGCAACGACGGAATTAAGAGAGTGACAGTCGTGAAATTAGTGTATTGGAAAGAATGACGGCGGGGTGGTAACAATTAAGGAGTGTGCCAGCTTGAGAATAATTCGAAGCTGGGAAGATAAAATGGGCCGGAAGAGTCCGTGGCAGAGAGGTCTTCAAATGACGGAAGCTGAAGATAATTAATGTATTAGCGGAGGCCGGCGTAGAGAATGATTAGAATTAAAGGTCGTAAAAAGTGACGTGAAAGAATAATGACGAGAGAATGAGGACAAGAGAGCGTGGGAAGAGACAAGAGCACAATGCAGAATGCGGAGGGCATCAAGTTGATATCAACCCATGGGCAAAGGATTGAATTACTCCTTCGGAGGAATACTAACCCAGTAAGAAGCCTTCGGGCAGAGGGCACAATGCAACCCTTACCGTGACAGCAAGACTGGCATCTAGGCAGGAATGATCCGTTGAATTAGGATTCTGTTGGATACCAACGAAGAGATGAAGGACGAGTAAACGTCTTCACCCCTAGGCCAGTGTTCTGCGGAATGTGGAGTATAGACACAAGACAACCCTGTGAAGGGGTCAAGATCATCAGGGGAGAGGTCTTGGCAAAAGAACGATCAATAACTCACACTTCACGAGTTAACGTGTTGATGAACAAGCTCAACGAAGAGATTGAAGAAGAGTTGGATGGGTGTTGGAGATGGCTCAAGACAATATCGACGTAGAAACGAGGATAAAGATCAGAAGTCAAGTGAAACAGATCCTAATATAGACAACGATGTTAGTGCTTCAGTCCCATTCATGCCATTCAGCGTATTGACGATAACGCTCAATCTCCATTCGAATTTGGCCCATGGCCAACGTCCAATGGTCAACCGAGCAGTTCAATCAGGTATGTGGTGCCGCGTCTTGATCGTCACCCCGACATTCCAGCACATTCAGCGAAAGTATTGAATTTCATTGACCCCTTGAATCCTTCCACGCCGTGGGGTATAGAAGCAGTTCATTTGGAGACTTATTCAGAGCTTGGAGAGACTGTGCCCTCAACTCATTGAACATATGCATTCCACAATTGTATATTGAAATCATATTTCCCCATTCACGGGAACTCATCCCTCAATGAACTGATTGTCTCCTATAACCGGATCCTGGCTTTTTGCGGTAGATGAGAGATATATGACGCCGTTTCGCTTGATATCCGAAGACTGTGGCCGCAAAATCATGTACCCTTGTGGGGTGATCGATTTTTTTACTCCCCTCTTTCTTTTCACACAGACCGAAGAGTGACGACTCAGCTGTTCCATGAACACCAAAACAGATACCATGTCTTCGGTGGAGCGAACATCGAAGGTCGACACCGTCGTTCTGATCGGAGACTTCCGCCGTGGACACCACACACTTGACCTGACACCGACGGGAGAGAGAGAAAAAAGTGAATCCCGCACTCACCCAAATTATGAAGCTCAAGATCAATCTGATACAGAAAGTGAATTCGTATCAAAATAGTCAACCGCTATAGTATTCCTACGCTGTCGCTCGTCTAACCGGCAGGAGCTGGAACAGGAGGGTCCAAGTCGTCGAGGTCCGGGGATCAGGGAGGCACCGAAGGACAGGGACGGGTGGGATCGCCGTTTGAGTTAACAAACGTCGAATTGTCAAAAATCGAAGGTCGGGGGTTCCAGTGCAGCGGGCTGAAGAATCTCGAATGGACACTCAGCTCGTAGACCAGACACCGGGGTCTCCGTAGATTGGCAAGGGTAAGGGAGGAGGGAGAAAGGGTATGAAGAGAAGGAGAAGAGGTACAAGGAGGAGGGTTTTTACGTTCTCTCTCCAGGCGGGTGAGGGAAAGAAAAGGAAGTTAAGGAAGCTGAGACAAAAGCCACGGAGATACCAGAAAGCTGCGTATGGTAATCCACGAGACCGAGTGGAGGTGGTAACTTACCTTTACAAATACCTGCTTTACCCAATTTACCCGTGTGTACCTGCCCGGTACCTGTTCCGTACCTGAGCCTAGTAAGGGTAATTTACTGGTAATTTGGCCATCCCCTTCACTGCAAGGAAACAGACAGGAGTTGAAACCTCGAAGTTCATTTGGCACAAACTTTATGATAAAGATTGGATATAAGAGTTTGAATGAGTTTCACATCGTCACTGCCATATCTACTACACTGTGAGAACTAATGTAAGAAACGATTCCATACTCTGTCCCGCTTGCATACTCGTACCTCGGATATCCTCAAAATCAGGTACTCAATACTCCGTATTCTGGTTGACTTTTGCACATTGTATATGATAAATCATAGCATACAAAATAGCCCATAGGAAGATCAAGGTCTAGAAAATGCGATGTGTCCTAGGTACTCCGTACGGAGTACTGTAGTACCTCTTTAAGATCTTTGAAACTCGAATTGCGTTTTCAACCGTAAGCCGTGACCCAGTCATTTTGTTCGCACTAGATTGTCTAGTAATTTGAAGTTCTAGGAAGATCTTAAGACAGCCATTTCGACGGCTTTCTCGCAACAAACAGCGTGGGAATTGGTGTAAAATGGTGCTCATTATTGCAATTGAATATTCCGCTGGAACTACTATCATACTGTAAGAGGTATCGCTAGCAGAAGTGTGCAGATGAAGTACAAGTACTCCGTAGTAATACTGGAACTTCCGCTCCTGATCGACTGTATTGAAGGTCAATCCTTAACCATTGTTGGCTCGTCATCCCAGCACTTGGCTACTAGTGCCATAGCCGGAATGGTTCTCCCCAAAGCCTCCGATACGGTCGCAGTCTAGGGTCTCCTGTCTTTGGCCGCTGACTGGTCCAGAAGCCCAGAATTACGCCCGACATTGACTTCATCTCGCGTTTTTTCCCAGCCCATTCGCGTCCTCAGCTGGGTGGATGCGCTTGGCTAGGCTCCCGACCCTAAATTGCCCTCCGATAACCCGAGCCTCCTTTGTCTTGCAGGGATCTAGTATCCCACTTTGCGAGCCCATGTGGGGGCCTTTCGGTCGCAAAAGCAGGTTCTAGTCATTTGTCCCTCCGCGTTTCTTGGAGATTACTCCTACTCCGTACCGTACTTTAGGTTCTCAGTATCAAATCTAACATCGTGTCACTTTACACCCTCATCGCCTGTACTACTTTGCATACGTGCTTGATTTGTCTCTGGCGTCTTGACCAGGATAAGGTTTCTAGACGTCTCTCCCCTCGTTACGATTGACTGGTTTCCTGCAAGAATGCCAATCTTCACTTTATTGGCAAGGAGATCTTCTCCCCGCTGTAATCTCACTAAACCATTGAACTTGAGTAGTCAATTGTGATTCGGAGCTTTTTACTGACTCCCCTTGCTTCGTCCCTTACAAGTACAAATGAGAATCCTCTGTACGTTGTAAGGTTCTACAGGCATTAACTTCAGCCACTGAATAGCCTCCCCAAGAGATATCGATCATCATGCGACTCGACCGTTTCTCAATGATATGCACAAGCTGCGTCAAGATGAATGTATCAAACTACAATTGCGATTACATAGTGTTAGATCTGCGACACAATTCTACAAGTAGGAACCCGTAAGTTTCACCCAAATGTTTCATGGAATGCTGATCGAATTATTCGATGGCGCCTTTTCTCACGAACCGGGGATGACAGTTGCCGAAGCAATGGCCACCCTATCGCCCACGAAGGATTCCCGCCTCGTGCGCAATCGGCAAAAGAAAAAGGGGAAGAGGTAAGCGACCATATCAGGGCGCCCGGTTTGTACAACGCAAAAGCAAGGGACAGTCAAATAAGGAAACTGAATGATAGACACGGCTAATCTGCAGAAGTAGCTCACAGACTTCCGCAATTTGTATGTACTCCGTACTCGTAGCGTCTTTTGGTTGGAAACTCACAGCATGCCAGGGACTTAACTTGAGTTCCATACCAACTGTTTAATTACAGAAGCTTTGATTGCAATTTAACGTGCAAATCTCATGCTCTTTTCATTACTCCGTACTAGCAATGCGTCAGCCGCATGCAATGACATGACTAGCCTTCATATTTTTGAGGGTCTGTTTTCTTTGATCGGTTTGGCACCATGCAATCCGCCGATCAGGTTGACACCCCCTATCCAACCCCTTTTAGGTAATTGCGGCTTACGTCTGACAACCTGAGAACAACTCTGCATACATACATACATCGACCACGGAATGCATATTGAAATGCACACTGCTGGCACATGTAGTCGATCCGTACGGAGTACATGGCGAGAACGAACGGGGGTGCTGTATCACTCAGGAGAAACAGTAGCACCCATCACAGTAGCGTTGCTCAGTGACAGCATAGTACATGATACAAACCACTAAAGCTTCCCAAAGAAGACAAAATCCCACATCAATCTGTCAGAAACTACTCTGTATTTGCAATGCCGGCTAAAAAAAGGGGGGCCTCCGGAACGAATCAAGTCATGCAGCAAGTACGTGGTCGATGGGGCACCCTGTTGCAGCCGTGCACAGTCTCAGCAAATGAAGTAGCAATTCCTCAGTTGGTAAGGGTACAGGTGTCCGGATGGTGCCCGGATGCCTTGGAAACTAATGCTTGGCCGAAGGCTCCGATGTGCCTAGCCGCCGCACACTACTGTCGACACTCAAAAGGGGACGAAAGAGTGCAGGACATCACTGGCACGTCGATTCTGCCACGTTTGCCCCTGACTCCTGTCTCGCCTTTTGTTTCAACTACCGACAGAACGAAGAACATCTAGGGGTGAAGATGAATCCAAAGCGCGCGCATATGCCATCCGCATGATTTGAGTCTGGCCTGGCCTGGGGTCTGGGACATTCATTGGCCCTGAAGCTTTTAGCCTTCTGCGACGGGTACGGAGTATGTGGCAAGCCTTTATGGTTTCTTTTTTGGTAAAGTCTAAACCTCTCGTCGAGATCAAATGTTCATCTTGTGTGACATTCGTTGCTCGGTCGGAAGATTGCTCAAGGCGCTTAAGAAGGGGGTGTTTGATCCTCGGCAAGCACGGGGTTAAGCTTCGTCTCTGGTGAGAACCCTGCAATGCAGGTTTTCAGAATGATTTTAACTGCCCGAGTACTAATCAACTCAAACAAACTGCCTGCCAACAGTTGGTTTCGGTTGCTGCCAAACCTGAACCCCCCGATGGGGCAGGGGGTAATGTAGTTTCCCTTGCGCAGAAATGCAAATCAGATGGCATGATTCTGACTCTCTCATTCCCTCTTCATTGCTTGCTTATCTGACTTGAATGCTGCAATGGGCGGTCTTTGTTCTAGCGGCGGTTGATCTTCCGATCTGCGAGGGCGACATGCTGAGCCCACCGAGTTGCATAGTCGAGAAGGAGGTCGTCGCACCACACTGTTCAATTTCTCATGTTTGCCGTAGATTCAGATCTACACGGCTTTGCATTCTTCGTCATCGCCTTTGATGTCGTTTGCATGTCGTTCTACGTGAGCGGTGAGGATTGGATATAGCGACCTCATCGAATCATGTATCGGATGTATGTTCTGCATTGAAGATTATGTACATGATGTGTACCAATGACAGACGAAGACCTGACTCAGGTGGATACTTGTAGTGCAATATTTCACATTGTGTAGTACGGAGTCAGAGTACTTGCATAAACTTCGGTTTTGATATCCCAACCCGATACATTTCATACTGAGTATACAACATACGGACCAGTTTTAGAGACATGCAGTAGTCTGTACAAGACACTGTACTATACAGCCGAGAAAACCGACAAAGAGATCCAGGAAACGTAAGTGTGTGGGATCTGATGGGTTTTTTTCGCCTCGCAGATCCACTCTAGATTGATCCTCTCCGACATCACGCGCCGCCAACCATGGAAACCTCAAATCTTCCGAATACACGACTACAAACTCCACCTTCAAGAACGGTTATCCAGGGCCGTGCCGGTATGTATCAACCGTGGTACTATCAGAATTCAAATCCTGACTGCTTTGTCTCTTTCAGCCCAGGGCGATGTGTTCCATGTGTCGCTTGTATACGGAGTAGTTCGCATCAGTTTCATTCAACTCCGGCTTGATAGATCTCTATTCCACCATCTGTTAGTGAGGTGGCGGAAATGCCCAGGTGTGCAGTAGCTGGTACCGGATGGCGCGGTTACCGAACAGACGAAGAGTAGACTTGAGGTCCAGATTTGCCGCACAATGTAGGTATAGTTTTGGTATTCCTAGCTTTTAGGTACTCAGCAGTGTGGCCGAGCCAGACTGAATATATCACTGGACGCTCACCTGATTAAGGTTTAAATAAGTTTAAGCTATATCTAAGTCGGAAATATGCTGTCGGATGTCCAGACGTATTTCACATTAATTTCCATGTGTATCATTCATTGTGTAGAAAGCCTGACAGTAGTTTGAGTGCAATTGCCTGAATTGAACGTTATACAAAATTGATTCTTTCCGTGCGTATCGGGCAAAAAAGCAGCGTTCTTGACCGGTGAAAAATCGACGTTTCATGGCCCCTCTGCGGGGAGTCATACAGCAGATGTCACAAAGGGTTTTCTGCGCTTAGTGGGAACAACTCCACTCAATTGGTAATTTTCTTCACTTAGCTGTGCTTAAGTTGAGGAAATTTTCGGGGTGGTGGACAAGGTGCATGAAGTTCGTATAAGAGATCCTTGCGCACTCTCCTATGCTGTACGTCGTATGTAGAATAGGTCAGCCAAGATTAAGGGCTCCAGGAGTAATTTCCGAGATTGTATTTATAGTACGGAAGTACCTAGCACCCGGCTATCCGAATCGTTATACCCTACAGATTGCAAACCACAAAGTTCGAAGTATGGCCAGACTATCAGTATAAATAGCTTTAGATCAATGCTTCAGCTTGACGAATAAGGTATGTTCGAATTTCAGGCAAGCCCTGGAGTAGGCAACGCGAAAGGAGAAGCCTAAAAGGGTAAGGTCCGTTTGTACACAGCTTGACTGGGGCAGTGGAGGCTCAAACCATGGTTGAACTGGTTTTTTTTCCTTCCCCGCCCGGTTTGTTCTTTCAACTTGCCACACCGAAGACAACGAAGCCCTAGAAAGTATCTAGATAAATCGAATAATCGATCTTAGTTCAATTGAGCCGTCTGACCTACAGCATACACATCAAATATGAATTACGATCGCTTCATTTCCAACAATGTGCCGGACCTGCAAGGCTGTTCGATACGTCGCTAACCTCGACGGGGTTAGGGCACAAAACACAGCGGGGACTATCCGCAGCGCGTAACGAACAAAAAGGAGAGATATCCACTTGCAAGCTTTCAATTTCAGTACCGGTTACCCCGAAAGAGGATATATTGGGCTGCGTACGTTACTGAATCTTTCCAGAAAGACTTGGTTTGAACTCAATTACACTCTGAAAAAAACACCAAAAATCTGCAAGAATACCTACATACAACACTTAATGTGTCCCCGTGTTTCTATAAAAAATTACTGGTAGTGGCCTCGGCATAGCTTAGTCTATGCCGTCATTGCCAGGGATCGCGTCCCACAGTCCTCATTTTAGAATTACGCGTGTGATATCGAATTACTCCGTAAATCTAGATGCGACAAAGAGATGCGACATGGTCTCGGACTCCAGTATCACTATTCAGGAAGTCATATGTGCCTATTAAGATCAACCGGACAAGCTTATGACACGCACATGCAGTTGGCCGTCTATCCATCCGTCTCAAGGATCAAATTTGCTTCTCTTGGCGCGAATCCCAGCAAACTTTCGTGTCGCGCTAGATTGGCATTGCGTTTATATTGCCGATTAGGTATCTGGATTGTCCGACGGCGGGCCAAATACTCAGGAAGAAAGAAGTTGTCCAACCGGTTTCAACAAGGTCTGATTGCGGGATGAAAGCCAAAGCCAACTCTGTATTGCGAACTATCCATGGCTGAACTTATTAAATCCTGTCTCAAGGGCAGCACGCGATCTCACAAAGTTATGCAATCAAAGACGGGCTGCTAGTTTGACAAATAGTATCCCCCAAATCACCTAAGATGGACTCTCGGATCGGCCGATGAGTTCCACCGTGGACGGAATGGCCTTTTAAAGCTCGCCCATCTCAGCTGGATACGAACATGGAAGTGGATCCAACTTACACCACTAGCTTGCGTTGACAACCACGGGGAATCAAGCCTACAAGATTCAATCTAATTGAGTTCGATGAACGCGATTGCGGCCAACTTCACCAGGCCAACCATGACCCGGTTATGGCAGACATAGTGAGATTTGACTGACAAATGGAAAAGTATTCCCAAATCCCTTAATATCAACCAACCCAGCCGAACTATCGATTTAATGCGCCCGGTGCTGCGTCCGAGCCCACGCTTACAGGGGTGTCGCCAATGGCCACCCCCGCAGCTGTTCCCTGTAACCCAGTGGAATCCCGCTTGCCTCCGCAATTGAGGCTACTTTCCTTGAATTTGTCTGTCTCAGGCTCGCATGGACATGAAATCAGATGTCCACAGGCAATACGAGCTATTCGACCAGGCCCCCAAGATCAATCACTATGCTAGCCCGTTTGATGTCGTCTTATGCACCTTCTTCCCCCTCCCTTCCTGCGCATTGATTGTGGTTCGCCCAATGGCAGCGTCTGGATTCGCATCAGCCTCTCTTGCTCATTAGCTCAACTAGACTCGTCCAGTGATATGTTGAGAAGGCGAAAAGACGTGGGTTGTCTAATGCAGAGCCAAGAACGCCACAACCTATCAGAGGCTTCATCTGCAAGTAACTCAGGTTTCTGATACATAAGCAAGCATGGCGGATTACAAGTATTTCTGAGCCACACCAGACAAAGCAAGGTACATACGATCGATGACTTCTGACGTGGCAGTCCATCGATGGCCGATTATCTCTCCTATCCGGTCTTCATGATGCCCCTATGACTGTGTGCGGTGATTGGTGAACACTCGTCATGAAATTGTCAGCCCGCTCAGACTGACACTTTGATCAAGCCAATCCCAGAGCCAATTCCGACTGCCTCTCATACATCAGACGGGATGATCTTGGTTAAGAATGGCCCCCAAGAACACATCAAAGCTGAATTGTGCCACACCACGCCACACCATCCGACTCTCTTACATTGGGCTGCTAGCTGGGCGCCCACCGGTCAAATCTGGCGGGGAACAACTTCCACTGATATCCAATGATGTTGTCAAACACCATTCGTCCAGGTTACAACAAAGCAAGCCCGATGGTTGATCTACAAGCGCCCACAAATCTATATCTGGGTCTAAATATAAGCTGATAGCCGCCTATCACGGCTTTATTTGGAATGCCCACGGGTGTAATCCCTGGTCGCGGAGTGATACCGAGTCGGCGATGCAGTAACGGTATGTCCTGGGTTTGTGATATTTGCAGAAAAATACATCACAACGACGTAGCAAGCTATTGAGCTGTATTGTATCGTACAATGCGCCGCTTCCACGGCTACTCCATACATACCCCAGAATCCATCAAAGTCACAGACATCTTTTCTATCAAACAGGCGTCCCCAATTTCGAGCGGTAGATTTAGATATGCAAGCCTTGGAGCCGCCCCGACACTTGAGTAAGGCTGAGCCTCAGACGGCTCCAAATCACACGGCAGTTAAAGATGTGGAACAAAGTCCATTGAAAAAAAGTAGAATCACCGAAGCCCAACTCTAAAGAGCTCTACCATGCACTGGAGCCAATTGAACCCCGACAATGAGATCACCTTTGATTCTGGTCTCTTCCTCTTCAAGCTTCTTTCTTCGATTTCAATCGAACCTGGAGAGTCATTAATTATACGTGACTACCCCATAGTACTGAGTTAGTTCCAGGGTGTGATATTGGTGCCAGATTTACAAGGCACGATTATATCATCGGGAAAACTTACCCGATAAGATATTCCGCCGCTAAAAATTATCTACAGAAAAAAATGCGGCAGCGCATCAATCGCAATAAAGCTCCAGCACAACGCTATTACCACTCTTTTGTGCCCAAGAAATGATCGTTTAGAGGCTGGTCTTGCCGCCCGAGTCGAATTTCCCTCGAATTGATTTTGAGCACTCTCGTTCCTGATCTGCACGCCGACAAACCATTCGACAGAGCTATCTGGCTCCGAGGCCCATACTGAACAATGGATATCCACCGTTGTCGTTTCGTTTCATACAACCCACAGGCAATCAATGCGCTTGCATTCTCACACCCTCCCTCAGCAGACTTGGCTGGACGTGGAATCCCTACCCTCCGACTTGCGATCGGCCGTGCAAATGGCGATATCGAAATATGGAACCCGATGCGCGGCGCCTGGTTCCAGGAGACCGTGATGCGTGGAGGTAAAGACCGCAGTATTGAAGGACTTGCATGGACTCTAGACCCCCAAGAGGACGGACCTGAAAATGCCAAATTGCCAGGCAAGCTGCGTTTGTTCAGCATTGGATACTCTACCGCTGTTACCGAATGGGATCTCGAGAACGGTCGCCCACTGCGTCACTCCAGTGGAAACTACGGAGAGATCTGGTGTCTTGCTGCACAGCCGCGCTGGCAGGCTCCTAAAGGCAAGACTGGGCCCGCTGAGGGCGAATACACCGGCCAGCACCTTGCTGCAGGATGTGCAGATGGTTCTATTGTGATTCTGTCTACTGCTGATAATGACCTCAAGTTCCAACGACTGATGCGACCCTCGACTAAAAGAGCGCGAGTTCTGAGTGTTACCTTCCAGAACCGTCATACCATTGTCGCTGGATACGCCGACAGCTCTATTCGTCTGTTTGATATTCGCACAGGATCGCAGCTTCGAACAATCTCTCTGGGCAAGGGCCCTACCGGCGGACCGAAGGAGTTGCTTGTCTGGTCAGTCAAGTGTCTGCCTGACGGCACCATTGTCTCCGGTGACTCGGCTGGTGAAATCCGTTTCTGGGACGCAAAGAACTACTCGCTTGTCCAGCGGATACAGGGACATCTTGCCGACACACTCGACGTGGCAGTCAGCTCCAATGGTGATACCGTCATTAGTGGTGGTGCGGATCAGCGGACGGTTGTGTACCGTAAGAAGGACGGCGAGAAGGGCGACAAGAAGGGTCGGTGGGCTGAAATTATGCATCGCCGCTACCACACCCATGATGTCAAGACATTTGCCGTCTACGAGACAAAAGACATCAGTATCGCCGTGTCTGGAGGTATGCCACTTCCAGATCTTGAAATATCGCTCTCGTACAATGCTGACTTGTTTCTTTCAAAGGCCCCGATGCGACACCTATCGTCCTTCCTCTGCGCGAATTCGGAAAGGAGCACCACCGCAAACTTTCCAGCCTACCCCAAATCCCACAGCTTACATCTGCTCCGTCCGCACGTCTGGTGATGAGCTTCTGGGACAGAGAAGTGAGCCTGTGGCGTGTCTCTCGAGGCCCTACATCATTGAATGAGAACATCGACGGCCAAAGGCATAGACTTGTTGGCAAGGTTTTGATCCAGGGAGAAGAAAACATTTCTTCCGCAATGCTCTCTTCCGATGGCAAGACACTCGCTGTTGCCACTGTCGGTGAAATCAAGCTGTTCTCCCTCCGCCGACGAAAGGGTGACGAGAAGGGCGCTCTACGTATTCAGAAAATCGACGTGCCCAGTGCGCTTTCCAATGAAGGTGCCCGTCTGGTGACTATTTCCCCCGATGGCCGATGGCTCTCTGTCGTCCGTCCCAACAGTGAGATCTGTATGGCACGAATCCAGCCTAGCTCTACATCCACCGAGAAGGCACAGGTCATTCCACAATTCGCAAAGCTCAAGAGAGCTACACGCCATGTCCGACACGAAAAGGCATCTCACGGATCATTGGGTGATTACGAGAGAACTATACGATCGGTGGTATTTTCCGATGACAGCCAACTCCTGGCAACCGGTGATATCTCTGGTTGCGTAGATACTTGGGCATTGAGTACAGCAAAGGACTCGACCAACGCTACAACTAAAGCCAACAAGTCCTCTGATTCTGACGATGATTCTTCCGACGACGAGGAGGAGGAGGAGGAAGACATTATCATTGAAGGAGAGCGTTGGTCTACAGCGGCCGCCGAATCTCCCATTCCACGCATGAAGTCCGGCGTCACATTGATGTCCTTCCGCCCCAAAGCCGCCCCCACACAAAAGACATTGACGAATGGCACACAACAGACTGGCCAAGACAGGCTGATGGTCCTCACAAGTGAACACCAGCTCGTCGAGTTCAACGCTCGGGATGGTACATTGTCCGACTGGTCTAGACGCAACCCCAAGGCATACCTTCCCGCAGAGTTCCGTGGTGTCAAAGACCGAGCCATGGGCTGTATGTGGGATCTCTTCGAAGGTCGGGAGCGTCTCTGGCTCTACGGCGCTTCATGGTTGTGGATGTTTGATCTACTCCAAGACTTCCCCTCCCCAGAACAAATCGAAGCCGGTGCGACCAGCACCGAAGAGGGCAAGACTGCAGTCCAGCTTGCCAAAGCAGCGAAGCGGAAGCGCGAAGCCCTCGAAGACGACGAGGAGGAGCGGAGGAAACACAACACCGGTGCCGGTGACCGGGCTCAACAATCCAAGATGGATGTTCACTTCGGCACCAAGGTTCGGAAGATCGTCGGCAGTGACGAATCACAAGGAGAGTGGGTTTCCCTTGATAAAGAACGCACCCGCATTCCAGGTGAAGACGACGACGCCTACGAGTACGATGATGCCTTTGCTGCGACCAACGAGACGACCTTGGCCCGTCTTCGACGTGGGGATGGAGCTACACCCGAGACCGCAACTCCCCAGAAGGGCTCAAAAGGAGCCGATAAGACACCGAAGAAGCAACTGGCTGAAATCAATGGCGCCTCAGCTCAGCCTGCGCGTCGCTGGTGGCACACCTACAAGTACCGTGATATTCTCGGCATCGCACCTCTCAACACTTTGTCGGGCGACGGTTCCGATGACCAGGGTCCCATGGGTAATCTGGAAGTCGCGGTTGTGGAACGTCCTATGTGGGATGTTGAATTGCCTGGTCGTTATGTCAAGGACTACGAGTAAAGCAGAGACATGTGGCAGGCTTCTGTAAAAAAAAACAAGAATCTAGGATACAGCTTTCAGGCATGTAATTTGGTCATTTTGGAGCATATTTTTGAGAAGCGCATTTTCCCGCCCTTTAACGATTCGGAATTTTATGATTTCCACTGTCAAGGTTGCATATCAATTTGCGCAGCAATAGGTAAGCCCTGGGTACGTTTGTAGTGACCTCCAAACCGGCGAAGACGACGATCCAGAGCCGATGCGGGGGGCTGAGGTAAAGTAACTCAGGCGGAATCTCAGCTCACTTTGACTTCCAACCTATTTGTACACCCTAAGCCAGCTGCTTTCCTTTTCTCTCCGAGACCTCCATAAATCCCGAGAAGCCTACTCTTTCGTCGCCGTGAATTCCGAGTCTCGAGTCTCCTCTTATCGGCTTATCGTCAACACGTCAGCTGCATCACCTCAAGGTAGACCTTCTGTGAGGACCTGGGTTCCTTTCCCAGAACGAAGCTACATTTGCCAAACAAGGCTTCTGGCGTGATACACTTTCCCCGCGGGGCCTAACCTAAGGCTGGATCATCTTGAGACGAAACAAAGGCGGGGCGCCTACTCTCCATCTCCAGAGCAGACAGGCCAACACCCTGCCCCTTTTCAATAAACGGCCCGCATATCCCTTTTAGATTCAAGTGCAAGCTATCTGCCTCGGACTTACCTCCCAGGATCTCAAACTTCATCATAAACCAGAAACCTCATCTTACTCCCTTCTCCGGCGATAACCGCATACCACGGCCACCATGGGCCTCTCATACAACGTCTACTTGACCGCCAACAAGATATTTGGGTGCCAGGACTGCAAGACTCATCTGGCAGATCATAATGATATTATCAGCCGGGTATGAGACAAGATGTGATCCCTCTTTTTCACTAAGCACGAATGCTAACCTGTGTCCTGATGTAGAACTTCCGGGGCCAACACGGCAAAGCATACCTCTTCAATAATGTTGTCAATGTCACACAAGGCGAAGCTGTCGAACGAAGCATGACAACTGGGCGACACATCGTCCGTGATATCGCCTGTCGACAGTGCAAGACAACGGTAGGATGGAAGTACGACAAGGCATATGAGAGCAGCGAGAAATACAAGGAGGGCAAGTTTATCCTCGAAGAGGAGCTTCTCTGTGTCGTGGTCTAGGCTGGATCCAGCCAAGGCATATGTCCCAAGGTGATTGATCGTTGATTGCAGAGGTCTTTGTTGACGATCGTTGGTATTGTGTTGGGTTTTATGGTTCTTATTTCATCACAGCGGGTTGCATTCTCTGAGCATTCTCATTTTTACTTCTGACGGACCACTAACAGTGGTCTTACGTCTTGTGCCTTGCCTTTCTTAGTTACTTATCTTGCAGCTCTAGCGCTTGCGAATGGCGTTTAATGGGCATTTGATGTCAACCCAGGGACTGGGCCTTGTCCAGTCATCTTTGCTATCTTATGGGTATGAATACAGCACATGAAAGGCGTTTTCTGAACTTTCTCGAAATATCATGTTTACGGCTCATCGCTCTTCCGTGTAGCGTCACTCTCATCGCAGAGCTCCACCGATCGAGCGTTCCCTTACGAAGTACTGCGCACACTCTGCGAGTACCACTGGCCATTGGTGCTAGGTACTATCTACATACATGAAATGTAACCTTAGAGGTAGTCAGTCTTCATAGCCGTACTTTCTTTCGTACTTCTATATCGATTGATCTTTTGGAACGGGTGGAGCCAGGACGTGGTACCCCACCAAAATTCGCACAGATGGCCGAGATGGAGAATTCTATCAGGACTACTATATTTTCTGTCTGAATCTTCGGATCTTGTTACACATTGAGTTCCTGAGTCTCTTCCCACGACCGAAAGTAAGTCTCGCCATTGGACTTTACGGAAGATCACCAATTAATCCCGCGTACAGAATGACTACCTCCGATTCTGGTATGATGCAGGCCGTCGTGTTCCACGGCCCTTACAAGGTCGCCGTGGAGCAACGGCCAATTCCCAAGGTGCAAAACCCGGAGGATATCGTGGTTAAGGTTGGATATACTGCGCTCTGTGGAAGGTAACATATGAAATCTGATTGAGTACAATTGTCCTTGATATTGATTCTGATGTATAGTGAACTTCATATGTTCCGTGGCGTGGAGCCTGCAGGCACTGGTTTCATCATGGGCCACGAGTTTGTAGGAGAGATTGTTGAGACTGGCAGTGCTATCAAGACTCTCCAGAAGGGCGACCGAGTGGTCACTGCGTTCACTACTTCTTGGTTAGTTGCTCTACCTGCTGAGTAGTGAAATCTCTCCATGTAGACATAGTACTGACATCACGGCAGCGGGGAGTGTTTCTACTGCAAGCAAGGATGGTCTTCTCGTTGCGACAAGAATGGTCTCTTTGGATGTGACAGCCTGGATGGCGGTCAGGCCGAATATGTGATTATTCAATTCCCATATGTCTGCATTGATTGGTATTGACTTCTATAGGCGCGTATTCCAAATGCCGAAGGCTCCGTCCTGAAGGCTCCCGAGGGAGTGGACGAGAAGTATCTGGTGCTCATGGGAGATATCTTCCCCACTGGATGGTTTGCAGCCAATAACGCATTCAAAAACTCTACCCCGGAGCAGATTGCTGAGCAGACGGTCGTGTTGATCGGCTGTGGACCTGTCGGTCTCTGTGCGCTCATCAATGCTCTCGAGTACAAGCCTAAGCACATTCTGGCAGTTGACTCTGTCCCCTCACGCCTGGAGCTTGCCAAGTCTCTCGGCGCTGAGCCTTGGAACTTCCAGCTGGATCGTGCTGGTTTAGACAAGCGCGTGCTGGAGTTGACTGAAGGACGGGGTGCCGATGCGGTGATCGAGGTTGTCGGATTGAGTCCTGCTTTGCGCACTGGCTTTGAACTTCTGCGCCCCTTTGGAATCATCAGCAGTGTGGGTGTCCACAATGGAGAGGTAAGTCAATATCCAGTCCTCAAGTCGGACATACTGGCTCACTCAGTGCAGATCCCCTGGGACGGCAACGATGCCTATAACAAGAACTTGACGGTCCAAATGGGGCGGTGCCCTGTTCGATCCGTGTCTTCTCAGGCACTGGAAGTGCTCAAGAGGAACCAACATAAACTTGGGTGAGTGGTAAGGTGGTTACATCATACGTGCATGGCTAACCCTGGAATAGCTTCATGGCCGATAAGATTATGCCGCTGTCACAGGCGGTGGAGGGCTACGAGCTATTCAACGCGATGAAGGTACAGAAAGTGATTTTCCAGGCGGATCAATAGAAGAAATAGAATAGAAAATAAAGTCAAGCCCCCAAAGTTGCCCCAAATGAAAAAAATAGCACATTTGGGTCGTCTCCGCTTAATGCAAAACACCCACCCGTCGACTCTTCACTCTTTCACTTCCCCATCTCCTTCACCTTTCCCTCTCATCTCGTCTGTCACCTATCTCCTGTCTCCTTTTTCTCTCCTCTTCTTCCCTCTCTCTCTCTTCCCTCCCCTCTTCTCCTTGTCCCCCCTCAACTCGTCATCCGCCTTCCCCTCCATTTCTCCACTTTCATCTCCCTCTTCGGTAAGTTACCTCTTCCACACGTTTCTATTCCCGCGATCTACTATTTGCGCATCGTCGCTTTTATTTTGCGCGTTTAATGCTTCTGAATCGCGAAACTAATTATATGATGTGGTGGAAGTGAAGTCTCTATCGTCCACCTCTCGCGACCGTACACTCTCAAAGAAACCTCCTGCTTAAACCTTTCTCTCGCTCCCAGTTTCTCCAACCGTCTACTCTACCTATCAACCAGCAAAAATGGAAGCCACTGAAATTCACCAAACCATCGTGAAGGACGAGCCCTTGTCCGACTTCAACGACAACCTCCCAGAGGGCGAGCTGGAAGCCCCTCTCAAGACCGAGGAGGAGTACTCTGTTTCCGAGCTGACTCTACGTGCTATCGTGTCTTCTAAGGAGGCCGGTGTCATTATCGGAAAGGCCGGAAAGAATGTCGCTGATCTGCGTGAGGAGACCGGTGTCAAGGCCGGTGTGAGCAAGGTTGTCCCAGGTGTCCATGACCGCGTCCTGACAGTGACCGGTCAACTGCGCCCACTTGCTCGCGCCTATGCGATCGTCACCAAGGGACTTTTGGAGGGCGCCCCGCAGATGGGCATGGGCGGTGTTGTCGCTACCAACGGAGTTCACCGTAAGTGATACCATCCTTTTTTCTATTCGCACGATTCATCAACTGGGAGTCTTTTTTCTGTTTTCTTTCTTTTGCGCAAAAGATTGCAGAGGATCATGCGGAAAGCGTTCAGGGATTTTTTTTGGTGTAATGTGTATACGAGCACGAGCTAACTTAGTCCAGCCATCCGCCTTCTGATCTCCCATAACCAAATGGGTACCATCATTGGCCGACAAGGCCTGAAGATCAAGCACATCCAGGATGCATCAGGTGTTCGAATGGTGGCGCAGAAGGAAATGCTCCCCCAATCCACAGAGCGCATTGTGGAAGTGCAGGGCTCACCCGAGGGCATCGAAAAGGCAGTGTGGGAGATCGGCAAGTGTCTGCTTGACGACTGGCAGCGTGGAACGGGTACCGTTCTCTACAACCCCGCCGTTCGCGCTTCTCTCGGTGGCTCCCAACCGATCACCAACAACCCCGCTCCTGGAAACGGATACCCAAGCAACAACAGCCGTCAGTACAACCGAACTGGCAACGGCGCCGATTTCAGCGATGGTGGCTACAACCGTCGGTCCAACTCCGATGCTGGCTCCCGCGCCTACCCCCTGCCACGGAAGATGATGAAGAGGTCCAGACCCAGAACATCAGCATCCCCGCGGACATGGTTGGCTGCATTATCGGTCGGGGCGGAACCAAGATCACAGAGATTCGCCGGAGCTCAGGAGCTCGGATCTCGATCGCCAAGGCTCCTCATGATGATACTGGAGAGCGCATGTTCACCATCATGGGAAGTGCCCAGGCCAACGAAAAGGCCCTATACCTCCTATACGAGAACCTCGAGGCCGAGAAGACCCGCCGCAGCCAGCTTCCTCAGGAGTAAATCGCTTCCTGTGTATACGGTTGAGACGGTCCTAGCGGCTCTCCTTGGTGCTTGACCTCACGACCTTCTTTGGAGACTGTCGGTCACGATCAACGGCGGTCCTATGCTAGCGCTTCCTTCGTTCCCCCCTCCACCCCTCTCTCCTTCTTCCTTCCCATATTTCTCCCAGTGTTCCAAGTGTTTTCCACCTATCTCTCCTGACCTTGGTTCCACGTCGCTCTTGTTCACAGGCAAAAGTTCACGATGAATGGGTGGTACATGCGTATTAGATACCAAGTCTGAGTGGTCTTCACTGACCATCGTGCGTTTGAATTGAATCGCCCCCAATGTCCCTCGATCTTACCTAACCCTCTCCTCGTTACGTTAATCATGACAGTCCCTCATCACCTCCACCTCTCCCGTTTACATCCTGCTGACTTTTTGCCGTGATGTACCTAATTCGTCTTCCTCTCCATCTCTCTTCCTATCTCTCTCGTCTCTGCCCTTGTCCTTTTTCACCTTCACCTTGTATGCCATCACCCGATGGTATATATTGATACATGTTTTCTCCCCTATCTCTTACTCGTATCCCTGTTCCTATCCCTTTGCGATCGCCTTTATCGAATCTTACCCTTTCTTTGTCTCCATGTACCTTTGACCTTTGACCTTTGACCGAAACCTTGAAACTATAAAAGACAAAAAAAAAAAACTTCTTACCTTATGATCAACAAACTACTCTATCTGTCTCCATTTTACCATGGATATGGAAGTCAATAGCATAGTACCGAGCTACCTCCCATATGCAACCTTGAAGTATATCAGAAAGAAATACGTTTGGAACACCGCTCACATGTGCATCCATCGATCAGCTCACCCATTCAGCAGTACAGTTGACAAGGCGTCCACTGCTTCCAAACCTTTAAAGTTGCAAGACCCCGTGAGATGTCTACGGTGGTCTACATGATCCATCTCGTATGAATGAAACAAGTCCAAGCTTCCAGTCATATTACAAACATGGCTAACTGCCTAGTCAAGGAAACCCCCATATACCCAATGACAACCCAGAATGAAGATTTTTTTGCCCAGGTGTCCAGCCAAAGAAATTGGATTGGATAACTCATTTCATTCCATTCAATCGTTATGTAAATGCTAATCTGTAACTCAACAAAGGAGAAGACCAGCCCAGAGCTAGATACAAATGTGGGCGAAGTGTATGCGACAAAAGAAGGAAGAAAGGCGATAGACAGAAACAAAGAAAAGAGCAAAAGTTCAGGGTAAGATGCAGATAAAGCCACCCTGTAAAGCGTATATGGACAAAAGACGCCGCCAATGGTTGTTTTACACGAAGAAAAGAAAAGAGGCAAGAAAAGAAGCAAGACACAATGGACCGGGAGTTTCCTGGTAAAGTGTGTAATGAGATAAACAGGGATAACTCTGCAAGACACGCGGGTGAGGCGAGAGGGATCCACGACGGGTGAGAAGCGAAGAAAGGTCTTTCAAGAACGAGAACGAGAACGCCGAGTGGAAGATGATCCGCAAGAAGATGGGCGGATGCGAAGTCGCTGCGTAAGTTGAGACATAGCCTTGGTTAACGGTAGAGGCAGATGCAAAGGCGAGGGGCGTTAGTCGATGCTATCGTCGAGGTTGAGGTTGTTGTTTGGTGTTGTAGGGGCGCGGTTCCGTAGACCAAATCGCCTGGCGCCCAGACTGTTGGTTCGCAGCCGTTGTTGTTGTTGTTGTATGGGGGTGTAGCTGGTTGCTGTCTTGGTTGAAGGGGCGGCGATCCTGGTCTGCGATTGGTCCAGGGGCGATCTGGGGCCGTCGTCGGAGGCTTGGATGTTGTTTGAGGAGAAGCTGGGCGTGAGACCGTAGCGACGAGAACCGGCTTGGATGTTGGAGCGGGCTGTCGCGGGGGTGTATGTGGCAGGGCTCATGTAGCTGCGGCGGAAAGAGAGATTTGATGAGAGAGTCGGGGTGCGCGGTGTGGGTGTTTGCGTTGGTTGGGGGACTTGAGAGGGTTGGGTTTGGTATTGCGGAGAACGAGGAGAGATGCCGAAGGTGCCTTGGTCTGGCTGCGTACCCGATATGGAGCGAGAGACTGTACGGTTATGAGGGAACCTTTGTCGCTGTGGAATTCCAGGGGTAGAAAGTGGTGTGCCAATTTCTGTGTTGGCTCTGGAGACCGAACGGCTGTGCAGACTACCGTTCTCGCCGCTCTCCTCGCCCAATGTCAGCCTGCGGCTGCGAAGGGAAGTGGACGCGCGATTCAGACGACTGGTCGGCGTGGGAATTCCAGGCGATTGAGTCGGGCTTTGCTTGATTTCTGCCAGGTTGCCAGGGCTGGTGTTGACCAGCGATGCTCGGCGTGCGTCGAGACGGCTGGATATGCGTGTTGTACTATGACGTCGCTCGATTCCTTCGGGCTCCTGGCTCGCTTGTCGTTGATACGACGGCACTGACATGCGCGGGTTGGGCTCCGTGCCATTTGATAATGGAGGCTGTGCGCTAGTGTCGCGGCTTGACGACGGCCGATGGTTCTTCAATTGTTCGTCTGTCAAAGCCAGACATAGCTCCGTAAGACTCCGGCACACGCTGTCCGCTTTGCGACGGGCGTGCCTTTCGGGTGAAGTATATCCTCCATTCACAACAGACATGCTGCCCAATGGGGGAGCATTGGCACCCAATGCGGTGGTCAGAGTCAGAGCATCGGTGATTGTCGCTTCGAGGGAGGTATACACCTCACCAGTCAGGACCATCTTCGCCTTGGCCAAAGCCGACTGCAATATAGGCTGAACCTGGCTATTATAGCCAGAGTCAATGTCTGCACCCGAGACACTGGCTTTGCGGTGGTACTTGGGCGAGGAGGAGATAGTGGTCATGGCTGTGTTTGCAGTGCGCGGTCGTTCGTTGGAAGGACTGTACATCGCTGCCGACGATGACGGTGGTAGTTTCCCTGTCAATTCCAATTTTTTGATACGATCTTTCAGCTCGTCCAGTTCGTCCCAGACAGTAGAGGGCGCCGTAGTTGACAAGGTCGATTCAGTGCCGTCCGCTCGCGATCGTTCTGTGTCGGCTCGCGCACGCTCAGTCGCTTCCGACGTAGACGGCTGTCGACTGCCTCGGATCGTAGAAATTCCGGAATGGCGGTGGCGGGGATCATGCATAGACGCGCGACGCTCATCTACAGAAGGTGTCCGCGGCGAGGTGTCTGGGCTTGTACGGCTGAAACGACTTCGGGGAACTCCAACGGTGGATCGCGAGCCGGATCCCAGGCTGTTATAGCGAAAGCGACCGGGGTCATCCAGCGGGTGGGCAGATGCTGGCGTGTGGGAGCTGTAGGGGGTGGTAGGAGAATCATGATGAGAAAGCAAGGGGTCGGGGTTGCTGTATCGCTGATCGGGTGAGGGGGTTTGTTCGGCCGTTGGTGAGCGCAGACTCTGGGTCGAATATCCCAGACGTGACTAGCTCGAGTAGTTAGTGACGAGGTCGCCAGCAGGGGTGGGAATTGAGGTGAGCCGCGGCCGATGTCAGAGCAGGAATGCGATCGGGCCCACAGCGACAAGTCATCACTCACCCGTCGGAAATCTGAGCGACCTATGGAATCGCGACGGCCAGAATCAGCTCTTGCGATGTTCAGGAATACATCCTCGTTTTTGGGGCGACTCTCGTCCATGGGGGTGTCGTCGGAGCCCAGTCGAGGGTTTAGATTTAAAGAGCGGGCATTTTCATTGAAAGATCTGGTTCCAGAGTACGCCAGACTTGATGGCATGGCTATTTTCACATGAGGGCGAGGAAATGTCGCATTCACAAGAGGCTGGGGGAGATGAACCTTGGAAGCTTGCAGGGAACGCTTCAGAGCGGGTGTTTCAACAGTGGGGCCATCGAAGCGAGCTGTGACAAAGAGCGCAATTGGAAACACAGACCCAAATAAGCCTGATTGACGACAGAGCTGGTTGGGCTGCAAATGATGGTCACGGGAACCTGCATGTTCAGGTTTCATGGGCGGTTTGACGTTTCTGGGGAAAGCTAGTTCACGATCTAGAGATCACACTACGTAACATGGTTATGGCTAGTATCTACTCCGTACTCTGCCTAGAGTTTCGAGGCTGTGACTTTGCTGGAGTACAAGTATCTATAAGAAATCTTTATAGACCTGTATAGCTCTATACTTGTTTACTTATAGGGTTCCAACATGGTGATACAGAGTGAGATGACGGAGTACTCCGTAATAGGTTGGAGATGGGGTTTCTGTGTGGAAATCATAACAATAACAATACTAAGTACTGAGTACTACTCATAAGATAAACCTTGGAATAACCCTGGAATAAGATGCACAATAGCAATAAGAAGAAAAAGAAAAAGAAAACAATGGAAATATGGAAAATACTGTGGGAAGAAAAAAAGGAAGAAAAAAAAAACAGTCCACAGTAAACAAAGGCCAACCATGGTTCAAGCGTCTAGAGCGTCTCTGCGCCTATACAGGGTGTCAAGTACCATACTCCGTACCTATGTTCTTCAATCTACACTTTACATTCAGCTCCAAGGTTTCACTTATAATTGCTCGGTAGTATATGCGTGCATGTACTACTCCGTACGGAGCTGCTGGAATATCGAGGTCATCTCTATATTGCATTGTGGATAAGCTGGTGTTGTGGGATCCAGGCCCTGGGAGACTTGTGATATTGAGTGGAAACCACCCTCTGGGCACCTGTTCTTCATGCAAATATTGCGTTACAAGGATCTAGCTTGCAACGTACTCCATACGCCATTCATGGGACCATACAGAGTAGCTTGGGGGCTTTTTTTTAGTGTACTATACATTTGGTGCGTCAGCCCTCAGGTTTAGTGAGGCTGGAGGCAAGGCTGCTGAAAGGGCTCCACTTTGAAATTGGCCATGTTGAGAGCGCCATGTTGATAAGAAAATGAGCAAGGAACATAACAATAGCATGGTGGCAGTCTCTAGTCCTAATATATCTTTCTGGCCCCGTATACTCCGTACTTGTACAAGTGTTATCCCTTGACAATGTCACCTAGCGTGATATCGTATCCTGAGACGAGCAAAAGGTCGAGCACAGGACGCTTCGCCGGCCGAGCAATCAAGCTAAATCCTTTAGCATTGCCACATGGCTTAGCGTAGCACGGACAGATTGCAAGGTCGCCATGGGAATGTTGTGATAAGCCACCTCGGTCTTGCGGTCCACATCATGGAAATTCCGAGAATACGACTGCCTAAGGAGGCGATGTCGCACAGAAGTTGTGCCGAATAGATGTGGTTTCAGAAGCCAATGGTTTAATCTGGGGAGGTGTATCAAACTGCAACGGCCAAATTGGTGAACCATGGTGCCATCTGCCATTATTGTATCACTCTACTCCGTATGTAACGAAATCTACCCCGTACTCCGTACATGGACCGATATATCTGCAAATTGTATGAACAAGCGACAGACCAATCTACTCGACCCATGGTTATCATTGGAAAAACTGCGTCGGGTAGACCAATGACGAGGGACCAACAAGTGCGAAACGATGCAGCATCCCAATGATCACCGTCCCATGTCAGCCGTCTCTACGTTATTCGTTCACATAATTAGAAACAAGTTGAAACATTTGAAGCTCCCCCAAGATCGTCCCCAAACGCCAGGGATAAGGGGGGGGTAATCTATCTGGAACTTTCTTGGAACCTGACATGCTTACATTAGGAACGGGAGGTATGTGTGTAAACCCGAGGTGTTCGACCTGATTGGACAATTTGGATCGGAAAAAACGCCGATCCTGCGCCTTTTGTTTTTTCAATATGTACATTGTGTACTCCGTACTCCGTAGAATAAACAATATCCATATGCATGCGTACCGATAGTGGCACGCAATAGCCTTGGCAGTCCATGAGTACGTACTCCGTATATGAAGAATTCTCCTGTAATCCTGGGGGATCATTAGAATGGGGAGCCAGTTTCAGAAGTCGGGAGTACACGTGGATAGCGGTCGATCATGAAGTCAAGGCCACACTGTACGGAGTACCGAGGAGATAATGCAAGTGTATACGGTACAAGTACGGAGTACGGAGTAGAGAGAATGTTGAAACAAGATGGAGAAAGTGGCACCCTTCCCGCCAAGCGACACTAGTGGCTACTAGCGCGAGGCTGGCGTGTTTCACAAGTGAAAGATCCATCGAGGGGTTTCAGGATGCCTCTCCTCCTCTTTCCCCCAGGGCCAATGACTGTCCGCTACCGAACCTGTTTGCTTACTTCGTATCCCTAAATTATTGACCGCGCCCAATCATCGACTGCTGGGAACACCCACCGTTCACCCATGTTAATTATTTTCCTTTACAGTTCGTACCATAGATATTTGTTTTTGTGCGTACTGCTTGTATATTCTGTACTCTGTACTTCATAGTTAGTACTCCGTACTCCGTATGGAAGACTTCATATAGAATACTTGTATACAGAGAATCGTGGCCCTCGGATTTTAACCAAGGAGACTGCGAGTACGAGAGAGCCCCAGAGAGAAAGAGAGTACACGAAGTATACGCACTGCATCCCCACCACGTCCCGTGTAATTCTGGTATCGGCAACTCCCCAAGTGTATACTTCCACCAGTACTCCATAACTGTGCCAACACCAAGTACTACTTTTAAAGTGGTTATATGCAAAACACAAAACACAAATACACTAAGGTGGGTGAGGCACACTGACGAGCCTCTCACCTGCGTGCGTTTGACGCCGCACATTCTCAGCTAAAATTAGAGCGACCATTGTGATTGGTTTCACTTTGCCGTAAAAAAAAGGAAAAAAACACGGTAAGTTACCAGGTGGAGGAAATCGGAGATCTCGCAAAACAGCTAAAACAACTAAAACAGCTAAAACAGCTAAGGGTCCAGCGCTTTTCCTTTTTCCTTAGGCGCTTGTATTGACTCTTTCTAGGGCTTTGTCTTCCTTTCTTCATATCCTCGTTCCCCGGAGGAACCTTTGTGATTTCATTGATTCCCTACCTTTTGCACCTCACACTCTGGTGTCTCGACTTTCCCTTTCAATACTTTCCCTTGTTCGTGCCATATCAGCCTTGATCTGGTATGTGCCCATCGCCTACTACTCTTGCATACGGATCATTTCCTTCGGATCGTTAGTACTAGTCCTTGCGTCTTATTCCCCTAGATTTAGGCTAACGGGACCCAGATCATTTGCGCAGGTAGCAAGTGCTGTCCGAATGCCACTTTAGTCACTGCTCTTTACAATGCCAGTACAAACCAGTCCGCCGTCCTTCCCGGACTCATTCCCGTCTTTCATGTCCGTCTTTGGGGGTCCCTTGCCATACAAAGACGATCCCATTCACTTCCAATATCCAACCCATGTCCCTGTCAACACACGAGCTCTTCCTTCCCCACATCGCGAGAGTGTTTCATCCATGACCTCGGCCTCAACCGAGTCCTCCCCGACTACCACCAGCTCGCCCTTTGATTCGCCCGGTGGGGGTGATATCTCCCCGAGTTCCTCTCCGGAATCCCCCTCAGCCATGTCTGTCTCTTACCCAAAGTTCATGCCAAATCGCCAGGAGTTCGCATGCCCACCTGCTCCCGACTTGCCATTGTCTCATAACACGCGTCCCGACTCGCCCAATCGACGGGCGCGTAACCTCAAGAACCTGTCCTTGCGAATGCCGCCACCTTCACAATCGCGCCCTCCCATAGCCACCGCGTCGGTCCTGGAAACGACATCAAAACACCACTTTGATGCCCCAGCGTCTCCAATTGCGATTCCTCCCAAGACTTCCAGGCGACGCCCCGCCAATCTCACCATCCAAACCCCCACATTCAACAAGTCCTTCGCCGATGATGCCGTGCCGCCAACTCCCTCTTTGCGACATGCAGAGTCATCCCCTGCTCTTGCTTCCATCACATCGCCCTCGTTTGCGCCAAAGGGAGGCATGCAACTCCCACGACCGATGTCGCATCATGGCAGCCGCCGTCTATCTGGGATCTCGCCCGAAGTATCAACCTCTCTCAACACATCAACCAACGACAATGCACCCGGATTCTCGTATCGTGTTCTCGACGGTCTAGCCGAAGAAGATGACCGCCTTGACTCGCGCGAGTCGACCAAAAAGAAGGAGCGCGGGTATCCCGATGGCCCCATTCGCATTCACGACTCTGGAGTCTATCTCTACTTAGAACCGACGGCAGAAGAAGCCGCCAAGTTTGATGTGGTAATTAACGTCGCCAAAGAAGTAGCAAACCCTTTCAGTGCTACCAAGGATGAGAAGAACGATACGGTGATGAGCACATGGCGAAACAGCTCCATGGCCTCGAAACGCTTTTCCCGTGGTGATCCCCAGACTGCAATCTCTGAGATGTCATTCAAGTCTGCTTGGGAGTTCCAGCCCTCGGACTCCGAATCTGGCACCCCCACGGTTTCCACCCCCGCAGACTCAACACCGGAATATCTTCATGTGGCTTGGGATCACAACTCGGAAATTCTGGATGATCTGCTCCCGCTATGTGAGCTCATTGATGACCGCATCGCCGATGGAAAGAAGGTACTTGTGCATTGTCAACTCGGTGCCAGTCGCTCGGCCTCCCTGGTTATCGCCTACGGTCTGTACAAACACAGACATCTCGACTTCAACTCGATGTATGAAGCAGTCAAGGGTCGTAGCCAGTGGGTCGGCCCTAACATGAGCCTCATCTACCAGCTCACGGACTTCCGCTCAAAACTTCTCCGCGGATCCACCGCCAAACCTCCTCCCCAGGAGTGGTTCGTGCAAACCGGCCGCCGATGCTCAGAGCCTCAGGTTGCCAACGCTGAGCGACCCCCAACTCGTGAATCTAGCAAACGCGGCCTCAACCAAGCACCCTCCATGAGTTGTCTTTCGATTCCAGAGCGAACCTCTATGCGTCCAACCACCAGCGACAGCAGCTACACCAAGTTCAAATCCTACTCCCCCAAGCGGAGTCTTTCCCCACGCCCCCTCCCATTCCGACAAAAATTCCAATCCGTCGAACCGGTCCCAGGCCGGTCGCGAGGCATTCCTCGTAGCGTCAGCAGCTGCGACCCCCTCGTTCAGACCCACGTCTTTGTCCGTGACACACCTGATGCAGGTGGTCTCTTCTCACCCCGGACAAACGAGTTCTTCTCCCCAGCGCCTCTGGCGCCCCCGACCTTCCACCGGATCGACCGCTCTGCGGCGCTCTCTCCACCTCCGGCCCAACGGTTTGCTGCCGAACCAGCAGACCCTCGGTCCCCGCCCTCTGTTGGTGAGCCCCTGTTCATGAGATCCATCGACGAGTTCTTGTGACCGTCGCTCAGACCAGACCCGAAATGATTCCACGACCCGACATCTCTCTCATGTCTTCCTGATTTGAAGATCATATGCTTACTCCCGAGCCATTGGCAGGGCAGTCTTCTATTCTCTTAATTTCTTCCAATCATCGTCTGATGATTGGCTTGATGATTTTCATGACCAAAGCGGGCTTTGCTGTCGCTCATCGTTTTCCCTCTTGCATACACTGCATTTTTTTACTTTTCCTTGACTCTTTTCCTTGTCTACGGCCATCATTCGATTCATCTATCTACGGATTGAAGATCAAAACCAACGCTCTCGCTCTTGTCTGGCCCGGCTCTGTATTACTATCGAGGTTTCATCCTCTGCATCGTTTGGTCCTGTCCAAACGAACTCTCGCTTTTTTCGTCTTTTTCTTTTTCCCCCTCTCCTTTTCTCCTCCTATCTCCATCTTGCTCAGAAAAGGCCTTTGCTTTGGCATTCCTGTGTTCATTATGCATTCATTATTTTGGCTGCGGGTCCACGGCCTGGCACGCTTGACTTATGGGTGGAAGAGGCATGATAATACCCCCTTTGCGCACTCTCACAATAGAGATCATTTCAATTTTCAAATCTTCTTTGCACCGAATCAAATTGTAGCCCGAATTATAGAATCGTAAACAATTGACCACCTAATTAAGCCTTGGTCCCCACTTCAACCCCGAAAGCGATATCGACATGGAGATAGCAACCGATAAGCAAAAAAACACATCCCACTCCAAATTTTCCCCCGCGCTTCCAGCAACAACCACAATTCCCAATGGCAGAATCTCACCCTGCATACCTCTCGCCCAGCGAGCTAGGCACAAAAGACTAGTAACTCTCCCCTTCCAACCCTCCCCCATCACCAATCCCCCCGAAACCCCGCACCACTACCCCTCCATGTCCCCAATCCCCAACAACCAACCAACACCCAAAATAAGCATACTAACAGCCCCCAGCTGGGAAACATACTACGCGCGCACTCTCGCACACATCTCCCACGAAAAACCCACCGAAGACCCAGACTCAGACGCAGATGTAAACGACGAAGATGACCCTGGCACATCATGGTTCTCCGAGCACAACGCCCCGCAGAAAGTACTGCGATTCCTGACGCACGGCTCATTCCCTCTTGCACAAAACAAGAGTAGCGCTAGTGTTTTGGATCTGGGAACTGGGAATGGAAGTATGCTTGCTCTGCTGAGGAAGAAGGGCGGGTACAGGGGTCGTCTTGTTGGTGTTGATTACTCGAGACAGAGTGTTGAGCTGGCGCGCGAGTTGCAGCGTGTGAAGGGGCATTCGGCTTATCATAGTGATTCCGATGATGAAGATGAAGATGAAGAAGAAGATGGGGAAGGGGATGAGGAGCAGGCTCAGCCTGAGAATGAAGCTGACTCCGAGACTCCGATTCAGTTTGAGGAGTGGGATATCCTTGGGTCGAAGGCTGGGCTTTCGGAGACTGGGGTTGCGGAGACAGTGCCGGATGAGAGCTTGTCTTGGTTTCCTTATGGGGATGGTGGCTTTGATGCTGTTCTTGATAAGGGGACGTTTGATGCTGTTTCGCTGGCTGATGATGCGAAGACGAGTCGGGTTTGTGAGCGGTACCCTGATGTTGCGCGGCGGCTTGTTAAGCGCGGTGGGTTCTTGATTGTTACTACGTGCAATTGGACGGAGGAGGAGCTGGTGCATTGGTTTACGGGGGATCGGACGAGTGGGGATCGATTGAAGGTTTGGGGTCGAGTTGAGTATCCGGTCTTCAGGTTTGGAGGGCATGAAGGGCAGGGTGTGTGTACGGTGTGTTTCCAGCGGGTGGGTGATTCCTGAATGTATATAAGAGGTTCTATTGTTTTGGATATTCCAGCCCGTCTATTCTATTTTCTATTTTGTTCATGTCGCATGTCATATGCAGGATATCGTAAATGCAAGTCATGGCAAGTCGTATGAGGGTTACTCTTCCTTCCTCTTGAGTACAGCAACGACACACCATCTCGTCTTGTTCTCTACTCCCTCTCCCTCGCGGGATGGAACCCAATCTCTGCGGATCTCGCTGCCATCTTCGAGTTTGCCGACGAGATCCCTTTCAAAGATCCGCTCAATGACAAATCCATTGTCAAGGGCCGTGTTGAAGAACCCGGCTACAGTGGCCCGGCCCGTATGGAACCCAGCAACAACCCACACCTTTCCACCAGGAGAAAGGAACCATTGCATTGTGCGCGCAATGTTCTCATGCTGAGACCGCATCCAGAAGCAATCCGCGGCGATGATTCGAGAAAAGGTACCCTTATGTTGTGTGGAGAAAGCATCGTCCAAAACACCCCATTCATGCGGCTGCATCGAAATATTCCCCTTGGCCGGAGTACGGGAAAGATTGTGCTCGATATTGTGAGCGATTGCACCACAGAACGCAGGCGAAGACGGATGATCCGTTATGACAACTTTAGATGCTTTAGCCAGCGCACAGACAACGGATGGTAGAGCGGCGCCTAGATGTGTCAGTAAGATGCCAACTGGCGGGGTGAAATCGAACCCGAATCCGTATCACGGAACACATACCAGCACCCAACTCCAATACACTTTCCCCTTCAACCGCCCAGATGTCCCTTGCCTCGGTGCCTTCTGGGCCCGGCTCATCGGCCATCTCAACACCCTCCGCAACTACCATTCCAGCACTCCACAGGAAGTGCGCGAAGAGCTTGCGCCCCGCATCAACCTGGTTTATGGATTCGTCTCCCTTTGGCTGTGGGGCGACAGTCTCCTCAGAGGGATTGCCCGAGCCGGGGTAGCTGGGAACCATGATATTCAGGTCTCCATAGCGGGGGAGCTGTAGAGGAGATGCTGGCCCGGGTCGCCGTGGAAGGGGGGCGCATCGTCGGGAAACAAGTGGGCAATGAAAGCGCTGAAGAGATCCTCTGGGGACTCGTCGAGTTCGAGGTCTTCGTTCTCGAATTCTGGCGTTGGGGCGCTCGGGGCGCTTGGGACCGCATTGCGGCGGGGGAGGGGTCGGAGGCGAGAATGGAGCATGTTTTTTTTCTCTCTCTTTTTTGGCCTCTTCTTTTGTTGAATCCCTTTCTTTTTGATGTTCCCCTTGACCAACGGTGTCAATGAACTACAATGGAAAACCCCGGGTATCGAGGTTGGTGTATGCAATTGAGCCGTGATGGTCGCATCGCGGAATAATTTCTTATCGTTTGCACTGTTTGTTGATCTCGGGTAGATTAAGTAACCCCATCTTTTTCAGCCCTGGAGGTCCGACCACGTCATCGGTTGGACATGGAATTGGTGATTTGTTCTTTTTATAAACTCCTCCCAACACAGGATATAAAGGAGTAAACACGTTCTACGAAGTAGAGTGAAACATTGAAATTCTTCAGGAATGCCAAAGAAGAACGGAAGCTAATGTCAGCCGCAGTTGGGAGGAATGTCGGGCCAGGAACGGGCCAAACCAGTCATCAGGGGACAAAGCGACCAAAAATAATCCCGGTGCTCGTGCGCAGTCTCGGCTGAGCACTGGGAATGTGTGGCAATTGGAGGTTTTGGAATGGGATATGGGATGTAATTATGTAACAAGGCTCAGCCACAAAAGACAAGATAAAAAGATAATATCCCCGTATAGCGCTCTATACTCCGTCTACGACAGAATACGGTCTTATCCAGGAAATTATATCCAGCAATTCGATGATTTTGGGTCTTAGTCAACCCCATCACCTGACTATCGGAGTGACATCATCCGGCCCACCCGATGCCCGACTAGACCGTTCTATGCGCTGCAAGTGATGGGCCTTTGTACTGGCATAGTACCCAAACTCCCCCATCCAAGTTATTTTGCCCCGTCTCCGCCTATCGTTGATACACACTCGTCATGGTGGAGTGACCTGATTGGTACTTCCCACTATCTTGTGACCCTGTTCTGATCGACAGGCAACTCTCACGCTCGTCTTTTTTTTTTTTTTTTTTTTCCTAATTCAGTACAATTTCCTTGAAGAAAAGTAAAGGTGTTCTTTCTGAATAAACTCCATTCTTGTTGTAACGTTGAGATTCCAAAATTGAAGAGGGTTAGAAAAAGTACAGAGGAGGATCCATGGCACCGCCCTGTTGAACCAACCCTTTGTGCCCTTATTGTGCGGAACGCCATTCCAGAGAAATGGGCGACTAACTGGGAAAAAGAGGTCAATTCCACACACACAAAGATTCGCAATTCGCAATTCGACATAGCCTTATAATCTTGGAAGTCGCGACTTCGGAGTGGATCCACTGATATCGATACACGATAATATCCCTAGAGTGATTCATAGGTACCCCTCGGCCCTGCACAATAAAACAGGGGGAGTACTGTTTACTATAGAGAGAGAGAGAGCAAGAGAGAAGAGTATAGTCAAGCGTAGATTAATAAAATACCGAAGGTGTGACCGGTGATCCTCTCCCCCCCGCATGCTCAAAGGGAAAGGCCCCCGCAAAGCTGAGCGATTTTGGCTCATGCCGGCCCTGACTCTTTCTCCTTCTTTCTCCTCTTTTTTCCCCTACCTTTCTTTCTTTTTTTCCTAACCTTTTTTTTTTTATCCCTCCCTCTCTCTCACTCTCTCACTTTCTCGCTCTCGTTGCTAAACTTATCTTCATTTCCATCCTCTTGACGGAACGTCCACATACATCATTACATTGACGAGTGGGCTTGGAATTGACTTGGAAGTCACTCATCCCACCATGGCCTCGTTCAGAGTACGTGTTTACCGTGAACGAATTCCGATCTTTCAGCTAACGGTCTGGCCCCTGGGGCCATTTACAGGAATTGTCCATGTCGCGTCCCCTCAATCCCAGCCAGCGGCACGCGCACTCCATCTCGCTAGGTGCCTCGAATTCCAATCACCGTGTAACTCGCCGCAAAAGTGTGACCACAACCGCCGCCCACGCCGCTGCCGCCGTGGCCGCTTCAATGGAGGGCGGAGAATCGACCTCGCTCCCTATGGGTGCGCACCGCCGGAACCTGGGTGGCCGCAAGGGACCCGAATCGGCCTCCGTCGGAAGTGCCTCGGGCTTCAGCTCATACCTCTCTCGCAGCATCAATAGCCCCAGCCAGGAATCACCGGTGGCTCGCAAGGGTTCTCCGGGTTCGGATCACTCCGACGGCAAAGTCAAGAACCGGAACCGCCGTGCCAGCGAGGGTGCTCAGCTCAAGGCCGATGGAAAGCGAGCTGCGGCGGCTATACGGTGCGATCGCTGCGGGAAAGGGTATAAGCATGGCAGCTGCTTGTCTAAGCATATGTGTGTATTCCCCCTACCGCCCGGTCGTCTGTCATCTTGTTCGGGAGTTATGCACCATGTCGGCTCTGTGCAGGTCGCCCTCGTGGTCATTCAAACCCCCTTTCGCTATTGCCCCCACTCCACCCACATCCTTCGTATTTTCTTGTTTTATCGGAGCCCTTGATTGACGTGTTTTCTTTTTCGTGGTATTAGGTGGGAACATGATCCAGCATGGGCTGTGACTTCGAAACTTCTCATTTCCAAGCACCAGCAGGTTCAACTGCTGGAAGCCGCCTCCGTTCTGGTCACCATGAACCACGACGACCCTCCCGACGAGTCCGCCGAGTTGGAATCGGAATTATCATCCGGATCACCTGGTGCCCTGTCAGAACTGCGAGATGGCCTGAGTTCCGCCGAGACCACGCCACCCCCGATGGACGAAGAGGAGGATGACGACTTTGAGATGTCCGGCATGCCCGCACAATGGGCCAAGCGGCCCAGTGTCAGCAATGCATCCGGCTTCTCTCGCTCATACCAGTCGATCCCCTCCAGCTCGTACAACGAGAGCGCTCCCCTGCACTCCCCTACCTTCTCTCACTTCCGCAACTCCAGCATCGATACTCGTCCCTCGACCGCGGACGCCCGTTTACACGAGGACGACGAGGCGGATCTTGCCGCGGCCATCGGTCTTTGCAATTTCGGCACTCCCCGCACAGGTCCCGTGTCCATGACCCCCGACGTACCACCCGTGCCCCCACTGCCCGCGCGCTATCTCGACTCCAGCAGCCACCCGAGCAACCAGAGCCCCCACTCCTCTCACTCACGCCCCACCATGGAAGCTGCTCGTCGAGATTCCGAGGCCAACATCTTCTCTCCCCGATCGTTCAACCCGTCGCTTTCCTACAAGGTTTCGGATGAGCGTGAAGTGCGAACCAGTGGAAAGGAGGAGCAGCAATCCCGTCAACGCCGCAACGCTGATGTGGACTTTGGTAACCGCTCAGCACCGGCAGATGACGATGACGACGGTGTCTTTGGTCGCATGGAAGAGTAAATCTCCCACGCGTGAATTCTTTTGCCTCTCCCTCCGAGCCAGTCCCTGGGTCGCAGCGGCCTCTGCCGAACGACTCCCCTCTTCACGACCTCATGTACGAGCCTGAGCGAATTCTTGAACCTTCTTGTTTACATGTTTATGGCACTCCAACGGATAGAGTAGGATTCAACTCTATCTCCGGTGTGTTTCCTACTTCTCGGGACCTTTTATTACCTTTCGAGATCCCATGTATCATGTCTCCTTGGCCCGCTTAGTGTTTTTTTTTTTTTTTTTTTTTTGTTTTTTTGCCTCGTCTCTTCTTTTTTTTATTTCAGGAAACCCCCATAAATGGCCTACTCTGTATGGCCGGCGCATATCCATCATTCCATCGGACTCGTCCATGGCTCTCGTTTGTTTCTGTCTTGTTTTCTGTTCGCACATATATACCAAACCCACAAATTCCCCATGTGTATCTCGTCCATTCTTTATCCGTCTCCTTTCTTCCTCTTCACCTCCCGCCTATGGTCTCACCCTGTGTACTTGACCCTTGGACGGGGCATACAATGAATATATCATGAAATCAAACCTCTCAATCAAACTCACTAGATTCGACATACGTATTACCCTCTAGCAAGCTTACATAGAACTAATGTAGCACGCGCAGCGTCGGATATCTCAACCTTGGAAATTCAGGCACATTCAGCGCGAAAACCTCAACAAATGATAAATCATCGCACATCTTTTCCGCTTCCAAGCTCCAGACCATTCACCGTCTTCCGAGGTCCACATTCAACTTGTTTTTGTGGCCTTTGTATGCGGGGGAGGGCCCACTTGAAGATCCATCTCGTTCTCCATCGGTTTCGTCATCGGTGATTAAGGAGAAGCTCAATGGGCCCTGTTCATATCGGGATAATATTTCCGAATCTTTGAAGCCCATTGAGTCAGATATATGTATACCAGTGACTTAGTAAAAAGAGCTGGAAAATGCTCGCCTTTGTTAACAATGATAGACTTTGCCCAGATTCGCTCATGCTTCGAGCCGTGAATCAAGTGCGAGACAAGCTTCGATGAACCGCTCTCCGAGAGGCCTGGAGGCCTGTGTTAAATTTGCTGCTTCTGAAAGAGAGCTCTGTGTGATTCTCCTCCGGGAATTGAGGTGTTGAGGCGTGGACTTGTCCTGAGGCGACCCACCGTCGTACGGCTGCTCGCATAACAAAGACTAAGACAATATCCACCTAGATGAAACTCATTTCCATCATTGAACTGGTAGCCAGAGTCACCCTATCAAGCTTGGCAACTAGTTGAAATTGTAACAAGTTACATGGCTTGTTATATACCACCTGGGCAGCAGTATTCTATGTAAATCATCTCACTAGTAGGTGGTGGGCTACTCCAATGGTTCCATGGCTCTGGAATATGCAGCTGGGAATACTAGCAGAAGCCAGGACTCTCACTGAGAGACATCCACCAGTACATGTCTTGTTCGGTGTCGGAGTCCGTATGGTCATTCAGACTCATTCTGCAATGGCGAGAGTTGAAGCATTGATAAGCTCGGGAGTGGGCGGCCGGTGGGATACCGCAGTACAATCCTTCCGCCACTGCTTCATCTTCTACTCCGTACGCCGTCTCTACAAAGCATTTGGAAGCAATTCACAACATGCCATCTAATTCAGATACCAATATCACAGCTATGTTCAAATGCAGTTATTCCGGTTGCACCGCCAGTTATCAGCGCAAAGAGCATCTACGTCGCCACCAGATAAGACACTCCCAGCAACAAATATTTCCATGCTCGAATTGTGACCGTGAGTTCGCACGCAGGTATTTAGAATTCATTGAATCCTAAACTTCTTCAAAATATTCTAACAAACAGAAGCGATACTTTACGGCGCCATGTCTGGCAGCATCATGGAATAAAAAAGCCATCCACACGAGCCCGGCGAGCGTGTGAAAGCTGCCGAGCTACAAAATCACGTTGCCAAGGAGATCAACCATGCAGTGAATGTCTACGCCGCGGGATCGAGTGCAGTTTCAAAGATCATAGAGATGAAGAGAAAGAAGCTAGTGCACCACTTGATCCCACTCTGGTCTCTGAAAAAAGAGACCACTATATTTCGCTTTACTTCGAGAAGTTCCATGCCAGATGGCCATTCATCCACAGAGGATCGTTTGAAGCTAGTCGCGAAGCACCTCTTCTTATTCAATCAATGGTAGTCCTGGGGATGTGGACTAGTGGGGAAGAGACAGTGCGAAAGGCTGCAGTGGACCTTCATAATAACCTCGACTTGGCTATTCGACAACAAAAGGTTAGTGGGTTTCCCACGCTTCATGCTTGAGTTCTGAACTAACCGAAATAGCACAAATGGGATGCTTCGGAGGTAGAGGAGGCGTGTAGTGATTGCAAGTGGCCAATACCAACTTACCAAGCTATCCTCCTGCATATCATATTTTCAATAATGCATGCAAGTGGCGGTACGCTCGACTTGGATTTACGCTTCAGTCTTGCGCCCAACAGACTCGAGCTACTCATGGGCTTGGTGCGGAGTTGTCGGAAGCTAGGTATGTTTCATTATCCCAATATTCTTGAACGTTATCGAGAAGTCGATGTTTTCACCTATGTCTGGGTATGCATTGAAGAAGTCAAACGGTTTGATCTTGCTTTGTACAAGGTCTGTGGAAAGTTGACTGGCTTGGGTTCTGGGGGAAATCTAGATGTGGGTGGCAGCTCCCTGTTCAGTGCCGAAGAATTGCAATTTCCCATGCCAAATAATTGTTCCTTATGGCATGCTGTTGGTCGAGATCAGTGGATATCGGCTCTTGAAGGGAAACTGGTGGATTTGGATGACCTGGCCCAGGACAGTTGGATATCAAATTCAGCTGGGCTTTTGAACTTTTTGTGCGGTGTATAAGATTATTTACTTTGGATTTGCTATGTGCTGTTTGTCTGCCCAGATACCCACATGGGAACTTGTCCTCTATGTATCTTTATAAAATAAGCAATGAGAACGGGAACTGTCGATTCGTTGGAAGCTAAGAAGCAATGTAGAGTAACCAAGCAGGCTAAGTGGAGCTAAAGCAGACAAAGGGTATAAAATAGTAGCATAGCAACTGTGGGCTCCTTAAGATCCGCCGCCTCCGCCGCCTCCGCCGCAGCCTCCTCCACCTCCTCCACAACCGCCGCCGCCGCCGCCTAATTAAAACAGTCAGCAGACATCTTTGAATGTGGTGATCGAACAGGTTGGTAACTTACCACATCCTCCACCACCTCCACCTCCACCACAGCCACCACTTCCACCGCAACCACCTGATCCGCCTATTTTGAAAATATTAGCACAGAGAACAAGAGATGAAGATACCAAAATGACTTACCACATCCACCTCCTCCACAGCTACCCGCGGCCACGCCACCACCTATTCCAAAGTTAAAATCGTGTAATACTTCTAGAACCTCGGAGGGAAGAACTTACCACATGTTCCCGCACAGCAGTTTCCAGCGGCACCCGCGGTAACATTCATGCAGCCAGGGTTACACGCGTACACATCGGAGTTAATGCAAGGGTCCGCCATATATGGAGCATAGTACGGGACCATAATCGGGTATCCATAAGCATATGGCATATAGTAAGGATCAGTAGCAGGGGCTCGATCGCTGGACTTTGAGCCCGAGCGAGCACGACGCTTCTCAGCACGCCGGGCAGCCTTTTGATGGTTGCTCTTCAAGCGCAGGAAATTGACTGTGCTGGCGCGCGTCGTCGGGGCGTACAGGTTCGTAGGCCGGACGGCGTTGTGTGCGGAGATGTGAGGGTTTTTGTTTGGGTCGGAGGAGATATCTGGTCGGTCGTGTAACTGGTCTGCAGCGTCGCGGGCTCGAGAGGCTGAGCCGACGGTGATCAGGCGATCGTAGAGGTCTGGTGTGCGGGTTGCTTCGCAGTACCAGCAGGTGCATTCGCTGTAAACGCCGCCGTCGGTGGCTCGGCGGTACATCTTGCTTGTCCAGGCGAAGCCTTCGGAGAGTTTGTCTTCGTCGACTTTGTCGTCGTGGTCGATGAAGACTCTAACACTGTTTGGTCCGAGCATGGAGGTGCTATGGTTGTAGTATCTGGACGGACTGAGTTGGTGGGTGTGCCAGGCTAGGTCAACGTCCAGAGTAGGCACGGCCATGTTTTTCGGATTGCTGACCATGATCTGGAAGAAAACTTCGTACTTCTTGATGAGTCGGTCCATGGTGTCGAAGACTGCAGGTGAATGCAGCCAGTCGATTTGATCCATCTTTTCCACGAAAGTTCCTTGTCTGATCACTGCACCCACAAGATCTAGAGCGAATGGATCCAGGTTGTCCCAGTATCGCGACATCATTCGTCTGATGTGAGTCTTCTCTGCTGGCTTAAGCGTCTTGGCACTTCCACCAATGGAGCGCATAAGGACTGCTCGGTCACGAATTTTGATCTCGATTCTCTCCCGGAGTTGATTGACATTCTGACACCATTCCACGCGTCCATCAGTATAACTCTTCAAATCGGTTCCAGATGCCTCAACGAAGCGAGTGGGAAATAGCAAGAATCTGGACCTCAGCTCAGCGGCTCTATTGCATGGACCCTCAGGCACTCCAGAGAGATTGGTGAATGACCCTGGCATTGGCAACCTCTGATCCAAAGTTGCTTGGAGGTCTTTTCGGAATTTGGCCACCTTGAGTCGACCATGATCAATGATGTGCTCACAGCGGGTGCATTTCACCTCGAAGGAGTTGTCGGCATAGCCATTTCCGAATCTAAAGGCGTTTTCGACTGAATCACCGAAATGAGCTTCTGTCCATGGCACAGCATTCACCCTTTTGCAGTATGAACACTCGACCTCTTTGGACGGCTTGTCGTCAAGGTTGTTCCACTTGAACTTTAATTTCGTTTCAAAGAGTTGCTGTGCCTCTTCGGAGACCATGTACTCCATTGTCTGATTGTTGATGCACCGATCGATGGCTTCCCATGGGAACCCAGTTTTCCAGGTGCTCATTTTGCCATACCGGATACAATCTTCAAGGAAGTTCCGAGGGTTCAAAAAGTGGGAATGCCAAACCATAAGAATATCTGTAGCTTGTTAGAATAACACAATGAATGCGCAGAACATGGAGACCTACCTAGTGGCGGAAGATTCTCTGGGCTCCATGCGACCAAAGTATCACATTTAACGATGTCTTCATATTTCGCAGATTCCACGTCCGTAATCGTGGCCATCTGTCGTGATCGCGGGAGACCAATAGTCCACCAGGTGGTGTACCGATGAACAGCGCGTGCCACGTACACAGCCCAGCGCTTCTCACGAATACGAGCCCGGGCTTCGTTCAGCGACTCGGGGAACCTGTCCGCTTCCGAATCAAAGATTCCGAAAAGACCATCATCACTCGCGATACTATCTCGCAAGTCTGCGAGTACAGCTAGAAATTTGAGATGAGCCACACACTGGTCGCGGGTGACGGTTGCCTTGGAGGGCGGGGGAGAGGTGAGATTCAATTTGAGCTCCAACGGCGGCTGCTCGACCTGGTCGGCGGAATAAGAAGGTGGTCGCTCAATCGACGACTGGCTGTCTTTGGCACGGTGCGTTTGAGAAGGATCTGACTTGTCTGTTGAAACACCCATCGTGAATTAAAAGAGTAGTGGTTGAATGATAGAGTGAGTCAAGCGGAGAAGGAACCCTTTATACCGGAGTCAGGTCAGACCCATGGAATCTGACATCAAAGCCAAAGCCAACAGCGTCAACCCGGATTCTTCATCGCCCCGGACTGCCGAACAGGAACAAATCATCATCTCACGTTGCCCTGGTCTAAACTCAAAACTGCTAAGCCTCGGAGTACAGAGCTTCTGCATGACCCAGTAGTTCGTATCGATTGACCCTGAGACAAATGTCAATAGCGTTCTTATTGGCAGAGCGCAAGGCGAAGCCGGGCGCAACAACACTGCCTTGCGGCTCCCGTTTGGCCCAACGGGCGATGATCTCATGGCTATGCGTGTACTACATTGTTCCTTTGTCGGTTTAATCTAGAAATTATAATCGACTGGCTCTTCCAGTGACATACATGCGCCCTGGTATGAGAGTTAGATTAATTATCACGAGAAGTTCCTTTTTCAAGGTTACACTGCCCAGGTGGACTGTACGGGGTAGTGGCAGTCCTCCGTAACCCGAGGGTCACTAGCCTCGGAGATAGGGCTGTTATCAACAAACATCCCCCGAGCATCATGCTATGTGCATCACTTTCACCTCCCGAGGTCTCTCGTACCGGCGAAGTTAAGCATAATATCTAACACAATCTATATTCTAAGATTTTCAATTGATATTCACAGCTCTGAGGACTGCCTGGGAGATAATTGTCCAACCTGAAACATCTGTTTAGGTCACGTGACAGGTATGTCATCGCTCACGTGAGGCGGTGACTAGGCGGGAAACCGTTTTCGTTGCTCACCGGATACGCAAAAGTTGAATTCAGTTTTTAGTAGTGGCATATCGAAAGACGACGTATAATTTTGTTCGTGCCTGACGAATACTTCTATCGACCACCCTCGGCATTGTGATCGCACAGCATTCAGCCTGGCTTCTCTCGGACGATCGAGCGGCATCGGGGAGGGCCAGGCCCAAACTCTAGAACCGATTGTGAATTTTGATAATGCTTCTGCTGGCACCAGTCCCGTAATGGCGGGTCTAAATCAGGTACCCATGTCACTTGCCGACGGCGTGCATGGGCGCAAACGAAATGTGACCATGGCGGGGATCGACAGTTCACCCGGCAGTATTGACGATATGGACGACCAAGAGGCACGGGAAGAGAAAAGACGCCAACCCGTGAAGCGCGCTTGCAACGAGTGTCGACAACAGAAAGTAGGTTGCAGCGATCTGTGATTGTGATTTGCGTATCCGGGATTTTGAGCTGATTTGTGAATGCGATAGCTTCGATGCGACGTCATTCAAGACCCCTGGGCCGATTGCTCACGATGCCGTCGACTCAGACTCGATTGCAAAATCGAATCCAACTTCAAACGGGTTGGGAAGCGCAGCCGCAATGCGGAGATGGAGAGGGAGATTTTGGAGCTCAGGAAGCAGATTGCTACCGGCCAGCCTGTACCGGGCATGTCTCAGCAACAGCAGCAGCAACTCACGGCGGGACAACTGACCCCTAAACAAGAGTCGTGTCAGGTCAGTCCTGCTGTATATCAAACTCCGTCGGCCATGTCCGCAGATCAGTATATGGGATCACAAGAAGCCGTTGCGTCCCTACTCGACTTGCGCTCGGGCTTTGATAGCTCCAATTTCATGCGAAACGGCGGACAAGTCAAGCGCATCGAAGACGTGATGGTCGTTCCCGAGAAGGTTGGGGAGCTTTTCAATCTGTAAGTGCTCAATTTGTCAATGCGGAATGCCGTTGATCGGTCTATCTAACCTTTTCACCAGGTTCTTCACCTACTACCACCCTTTCCTACCATTTTTGGACCCGAAGCTATCCCCGGAAGACTATTACAATGCTTCTAATCTCCTCTTCTGGACAATTATTAGCGTTGGTGCGCGACGCTACCAAGGCGATTCAGCCCTATTGAATTCGCTCGCTGGCCCGGTCAGTCGACTGGTGTGGAGCACTCTAGCAGACATCCCTCAAAGCTACCATGTTGTGAAAGCGCTCGCCTTACTATGCTCCTGGCCATTCCCGACAAGCAGCACCTCCACAGACCCAACTTTCATGCTTTGTGGTATGATGGTACAGGTTGCAATGCAGCTAGGCCTGCATCGGCCCTCCCATACACAAGACTTCAGCAAGTTCCGGGTAGAACTTATTGAGGAAGAGTTGAGAGACAAGGTGCGCACGTGGGCTATTTGCAACATCGTTGCTCAAAGGTATGTCAAGTCCCAATCAATTTCCGGCGTCTTCTCACACTCAATTGCAGAGTATCTACCGGTTATGGACAGCCCTCCTCCACGCTCTACGACTGGACGCTGTCATCGAGCGATGCGCTAGACCCTAACTTCAAGCTGCCAGAAGACCTGAGGATCAGGCTGGAGATTGAGAAATTCTGCGACAAGATTACCAGGGCGCTCTACACAAATCGACGTGATCCCGTTGGTCTCACCAGCGATCATGAACGATCTTCAATGATCTCTTTTCTGTCGCGAGACTTCGACGAGTTGGAGGAAAAACTCAAGCCACAGAGTGACAGTAAGTCCGCCAGCCCTAAGAATTACAAGGTTACAGGCTCAGGCTAACCGAACCAGGTATCACCGAATTATTCCTCCGTGCTGCAAATCTCCATTTGCATCTTTCGGCATTCTTTGATGAGCCAACCACGAAGAATTACCGTGAACGTGTTTTATCCCTATATGTCGCGACGACCTCGTTCCTCGAAAATGTCCTCAACCTCGAGACCGATGTTGGTCCAGTATTATCGTACACGCCCTACTATGTCTACCAAATGATGGTTGCCGCTGGATGCACTCTCCTGAAGCTTTGCAAGAGCTTCTTCTCCTCTCATATCGATATGGACTACACCAAACATTTGTTCAACCGAACAATCTGGGCCATTCGCGGGGTCTCAGCTTCCAGCAATGATCTTCCCGAACGACTTGCGGAAGTCTTGGCTCAGATGTGGAGACTGGGAGGAGCAACACATCGGTCCAACAATAGTACCGATCTTGACGACTCTCTGCGCCTCAAAGTGCGTTGCCGGATGAGTATGTCTCTTCTTTTCGACTCTGTGTGGCGATGGCGTGAGGACGCCCGGACCAAGGGTCGCAACATCGAAGGTATATTTTCCTCACAGCTTAATGGGTACATGATGTCTAATTTGTTCTCTAGCGTACTTGAAAAATCCGACAAACCCAGACTCTGCCGCCGATTCTTCGGCCACTTCCTCTGTTGGCCCCATACCCACATCTACAACTACGCCTGGTATTTCCGGGAATGATCCGAGCCTTGCCCCAGCACCCATGCTATCGCAGGCGAGCCTTGGGATCCAACCACCTTCTAATCAGGTTAATGGATTACCAAGTGGGTTCATGGAGCCCAATTACGAGGTCTTTGATCCGCTTAATTGGTTGCTCGATGGCCTGGTAGACTTGCCATATTCATACTCCACTGTGGGTGGAATGGAGTCCCAGGGCATCGCATAAAACCAATGTCGACCTGTTTTTTTCTAGGCGTTTTCAGGCGTGGCTTGCGTGTTTGTATCATTATACCACATTCGATCGCTGATACCTCCTCGGAGTTGTTTTTCGTCCTTATCTTGATGTCTGTTAATATTCCATGAGTCTGATGTGTTTATCTTTTTACCCCAAGAAATGTGAGACTGCATTTATCCGATCTCATTCCTTTGCAAAGCTCATGAAGCTGCTCATTGCATCATGCATATACATAGTCCAAGCTGGCTGTCGCAGGCTTGCGAGGAAACCAAATTGTGCCGAAGCTTATAGCTAAATCTTCTCGGGTTTTTATAGGGAACCCATGAGTGTGAGAATACTCTGGGTTAACCGAGGCTGGATACAATGCGCTAAATTAACAGTGGTATCAAAAAGTACCTGGTCGAATCGAAAAGTTTTGGTCGAGCTCTGTTGGTACTCCAGGGCTCCGTATGGATGTGGAGAAATGAGTACAATCTGCAACACAAATCACATCCGGTGAGATAACCTGCAGACTTACTCTGCTCGGCCAAACTGGGTATTGAAATGCCAAATTATAGTGCCCCATATTATGCGTGAAATCTTTTTTCATTTCGCTGTCGCCGCCAGAGTTTCTCCGCTAGCCCTAATTGTCCCGGCCCCCGGGGGTTGCTTTAGTCCCCATTGTCCAACACACCTCTCTGTCACCCACAACACACGACTCTGACAGTTACAACACTCTACACTTTAGCTTCGACGTTTGGAGCAGTATGACCATGCTTTACAAGTTTCAATCACCCGAGAGAGCATTCTCCCAGGGTCGAGAAATCCCCCTACTTCCATTTCTATTCCTATTCCTCTTCGGTTTTTGTCTCACGGTCATTAGTGCTTTGATCTTCACCTCCAGTACTCTGGCCAATGTGAGTATCTGCACTTTTCTCTGGGCAGGCAGACCGATTGGCGCACTTGGAAGACTGACATGCCAATTCCTCTGACAGGACCGTATTCCATTCCCCGGACACAAATCATCCTTTGCGATCCTACGCCAGCACTACCAATTCGTTGTGGATGGGCCTCGTCTCATCAAGAAAGGATACACTCGATTCAAGGATGGCTTGTTCGAGATTCCGCGCACGTTTCGCTTTGGACAGGTCGTCTTGTGCTCCACAGAGCTGATCGAAGAATTGAGGAATATACGAGGCAATCTCGTGTCTCCTGAGCCTTGGATTGATCAAGTAAGGGTTTCTTCTGTGAATCGAGGATGGATCGTGTCTTATGCTCATCATATTCCCACAGCTGCTACAGATATCCCACGTTATGCCAGGTTACTTCCCCACCGAAGCGGGGTGGCCGAAGGTCGCCAAAACCACGCCGGGCCTCATCCGTGGCACAGTGTACAAGAACCTTGACCGATACATTCCATCCATCAACGAGACAATCCTTTCTCGGTTGAAGCTTTTAGAGTTCAAAGATGGTGGTAAGTTTGGCTTTGAGGATTACATCTGGATTTGCCCTAATTTGGTTCATTTTCTACACCAGAGTGCAGCACAGGCCTTTTTGACTTGGCATACTCGATCGTTGCATGCAGCGGCAGTCATTCTCTCGTCGGTGCACGGCTCGCTCAGAATCAGGAGTACCTCAATGCGGTAAAGGAGCATATCCTTGGGATGATTGTGACCGCTCGGGCACAGTTCCTTATCCCAGATTATTTGAAACGGTGAGTGCTGCTTCTCATGCGTGACTTAGGGCTATTTGCTGCTCTTCTCTTGATTCTGACTGCATCAAACTAGATATCTTGGTGGGTTTATTAGTCATTGCGTCAGTCTCGGGACCAAATGGAACATGCTGGCATCACGCAAAGTTCTGATGAAGCATTTCGATGCACGTGCGGCGGAATACCTTGCGGAGATCAACATCGGAAATGAAGCCATAAGCGAGTCGGGTCTTGATCGCTCAGGTAATCCGGTATGTTTGTCTGATTTCTACATTATTCCGATGAATGAAATTAACAGGGCGCTTTCTAGATTGAAATCTTCCGCTGGTTGTATGAGAGCTCCGTTGTCAAGAGACGATGGATGTACTCAGAGGTGATAGGCGAAATGTTGCTTTTACAGTTTGCCTTCATCTACACGACATCCTATGTACGTTGACAGACGCATATGCCACCCCCCCTCCCTCTGCCCCCTGCATTATGCTGACTGAGACCGAAAGGGTTTGTACGGGGCTCTCGCTGAGCTAGCGCGACGACCGGAGTACATTGCACCTCTTCGTCAGGAGATCAATGATACTATTCTCAAGCTAGGACCGACACTTCCGGCTTGCAAGGCTATGGACCTGATGGACAGCTTCTTGAAAGAATGCCAGCGACTACATCCACCCGCAGCACGTGGGTCTATCCGGTTACCATCTGAAGGATCATGCATGGCTGATACATCAATCTTTTCATAGTCTCTGCTCACAGGGTTTGCATCTCTGACATCAAGCTATCCAACGGTTTGTCCTACGCGCACAGTTTAACTTTCAGTCTTGTGGACTGACGAGCATGGAAACAACAGGTATCACACTCAAGAAAGGCTCCCACGTCGCTGTTCCCAGCGAGGTCATTCAGAAATCCGGCGCATACTATGAGGACCCCGAGACTTTCGACGGCTTTCGATTCGTGAAGCGTGCCGCGGCCGGTGACAAGAATTCCCGACTAGTTGATCTGAGTCCTGACTACCTGGTGTTTGGGATGGGGGCGCATGCCTGGTAAGTGATATTGATTTCCAATGGACAGATCAATCTGGGTCCATTTCTTTTTCTCCCCCTTCTTGGTTTCAAATCCAACTGCCCGGATCCTATCGGCTGACATGAACTCTTGTTTGTAGTCCTGGGCGATGGATGGCTAGTGCACTGATGAAGTTAGCTCTTGCGCATATCTTGACTCGCTATGACATACTCCTGCCTGATTCATCCTCTGGGCCCTTGGCTGGATCACTTTCATTCGAGGAGTTTTATGTTCCTAACTTTGGGCTGAAGATTGCGTTCCGCCAACGCGAGTAAGTTCAAAGGTATTGGGTGGTATTTTGTGCGAGACTGAATGCGAGTCGAGGCACGTCTCGGCCGAAACATTCACCTCATTCGGCGTTTTTGGAGATGGTCAGACATTTAGCAATTTTATGAGCATGACATAGTTACAAGATGTTTCTGCCTTGGTGCCTGGTACCCGATAACCGCCGATAAGATCAGTCGATTGACTCTTCGGCTTTGATGACGTTGGTTTACCCTCAACACTCCATACCATAAAAAGTCTAGAAACAATGCCTGAAACAGCCTCCCAAGCTCCGAAGGCTCGGATGGACTCATCCAAACGTCTGATTCTGCCGCCACGCTCAATACACAAACACAAAGTGCTCAAAGTGCTCAACCCCAGCGCGAAGCCTGCAGAAACATGCATGAAGAGCTCCCACGAAGAGGCCACTCGTCAAAAAAAGTTGAACAATGGGAACGACCAGACTTCAAGTCCAAATGATGAATATGACGACACCCCGCAGTCTAAACGCTTTGAGGTCGCATTTTCCATGACACCTCAGCCCTTTCTCGATCCGCCCACCTGGGAAGCCATGCTCAAGATTAGTCAACAGAGACATGCAGCGCATTCAGCACAAGAAAACACATCAGAATCATCTGTGAGCCAGCAAGTGGAATCCGCCGAGCGGTTGAGACAACGTGTTGATCGTGAGACTGAGTATGGATCCATGGCTATTCGGGGTCGATCGAGTATACGTGGGCGTGGAAAGAGTGGGAGAGGGAATGAGAGTGTTTATTGGGGAGGAAGAAATTGACGTTGATAATGACATATAGATGTTACTCTCGTGGGGTTTAGTTCATCTGATGATTAGCACTCACCACGACCTCGGGAACAAACGACTATGCACGTGTCGATAGACAATCATGCAATGATCAGTACGGAAGACTGAAATATAAGACACAACCTGACTTCCTCTGCCAAGGGCACTCTGGATATTTCATGCTGAAGCTCTCTACTTGAAAAGGACCTCGGGATTGCGAGCAAGGATCACAAACAGCCCTGGAGAGGCGCTAGGATGATCGCTGTAGTGAGGTCTGTCCCATCTATGCTTTAAGGTTTCCATAAATCTACACTCGTATTTGATAAAATAGTCATCTCGCATAATAGTGACCACCTCGGTCCAGGGGTGTTTTCTGTTGCAATTCGAGCTCCAGGGCTTTCGTTGAGTGTATCCCTCGCGAGGGAATTTTTTGAGCTTTGCCGTGACGCTGGATATCCCTATTTTCCATAGCACTGGAAGTTAAAGATCGCGTGTTAGATACAGTTAAGATTTTCGCATTTGGCTTTTGAATCCATGTTCAAGAATAGAGGAATGCAATGTCAACTTCCCAGCAAGTTCCGAGACTTGCGTTGGTAGGTCGTATAGAGATTGTCGGGTTTCTTAAAAATGAGAAAGCAGAATCTTACCAGGCATCAATCTGCTCGGAGTCAAGTATGGCCTAGTAGCTCGTTCTTGAGCCCAGCCTTCCCCTTGTTGGAGTACCAACACGAGATGAAAGTAGGCGCATTACCATTCTTACTTTGTAGTGGAGCAAATTCTTACGGAGACTGTCTATGTCACACAACGTGAAAGCAAGGGAGAGTTGGTATACGAACCCTGATTCGGGCCTGGACTGGATGATAGGCTGAAAAGAAGTCAATGCGTGTGCTGGAAGAGATCACAAAAAGCCGGTACTAGTACATTAAACAACAGGCAAAGCAGTTCAAAAAAACAGAGTAAAAAACTGGCGTCAACATCATGGAGATCGTGGGTCATGGTTTATGTCATAATCATCATAGGGTTCATATCAATCAAAAGATCATGTCGGGGCGTCAGATAAGTTTCAGGTCAATGACCCCCAGTTGCATCGTAAAATCATCGGGCAAATGCTTGAAGTGTGTGAAACAGGACCAATCGAAATAGAAAGTCGTAAGAGTAGAAATAGAACAGCCAACCCGCTTATTATCTCGCGGCCATTGCGACCGTAGCGCTGGAACCTACATATATGGGAGCTCCAATGCTCTGTTTCAAAGCCTCGCGGCGAACAGCACGCTTCCGCTCATCGCGTCGCTGGCGCATACGTCGCACGCGATTGCGCATTTTATGCCAGGATACTGGCTGAAGTCGAAGGCCCCAGCGAGATAGAGCTTGGAAACGAGCTGGATGCAGTGGGGAGCCTGTTCGGAAATTGCCTTGGTCGACCAAGCTGGCGTTGCTGGTCATTCCATTGAGGAAACGCCTCAAGTCTGGGCTACGGCGCGCCAAAGATGGGGGCCCATCGAGGACGATGCGTCGTTGAGGTAAGCCGAGGGTGTTGTTGACTACCAAGGGCTCATTGGGGCCAAAAGGAGGCTGGTGCGTTGGAGAGAGCTGTTTCTCGGGTGAAGTAGACACGTCTTCCCAGAAGGGTCGAGGACGCCAGAATGGATAGAGTCGACTATCGATTTGCTTCCCTGTTGTGCGATTCTTGGCCGACTTCATTGAGAGGGACCGTGTTAGGGTGTTGAAAGAATCCGAGCGAGGGCGAGCGCTCCAAGAGCGGCGCACTGAGCTCCATCGCCGAGCGAGGCCCTTGTTTTCATCATTGACATCGGGAGGCCCTCCGTCATGCAAAGGGAGTGGTGGAAGAGGTTTTCTAACGGGAGGCTCGGGTGGGGGGCGAGGGTTCTTCAAAGGGGAGTCGACGAAGCTGGTTCCTCTTTGCGCGGAATTATCCGGCGTACGAGGATTCACATTGTCATGCGAAATGCCAAGAGCCTGGAGAGGGCGTCTCAAGGCCTGAGCTCGCGGATCGACAAGTAACAGTGAATGGTTATTGTGAGCGAACAAGCTTACAGCCGTAGCTTCTTGGATCTCAATCGGTCCTGGGGAAGACGATGGGATTGAGCTACTCGTGAAGGGCATCGCAGGGGGTTGTAACAAATCCATATCCTCCGAGTCGGCGAAAAGACCCGGGATATGAGGCACCTGGGGTGGGCTGGGGAGCTCGAGCGAAGATAGCACATTCTGGCGAGGTGGGGATATCGGCTGATATTCACGATGTCTGTGGATTTCACTGTCCATCGCTAAGTTGTGATTTCGCAGACTGTCGGTGGTCAAAGAAGTTGTACGGGAATTGTTGCGACTTGTTGGTGCAGAAAGTGAAGAGCTGCGAGGTGGGATGACAGGCCGGTCCATAGGTCGACTGCGCAAACTATTGGACGTCAGGGAAGTTGCGCGAGAGTTGTTTCGGCTCGTCGGCGCAGAAAGAGAGGAACTTCGGGGAGGTATGAATGGTCGCTGCATTGAACGACTTCTGTCATCAGTCTCACGAGACTGTATCGAGACAGATTCAGAGACGGGACGTGGTCCTTGTCTCGTAATTTCGGTGCGCCCGGTCGAGGTTGTTGGCGGACGACGGCTCGAACGCTGAGAGCCCGGTTTGGAAGAGACATAACTGTTGGCTCCTGACTTGAGGGACGAGCTCCTCTCGGGTATGACCACAACATTGATGGTTTCTATTTTGGGTTGTATGGCACTGCTGCTGGTCTTGGCTGAGAACGGTACCTCCGACGACGCAATGCGATGGGTCCGAGGGAATGTGCCAGTGGCTTTGCGAATCAAACTATGTTGAGATTCCGGAACAGAGGAAGAAGATGTGCGTTCTGACTTGGTGATGGGAGAGCTGGCAGATCGCAGAGAGCTTCTCTTTCCAGAATGCCGAAGACTTCGCTGTGCACGTTTGGGGGTGTCGATAATCATGGCCTCAACAGTCGACGTGGAAGAGATGACTGACAGGGGGCGGGCATCAGGTTCATTGATCTTGGCTGGACCTTGTGATGACGGCCACCCAATATTCTCCCGAAATTGCTCGATCGAGGAACTCTGTCTGATTTCGTGTGCACCATTGACCCTGTCCCGCAACGTTTTTTCCCGCATCAAAGAAGCATCCAAGCGCTTCATATCTAGAGCATCTCTGTCTGCAGCTGGTAGCCGATCTGCTTTGGTGTGGTTCCGGACGAACTTTCGCTTTCCAGGCAACGTTGCTGGCGACCCATCGATTTGGTTTGCGGCCCAATCCCCATCAAATGACTCAAATCCTGTCTCGTAATCAGTTTCGCTGGGTTGTTTTGATGCGGAAGACGGGGACGGTCCCGTGTCTGCAAATTGTTGATTCGATGCAGGTGGCTTTGACCGCGGGTTCCTTTGTCTGGGTGTTTCCGTTGCGGCTTGGGACATGCGGCCCGGGGTCTCCACGTCTTCCTCCGAGCAGATACTCTCGTACGCCGTTTGGAACGATTCGGCCCGGGACGATGAAGACGGGTGGACCGACCGGTTCAAGGTAGGTCGCATGGTCGAATTATTTGATCTAGGGGGCGTCACATCGGGGGTCGGAGGCTTGGAGGTACGACGAGGGGTCAACATTCCAGTAGCTGAGAGATCTGTGACAGAAGAGGCCATCTTCTGGGGCGTTCGTTCGTCAACGGCTTCTTGGCCTGCACCGGGGGGTGTCAAAGGAGGCGCCGGTTTCGCAGCAAGTTTCCCATTCTGATCCGGAGATACCGGTTGGATGATTTCGATGCTAGGAATGATTACATCTCGCCGAGGAAGTGTCTTGTGAGACCTCAGGAGCGGCCGCTCGAGTCCATGCGAATCCTCCGATGACTCCATCGCTTCCACGCCCGGCATCTCGGAAACGGCGGGCAAAGATCCACGGTCGCGTTAGAGACTCAACGATAGTTCAGATAGCTCTCGGTGTCATAACACGGGTTAGATTATCTCATTCAAAAGTCGCAAGGGTCGCATCGCGCGTGGGCACTCTGCGACCAGAGTGCGACCGATGTACAGAGTTGATGGATCCCAAAGACGCAAAGTCTGTACAATGCAGGGGGAGTGGCGATCGTCCGAAGTGCATTCAAGTCCGCGACAAGCAACGATTCGCTGTCGTCTGTTCGGACAAAGGCTCGACCTGTCTCTCTGTGCGATGTGAGTCGTAATGGTGGGGAGGTGGACAATATTGGCGAGTGGCTGGGAACTTCGGTCACTTTCTCGCCTGCGTTTCAACTTCAACAACAAATATCTAGTGCGGGACAAAAAATGAATGAAACAATGACAATTGGAAAAAGATGAAATATGTTGTACATGAACTTCAGTTATGAGGATCATCTCGAGAACTGTTGTGCCTTGCTGCCTGACTGCCTTGTCACTACTCTCCACTAGTGCCCGATTTAGTTAGTTGATAAATGAGAACTACTATAGTATCAACGTTCGAACATAGATATCCAATTCGAACTGTCCTATGCCTTCTACGATGTCTTTATCGATTTTGTCTCGGCGAGATCTCAATATCCAATGCCATGTGGAGTCATCTCGATTTCCTTGTGTTTCAAATCTTACCAGACATGATTAGAGTCCGGCATTCATACTCGAGCTCCTTGCTTGGTGTATCAAGCCCTTGATGCATGTTTCAAATAACCACGCCAGCACCGGGCAAGACTGCAACTTTCCAACTGCGCGTCATCTTAAACTACTTCAGATGTACTCGAGGCTCTTCAGGGCGAGAGCAGAAATTACATTCGGACTCCATGCACTTTCACTCTATGGTAGACCCATTCAAATGTGCCTCTAGGATTTTTAGTACCAGGGGATGTAGATTCATGGATGCACATTGCCAGCCTCTAGTCACATTCTTGTCTTATCTATGCCTACCCCTTTGTAGAAATAGCCAGGTTCTCAAAGAACATGTCGAATCTTCAGGCACTTGGTCGCCAAATGACCGAGGGATTTAATTTCAATTGGAGGCAAGGCGGTGTTCTGCTTCTAGATACGGAGTACAGTCCATCAGATAGCGCAGGTCTGAAAAAGCCTATAACTTTCCTGGTTTACATACACCTATATACCACTACAGTTAGGACTGAGGTCTCGAAATTTGGTTCAATGCGCCGGTTCCCAGGTGACACAAGATGCTATCCATGGATGATACTTGAAGAGTAAACAGGACATTGGAAACAGACTACATGACGTCAATTTCTCGTTTCATGGAAACAGTCATATAAAACATTTCAAATTGAGATAATAGGTACATTGATTCAACGCTTGCGACGTAGCTTGAAGTGACTGATCTCACTAGAACTTAGTCTATACATTCAGATGGTATTGCTTATTGGTTTCAGATTGTGTTTATACAAACCCTGGAACGAGGTCGACTAAAGTGGTACCTTATTTGGCCACTTTCTGGGTTATTTCCTGGGGCAGTCTCACCCCGCTTCAAATACCCTGGTGTTCCAAGGTTTGGGGGTACACTAGCAGGGCTCAAGTCCAAAGTGCCCGTCAAATTGTGTCTATCGGCTTGTGAGCCTATTTTGTTAGGGCCATTAATTGAAACGGGGTTTATCAAGCACTCCATTACTCCGTATCGTGAGGTCAACTGCTAAAACTCAGAAGTGGACATGTGTGTCCGTGTAAACGCTCATCATTTAACACATTGGTCAACCTTCGACCTGATCTACAAATTGGAGGCTACATGTGGAGTCTGCAGCTAAATTAAAACTGTCAGAGTGTGCTGGGGATATCAAACTGCATATACGAAGTGATATTCTCTTGATTCTAGCGCTGGATGTTTTTGCCGTGCAGACCTCTTTGAAATTGGACAGGTCGGCCCCATCCATGATACAGAAAGAGTGGTTTCGAGGCGCGCGAACAAAACCAAAAGCTTAGATTACGCCATAAAGTGCGGTGTACTTCGTATATTGTCTGAGATCAGATATGAGAATCTGGCCATTTGAAGCTGGAAAGTTGGCTAATTCCAGGCATGTGGCAACGGGCGATGACGATATGTAATCTCCACCAGACCAAGGTTGAGGCCGTGAAAATCAGGGCTCGGGAACCAGCATTTACTAGCATTTACCAGCATTTTTTTGTGAGAGGGGGGAGAGCTTAGGTTAGATACTAAGAGACAGGGGGTAGTCCTATTTGGTATTGGGGGGGAAAGTCCCTGGGAACTCTGGGAACTCTGGGGTCTTGAGGCATCAGAACTCATTCACATCCTGTCAAAAGAGAAGAAGCAAGGGACTCGAATGAACGTATGTGAAAGCAATACGGAGTCCCCCGCAGAAGAATGCCAATAGTGCAGGTAATATACCGTGAGATATAGATTGGGCTCACGGTGGAGTGGTGGCGTAGCATGACGTCCAGGAAGAAAACGAGCCGAACAGGATGTTGATGGTGAGTCTTGGCAGAAATGACATCGCACCGAAGATCACACATCGTCATAGCTCTTCCCCCGCCACCATTTTCCTCCCCTTTTCTCGCTTTCTCTTGACTTTCTCCACGGGCTCATTTTGCGTCTTTGGAGGATTAATTTCGCGTTTGAGTCCTTGATCCGACTTCTGAAACACTATTGAAATTCCCTTAGATTGCGACACTGATCTTTCTCTCTCACTCTCACTCCCTGTCTTTTTTTTACCTTGGCCATCTTTTTCACGACTCACGGTTTCCATTATGAGTACGATACAGAATATCAAGAATTTTATCCGGCATGGCAAGCAGGCCCGCCTAGTCACCCCTCACTCCGAACCCACCACCGATGTCTCCACGATTCACGCCGAGCCCCAACGTCTCCCACCTGGTCAATACACACCCGCCCTGGAAGCCTTTGGCCCAGAGGGCCGGGAAAATGCGATTCAGAAGCCTGACTCCCAAGTGAGGCACGATCGTTCCGTCGAGATCGAACGTCTGGTCCAAGAAGAGAATGTAACTCGATCGAAGATGCCCAAGTATCCCGGTCTGGAACGCTGGATCTTGGTGGAGAAGATGGGCGATGGCGCTTTCAGTAACGTCTATCGCGCTAAAGATTCGACCACTGTATATGGCGAGGTTGCGATCAAGGTTGTGCGCAAATTTGAAATGAACAGCAATCAGGTAGGCTTTACCCAAGTGGCCTTGCTTCGCCTCCCCTACATTCTTCTCTCTCTTTTTCTTCTTCTTCTTCTTCTTCTTCTTTCTTTTGTGGTTCAACCTGGAGAAAACGAAACACTGTCTTTGGAGGAGAACTCAGCCAATACGTTCTGTAGAGCGATCCTCACTATCCAACGGTCAAAAAAGTTCCCAAGGCAGCGGAGGTGCGCAGCGAATGTTCCAACATCCTTGTTCCTCTCCATGGCAGTGTTGACTCTTGTTCCACTGCCACTCGATTTTTTTCCATGTGACCGTTCAATCTGCGGTATCAAGTCTTGCATTCTTCTCTTACTAACTCGAGGATTTAATAGCGAGCGAACATCCTTAAAGAGGTTCAGATCATGCGCAATCTCGACCATCCTAATGTCGTCAAGTTGATCGACTTCTCGGAATCTAAGCAATACTACTACATTGTTCTTGAACTTTGCCCAGGTGGCGAATTGTTCCATCAAATCGTGAGATTGACATACTTCAGCGAAGATCTTAGCCGACATGTCATTCGCCAAGTGGCCGACGCGATTGAGTATCTCCACGAAACATCCGGAGTTGTTCACCGGTTTGTCATTCCTCCCACATTATGATATAACGTTTATCTAACCTTATGAAGTGATATCAAACCCGAAAACCTCCTGTTCTACCCTATTCCCCATGCTCCTAGCAAGAACCCCAAGCCTCAACAACCAGGCGACGAAGATAAGGAAGATGAGGGCGAGTTCATTCCCGGGCATGGCTCGGGTGGAATCGGCAAAATCAAGCTTGCGGACTTTGGTCTGTCTAAGGTCATTTGGGATAGCTCCACGATGACACCCTGCGGTACTGTCGGATATACCGCCCCAGAAATCGTCAAGGATGAGCGGTACTCAAAGAGTGTGGACATGTGGGCCATGGGCTGCGTACTCTACACTCTTCTTTGTGGATTCCCTCCATTCTACGATGAGAGCATCCAAGTCTTGACGGAGAAGGTTGCACGCGGACAATACACATTCTTGTCACCATGGTGGGACGACATCTCCAAGTCAGCTCAGGATCTGATCTCCCACCTCCTCACCGTGGATCCCGAGCAGCGGTACACCATCAAGGAATTCCTTGATCACCCCTGGATTCGCGGAACCGATGAAGAGACCACAGCGGCAGCAGACGCTCCTCCTTTGGCGACCCCATTCGTGGAAAGCCAAAAAGACCGACAACAATACGACACGGTCAGTGCTGAACATGGTCCTTACCAGCCCGCCAGCGCTCGCTTCCTTGACCAGCCCTCCGTAACAGCAGACCGACGCATGGACTTCCGATCTCCAGGCGCTTTCAACCTGCGCGAGGTATTCGACGTCGGTTATGCGGTGCACAGACAAGAGGAAGAGGGCAAACGCCGCACGAACCAGCGCCAGTCCAACCGCAGTGGCACGGCGCAATTCCAATCCGCACTTGGTGCGCTTAACGAAACTTACGACGACGAGCCCGAGTACAGCCACACCCTGGGCGGGCAACCACCGGCTAAGGTAGCCAAGGCTCAGGGATCAGGCGAGATGGCCGGCATGGAAGCCAAACTACGATCCACAAACCTGAGCAACCAGAGCAGCGCTGCCCAGGCACGCCAAGCACCCCACCAGAAGCCCAAGCAGGGATACGGCATGCACGATGCAAATGTCGCCAGCGCGGCAAAGAGCAGTATTCGCAAGCCGAATCAACCGTTTGAACTCAGCTTGAATGGATCAACATTGCTTGAGAAGCGTGGCCGCCGTCATCAGCCAGTGGCATAGACGAGGATATGTACACCCACCCACCTCGTCTGGTATTCGATGTCTTCATACTTTTCTTTTTGTCCTTTCTTTGTCTTGATGAGCGATATTTCTCTACGGATCTATTTTCTTCTCATACTGGATCCATTCATTACTATTCTCCTTTTTCTTAAACTTTTTTTTCATCTCTTTCAGGATTTCAGCTGTTTGCGCGTTACTGGATAGGTCCCGGCGAGGAATCTGCATGCTTACATGGTCATGATTGGAAAACGGGGAAGTTGTTTTTTTCTTTTCTCTTTCTCTTGAGTTATCGTGGAACTTGCTTGGGCTGGAATGGAGTTCTCTTTCGTCCGTCTTCTTCGACTTCTTTTTTTTCATAAGGATCACTTGTCACTGGTTTCCTCGAGTAGGTCGTAATTTCTTCGGTCGAATCTTCTCTTTTTTTGGCTGAAACTACACCAGTGAATCTGTTCCTGGGCTTATCCTTCACTTGTCTCAAGTGGACCGTCTGTGACATACGGAGTTGCCATCCGTAATTATCGACTGGGGACCTCGGGAGTCTTAGAATGATTCTCGGCGTTGGATTGGTGCATCGCTGTATCGCGGCACCACCTGGAAGCATATCCATACATAAATACTTATCATGAACTTAATGATATAAGACAAAATTCCAGTGTTATTCATTGGATTTTAAGTCATCAGCATGAAACATGAATTGTGGTATCTCTAATCCGGTTTATGTTCAAAAAGACCGACCTCCCCGGGAGACTTCTTTGGCGCCATTTTATATGCTCACATGTCTTCCATGCCCAAATAACAAAAAACAAGTGGGATGTATGACAATGTTGATTGGGAACCCCCATGAGCCATTTTTCTCATCACTCATAACGTTTGCTTGCCCCGAGTTTCAATTGGCAGGAAACACATGGCAACGAAAGATGCCAGAATCAAAGCACCTGATGCATAGATAGGAGAGTTTGGATTGGCACTTCCGGCATAGATGGCGACTAAAGGTGCACATAGACCGGAAATGCGGTTCAAGCAGCTTGAAATACCAGTACCGGTTCCGCGGTTCGGGGCAGGGAAGGTCTCTGGTGTGTAGGCATACAGGACACCGTACATGATGTTCTGGAAGAAAGCCTCGAGACAAGTGCACAGCAGCTGGATATTGGAGCTAGTAGATGCAGTGAAGCAGAACAGTAGCACACCTGTGATCAATGTGGCGATGGCCATTGTACCCTTGCGGCCGACGTATTTGATCTCAACAGTGTAGCAGGCCAGAATGGATCCAGGGACACCGACAATGGATGTGATGGCGTAGTTGCGGTATGTGGTGTAGCTGGAGTTTGCCTCGCCGCCAGACTGGGAGAGATACTGGGGTAGGAAAGCGTTGAAGAGGGGATATCCCATTCCAATGGTGGTCCAGCAGAACCAAAGGAGAGCCGTGTTGATACCCATGCGCTTGTTGGCAAACAAGGGACCAATGCGCTCCATTGAAAACTTGGAGAAGAAGCGACCGATAATTTGGGAAATGGTGAGCTCTGTCTTCTCTTCCTGTCTCTCGGGGTGGCCACCGATCTCATTGAGAATCTCGGTGGTCAACCATGTCTTGGCACCGTTCTTGTAGGCGATTCCGTGAACAGATGCGACGGCCTCGTCTTGACGACCGCGGGAAAGCAGGAACTTGGGTGATTCGTACAGGTGGAAGAAGAAGAAACGCATGATGAACATCACAGAGGTGATAGCACCCAGGGTAAGGACCAGGTAGCGCCATCCCATGTTCTTCTCCTTGGTGCAGCCCTCGTAGCCAGTGCAGCTGTAGTTCGGGATGTAGGCCCAGGCAAGAAGACTGCCAATCAGTTGACCAATGGGCCACCACACACTCAGCATGGTCAACATGTTGCCGGATATGAAGGGCAGGAACTCCAGGAAGAGAGCACCATCGACGGGCAAGTTCCCTCCCACGCCAAGACCCAAGCAAGAAAACAGAGCACATGTGCTAGATTGATAGTTAGCAAATAGATGATACAGCTTAAACATGCACGGGAAAGGCTTACCCGATCCATGAGGGACCACCGCCAGAAGCCAGTCCAAAAGCACCGGCCAGGAAAAGGGTAGTGTTGAAAGCGAGGCGACGGCCGACAATATCAGAGGCAACACCCCAGAAAGAGGCACCGAGACAAAGTCCCAGGAACAAAGCACAAGTCGTGAAACGCACCCCAGTCTCAGAAATTCCGAACTCGTATGAGATCGGTGTCAGAGTCAGAGCAACTCCCTGCGAATGGTTAGTTGTATCCCGAAAAACATGCTCAAAGCAATTCTCACCTGGAGCCAGAGGCTAAAATCATGTGTTAGCTATTGAAGAATTGCCACCAAAAAAAGAGTGGTCACTTACTTGTCCGCGGTCCAGCCAAATCCACAGAGGAAGAACAATTGCCATTGATACCGGCCCATGCCGATATCCTGCAAGGCTCTGTTAATCACCTTCGCCTTGCCTGTATATCAAGATTAGAATCAATTTTCTGCAATTGCTTTTCAGAGGCCATCACGCAGAAATATGATGAACATGCATTTGGCATGCATCTCAGCGTTGAAGGGCAGAGCTGTATACATACGGTCATAAGCAGAATCATGAGAAGCTGTAGCGAGATCAGATTCGATTTCGGCACGAAGACCTTCCAGGGTCAAGTGGTTAGTGCTAGTGTGTGAGCCTGCGACACCATTCTCGGAAGAAGGAGCGCGGTCCAAGCTCTTGCTAGAGTCTTTATCATCTTTTTCCGTGGGTTGCGAGGGGTGTGCTGGTGCATCGGCGAGCGGGATAACAACGCCAGGGAAATTCTGGCGGTCCCTTTTGAACGGGTTGAATTGGGCGAGTCCCATGTTGGCGGGTTCTAAGGCGCTTTGGAAATTCGGGCTAATATATCTTGGGGGTGCCTGCTGGGCTTGTCGCTTTTCGGTCTGCAATATGGCAAATGGCCGGATTGGGCAGGTCTACAAATGGGTGGGGCTGCAACTGGGGTATATCGTAGACGCGCTGTCTTCAAAGTCGAAATTGTCGCTAGGGTTGGTATATGCTGTTCGCTGGTGGCTCCGGGTATATGTGGTGAATATCGAGGCAGGCAAGAGTGCTTGCTACTGGAGGGACGAGGTTTCTCTTCTTGGCTGAGAGGGATTGAGAAAGGGTATGATCGACATGCGCCAATCCACCAGGATATGAGATATACTCGAGATGTAGTCCAGGGTGTGAAGAAGTAAAGTCACGGCAAAAGCTCGAAATAATTTCGAGTGGAAATTTTTGAGGTGGAAAGGGAGAAGCAAAGGTGGGATGATCGAGTTGCTATATACTGACGTTTGGGGATCCAAGGATGCGCCTTGTCCTCTTTTCCTGTTTCTTTCTGATTTTATTTTTTTCCCTTTCTTTTTCTGAAAAAAATAAAATTACCCAGGGTAATGGTATTGGGATGAAGCCATATACTCCGGAGTTCATTGGCCCAGAGAAGCGGGACCGAGGCATATGATATCTGATTTATTACTGGATTGCGCTTAGTCCCAAAGTTCCCTGCTCTCCTGACAATTTGCGGATTAGCCTGAAAGTATCAAGCCGGCAAGCCTCGTGGCTGAGCCGCTCTTAACCTACACAATAGCTTAAGTCACGAAATTCATGTTGAATAGACTTCAGCCTCAGGGGCTATATCACATACTTGATTCCCTCAAATATCACAAATACTACCGTAATTGTAAGTAGCAGTTGTAGTTGGAATCGGAAAGGGCCGAGACGGCAAATCTCTCCACACTCGCTCTTCATTGGCCCCCACGACCCACTATTGAAAAAAAAAAATCTCGCCTGCACGACTCCTAGAAGCAAACTGATCATTACTGCCCATCTGCTGGAAGATCTCAATGTGTTTCAGATTCGTAGATTTCTCTATCCACGTGTTCCTCAAGTATTGCGGTGTGAGAGATCTTCCTTTCTCACGCAGAAAAGGCACGTTTGCGCTCGGGTCTCCGCGGCGCATCTATGCCGCATTCGGTCCGATCGTTGAGAACATCGCATGTGACTTTGAACCAATCAGAGTCCATAAAAACATGGTAATTTTGAAATCCATGGATGAGTAAATTACCACACTGTGGCGCTACTTGTCGCCCTTTACCTTTTCTCACCCGAATCGGCATGCTTCTCGGCTGTGTTCCGTGCGAGAATTGCTCGGTTATTCTAGGCCCGCAATATGGCTTGATGCGAGTGTCGGGGATATCAATACTCGGTACGGAAAGGGGCGATAGTTCGCCTCGCCGACCTTTGCGTTACCGGGAAAGTCTCTGTTCGGCAAAGAATAGATTCTACCTTTTGCGACATACGTACACCTATCTTTCGAAAATATACACCCGAAATCTGCAAGTTTCAATGCTAAGGGCCATTTAACAGGGGTCCGAAGATGCATGAGCTCCCGAGGTCGGCAGGCCCGTGAGGCGTGCATGTATCACACTCTATTATATGTACCATCTCAACCCATGTTCTATGTTGCCACTAATAATCGCCATGATCGTGAATCCATCGATCTTCCATGACTTCATGCTTCTTAGAAAAGTCAAGGGCTTGCTATTGATCTCTACTTCACATAAGCTGACGTCTTGCTACTGATGAGCAAGTGGAGCCATTGACCCACCGACACTTCACCCCGGTTTTTTATCTACATATGGGTCAACGGAGCAAGGGATAGAGCTGCATACTGTAGGTAGCTATGTAGTACGAATACAATACGTCAAATCTCTCAACGTGGCAGGTGGACTGTTCTATCAAACTTTCTGTCTTGGCACTGAGGTCAGATTAACCTTCGAACTCACCGAAAACAGACACTTATGCAATCACTGCGATGGCCCCGAGGTCCCTGGAATTGATGAATCATATCCAAGCTGGGAGCCTCCATGTACCTAATGATGTGATCCCAGCAGCAGCAGTCTCCATAAAATGACACACACCAGATTCTTATCGAAAGAGCAAATATATACTCAAAGTGGCAAGGATTTCCCGAATACTGCGACGGGACTGCGGTGAAATGACTCAACAAACAACCTAGATCGATATTATGCATGAGAATAGATAGGGCAATCGCCTATCTTTCTCGGGGCTTCCGGGTACCTTCGCGTTTGTCCACGAGTTAATACTCGGAGTAGTACTTGTAATACCGGCGAGTTAAACCACATGGGAAGGCCACGGTCACAAACTCGTGTCCCAGATCTGGGGAAGTGTAGTATGACGCATGAATATGCAACAGTTTGAAGGGGGCGGTCTGTCTTGTATATACAGCTGAGAACTACTTTCGAGAATTGTGTTCTTCTAAAATTCGTCCAACTTGATATATGATTGGCTCTTCTCCCATATGCATACTAGTATTACACACACCTCGTGTGCAGATCACCATGAATGAACCATGCCGAGTCTCACTGCTTGAGCCGCTTTGTATGACGCACGCAGATGGTGCCATTTTTACATGGAACCTGATGCTGAGGTCCCCGGCGAGACAAAATATCATTGGCGTTTCCAAGTTCCTGGGTACATATGATACATATAGAGTTGGGCACAGGGCCATTATGAATGATCACCGACAAAGCAACTGATATCAGCCGGGTCAGCAATCTCAAAGCCAAGCTCCTGGAGACCAAATACTCATATTAGCTCGATATCTCCAATTTTACTGTGGTGATGAGGACCATTCTAGTTGCGATTTAGAACTCGATTCTAGTTATGAATGGTCAAGTATAGTAAAGAAGCCGTCGCACTTAGGGTGTGCTCGTGTGTTCCTCGCTGGAATACGTCCCAATAATGCCAAGCTTTCAACTTTGGTGCTTGTTTGCTGGCGTTCGAGGGAAATGAACATTCACTCAACCACCGCACATCGATGACCGTATCTCATGGTTTTCTCTAGTATTGAACAGCCAACCTGATTTAAGTAATCAAAGGGACTAGGGCTTACAGGCTCAAAAATAAAAAAAAATGGTTACGTTTGTCATGACATTACATCTTCACACAACGTCCTAACACCAGCCTGCCCCACCTGGAGAATTGGGGAAAAGCAAAAAAGAATGGACTCGCGGGGAATCGAACCCCGGACCACTCCCATGCTAAGGGAGTATTATACCACTAAACCACAAGCCCAATTTGATGAAAGCGACGTCAACGTTATGTCATATGATCCTAAATCAATCTCCAACTGAACACAAACCGGCATGGTTGTTTTCGTAACTTCCAATTCTCCAACGTTACACATTGTCCCAACCTCTTATACTCAAAATGACTTGCAGCTTAGCAAGCTAAAATCTACGGGCGATCATGGTCTACAAGGATTAAGGTTGGGTATGTTTCTGTGACCGCATAGGTGGGAACCTTGAAAGTGTCGCAGTCAAAATATATAGCGCGACTACTCTGTACCTCCAATGTTAATAAACAATCCCTCGCTTTTGGAATGTGCAACCACCGTACACAGAGAAAACAAAGCTCACTTATTGATATGCAGTGCGTCTGCAGACCAACTTTCACTCAATGAGGAATAGCCAGGGTAGCCCAAGTCAACCCCGATGTCTGCCCTTTACCCTATACGCTTGGCGGTACTCGGCAATTGACGCCGGGAACCCTCCACGGGAAGTACATCTGAGCAGGCATCTGACTGGGCCACGTCGCATGAACCCAGGACAACAAGCATATCTGCAAAGAAAGGGTCGCAGGGTTGAAACCTGGAAGTTGCCCATATCTCCAAATTGGAGAGCAGGAGCTTCCAAGGTTGCTGTACATGGTAGCTTCATTTAGCAATACACATACAAAACCCCTCGTCAATTTTCTCATTGAACCGCGCAATTATACAATAACCCCCAAAAGAGGCAGATATACCAGCAGAGATCTCGCTTGCACTTGAACTGCCCAAGTGGTGGCTAGTACCATTCCCAGAAAGCCTTATACCAAGGTTATATCCATGGATGAGTAAATCGAAGGCTCCCAAATGGCTGCACTGAGAGACTTGATTACTGAAAAAGTAGTTCAGAATCTACCAAAGACATGCTAACAGCATGCCCAACTCTACAAGGAGTCAAAGCCCAGATTCGGGTATACAAAGGCTGGACCTACCCGATGGTGTGAGCTCCACTTAGGTCCGCCCCTACCAATGACCGCTAGCCCCGAAGTTTTCACACGCTCAAAAGGGACTAGGAAGACCCAGGAACTATGAGAACGCCAATGGGAGTCATTCCGCGCAAAATTCTCAGGACCACTTTTTACATATGACTCCGCTTCGATTGCTAATCGGTGACCCCTCTTCATATTTCTTTCACAAATCCCCGGATTCTGTCCTTCCATCCACCTGTGTCACCTGTGGAGAATACCCTAAGTGGCTTATTCCCCATAGAATGTCCACAAATGTTGGGTCTGCTGGTGATATCAACCACGAGCCCGCCCTCAACACCGCCCAGGGCACCACGACAACTTACAATGAAAAATCCGCCCTCCAAGTAGACGGCGAGAAGTTTGACACAGAGGCTCCAAATCTGATTCACAATACTCAAGTTGACTCAGGTCAAGATGCCCAAGAGCAGGAGTCGACGCTAGAGGGTGGGGCGTATCGAACGGCCTCTACAGTGGCTCCGTCACAGAGGTCGGCTCGAAGAGACCCCGTCAGTCGAGTAACGACAGATCCTGAAGGAAACACCTACCCCGAGGGCGGACTTGAAGCCTGGCTCGTTGTGCTGGGGAGTTTCCTTGGCCTGGTTGGATCGCTGGGCCTGGTCAACAGTATTGCCACGTTCCAGGCGTACATCCAGACTCATCAATTGAAAGAGTACAGCTCAGGAAGTATCGGCTGGATCTTTGGAATGTTTGCCTTCCTCACTTTCTTCTGCGGAGTGCAAGTCGGCCCCATTTTTGACGCACGAGGTCCCCGTCTTCTGGTATTTATTGGTTCCGTATTCGAAATGGCAATGATTATCTTGATCGGGTTTTGCACCCAATACTGGCATTTCATGCTGGTCATCGGTGTATTGGGAGGAACAGGAGCGTCTCTGATCTTCACTCCTGCAATCTCTGCGATCGGTCACTATTTCTACGAGAAGCGTGGTGTTGCAACTGGCATTGCTGCGACTGGTGGTTCCGTAGGAGGCGTGGCCTTCCCTTTGATCATGGAGAGCCTTTTCCCAAAGATTGGCTGGGGATGGGCCACCCGGGTTGTTGCATTGATTTGCCTGATCGTGCTGGGAGTTGCAAACCTCTTAATCAGATCTCGACTCCCCCAGAAGCCGTTCTCCAAGGAGAACGTGCTACCTGATTTCCGAATCTTCCGAGACTCAAGATTTGCCCTGACCACCGCCAGTGTCTTTTTCATCGAGTGGGGTCTTTTCGTACCTATCAGTTACATCTCCGTGTATGCCCTCGACCATGGTTTCTCAACCCAAATGTCATACCAAATCATTGCCATCTTGAATGCCGGTTCATTCTTCGGCCGATGGCTTCCAGGATTCTTTGCTGATTTCTTGGGTCGCTTCAACACTTTAATCGCGACAGTTGCTCTCTGCCTGCTTTGCAATGCTTGCCTTTGGCTACCTGCCGGAAGCAGCCTGGCGCTGCTCATTGTTTACTCTGCACTATTTGGCTTTGCAAGCGGTAGCAACATCAGTCTGACCCCCGTGTGTGTTGGTCAGCTCTGCAAAACTGAACACTATGGCCGGTACTATGCAACTGCTTACACCATAGTGAGCTTCGGGTAAGTAACTTTTTCCCCTTCTAGATCTCTCGTAACGTTGCGGAACTAACACCGCTACAGTACCCTCACTGGAATTCCCATCGCAGGTGAAATCTTGTCGCGTTGCAATGGATCCTACTGGGGTCTCATCACTTTCACAATCTGTTGCTATGCGGCCGGTCTCGTATGCTGCACCGCTGTGAAGGTCATCCACGTCGGCTGGCGCAACCCCCTCGCCATCTATTAATTTCTAATTCCAGACGGGATCCAGATCTCAGACTAGACCTAAAACATCAGTCTGGAATTTGGTTATGATTCAGAACGAAAGCTTCCACAAAAGTTCAGATTTCGGGCATTGTTCTTTCTGTTTCTTCATCTGCTTTCAGGGCCTCAACAATATGGCCAACTTGCATATTTAGTTAATATTGAGAGTTCAGACATGACCGAGCTATTTGCTGTACATACATGTGATGATTGTCCCTCTCTCGCCGCGACGCTCAGAATATAATACAAAACTGCATCCATATCTCAGCATCCATGATATCATCCGTAGGGCCCAGACGGCGGATGACGTTTCCGATGCAAAGACTCGTTCCGGCCATCAGTAGAGCTTCTTGTCAATTCCAGTCCCTCCATATTTGCATCACACGAATCGGAAGATCATAGTAGGACACGTCGAAGTCCGGAATGGCGAATATCCTACAGCCAAGTTGATATATCAACAATGTCGATCTTCCGATATAGGGCTGAAAAGCCCACAGTGCATAATATTTCCGACAGGAACATCCTTAACCTGTCGACGGTCATAATGGCGTCTAGTGCCTGGAGCCATGGAATCTACGCTGGAAATGTTTCCCATAGGACAGAACGTTGCTGCACACCACGGAACCGGCAGAGCTTCGAGTCTAAAGTGCCTGACGCTACCCTAAACAAGACTACGCTCTGATGGCATCGAGTATTCATAAATTCATCATCATGGAGGTTCACGGATCTCGCTAAATCTACATGCCATTGGAATTCTCTTCCCCTCTCTCTACACGGGACTTTGCTGTTTTTCGTCCTGATACCTTCAATATCCCAATTGCTGCAATTGCTCCTTGCTACAACTTTCATCTTTGCAATCTTCATTTAGCTGCCCTAATACCCAAATCTAACCTCTGCATCCACTCATTTGTGAACGGAGCGTCCGGATACACCGGGAAACTTGCTTTGTCACTCGACCGCATCATCCCGGGCTACACGTGCCTCTTTTTGTGCATACGCAGAACTTGATCAAAGTATGTTTCTCAAAAAGAGTCTGGTCCTCTTGGCCTGCTCTTGGGCGCTCTTGCAGAATGTCGCTGCCGTCCCAGATGCCTCAGCAGAGGCAGATCTCGAGGAACGTGATTTCAACCTAGAAGAGCGACACAATCACCCAGACTTGGAGAGCTCTCTGCTTTCTGTCCTGACGGAGGAGTTGATTTCCTCCGAGCCCGCCAAACCTGTTTCCAACACAGGTGCTACGACAACCACCACCACCGAGTGTGAGAGTGAAACCCCACCGGGTGATCACACTGGTGGCGGCGGCGGCGGCGGCGGCGAAACTGGCTCAGGTACCGTTCCTGTCGTACCTTCCACAGGGGGTGGAGGAGGAGGTGGCGGAGGTCATGGCTCTTCCACAGGCGGTCATGCTAGTCCCCCTTCGAATGGTGGTATTCAACCCAGTCAGCCACCCAGAACATCTCCACCTGGAGGAGGCACTGGCCCTTCTGCCACCCCTACACCCTCTGGTGGAGGCGGGGGTGGTGGAAGTAACCAGCCAAGTCACAGTCAGCCTCCTGCCACTGGCGGCGAGCCCCCTCAAACCACCCCACACGGCGGAGGAGGTGAGAACCCAAGTGGTAGTCAGCCCTCTCCATCTGGGGGTGGAGGAGGTGGTGGTGAGCCCTCTCCATCTGGAGGCGGTGGAAGTGGTGGTAGTCAACCTCCCGCTACTGGAGGCGGCGGAAGCAGCGAGCATCCTCAAACAACACCAGCTCCTAGCGGAGGAGGAGGAAATGGAGGCGGTGGTCCAGGCGGCGGCGGGCCCGGAGGAGGTGGTGGCGGCGGTGGTGAATGTCCTCCACCTGCTCAAGATACTGTTGTTGTTCCCGTCACAGTCACCTGTCCTTCTGTTCTTGTGAGCACAGTCACCGTCACTGCCCCATCGTCCAACACCGGCTGTCCCTGTCCCGCTGAAGGCGGAGGAAACGGAGGCGGCGGTCCAGGCGGCGGTGGCCCCGAAGGAGGTGGTGGTGGCCCCGGAGGTGGTGGAGGTGGAGGAGCTGGCGGAGGCGGCGGTGCAAGCAGCGGCGGACCTCCAAGCGGCAGTATATCGCCCTCAATCAGCAGGACAAAGATCAAGACGACTAGCACTCAAACCAGTACCGCAACTCGGACATCAACACCCTTCATCCCAAGCGGCAGCAAGGAGAACACAAAGCCAAACACAGGCTCACCCTCTGCACCTGCTACGCTTGTGACTCTGCCCACATCTCCGTCTTCGCAGGACCAGGTCTCGCATTCGGCGGCTCATATCACTGCACGGGCTCATATCAACCCTGATATCGTTCGACGACATATGTTTGCCAACACGACTGCGGTGTTCCCCAATTCGACTACTGCTTTGAACACTACAACTGGGGCCTTTAATCTGAGTCGTGTTGCGACTGAGACTGCGACTGAGCCTGCGCCTGTCTTCCTGCCTCGCTTCAACCGTGGAAGGCACCGGGCTTAAATTGCCTCAAGGAAAAGTGAATTTGATTTGATCTTTGTGTTTCCGAATAGACGGGGAGTTTGGTTTTTCTTGGTTTTGGATAATAATCTGTTTAATGTATTTGGTAGTAATACGATGAGTTGTTTCTTTGGAGCTTCCTTCCCGATTGAGCGACTGGCGGATCTATTCACATCAGCAGCCAAAGTAGTAGAACACTTTTATCTTTGCCAAAGCCCTGGTAGTAGTTTGATAATTCTCTTATGTTTTTCAAGCACTGGAAATTTCCATGTCTACGAGCGATGTCCTTCCATTATTGGAGCTGGCTACAGAGAAAAGGTTGTTGGAGACCCTTGTAGCATTGAAGAATATGGTAGATAACAAGAGATCTCGGATCAGACAGTGAGGCAGAACTTTCCGAACAAACAAACCGAAGACTTGGCTTCGTTGGGTATCACTCAAAACAGAACAGGGTATCGCTCAAAACAGAAAAAGGAAGTTCGCCTGTGTCGCAGAAGAAGATATTGTACAAAAATCACTCATCACATCATAAATCGGAACCAAATGTCCCGTAATCCCAGTATTGATATCCCGTTGTACCATTTTCAGATCTTTTGTGTTCCGTCGCAGCTCGAAAGCAATGCCACACAGTCAAGGATGATCTGGTGCCAGGTGGGGGTGGAGAGTGGAGACCGAAAGGACGGGTGAAGTCACGAGTTATGGAGAAGCCCTAAAAAGTCAGTAAGTGGAACAAGAAGACCAAAGACCGAAAATGACATACCGCAATCCTCGACGGAACGATCTCCAAGACAAAAGGTTGTATTGTCTCATTTGAGCCTCCTTTTTTGGTGGGCTTTCAACAGCTGTAGGCTGATTAATTGCTGCAAAGGCTGTGACGACCTGAGAAGGTGGTGACGAAACAATGTTGAGCCAGTTCGACAGACGAAATGTTTTCGATAATGATATGCTTTTGAGTAGCAAAGTGGTGACCGAGCAAGATGATCAGGATGTCATGAAAGACAGGAAGCATGACCAGGAAATTGAAGACGTGGCATGAGTCAAGATGTGTCCACTTGGATTGTTGGCCCAGGTGCTGTGTGGAAGATGCACAATGTTGAAAACAGTGGCAGAGTGTGGAATAGCAAGTGTTGAGCTGATTAGTGCAAACTGTTAAGATCATGCACAGAGAAGATGCGAGGCTGTGGTGGTAAATTATCCCATGATGCCAGTCGCTGGAGGGATTTGTCTCATGATCCCGAGCAAGGTGTGAGCCGAGATGGGCTGGTAGGCAGGTGCGCACAGAGCTCATTGTTTAGAAGTTGCGCCAGTCACAAGATGCAGGAAGAAGGTTGGCAAGATGTGTGCTAGTACTGGCGACAAGGATGATTGATGATTGTGCAGGATTTGAAGAGGAAAATTCAATCAGGCCTGCCCCGAAAGGCCGATCGAATTACCGAGAATGCTTTCAAGCGGAAACACGATTGCTGTGTATGCAGAGAAGTGGTACTCCACAAACGAGTGGTCAATGATTGATGAAGGTGGGGTTTTTTTTCTCTGCCCAGGTCATTGAATGAGCGAGGTTTTTCCATGTGGGAATCGATGATGTCGAGAAAAGACGAAGAAAACTCGAAGGATCATTGCCCAGGTGATAATGATGAGGGACCATGTTCGAAAGAAGATTGAAGCGGCCTCGAGAAAAGATGAGAAAACTCGAAGGATGAATGACATCGGACTGGGAGGAAGGTTGCAGTCGATTTGCTTTGAACAGAGAGTGGTGGATAAATTTTCATGCAGGCAGATTCCAGTCAGGCCTCCCCCGGAAGGCCCGATTGGAATGCCAAGTATGCTTTCAGGTGGATGCATGAGATTGAAAACGGAGAGATGTGGTGCTCCGAAATGATGGTAGTGATTAAAGAAGCGGTATCACCCAGGTGGTGGAATAAGCTCGAAAGCTCGAAAGTAGATGTCAAAGGGCTTCGAGAAAAGTTGAAGAACTCGAATTATCACTGAATGATATTCCTGGATAAACGAGGATGTCTGGGCAGTCGACTCGCTTTGGAGAATGAATGAATGAGATCAGAAGTAGGTCAAACAATAAAAGTGGAAAGGCAACAGGAGACAAGGTTGCGAGAAGGTTGTTTCAGGGTGATAGGCCGTGGAGAAGAAAAGAGAACTCTTCCCAGGACCCCCGAAGTAACAGTTGAAAGACAGCGCATTGTATCTTGTGGATCAGCAGGACCCTCAACGAGAACCTGGAATGAGACGACCGGCCGCTAGACACCTGCGTAGTCGCGCGCCGTTCTCGATGCTTGGGTTTTTGATTTTCAACTTTTTTTGATTCTGTCTTTTTCACTGGGATCTCTCAATGTCTATATTGGAAGAAGCCAGAGTCAGCGATGTTGTCCCAGTAAGAATAAATGTACGGAACTTGCCTTTTTTTTGCGGTCTTTTTTGATTTTCAACTTTTTTTTTTTTTTTTTTTTTTTTTTTTTTGCAACCTCTCAATGCCTAGATCGGAAGAAGCCACAGTCAGCGGTGTTATTTCAACAAATGATAAAGGGGGACCACACTTACACAACGGTCAGTACAACTCAACCTCCAGACTCCACCACCACGAAACACGTTTACAACGCTCAAAACGGTGTTACAGAGAGACAGACAGAATGCTGGAGAATTGCCAGACTGGCCCGACCAACCTAAAAAGAGGGAGGGGGCCAAATTTGGGAATCCTGCACAGACATCCTGCCGCCGTCATGCATCCTGAGAAGAGCCATCGAAATCCTGCACAGTAGGACCGCATTTCGTGAGTAGATTCGTACCCGCTTGCACAGATACGGGAATCGGAGGAAGAGGACCACTCTAAGACCCACCAAACCATCCAGACGACCAAGAGAAAACCGGAGCCAAAGCCGATGAAGGCGTCGAGCTACCCGGGACCGAAAACGAAGCAGACGAGGGGACGAGGCTTAGTTTCCCAAGATTCGTTCCCGTTCTTTTTCTGCGCGTCTTCCTGCGCGGTGACGAGCAGCTTGCGACGGACGGTTCTTCTTCTTGGGTTTTGTCGTTGGAGGCTCAAGAGACTCAGCGTCAGCAAAATCCCCGGTAGGTCGAAGCACCGGTTCCGCGCGAACGTCCTCCGTGTGAGCATCGGTTGTGGCAGCGTTGCGAGGGTGCAAACTTGATACCTCCTTTGGCTCATCCACGAGAGATTTCATGATAGCCTGCTGGAAACAGGCATCGTCGAAGTCATCGTGAACTGCCGCCGCAGACACAAGTTCGCGACATTTCTGGCGCTCCTTCAGCCATTGCTCCATGTTGTCGGCGTGTTCCCGCATATTCGCGATCAGGGCAACTACCTCCGCATCGCCCTCAGAGAACGAAGACGGAGAGGGTGCCCCATCGGCCACGACATTCACGCGTTGGACGCGTGCAATTCGTGGAATGCGTTTGAAACGCGCCAACAACCGTGAAACAAGGGTTTCCAGAGACTGCCAAATTTGCCATTTGCGAGCAAGCAAAGTCAGAAGACTTGGGATCCATGCCCACCAATTAACCTCAGACAACTCACGGACCAACAGTTCAAAGAGAGCTCCCACCAACCAAGTAAAGGTGAAGGTGTTCTCGACAGGATTTATACATATGAAATCCGCGAGACCATCATCTTCTGACCCGTACAAAGCGACGGCGGTCGTTATCGGATTGCGTAACTGAAGCGAGGTTTCCCAAACTTTGGGTAAGAGAGGTACTTCCTCGTCAGTGCTGTCCATCCGATTTTGTCCGGGGTTCTCGATGATATCCACAACGGCCCGATAGCCAGGTGGAGAGTACGGTTCCTCACTGAGGGTATCGTACCGGGGCGCCACGGCGCCAACCATATCAAAGAGGACCCAAGCCTCAAGACCAGATCGGAGGGCGGAGCCCAGACGACGCACGAAAGGCTCATGTGGATCAGCAGGACCCTGGGGAGGGAACCACTGGCTCCACAGAGCCATGCAAAGAGAGAATCCCACGATGGGAGAAAGCAGCATTTTCTAGAAAGAGATGATTGTTTCAGCACTGCATTGCTTCTACAGGCTCTCATGTGCACCAGTTGTCTCAGATGTCACACCAGAAGTGAGAGCATAACATATGAGAATTGACAGGATGAGAGGTGACAGGATGAGAGGTGACAGGATGAGAGGTGACAGGATGAGAGGTGACAGGATGAGAGGTGACAGGATGAGAGGTGACAGGATGAGAGGTGACAGGATGAGAGGTGACAGGATGAGAGGTGACAGGATGAGAGATGAGATAATGGCAGAGTGAGAGAATGAGAGGATGATATGACTTACTTTTCTAAGAAAAAAAAAAAAAAACAAAGTGGTGGTGGCGCCGGGGGGGCAGCAAGATCAGAGGCAGCGAACGGGGTCGCTGCAAAAAGTGATGTTAAGGTGAGGAGAGAGAGAGAGAAGAAGAAGAAGAAGAAGAGATCTGGGGAAGAAGGAGGTATTTATAGGCAGAGGGGGAGACGGGGGAGAGCCACTTTGGGAAATGACAACGGGGGGAGCTCGTCGAGCTCGTCGAGCTCCGGAAGGAAGGAGCGTCTCAAGTGAGAAGGAGCCACCACGGCCTGGCTCACTACGGCGAGAAACCAATACGGAAGCTACCAGGAGACACAGTTTATATCGTCACTCGGCTCTACGTGAGGCATTCACCATCTATAGGGACATTGGTAGACTACTTGGATCTGAATACTTCCTGCTTAAGCCAGGATATCAAATGGCCAAAGAGCAGGTGGGACCCCGGGCTTGCCCTCAGATAATCTCTGTGTGATACGGGAACCAACCCTCTCTTACACCGACGAGAGCACGAGAACCACGTTGAGCGAGAGTGCATATTGATGCCATGGTCGAAGTGATGACACAATTGAGCTCTCACCGTATGAGTTTCGGTTGACCGCGAAACGGAGGACCTGTGGCACCTCCGTTACTAGAGCCCGGCATAGCCCATCAGTCCCAAAACCAAGAACTAAGATGTCCTTTGGAGGAATATGTGGACTTTATTACAGGGAGCATCTATCGATACAGAGACCGCGCTATCAGAACTTACAGAGGCCGCTAAGAGAATGGACTTGGAGACGATCCAGCAAGCCCACGAGCGGGTTGTATCTAAAGTGTTGCGTAGTCAGTACACGGAGCTACGCATGACGCTGAGGATTCGGCCTGTCTTGGTTCTCGGCGACTACTAGATGAGTATCTTCATCTTAGATTTGAGCCTTGGAAGCTGAGCCTCATTATGCGCTCGAGAATGCTGGAAGGAAGATGCACGGCTTGTACAGAATGTTCACCGATTCACTATATGACAAACTAGCTACTCAACAAAAGAATACCAAGGGTATAAAAAGCCACAAGAAACAACACACGTGTTCCAAACTACATAACAATGCATTTGCCCCTTCGCTTGCGACCTCGCGCCTTGACAGTGTGATCATTCCAATCTTGAATCCGTCTCCGCCATTCTTCGTTTTCTGGTGGCGGGAGGCTGGTCGGCTCAGTGGAGGCCCGTCGGTGGAAGGAACGCTGCCTCTGGGGTATGTCGTGATCATCGTCTGTTGTGCCATGTATATCACCATATGGCTGGGGGATGTGTAGGAGGTTCGGAGAGGATACCGAGTACGGGAAGTAGGCATCTCCCAGTGCGTCACCGAGCGCAGTGGCACCCAGATAAGGTAGAGGCATCGTGTTCTCACGGGCTGTTTGCTCGGCTGGATGTACCGCCAAGGTAGGCGTGGTTTGTACCGCTGATTGGTGCTGCGCCATCGATGTCGCTGCAATTGGACGCACGGAAGAACTATGGTCTCCTGACGAGGCGTGGTTGACGAGGGAGTCGCGAGGCACCGGATTGGTTGCAAATTGCGGCTGCCCAGAGAAGTCGATACCTCTACCGATAGAGCTTCCGCGGCGCCTGGCGCTGGTGAGAGTCCCCAGTCTCTGTATGATGGCTGATTGTGGGCGTGTAATCGCTGAAATTGAACGTGCGACACGAGTGCTTTGTGTCCGCTCGGGCTGGTGGGACGCATTGGCAAAAGGTTGAAAGTCGGCCGAGGCTCTCGGAAGAAGGGTTCTTCTCAGATCGTCTGGTAATGCTACTTCTGTCTCGCGTTGGTAAGGAGGAGGAGGTGGCACCCAGTTGTCGGCGTCCCTATCGTGCGGTAGTTGTCGACGTTCAGGGGTGTTGCGATAGCGAGGGTCATATCGCCCACGGGTTGAGGCCGCTGCAGTGGCGGCTCGATGAAGTACGTCACTGGAACGCGGTTGGGTATTATCATAAGGCAAGTCCAGTAAGCCTCCTTGAGATACCTCGGTGGGGGACGTTGGACTTGCAAGACTGTTCCGGCGGAATCGAAGTGGCAGGGGTCGGGATTCTCGACTGATTGCTGACGATCGATTGCCAAAGTTGCCAATTGTCATGGCAGTATCGCCACGGTGTAACCGAGTGCGTCTTCGTTCAAGCTCAACTTCCGTGTCCAAAGAAGAGTCTGGTTCCTTGAGCGTCTTGGGCTCCACTTCTCCAACTTCGATATTAAGCTCCAGTGTCTCGCCATTGTTCGTGGAGCGCTCAAAATCAAGCAGAAGAATGCGGCCCCCATCAATTGGTATGTCTTCTTCGCCTAATGCCTGTGGGTGAACTCCACCGGGTGCGACGGCCACCAGCCGACGACGGATCCTGTCTTTATCTGGGGTTGACTCTGCCGCCCGCACCCAACAAGCGGCAGTGATTCCATGCATGTCAGTCACTCGACGTCCACGGATCAGGATTTTGGGTTGCTGAACAATCTTTTGAAGCTGAGCTAGATTATCGCGAGGCGGGCAATCCCCGCAGTGATGACTGCCACCAATACGAGTACCGGTAATGTGGATCTGGGCACCCGAGACTGGGCTTGCCTTGGGGGTTATATCCAACCGTTCTGGGACCCCATATATCCACAATTCCGAGTCTTGGAATCCCAAAGCGACAAGCTCCCCTGACTCATCCATAGCAGGTCTCATGCTTGGCCGCATCTCTCGTGACTCGTCGTTGCAGAACGGACTGGCAAAATAAACGATTCCGCCATCAGCATCGCTCAGTTTGAGCAGTCTAAACGATGCCAATTGATCGTCGTATCCCATCACCCAAGAGTCATCCGACTCTTCATGGCCAGAAAGAAGGCATGCGTGGGAGAAGCCGGGTGTGATCTCGGGAAACAGAATCTGTGTTGTCCACATTCGCATGTGAAGTTCTTCAGGCGATGCATCAGTCCCAGTTTCAGTATAAAAAGGCGCGGTGATTGTAACAATTCCGTTACTCGAAGTCTCAGTCGAAGATCCGACAAGCATTGATCCGTCAGGCGAGAATGAAAGTGCATCCGCACGCAGACAGCGCACTGCTCGACGATCAGTCGGCAATGCTTCTTCGCCCACAGCAAACACCTCTATACTGTCGTCAAAGGACAAGGCCAGCACACTGCCTGTTGGTGAGAATGCGATATCTCTTGGAGCATCGTTCAGTGTGATGACTTGAACATGCTTCGCTTCATCGTCAGAAAGCTCGTAAATGTGTACCCGATGGGTTGAAGACAACACAGCAAGAAGAGAACAGTCATCACGAATCGTTGCTCCCAATGGCCTCCTGCGGGTCTTGAGTTCATGCTTGACGACCACGGGGTCAGAAGCCACATCTAATATGATAATTCGTGAAGAACTTATACATAAAACCATCTGTCCATTTGCCGAAAATGAGAATCGAAACACTTCACCCTGGGGGAAAGCTGTAGAAGAACTCATAGAACTCGAAATCAACTTCAAGAGGGTTTGGCGGGGTCGCAAGAACGCATCGAATGCATTCTGCCTGACTTGCTTGATAAATTGACGCTTGAGACCAAGAAGATTTTCCGTCTCCACAGGTGTCTTCACGGCACCATGAGTCCAGGAGAATGATGGACATCGCGATAAATGGTGGGCATATAGCGCTGCCGACTCGGATACATGCTTCCACTTCTGATTCAACAAAGAAAGTGATGCAAATGTGTTGGCATCAGCAGCATAGAGGATGCTATACAATCAGTCAGTATACCAATTATTCAAAATTTGCAGGTATGCGTCCTCTGGAATGTGCAGGTCGATCCCTTATTGAGCGGGAACTTACTCCTCGATCACCTTGACTGGTAGCTGACCCAGGGACGCGTTCGAGCCGAGCGGTGTACCCGCGTGGTGGGACTCGGGGGAACCCTCGGGCAAGGAGACATCCTCCATAATCACCTATACATATATACAAACAGACACGCAATGGGCATTATTGAGAAGTCTCGAGGTTGACCTGTGGCTGTGCAGTGTCTCGCCCCATGAGGCAATGCGGGACAATGTTACAGCAACCCTCTCTGATGCCGATCGGCCGCATGATGCCAAGTGGATAAAAATAGCCAAACTGACACCTCATATGTCAGGCATGAATAGTGTCTTATATCAGCGTCACATGACCGTCCCCCCATATATCCCAATACGGGTTAGCTTCGATAAGAGAACGAGATTGCTCCGGATTTTGACGATTGCCGGGGCAAGTGATCACTTCGTATGTCAAAAATGATGTGCGTGTAGCCTTGACTCATTCCTACGGTGTCCTCAAGCCATTGGTAGTAAAACTCTCGCATCTCGCCTCCTGCATGGTTGTCGCACTCGGCCGTCCACCCGTACCCCTCACTCTGTCCAACGGCTAATCGGCCGACTCCGAAGACCACCCCGGACGGGATCAATTGTCTCCAAATCGCCATTCTTCGCTTCCCCGTTTTACTCGCCGGCATAACGTCCTCTTACATGGGCGTGCATCATGTCGCCCGTACCAGTCCAAGTCAATTCCTCCTCCAAGCTACCATCCCCCGGGTTCAATGCCGGTGCGCGACCATATCGATCTCACAAGGTCCGCGCCTGCGATCTTTGTCGCAAGCGCAAGTCGCGATGCACCGTTGATATCCCAGGTCAATCCTGTCTCTTGTGTCGCGTGCAGGGTGCCGACTGCCACTACCAAGAAGAGGCTAATGCAGACACTTCGGTGATGAGTGCGCCGGAGCAAAAGTCCTGGTCGGGTCCTCCGCCGCTGTCGGGGGTGACAGCGGTGGAAGCCGTGCCGGGGCAGAAGCGCAAGCGCAGCCCCGACGACTTTGCCCACTCGGGTCAGAATGTCCCGCCCCGTCAGCCGATCAACGGTCCTAGCCCTCATGGAACAAATTCGTCGAGTGGTCGCCGAGGAAGCGATGCGCGGCGCAAAGATGCAGACGACCCGCAAAACGAATCGGTTCTCATTGTTGGCCCAATGGTCGCAGAAGATGCTCAAGTCATTGAGAAACACATGCCTCCAGAACAGAGGAGTCTGTCAGAAGAGCCCAAGAGCCACCCATATAACATCTACTCCAGCGATCCGCGGAAGCCAGTGCTATACACCACAATCTCACGACGACGGAAGGGTATGCGCAGAGGCACGCCTCCCGGTGAAAACCAGAAGGAAGTTCTCGAACAAATACTCGGGCCATTTAGGCATGACCTTGTGAAATTGTATGCCCGCTATCAACCCTACACTGCTTCCAAGTCAATGGCTAACTAAGATCTCTTTTCTATTCTAGATTCCTCGATCGATTCAATGTTTCTTTTCCCATCTTCGACGGAGAATCATTTTGGGAATCTTATATTGCCGAAGACCTGCAAGACCCCCCAGCCGCGCTCGTATGCCAGGTCTATTCCATGTCTCTCGTCTACTGGAAACACACACAAAAGCTCGCTTGTCATCCAAAGCCCGATGTTCGATATGCGGTCAACATGACCGTCGCTGCTTTGCACGAGGAGTTCTCCGCCCCGGGATTAGACACAATCAGCGCGGCGCTGATTGATCTAACGGGCCGACCCATCTTTTCCATGACTGGAAATGCCGTCAGCTGTGGGCGCATGCTATCATTGGCGAACTGCCTTGGTCTGAACCGTGATCCCAACAGTTGGAAGCTCTCACAGGCCGAGAAAGACCAAAGAATTCGCTTGTGGTGGGGCGTTGTAATTCACGATCGTTGGTAAGATTCCATTCCTCTCAACTGAAGTTGTGGTCGTACAAATGCTCATATCCACTAGGGGAAGTTTCGGTCATGGGGTACCGCCCCAGATCTCAAAAAATCAATACGATGTTCCCTTACCTACCGTGGACGTCATTGTCCCAGCGCACCTTCGCACCACGGAGCGTGTCAGAGCGGCGCATTGTCATATCTACTTGTGTCGATTGACCGAAACGCTCGGTGAGCTATTGCCGCTGGTTTATGGGTTACAACATAAACCCGCGCGAGAGACCTCAAAGAAGCTCAGGCAGATCCGCACGGATCTAGACATGTGGGAAGACTCACTCCCAGACTGGCTGAGAGGACCTTCAATACATCCCGGGGAACGCGTTTACGGGGCCAGCAGCTTGCAATTGGCCTTCTTGGCTGTCAAGATGCTCGTCAGTCGAGTGGAACTTAACGTAAGCAAACAAATGGTAACAGCGAAGGAGAAACTCTGACATCATTGCAGGAGGTCAACAATTCAGAGACAGAAAACACTGAAGCACGCCGATATTTCCAGACTGAATGTCGGAGGTCGGCCGAGGAGATTGTTAGCTTCATGACTTCTTTGCGTAAAGACCATTTCAAAGAGTTCTGGCTCCCTTGTACGTGGACTCCCGGTGCTCGAGTTACGATTTTATGTTCTGACTATTCTTCTAGACAGCGCCTTCCACCTCACGTCGACAGCCACTCTCCTTATTCGGTGTGCGTTTGAGACTAGCGACAGTGAAGTCGCACGATCATGTCTTGCTAACGTCGAAACCCTGCGCTCGGTCCTCCGCCGCGTGCGAGAAGAAGAGGACTGGGATGTCGCAGACATGTGTCTGGACCATTGTGAACGTATAATGCACCGACTTCCTGGGACCGGCGACACGATGGATCAGGCATTCACCAATAGCATGGCAGACAGCGGGCTTGTCAATCCTGCCGCGATTTCGCTCCCGGAAACTCAGACCAACAATGACATTGTGGACGACATGATGTCAATCTCCAATACCTTTGGTACGATGGATGGTTTCCCCTTCGACATGACTGGTATCTGGGATGTCTCTGTCTTCCAAGACGTGAACCTCACATGAATGATGCATTGGATGGAGTCTGGTGTATATTGGACATGTACTATTATGTTCTTATCTAGCAATAATTCTCACATATACCCTGGGTATCAGCGCGAACCCAACTGACTATCTGCAGAAAAGGAATTTCATGATTCTGAGTATGTTTTTTCTCATATTAAAGCTTCTGACGAAAATTTTGTACATCGAGAAACAAGAAACGGACACCAAACGCTATTTTACAGTCGTTCATAAAGAAATGATCAGAACGAACCCAAACCATCTAATGACCTGCCCCTTGCCCGTAGAATGAGAAGAAAAGAAACAGGAATTAGATGCCGACATAGATGAGTTGAGAAAAGATGGAAGCCCGGCGGCTTCACGGCGTGGAATTGGTTTGCGCCAATTACTGCTCCTTGGAGCCACCACCAATGCCGAACATGCCAGTGAAAGAGCCCTTCATACTCTGCATCTGTTCTTGGCGGGCCTTCTCCTCTTCAGCGGCCATCTCGGCGAGCCACTTCTCGCCATTGATACGGATCTCGCTGTCAACCATCTCGTAGTTCTTCTGGCCACGCTCGCGGATCTGGTCCCAAAGCATCTTGCCTTGGGCCAAGCCCTCAGAGGGTGTCTGGTCACCGTTGAGAGTGGAAGAAGACTTCAGGCCAAGAGCGGAGGCAAAGTTACCAATGCCGCGCGAGGGCTTCTTCTTCTGCTCCTCGGCCAGTTCCTTCTCGAATCGATCACGCATAGCCTTCTCGCGCTTGGCGAATTCAACGGGAATAGAAGTGCCATCGAAGGACTTGATCACGGTACGGACATCCTCGACACCCATGCCAGCGAGGTATTCAAGGAAGGGAATGAGGGCGACCAGCGTCTTATCCTTAGGATCACCGGTCCACTTGTCCAGGATGATGGCGTTCTCGGGTTGGTGGCGAGCGTGCTCCTCCTTGGTGTCAACCAAGATAACCTTAGACAGGTCACGGTTCAGGTAATCCAAATCCTTTTTGATAGTCAGCATTGGTGGAAAGTTAAGCTGCCTCACAATCGACTTACCTTGATATACTCTCCGTCTTTATAACGAGTGGCCTCGCGGAACAAGGGCCAGCGGATGATACGGTAAGGGTCAAGTTTGCGGAGGACTTGGTCAGCCATCATGCTGGGCACACTGGTGAAGAGAACAAGCTCGTAGTACTGGTTGAGGTAACGAAGGAAGTAGTCGACACCAGGTCGCTTAGCAACGCGCCATCCGTGCTCACGGCTCCATTCGCTGTGAACAAGGAGATCCTCGAGACTGAGAACCAGTGTATAGGGCTGGCGCATTTCAAGGTCCTCGTCCGGAAGCAGCTTAGGGAAAGCGGGGTCCTTGTAGTAGCTGGTGAGGTCGTTCATGCGGGCCTTTGCACGGCTGTACCAAAGACCAAGACCCCATCCAGATGGGGTCTCGGGGTGAGCTTGGTTCTCTTCCTCAGTGTCCCAGCTGCGGCCCAGGTAACCCACTCCGGCGATACCGGCAAGTAGCATACCGGCATACATGAAGTTGGCCATGCGGGCCTTGCGGCGGTCGAGAGACGTCTCATATCCTCCCTTGGGGATGTCACCACCTCCTTGACCCTCCTCGCTGTATTGTTCTGACTGGGTAGGATCTTCTGTGAGATTCAATGGTCCCTTCTTCATCCGACCCTCTAATTCGGCGGCCAAAGTTGAGGGGATACCTTGCGTCAGGTCAGGTAGAGGTCTCTGGGGAATCTGTTCGGTTTCGGGCTAGAGAGGACACTATTAGCAGGGGGTCTCGATGACATCTGGCTAAAAGTAGTATGCTCACTGTGTTGGAGGGTTCGGCAGCATTGGGTTCAGCTTTTGTGTCGAACTCGGGCTGCTCTGCGGCAAACTCCTTTGGCTCTTTAGGGGCATTGGTCTTCTTCGATTCAGTTGACTTGGCTCGTTGCTGAATACCCGGGGAAAGCTTGTACGCAGCGTACGGGGATGGCCGCGCTGTCAAAGCTGATGCGCGAACGGTAGAGGCGAGGACATTTGACCTCGTCAGAGGTAAAACTGCACGACTCAGCATTATGAAAATTGATGAAAGACAGAATCAAGCACTCATGTCCTGTGAGATGCGATGGACAGACTATGTTCCCGTTAAAAGTCGGCGCGACTCGGTACGGCGACGGAGACAGTCCATTCACGCAGTTCATTTATATAGTCACACTTGGCTGGCCCATTTCCTCTTCTTTTCTTTTTCTTCTTCCAGAAAGTTCACCCAGACATAATTTGACCTTTCAAGCAATTCCTCCGTGCCTGCCGGGTTGAAATTGCTGGGGAGACAAAGGAAGATCTTCTTCAATCCCACTTACCAAGAGCGCAGCAAAGGGTCTTCCAGTGAAGCTGCGCTCCGATCGTGGGACACAAATATTTTCACTAGCATTTCGTTCTTTCTCTCTTTCCGATCCAATTTACAGTTTTTCTACAGAACGCGATGAATGATGTCCGTTTCCACACATAGACCTGCTCGTACCTGCGCATAGAATTTCTGCATATTTCACCATGGGGCTCAAAAAGCAGATGCTCCAATTCGAGGACCAACGCTCCGATATCGAATCCGACTATGAATCCGACACCGAACCTGTGATACGGAACCCATTTCGACTACTTGATCTCCCGTCCGAGATACGCCTGCGCATCTATCATTTTGTCCTGTTTACGCCGGCCCGGAAGAGTGCACTGCAACGCACCGGCAACGTGGGGGCCTCTGCGAAGAAGAGCAAACCTCTAGCACCATCTTCGCACCGAGTTGGTCTGTTTCTCGCCTCCAAGAGAATCCATGATGAAGCGACACATCATTTTTATTCCACTCAAACATTTCGGGTTCTGCCCGTTCAGGATTTTCTGCGCATGCCAACCGTTCGGGCCCTACCTCGTCGCCACCGCGCGTCTATCACCACCATTGAACTGATTGTGGGATCAAGTTGGACTGCACCACCGAAAACATGGGTCATCAACCAGGGCTTGGGGCTACAAGATATGCATCTTGCTCGTACACTGAAAGTGTTTGTGCAATGTGACCCCTCACACCCTGTGTTCGAGGGGTTCCGCATTTCGAAAGATTTCTATACCAACTTCTGTGGTAACCTGCTACATCAGATTCTAGAGCGGCTACCTGGTCTGGTGCAAGTCGAATTCGACGGATGGCCCTCGGTCGACAAGAATGGGCCACTGATGTCTCGTCTGCTCGCGGAAACCCGAGGTGCCCAGAAGAAAGTCCTCTGGGGCCCTGAAAGAGGTTGGTCCGACCATCAAGGAGACCGCCACAAAGACCACGGTCTCAGCGATGCAGATGCAGCTTTTGATGGAATGTTGTCACATCCTCCTGATCTTGTTGAGGCTTTGAGCAAATCGCTTCAGACGGTCAAGCTAGAATCTTGAGCCTGCTGCCATGGAATGTGACACGATTTGAACGCTTACGCATCATTGCTGTTTTGTTTATACACATTGCGCAGCCCGTACGGAGTACATAGAGTTAGAACAGCATTTAGATTCTCATGTCCAACAATCAAGTGTTTTTAGGTTATCAAATCTGATCTGTTACATCTCCCTCAAGCTCTAGATGGCAGATACCGATATTGAAAGAATATTGAGATATCCTCTGCATCCGATTCCATGAAGATAGGAATTCGTACATAGCAAACGGCCTCTCGGGTCTTTGGCGAAAATGACGCCGAGGTCATCTAATTCCGGAGCTCTTTCATTGGTAGTCTACACATTGTATCAAGTAGAAACTCATACACCGTCCCACCGGTTTTCCAGGGAAATCAAGATGTCGTAATTAAAGCGTTGCTGGAGGATTCGTACAGTGTGTAACCCTTTAAAGATCATCGTCCACCTCCATCACGGCACCGTTCGTGTCCTCTTTGCCTGATGATTGCCGTGCTACCGAGGCTTCCTTATCAATCATTTGCCGCGAGACGGCAACGATGTTATCCTCGATCAACTTTTGACTTAAGTCCTCGATGTCTGCAAGACGTCAGTATTTATAAAATGATGGAAACCGGGACACGATGCAACGTACGTTTCTTGGGATCGACCTTGCCAACATATCTTGTCTTAAGCTGGTCCTTGGACAGCTCGGTCTCCTCCTTGATCCGCTTCTCATATCCCTCTGCAAGGAGAACAAGCTGCTTCATCTGCTCCACGTTGTGCTGACCTTCCTCATGGAAGTCACTCATTTCCAATGCCTCGGTCCATACGTGCTTGTGGAGGTTCATCAACATGTTCTCTTCCAGCCCGGTCTTGCGGTAATCAATCGCAATGCTGTAGTAGTGGCGGTTAAGACCGTGAATCAGAGCCTGAATAGAAGGCTTGTTTAGGTGACCCAAGTTGGAAGTGGTTTGACGAGGCTCCTGGCCCATGACCACCGTTTGGGGTTGGATGAGACGGAACGCATCGATAACAACCTTGCCCTTCACTGACTGAATTGGATCGACAACGACAGCAACCGCACGCGGCGTAAGCTGCTCGAAAGATTGCTGGGTGTTGATATCGACGGAAGAGAGCCAGCATCCGAAACCAGGGTGCGAGTGGTACCAGCCGACAACAGTTTCGGGTCTATATAGCATAACCACGATTAGCTCATGGGATTTTCCCATATGAGAAGATAGCTTACCGGCCTGTCTGTCGAAGCATTTCCATCATCCTGGTTTGGAACACAGGGTCCACGGCCTCAACACTGACTCCGGTACCACTTTGAGGCATAGCAAAGACATCCACTACGCGGACTGTGTATTCATCAACAAACTCGCCAAGCATCAGGCCCATGACCTCCATCGGGACACCTGCGCGGCCGTGTCGTAGCATCTTCAGCAGAGCCAAAGAAGAGATGTGAACGGTTTCGGAGTTATCAATCAGGTTCGGGGTATCCTAGAGACATTTGCATCAGTAAATGAAGCTTGATGCGCAGCATTTGTTGGAGAATAGGAAAGTAGGATGTGCCATTCATCCTGGCTCAGCACCAAGCTGGGGTAGGTGACATGGCAAAACCGGGGATGTAATCGACCGACTTACACCACCTGGAGCAGCACCTCCCATGCCCATGCCTTGGGCGGCCTGGAGCATCCGGTTCAGGCGATCCATAATTAAGAGATATCAGATAAGAGTCGATGGAACAACGGGTGTAGGAAGAAGGCGATAGCTTCCAAGTTGGAAGCTCCGGAGTGCTTGATTGTCTGTGGCGACTTGGATAGCCAAGTATTTGAAGATTGGTATGAAGTGAAAATGAAGAAAATTCGACGGATGCAATAATTGTTCAAAGCCAATAAGACAGGAAAGTGTCGAAGACGTGTCTGTGATGAGCAAGCCGTGGGAGCTTTGCCTGACGAAGGCGGTGTGAGGGTTTCGCCCTTCCACGCGGTGATTCTCTCCAAGCCTCTCCTCCACCCCAGTTTGTCAAGCCTCGACTATGACATTGGCTCGCTTTCTTGAATAGTTCTGCTGCCTACTCCTCACTTTGCGCGATTTGGTGACTGGGTGCCCTGCTTCCTGCTGCTCTCTTTGGGAGTATCTTTGCACCGCGCCTTCAACTCTGTAACCGCATAGTTACTTCGATCCTCAATCTTCTCTCTCCCGACTCTCACCCCTCTTGAAAATAAGCTCACCACCTTACTCATAATTGATCAACCGTCTTGCAATATGGCCGCGGAACCGATCTCCAATACCCTTCTTGGCTCCAAGAACAAGAAGGTTGCCTACTTCTACGACTCCGATGTGGGTAACTATGCCTACGTGTCGGGCCACCCTATGAAGCCTCATCGCATACGTATGACGCACAGTCTTGTGATGAACTATGGTCTTTACAAGAAAATGGAGATTTACGTGAGCAAATCCGATCCTCCTGGTCGATTGATTTCTAATGCGCCATTTCTAGCGAGCGAAACCTGCTTCAAAGTATGAGATGACCCAATTCCACACCGATGAATATATCGATTTCCTCTCCAAGGTGACACCGGACAATATGGATCACTTCTCCAAAGAACAAAGTCGATACAACGTTGGAGACGATTGTCCAGTTTTCGACGGGCTTTTTGAGTTCTGCGGAATTAGTGCAGGTGGTAGTATGGAAGGTGCTGCGCGACTGAACCGCAACAAGTGCGATGTTGCTGTCAATTGGGCCGGTGGTCTCCATCACGCCAAGAAGAGTGAAGCAAGTGGCTTCTGTTACGTCAATGGTATGAAACCCTCATCAAAGAACAGGAGCAATTAACTCATATCAATTAGATATTGTGCTCGGAATTCTGGAGCTTCTGCGTTTCAAACAACGAGTCCTCTATGTCGATATTGATGTTCACCACGGTGATGGTGTTGAAGAAGCTTTCTACACGACTGATCGCGTTATGACTGTTTCTTTCCACAAGTACGGCGAGTACTTCCCCGGTACTGGCGAGCTCCGTGATATCGGTGTTGGACAGGGCAAGCACTATGCAGTCAACTTCCCGCTCCGTGATGGTATCAATGACGTCTCCTATAAGAGCATTTTCGAACCTGTCATCAAGAGTGTCATGGAATGGTATCGCCCAGAGGCTGTGGTTCTTCAGTGCGGTGGTGACAGTCTTTCCGGTGATCGTCTGGGTTGCTTCAATTTGAGTATGCGAGGACATGCCAACTGCGTCAACTTCATCAAAAGCTTTGATCTGCCGACCCTGATTCTTGGCGGCGGCGGTTACACGATGCGCAATGTCGCACGAACTTGGGCTTACGAGACCGGTATTCTTGTTGGAGAGGGTCTTGAATCGGAGTTGCCATATAATGACTACTATGAGGTATGACAATAACCATCATCAAGGAACTCGTGATACTAACTGAATGCAGTACTTTGCTCCTGATTACGAACTTGATGTTCGCCCTTCAAACATGGACAATGCCAACACCAAAGAATACCTTGACAAGATCCGCAATCAAGTTGTTGAAAACCTGAAGCGCACAGCATTTGCCCCTTCGGTCCAAATGACGGATGTTCCACGAAACCCGATCTTGGATGGCATGGATGATGAGGCTGACGACGTGATGGATGATCTTGATGACGATGAAAATAAGGATAAACGTTTCACTCAACGACGATTTGATCAATACACAGAGAAAGCCGGTGAACTCAGTGATAGCGAGGACGAAGAAGAAAACGCCGCCAACGGTGTCCGTCGCCAGCCTGGTGCCGTCCGCCGCCGAAACCAAGTCAACTACCGCAACCTCGAGCCGGACTCTGGGCTGGACAGTGGCATGGCAACCCCACAAGATGCCTCATCTGCCGCGGACGGGGAAATGGATTCCACCGTGGACGCTAAAATGGCCGATGCCCCACGCACTGAGCCCGAAGCAGCTTCCACCGCCCCGGAAGCTTCACATGCCGATGATACTCCTGTGACCGATGCTGACCGCATGGCTGTGGGGAATGATCACCAAGCAGCCTCTGTTACACCACAGCGCCAGTCACCACCCCCTCACGATGAAGATGCAACCATGGAGGATGTCGCTGCTGTTACTGAATCCACCGGGTCGGACCAAGCTCCTGTCCAGACTGATATCAAGAAGCCCGTCGGAGAGACTTCTCAGGCCGATGACGCCGTCTCCCCTCTCGGCAAGGCCAAGTCACCTTTGAACGACACTGCCGAGGCCGGCTTGAAGGGTGTTGAGTCGTCCACCGAAGTCTCCGCACCTGCTGCAGACACTGAAGCAACAACCACCAAGGAAGAAAACCCGGCACAGCCCGAAGCCCTCAAGAAAGAGGAGTGATCAGCTGTGCTACAAGAATACAATACTGGATCTGGCGCAACGGACAATGGCAGAAAGGTGTTATTGGTTTGACAGCGTGCTCGCATTATCCCGGACACTTTGTGGGTGTGTTCACACTCGTGCCCGAGTGGCAAGATGAGCTCAATTTGAGAACATTCATCCCACGTATTTATCAAGTGTCTAGGACTTCGGTTGGCGGGCTGCTTTATGGGGACTGCTCAACTTTCAGAAGGAATAATCTTATCTTTGAAGTTTTGCTCTTTTTTCAGGTCTTTTTCCAGGTCTTTTCCCCACTTAGTTTTTTATGACTGCCGTATGAATTATTCAATGAGATATGCAGCCAATCTTTGAATCCCTGTAAAACAATTCATTCGTGATTTAAGAGTCCATCGAGTATGATACCATCGGTCGAAAAGGTTTATAGATCGCTGGCGGATATTAGTGCCTCAGGCTGTAATTGGGGCTATCCCGAATTGGGCTAGCATTAGGGCAACAGGATGGGTCCCATCAACCAATCACGCTCTGGTGCCAAGATTTTACGCACTTTGCCCACTAAGCGAGAAAGCACACCTCCAGCTTGGAACCTCGTCGTCCGGAACTCTCGACCTCTTGTCGCCAACCCTTTTCACCCAACTTTCCCGTGATACTCAGCCATCATGTCTAAGAGAGGGTGAGTTCATCAACAACCCAATCCGTGGCCCATTCGATTCCGAACGACACAAGCGCACAAGACCTGAAAGTCTCGAAAGAAAATCTTTAAACCGACAACCAAATACACCTACACCCCAAACTTGTGTCGAAAGGATAGAATTGGGCCTGGATTGAAACAGCACGAATTGGGGAGAATGGTTTTCGCTAACGGATACACAGTCGTGGCGGTGCCGCCGGCAACAAGCTGAAGATGACACTCGGTCTGCCCTGGTACGTTTGCAAGTTTTTTATCGTCTAGCCTGTTCCGAAATGCGCCTCCATGTCCGCCCGAATCCCGCAGTCGCTTCCAATCGATCTATCGCCAAGAAACAAACCCCCTATCGTCACCAACACCCCAAGATCGGCGGGCATGGAAAGAAACGAGGACCCCCACCTATTTTCACCAGCATACGGAACACGGCGACGTCAGAATATGAAAGAAGAAGAAGACTAACGGATCCGTTCTCGTCGAATAGTGGCGCCGTGCTGAACTGCTGCGATAACTCCGGTGCTCGCAACCTGTACATCATCTCCGTCAAGGGTATCGGTGCCCGCCTGAACCGTCTCCCCGCTGCCGGTGTCGGAGACATGGTCATGGCCACCGTCAAGAAGGGAAAGCCCGAGCTCCGCAAGAAGGTTATGCCCGCTGTCGTTGTCCGCCAGAGCAAGCCCTGGCGCCGCCCCGACGGTATCTACCTGTACTTCGAGGACAACGCAGGTGTTATCGTCAACGCCAAGGGTGAGATGAAGGGTTCCGCCATCACTGGTCCCGTCGGAAAGGAGGCTGCTGAGCTTTGGCCCGTACGTTCTACTCCCCGTGAAGGAAAATGGGTTTCGATCACGATCCCAGTTTCCTCTCGCACTCCTGCGCTCTTACACAAAGCTAACGTTCTTTTCTCTAGCGTATTGCCTCCAACTCCGGTGTCGTCATGTAAAGAGAGATAAAATCTGAATTTAAAGAAAAACGATACCAAACCTCAAATCTGCTTGGGACCTGGAACGCGGTGCATATGAGACCATAGGATTAAAATGGGAGCTGGACAGTGGTGTCCATTTGACGAAATCCACAACTGTTTTATTTTAAAGCCGGTTTTATCCTCCATCGTCGTGTTTCTCCGTCCCTTTACTGGCGACTGGCGACTCGGAAGTATTTTACTTTTGAAAAAAATCACATCCTTTTTCAATGGCTTCATGCTTCTTGCGCATTCTCTGGAGAGGGTCGATGGTCCCGTCTGGTTGTCGTTGGGTTCAAACCTATGAAATTGCTATGACTACCACACCACTGCTCTTGTCATCACGTAGGACTGTAGATATCTAGATGTCGCTGTGTAAATCTTTGGCAATGCCTATGTGATGATCTATGTTGGTTCGCAGCTAGGTACCTGAACATGGATCTCATAACGTCATTGGTCCCGAGGTCGATATATATTGATGGTCCCGAGATCTATGGGACCGACCCCCATGGCCCAGCATTCGTATGCGGGTGTTGCTACTTATTTACCTACCCACTGTGATTTGATTTCTCTCAGCACCTGGGTAATACCCGGACTTACATCTAACCTTGGAAGTATCGGGAATTCCCGAGGTCTTTCATCTCAACATGAAAAATGGCGTTAATGCAATTGACCCCCGAGGTCATCTATAAGGACTATTGATACAGTGAAAAGACATTAATTTACAAGATCACCAACCATCATGTCTTATGTACACTTCGCCCACCAGCCTTCTCTTGTCGAACCTTTGATGGAACCTGAGAGGAAGTCTTTATTGGTTTCGTTCCAACATCGCCAGAGCCAACCAACGTGGTCAAGAACCAAAGTAGACCCACGATTAGCGTCACGAGTACAACAACGTGAATAGCCCACCATATATGCTGCACCCCAGCAGGACACATGGTAATCTCATAGTCCCACTCGCCGCGCGAAACATCAAACCAGGCCGAAAGAAGACCAGAGTTACCGCCAAACTCTCCCATCATCGAGCGAAGAGTGACCTCCCGGATAGAAGGTTCTTCAATATGGTGATCGCCATTGAAACGCTCAGCAGCCCAGTGCCACTGCTGTGCGGGACTTTCAGCATCGAGCTCCTGCTCTTCTTTCGAATCGTCTTCGACGGGTTCCTTGGCCGTGCGGTTGATGTAATGGGTCACATCACAGCCAGCATGATCGTGTCCAGTCAGAATGAGTCCGTTCCGACCTCTGCCTTCGGCAGCTGCATTCTCATCACCGCTCATTCCAAAGATGCCTTGTAGGACACCGCCGGAACTAATAAAGTCACTGAGATGGTTCTGCTCTTTGAGGCCGCCGTCGAGCCAGCGCGGCACACCATCTGGCCCGTCGTCATCGTCCGAGTCACGGAAAGAGAAATACGGACCGTCGGTGCAGATACCTTCTTCCTTGTGAAGAGGAAGATGCGTGAGAAGAAGAGTGAACTCCGACCGGTCCTCGACCGGCGAGAGTCGATTCGCAATCAACTCATTGAGATATGAATAGGTGTTGCTCTGAACATCGGAAGAGAGCGCCGGGGTATCAAACATCAGAGTATTGAGGTTGATCAGATGCAGAGTTGGCGTTACAACCTCATCCTCACCAGACACGGAACTGCCATTGCGCAGAACAGGCGGATGTTCAAACCGGATGTCCCAATTCGCGCGACCAAACTCACGCTCGAAGCGTTCCATGCGTGTCTCGCTGATATCACCCGCATAACCAATATCATGATTTCCCGCAATGTTAATCAACCGCCTTGCCCAAGATGAGTTCGTGCGTTCGAGATAATCTACCGGGGCCGCCTGGTCATCTGTGCTCTGGCTCCAGCCCACGGCGCCGGTCCTGGTGATGTTCTCGTCGATGCGCTGACCGCCTCGAAATACCCGGTTCCAGTACCGATGACCCCGTCGCGCAAATTCCTCGTCTGAGATCCATTGGCTTCCAACAAGATCACCCAGGACAGTGGTATGCGTGGGTCTTGTCCACCAGAAGAGGGTGCGGTAGATGTGTGCGAGGTAGTAGTCGTTGCCGAAGAGGTCTAGGCGTTTGAAGCCTGACTTGAACGCACGAGGAATGTCTTCGGAGATCAGGGTTCGGAGGCCGGTTGTGATGTTCGAGCGGACGTGGTCGTTTAGGAGGGATAGGAATGGTGGGGTTTGGGATGAGATGGAGGCATTGCCGATTGATTCTTGGACGGCGCGCCAATGGGTCTGCATGCGAGGGTATAATTCATATTCGGGGAATGGGAGGGAAGTGTCGCCCTCCAGTTGAGGGTCCGCGAGGACTAAGAGTCTGAAGATTGCGGGTTGGCTGTCTGCTTCCAGGGCTGGAACGCCGAGGTGCTGAAAGAGTGTGTTGATCACGGGGTTCCCATGTAGCGATCTTAGGAACTGGGTTCCGTCAGACTGCAAAGCCTGGGTGTGTGGTTGTGGAAAGGCGCAGCCATTGAAGACGGGGTATAAATAGAGGTAAACAGTGGCGGTGACTGCGAATGGAATAAGAAGCGCAAAGATGCGAGAAAGGAGCCAGCGGAGAAACATGGAGGATAAGAGATGGATGACAGAGGATGAAATATTATTTAAACATATACAGCATGTTGAGTGAGTATGCGACCTGGTGTAGATGCAAAGATGAAGTGGGTAGATTGGGACGAGACGCTGGCGATCTTCAGGGCTACTGATCCCAATGACGAACGACTGATCTTGGAAGCGCCACTCCCTTAAGAAATCGAGCCGCCGCTTGAAGGGAGTAGAGACTAAGCCCCCAGTCAAAGTATTTAGATAACAATTGAAATACTCAAATTCGACGCGATCTCAGGTCCAGATACGCATAATGCCAGGACGTGAAGGCGGTGTCTTCAAGGCGGTCAATATTTACATTGATAGGTGTGGGCCTCGGCAAGCCCTAAAGCAATGTATTTAGCACAACACAATACGTACATAGATGAATTCACTAGATTAACTCGATTGATAGATCTGAAGAAAAACATGTATCTACACAGCGAAATTAGTATCAAGAGATTCTGAACTTTGAACCATCAGTCAACTTCATATCCATAAGCAAGTCATACATCCCCACATGAAACCCCTGCGACCAACGAAGAAAGGGGTCTGAGATCATAAACAAAGGGAAGAAGGCTGAGCGAGGGGTATATCACATTAAACGCCAGCAATAGAGTCAAAAACAAAAGGTATAAAGGTGACCAAAAAGGGAAACAAAAAGGGGAGAAGCCAGAAGTAGCAAGAAGTATGGGACCTTCCAAGAAAGGTTAAGAAAGAAAAGTGAATCCAGAAAAGATAAGAGTATCTATCACTTTGAGTCCATGTTGGCCAAAGGATCAGGGAGCAAGACTGAGTGGAGATCTCCGTTGGAATTCGACGTAGGTCGGTAAGGAGAATTGGAGCCAGTGGAGACATGCGAAACACGCGAGGCGTGAGAGCCGTTATCCAGGCTCTCTTTGGGGCCGTTGATGGAGTTGGCTTCCGCGGAATGAACATTGGAGAGGTTCAAGCCGTCGATTTGAAGAGCGGCTTCCTCTTCCTCTTCATCTATCGTTTGCTCAGTCTTGGTGCTCCCGGAAGCGGGCATCAGCTCAGGTGGTCGCTGGTTCATCAAGCGAGCTTGTTTCAGACTGATGGTCTTTTGCTTGTTGGTCATCTCAACGGCCTGACCCATATCGCGCTCAATGGTCGCTTTCATCAAGGCAGCCATCCACAAGCGGCCTTGCTGAACATTGTCCACTTGGAAGTAGTGGGTGGCGGGTTTGGTGAATTGGACGGTGCGCGAGTTGCCCATCTTTGGGGGAACTAGTTTGAAGAAGAATGGCCCACTGCCATCTTTGTTGGTGAGAGATTGTATGACCGATGGTGTGGTGAGCTTTGTGCCATTGGTACTGTCCACGGTATTATTGGCATTGGCTGGTAGGGCAGTTGAACCGGTGATGGTGGCGTGGAGGGCAATGATGGGATCTTGATCCGCTCGAAGGACACGGTGGGCGGTGATATCGATCAGCCCTCTTTCTTCGGTGTCGTCTTCGGAATAGTAATATGACAGACGACGGCCACGCAGAACGAACAGGCGGGGCTTCCAAGTCGTCATCAAGTTGGAGGATCTCTTTTTCATCCATCCACTATAGTCACAGCCGTCGATCTGCTCTTGGGGTGATTTTTTCTCGAGACCGCGGGTATAAGCACTGGTCTCTTTCTTCGACTTGACCGTGCGAGGGCGGACAACAAATGCCTGACCATCAACGGCCTTGCCAGACCCATCTGTGCTGTGTCGCTCCGAGCTCTTCGATGTGGATGGAGTAGTGGACCCAGTACGAGCAGATGAGGGGTCGAATTCCTTTGGCGAAACAGGCGCCGAGGTATCGAGTTTCTTTCCGACAACGTCGGAGATGGCACGAAGACCCATGGCTCGGCGGAACTTGGGACCAGCATTCTTCAGCGGCTGGAATGGCGTCGGCGAAGGGCGAGAGGAGTTATCCGAGTCACTCTTACCGACTCGAGGGAAGCTGGAGAAGAAGCCACTGCCCTTGCTCTCGGTATTCGAGGACTGGGAGTTGTTTCCTCGATCCGAGACGCGGGTGCTTAGGCTGCGCATCCGGCTCTTCGGCGGGGTGCCATGGTAGGCCTGGGCAGCAGGAGACACATGCTTTGCGGCTTCACGGATTGAATCCACACTGCTGACACGAGAGTGGCGCTTGGCAGGAGAGATGAGACTGTATGGATCCTCCGCATGACTCGACTTGCGAGAATGGTTCATGCTTCCACCGGTGGAGCTGCGCTTTTGCAGAACCCGGCGGGTGCGGCGAGAGTCAACCTCGGTGCCCGAGAAGTAACCCCGATCTAGGTCATCGGCTTGGTCAGGGGTAGTGACGGGCGACTTATTGAAATAGTCAGACCCAACCGGCACTGGTCCCCGGGAAGCGTAACTATTCCCCAGTGACGTTCCTGGGCGAGCTGGCAAGGTGTGCGGGCCAGAGTTCAAAGTCCAGGAGCGGTCGAAGGAAGGCTTCTTCTGATGGGAACCCAGCTCGGGCAATCCCCGTTGAGTGGCATCAATGGACGAGTGACGGCGCCCGTGGTTGAGATCACGGATCGACGCTGCTGAGATTCGCCTCGGCGAATCATGGCTGAAGGGAGGCGTGTGAGGGGCCATGGGGGAGCTGTTGTTGCTTGCCAAACGCGGGTGCTGCGCGGGCGCAGAGGCCCGCGGGTATGTTGCGCCATTCTTCTCCGACAGTGTGGGAATACGGGGAAGTAGCGGGCCAGTGTGGCCTGCGCGAGACAGCGTGCGCTCCTCGGAAGGCCCTGAGAGACTGGAAATCGACCCTCGGGCTGTTTCTTGATTGCTGCCCTTGATGTCTTCCTGAAAGGCTTTGATCTTGTGCCATGTTTTGAGTCGTTTGCCCATGACACCAAAGTCGAATTCTTTCATGAAGATGAAATCTTGGTCCATGTCAAGAAGTACATCACCGGTAATCTCTTGCTCTTCAAAGATGTCGCAATGCTTTGCATCGATATCGAGCCCGCGCAGGCACCTGGAAGTTTCCGACTGGTTCCAGCCGCGCACCTGCTGCTCCGTGGGATATGCCTTCTCTTCATCATCCGTCTCATGTCCATTGATATACGAGGCCCGGTGGTCCATGTGGCTGCTATATTCGCTAGCGGAATCGTTCATGGTTTTCGGTTCTTGGGTCGTCACACTGTGGCGCGGAGTGTTCATCCCCGTGATATGTTCGTCAATGACGCTGAGCGTTTCATTCATAACCGGACTTTCTTCACCGTTCAAGTGATTGTCCATGGGGCTGCGGAAGGCCTGCTGAATATCGGCCGCCAAGCTGGGCCGGGGCAGCGGGGACGAGGCGGATCGCTGCTGGGATGGCGAGCCGACCTGAGGCGAATGGAGGTCGGCGGAACTGACGTGGCGCGATGCCTGCGGGGTACTCTGTCCGCTGCCAATTTGCGCGAAAGAGGAATCGGGCGCGTCGGGTTCCAACTGTACGGGCGATTCCAGGAGGACGGGCGACTCGGCGAGAGTCTTTCGGGGAAGCGCTTTGGTGAAGTCTATTGCGCGCATTAGTCTGGGATTTCCGGTCGGGTTCCTAGGGGCGCATACTTGCTGGGAAGAGACCGGTTTGGCCAGTTCTCAAGTTTTTGCCGAGGTACCAGGCATCGCCGAATTCGTCGTCCAGTTCGACCAATTCGATCTTATCACGCGGCATCATACGAAGTTCATCGTCGCCGCGACCACCAAAATCGTCTGAAATGAATTAGACTGGGCGCACTGCAATGAAGGTGTCGCACACGACGTCACTTACGAAGAACTTCCAAAACGTCACCAGGACGCACGCCCTGGGGTGGGCCCATGGTAACCATCGCTCTGAAGATTGATCCGTTTGGGAGTGAATTGAAAGCTAAAAGCGACAACGCATGAAGCGCAAACACCCGGTTGGGGTAAACAAGAAAGCGACGAGATTAGAGAAGGGAGAGAATGTCGGAGGAATCTGAGCTGAGAGGGTTTTAGCTTGGAGTTATTGTCGCGGGGCTCGCACGTACCTCGAGAATGAGTGTAGCTTAAAAATGCACCTCAGCCGTAGAATTCAGGCCGTGTAATGTGTATATATAACAATCGAAACCAAAAAGTTGTAGAAGAATGAGAAAAAGGTTAAAAAAGAAAGTGAGAAGAGGCGAGTGACGTGTGCGGACCGTCAAGAGTCTGGACACAATCTCCGCTGAGTGGCACAGTAAGAGAAGAAGACGAAGTCTTAACGAAAGAGTGATAATCTTAGGTGTGATAGCGCTAGGATAGATTGTAATAGTGTGTGTTCATGTACGGAGTACTCGTACAGGGCTATGGTTAATACAAATACTAACACTAAAATCCCCTAAGCGCGCGAACTAATTTGCATTCGTCCAATTTCAATCCGGCCATTCCTCAAATTATCTGACGTTTCCAATTCTCCTGCAAGTACGAAGTACGAAGTACAGAGCACTAAGTACAGTATGTATTGGAGGGATCAGCATCTTTTTACCTTACTTTACCTTTTCACTTCCAAAGTTCTGATTGAAGCGTCTAATATCATTCGCATTCTAATTAGTCTCCGAACAACCCTGGGACAAACCTAGGACCAAAGTACTATACATAGCCTGTAACCCCTCTGTTCTTTGTTGGATGGCAAACAAAGAAATTTATTTTAAAATATGATAATAACGCTATTGACAATGCCACTTCTGCCATGTCTCGCCTACATGATATTGGAGAATCTAACTCCACTGCAAATCTCTTCTTAGGCGGCTTCAGAAGGAACTGGATGGAGAACAATCGGCCTGGACCCAGTGCCTCGAATCTCCCTAGTGTCTCGGCTAAAGACTCTGTCTTGATGACCCCGATCACTCCCAGTGAGACCCCTCAACTTTCACGTGGCCTGGCAGTAGCCCCCGACGCGCCTCCCGCGAACATTCCGTCTCCGGCAAACACGATTCCGTCTCCGGCGCCCAGCACCTGCCTCCCGAGTCCCGTCAATGCCGACTGCCTCCCGTCTGACCCACGACCCGTAGAGGGAAACCATGAGACCATGGCGGTTCGACCCTCTCACGGCGCGCAAGGCGCTCAACAAGCTCAGCAGGCTGTCTGGAACTCTCGGGCGGGAGGTGCGCGGACACAGTCAGTCGCGCAGGCAACACACGCACAAGCAGGACAAGCAGCACAAGCAGCACAGATAACACAGGCGACTACAGAAGTCAGGTCTGCGCCGAGAATGCAGATTGGACGGCTACCAGTCACACCTCCCATTTCTGAGAATACATGGGCTCAATGGAGTGTGATGTTGGACCAGGTGGTAGCTGATTTCCAGTCCAATGGAGTGATGCAGTCCGCTGAAAATGGGGAAGCCAATGTTGTCAAGCCCCGGATTGACCTCATGCGCAGTGCCATTGAACAGCGGGACACTTTTTACGTGGTGCTGCATCAGATATACTGTTTACACACATTGGACCCAACATCCGTCAAAGGCCATGGAATAGAAGTCTTGTCTTATCTACTGGAAGACAACAACAAGATGCACTTCTCAGCCACTTTCAGGTTTGCAAATTTCCCCGACTCTCAAGCGCGGTTGGCGATCCATCCATGGTACACAGATATCCTCAAGAATATCTCTGGGTTTCTTGAATGTCTGACCGAGAAGTGGTTTCGGTTTTGGAAGTCGGCCAACCATCCCCCTTTGGTGACCGATTTGAACTACCACTTTACTCTCTCTTCGCCTACAATGATGTCGGTGATGTTCTTATGTATCGCTCGGCATCTGCATGAAGAGAAATTCGTTGAACGGCTGCAGATATTATTCTCGCGTGATTGGACGGAAAAGAACCAGTGCTGGGTCAATCAAAGTCCCTCTGAAACTGTCCAGGCGCTTGATCAGAGCCTCATACGTGAATATTTCAAATTCCCACGTTTAAGCCCGTCTTCTTCCCAGGCTGCCAGTCCAAATAGACCGGCTGAAACACATCAGATACCGGCAGCGTCAAACTCCACCGTTACTCTAGTTTCTGGAGCCACCCGGACTTCGAGTTCAGCTAGCCCGGCTCCTGTTGAGCATCCTGTTCCCAGCCCTCAAACGCAAATACCTGTCCATCCGGGATCAGTTTCTGGGCCGCACCATCAATTTGGCACTAACCATCCGGCGCAGAACGGCGAAGCTTCAAATATGAGACAGGTCCCTCAAAGAGCTCCGGGGCCGCCGGTTGTCTACAATTACCCGCAGGGTCAAAGGGCAAATGTTCAGAATTTCCGAACACAAAGCCCACAGAGTCCTTTGGTACAATCCCCTCAGATGCAAGGTCCCCACATTGTATATAACACAGCTCAAGTGCCGATGTCAATGTCAATGTACATACAGGCCTTGCATCATGGACAAATTCACCCTTCCCAGGCATTACAAATGGGGTATGGTCAGGGTCCGCATTTTGGAACGTTTTCGTCCCCTCAATACGCGCCAAACCCAACACACCATACCAACTCGCCCGCTCACTCGCCTGCCGCCTACCCATTCACTTTCACCTCAAACCAACATCCACCCCACCTCAGAACTCAGTCACCTCTTTCAGCATCTACTCCTACAACCCCCGTCCCTCCTCCTGGTCAGACGGTCTCTCAGCTTCCAAGGCGCCCAAGTAATCAGCGTGCTTCTGTTTCACACCACCCTACTACACTACCTCCTCGACCGCCAAATTTGGCTTACGCAGCTCCGGCATCTCACCAAGTCCATCCACCTCACCAGCCTCACCAACTTCATTCATCCCACCCTCCATCGCCGGCACCAAATTTCCTGAATACGCCTATGTTTCCGTCACCTGGATACAGAGCACCAATAACGGTGAACGGTGATCCAAGACGACTGGGGCTACATCTAGCGAATCTGCGTGACCCGATGAAGAAAATGGTGAAACTCGGACCCGATGGTCAACTCATCGACACAGAGTTATTCGCTTATTTCGGTGCATTCCTTGTGTTGCCGCAACACATTGATGTTGATGAGCCAAGCTACACCTGGAAGTTCAATCTCAGCAACCATGATCTTGGAAAGTTCCCTCAAATCGCTGCTGCAGAGGCAATGCGTTCTGCGGTCTGGACATTCAAACCTCGCTGTCGCACCGTTCGATTGCGATGTATCAGTCACCCCGGCAATCCGGACTCTTTCGATTCAGCTATGTGGCCCACAAGTGCTACAACTTGGCCCAGCGTGTTCTACATTACCGTGAATGGGAAGGAACTCCATGTCCGCCGCAAGGTTCAGCACATGAAAGACTTGCCTCTGGACATTACCCAACACCTGAAAGAAGGAGAGAACTCCATTCGCATTGATCTGCTTCTGGCTTCTGATGAGTGCAAGAAAAGCAAGTACTTCTTCGGCGTGGAGGTCATGGAGGTTAGCAGCTTCGAAGATGTGGTCACTCTGGTGCAGGCCATTCCGGCCGCGGAATCTCGCGCTGCTATCCAGAAGCGTCTTGCTCCGCGAGACGATGACGACGATCTCGCTGTCGTCACAGACAATCTCACCATCGGCCTTGTTGACCCCTTCATGGCTCGGATATTCAACGTTCCTGCTCGCTCTAAAAATTGTGACCACACTGAATGCTTTGACCGAGACACCTTCATCGACACTCGCAAGTCTGTCCCCGGTCCAAGTCCAATGATTGAAGAGTGGCGATGCCCAATTTGCAAGGCCGACGCCCGCCCACAGCTTCTTGTCGTTGACGGCTTCCTTGCTGAGGTTCACGAAGAGCTTACTCGAACCAATCGATTGAACGGAGCCCAGGCTATCCAGATCAAGGCCGATGGCACCTGGACTGTAAAGCTCAAATCGGATCAGACCTCAACCGAGACTCAAAACCGCTCTTCTGCATCCAAGGCATCCCTCAAGCGCAAGGCTTCCGACACAGCTATTCCAGAGCACCCAGCTACACGCACCAAACAAGAACCAAGAAATCAACAATCGCCACCTGCCTCATCTCGCAGTAATGAGGTTATTGAGTTGGATTGAACCCATCTTCTACTGTTTCTCACCACGAATGAACTGCGCTCTGACCGCAGGCGCGGCGTTTTCTTTTATTCTTCTAATGTTTCTTACTTTTTCTTTTGCGACAACGTCTTTCCTTACCTCTGCATGCATTTACAAGCAAGATACCCCATGCTGCGTGATATCAACATTCATATTTTTATCTCTTTTCATCGCCACAACTGGCACCTGAAAATTGGCTGTCCTTGGCTACTCACTATAGATTGGCTGGCGTTTGGATCGAAGTGGAGCGGATCCAAGACAAGAAAGTAATTCTAGCTTTATTTCTACTTCATAGAATTCCAAGTATCAGAACGTGATCGGGTTCCGTATATGATGCCCATGGCATGTAGGTCTACATGTCAAGAAGCACGCACTACCTAGGTATATTTATGGATGGATATGCGTAAACAACCTTGGAACTTTGGAAGAGTGGACATTCAGATCCCTTCGGCTGAGACTTTGCTATTGACATTAGATTATACAGAATATATTATATTGGACATTTAGATAATATACCAAATGTGTCCGGAAAAGAGGACTATTTCCTAACTCTCCGAACATGGCTAACAAGGTTCTCAATAACACCCTCAAAAGCCTCTTTTTCACCAACAAGGCCGTCCCGGCGCTTCAGCCAGTGTTCAAGCACTGCACTAGCGCGCTGAGTAACCTGTTCCAATTCCTGAACATGCAACTTCAACTCCGTGTCCGTAAGACCACTTAGTGCAGCATCGGTGGTGGCACACAGACGACGAACCGCCGAGAGATCCATGCCCGGCGGAGACGGGTCGTTACGACGGGATGCCTTTTGGCGTGAAGGCGCTTGCCCTTTTTCGAGGTCTGTTTGGGCGCCGTCATCTTTGCGGGGCTGGCTGGCTGAGCGGGGGCTTTTGGCTCCTGACCCTTCCAGGTCGATGGAAGGGAGGATGAGCTTCTTTTGTTTTGAGGCGGGGAGGATCTCGTCGAGATCGACGGGGACGCCAAGTGAGACGAGGAATAGGCGGCGGATGCGAGATTTGACCCAGTTTTGGGGTTGGAGGGGTGGCGGTGCGACGAGCTGGGACCATAGAGAGAGGGAGCGCTCGGTGCTGAAGATTGCGGCGGAGTCTGGGATTGGCTCGACTGCGGGGAGGGAGCTTAGATTTTGTGATGCAGGGAAGAGGTTGTCGAGGGTATCCTGAAGAGAGTTGAGGAGTTCGGATGTTGTGTTGAAGGCGCTGAAGTCAATGAGAGGTGGCTAGTGTGGGTGATCGTGTTAGTTGGAGGATGGTAGTGTTGAGATGTGAGGACGTACAACTGGAGGTGCTTGATGCTGCTGGGGTGGCGGAGTTGTGTCTGCTGGAGGGTCTTCTATATCTTCTGTGCTGGGCTCTTGGAAGCCGTCATCGAAGTCTCCGAAATCATCGTCTCCCATGTCATCCTGCTCTTCTACAAATTCATCAAAGTCATCCCCCATTTCTTGCTCATCTTCTTGCTCGTCGTATTCATCATATTCGTTCGTGTCTTTGCCCAGAGAGAGATCTTGCACTGGAAGCTCGGGATCATCTGACAACGAGACATCAGGTACGGTTTCTACCGTATCGGGTAATGTGTCACTTGGTGAGCTTTGATGGGCCTGTGGGTGTGGTCCTGCCTCTTCATCTTCACCAGTAGGCATGGTTTCGACACGTTCAAGTCGGGTCTCTGGGATATCCTGCTCAGAGACATCGACCTTTGAGGATGTAGGGCCCAGAGCTGGCGGTGTTGGGCTGCCCTCTGAGTCGGAAGCTTTAACCACAACATCAGGCACGGCATCGGCGAGGCGCTTCTCATTTGCTAATGTGCCTGGCACTTCGCCATGGCTGGGCTGATCCGGGTCTACCTTTTCAACCATTGTTCGCGGGATGGGCGAGCCCTCAGGGTCTGAAGGTCGTTCCTCCGACCCCGCGGGCGAGTGGTTCGGGCTGTGTGAACCTTCTGGGACCACTTCGATTTCGTCGGGAACAGCATCTTGTTCCCGTGCTTTGAATGCCGCTGTACCGGGAACCTCGCCATGTTGGGTGCTGCTGTCGGCTCTCTCGACTCGTGTTCGCGGGACAGGGGAAGTGCGACCGGATTGTGGGAGCGACTGGGGCTCTGGATTGCCTTCGCTGGCGTCGGAGAAGTGTTCGTCTTCGCTTTCGGAGACTGCAAGGAGGTAAAGTCAATTCTATATTCTCAAAATACCCCGGAAAAAATGAAGTAGGCTCATACTATGGTCACCAGCTCCTGGGTCTTGCATTTCAGTTGTCTTCCTTGGGGGCTCTAGATGCGAATTGGACAGATCGGACGGCCCCTCCGACATGGTTGCAGCTTGGGCTCAGGATGTTAACATGTAAGAAGGGGCACCAGGATTAATTAAACCGAGGGCTATGGGGTAGTGCGTGAGTGACGACAGTTGTTTCCCTTGCGATCGATTTGAGTCCAGAACATGTTAGCCTTAGGCGCGCTGTTTGTTGTCGCCATTTTTATCAGGTGTCAATTCAGGCCTGATTTACTAGGCTTTTACATCTGCGCGTGCCAAACTCCTTCAGATTATTGTTGCTCCAACCTTGGCTTCTCTGTTATCTTCCCTCATCCCATCCTCGGTCTCTTTCACCGGTACTCTTCGGTCAAGAGCAATTCTCCCCTATCGCTGGATCTTTGATCCACACTGCAGGATCCCACTTCCCTGCTCCGTGTCGCTGGCGCTCTCTCCCCGTCCAGCTTTTTCCCATCAACGCAAGCTCCGTTCACCTTGACCGCGCCAACACCACATCATGGCATTCAACTTCAATCCACCGGCGTCCACCGGCGCATCTGGTGGAGGTGTGTTCGGGTCAGCAGGCAACGCATTCGGTGCCAATAAGGATAACAATGCTTCCGGCACTGGCCTTTTCGGAAACGTTGGAGCTTCAACCGCCGGCACTACCAAGCCTTTGTTTGGAGGAAATGCCGCCACTGGTCAAAGTACTCCTTCTTTCGGAAATGCAGGCGCTACCAATGCGCCCGCTGGTGGCAGCTCGGGCTTCAGCTTTGGCGCACCTAAAACCAGCAGTACCCCGGCCACGGGAGGTCTTTTCGGTGGCGCCGGCAGCCAGACTCCCAACAAGACCGCGGAATCGACCACACCTGGACAGCCTGCTAGCAGCGGATTGTTCGGTGCTCCTGCTACCGGAGGCGGATTGTTCGGTGGTGCTGGCTCCACGGCTACCCCTGCTCCTGCGGGAAACTCTCTGTTCGGCAACAACTCGACCACTCCCGCAGGGCCTCCACCGGGATCGAACGCCCCAAACAGCCTATTTGGGGGCGCAAAGCCCGCCTCGGCTACCCCTTCTACCGCAGCATCTACCACCCCCACTACCTCACAACCATCTAACAACCTTTTCGGTGGTGCAGCTGCCCCCAAGCCCGCGTTTGGAGGAACCACACCTGCCGCACCTGCGCCTACTGGTAATCTATTCGGTGGTCTAAACAAGCCAGCCGAGTCAAGCACTCCCTCGACTGCGGCAGACGCCTCCGCCAAGCCAGGATTGTTCGGCGCGGCCCCCGGTGGTGCGTCGTCACAGACACCGTCTCTTTTCAACAAAGCGCCAGCCCCAACAGGTGACTCCGCGCCGAAGCCTGCATTTGCTCTCGGTGGCGCTTCTTCTGCCACAACTTCTAGCACAACCCCTTCTCTTGGGGCCCCGGCCACATCAGGTGCTACGCCTCAAAAGTCCTTGTTCCCTTCTTTGGGAGGCGCTACGTCCACAGCTGCCCCCTCAACCACACCGGCAGCCGCTTCTGCAACGGGAGGCCTATTTGGTGGGGCTGGAAGCTCTGCTCCCTCCACAACTTCAGGAACCGCATCAACTTCCGCGCCTGCTCCCGCTCCACCTGCCCCCACGGGTGGTTTGTTCGGACAGGCTGCATCTTCTACGGCTTCAAGCAAGCCTTCGACCACTCCTGCAGCCCCCGCCTTCGGGACCCAGACGACTGCCGCTACAGCTGCTCCTGCCACGACTGCAACCACCAGCACTACCGCTCCAACAGGGGCTTCTGCTCTCGGCCAGTCAACTGCTGGTCCTGCCCCTCCCGCACAGTCCCGATTGAAAAACAAGACAATGGATGAAATCATTACTCGATGGGCCACTGATCTCGGAAAGTACCAAAAGGACTTCCGTGAGCAGGCGGAGAAGGTTTCCGAATGGGATCGCCTCCTTGTGGACAACGGCACTAAAGTTCAGAAGCTTTACGGTAGCACTGTTGATGCAGACCGCGCAACCCAGGAGGTTGAGCGTCAGTTGGCAGCAGTTGAAGGCCAACAGGATGAGTTGAGCTCATGGCTGGACCGATATGAACGTGAGGTGGATGAGATGGTCACCAAACAGGTTGGCCCCGGAGAGTCTCTTCAAGGGCCCGATCAGGAGCGCGAGTCAACGTGAGTATCAATGCTGCATTTTCTTACGAGCTGTTCAACTGACAATATCAATAGTTACAAATTGGCCGAAAAGCTCTCAGAGCGCTTGGATGAGATGGGCAAGGACCTTACTAGCATGATTGAGGAGGTGAACGGCGCTTCATCCACCTTGAGCAAGACAAACAAAGCGGACGAGCCGGTATGTCAACGTTCCTCCATATGGTCAACTGCGATGCATTTGCTTACTCATTCTACTAGATCTCGCAAATCGTTCGCATTCTCAACGCACACTTGTCGCAATTGCAGGTCATTGATCAAGGTACCTCCGATCTTCAGTCCAAGGTTGCTGCAGCCCAAAAGGCGGGCCAATCTATCTCTGCCCGTCTTGGATACGGATATAACAACACTGGCATGGGCAATGATAACACCGCGGATGACTTCTACCGCTCCTTTATGCAAGGGCGGTAAATGGTGGATGATGGTCTCTCTTAATGATTTGTATTCGGAGTTATCGGCTATTTGGCACCTCGATGTGCTCTGGAGGATGTACTATTGTAGTCAGGAAATGCTAATAGTCGGTCACAATAAACTGTTCGCATCTGCTTCTACGTCAAATATCTGAGCCCTGGCGCAAAGAAAGGTCCTTGGCCGCAGTTGGAAGTAATCTGATTTTCATATTCTAGTCGTAACTTTTCTTTCTTCGTTACTTGTGTTGCAGGCTGGAAGAGGCTTCCAAGAGATCCAAGACTGTTCTCAATTTAGCCCGTTTCTCACTGGAACGGCCTATAATGCCCTCCATCGCGACGTCTGCAGCCAGCTTGCCATGACGGTTCTTGGCCATCGGATCGGCACCGGCTTGTAGAAGTAATTCAACAAGCTCTGGATGATACCTCCTCGCTGCGAAGTGTAGAGGAGTATTCTTATCTTTGTCTTTTGACTGTATATTGACATTTGCTGCCAGCAATGTCCTTACCGACTCAAGAGAGCCCGACCTTGCTGCTTCATGGAGCGGAGTGATGCCTGTCTTTGTCTTGGACTCGGGATCAACGCCATGCTGGAGCAACAACTTGCACATCCCATGTTCACTACGAACTGCAAGGTGCAATGGCGTCGTGCTAGTATGGCTTGCTTTGGTTGGATCAGCACCTCGCTCCAGTAAGAAAGCAGTGATGCCACCATGCTCCCCGCCAGTACCCCCAAACACATTGGACTCCCAACTCACCGCCGCAGATAACGGCGTAAAGCCAGAGAGCGTCTTTGAATTTATCTTTGCACCCCTGTCTAGCAGGAACTTCGCCACTTCCAATCGGCCGTGGGAGCATGCGGAGTATAATACGCTGTGTCCAGAATCCTCCTTGGTATTTATGTCAAAGCCCAGGTCCCACAATACCTCGACAATGTTGATCTTGCCTTGGGTGGCTGCTAAGTGCAATACTGTGATACCGCCGGGACGCCGTACATCTGTGTTGGCACCACTCTCGATAAGATACCTCACTACCTCGGGGTCGTGTAGGCAGGCGATTTGCAAGGCAGTTTGCGAGCTGGGTGAAAGCGCCTCCAGATCAGCTCCTGCTTCTACCAAAACTTTGGTCACCGCTAGGCGACTTTGAACCCTCCGGTATGCCGCAATATGTAACAAATGCTCTCCCGATTTCGAAGTTGCCAGATTAGGATCTATGCCACTTTCGAGCAGTACACGAAGTACGCATTCTCTGTTGCGGGAGACAGCTATTGTGATGGCTTGTTCCATACCCCCGCGCCCATTCGTAGCGTTGACGTTGGCGCCGTTTGCCACAAGGAGTGCGACGATATTTGCATGGCCTTGATAGGAAGCTTCGAATAATGGGCGACGGTTTGTTGTGGGGTCGATTGCTTCAATGTTTGCGCCTTGTCGGAGGCTTTCCCGGGCTGTTTCCAGCTGGCCATGGGCTGCTGCCCAATGAAGTGCATCTCCATAGTGATGTTGAACATTGTAGTTGTAGAGGAATGAGTTCAAAAGATTATTGCAACGATGATTTATTCTTGCAAATGCATTGATGCTGCTCTGGGAGTCCAGGAACTCTGCTATGTTAAGCAGGAGCTCGTTTGGCAGGGCGTGGAGAGTCATAATGGGGAAAGCGCCGGATATGACAATTGTCTCATGAGGTTGGTTATCTCTCGGTACGAAGTATGACTTGAAGCCCCATTTTTGAGGTGTGGTGCAATCGTAAAGGTGGCTTGTAAGGCATGTCTGGCGGTGTCGCTTGCCAATTTGTGGAGACACCGCGATCTGCATGCTAGTGCTGCTAGTCATCCAGACTCGAGCCCCGGGGTGGATCGCCAAGTCCGACTTTGTCTTATTGACTCAGAATGTACTCAGCATAAATGCTTACAAGTCCTCGCAATTGATCTGAGGCTACAAATGTTACAAGTTTTCAAACTAGAGACCACCTGAGCAAAATGTGGAGTGGAAATAAGTGGTTAAGAGAGTCCATGTATGCTATGCAGAGTAATGTCTTATTCAAGCACAGATGCTGGAAATCAAAAGATCTCAAGACAGCAGACAGCAACGATAGCTTGCTAGAGGGGAGATGGTATTATACATAGCAGCCGAAGTGCGTCATATCAAGCAGATGAAAGGGCGCTGGTAATTTATTGCTTGCTCAAGCCATCACTGTAAACAGTCGTCAGCTATGCGTTCGCGTGCGTGCCAGAGACAATGAAGCAATTTGATAGAACCAGGTTTGTGGAGGAGACGAGCAAGGACGGGAAAAGGTCACGGTTTTACTCACATGTGGTTCTCAAGCTCATCAAGGTGCTTGCGCTGCTCGCCGATCTTCTTCTTCAGTTGAGCAAGCCTGCCGATGAGGTTAATTTCCTGCTGTGGGCAAGGCTTCATCCGCTGCTAGCTTTCTAACTTACTTCTCGAGCTCCTTCTCACGGATGTAAAGGCTCTCTGTGGCAGCTTCACGGCGGTTGAACGAGTCACTGAAGGGAAGTTAGCGAGGAACAAGGATATGGATGATGTCATCCAAACAGGACAAGGCAGACAGGTGACAATGTTGGTTCATTGCAATTGCACCCATATTCCGCAGTCAAGGTGCATGTCACTTACCCGGAGGTCTTGCCGCCAGAGCTGCGGGGAGCACCGGTGTCACCCTCACCCAGACGAGGGACGGCAGCAGAGAATGAGCGGGTGAACACAGCCCGGCTAGCGGTGTTGGCGGAACGGACAACGGATTGACGAAGCATATTGAATGGATAGAGAGATGTTGATTCAGGGATGAGCAAAAGTACAAGATGAGGAGAAGTAGAAGTAGCCAGAGCTTCCAAGGCTCTACGATGACGTTAGGGTGCCAAGGCACGTCAGGTGATGATGATATTATGTCAGATCATGCCCAGTCATGTGACGGAAATTTCAAAATTCTTCGATAAGTCGACGCCCTCTCATTCGATTTCGGTAGAGGTACATGACTTGATCATGGGGACACAGACGGGATGAGTTCATGAGGTGGCTCGAGTCTTCTAGTTCTAGATGCCCCAAAGTCACCCCGTACCATCCCATAATGTGGTATACAAGTACATCGTCTCCAAAGTAAGGAACCGGGCGATTAGCCGCTGCGGAATGGGGGATGACGCTGTAGAGGCCCACCGAACCACACAGAAAAAGACGAGATGATTTGAATACAATGGAGGATGGGGAGGTCTGGGATATTGTAATAGACTAGAAAATAAAATAAGAAAGCTCTTGTGACCACGAAAAGAGACTCCTAGTGCTATTTAGTTCAGAAATAACGAAAGTGGGTTCCCAACAACAGAAGGCGGTGTTAAGACTGCCCCCCCTCTTCCTCCTCTCAACTTCCCTCAATCAACTAACCTCCTATTCTCCCTGTTCATCTATTCTCATCCATTTCTTTTTTTCCTTCGCCTTTACCTCCTTCACAAATCAGGTCAGTGTTTCCCTGTCGTTTTCCAGTTCGATTCACTGCCCTCCTGCCCCTGTTTCTGTCCCCCCTCGACCATCACAAATCCCACACACATCCAAGTCTGGCCATGGAAGAGACACAGAGCCCCCACTCCCCATGGGAAAAAAAAATCACAAAAGTACATTCAAGGTCATATCGATGATGATTCGCGCCACAATCTGGATGGCGGTATAGACATGGATGTTCTGCTCTGAACTCCTTGTTTACCCGTTTCCCGCGACCGCTCTCCTTCGAGACCCAACTACACTCGGACGGGAGACTGCTGCGGTTACGGATCGTCAAGATCGACCTTGATCTGACTCGACGGTTGAATTTGGATAATGTGTGGAGAATTGATCTGGTCCTTTCCCTTGCCCCCATGTTTGCTTGAGGGGTCAATGCCTACCCCTCGTCATCGTTGGCACTGCGAATGGCGTGATTACGAATACCTCCATCTCGAAGACACCCAGAAACTTTTATTTAAATGTGAAACTAACTTGTGAATGTAGAAAACACTCTTTCACAATGGGTCAAGAAGACGCTGTTTACCTCGCCAAGCTCGCTGAGCAGGCTGAGCGCTATGAAGGTTGGTTACGATGATTGTCACGGATTGCTCGCTTTTTCTGACGCAGTAATGCAGAGATGGTTGAGAACATGAAGGTCGTTGCCTCGGCCGATGTTGAGCTCACCGTTGAGGAGCGCAATCTCCTGTCCGTCGCCTACAAGAACGTCATTGGTGCCCGCCGTGCCTCTTGGAGAATCGTCACCTCGATTGAGCAGAAGGAGGAGTCTAAGGGCAACGAGTCCCAGGTCACTCTCATCAAGGAGTACCGCCAAAAGATCGAGGCCGAGCTCGCTAAGATCTGCGACGATATCCTCGAGGTTCTCGATGAGCACCTCATCAAGTCCGCCCAGTCTGGCGAGTCCAAGGTCTTCTACCACAAGATGAAGGGTGACTACCACCGTTACCTCGCCGAGTTCGCCATTGGCGACCGCCGCAAGGGTGCTGCCGACTACTCCCTCGAGGCTTACAAGGCTGCTACCGAGATTGCCTCCACTGACCTTGCCCCCACTCACCCCATCCGTCTCGGTCTCGCCCTTAACTTCTCGGTCTTCTACTATGAAATCCTGAACTCCCCCGACCAGGCTTGCCACCTCGCCAAGCTTGCTTTCGACGATGCCATTGCTGGTAAGTTGGAGCATATGCCCGGTTATATGTACCAGTATCCAGACTAACCCGTCATCCACAGAGCTCGACACCCTGTCCGAGGAGAGCTACAAGGACTCTACTCTCATTATGCAGCTCCTCCGTGACAACCTGGTAAGTTGATGGCCTTTATCAAATCCTATGAATCCACGCTGATCGTTTTATTCTAGACCCTCTGGACCTCGTCCGAGGCTGAGGCCCCCGCCGATGGCGCTGCCCCCGAGGTGAAGAAGGAGGAGGCACCCGCTACCGAGGGCGAGAAGCCCGCCGAGTAAACGAGTAACACATAAAAAGACCTTCATGATGGACCCACGTCCTCAGGACGGATGGGACGACCCAGAGAAGGCGCGCATGACGGTGTTCTCGGCGCAAGGACATAGATTTGAGATCAAGGGAGGATCATGAGATGCACTTACTTCGATGCCGGTTTATAGTATCGCCGAGACTCGCAAGGGTCGGCGTGAGAACTAAGCCGATATCTACATTGCTTCTGTGGGCTGCTGTGCTTCGGATCTTTGTCTTTGCTTTGTTATGTCCGTCGTGCTCTCTGTCTGGGGATATCCTGTCTCTTTTCGTTTTTCATTCTCCCTGTTATTTTGTCTACTTTGCCTCTGAACTACCCAAAGAGTCCCCTTGCGCGCACTCAGCCCCTAACACATACACACACGGATCACAGAAGTTTTTTTTAAATCAGTTCCTTATCAGGACTTGAACGAGGGTGTCCTGCCGATCCATGGCCTGGCTTTTTCTCCCCATTTTCTTATTCCACTACCGTATCTGTGCCATATGGTGTTTCCCTTTTCTCCTATCTCGCTAGACCTGGTTTCGAAGATCAACTCGTATATTGCCATAGCAATTGCTTAGCTCAACCTTGTAAACATGAGGCTTGTGCTAACATAACTTTTATCTTTTTTGCTGGTCCACAGTAACAAAGTCTCCTGCCCAGGCACGCACATTTGACGCAAGGATATCCGTTGAATGCACCCACGTGGTATGGTTTCATGAACCTTCCATGTATTTCGACGCCTATTGACTTGGGGTGGCAGGGCACATGCAAGTTTATGGATACCCAGGCGGCAATCGTTCAGCTTGCGCCCACAAGTAACCCTGGGCAAGCCAAAAGATGGAGAGACTGGGCATTTCCCGTGCCCAGGTGGGTGTATCCATACTCCATACTCCGTAGAGAATCTCGGAATTAGAGCGTTTGAAACGATTTACGTATTCTCGACATCGGGATCATGATTTATTAGAAAGAAAGATGTCAATGAGTTGTTCATACGTAGCCCCAAGAGCCTGTTATGACAAGCATTGGTCGTCCACACTACAATACTCGACTAGTTCTACAGACACACAAAACCGATGATATTTGACATCCAATTCACGGATATTCCGGGTACCAAACAATTATGTATGGGTGGGGGCCATAATTCAAAACTTTGCATATGTCTCTACCCACCGGGACTGAGAGCCCTTGATGATATCAGTGGCTGTGTCCGCTAGGCGCTGACGAGATGATGCGCAGCCCCTATGGTCCCAAATCTCGGCTGATCGTCAGTGAAGCGGCAAGTTCCATTGGACATATTATAATGACTCATTGGCGTGTTCGCTGGCACTGTATGTACATATGCAAAAGCTCTGCGTAATCGTCGATCCTGTCGGCAGAGGGAAGTGATGAATCCACCGAGGCGCTGCCGAATTTGAGCCAGGACAAGGGGTCCTTGGTTTTGGGGATCTACGGAAAGATGGTTGGAATTGAAATTGAAATTGAAAAATGATTTCCATTGCTGAGATAGTTGAAACAACAATACTACCAGCTATGCGGGCCCGATGAAAAGGGGTATGAGAACAGAAAGAAAAGAAAAGAAAAACGAAGAAAGGGGGACTTGAGACATGCGCTCCTCAGGAACGAAAGGTGGCAAGTGGAAGAAAGGAAAACAGAGCCGCAATGATATTATACAATGCGACATCTCTTTGTCCCATGGGTGTGAGATCAGACAGTGAGATCAGACATCCCAGGTACAGAGAAGAAGGGAAGTGAAAGAAAGGTGGAATAGAGAAATTGAGGAAATGAGAAACGAAGACAAAAAACGCAGATGTACAGAGAGCCCCCCAAATAGAGAGGGCATATGAGAGGACAGATAGGCAGATAAATGGACTGCTCCGAAAGACCCCTTAAGATGCTTTCCACTTTCGATGTCGTCCTGCTGTGGCAGTGACCGTTAACATGCAATGCCAATGCCCAGCAGACATTTCCAGTGAGGCTCCAGTAAGAGCCGTTCAATCAAACCGAGTCTAGTCCCAGTCCCCGAAACGCCCAAGGTGCTATGCATCAAAAGACAAAATAAGAAAGAAAACGAGGAAAAAAGTACACGTGAAACATGTGTTCACAGATCCGCCGAAGAAACGCCAAAGTAAGAGAAATAGGTGGGGGAAGAAGAGGCCCAATGATATCGACAGAATTGGAAAGAGAGGCAGGGTGGCCACTGCGTTGAGATGAGAGTAAGGATGCACACCGACTTTGAGGATGATGCAAGAGGATCACGGATATCAAATGCCAAGAACTCAGGTGGCGAGCCACTTGACGAACATCAAGTCACAGGTGATCCCTTGAGCTCCCCCTTGAGTGATAGAATCGATTTCAGCCTCATCACTGGTTCAGCGGTTGTTCCCGATTGACCAGGGGGATTGTGGAGACAATGATGAGAGTGTGGCGTTGAAGCGAGAGTTGGTAGTGAGTAGCCACTCGAGCCAGTCGGGTGGCAGGTGTCGGTGTGTGAGAAAGTGGCGATAGGTGAGATTTTCTTCCCGGTGACTGCTGACCCATTGCGGAGGGAGAAACCTCGTGTTGCCAGTAACCCCAACCCTGTCCTATAGGACCGTAACGTGTGACATGCTATTCTCGTTTTGGCATGCACTCAGAGCGACCGATTGGACAGTGGGACGAGAAAGAGAAACACCCGACCGATGGTCTTGTCGTAAAGGGCAAGTGAAAATAAATCAAAATTCGGTAAGGGCGACCATGAATAGCGCATTGAAAGGTATACTGTCGTAGAAAAAAGGCGATCCTCCCCGATTTACGT